AAGAAAGAAACAATATATATATATATATACATATATATATATGCATAGTGCTAACTCACCTTGAGCAAGAAGGAACTGTGCAACTCGGCCGCCCGCTCGGTTTCCTCGCGTCGTCGATCGTTGGTCTCTTTGGGGATCTGCGGCCGGACAATGGCCGCAGGCAGGAAATTGTCCCCGAAGAGGCCAAGGATTTGGTACAGACAAACGGCGTGGACCGCGGCAAGACAAGTCTCCGGCGTGTCGATCTGGGTATGGAAGTCGCGAACGAGCTTCTCCCGCTCCTCATTAATCATCCGATCTACAAAGCCATAACTCGACTCAACCGAACTAGCATGTGCCGACACACATGCTAGGGCGATTCCCATGGGTGGGGCCATACCACCCATCGAGCAACGATACAGACGGTGATGGATGAAGGGTGACCAGAAATCCCGGTCTAAAATCATTCCGGGGTATTCGCGGAACACCGCGAACAGGTCGCGGTAGGTGTTCTCATAATCTTGCATAGCGAGCGAGCCAATCTTCGGCATGAAATGGTAGCCCAGGGTCAACCGAGGGGAGCTGTCACCACGGAGAGTCAAGTTTGTTTGCTCGTTATCCTCCGGACGAGTCGGAGTCTCGCGATAATGGCTGTCCGAGGAGGTGGATGAAAGCGACGGAACCGTTCCATTGTACGGGGACGAGGTATTGTAGGCATCTGTCGCCAATGCGCCTGGCGGTGGAGCCTCTAACGTTCCCACGGGCTTGGAGATTTCATGAAGGGGCAAGAAGTATGACGAGGCTGGGTTGGGGGACTCTTCCAGGGTTCCGGTGAAGGTACTTCCCACCGACATGGGGTCCGTCAGCGGCGTAAAGTCATCACCCCAGGGGAGGGAACCGCCGGGGGTGAATAAAGACCCGTCGAGGGCCCGCACCATGGAGTCCATATTCGCGGCCCCGAATGGATTCCATGCGGACGTGGACATCGGATCAAAATGATTGGCGTTGTTATTGGATTGCTGGCCGGTCGCAGCAAGCGGGCGATTGTCCATTGGACCCGAATTGGGGGCGTCATCCAAGGCCATGGCCGAGGAATTGGTGTCAGACACCATATTCCCGGCCAGGGCGTTGGGGGAGTAGCTTGACTGGACGGATCCAGAGGAGATGGTAGGAGGAGGGGTGTCTTGGGTATCAGCGATCCGAGGAGGGAGAGATGACGGGGGGTAATGACATGGAGTACCCATCTGCACGCAGCGGGTACATGCGGGTCGAGTCATCGAACAGCGCAGCTTCTTCTGCGCGCATGTTTCACACGATTTGCGCTTGGACAGTCGTTCTTGGCCCGCGGTCTTGATGCATCGGCGTCGGTGTCGGTCGCGCAGGTCTCCTATATGTTCCGTTAGTATGAACGGCACCTCGGTCATCCATGTCTTTTCTACACGGAGTATGTTTTTTTTTTTTTTCTTCAAGGGCTGCGTACGTCGGCTGTAGGTTTTATTGCAAATGCCGCATCTAAAATCTCCGGACTGCAGCGCCCCATTATCTGCCAACTGAAGCGCGGGAGATAAAGTTGCTGGGCCTTCTGCTATGGACATGGCTGACATTCTTCTTTTCTTTTTTCTTTTTCTTTCTCCACTGGGTTTGAACTGAGTTCTCAAAGGTTCCGACTCTCTACACGGCTAACATTGAGGATTCCGTTCAATGACCGGCAGTACTGTACATGTACCCCCAAAGCACAACCACCGTGGGAAGAATAGGGCTATGCCAGTAAATTCCGAACCGTTTGGGAACGATATGTACCGTTGAAAAAGGTAAAAAAAAAAAAAAAAGACTATCAAGATAGGCCAAAGGAAGAACAGAAAAAGGGAAAAAGAAGAGAACAAAGGAAGTATAATAGAAAAACGCGAGGGGACACGAGGATAAGTAGGAGATAATCCGGAATCCTACCGTGAGGAGAGAGAGAGAGAGAGAGACCAAGTCAGGTCAGATTCATTGGCATTTTTTTTTTGTTTCTTTTTCTTTTTTTAATTATTCGATTTGATTTGAATTTATTTCTTTTCCCCTTTGTTTGACGCCAAACCTGGTTTGGGATTCCAATCCTTTTATCGGTCTGACCATCCGCTAGGCGTTGAATAATATTATTTTCTGCATGAACAAGACGATCTGTCAGACGGACCATGCGCTGAGACGGTTTCCCTCTTTGCTGTCGTCTTACGAATCTGCGTCTGTCATCTATTAAACCATTATTAATTTTCTTGCTTCTTTTTTCATTTATTTATTTTGTTTAGACTTTCAGGTGCCCCTCTTGACCTTCCTGGGGGCGTTTTGATATGCGCGGCTGATGCTCACTAACCGACAATCTCTTAGCTTGGCTCAAATCCTCTACGGTGCAGAATGGCAGATCTCGATTGTCGATGACTTTAAATATACCCTGTCGTATTGGAGGGGGAGGAAAGAAAAAGAAAAGAAGGTTATGATTGTGGGAAGGTTTGCTTTTTTTTCTTTCTTTCTTTCTTTTTTTTTTTTTTTTAATTTTTTTTTTTTTTTTTTTAAATTCCAGCGTCCTCCCGCACAACCGGCTAGGTGCTATTTTAACTATTTTATATTGTCTAATTTTGTTTTTTTTATTTTTTATTTTTTTTTTTTTTTTTGTTTTTTGTTTATTTAATTTTTTTTTATTTTATTTTATCGCCCTTCCACTTCTTCTACTGCATCATTCCATAACCAATCTGACAGTTGAACTAGGTTCAATAAGCGAGGTTACACACCAACTGTCACATCCCTGTACATGTTGAACCAGTGTCGCATCAGTCTAGACAACGGTAGTAGAAGACCCAAGACCAACGGATACGGAGAGAGAGGGGGGGGGGGAGGCAGGGGTTGGAAGAGCGAATGGACCCGTAATTCGTTGGCTAATTCTCTCGCTGACCTTTTCTAAGTGCACAGCCATTAGCGCCTGGGGCGAAAGGACAATAATGGAGCAAAGGTCGACGGTGTTATCTATTCCGACGACAAGACCGGGAGGCGGCTCCTACCTTCAAAATATCCTAGCTCGATGGGCTGATTTTGGGAGTAGCGAAGGGATGATATCTTCCCCATACTTCATCTATCTCCCGAAACTGCCATCTCCGATCTCCGTTTGCTCTCTTTTATGGATTCCTGGGAAAAGGAACTCTTTGTTTTCGTTTCCTTTGTGGTTTATGTGTCCCAGTGGACGGAAATTAGATTGGATTGTTCCTTCGGGGTTGGGGCTTGGAAGCTGAGATCCGAGCCAACCAAAGGGGGCTGGCTAACTCCCTCCTAATAGGCAACTGGTGCGATGCGTACAATACGCTTTCAACCGTCTTTCCGAGGCAATCGATACATTTGGAACGGGATCAGTGCGGGAGGACCATCGGCGAGCGATCATTCGTGGGAGTTAACGCGGAATGATCCGTTGATCCAGCCCGCGGCGGATGGAACCCTAAGACCTAAATAAAACAGGTAACACTGGAGAAATTAAGTGGGACAATTCAAGTGGATCCCCCCTCTCCTCTAAAGAAAAATAGCATCCCACACCTCAGACAATTGGGCCAGACAATGCTAATGGTCTTCAATCCTCTGTTCAAAAGGTCCGGTCGAGAATGTCTTGGGCAGCCAGATCCAGAAGATACGAGGGTTGTGGTATCTGCTCGCATAATCGCATTGCCATTATCATTCTTAATTTGCCTCTGTCGACCCAACATATAATTGCAGGTCTGTGAGATCAAATCTGTCAAAGTTAGCGCAAAAGAGGGCTGCATGGCCCCGGCCCGAATCCTGTGCCTTTGGCGGAAATAATTTCGCATCTTCTTCTTCTTTCTTTCTTTCTGTTTTCTTTTCTTTTCTTTTCTTTTCTTTTCCTTTTTTTTTTTTTTTTTTTTTTTTTTTTTTTTTTTTTTTATTTTTTCACCCTTTTGCCATCTCAAACTAGTCGGTGGAGGTCTGCAAAATGCGTGAAACATTAAAAGGAGGGGCCAACGACCTTTGCCAGTACACCTCAGCTTGGAGAGCCAAGACTCAAGACCCCCCCTAATCGTGAAAAGTCCCGTTTCTCTTCTACAGATGAGAAGCTCGGAGCGACCTGGTGGACTAATTGCTTATTCTTGACAACCATCCTCATCATCATCATAATATATTGGGTAAGCAACCAAAGCGTCCTGTGCATCATTAACCCACTTTATATGCACATGGCCAATAAAGATCGGCAATGCTTTCCGGAAATAGTTATTGCTGAGATAGTCCACGGCAATTTCGCGTGATGCCGACCATCCCTGGTGACCACGTTGGGCAATTTCTCATGATCCCATCAAACGCGCACGAGCCAATCCAGTAGAGAAGGGAGCCTTGCGAGCCTCAACCACGGCTAGGGAATAGCCACGAAGGATCGAATCACATCACCGCGCACAAGGTGGGACTGTAGGGGAGAAACCCACATCCGTCGAGGAATTAAACGATATTAACGCTTCGTGAACGTGGAAACGATCGGCAGTCCATTGAGCTGCGATAAGATGGTTCCTCTTCTCTTTGGGTCTCCTTGAGGGCTTGCGGTGCACGTGTTCTGTGTTTCCCCTCATGTCATAGCGAACAACGCACTCGTTTTCTTGTTCCATGGCTTTTCCAGTGCGCAATACCGGGCTCCGCAATATTCACGAGTCTCGACTTGGGCCGAGAGAGCATAGATGTGCATATCTAGAAACAGGCGCTGATCGCTAACGGTCGATGTTCACTTCCTGGTAAACAAGGTCGCAAATTGCTCAGGGGCTCAACGTAGATATTCAACTGTCCCCAACTGCAACGCAAGCAATCCTGATGATACCTCCTGCGACATATCTGATGGTTTTATTCGTGAGTCTCTCGGTGGCTCAAGAGTGAATCTTACTCGGCGTGTGCGCATGAGACCATGATGCTCCGGTCCACCTCACGCCTTCTCCTGGAGGATCAACACCTGACTGGTATATAGAGCCAATGGGAATACAAGTGATCTATCCGACGAAGGCAGGTGCCATGGCGGCTCAAACATACTCTACTGTGTGTGGATCATTGAACGCTGCCCTGGAAGATACGAGTCTGATAGTATCACGACCAATCCATCAGGACCTTGAGGATCGAGAAACTTAATATCCATCTGAAAGTATACGGTCCAGGTTTTCTACCATAGCCACACAACCTGGATGACAAAAGTCCAGGCCACAGAAAAGCGAAGAAGAATCAATTATCTAACCCCTGCTTATCTGGTAAGCACGCGGCCATATGGTTGGCCTAGCGATGCTGTGGCTGGACTCGCCATAGCATCTAGGACGAATCAGGCCTCAGATCCTGACTAGGCGCCGGACTTACAAACAAACATGACTCAAGGCTATAAATACTAATAATAATAATAAGTATAATAAAAGTACCCCTTCCCTACTCCAACTGTTGGCGAAGCTAGCGCAGGTTTACCGAATCGGCGGGGCAAAATTGTATCTTGGCTTTTGCACTACAATATCCTGAAAAAGAGGTAAGCTTCTTTCTGTATATTCGTTTCCCCGTAGGACAAGGATTATTCACACGAGGGATGGGTTTGGCGGGAACCTAATAGTCTGGATAACTATTCCAGAAATCTCGTGACAGCCTGGTCAACTGGGTTATCAGCCTTGGTCACGAAATCAGGGCATCTCGAAGCATAGATGTGGCGCATTCTGCAGATGCTTGCAAGACATAGATCTATGGCTTGAGGTACCTACTGGCTGCCCCATAGGGTAATCGCGTAAACACTCTAGAATCTTAATTCTGGCGAATGTTAGGGGCCGGACTTCGGATGCGTTTCTGCATCTGACTGCATCTTGCATCGCCCCCATCAGACGGCGTGGAGTCTAACTTTGTCTTTCGGCAGGCCATAGGCATAAAGGTTGGCCCCGGAGCAAGGGGGAAGCCACGCATACCCTAGTGGGACAGCGGCGACTGGTGCAGGAACTATAAAGCGAGCAAACGAATGGGATAGGGACCCTGCTGCTGAAGGATTCGAAGGATCCATATTACATAACAAATGATTAACGTCGTCGGAACTATGTTGACTGGTCGGGGAAAAATGTTGCTCTCTTCACAGCAAATTATACCTTCCTAGCCATTCACATCACTTCCCTGGAGCAGGCATTTACTTGTTGCAGCGGAGGTGGTCCAGTTGACACTCGGAGATGGGTTGTTCTGAGCACCAAGCCGCCATACACGAGACAATGGCAAGCCCTATAATGGGAGAGGAGATGCCATTCAACTCCGTCAGTATAGCTGTCTGTATGGTAACTGATGTTTATATAAGGCCCTTCGGGGACCACACGGTTCCCTTCCTCGCTGATTGCATGCGGACAAAGGGAATATATAGAGCTCTCATAATAGTTATCAATAGGCGACCCATATTGTTAGTTTCTGGTAGACCTCCAGATGTCAATTGTGGGACCATCCGACCGTGACAGATTCATCTTTACGTCGACGTCTCCGTCCTTCGCATTACCATGACAAATTGCTCACAAGGTGCCTGGACCCCTCAGTCCTGGGCTATGAAGCCTGTTATGGCTCAGGCAGTGGAGTACGATGACCCGAAAGCTTTGGAACAAGTCATCAGGACGATATCCACCTTGCCCGCTCTTGTCAACCCGATGAAAATCGAGATTGCCCGTAACAACTTCGCCGCCGCAGCACGAGGCAAAGCGTTCATTATTCAAGGCGGTGACTGCGCAGAGAGCTTCGACGATGTCCGCCTGCATGTTATCCAACAGAAAATTAAGCTTCTACAGGAACAATCGCATCTACTTGCCCAGGGGCTGGGACTGCCCATTGTAACGGTAGGACGGATTGCTGGGCAATACGCGAAGCCCCGGTCCTCTCCATGGGATACGTTGGAAGACGGGTCGAAAACACATGCTTTCCGCGGACACAGTGTCAATGGGCCGAGTCTGAGCGAGAGACGCCCCGATCCATATCGTCTGCTACTGGGAGACTTCTATTCTCGGACGACGCTGGAGATGATCAAGGACATCCAAAGCACACCCACGGTTACGGGTCCCGGATGGCTTCCCACGCCGTCATCCTTACCGTTGACCCCAGAAGAGACAGATGTTGCACCACTAGAAACCCCAACTGGGACTATTTTCACATCGCATGAGGCAATCCACCTCCCCTATGAGAGCGCTATGACGCGCGATAGCTACAACACGTCGGCTAGTTTCATTTGGATCGGTGAACGCACGCGGCAGCTGGACGGGGCCCATGTTGAGTATATCCGCGGCCTACGTAACCCCGTCGGGGTAAAAATTGGACCTACTACGGACAGTTCAACACTGGTCGCGCTTCTGGATACCATCTGCCCGGAGCCGCATCTTCCTGAGAATCTTGGTCGAGTTACGATTATCACGCGGCTCGGCGTTGACCAGGTTGCCACGGTTCTCCCACCTCTCATCAGAGCTGTGCAGAAGGCCGGACACACCCCCGTCTGGATGTGCGACCCCTGCCACGGAAATACACAGATTACAGCGACCGGTCTGAAAACACGGCATGTAGGCCGTATGCTATTAGAGGCTACTCGGACCTACCAAATACACCGGGAGAATCAATCTCTGATGGGAGGGTTACATCTCGAACAAACCGGAGAATATGTGTCGGAGTGTATCGACGATATGAGTACGAACGCCGAGAATAGTTTAAGCTTGAACTATCGCAGTTTATGCGACCCTCGCTTATCCAACGCTCAGGCCTTGACTTTAGTTCGGCAGTTTGTGGATTTTGTGCGGCGTTGGGAAGACAAAAGGAACCTTGGGCTTTAGATCGTCAAGTGAGGGTTATTCTAGTTTTAGAGCGTAGAATTTTTTAGGGTTTCACTAGATTTATAATTGAATGGAACTTCACATGTTGGCTTTTTTTTTTTTTTTTTTGCTTGGAAATAATTATGCACTACGCCGTTAGACAATATTAGATGATGATCTTTTTAGCGACAAATGCCCAAGCTAGGTCTTTGCGACCACGTCTCCATACCAGTCACCTCTCTGGACCCATTTTCCAATTCCGCGAAAGCCACTCCACGCCGGCGCATGAACTAAAATATGACGCCCAAAGAGAGATCCAATAAAATCCAGGAATTATTATGGAGACAAACAAGGATGTCCATCCCGAACTTAGGTCTCAATATCCTCGCCAGCAAGATTGACGAGACTACCATGGGTGAAAGTGAAATCTCATTCATGACTGCCAACGAAGGCTATACAACGCTCCAAGAATGTCCGAATGAACCCCACGCTCTGCGCCGTCTGTTAAATTCCTCTGGGTTCCTTCTGAACCTCGGAAATGAGACAAGCTGATGTGTCGTTTCTCCTTTGATCTTCTCGTATTGTGTATGCTCATATAATTGAGTTTTTTGAAAGCTCCTCGTTACCAAATTCACGACAACATGGAAGAGATAGTGGTTCGACCAAAACTTACCTCGGATGAAGATGAGGCGATGCGCGCGTTCGAGGACGGGCGGGACCTTAACGAGCGAGATATAGATGATACGACAAACGTCCGCTTGTTAAAGATTATTGATAGGAACATGTTACCGGTGCGTCTATCCCATGCAAATTTCGATTTGTGGCTTGTTACTTAGGTTCCATCCTTCGTATTCCTAGTTACTATGTTTGATCTATGGCCTCAACTTCGTGGACAGTATGATTGGCCCATTCCTTTCCCCCCCCCCCCCTGCCTGTCTGGGTAGATACATCTATATGCTGATGCTTACTGTGGATAGAGACTACGCTGTCATATGCTAGCGTGATGGGTCTGCAGACAGACCTCAATCTCAAGGATAATGAGTACCAGTGGCTTGGGAGCATATTCTACTTCGGTAAGTCCGAGCCAAGGCGTCGGCTGGCTCCCTGACTTATCGCGATAGGCTACCTTATTGTCGAATACCCTAGTAGCTACCTGATGCAACGGTACCCATTGGCAAAATATTCATCATTCAATATTATCCTCTGGGGAGTGACGCTTACATGCTTCGCTGCCGTAAACAACTTTGCCGGCGCTGCCGCCGTCCGGTTTTTCCTCGGAGTCTTTGAAGCAGTAGTCACACCGGGGTTCACGTTCATAACCTCGCAGTGGTATACAAAGCATGAGCAGAGTGCTCGAATCGGCATCTGGTTCAGCTTTAACGGCGTCGCCAACGTCGTCGGGGGCCTAATTGCATACGGAATAACCCGCGGCGTGGAGCAACACGGAGCGTCCATAGTGCCATGGCGCATTCTATTCTTGTCCTTTGGTCTCTTCACCGTAGCCGTCGGCGTGGTATTCCTATACTACATCCCTGATAACCAGTGGAACAGTCGATTCCTCAGCCCAGAGGACCGGGTCCTAGCCGTACAACGCATCCGCGGGAACCAACAGGGAATCGGAAACAAACAGTTTAAATTGTACCAGTTGAAGGAAGCACTGACAGACCCTATAACGTGGGCGTTTGCCTTCTTCGGAATTGCCGTGAACATCCCCTTCGGGGGTATCACTACATTCTTCTCCCAGATTATCCGCAACTCCGGGTATACTTCGCAGCAGAGTTTGCTGTACGCCACGCCTGGCGGGGCTTTTCAGATCATTGTTGTAATACTGAACGGAATTTTCAGCGACCGCCTTCAACAGCGCATCTATGTCAGCTTCGTGGGCATGATCATTGGCCTTCTTGGTGCCATTCTCCTGGCCGCGTTGCCGTTGAGTAACAGCCCGGGCCGGCTCGCTGCTTACTATCTCACACAAGCCAGTCCGACTGCATTTATCGCGCTGCTGTCCTTCATTTCAACTAATGTAGCTGGTGCAACTAAGAAGACCACTGTAGCAGCGATTTATATGGTTGCCTATTGCGTGGGGAATATCATAGGTGAGGATTCCTTACATTAGACAAGAAGAAGGCCGTGCGTAAGAACACACTAACGTAGACACAGGACCTCAAACCTTCCAGCCAGGCGATGCCCCACGTTATGTTCCGGCGGAGATTGGCATCTGCTGCTGCTGGGGAGCATGCTTGCTTGATTTGCTGGTGATCAGATACATATATTGTAAACGGAACGCCGAAAAGCAAAGGGTACGGTTTGCACCAGGATACGAGAAACCGGAAAGGTCCGAGTTCAAAGACTTGACAGATCGTGAGAATCCGGAATTGATTTACGCAGTTTAGATGTTCTAGTACATTCGGCCTTGATTAGACGTTAGAGTTAAGACAAAGATTGAATGTGTTACGTGTTATGTGTTATGTTCGGCCGGCTTTGGATAGATGTCTTGGCCCGGAGGACAAGCGACTCCCGAGCCAAAAAAAACATTTTAAGTTATCGATCCACTATTCAGCCCTCGTGGCCGCTTACTACCGTTGAGCGAATCTGCGCCGACAGGGCATCGGAGGAGGTGGTTTGTGTGGGGTTCTGTGCCCTCGGAGATGCGTGGGCTCTACTATACCACGTGTACTGTTAACCAAAACAAGGCACGATCATGGTAGATGGACCCCTATGAGAAGTCTATCCTCTCTTGTGTAGTACCAATATGTGGTTCCGGAGAATCGATTGAGGACCTCCAATAGCTGCTTTGGCAAGCCCATCTTCGTTGAAATGCCTTGCGGTGGTGGGTGGCATACCATTATCTCCATTCTTTCGAGCGATCAGATCGAATTTACTCAGCTAGCACTGAAGATCACGCCACTAGATGTCCACCGATCAGGGTGTATGCCAAACTATTCCCTAAACGCTCAGGGTGCAAGTAATTCTTGGTCACTAGCTTTGTTTAACGGCCAGCCCTTCGGACAATTGTTCCCTAAACCCCAGGTCGGACGAAATTGGACATGACAGGACAACGCTGCGCCCCGAGCGTCTCTAGCCACAGTGTCAGAACAAAGCTAAGGAGAGGTTAATCAGCATGGTCTCTACCTTACTTTCAGGGCTCGGAAATCACCTGATCGGCGCGGAGTGGTTGTCCCTGTGCCCTGACCATCAACCTCATCCAAAAGCCGGAGGATATGGGTAACACATCGGACGTCCGTTTGAAACTTCACGGAGCAAGGAGTTTGATGGAAAATAGGAGCAAAATGGACTTCACGTACAACTTCAAGTTTGGATATAAGCCTACTCGATGTCTCGAGGTATGTAATTATCATCAACAGCAATAGCATCACAATCAGAATCAGAATCAAAACTAAGAGACTCCAAAAACAACAAGAATACAAACTATAACATTCACTACCTCTATCACCGTCCAAAGTAACATCAACCGACCCTTCCACAATGTCTTCCCCTATCTTTCCCGTCATCGACTTCTCCCGCATCGTCTCCCCCAACCTTGCGATTGCAACCGAAGAGAAGAACAAGCTCTTTGAATCCTTCCGGGATGTCGGCTTCATCTACCTAAAGGGCTTCAGCTTCCCTCCTGAGTTCATCGAGACGCTCTTCTCTCACCTCCACAAGTTCTTCGCCCTCCCAGAGGAACAGAAGCTCGCCATCGAGGGCGGCGAGAAGCAAGCTTTCCGCGGCTGGTTTGCTCCTGCCCGCACAGCCAAGAACCCCGAGAGGGCTGACCAGAAGGAGGCCTTCGGTCTAGGCAATGACAAGGACGAGACCCGTCCCAACCAGTGGCCAACCAACTGGCCCGAGTTCCGCCAGGATTTCACAACCTTCTACGAGGAGTGCTACAAGATGCACCTTGTGCTGCTGCGCGCACTGTCAGAGAAGGTTGGTCTGGACAGCGAAGCCCTCATCCCCTCCGTCAAGGCCAAGGACAGCTACAGCGCCCTGCTACACTACCCCGAGACCTCGGTGGAGAGCTTCCAAAAGCGTGTCCGATCCGCCCCACACACTGACTTCGGCACCCTGACCCTGCTCTTCAACGACAGCAACGGCGGTCTGCAAGTTAAGGACAAGGCAGGTGAATGGGTTGATGCGCCCCCTATGCGCGGCCATGCCATTGTCAATGTTGGTGATCTCCTCTCTCGCTGGTTCAACGGTCAATTAAAATCCACTGAGCACCGTGTCGTCCAGCCCCCGGCTGAGACTCGCCAAACTGCCAATGGTACCGCCGACGTTGTCCCTTCCAGATACGCTATTGCCTGGTTTGGCCACCCCAACCGCGATGCCGTGGTTGAGCCTCTCAAGCAATGTGTTACTCCTGAATTGGTGCAGCAGTTCAAGGCCGTGATTGCCGGAAAGCATGTCAGGGAGCGCATGGCTCGCCTGTTGGAGCAGGGCTATCTGCCTGAGAAGTGGACTGATGAGATGCACCGCCAGCCTATTGCTGCTTAAACTCTCTTTCATCGATGTTTTTTCTTGTATTGGGCAGCGGGCGGTTGCATAAATATACCCATGGCTTTTGGAGTTTTTGTTTCATTTTATTATGAGGATGAGTACGACGATATCTATGAATGTTATGCACTTCTAGAAATGAATTCAAAATATACTAAAACATACTATCCTCAATCCTTCAAGTAGACCTACTGTAGATTAGTATATTCCCGTAGCCCTAGCTCCAGTAAAGATTAACTACTTAACTAAATAAGCTATAGATCTAAGATTACATAAGAATATGGGATCACCAAACTCCTCCGAAGCATTGATTGCCTGCGGACTATTTTGGTCGAACAGTGAAATCTTAGATATCATTGGCTTGCCGTATGGTATGGAGACCCTGACTCACAGTAATAGGTCAAGCGATACTATATAGCTCCGAGTCCTATCTTGATGCATAGTAGGTATACTTATATGTTCAGTTTCAACGATTGAACTTCCTAACGATAAAGCCGGTAAGTAATGGGTTCATGTGAGACGGTCTATATCCAAGCGTCTCCAACTTTCAAGTTCTCCCCACTTATCGCCAATATTGAGCAAAAATCATGAAATAACAGACACTAGAGAACGGCTCCAGCCAACCCAACCGGGATTGAACTACGCAACAATCAAAGCTCCTTCGTATTGGACACCCTCGCTGATGAGGCTATTGCCTGCTATGAACTCGGAAGTATTCCCCAGGGTATAGTGCTAAGTGATATGCTTTGTCGAGTGCCGGCAATGCTTGATATGCCGGTAGACATTTACAAGTTTTCCAAGGCTCATATTCTAATACCAAGGCCATTTTGACTGCGGCATCTCCTCGACGATGCGCCCGACTGATGGATGTGGTGTTAGTGGGTAGCTATGGGTAGCTATATTAGCCCCTGGACAAGGATGGAAGGCTATTACCTTTGCACAAGAAAGTAAAGCGTACCTCGCGCCGGGGTGTCTTTCTATAGAGAATGAGAAATTGCCTAAGTACCATATGGAGAGGAGACTTCAGCATGACTCTACTATCTATTCTCCGCCTTCATCGCGGACAGCCCACAAATTCCATACTAAATCCTGTCTACTCCACGTCATCGACAGCCAATTCTCTGCAGCCTTCGCAGCAGCATTCACCTTTCCAACCCACAATCACTACAAAGAAGCCGTTGAACTACCCACCCATCGGATACAAAAGCCGACAAAGCCCCACTCCACCAGAGCAAGAAATCCCAGAGCAACTCACCATATATAGAACTCTCCGCTGCTATCTAGCTCTAAGTTGCAACCGCAACATCATAATATCAACCCTCTGCGGCTCATTCTGAGAACTCAACGTCCCATGCAACCTCGTCACCCCGTGGTTCCATCCCATACTAAAATAAATTGCCCTCGGCCCAAAGTACGCAACACCCCAGGCCGTTACGCAGAGATACCAGCTCGGATATGTGGCACCCGCCGACCACACCTTTCGGCCGTGTAGATCGGCGCCACTATAAGCGGTCTAGTACCGAAGATCATAGACCTAGTCAAGGGTAGCACGCCTCCCCTCAACCCATGGCTATTCGTGGACAGGTCGTCCGCAGAATTTTATGGACTTTGCAGGCTTGAATCTATACTTCCGTACCAGCTCTGGGGGAGGTATTATTCGGAGGGCGGACTTCTGGCAGTTGTTGTATCTGCCAGTTTCGGAAGGTTATGGGCTTTATTATGGAGGTTCTTCCTTTTGGTCCGTGGGAGCCGGTTGCCGGATGTAAGAGGGCAATTTTGTTCTGCGTGTTCGGGTGCATGGTCTGTGAGAGACATCAGCTTGTCCATGAAAACTGGACTTGGGAGCTGCGCGATGGTTCGAGGTTAAATGATCGTGTGTTTATTTCTGTTGGGCTTGGAGAATGCCAGGGAGATTTTGTCATATGTCCTAGGTCGACAGGCGATGATGCACATCTAACTACACCGCTCTCGCAACGTCAAGTGGCGTCTCGTGAGGCGTGCATAGCAGTGTTTGAGTGGGTGCAGGCTAGTGGTGAAGGCAAGCCTCCCTCGGAGTCGATTTATGATGATGAGTGGATAGCGGAGTGTATCTACGATGGTGGTTCAGAGTTGGGCATGGAAGATGTTGCTGGTAATAATGTCTACCTCCCCACGAAGTCCAGTTCAGGTGGAGAGTGGTGGTGAAAACCATACAGTGTGGTGGAGCGTCTGATCAGAAACTGGGGGACGCCATTTTCCTAGTTCTTGATATATTACATATCTTGGGCCATACTGAATCCTATTCAACGTCCCTTCCACGATATTCCTAAAATGCCTGCTCAAAGACATGAGCAGCTCTCATCATATACCGGTACTACCTCTTAGTACTATCACGGTTCAGGCTCCGCCACTGAATGGTCCTGCACGCCTCCGCTATTTGTCAACGCTTCCATCCACCCGAGCGCAAGAAAGTCAACATTACTACTACCTCGCCCGATTTCTTGGACCAAGAAGTATAGAACTATACCTTAGTATGTCCCTCCTTACTACTTACGTTAGTTATCACGTACTATATAGCCCATAGTGTATACGAGTAACCCACAGCCATCCCTTATAACCAGTTCCACTCAACCCAACACTTCACTTACCAAATCCTCGGCATAAGCGCCCAGAGAAAAAGAGAAGAAAAAGGGGGGAAATGGAGATAATACCCAGAACTGATGATAAATCTTCACTAATCGTCGTGCATCCCTCGGTAAACAAAACATCCATGATACCCCTGCAAGCCACCAAAAAGGGCTATCGCAAACGAAACTGAGCTTAGCCTCCAAAGACCATCAACAAACTCAACCTATCTAACCAAACATTCCAACTCGGAACCCGTCGGGCAAGAAAAGCCCCCTCAAATCCTGTATGGTCCCGCAACAAAAGCCACATCCTTGGCGTCGTATGTCTCTCTTTTTATACCTATTCCGTGACACCCTTTCACGAGATTCAAATTCGGCGACCCCGACACGACAATCGACAATCATGCATATGACCCCTTGCCCTAAAAGGTAACCTTCACCCCTCAGCCGTCAGGATTTACAGTATCCACGCCCCTGCGCCATGAGTCTCATCTCATCATTCCTTCTTCCTTCTAGAATATTGGTCTGAGTAAGACTAGGACACCGCAAGTCTAGCACCTCACAGTCCCAACCACTAGCTGAACTACTACTGCGTAGTAACCCAACTTAATAAAGAAATTTCGGAACTTCTCCGTGCGCAGAGAAATAGAGCCTCATGCTGCAGAAATACCCAGAGACTAGTCTCCACAAGTCTGCATTAGTGGCCTTTCTCAGACGGCGTGATCAGGGAATTTCCAAGGAAGGAGATGAGTCTAGAACCTAGAGTAGGGCTTGTCGCCATTTGTGTGTTGGAGGGGGGAGGAGATAGGAGGGTCATCTGTGCTTAGGGTAAGGTGGGCGGAGCTGACTTTGAATACTTGGTTTGAAGGGGGTCTCTTGGGTCTTAGGGCGATAATTCTTGGCGGCTTTCAGGTAGATGTGGATTTGGTGACGAGTATTCTTTGCATGAGGAAGATATTGGGGCATGTGCTGATTATGTTACACTGAATGATCTATCTTCAGCACTTTGGGAGTCCACCCAAAGAGATTATTGAAAGGCATTATCGACCCCGTTGGGTTGGTTCATATTTCCCATATTTCCCATATTTCCCTAGGTGAGATGGGTAAAATGTCTTGTGACTTGTGCAATTAGGCTGAACGCTTAGGCCTCAAGTCCTACGGTACAGACTTGGGGACCTGATATCGATTCTTTTTGCACATGTAGCTTGCCCCTTCGCGTTCTCAATAATCCTATATTTTGCTGTTGAAGATGTCAAACTGTAATAGTGCGTAACTTGCAAGTAGGCAGGTCACCCCAAATACCAAGACATTGAATCACCCTTTCATTATCTAGGGTTGTTGCCGTACTTTATACCTCTCATTTTGCTGCTTTACCATTGCCCTCAGTATATGAAACATCTCGGCAAAAATTATGTAACATATGAAGTGAACAAAGACTGTTACTTTGGTATATGAAACTATGTCTATTTTCGTTGAAGTATTTTTCCTATGTTCACCCTTGATTTTCAAAGATCTCTACCAGATAAATCCAGCTATGGCTTCATAAATCTTTACTACTATAGTGAGACGTTTCTCTCAACTTCGCTGTTCCTATTCCTTCGATATACATATCCCAGGGCATCAAAGCTACCATCCTAAGCCATCATGTCCAATGCCTCACGAAGCCACAAACGCAACCTTCCCCCCCCCTGATACCGCTGTATCTCAACCACCCTTTTCCTCAACAATCAAAACAAAGCAACTATGACTCCAAAAGCCGTCGCAATAAACCAAAGAAATTCCTCACCCCTTTATCCCCGCAACATTTAAAATACACCAGGCTCTCCCCAACAGGGCATTCACATCCCATCCAATCCCACACATTCCATATACCAAACCACACCAAACCAAACCAAATCCTAAATTATCCTTCACCATGAAACCCCCAAGATTAACCCTCACGCTAAAAGGCCTTTACCAGAACCCGCTTCCGAAAGCCTGTCCAAGAAACCCAAAGATCAAAGCATTGAATCCCAGCCCCGGAGTCCCTCGCCACGTACAGACTTATTTATACCCGCTATATATGATAAAAACATAAGACGATTCGCACGGCACAGCGGTCCTGATCTTACTGATATTCGGGGTGTAGGTATTCTCATTCTCATTTCTATTCTAAGCTTGGAATCTGAACCTGAACCTTGGGCTAATGATAGTGGGTAGTATCCTCCGCCGGTTGATATGGTGAACGGGAAGAGTGTGTCTGTGACTGGGACGGTTAGGTCGAGGGATTGAGCCGGGGGAGTTATGAGATTTATTGTGGTGTTGGACGGTGGTGGGTGAGGTTGGAGGTGGAGATTAGGGAGTATCTTCTGTGATAGAGGGATTGGTTGTTCTGCTCTTGGTGGAGGTGAGAGTATTTCTGTTATCTGGGGTGAGTGTTGAGTTTGGGATGGGGTTTCGTTTTGTGGGTATTATTCTGCCTTTTGTTGTTAGGGGTTTGGGGAGATCTAGTGACATATACCATGTTGGTTAATCATGTTTATCTTATATTTTTCTGGGTGACATGCTTCGATCTTGGGTAGTGTACGTAGTACTTCAATAGTTGCGGATAGTGTGGCAATGTTCATGTCAATTTGGCTCAGCAATAGATCCTGCGCTACCACAGCCCTAGAGACTGTGTGCGATGCTTTGGAGTGATTCGAGGGCTGTTTTCAGCGCTTCCTCGTTACTCAATGAGTGATAGAGAATATCTTTTTTTCGCTAGTCAGCCATATTCAGTTACTCATGTCGAAGATAGAACATTACCCGTAAGATTATCCATGAGCCCAGGGGCATTCTGCGATTTTATCAAGAATGACAGGATCCTTAATATAACTAGGTAAATATCCTTGAACACCGCTATAACCGGGCAAAATGCGTCTACCTTCCAGTTGAAAGTGTAGCTTGCTTCAGTTTGCTGTTTGTACGAGAGCTGTATCATGGACTTTGCTGTTATGCTCATTGTTAATTCCTATATGTGAAAGGATGGTTGAGGAGACTTACTTAAAGGATCATACTGCGGCCAATGGAGCCGAGTATTCAACCCATTATAGGGATCCTTCGCAAAAGTTGTCCATGCATCCCGCATATATGCCGCGGCTTTGGCTTCAAACTCGCTATCTTCAACTCCAGTTACGAAAGACGCGGTTCCAAACAAGACGAAAACATCGGAAGCATGCCAGCACGAGCCCGCGGGACCAAGTTTGGTATTATTGTAGTCGCCTCCATAGTTTCGATAGCGCCAGACAGGAAGCTGGTACTTTCTTCTAAATCCAATAGATTCCGCGGTTGGGCATGTGAACGCTATCAGGGTTATAAGGTCGTCGAGAGGCCGGATCAAACCGACCGGTAGAGCAGCTACTTGGTCCTCTGTAAGATTCATGTACATCAGCGGGATGACGAAGAAGAGGCCCATTTCCCACTCTGCGCTCCCCGCCAAAAAGGGGACTCGGGCAAAGCGTCCTGCATTCCCATCTGTTTCGTAGTTCTTCGGAACAAGGTTTCCATCTGGAACGGGCCAAAAGGGGACTATAGGACTTTGTATTCCCAGCGGCTTAATGGCATTAAGGAGAGCATCTTGACTCTTACTCCGCATGCATGACACCGTTGCTTCACCGGCCTCTCGGCCACCGCAGCCGAGATCCGCAGATACCTGATACCAGGTCTTCTGGGGATATTTGCCCTGCATGGCCGCTGAGAAATAGGAGCTCGCAACCCCCGACATTGCGATAAAAGCGTGCGCTATAGGATCTCTGGGGTAGCTGAATGCTAGCATGTCAGCTGATATCCCCCCGACTGACTGGCCGATGACTGTGATCCGAGAAGGGTCACCTCCGAAGCCTGCGATATTGGCTTTTGTCCACTCCAGTGCTAAGCGTTGGTCCATTAGTCCCACGTTCCATGGCTGGCCGGGTGCCCCAGAAAATCCGAAGATACTGAGGCGGTAGTTGAATGAAACGACCACAACGTCGTTTTCATCCGCAAGGACCGAGCCATCAGTAGCAGTGATAGAGCCGCTTCCAAGCCAGAACGCTGCATCATGAGCGACTATTGAGGGGCATTGAGACGGAAGTCACATACCCCCACCATGAATATAGAATATAACTGCCTTCTTCCGTTCGCCTTGCTGGGGCTTCGTCCAAATGTTGAGGGCCAGGCAATCCTCATCGAGAAAGTGGTTTTCTTGAGATAGTGACTTTGCGATTTTCTCGCCAACGGGGCCGAGCATATGCGCTTTGTTCGCAGGTACGCGATTGCAAGGACAATCGCTAGGCTTTGTCAGCTATCATATCTAGGTTTACTTGATTCGCGGTACTTGCGGGCTCTGTAGAATCTTGTCAGTTCGATTGGCAGGAAATAATCAGGCACGCGAGAGCACCGTACAAAAGAAGTTGTATTGGATACGCCTGGTGACCTATGCACAGGCACAGGGGCAGCGAACCGCAAGGCACCCTTTGGAGCTTTTGCATACTTTATCCCTAGATACATAGAAACACTAGACCGTAAGGGTGATGGTTTTCCTCTGATGATGCCAGTAGTCGTGTTAACTGGCCCACCGATGTTGAAAGCAGCAACGGTTAGCCATGACAACTGAAGCCAACAAATACAAAACAAGATATTGAACGCCATGATAGTTCTGTATTTCAAAGAGACAGCTGAGGCTTGCCGGAGAGGTAATTAAGCTGTCATGATGTAGGATGGTACGTATTTGAGTCTTCTGTGCAAAGTTGTAGATTCAAAAGCCCCAAGAGAAGTCATCTAAGCGGACACGTGAGATGGCATATTGGAAGTCTAGAAAATACAACCAAATACAGATACCACATCAGTACATGACACACAATTGCATAGGAACCGTCAGAGGGAAGCTCCTCTTTTATAGCCGGATAATGGTACATTAGAGGCTCCTTCATAGTTCAATACCGTGTACAGATCTGACCCCACAGTTCCCGGCTCAAGGTACTATGTTCCTCAATGTTCTTGTCTGAATATACCATTCCCGTTCATTAACACAGAATTGCATTCGCTGGGTCACACTATCGGCTGTAGGTGGAGGACTCCATAGAAGCAGCTCTCCCACTGCGAACCTCCATAGGCAAATACGTCAACTAGCATTGAAACGCCATTACGTTATACAACTTACAGTTACAACCAGCGTATACGGGTTGGGTTGGAAGTCAGCATCATCCTCCGCTATCATCCCCGATCTTCCTTTTCTTACTGTTGCCACTGGCAGACTTGGTGAACATGCTATCCAGCTTCTGCTGTCCCTTTTCATGTTTGTCAACTTTTACCTTTTCCGACGCCAGCACCGGAGGAAGACCTTGGACCCGTTGTTTGGCATCCTCTAGCAGTTCGACCTCCCGATCACGCTGCTTTTTCACCGTAGGAACGGACCATGAGTTGGACGAGGCGGACTTGTACGCTAGCTTATACTTGGACCCAGTCATGTTTGTCTCATACGTGTTGGCGTCGATCTTCTTGACAAACTGTGCACAGTCAGCCGGGGACTCGAGACATGGCTCTATCTATGATTGGCCCTGGGCAAGGATAAAAGGTACCTGATGTGCTACAATTAGCCAGTGATACTCCGTCCCCACCGGAGCACCACTACCTTCCGGTGCCTTTCTCGTCCGTCTCTTATTGGTCTGATAATTGATGCGCCATAGATCAGGCTCCTCCTTGGTTTCTTTCCACAGGCCTTGATCATAATTCCAAGTATGAGACCCTCCCACCGCCATGCCGGAATAGACTTGTCCTTTGTAGGATTTGAGCACGTTGTATCCTCCAGCACCTAGGCTGTAGTCAGGTCTCACGGTGTTTTCCGATTCTTCCGGTATATCATCATCTTCATCCGTAAGCACGGGTGACTCGGCATGTTCATCGGGGCGAGGGTTTCGCGGACTACCAATCGAGGGTGCGTCTTGTGCCTCTGATCCTTCAATCCCGGTATATTCGTCCGCCACTGAGGCGTTCTTCTCGGAGAGTGGGGGAGAAGGCGGTTTCTTAGCCGTGGAAGCGCTCTTCTTTGCGCGTTTTTGAGGCATACTTAATTAATAATTGATCGGATGGTGTATGGGCAACCAGAGAGATAGGGATGGGTAGGTGTTTTGTGGAGAGTGGTACGAATACATACTCCCACAACTTAAACCTGAAATGAAGAGATGTGGTGGCATGACGTCATGTCACGCTAGGCTGACTCTGTTTTCTTTCTTTATATGTCACTAAAGAAGGAATTAAACTACTCTTTTCTTCTGACTCTGTATCGAGAGATTCTATTTTTAAAACAATATCCATTTTATCGATCTCCCTATGATCCATCCTGTGGCTGTACGCGTTAACACCCTTACACCATGATATCATGCCGTCGTGCAGTAAGGACTTGTCATTTGCAGGACACTATTTGGTGGAGTGTGTAGTCATGCATGCTCATTGCTAGGCGGCATATGAGCAATTTAGAGGAATAGTGCTCGTGGCACAAGGACGGACGTGTCTTCGAGATATTTCACCTATCCTCCCCTTATCCTCTTTGAGGCAGTTTCATATTCTCTCACACGGTCTCGCATATCAGAGCAAGTGGAGCGATCCGATGATCTTCCCTCCGACGTCATGGCCCGTGGATTGTGGGGAATTATTTTTCTTAAACTCAGTCGGAGTCATTGGTTCATGTTTTCGGGAGCCAACCACGATTTAAGTTGAAGGAAATCGGTGGTTCTTTACGGTAGGGTCTTACCGAGAATAGTCCAATCCTAAGAATGCGAAGGCCCTGGGAATGCCGAATCGGGAAATTTAGATGGAACTGCAGAAGACTCGCAAGCAAAACCCCACGCAGCCCTCCACTTCCTCCTACTTGTGACAGACGAACCATCATCGAGCTCCAACCACACTCCGTACGGTCCTCCATCAGTCAGAGCGATCGGCATTCATCACAACATTTTTTCGCACAGAGCGTATCGCGAATGTGGCCTCTCTGCCCTTGTGCACACGCACACCCACCACGCACATCGTCCGCCACCATGGCCGGGGGGGCATCCATACTGGGAGAAAACTCAAGGAAGCCTTGGCGAATAATCTGCAGGCTCTCTTTCTACCAGAAACTTAACTCTCTGCCTTTACCCGGCATCACAGGGGACATGATAAATACAGCCATAACCCCCGGGTTTGATCTCCCAAAAAATTCTGAGAGTCATGTTTGTTATTTTCAGAGCCCATTTAAACCATCCTACGCCGCGGATATCACTACTGTATTTGAAACCACTTGACACTCAATAGCGCAGCGACTAGTACCCATTCCCTCTAATCCTGGTCTCCTTTCATGCGACCCCTCCGCTCGTTATTCGCTTCCTCGGCCCAGTCTCTAGTTCTGCGGAACTAATATCCGTTTACGCCTCGTCGCCTGTGCCAATGAGCTCCCCTTTTTAAATCTCGCCGTCTCCCTCGTTGAAATTATAGAGTTCCGCTCGCTCTTCTACTTCTGCCTCGTGACCGATTGGTGTCACGGGTCTCTCTCTTCCCATCTCGTGACCAGCATAAACTACGAACATCCGATTTTCCTTCCCCAGAAAGGGTCTCTTTTCTCAAATTAATCCCCGTGCGTCATAAAATATGCGCGACATGCCGTCTAAGTTTATCGAAATCCTCAACCCGGAAGATTCCCACTTCCGTCTATCTGATGCCGACGTCCGTCTGGAAGATGTCCTTGCGGACCAAGAGGCCATTGCCAGCCGGCCACGCTCCTCTACACAATCCTCTAGAAAAGCGGGTCTCGATAAAGACCGGATATACCAGGAAGGTCCATCGTCGCCACAACAGCGGTGGAAGCGCTTGAGCACGATGCTGGTCCCTGCCAGACGGGGTTCCAGCTAGACCGAGGACTTTCCGCCACGTACGCGCTAGACACGACCCATTCTCCCGATTATACAGTATTCCTGGCGAAATTTTTATTATTTCCCTGCCAAGAAAACCTAAAAAATAGAAATCGATCCGTCCACGATATTGGTATGCGTATATGAGCAGACGATTGCAGCGGTTATGGCTCTGGTATATATAAGAGCGATTCTAGTTCAACATACATTTTTGATTGATCATTCCATTCTCAATCCGCAATGGCGGACCTCCGTTGTTTTCCATCCTTGATACCCCCTATGCACATTCAACACGGCAACTTTTGACTCTTCTTTGCTTTTTGACGCATATATTATGAGTGCGGCGGCCGAGTAGCCCAGTCGCTCGCTCCCAGCCATTCAAACTCTACTCGCCGCTTACGGACATACGCTTCGAATTCAAAGAGAGCGTTCATGAGGATAAGCGGGATAAACATGTCATTTTAGCATAATATCTGTATCAAAAAATATATCGAAAAAATTGAAACGTATATGTGAAAAAAATGTCGCTACACTTTACCCACTGGGAGCAATGATCAATAGGATTGGAGCGTGTGCGGTGGATGGATCCTTCTCCACGGTCAGAGATTTTCATGCAACTAATCCAAATAAAGTTCAATATCATGCCCGAAACCCTGAATGGCCAAAGCCACAGGGCGACATTTACAGTAGTTCCTAAGCAAGCCTCCCAATGGGCTCGCAGACGAACTGTTAGCTTACATATCTGAGTCGCCAGCTTCACACCAAGAATCCTGCAACTTCTCATAGGTTTGGCCTGGGGCAGGCTAACAGATCGATAACGGCGATAAGCGCCATTCGTCTCCTATGAGATATTGCGGGCGACCAAGTACCATTCTTTTATTGTGAAAATCAGCTGACAGGGGCATAACCATTCCATTATTGTCTTGCTAGCTTTCTCTACCCCACGTTTAGCAAGCATCTTAATTTCCAGCAACAATCTGGCCATTCTTCTGCCATTTTTCTTCCACGATCGTCCATTGACTTTGTAGTGGCCGCAACTCCCACAATATATAATGTCCTTGGGCACATAGCCAACATATCCCGCCCTATATCAGTAGCCTGTGGCTTTTGGCCATCAAGCACCTGTGAGTCGGGAAAATGAAGACATAATCTAAGAGATTGGATGCCTTCTGGGCTTTCAGTTCTGAGTTGCTTTCATTTTTCCCAAAGCGGTTAGTCCCAACTCTCTTCCCAGTCCGTCCTAGTGCCAATCGCATTCTTTCTGCCTTAGGCACTGACTATGGCTAGAGCTCCAGAAAATTTCCCCTCTTTCGCCGCGCATTGTCTCGACTACTTTTTTTTTCCCCCTTTGCTCACATCGGAGATAAGAACGACATTTGCTTGCAAGTGTCTGATTCTGTTAAGGTCTGTTCTCGCTCTCAGGTTTCTTTATTCACTTGCGTGTACGCGAGGTAGGATTTCTATCCTACTTGCAGGATTACTTTTGCGTCCTGGCTCAGGCGCGGACCTCGAGTCACTGTCATCCAAAGGATTGAATTGACACACGCGTAGCGATGCCGCCCTCTTTGTATTTTTTTTTTAACTGCACCTACCTACTGTTCCACGGCCAGCTAGTCCATTTGGCAAATGCGTATCGACATTGACACTAACTGATAATTGACAATTAGGAGTTGCGCAATTGACTTGACATCTTTTTTTCTCCTTTGTGACCCCTCAACCTCACACCTCCGATTCATCTTCCTTGTCACACGACAAAAAGCTACACACCTCCGCCATGTCTGACGAACAGAAGGCCACCAACATCGAGGCCGAGAAGGATGTGCAGAACGTCCTGGCCGAATTGAAGGGCGAAGCCGAAGCCCCAGCCAACGGCACCGAGAAGAAGGAGGAAGCCCCTGTCGAAGACGCAGAAGAGGCCCGCATCGTCGCCGCCGCCGCCAAGCTAGGCGAGAAATCCGAGAAGGCCGAGGAACAGACCCAGCGCGGGCGCCGCAACAACGCCAAGTTCGACCCCTCTAGCCAGAAGGAGACCGACGACCCCGTCGAGATCCGCAAGCAGGTTGAGTTCTACTTCTCCGACTCCAACCTCCCCATGGACAAGTTCCTGCTCTCCAAGGTCGGCGGCAGCCAGAACCGCGCCGTCCCCCTCGAGCTCCTGCACTCGTTCAAGCGCATGCGTCGCTTCCAGCCCTTCAGCGCTATCGTTGAGGCCCTGAAGACTTCCGAGGTCTTGGAACTCGTTGATAACGAGACTGCCGTGCGCCGGAAGACCCCTCTCCCCGAGAATGTCACCGAGACTCACGACCCTAGCGTTGTTAAGGTGTTCGAGGATAAGGCCATGGACCGCAGTGTTTACGCTAAGGGTTTCGGTGAGGAGGGTCCCACTACCCAGCTTGAGATTGAGGAGTTCTTTGCTCCTTACGGTCCTGTCAACGCTATCCGTCTCCGTCGTGCCCACGACAAGACCTTCAAGGGCAGCGTCTTCGTTGAGTTCGAGTCCGAGGAGAAGCAGAAGGCTTTCCTTGCCCTGGCGCCCAAGCCCCAGTGGAAGGGCCAGGATCTGATCATCAAGAGCAAGAAGGAGTACTGTGAAGAGAAGGTTCGGGACATCGAGGCGGGCCGCATCAAGCCCAGTAACGGCCGCAGCCGCGGTGGCTTCCGTGGCCGGGGCGGCCGGGGCCGTGGACGTCACAACGACAACCGTGACTGGAGGGAGCGTCGCGCAGACGACCAGAAGCGCGGCTTCAACGGTAACAAGGAGGAGCCCAAGGAGCGTCGTGAAATCCAGAAGGACGCCCGGTAAGCGGATACCCCTTCCCCCGTTCCCTTCGAATCTCCAAACACCAACAACCCCAAGAACGTGACTAATAAAATCAATTTTAGCGGCGTCCCCGTCGTACAGAGCACAGCCGACAGCGCCGGCCAGAAGCGCGCGCGCGACGACGAAGCCGCAAACGGCGACCACCCGGCCAAGAAAGTCGACGCAAAGGAGTAAATGATATCCAACGTGTTTTGTTTTCCATAGAAGAAATTTGTTTCACATTGATGGGATGGGATGTAAAGCATAAGTACAGTACTAACTATCATCGGCTTGCTTGGGTGTGGTCTCTTTTCTTTCCTATTTGCTGGCACCATGGAATTTTGGGACACAAAAAAAGAGGTTTCGACGTGGGACTGGGCGTTTCTTAAGTCTATCTATTGCTGTTTATAAAGACAACCAAAAGTTCCATTCTTCTTCACCTCCTCCGTATCCGCATCATAAAGAACATTTACATTTACCGTCCCTTCATCAACCACCCATCATCAACCCAAAGATAGAGAGAGAATCTACTCCTCAAACTCAAGATCATAAGCCAACGTATCCTCACACAACTCCTCTCTAATCTTCTGCACCCTGTATAAAGCATCAGCCCAAACTCCCTCCAAAAAAAAAAAAGAAAATAAAATTACATACTCCAAATGCGCCGGATGTTTAGCATAAACCGCCACATCCTCCGGCTTATCCAAAACAGCCACGAGCCCCATATCGAAACCCTTAGCGCGGGGCACGGAGATCGGTAACGGCTGATTGGACTTTATGGATCTGAGGCCGGGGATCTGGCCGACCATTGCTTGGGAGACTTTGGACCAGTTTGTGAGTTGGGTGGGGGTTACGCCTTGTTTGAGGCGGAAGAGGACTGCCATTTTATGTTAATTTGGGTTTAGGAGGGGATGGGGATTTGGGGTTAATGGACGGACCGATGTGGTAGACGGGCATTTTCGTGGTTTGTTTGGCTTGTTGTGATGTGTACTTGGGTTCGGTTGGGGGGAGGTCGGGGAATTCAATGGATGTCCGGGGTGGAGGAGGGGAATGGAATGGAATATGTGAGGGATGAAGTCGGGGACGTTCCGATGGTCGATCGGGTAGTCGGGTTTTAGGTGAGATCTTATCTGATTTGATCGGGGGCTGAATTTTTGGAACGGGGGTTTGGTTACTGATTAACTTACTTTTTCATATATATTACTGTACTTTCGAATATGCGGTCCTTGTGGTAAATTTCGTTATGCCAGTCGGTATCATGGCTTAAAATCTGAGCGGTATAGACTTTAACTATAGCTACTACTTCTTCTATTTCTTCTTCTTAGTCTTGTCCACCACATCAATCCATTGCGTCTTCAATCCCCGTCGGACCAAGGCTGTTTCCAATGCGCGCCGCTGATCACCCTGCACAAGCACTTCCATGACGCCCTTCGGGGCGCCGTTGGCCTGCGCCACGCTCGTGCTACTGGCACACTGCTTTTGCAGCTCCTCGGCCAGCAAGCTAGGAATGATGCCGAACACTTCCAGGTTGGAGACCTTGGTAACGGTCTTCGAGCCCGTGCGGCGCTCAAGGATCACTGTTACCTTTGGTGTCGCACCGGGTTTGGGCTTCACGTCCGAGAGAGTTTGTCCTGCTCGAAGGATGGCGTAGTGTGCAGTCATGAGACTATGGTCTTCCATGATGCGTTTCTGAAGTCCATCACGGGTTGTCTTGCCTCGTGCAGTGGTACTCCTATCCTCGGATGAAGAGGTGGTAAAGATAGTGTTGGCGAGGAAGGGGTTGAGAGAGATGATACGCCGGTTCTGAGGGTCGACGATCGGGGGGTTTTGAGATTGGAGGTACTGGTCTAGATGGTTGGATACATCGGAGTATTTGTAATAATTCTGAGGGTTGGTACTGGACAATGCTGGGAATATTGTCGGAGTCAGCTTCTGTGTGGGCCGATAGAGAGTCTGAACTGTAAGTGTTTGGCCAACGGTGGGATCGCCGCCTGTCGCTCCGGGCTTCTTGTTCGTAGAAACGCCGGCCTTCTTCGAATTCTCGACGGCATTCTTGGATGGGAGTCTATAAGGGACAAACTGCTCGACAAGGCGGTCATTGAAGTCCACGTCGAGAATAATAGTCTCTTGACCGCTCCGATCCTTGGACTTGACGAGCTGTTGCTTATCAAGATACTTGATAAACTTCTTGACGTTCTTCCAGCTGGTTTTCTTGATTTGATAGTATTGAGCCTGTTGTGCAGAAAAGATCGGAAGGTAGGGCGTAATCATATTCGAGATCAGGAAAGATGGCTGGATGGGAAGGGCCAATCCGTGGTTGTTCGCGGACGGATTGTCCTGTTTGAGCTTATACAGAGAATATATGAAGGCCTTTACGAAGGCGTCGTCGATTTCTATACATCATTAGTCACCTGCTACGGTGAATCGGGGTTCGGCAAATCCCTACCTTTCATCGACGGCTCCTTTTCCTCTATTGGAGCTGGTTCCTCGAGCGGTTCTTCTGGAGTTTCGGTTGACTCTTCATTCACCGCTGCATGAGAGTTTTCCTCCTCGCCCAGAGCCAGCTCGTTTACGCCCTCTGCAGCCTCTTCTATTTCCTCATCACCCTCATCCTCTTCCTCATCCCAGCCGGGCAGATATTCCGGCGCGGGTTGACCAGGACGCGAGGACGAGCTCCAAGCCCACAACTCATCGCCCTCCCAGTGCAGACCCCGAACCGCATGTCCCTTAGTGCCTTGCACCTCTCCTAATGCCGAAACATCGATCTCGCATATTCCAACGAAAAGCGGTACAGTATGTCGATCCAAGCTGGCGACAGCCACCACGGCCCCTTCGACCGCGCGCTTAGGGAAAGGTGGTTCATTCGCGAGACCCGGCGTCATCAGGTCGGCTCCCCCGTGTAGTTTGCGCATGACCATCTCTGGAGTGTAGAGTAAGGGCACCAGGTTGGGGTTGTTCCACAACGTGTAGACTGTCGGATAGAGGCGTCCGTCCGCACCAGGGCCATGGTCGAGTCTGAACCATAAGACCCGTTCCTCCCCTCCGGGGTGCGTCCCGACGTATACTGTCCCTTGAACTTCTCGGAGCTGAGGACCCGCAGTCGTTGTGAAGCGTGCCGACAAGGAGTTTTCGGGGAGGAGGGCATTTCGAATCGAGGTGAGGTTGGGCGCGGGGTTCGACGAAGTTGAGTCTTCGCCAGCGGGCGCGCTGGATGGAATCTCGACTTGGTAGTCGCTGATGATTTGATCCGCGATCTTTCGGCGGTCCGAGGACCGTAAGGGCGAGAGGTTTTTGATCTATTCCCTGTTTAGCCTCGATTATGTCGTTGTATCATTTACTGCTGGCGGACTTCGGCGAAACAGTGCGGGGAGGGGTTATTCACCGTTGGCTTCTTCTTGAACATGGTGGATGTTTATGAAAGGGAAATCGTTAAGAAATCAGATGTCTAGAGATGAATGTGGATCGACTTCATGTAATACCGGAGATGCGACCGTTGGCCGAGCGCTTGTGAGGGAGAAATCAACCTAGTGGTAAGAAAAGAGCGTGAAGGTCAAGCTTTCAAGCGCAAATGACGGAGATGGCCCCGCAATAACAATCGGCCGCTACCAATTTCATTATGAAATCGGCAAGGAAAACACCGACCATGATTCTCCAGCCTTAACCTCTATTCGATTCCCTTGTACTGTACTACCATTTACCCTGTTAGCTCCTACCCGACAGTTACGACACCCGAAGACTAAGGTAGAGTCCCGAAGGCCTCAGGAAGAGTTGGAAAGGCTAAGGAGAGCAGAAAGAACCCGACAATATATGGGTATGCTTCGTTTAGGATGGGATGTTCTGTGGAAAACTGCCCCACTTAGACATAGATAAGTGGTTGGTTGCTATTAACTACAGTATATTGACTATGATAATATCTGATTTACCCTATTATCCCTTTAAACTAGTCGCTTTACTAATATGTGTCATCTTTTTTTTACGGGAGAGTTGATCTGCTCTTTTGCTATCGCTTTCAGTGCCAGTTGAAGACCATGCACTGCTTTCAATGCATCACAAGTCTACCGTAGCTTTATAGTCCTATATGTAAGCCTAAAAATCCTAGAAGTTATCGCGATAATCTACATGCCATACGCAAATTATTATAGGGCATGTAAGTATATCAACAGTTATTTAGCTACTAGAACGAAAGCCATATTCTTACCTACAGTTCTTAGTGTTAAGTCTGAGTAATCGGCATGTTTTCGGAAGCCCGTATTATTTTACCTACCATATTAAAATATATATTTTCCAGCATTTTTTAGTAGTAAGGGCCTAATGTTGTGATATATGACATTTTAATAAACAAAAAGCATAATTATGTAAGAAAACCAAGCAGAACTAGGCCCTAGTACTTAGAATATCAGCCCTTGGTCTGAATCACCTCCTCTGCCCATCCTACCCATTATATTTTTTAAGACATCCTGGCGAGTTGAGCTCCGGGACTATTCTAACGCTTCCCATGGAATATCTTCCTTCTTCTCATCAGGCCCCTGGCAATTTTCAATATCAAGCTTTGCATCATAAGCGCCTTCTTTAAGAGGAAACCATATGTGTTCAATAGGGTTGAGATCCCTCGAATAGGGCGGCCATTCCATACATCTTATAGAATAGTCTCGCAACCAATTCCTGACATTTTTGGCTGTATAGATGCGCGCACTACCCTGCATGGATATAGGGCCAGGATCATAGAGAGTAGGCAATATCTCTTTCGAGGCATTGAGGTAGGAGTGTGCAGAGTGGCCAATATTCTGTGACTCAAAAATCGCGCCCCAAACGTAATAAATCACTGCGGTTTTCGCCCCAAATAGCTGCCCAGACCATTACGTGGATTCATTTTCCCTTATTAACAGGTTGGATAAAGACTTTCTTCCATGCCTCGCTATGGAAATTGAGCCGAAAAACCCATCGTTGACGCTGACCTGAGCCGAGCTCAACCGAGCATTCATCAGACCATATAACCTTAGCCCAATCAGCCTCAGTATAGCTTTTGCAGCGTGGAGCCCAATCAAGGCGCTTTTTATCTACCTTATCAGTCAATTTCGGGCATTTTTGAGCTTTCCATTTACCATGTCCAGACCCATGAATGATATCATAGAGTGTACGATGAGATAATGAGATAGGAAGCTTATTTTGAAGCTGCGCATAGGATTGAAGAGGACCCCGCTTAATAAAACGAATAATTAAGCGATTATCCCGCTCGGTATAGTACCTTAGGCAGCCCGGTTGTGGTTGTGATTGGTAGACATCCTGTAAAATAGCTCAATCGTTGGAAGAATAGATAGTTGAAATAGGCCTATTTAGAGCCTCTGCAGTTTTAGAGCCACTAGCTCCACCAAACCGAGCCCCCTGTATAAAAGCTCGCTCTGATGACTTCAGCTCCGCATTACGCCTAACATTAGGGCTTAAGGCGTCTAGGGTTCGACGTTCAGGCATAGTCCTAGGTGGTTGAAAACATGAGATTATTTGACGCGTTGTTCGCGCGGGCGCGGGAACTAGGTCTGATTATTTTAGATTTTCTGCCAGGTAGCTATTGTATCATGGTTAGTATCACATTATATTCGTAAAAGCTCCCCATTGGGACGCAAAATTTAGGCTAACCCTTTGCCTATCCGCGGAGAAACTGAGGTCAAATATGCGTTAGCTAGTGAGCTAGCAGATAGTAAAGTATATATGAAGGCCATCCGTCCCCTTCCTTACGGAAGCAAGCTTGTTCATTCCAAGAAAAGCTTTACGATCTCCGATTATAGGAAATAGAGAGTAAGTCTTTCATGTTTTCTATCATGAATATTTTCTCACAGCTAAGTAGTGGCTGAGGCTCTTAGCAATCATGGGAAGTCCAATTGCCGTGAAGATACTAAGGTATCCCCGAGAGGGGAGAGCGGGTTTATACAGCCCTCAACATTAAACCTCATTAACCCTTGTCCTGAGCCCAGCGAACTGGCAAATTTGTATGGCAGATTGCAGATAGGGGAGCAAAACTCTCGTCCTGTCCAGGAACCCGAACAAACCGTGGACCTTGCCAATGAGAGCTTTTGTGTAGACAAATACAATTATCCATCAGAAACCACCGACCCTCTCGCCCACTATAAGGTGCGATTTCGATCCAGGAACGAGCCTAAATGGAATACAGATACGACCCAACGTCTATCAGGGTCACACGCAAATGAAGCAACATGAACTATTTCACTCTTGCGTACAGCCTTAGTCTTGAGAAAGGCTTCACAAATTTCTAAGCCAGAGGCATACTCTTCAAAGCGTGAAAAATGGAGATTATTTACTAAACTGAAGAACCGGGACCAATTGAAATTAAAGTAATATATATATATATATATGGAACCTATCACTCAGTATGTTAATCTGGGGCTGTCCGTACAAATGCCACCAGCGGGCCCTTGGAACCCTGGACGGAAGAACGAAGTGAACAATATGCACTAACTTTCCAAGCCCGCCACATGAGTGATGGCGCGGCTGCAGTATTATAACAAACTGGTATTTCCACCACGGCGAAAAGAGCAATATCTTCAGCTGCCTACAGTCCCAGGAACAGGTGGCGCAAACAAAACCCCTACCGTGGGAGCCACAGGCCCTAAAGAACCAGGCTACCATAACCAGATGTATGGCAGCTTTAGATAGGCTGCAGCCACTTCTGCAGATGAGTGAGCATCATACATTCTATAATGCGCTACAATTGTATTATGAGTCATTACTTATTTCATACTGACATGCGTTTGTACGGCTTACAATGATTTATGCCTCACGGTCATGCATGGATAACCCAGAGATCCGTACATTGGATTACACCTCAAAATCATATATCACGGGCACTATTCATGCCTTATATCTCTATTGACTCATTCATGCACCCGCTATATGTCTGGCTTAGACTCACAAAGAATCTCCAGTCTATCGTGGCCATTTCCTACTCTATCGGTGGGTCGAGAATATTTACCAGGGGTTCTCAGAGTCAATACAGGGTTTGGTTTATAATCTGTACCAGTGCCTTCATCCAGACTTGATCTCGGACATCGCTGTTAACAGAGCATGTTTTCCGTAGTGGAATCATGAGCTTGTTCGTTGCGTTGCTGTACAAGCGAATACCAAGTGATGTTTCGGAATGACATGATATTCATTAAATATGAAGAAGAGTGAATTATCAAAAACGCTAACAGTTCTATCCGAAACATCACCAGTTGAAATCCACTCAACTCAGAGTCAAACATTTGCAAGACTTTGGTGAGACTATCTCAGAGCTCTAAACATGGATGTGGGTACGGCTTTTTGCACGTAGACTGTCATCTATTCATCATCATGTTTCACTTGTGCAGCTGATACTGAGAGCTTCCAGTGAATACGCGTGGAGCAAACTGTAACGGACCCCGTACTCTGAACTCGTGAGTTCATCTATGCAAGATAACGCGAGCACAGCCTAGGTGTGGATCACATAATTGCTAACGTCCCTATACTTGCCTCTCAAAGTCACACGAGAACTATCAAATCAGATGGAAAGAACTGAAAACCCACCTGGAGTGGCTCCTCGCTGAGCTGACCGACGACAGGCTACTGGAGCAGCTTCGTTTAATTGACGAATCAGCACGACGATGAAAGCGAACCGAATACGAAGAGTACTAGTATGGATCTTGGATCTGCCCCGTATTACCTGGCAGATTTGTGAACACGACTTAACAGCTTCCTTGTCCTCCCAGGCTCTTGCCCTATATAAAGGTCGCAAAAATGACCCTCTCAGTGACCCTCAAGCCGACTATCCTCACCAAAGCTGTGGAAAATGTTGATCTCCTCATTCCTTACTATCTTTGTATTGGCCATTGTATCAGAGCTTGCCTCTTCTGCAAACATTGGCAGTACCTCTGAACGGAGCCATGAGCTCCCCCTGCTGAAGCTTCCATACGGGACATGGCGAGCTCATCAATACAATGTCCAAGCAGATGTATGCCTTTCACCGGTCTTGCTACCCCTCGGGCACTAATAGTTCAGGTTTACGTATTCCGCAACATTCGCTACGCTGCTCCTCCACTTGGTAAATTACGCTGGTCCAAACCAGCACTTCCCGAATTCATTCCTGGCATCCAAGACGGTTCGTACGGCCATAATTGTATTTCTGCTCCAATTCCAGACCAGTTTTTTATGCCAGGCGTCAAAAATCTCACCAAGAATTCTGCTGAGGGTAAGATTTTGCAACCCGACTGGGTACTAGTCAACTCACATTCTTAGACTGTCTCTTTCTCGATGTTTACGTACCCGGGAAAGTGCTAAGGCAACGTCAGAGATTGACTCCAGTGGTTGTTTGGATCCATGGTGGAGCGTAAGTTGCTCGATCTACCTCTCCCTATTAAAACCCACTTAGACTTAGATTTTCTTATAGGTACGTTAGCGGCTCCAAAGACCAGGCAATAGGGGCGGGATACTACGATGGCACAGGTCTTATCCAGCAGGCAGATAACAATTTGATTGTTGTAACTATTAATTACCGCCTGGGGGCTTTCGGCTTCCTTGCCGGAGAGCCTCTGCGCACCCAAGGAGTCTTCAACGCTGGTCTGCATGATCAGCGAGCTGCCCTTGCTTGGGTACAAGCATACATCCATCTTCTTGGAGGAGATCCTGACAATGTCTCTGCCTGGGGTCAGTCTGCTGGTGGTGGGTCTCTGATGTATCATTTGATTGCAGACGGTGGGAAGCTTGATCCCTTATTCCGGAGGGCACTACTCCAGAGTCCTTCCTTTTCAGTCAACGCAAACCCTCAAGTAAATTACAGGCGATTCAGAGACTTTGCAGAGGCTGCACAATGTCCAACTGAAGGAGAAGATGCTCTCCGCTGCTTGCGCTTAGCAAATAGCACTATTTTAACCAGAGCAAACGAGGAGGTTTATCTCGGTGAGTCGGCGCCCGTGCCAGATGGCAAATATATCCGGAATCCTGCTCTGTTCGAGTACGCCAGAGGTAAGTGTTGAATGTCTTGAACCCCTTCAACGTGAATAAAAACAGCCAAGCTACGACGAGCTACAGAAAGGAACTAACCATAGCCTCAGGAAACACCTGGAAAGGTATCGAGTCAGTAATTGTTAGCCATGTTATAGACGAAGCAAGCCTCGGCCTCCCGGACCCTATCCCGGAGGGACAGGTAGAGGCCTTTATTTCTAATAACTTACCATCGAACGCTACCGAGCAAACTAAGACAATAGCCAACCTCTTCGAATCACTCTACGCCAACTCAACTGAGAAGGAAATGCTCTCCGCATTATATAATGATATCCTCTTCACTTGCAACCTACGGGCTGTTTTAAAAGCCTACCCCAGCCCTGCTTGGGCATTTCAGTTCAGTTTTCTAGACGGTGTTATAAATGGAAAGCATGCAAGCGATATGCCTGCGACATGGTATAACACGAAGCTTCAGGGGAGTATTGAACCACTATTTGGGCAGTTCCAGCGTTATATAACTAATCACGCACGGACTGGAAATCCAAATACGCCCCGCAGTAAGAAGCATAAGCTGGAATACTGGCCCGAGGTTACCGGGCTGGAAGAGGATGTGCCAGGAAATGTGTTCAATATGAGCAACTGGGGATTTGGCGTTATACGAGATGACCAGATGCCGAAAAGTGTCTGCGATGCTTGGACTGAGGCGCTTGTGGAGGCCGTTGAGTCGAACCGGTGAGTTGTCTTGAAGTGGACTTGGTCCTTCCACACTGTCAATTATTTTTCTCTTCTTTAGTGTACGACACTGTTGGACTATCATAATTGGCTTCCTAAGTACTGCCTGAGGTTCTTACTTTCTTACTATTCTCTCGCTTGAACGACTCTGCGGAGAATATCAAATTAAGCTAGGCTAGGGACTAGCTACTTCATCTCTCTTTAAAATACACAAACTCGTAGTGTAGAGAAAGGGCCTGTTTGTTCTAAACATGCCTCAGCCAATGCATCTCATGGTCAAGCAGTCCACTGCAGCAATTGCTGCGGCGTTTCTGCGAGATTATCGTACCGAGAAAGCGGCTGCGCTGGAGGCTCCTTTCACTGACGGCACGTAACTTGTAACCATATCCATCATAATGTTGAGTACTTCACCCCTAACCTCATTGGATGTAAATAAGTCTCTATCGCACAGAGCAGGCGTACGCTACTGTTGCAACAACATCAATTAATCAAGAAATCTACTCTGCAATAGTAAAGAATGCCACAGGTTGCTCCAACCAAGGGAGATGGCCAGCCTGTTTACTGAGAACCAACTCTGCCTTGCTGCCAAGTCTCTCCACTACCTTTTGAGCCGTTGGCTCTGAGCATATACCATCAGTCCTACTGTTGATAACCAGTTGTTTTAGCTTGAAACTTCGACAGCCATGACGGCGGAAAACTTTTCTTCGGAGCCACAGCAGCTTTGGTTTATTAAATAAACTGAGGATACCTATGAGCGCAGAATTTGCTGCAGAATCCCACCCCAGAGGACTTTTGCTCCACTCCCCCCAACTTGAAGCTTCTCATTAATGCGACAAGGGTTGGTCTTAGACAACACTCTTACACCCTAGTTCGGGTCGATATCGATCTTGTGAGAAAAGACAGTAAGGGCTAAAGTTAGGCGGCGCTGATTAGGAAAACGAACGGCCTGCTGGCTGACATGCAAAACCAAGAGACTCCAATTGGGGGGCGGGGGTTCAAGAGTCCCAAAGTGAACTTTGACAAGGATGGACTTCATGTTCAAGACATTAAGCATTTTAGGAGACGTAAGGAGCGGATTATCTGCTTGCTTTGACTCTATTTGATTATATGTCTTGAGTTCCTCTAGTATGGTGTCTATATACGACCAGATTTCATATGTCGTTTATCGGTTAGGCTGGTTTGGTTTCTCGTTCATAGTATAAAATCTCATACAAGAACAGCTCTACAGGATTACAAATCGAAGTAAGTCAAAAATGAAACAGTAATGCAATAAAATATGCTATAATATTTTCTAGTTACACAAAGCTGGATGCCGGATCCTCATCAAGGCAAAAGTGTAATTCCTGGGTGGAATGAACGAATATAAGTCTAAAAGAATGTCTATTCGGTCTCAAACCACGTCCCGTGGGTAGATCTAAGCAGAGATGTCACGGGCGTGAACCTTTTCGGTGACCAGCCAAGAGAGGGTCTGCTTGACAACGTTCAGGAGCTCTTCAGCGCTAAGGGAGCTGAAGTAAGAGGTCAGGTCGCCGCTAGCGCTAGGGCCAGAGCCGGAGCTAGAACCGGAGCTGGCAGTGGGAGTGGAAGCAGCGGCCGAAGTGGTGGCCTGGACGTGGGTCTGAGCGGGAGCCGAGCCAGTGACAGTGACACTGGCAACAGCAGTGGAAGTCTGGTAAGCAGTGGCAGTGCTAGTCTGGAGAGGAGCAGCCGTGGCGGAAGGAGCAGCTTTGGAGCTGCCGGAGGAGCCGCTAGAAGAGCTGCCGGAATAGAGGGCAGGGCCGGGGATGGTGTAGTCGGACAGAGTCTGGTAGATGTTGATCTCGATGCCAGGGTCGGTGTCCTTGTAGAGAGCAGTACCGAGGGTACCCTCAGGCTTATCGCTGCCACCGCCGGTGACCTTGAGGTTGAGACACTGGGGGTAGTTCTGGGCACCATCCTTGTTGCCAGCGGAGTGAAGGGCAATGATTTCGTGACGCAGGACATAGTTGCCGGCAGCAATGCTGCTGGGGATGGTCACGGTCCAGCTGTTGTTGCCGGAGATCAGGTCATCAGAGGCCCATTTGTTGTCACTGCCGCTGATGAGGCCCTTCTCGTCAATCTTGAAGAACTCAAGAGAGGTCTTGTCAACGGTAGAGCAGTCACCATTGCAGTTGGCGAGGTAGGTGATGACAGGACCCTTGTGGCTCTCGGGCCAGGCTGTCCACTGGATCTCGACCTGCTTGCCAGCAGCGATCTCAGCAGAGAGAGCCGCGTTCTTGGCGTTCTTGTGGCAGATAATGTCGGCGTCGGCATACCCGCTACCGTCGACGAATCCGTTGTCGAGGGCCTCGGTGGACCATCCGATGACCTTAGGGGGGTTGGGTTGGTAGTGATAAGAAATGTCATATCCACCGTAGTACTGTCCATCAACGACGGCACCAGAGACGTGACCGTGAGCGGCGACCAGGGCGGCCGAGCCGAGGACAACACCAGCAATCTTAGCGATAGACATTTTGATATGTGAAATTCTTGAACTGATCAACGCACAGCGTTTCTCGTGGTTTGAAAGGACCGAAGTGGGAAAGAGTGAAAAGAATGATCTTCAATCAATGAAGACAGTATAAGAGAAACAAGAGAAAGGCAGGTTCGGCACCCTGAAGAAAGGAGTGAATGTAAAGCTGAAGAGGAAAAGGATACTCTGCCCATGATCGCGAGATGTCTGCTTTTTATAATGCTATCCATCCTTGTCTTCATGATGGCGGGACTATGGGCTACCGCTCAGGCCCAACTGCTTCGAAATTAACAAAGGTTCATGGTCGATAGCTCTGCTACACATAGATTAAAGCCAGCATGCGGGTCCACTGCCGGCCTATTTTTCCGATAGGAGGGGATTCACTTCGATAGTGATAGTGCTGGAAAGAAGTCTGGGATTGATGAAAGACAAGCACCAGCCCGTAGGTCCAACGGAATTTTAGTGTCCAAGGGCAGGTCGCTCCGCCAGGAACGTAGCCTATTTCGGAACTAGTGCCACTCTATCCAGGTATAATAAGAGGAAGTATATACTCTGGAGTAGGGTTCGGGCGTTTACTCCCTAACGGTTGGCTCTGCCGGCTTGGCCATAAGTAGAGGTGTGGAGCCTTCTTCCACTTCCAGCTCCAGCTTTCCCTAAGCGCCTGGCCTCCGACAGACTAAGTTTCAACTTTGCATCTTCCACTCGCTCCCTGGGCCGCCAAGGATGAAGTTTCCCCTCCGTATGACGGGGTGTAATTTCCTGCTCTAGTTTCTATGTATGCCATGTGGGATCATGAACAAGGTGCTACCATCTAAGTAGAGAATCTATCTTAATTTAGACCTCTTGGGCAATTTCTAATCATCTCGGCATTTAGGCCTTCTGCTCCTGTGCCGTGCCCTTGAACCTTTGGGATTTTTGGGATTTGTCTCAAGTCTGACAGTCTACTAACCACGCCGTTTCAGAGTCATGCCTTCCTGATGGCCTGGTTTTGTTTCTGCGGTGTGGACTACGATAGGATAAGTATAACCGGGCAGATGGGGTCTACCTGAAAAATCCCATCCCCTATCCCTTTTTCTTCCATGATACCTTAGCCATGGCACCATCCTAGGGACCCTATTGCCACTAGATACGAAGTAAGCGCCCTGCTACCAAATTGAGAAATTTAGATATTAAATTGCAGGGGCCACTTCATTAATCCTTGGCAATAAATATGCATAGTTTCTTGGATAACTCAGCACGGACCACCGCCGAGTCAGGTACCACTAATTTTTTTTTAATTAGGGCTATCCAACCGCCACCGACGACTCCGGATGTAACATAACCTAAAAGGCTAAATCAAGTCTATACTGCATTGAAAACGGACATTTCCTTCGCTTCCATGTGCAAATCCTCGTATTATTGCTGGTTTGGCCTTTGTCCAGACTGCCGCTAATAATTACCCTGTGGCCTGGATGCTGTTAATATACGGAGTGGGACCGCCCTCCTGTAGGGTGAAACACTTACCGACTAGAGACGCTGATATGTCCGATTCTGGCGGCTTCGTCCAATTTCCCGCTCGTGGCGGGTACGTGTCTTGAGCAACTTGCTGAGTGCTCCGGAGTACTCAAGCTTTCTATTCTACAGTCAGTCGCAAACTTCTGGGTTATGAAGGACTCTGTTAAGTTGGTTGGCCCATGAACCTCAGCCGGAGTATTTTCGGACACACTTCGCTTTCACCTGGCATGAGAACTCGCGGGCTCTGTCAAAGCTCATTGCCAACTCCGCTCAGAGTCATCCCCCTTTCATCCTTACCGCGTCCCTCGGTCGATGTTCACTGATTGCTTCCTCCTCGAATAGAGTCCTTGAGATCGCGGTTCTCATTGCTTCACAGCTCCAAGTCAACATTCCTTCGATTACTTTTCTGAGAAAGAAACCGCTGTTGTTGCTCCTCCAACCTTAGTCCTTTCTTTTACTGCTTTCTGTCGAGATCTAGACTCATTCGGGTTTACCTCCAAATATCCTTACAGTGATTGGCTTAAGGGCTCGGTCGCACCATATCACAGACTCGAGATCGAGAATTCAGCACTCCCTTCTTAAATCCCAGATATGTTAGATATTGAACCCAACCATAACCACAAAATTCCGGCATCACACTCATAAAGATTAGCCATAGTAGCTTCTACCATTACAGAAAATCAAGATACAATCGCCAAGATGGAAGACGGTATAGAACAGCTAGAGAACATGTAACGGTTCCGCTAAGATAGGCTCCTTGTCTACAGGTGAAGTCTCGAGGGAGATGACTACTTATGGTAGCATGTATGAAACTAGAGGCATAGGTTTCTCTGTCTCCAGGGGGTATAGAGGATGATTGGTTGAAGTTCAGTCTCAAATAAGTTCTGTAACACGATGCATCGCCTGTTGTCGTGATATATTTTTGCAGCAATGCCAGCGGACAGTGCTTGCATCTGCCTCCGACCATATCAACCGATATAATGTCAGTGTGCAGGCATACTCTATCTTTAATTTCGATATGCATATTTTTATTTGTGCTATAATGATAATGATAGGCTCGGAGCTATATACTACAAAAGGCGATCTACTGCACTTGACCTTGACGATTGTTAAGTTTTTTTCTTGCTTTTATTTCATAGAACTTGATAGACTGGGAAATTCCATAAATGAATTTTACAGATAGTACTCCGTATGTGTGAAACGGGCGAACTCGTATAGCTGGGGTTTTGACGATCTTGAATGGTTTGTATATGTGGGCGGCGTGATTTATTTATCTTCGTGGTCAACCGCAACTAAGAATCGGTAATCCATACTGGGAGGCCAATGCACTCTGTATTGGCTTTTGTTCTCGTGCCCCTGAAAACTTAATAAATTTGCACTTCGGGAAGAGCGTATCTGATCGGAAGAAAAGTCTGTGAGAAAGATCAATGAACGGAATGTGGTCGAATTGGTCGCTGAACTTCCTCCCGACATGAAAAATGATCGATGTATGATCGGTGACTGATGACTTGGAGGCATCCGTTGCTTGTGGCTTGGCCGCACGGCGGTTTACATAAGCCAACCGTAGAGGACCAATAAAAATCTGGCAACCTAATTGACCTTTTGGGGTTGTGTGGCTTTTCGTCCCAAACAGGTCTAGCGGCTCTCAACCCGCCGTCTCACCGCGAAGTCAGACTCTGATTCACGATAACACCAGTCGTTTGGTCCTCCCTTCCCCCATCTTCTCCGTGACTTCACCTTGGATCTTTGCGCTGGATCTTCCTTACCCTCTCCTCCGCCAGTGCTGGATCTTCGAAGAATCGCTCTCCCGCTGCGATACCGGGGATATTCTGGCCCTCCGTCTGGCCCTCCGATCTCTACCGTCCCGGACACTCGCTGCTCCTGAGTCAGTTTGGTTTTCCACTCACTCTCTCCCCTTTACCAAGCGCCGCGCCTCCGTCTCCACTCTTTCGCCCCGTCTCACCGTCAACGCTTTCGACCGTAGGAATTCAACAACTCATCTTCCTATCTCAGTGACCCTGGATCGTTCAGCAATTCGCTTAGATGGACAAAGGCTGGTGGTAGTTTTGAGGTTGATCCGTGCGTGCGAGAGAGGTTACTTGGTGTTACTTGGTCGATCATTTTCGCTAGTTCTGCCCGACCTGTCCGGACGAACTTGGTGCCTCGAGGATCCGTCTTGTGAATTGCGGAAGCACGCCAAAAGGTTATCGGGGCTCTTGGTAGACCTCGAGATCTTAGTTCTTCTACTCACCGTGCCCGTCGGGAATCGAGGATGGGACCCGCGGAGACTGCGTTTTCACCCGCTTTTCCTGCCGTGGACCCAATCGTTGTGGATAACGACATGGAGAACCCTTATCAAGATTCCAACCTAGACTTCCTTGACTCTGCACATTTGCAGATGTCGTCTGAAAATGCTGGCCGGGATTTTGACGATCTCTTTGCCCATTCCACCTCGTCCCGCACCGTCACCGAATCGGGGTCTGTATGTTTGTCGCCTTCGGATTTGTCGCTTAAACGGCCATTTCCAGATCAGGATACGCTGCGACAACCGAATCTCGTGAAAGCGGGCTCCCCTGCGGAGTCTCCGGAAGCCTCGAGCCGCAGCTCCTCGTCGGAGTCACCGCGGGATCATATTCGAAACGCTTCAGTAGCCTCGTCTGCCTCAGCGATACCGAGCGAAACCCACATGATGCCATTCGGATACACGTCAGAGGATTGGCTGAGCCAAGAGCTGAGCTCGGTTAAAGAAGAGTCGTTGTTTGGATTTGACCCATCCGCGATAAACAGCAACATGGACGGCGCATTTCCAGACTTGGAATCAAGTAACAAGGCCATGGATGCAGCCTTCGATTTCGAAAGCGCCGCTAGTAGTCCTAGTCCTTTAAAGATTGAGTCTACTCCTCAGCCTCCAAGCCAGAAGAGCTTGCGCACGCAGTTTCGAAGTACATCATCAAAACGATCCGCCTCCCCGGTAAGTTCTAGAATTCTGACGCTATGACCCTGCTCTTTTCGCTAATGTTTCCCGGCAGTTTCACTCCATGGGATCCCCTTACCTCCGCCACAGTGCCAGAGAACCCTCTCCTTTTGCAACCTCAGGCCTGTCCAGTCAAGGGAAGTCCCCGATGAATCAGTGGGCTGGTCGATCACCTTCATCACTCCTAGAAGAGAGTTTCGGAGGCATCAATATGAACGCTAGTCCGCCGTTGAACTCCAGTCTTAATTTCGTGCCTAATAACTTCACCAACTTTGGTCTCAATTTCGCACCGTCCCCCCAACAACACAATATGAAAGCGGAAGCAACGCAGCGTCATGTCTTGACCGTTCATCCTACGTCTCTCAAGTCACGTGTGGAGACTCAGATCCCTATCAGGTTGACTCTATACCCGCTGCCCACAGGTGTGAAGAAGGTACGCTTGCCAAGTCATACCATTTCCAAGCCGAAATTCCTCGCACCAGCATCGGCCGATCGCTCCCTGGACACTGTAGAGTTGCACACAAACCTTGTGTGTACCAGTGCAATGCAGGATCAAGAAAAGCTGAAGAAGGCCTTTGCACGAGCAAGAGGGGAACCGCGCCACCGTTCCTCTAGCTCGAGTCCTCGGTCCGCCGATGACGCACAGGAAGAGGACAAGCCTTTGGACGGCGGGGAGGTGAAGATATGCTCCGGCTGCATACAGCGCGAACGGAAGCGGGCTTTCCGTAAAAAGCAGAGGAAACCGGAAGAAGATGAGCTCTTCCAGAAAGATGAAGAGAAACGGGTGATCGTCTTTAACACCAACGAGATTAAAGATTGGACTGAACCATCTAAAAATGCCGTGCCCAGTTATGGCGAAATGCCCACCCCAAGTGTCCCTGCCGGGGCAATGCAGGTAGAGCTACCCATGCGAATTGCGTGCTACTGCAGACATCAAAATGAAAAGCTTGGATTTCAGTAAGTAGAGTCATAAGACTTTGGCGGGATTCATACTAATTTTTTTCCCCTTAGGGTCATCTTTACGGTCAAAGACTATAAGGACAATGTCATTGCCCAGGCAATAACCAATTCGATTATGATCACAGATGACCACAAAACCCATGCACCCCCCGCACCCCCTGCCCCCGGCCCTTCTCCTTCGTTGCCTGATGGAACACAGTTGCCAGGTGTTGGGGTGTTCCCGTCCGGCCCAGTTGTCGACAGCGGCAAGTCGTCTACTTCATCGCAACAATCATCTGCCACGGATCTGCAAGGTCTCCAGCAACAGTTCAACTCGCAGTATCAGCTACCTTCAGGACCTTTTGCGATGTCTCAGAATCCCACAACATCATCCACATCTCGCAGTCTTTCACGTCAAACGTCACCGAACGACTTCCAAGGTCCAATGAGCAAGAGACGCAAACACAGCAATTCCGGAAGGCTTCCGTCGGAATTAACTATGACTAAATTAGAGAATGCACAGTCCTCCACTAGTGTTTCTAGTACATCAGCTCTGAATAACGATTCGCCATTCTCTGCACCGCGCGGGTTTGCATCGTCTGTTGAAAGGCCTTTCGTGACGGCATCGGCCATGTCCGGTCAATTTGCCAACGGTCCCCCGACCCCCAATAGCGGGGACAACAATCCCTTTTTCAATCCTACCTCGCAGCAACAGCAAAGTCTGGACAGCTTCATTCAACAGCAACTGATGTCTGCACCAAATTCGGCTCAACCGAGCCGCCCTGGAACCCCCGGGCCCTCTACACGAAGCAACTACCAAGAGCAAAATATCAGTCACCCATTGGGTCCCAATACATCAAGCACAATATGGCCACATCTCACAAATGCTGCAAACCGATTGCCTTCTGTCATTCACAAGCTAGTCCCCGCAGAAGGCTCCATTACGGGAGGAACGGAGGTTACGCTATTGGGAAGCGGGTTTTATCCTGGGATGGAAGTTGTCTTTGGAGACACCCTAGCTACGACCACTACGTTTTGGGGCGATAAATGCCTCAATTGCTTGACTCCACCTGCATTACAGCCTGGAATGGTAGCTGTTGTTTTCAAGCATGAGCATCCCACCTTTGGCCAGCTGCAGCCGCCTCAACCTCTGATGCCCAAGCAACAACAGTTCTTCCGTTATGTCGACGACCGGGAGCTCCAGATGTATCGCCTTGCTCTGGGAATACTCGGACAAAAGCTTGGCAGTCAGGCAGACGCCTTCCAAACCGCTCAGCAGATCATGGGCAGCGATCCTAAATCCATATTCGGCCTTCAGAAGGATTTCCAGGGCGGCTCGGGTGGCGGTCACCAGCGGCAAGTGCCCGGATTAGAGTCACAGGGTAAACTAAGCGACATGGACTCTAAGATGTTGACCTATCTCGAATTTGTCGATCTTGATGACAGCCCACGGCCACCCAAGTATAATTCACGATGTGCAACAGGCCAGACTCTACTTCACTTTGCGGCGTCCTTGGGACTAACACGCTTCGTTGCCGGTCTGCTCGCTAGAGGTGCTAATCCTGATGTGCAGGACAACACAGGAAATACGCCTATGCACTTCGCCGCCTTGAACGGTCATGCCCATATCGTCAACAGGCTCCGTCTTGCTGGAGCGAATGTCAATGCCCGTAGCATCCGCGGTTTCATTCCCGCTGATATTGCTTCCACCCTTCCCGCTCACCAGGCTGCTTTGGTACCGACGCAGCATCACCGCTCACGGAGCGTTGGATCCCTGGCATCCTCGCGACGCAGACAGAGTAGTTCCGCCTCTCTTCACTCGCTGTGGGAGTCTTCCTCGGGTACGTTCGATGAAGCCGTTGATGACTCGGATAATTTGGAGGAGGATGACAGTGACGACCTTGAGTTTACTGTGTCTCGACGGTCGAGTATGCACCAAGACGCGCCGGCACCACTCGCCAATGTTGAACAACCCCCACCAGCTGATGATGCGCGACCATTCTCTCCCCCAGCCGCTCTTGTTGCTTGGCGAAATCAATTGCAGGCCCAAATCAACCAGTTCCAACAGAGTGTGGCCAATGCATTCCCTAACCTTCCTGCATTGCCGCCTATGCCAGCTTTGCCTGACTACCAAGCGCATCCGATGATGCGTCGCATCACCAACCTTGTTCCGCACAGGCCCTCCACCGCCAGGTCAGCTAAGGAAGGCTGGTGGGATCTCCTGACCGGTAATTCTGCGCCAAATGCCACAGAGCTGCCTTCTTATGATGAGTTGTACCCGCAACAGGATGAGCACAATGAAGAGGCGGTAGCTCGCATGAAGAAGTCGAGCATGTTACAGGCCGCCACCGACGCGGCTTTGGACCAACATTTCGAAGCGCAAGCTAGCACGCAAGCCAGCACATCCCGAGCCATTAGTATCAACCCGGAACAAGACGATCTTAAGGATATCCGAATCGGCCGTAGCGTGATCTCACGCGAACAGCAAAAGCATCTCCGAGAGCAGCAAGCACAGAGAATGAAGGGTCTTGGTAGTGACCGTAATTTGTACTTTATTTGGGTAAGTAAGCGTCCGCTACTTCCGAGATTCCAATTACTGACTGCCCCTAGATTCCTCTTCTGGTTTTGGTTATTTGCGCATGGGCTCGAAACTATGTTCCAGGTATCTGGCAAGGAATCTCGAGCGGTGTTGAGTTTGTGAAGACCCGCTATGCGCAGCGCGCGCTGGATCTTGGAGTTTAGATTTCCTTTGTATCTTCTTAGTCCTTTTTTCTCCATCCCTTTCCCTTAATCTTTCCATTTGCAGTCTGTTGTTTGAGCTCGGGCGTTCTGTCCTCTAGGTTGATGACACTATCGGTTTGTTTTCGTGTTTTGCGACATAATGATGGGATACGGTTGAATCTTTCTCACTGGAGCGCATCGGTCATTTAAGGTCTTGTACAGAGCTGGTGAACTTTTCTTTTTAAAATGATTTGGGGTTATCTTTTATTGTGAGGGAAGTCGGCCAATTATGGTGAATGTCTTGTGCGTGCGTGTGTGTATATATAGTTCTCAATTAATTCAATAGGTACTTGAAGAGACCATTTATTCCGTTAGCTATTTACAGTAGTAGTAAGACTATGTAGGGCTAATAGAAAGTTGCCAAGAGAGGAGCCGCAACGTGGAGAAGAAGGCGGTCTCCAACTCCCCCCCCCCCCGTTCCCCTCAAAACAACGGCGAGCTCAGGACCATTCCGCATTTCTGGCTGCTTTCTTCCCGTGAGGAATTCTGTATTGCTCTAACGGCATGCTTCTTGGGAGCTAGCCGTCCCTCACAGCCCGAAACGCCCTCGGGAAACATGGATCCCTCATCGCAGGCGTGCTCAAGCAGTGTCACCGGTAGGCAAGACCGCGGAGGCTTGATGTTAGTTACTGATTAACGTGTGTACCTTCAGTGGAATATACTGATCCCTCGGGCTTGTTCCCCCTCGTCCAACCGGTTCTTGCAAAAAGACTACCCTTGAAGAACCTCCACTGGAAGTCGCCTACCCGCCCCGTTCGGTCCATCGAATCGCTCCGCATCGGCTTCGTCCCTGCCCAGAATGAGGCCAACGAGCGCGAATCCTCCGGTGATAGCGCGGTGCCGCATCGACGTCACCAAATTCCCGGCCTCCGCCAGACTCCCTACCTAAAGATCTTCCTCTTACGATGCGACGATAATGACACCTACAAGTCGACCACTAGGAAAGCATTGCGCGACTGGATCAAATCCCATGCTTCTATGTCGCAGTCTACCACGAGCCAGGAGAAACACGACGCCTTTGAATGGATAATACTTCATGTTGTGCAGGATGGAGATGGCACGGAAAAGACGGCGCCATCCTCCAAATGGGGTCGCACCACTACGGTATTGGAGAAGGTTAAGGCAGACTTCAATGGCACTTCGAAGTCGGCCGTGGACCGGGTGGCTCAGCTACGACTTCCGAAGCAAGGGACTACGCAGAAGAATCCGGATCTGGTTGACCAGTTGGAGGACTTGATCGAGAAGGTGAAAAATGGCATTCTGGCATCTTTCGACCTTCGTGTGGCTCAATACGAGGAGGATATCAAGGAGAAGGATTCCCAACGCAGGTTACCCGGATGGAACTTCTGCACATTTTTTATCCTGAAGGAGGGGCTTGCGAGAGGCTTCGAAAATGTGGGGTTGTTTGACGATGCGCTCCTTGGATACGATGAACTCTCAATCGGGCTGGATGCTGCAGTTGATGAGCAGCTTGAAGGCACGGGGGAGCAGCATGGTAGCGCCTTTCTGATGTACACTGAGGATTGGCAGAAGAAGGCCATGGCAGCTTTGGATACCCCGGCAGTGCCAAAGAACGAGGAGGACGAAGAGTCAAAACCCATTCCAAAACTTGATGCCGAGGATTTCCCCATTGACTCGAACAAAAAGGCCTACCGGGAGATGATCCTAGCGAGCAATATCTCTATCTTTGATTTCCGCACCTACATCTTCTCGCGACAAATAACCCTACTTCTCAGGGGCGCGAAGGCGCCCTCGTTGCTCAATAAGGAGTCCGAAATCGGTCAAACACCGGTAAATACAAACAAGAAGCCTGAAAATCTGATGTTACTGTCCGAGGTCTGCGAAAGGGCGACGGAGTTCATCAGCTTTGCTGCGCGTGATCTCAGATGCGACTTAGAATCAGGTCTCGCTGATGTAGACCATACCGCAAAATCGGAGGTGATCGACAATTTGGTGTCATCCTGGGCTTACGCTGCTGTGTCACAGATTCTTTCTCAGACGTCCACTCCGACGCTCACTCTCCCAGAATCCTCTTTGCATGCTATTAGTGCCTCCAGGGATACTGCTACAGAAAGTAGGCCAGATTTGCCCAAGCGCTCCAGTTCACTAGTGAGCGTACCCAAAACCCGGCCCGCTCGCTCCAACACGGATATTCTTCCTCCAGATGCGCTGTCTTCCGTCCATTCTCAGCTAGGTCACAATGGACCAAAACTCACGCTCGCTCCAGCTGTCAAGACTGGGTCCGAGCAGTTGGCTTCTGCGAGAGGAGAGTTGCTTCTCATGGCCCGACGGGTGTTGGAAGAAATTGCTGGACGCTGTGGGTGGAGGGAGAAGTGGGATGATCTCGGTCTCCTGTTCGATAGTGAAAGCGCTGGCAATAATGATATGACCGAAGTATCTTTAGACTCTGAGACACCGCAGCCTGCCGAAAAGCTTCAGGTAACCCATTGCCTCTCAGGAATCGCCCTGCCCAGCTTGAAGGCTGCTCTGCGCTCTAGGAAATCCTTCCGATCACACTTTGAAGAGCTTACAGATGACATGTATCGTCATCATATCACTGCCAATCGTACCTATTCCGCTCAGATGGCTCTTGCAGACATGGCCCTAGTACGGTACCGGCAGAGCGATTACGGCGCGGCGGCTTCCTATTTCCATCAAATCACACCCTTCTATGGTAGCAAACAATGGACTATCCTAGAGGGCGTGATGTTAGAGATGTATGCGCGATGCTTGAAGGAGCTGCAACGGAGCGAGGAGTATGCTCGGATGTCCCTTCGGCTCCTTTCGAAATTCGCCATCCATAAGCAGTCGAGCTTGTCAATCAGACAAAAGACCCTTGATGCATCATCAATCTTTACCGAGGAGGAACTAGTGTCTCAATATGTCGAGGAGCTGTTCCAGGTATCTAGCGCGCTACAGAAGGAGGTTTCGGCTCCTTTGACAGACTTTTTTGCAGACTTGCATGTCAACCCTGCTATTATTCATTACAAGGATAAAGATGGATTCCAATTACAGCTCTCTTTACGATTTCTCTTGGGGAAGCGAATTGAGGTTGACTCGATGAAAATCCGGCTTGTCGGATCCGGGGGTAGCCAGAGCAACGAGTATTGGCTGGAGTTGTCCTCCAAGACAACTATTAAGTCGTCGTCGACGAGGGTCCTAGTTGATTCTTCGGTAGGTACTAGTTTGTTTCATGCGCCCAAATTCAGTGATATAAGCTAACCTTTCTATCCAGATGACCCTACAAGGGAAATATTATGTTGACCGGGTTGAGGTGCGAGCCGGCAGCATTTTATTCACGTCTGGGACTGGGAAGCATTCAGCCCTCCCCTTAGGATTCAGAGAAGCGGTGGATGTCGAAGAAGACAGTCGGCCATATATCTACTGCTATCCGGCACCCGAGGGACTTCAGGCGAAGATCGTGTCGCCTCATCTGGTCAATCTTGAGGAAATGCGGACTCTGGAATTAGAACTTAGGACCGGATGGAACGATATCAAGACCGCTACTGTTCGGGTTAGGCCCGCCACCGCAGGACTTCGACTGAGAATTGCCGAGGCGGAAGCAGTGGAAGGGGACGTCAAGATCAACGCCAACAGCGAGACAGGGCATATTGAGGTCTGTCAAGTAGGACCGAACTCTTTCGTCCGGTTCCGAATTCCTTATACGGTGGAGGAGCATCATCCGATGCTTTCTGCACGAGCGGAGGTTAATTATGAGACGCCGCACGGACGATTCTCCTACTCCTCTCTGCATAGCATTGTCTCGGGCTTGCCCATCAGCGTCAATGTCCAGGACACCTTCAAGGACAAGATGCTATTCTCCCGATTTACAGTCAGCCCGGCCATGATGATCCCTCTCAGGATCCTCAAATGTAGTATACCGGATTCGGATATTTATCAAGTTCAATCTAATCTCAGCGACTCGGTTGCGCTCAACGTCTTCCCCAAGCAACCGGCATCGTTACTCTACAAGATCCAGCAGCGAGACGATGGCGTAATCTCCCCTGGTTCGAGGCGCTCACTTCGTCTCAGCGTTGATTTCACCTGTGTGGATGACGAATATCTGGACGCGATCGAGAAGACCTTCCAGGAAAGCATCGCGGCCAGCGAATATCAGCGATACACTTCGCTCCTAACATCGCACATAGTGGACGCGTTTCGCGCAGGGTTGTCGACCTCTGACATGGAGGTCATCGGGCTCGTCCGAGAGGTGGAAATGTTACCCTATGCCACTATCAAGTGGGAAGCACTTCTGAATGCATTGAGGGAGCCACTGGACGGATTGAAAGCTTGGCTCCAAGAGTGGCACCAGGTAAGTTCGCGACGCCTTGCATCTGGCAGCTCGTACTGACTCGCAAGCAGAATCACCCTATCATCCGTCTGCCGGATCAGCCCTCAATCCCCAGGAGACACATCATCATCCCCGTGGACATCCCCGAGATTCAAGTGGTACATACAGCCGAGCTGCGACTCTGCAACCTAGCCGACCAACCCCCACACGCCGCGGTCGGGCAGATGATCGCAGCAGAACTTAGCCTACGTCATACACGCAGGTGGTGTTCGCCCGAGAATCGCGAGAGCGCCGGCGGACCGCTGGAGTTCTCGTACGAAATTCACGCGAACCCCGAGCTCTGGCTGGTGGGCGGTCGGCGACGAGGCAATTTCACCGCAGACGAAGGCGAGACTAAAACCTTTGCGGTGATGCTTCTTCCGCAAAAGGCCGGCCGTCTCCTTCTCCCGGGACTCGAGATCAAAACGTTCGTGCCCGCGTCCGCGGCATCATCTACGAACGCCGCCACCGTCACAACCACCGCAGCAGCCGGAGCAGCACCCATCCTGCAACGACGACAGATTGCCTGCGAAATCGACTACCGCAACCACGGGGAAACCGTACTCGTCCTGCCGAATCTACGAAGTACAACTGTCAGTCTCAGTCTGTCGGGGGGGAATCACGGCGCCGCATGGTTAATCGAATCGGAGCGACGAATGCTGGCATAAAACACCCTCACTAAACGAGTACATTATGGTAAAGTAAATAGTAGACGAGACGCCACTACCTAATCATAGACGGTTCCAACCAATGAATAAATTAAACCAATAAAATAAAGCCAAAATCCAAACCAAACCAAAAGTAATGTCCCACGCAAATCCCGTCCTACCAACCATCAAATCACGCAAAGTGTGTACATACCATAGATACAAACAGCCCTTGAAACTTTCAAAATCCCCCACATACAACCTGAAAGCAAAAAAACCAAACCCAACATGGTTCCTCCATCCAGAGTTACAATCCCGAAAACGGTCTAGTGCGCCCCAGGACAAATCCTCTCCGCCCCACCGGATCCAACCTCAACAAAATTCGGGGCGCCCCAACAGAACTTTGCTTACTAGCCACGGATTGTTCGATTTGTTCGATGTGGCTTCTTTCTCTCTTTTCTGTCTTCATGGTTTATTTTATTTAATTGTTTTTTTTTTCCTGGGGAGGGAAGTTGGGTCATGTGACTTGCGTTTTGTTTGGTTATGAGTTCTAATTGTTTTCCTTAGGGTTGTAGATAGAGATATAGAGTGATGGATGTTTGACCTTTTTTTTTTTTATTTTTTTATTTTCTTTTTTATTCCTAGGCTGTACTTTTTACTTTTGTACTCATGTAAGATACAATATGTGAGGGTGTGAAATCACATGGAGAAAACATACCTGTCTTACTACTGCTACTATTACTACTAGTAGTAGTGGTAGACGTCTGTATGCGCTGGACGACCAGAAAAATGGACCGGGACCAATCAGGGACGCCCTATCTACAGCCGATCAAGGGTACTCGGTATCACGGACAGTCAAGTCATCCTGACAAGCTTATCAAATTAATTCTGCGGGATTATTGCTTGCACGGGCGGACCTTGGTTTGGATGTGCGGTCCACGAAGTATATCCTATACGGATGAGGTGAGTATGTGTGGATATCTGGTCAGAATGATATTGTCGTCAGCGGGACTTTGTGCGTCCAGGTATATATATCAGATGGGCTGTATGTACATAGTTCGATGATCGTGGAATGTCGGGATGATTGATATGATCGGGATCTCTATTGACTTTTCGGATTTCTTGATTTCAATGAAAAGGTGTCTTTGACTTCATCACATGGTTCAGGACAAGACTCGGTAGGGTTTCTTTCCTAAGTCAGGAAGGGTGGAAGAGGGTAGGTAATGAGATCCTCTCCCACTCTAAGATCCGAATCATCTCCGACCTATCAGCCAGAGAAGATATCACATTGCACATGATACCTCGGGAATCTCGTCCATAGTGGCTGTAAAAGGTTAATTGTTAGTGGACCGATTGATGATTGTTGAGAGGCCAAGAAGGAGGTGGATTCAGATGCCCATGCACCTTTACCGCCTTCCTCCCCAGCTTCCAATCGTCCCTGGCATTGGAAGGGGGGGGGGGGCGCGAATTACAAAAATACCCCTCGACCCGGTATTTTTCAGCCGAACGCCACATGGCCGGGACCAAGAACCCAGGTTATCGATAAGGATAAGAGAGACAATAGTTAGGATAAGCCAGTAGGGGATGAATGATTGCCCCAAACGCCTCTATTCAGCCCGGTTCAAAAGTGGACGAGACCATCCTCAGCTTTCAGCCAGCCTGAGCAAACAATGTCGAGGGGAACTCGCGTTCATATGCATGCAGCATCGCAGCTGAACCATGCATCTCATATGCCTGATCCTCGGCAGCGTGATTTTGGTGAGGGGAGAACAGCGGAGGAAGTAGATTAATGGCCTGTCGATCGAGTCGTCGTGCAGTAGTGTTAGGCGTCCTGAGGCGAATGGGATACGGGACACTGTCAGCGTATTGTCAATTACCGCCATGGGTCACCAAATTCCAGGAGTCCTGGCCAATCAAGATACCCCAACGGAACACAAATTGCAAAGTTCTCCATACAGCGTCGATCTCCCCAAAGAAAAGTGAGATGGAAGGAACCGCCATCCAGAACAACAATTGTTTGGTTTGGTTTGGTTCCTTTTCTGGCCTTTCCTGGTAAGTATCTTTTTCTTTTTCTCTTTTTTTTTTTTTTTGTGTCCCTCTTTTTTTTTTCCAATTAATTGTCAATTGGTCTTTGTTTTTTTTTTTTTTCCTTTTTTTTTTTCCTGGGCTCCTCCCTTTCCTCCCCTTTCCCACGCCTTTTCCCCGGCCCGATTGTCCTTCAGCCGATTCTTCATTGAGAACTTTTTCCTTCCTTCTTTCTTTTTTTTTTTTTCTTTTTCCCCTTCTCGCCTCTTCTTCAGCGCGTCCTCTTGTTCACTCTCCCTCCTTCGTTTCCGGCCAGGGCAATTCCGGAGTGGTGCTTAACATCACCCCACAACCCACTCCCCTTCCTATATCAGTTCCTAGGAAGCTCCTCATCCTTTTAGGTGCCTTTTGAGATCGTGTAACCTCCAAGCCTTCGGAGTCATCCACTGGTATGTCCACGGCACAAGCTCTTCCCTGCACACCAAACCCATCCATCTTCCTCTCCCCACCCTCATTGGCCGAGCTCGTGTTGCAACTTCACAACATATACTGATACAGATCCACCAGATATAGCAATCGCGGGAACCCCCTAGACGGTCAAGAGCATTCAAGATGTCTTCCACAGCCATCCCGAAGCGCGTTGCGCTGAACCGCAACCCAGGCACGGATTCCTCGGTCCCCAGCGTCTCGGCGTCGCCCTTTGACAGCCCGCGTCATTCCCCGTCCTCGACCTCACTGTCTTCGATGGCGTCCGATGTCGAGAACAAGACCAAGATGCTGGACACCTATGGAAACGAGTTCAAGATCCCCGACTACACGATCAAGCAGATCCGGGACGCCATCCCCGCCCACTGTTTTGAGCGGAGTCCGGCCATCAGCTTGTACTATGTGTTCCGCGACATCGCCATCTTGGCCTCCATCTTCTATGTCTTCCACAACTATGTCACTCCCGAGACCATCCCCTCCATGCCGCTGCGCGTTGCCCTGTGGACCATCTATACCGTCGTCCAGGGTATGGTCGGTACCGGCGTCTGGGTCTTGGCTCACGAGTGTGGTCACCAGGCTTTCTCCCCGTCCAAGGTGTTGAACGACACTGTGGGCTGGATCTGCCATTCCGCCTTGTTGGTGCCCTACTTCTCCTGGAAGATCTCCCACGGTAAGCACCACAAGGCCACTGGTAACCTCGCCCGTGATATGGTCTTCGTGCCCAAGACCCGCGAGGAGTACGCCTCCCGCGTCGGCAAGGCCATCCACGAGCTCAACGAATTGATGGAGGAGACTCCCATTGCGACGGCCACCAACCTCCTTCTCCAGCAGCTGTTCGGCTGGCCCATGTACCTCCTGACCAACGTCACCGGCCACAACAACCATGAACGCCAGCCCGAGGGCCGCGGAAAGGGAAAGCGCAATGGCTACTTCGGCGGTGTCAACCACTTCAACCCTAGCAGCCCTCTCTATGAGGCCAAGGATGCTAAGCTGATTGCCCTGAGTGACCTGGGACTCGCCATCACCGGATCCATCCTCTATTACGTCGGTTCCACCTATGGTTGGCTCAACCTCCTGGTGTGGTATGGGATTCCTTATCTCTGGGTGAACCACTGGCTGGGTAAGTTCCTTTCTCTCCATCGATATCTTAATATCTGCCCCCCCGAGACACTTACCGACGAGTACCAATAGTTGCCATCACTTACCTCCAGCACACCGACCCCACCCTTCCTCACTACAAGCCCGAGGTGTGGAACTTTGCTCGTGGAGCTGCTGCTACCATTGACCGTGATTTCGGCTTTGTCGGCCGTCACATCTTCCACGGCATCATCGAAACCCACGTTCTCCACCACTACGTCAGCACTATCCCCTTCTACAATGCCGACGAGGCTAGCGAGGCTATCCAGAAGGTCATGGGTAGCCACTACCGCACCGAGGCCCACACCGGCTGGACTGGATTCTTCAAGGCTCTCTGGACCAGCTCTCGCGTCTGCCACTGGGTAGAGCCCACCGAGGGATCCAAGGGCGAGAGCGAAGGTGTACTCTTCTACCGTAATACCAACGGCGTCGGAGTTCCTCCGGCCAAGCTTTCCAAATAGATGTTTGTTGATATAGAACGGCTATCTTTTTTCCATTTCCGTGTGGTGCTCTCGCAGGATCGAGTGGCCACGATCTGGACACTCATCGTCATGGCATAGAGCAGCTGCGAATTGATCGATTGAATCTGAACTGTTGAAGGCGTATCTGGGGATTAAGATCTTGGTGAAAGTATCATATATTTGTTTAATCACGATTAATCTGGGGCGTCTTTTTTTTTTCGTTGTGTTTTTGACTTAGACCATCTCTTGTTATCGTGCACGGCCAATTCTTTGTCACTTGTCAGCGCAGACAAGAGAAAAAGTTCACATTAATCTCTCGACACTGCCTCGATCTTGACCATCTCGTCCGAGTGGGATGGGTCAATTCCTGCCCTCTCGTCTCATATATAGATACCAACTGAATATATCTTCACTGGATCATAGTACATGCAACTCATCATAGAGTCGGCACAGGCACGAATAAATAAAGAAGCAAAGAACAATGAGAACAAAAACAGGTTTAAGATTTTCAGAAATTGCGGGGGGATTTTAGCTTCCGCGGCTCGCCGAAAAAGGCACTACCAAGCCACTTCCCACTGCCACTCCGCTCAGGCAGACATATACTATTTAAGATTTTCTCCCTGTTATGTATAATTGTACAGTTGTACTCCACTCCGTATGTACAGAGTATGTTATGTACTTCAAATTACGTCTCACGCACGAATAGAATACAATCCCGAGAAAGAACAGTGTACGTATATCCGTAATCAGAATCAGGGTATATGTGGAGAATATAGTAGAAACTAACTATGTATCTAACCTACTCTTGACAACTCCTCAATCCACCTTTCCAGATTGTGAACCTCACTTCGTCCTTGATCTGGTTCTGGTTCTGCGAGTCTATTGCTCCGGCTGTCCAGGGCGCAAAGACTAGTTTCATGGTGCGGCGGACGGGCCGCGAGAGGATTTGAGACGGGGGTTGTGGTTGTGGAGCACTAGTTTTCGATTCGTGGACGGGCTCAACATCTTTGGCTTCGGGGGATTCTGTTCGGGGAGGATCTGGATCTGGGGCGGCGGTTTCGGGGGAATCCGGTTCTGGGGGAGCGTCTGTGTCTGGTTGTGGGGTTGGTGTTGATGTTGATGTTGGCGGGACGGGGGTACTGTCCAGTAGAGGATCCGTGGCTGATGGCCGTTCTTTCTTTAGGGCTATTCGGCATGCTATCTGGGTTGACCAGACAAGGCCTAGGGCGGGTGTCTTCTGGGCTGGCCGTTGGAAAACAGGGAAGGACTGGGACTGCGGGGTGTCGCCCCATCCGGTGAAGAAGCGCTGCTGGTGCAGGAGGCTGAGGATCTCGCCGCGCACGGGATTTCCGACGATGTAGGAGCCGTCGAACTGCTGGTGCGGGTCCTCTTCAGTTGTGTAGGGCGAGGAGGGGAAGGGGGAGGGGGAAGACGGGAGCAGGGCGTTGTGCTGGGGTAGTTCGATGTTGCCGGACTCGGTGGGCCGAACTCTTGGTATGGGGGACGCGGTGCCCCCGTCGCGGGGTTGTTGCGACTGAGTCGATGGGGATCCGGTTCCTGGGATAGCACCTCTGGGGAATGTGGAAGGGTTCTCCATGGCGTCGAAGCGGTCGGAGACTTGGTTTGCGACTATGATTGCGATGTCTTCTTGCATGGCAAGGTTCCGGAGCATTTGGCCTAGTTTGGTGAGTTCGCCTGAGCGAGTTGATAGGCCTAGTATGTTGTGCGCGGTGTGCTCGGCTCTGTAGTTGGAGGTTATGGAGTCGATGACGACGAGGCCGATGTTGTGGCGTTGGATCGCGACGGGGAGTTGGTAGTTGAGGATATGCTCTTGGGACTCGAGGTCCATGGCGTTGATGGATAGGATGTTTTCCAGTGATGGGGCATCATCGCGCGGTAAAGTCGACAGGTACGGGTGGGAAGTCTTGAGTTGAGAAAGCCGCGGCGTCGACAAGGGCGCTTCTGTAGAGATATAGATGGCATTCTTGCCTAGGCCCCGAGGCGACGGAAGCTGGACGGCCAACAACAGCGTAAGAAGGAATTGCGTCTTACCGCTCCCGCTGTGATACCGGTTAGGGTCATTTTTGTTGTACATGTAGGTTCACGCACGTACCTCTCGCCGGTCACCTCCGTCACATAGCGAGTTGGGATCCCGCCGCCCAAGAGCTCATCTAATGCGATGTCGAGAGTGCTGATTGGACTCCATTGCGTCACGTCTAGCTTCGTCGTAGGCCCCAGGGTGATGGGCAGGTCGTCGTTGATACTGGAGCTCGGGTCGGCAGACGCCGGCTGCTCAATATTCTCGAACCCGATGTCATGGTGGAGCGCCTTGATGAGACTTGCGCATAGGCGACGAACATCGGCGGGAGGCACGTGGGCGCGTTTCGCGATCTCGAGGGTATCGAGGGTTATGAGGTCGACAGTGGTTATCTTGCTTCTCTCCAAGGGCGGGAGAATATGGGCATACGGTTTGGTGGGGAAGTCCGGGAGGACTGATAAAAGATCCATATGCGTGGAGGGCGAGTCGATATTGAGAGCTTCCGGCGCGTCATTCAAAGTGGAAGATGCGGATGTGCGGTTGCGCCGACTGGCCAATCAGGTGGGATCTCTCTACATACTACGGTACAGTAGGTAATATAAGAAATTCACAGCAACCAAGCCCAACACAGTCTTTCTCTTGGGTAATACTCATTTTGCATTCCTTAGAGCCTGGCAGAATACGAATTAAGGTGTCCAAATGAGAATATCTCATCTCTCACCAGGTAATCGATGTTCATATGCCTTGGTCATCCACTAACCCTAAGGACCCGACAGAACAGCTACATAACAGCTTAACCACTGATTAAGGAAATCGACAATAGTGATATCGGCGTAACTTCTCACTCTGGCTACTTGGGTTACATTCTTCGCAAACCTTACCTTCGATACTGGCATTCCACGCGCGGTCATATAACTATAGTAACACAAGCGAAAGTCTATCTGCCTTGGAGCATTCCTTTCATGGCACGTAATATTTAGGAGTGATCAGGCCAAAAGACTCGGACAGCACAGCATATACCCATTGGGCATCATAATATGAGCGAACCTCGTATCACAAAGCTTCAGAGCCTGACGCAGGCCAACGAAGTGAGCTCAAGCCACCAGCATGTCAAGAAATGCATTCCCTCATTAGTGCGGTAAGTCAGTTCCCAGTCTCTGGTAACTGTCAATTTTTGAAGTTGACATGCAATTAAGGTACGGTGAGCGGATCAGAAGAACCATTTTCCCGCAGGGTCGTCGTGCATATGCTCGGTTGGATGAAGAAAAGAACGATAGGCAATCCTCGTCCATACGCCAACGACACCGGCAGGTGCAAGATCGAACCCACCACCCATCGAAGTTAGTCAAGGACGAACGGCTGGAAGTAAATGATGAGCGTAAATCATTAATTGTGCCGGGTGAATCAGACACCGCGCCGATACACTGCGAAACTGAGACACAGCGACAAGGATATGCGAGACAAACACAGGACATCTATATATACAGTATACCAGGCGCTGAATTGAACAACGCCGACAAACAATGTTGGAGCCCGATATGTTGGCGTGGGAAAATTCAAAGGAGTAGAGCGGCATTCAAAAGGCTCACACCTCTGACGAGTGGAGAAGGAAGACACCTTTGGCATTGACCTCTCTTTAAAACTTAACGTTGAAACCTACACTCTATACCAATAAGCCGGTGAAGAAACGTTGAAGTAGGCATTATTATGATCATCATGGCGCACAAGCCGTTCAGGCACTGAAACTTCTGTAAATGCTAGGGGATTACTTGACAGCGGGATCAAAATCAGATACATTGTTTGGGAAACAGTATGGTATGGCAGTCTAATTCTCTGTTAAAATAAGATAAGGAAAAAGAGGATGCTTGCTAATCTCGGTCTGTTTCTCATTCCAGAAGATAGAAGTTGTAGAACACATCATCCCAGACATCCTTATCAGTAGGTATACTTGAAGTTTCTCAGTCGACAAGGTAGCTAATAACATGGCACTGTAGGAAAGCCAAACATATCATACGAGGGCCAAGGGGCTATACTTACCTCTCCCCTTCTTTGGTGTCCCAAATAGTATTCCGAGCCCCTTCGTTTACATGCTGTCTGCCGCATGCCATGCACTCGCTGTAGGAAAGTATAAGCTATTCCTGTATAGGCGAACGTAGTCACTGCAGGCTCACAGATATGCCTCTTTGAATGCCTTTAGTAGTCGATCCATCTCGGGCTGGGTATCTTGACCGAATAAACTGGCGGATTCGTCCCTGGCAACATATTCCCCCAGGAAGCCAGCTAGTGCTGTTTTGAGTTTCAGTCTTCCAACCTAGCAATTGTAAACTTGAGGAGCAGCCTACTTGATTTAGGCATCGAAGAGCGTCAATTTCGCCAAGCGTCACTCGGGTCATGCCGGGTATGGCTTGTTTTGCTCTCTCTTTCGAGGCGATAAATGCTGTTTCCCTGTATGGAATTCTAGGTTGAGTATTAGAAGGGGTAGACTAGGGCAAAGACAAGCACGTATATATGGGGAATAGAAAGGAACATATTGTAACCGAACTTTAATCACGGCCTCTTTGCCGTGGGAGTTGGTGCTAAGAAATACGGCACGCGCTTCAGACCTCACGTCCATCTGCTTAACTTCCCACTCAAGGTGTAAGTTTTCGCGTTCGTGTAGCTTTCGAACCATCTTCCAGCTTGACGGGCCGGGTTTGGTAGTGCTACTTCGCGTCCTAGCGATCTGTCGTCATCGAACCATATGATTCTTGAATGAGGTGGTCCGCCCATGACTGTTGGATAGCTAGAGGGGAAGAAGGCAGCAAGGGGAAAAGAAACAAAAGGCCTGTGTGGGCCACACGAAAATACAATGAAGCTCGTTGTCTAGACTGCGGGATAATTACCCTTAGTGGAGGAACGGTTGTAGTACGGAGATTCCTTGCAATGTACAGTAAAAGCCAAGACTATATTTTGATGCCTTACTTCGATACAAGCAAGGGTTCTTTCATTACCTCTATCACTTGGATTTGAGGCCAAACGTTCGGTTTTATGGCCAACTGGTATGCATTGTATTGCCCCTATCCATATCGTTCTTCGTATGTCCATGCTCTTTGCCTTATTCATCCTGTCCCGAATACCTATTTTATCTGCCTACTACTTCTGTAACTGTAATATAAAAGCCAAACCACGGACAACCAGGACAGTCACGTCAAGTCTACTTCCCAATCCCACAACCCATAAGAAAAGGAAAGGGACGGCTCTTGCTTGCACGTAGGTAAAGCTTATTGATTCAGTTCTCGGCACGACTCGCGTTAGTCGCAAGGATTGACAGTTGTCGAGCTCTTACCCTACCTTCTCAAGAGCATATCAACCGGGCCCATGGTGAACTTTCTGGGGTTGGCTGTTGGATCCGGTTTGAAGAACGTGTGGCTCATATGCCTTGGTGAAAGCATCTTTAGTTCTTACTACAACATACTTCCCTCGCTCTTTGGATGATGTGACTATATCTATCCACGTCAGCTTTCTCCGGGGTCTGTCACATTAAGATGTTCTGAATATCTCCACGTTCAACATAAATCAACCTAGCCGCGATAACTCCACGAGTCAGCTGGACATGCAGGACATCCTTTAACAAGGCGACATTTCATGACTCGGCATTGGGAAGGCGGCTAAAAAGGCGAATGCCCCGTTTTAATTCTAGTGGCGTGGCCCCCCACAGCCCAAGAAACCAATCAATTGCACCCACCATCCTCAGCCATCTATCTCAAGTACTATATTTGCTTATTCCTGCTGTATTGCAGCCCAAAATGGAATATACTGCGCAACACGGCTTACTGCGCAGAAAGGCGATGCCATAGGTACACCCGATTAAAAAAACCAATCATGATCACCAGACTGGATGAAGCTGAACTGAAGGCTTTTCCTCTTCTCACACTAATTTGCTTGAGGGGGTTAATCACCAAGCACAGTCCGTCATGAGTATCTCACGCTAAATAAGGCACGGCGAGTTTCCTGCTCGGGAAATCGAACCTGTCCTTTGAATAACTTGGTGGGATTGAAATCCACGGCTGGCTACAGCCATCCATTTGTGAACGAACGCGATAACCAAAATGCCGTGTATGTCTCCAGAATCACGTATCCGCGAGGAGCCATCATCAGAGGAAATGATAAGGGCTAGCTCCGAGGAGGGAGAGGAGGGGGGTGAGCAGGCGCACTTGCTATCAGCGGAACCCGCATTTGCATCCAGGTGAGTGTCTCCAAACACAGTGCAAGGACATGACGGTGACACTCTCGATGCTGCGTTGAACAATACACTAACAGGGAATATCAAGACCCGATCGCTATGCAAAGGCTGAGTACTTATCTAAGTACATCCCCGAACTCGACCCGAGAAATGCACGCGCACGGACAATGAGGGTCAAGATGGCCAAAAGAACGGCCATGCTCCGAGTGCAGATGACAATCGCCACCTTGATCGTGGCGATCAACGTCACCATCATGCTCTGGGCCGTCCTGACCTATCCACCCGACGATCGAGGCGTGGGCACGTTTTCCTTCGGCGACTGTTCCAGTGCTGCCGCCCTCAACAGCGCCTTGCACGTGGCTCTAAACATCGTGTCGTCCCTTTTTCTCGGTGCCGGAAACTACTGCATGCAGATCCTCGTAGCACCGTCGCGCGAGGAGATCGCACGCGCACACCGCAGAGGCACAGCACTGGAGATCGGGGTCCCCAGCGTGAGGAATCTGCGGCATATCGAGTGGATCCGGGTCACTGCCTGGGTTATCATTGGTCTCATCGCAACGTTATTGCACATCTTCTGGAACTCTTCTATTTTCACATCCTTGCCGATTGCGGTGATCCCACGTGCTGTAGTCACAAGCGACTTTCTCACAGCTGGATACGACTGGACAACCTCGGACTCGCTGTCTCACTTTTCGTGGTGGAGACCTGCGCAGCAATATGGAGAGGCATCACAGAACACGTCGATGGTGTATGCCATGCAACACACTGCCATCAATATGACTCGTCTAGATACCAGAGCCTGCGTGGAGCGCTACATCGATCCGATGACCTCCACCAGTTCCGTTATCATCGTCGCCCGCAACGTGAGTACGGCGCAAAATAATGGCTCCTCGCTGATAGATGGCTGGGTATCTGGTTGGGAAGCTTGGGAGTCTTCTAGCTCCTGGATCTGCAGGGCGCACCAGGATAGCGGGAGACAAAAGTTTTGCAATTGGGACTTTGCCAAATCCTTCGCGAGTAACTGGACGTTATCTTGGCCAATGGGGGTAGAGGTTGACCACTGCCTAATAGGGGACGAGGGTAGCAACCGGGATAGGTGTGGGTTGCATTACAGCACCCACATTCTGGCTATTGTGTGCGCCTGTACGTTTCTGGAGAGCCTCATGATCTTCTGGACTTCCACCTACCATTTCCGCAACATACAAACCAAGGAAGAGAAGAAGAGTAAGCGCACTATGGTTACCATGGGTGACGCGATCAACAGCTTTCTTGAACATCCACATTCTTATCTAGATGAACCAGTCGCCGATGAGGATACACCGGCGCCTCCTAAACCGGGAACCGTTGAGGTTAAAATGACGACTTGGCAAGCCAAGTCCCGTGTCTCGTGGTTCAAGGCCATTAGTCCATGGGTTTGGGCCCTTTCACTTACATTGTGAGTAATTTCAAACACCTTTGGTCGCTCTCAAACGTAATCGACGCTGACAAATGTATCGCTACTAGATTTGCCGCGGGACTAGGCGGCACCTCCTACTCTATTGGAAGCTCGATAGATTGGCTATCGTACCAAGGTGTCGACGTGAGTCCGTCGGCTATATGGAACAATGGTTTTCGAGTAAACCCGGCCACGCTCGCCCGCAATCTGGGCCCTCTAAGCAGCGGCATCGGCTCAACTCAGGCACTCCTAGGCAACATCATCGTAGCCAACAGTCCTCAAGTCATGGTCAGTTTCCTCTACCTTTTCTACAACAACATCCTCACGCGCCAGCTGGTCAGCGACGAGTGGGTGCGCTTTCTTCAAGAGGAAGGAAAAAAGGTGTTGAGAGTGTCTTCGCCCGAGGGCATGCAGCGGTCATCCTACTTCCTCTCCCTGCCGCTCAAATATTCGATCCCACTCATGGTAATGTCCATCCTCTTGCACTGGCTCATATCCCAGAGCCTCTTCCTCGTCCAATCGAGCGCTTTTGGCCCAGGCAAGGATGGAGGACGTCTTCCCATCTATGACTACTCCGCGAGAGGGTATTCTCCTCTCGGGTCTATTCTAGCCATCTCCCTTGGGTTCGCTCTAGTAGTAGCCTTACTGCTGAACTCCTGCTTTCGGCATTATAGAAACATACCTGCCGGTTTCCAGCTCATGGCGTTCAACAGCAGCGCCATAAAGGCAATGTGTCAACGGCCAGAGGGTGATTCTGATGCGAGGTTTTTCCCTATCAGGATCGGCGTTGTTGTTACCGATGCAAAAATAGAAGCGTATTCATCGGCACGTCCCTGTAAGGCCGTGGTGTTTTCGACTGATACCGAGCTTCAAGCGCCTGAAAATGGAGGACAATATCTACAGCCTGTCTTCATTCAAGGGGAAGGCGTGTGGCGTATATGCGTTTCTGGTACTAGAAAGTTAATAAGTCGTTTTTGCTCGGTTGTGACTCATACGTGGAGTCGCTCCATTTCGGCCATAAGTCGAAAGGTTCAAGAGTGAAGAAAAAGAGGTGCTAGGTATAGTGCAGAAATGAATTGCAAGTTCACTATATACTGAGGGATCAATAATTGTATGCTTCTATCCCAGTTTCAGTCAAGTATGCTAGTCTTTTTGATGGGATCCTGAAAAGTCTCTTTCGGTTAGTATAATAACCAACTGGATATTCGTCCCTATTGTAATGGTTAATGAATGTAGGTTATATCTCTATCTAATGAATTTCTTAGCATATAGTTATTAGGAACTTATTCCGTACGGGGCTACTACAGACCATAAGAGACTCAACTGTTTCTATCTCGTGTCTCAAAAATAATTATTAGACGTAGTTATATAGTCTGTTTTAAGGATATCAAGCCCTTTGGCTCATCGTAGTGACTTAGGTAAATCTATGTCAGGCCAAAAACGCTGGTTCACCAGGTAGAGAGATTATTTTTCACATTTCTTTGCATGTCGATTACATCCAATGTTTTTTGTTCTAGAAGCACTTTGTAGATTCCCGATGACCTCTGTATAGCCTTACTAATATATAGAATATTATCTTCCTACCCGGTCATTTGATCAAAAATATCAACCCGGATAATTTGTCAACAATTCAATTTCCCCTACTCCTGTTTACTTCACACACATGCATTAGGCACCCTTCAAGATGAATTATAAACTATCTAAGATGCCTTTGGCTTTGGAATAATGGATATATCCTTCCTCATGTGAGGGCAGTTATTCAGACCTTATATAAATAGTAATAGGCCTACCTTTATCCCTCCTATTGTACTCAACCTATCCTTCTAGGCACTACAAAGCCATATTATACAACCTTTGAGATAATCTTCTTTCCCAAAGCCACCGAATTAACAAGATAAGGACAACAGCTCAGTCAGGAAGATAACTGAACGCAAAAAAATTCTCACGAACAACTCATCTGAATCCAATACCGGAATCTACTCTGAGACCATGAGCCAAGGTACAGAGGATAACATATACCAGGGTATTTACATCCTGAACCGACTCCTATATGCCGTAGACACTAAACTACCATCAAATTAACCCAACAACTATCCATCTCAGGGACCTTGCGATAGTTCTTGAACCATGGTCAGAGCCATACGCAAACAATGCCCGGGCTTTCCATTAGCATTGAGGTCCAACAATTGATTTTTTCTGTTGGTTTGACAGTGCCACAGCTGACGACTTCGTCCAAAGTTCCATCGAGCAGAACTGCGAACACTATGCCAATATTTTGGCTGTTGGATTCGCGAAGGATTGTCTTACCCTGGTTGACAATTTTCGATGATAATATTCCCCGTGTTGGAGGGCCAGGTGCTTATAAGCATTGAAATCTTCAAGCTAGATGGAATAATCAAACGATTAGTTCTGCTGCTCTGTGTATCCTCTATACCCATCCTTTACTCGTTAACAGTGACTCCTCGATCTGCTAGGTCAAGTCGGGTACCTGACCTCCTTGCTTAAATCACTGTTTATCCATCTCCTAACTATAACCCTGATAAGACAGCTCAACCTGGAATTATTCCAGACACACCACTTCTAAATCCATCCTCCAAAAACAGCATAGGCGAAGATAATATATCTGTTGTCTCGACGAAGAAAAGATATATCTTAGTACCATATCTTGGTACTGCTGAATATAAACAGTACGACGGAAATGGTAATGCAGTCCCTTTGGTGGTTGTATTTACCCCAATTCACCTGTGATAATTTGTAGAAGTTTAGCCAAGATACCTACCGACCAAATATTAAAGAAACAGACTATATTTACGGCGAAACAAGATGACACATTATGGCTTCATGTCGCGCCTGGAAACATAAGAATCTTCAGAATATGCTAGTAAGTTGTTATATCTATTAGCATAGCTTACCCATCAAGAATACATTTGTAGAAAATATTGAGCTATGCCTAGCTCAACTCATGACCGTACCCCATCCCCTCTCAACCCTAGCCACCTCCCAGGTGGAAAGATATGAGCGCGGCTGGGTCATAAGAGGGATTGCGACTTTATCGCGGGCTGAGAAGAATCATGATTATTATGTGAAGAAAGAACAAGTATTTTTGAGAGACGAACGTTCAAAACTCATCAATGCACTGGTCTTTTCGAGCAAGCCTGGTCCTATCGATAAAGCTTTCTCAACATGATGGGCATGCCATGGCATCAGTACTCAGACCGGGAACTAATCTCCACTTTGGGGACTATAAACCTGGGTAGATATGGCTGATACTACTATCATTGCTACACTCGTCGGCTCGGGATTTACTATGGAAGTGTCAACACAACACCTCATGACAATGTGCAAGATTTCTATGAGAGATGTGGTATCCTGTGGCGAACATTAGAGCTTTAGTTCATACATGGTCTGGAATATACCATCGGAATCGATAGAGTCCATCCCAATAGTCTCCAGGAAAATCTCGATGAGTCACAGAACGGGGCCCACGACCACTAAGCTAGCAACGCGCTTCTAAAACAAATCGAGTTCCAACACGCAGCGCTAGTCAAAGATGGCTGACATATCAGACATGGAAGTTTCAACTTGTTCACTGGGTTTTGGAGGCTGGTTTAGTTAACGCCTTCAAGGCGGGGATCACATCTACTCTCTGATTTTCCTAACATACTCGGGAGGTTTGCGCACAGCTAAACCTTTTCCCTGTAAAGGCAAGAGAAAGAATTTGTCATGAGGAAAAAAAGATTTATATCAATTTCATTGGTCCAACCAAGCAAGTTTGGGTTCCTAACTTTGTCACACCTGTTGTTCTTTTGTCTCTCGGATTTTATAGCAGAGGGGCAGGCTGGGGTCTTAAGCATCACGAAGTATCTACCATAGGAGTCGCTTTGATCCACAACGTCAATTTCAGTTACTTTTCTATCGAGTCTCACGGTGGATTGAAACCTAGTTGCCACTCTACGGTATCTTGTACATATATGGGGAAGTTTTCTTCTTGGTGGTTTTCATACCGGCTGCATTTTCTTTTTGAAGCAATATAACGTTCTATATGTCGAACTTATACTAATATAGAAGCTGAATATAGGTAGTCTTTGGGATATGCTATGTTGTCATTAAAGCAGACTAAATTTATCTTGAGCAGGCATTTTCGACCATCAAAATATTCTAGCATACATTCAACAGCAATCTAAATTTAACACAATGATCCAGTCTATCCGACAAACCAAAACATACCTGCGCAATGACATATGCCACTCTACCCCCCCCCCCCCCCCGCCAAAGACACCTATATTCAACACAATCCCCTACACAATCCCACCCCCAATGCCCTAATTATGCACAATTCATCATAAAACCTACGCCGAACACAGACCCGGAACACCATTCTTCGCACCACGCTCCCGACCCGAAGAATGCCACCTACACAAACCACTTATTCAACTTCATTCCTCACATAAAACCCACATACTTCATGTCTCACTCATCGGAACAACCCGACAACCACGCAAACCCCCCAATTACCGATATAACAGGGATAACACCCCCCTTACATAGAGAATTCAATCTATACATAACATTATTCAAGGAAACTCCACAGCTTTGCTTTACTCACCCACGTTTATCACAATTCCTTGAAAAACAGTCACTACATTACTGTACACATAGGGTATTATCCCGCGAGACACCTAAATATATTCAAGGTATCCTAGTACATCCATATCCGGAAGAAGGCGGGTACGATATAGATTATTAATATTGCCTATCACTACTTAATATTTACAATTTACCGAGTATCGATCCTGAAATAGTATCCGGGGACCAAAACTGAAGTGGCGCATAGCTACATAAGCGAGATACCCTAGATAGATAAATGATAAATCACGATCTGCATTCCTACATTGCATATGGCCCGTAGGTGCTTGTATGTCTGTAATACAGAATACGTATACGTAGAAGTACAGATACAGTACACACCTTCAGGATTATGGTCGGGGTTTGCAATGACCATCGCTTAAGGGGTGCGGGATGGGATTTTGTGATGGATCATATCATAACGGTCGACTAGAACGGGTGCGGGATAGTGGGCTTCCGCCAAGGTTTTGAACTATCGCGTGTCATGTTGATAGAGTCAATGTTTGCGTCTGGGCTTTTTGTTAAGGTGGGTTACGCAGTTACTTCTGTTGCGTGGTTTTTTTTTTCTTTGTTGTAGGGATGAGGTTGGCTGGGGGGGTTTTGGAATCGGGGTTGTACAAGGGCAATGGTGTGGGTGGTTTCTTTCAGGAGGGATGGGTGGGAATGGAGAAGTTATTGTGAGACTTGAGTGTGTATTACTAGTAGAAGGTCCGTAAATATCAAGTTAGGTGCGTACTCTGTATTCTGTTTTGTGATGGTAAATGAAAGGATGTTGTTGCTGTTAGGGCTTCGGGAGTAAACCCGATGTACAATCGATTGTAGGAACTCAATGTCAGGGAGCGAGATGATAGCATAGATTATTCAGTCTGGACTCAACTCTAAGAAACTGCGGTTCATCTACACAGTACAGTTCGGATCATGGCCTGGGCTTAATCTGCAGGTTCTGTTCTTCGGATCGCCGGCTGACCTGCAGCTTGCGGGCCTGTTCTAGCAACACCCCCTTCGTTCTCTTGTCACTTGAGTCTAAAATTGCCAAGTATCTGAGAAATAGGGATGGATAGGCTACGGGTACACCCAGCTGCGATCATGGCATGTTATTTGGAATCATCCATTGCCTTGTTTCAACAGTAGGCGGACTATCATGTTGCTGCTAGCAATTTTACACCCTTGCTGATCACAAGGTTGTAGATGAATTCGGACGCGTGATTTGCTGCGAATACAGGAGCGACCTCGTTAATCTCATTCTTGAATATATATTTTCAGCGACGTGGATCAGCATGCTGCTGAACCTTGCACGGCGAAGTGCATTACAATCAAGTAGGGTGCTCTATGGAAATGTAACGACAAGTCACCTGACCAGCTCCATTCGGATCGAGCTTGGGGATAATACTATTGCCCCGAGGAATTCCGATGCCGGGTAGCTATTCTGATGATAGGACAAGTCATGCAACAGATGACCCAAAGGAAGATCTTATCCCTTGGTCAGCTTACCTTCCATTAGGTCCACGTTTTCTTCTATTGTGCAGGGAATACATACCTCGTCATAACCAAGCTCAGTATCTAGAGTTACTAGAGCAGTGTCATGCTGTGCTGGTTGCTTTTCAGCTTTCTTACCGAGGATAAACCACATACTGGATGTTTTATTGCTCGTAGTCAGTTCTAACAAGCCTCAAGGGTCTCTGATGCAGAAGTCCCGGTTATAGCTACTTGTATGTGTTTGAATTCATCACAAAGATTGTCTAAGTACTGGATCATAACCTGGTTGAACACACGGTATTACACCGCAAAACAGAGGACATATCGGGAAACACAACACAGTATTCTACCTGAGCTGCGCTTCAGACATGCGCGGCGTGAAAGGGATATATATGCGCACAAGGGGATCCCTCTGTCTAGTGACAAACACAACCTGTTCATCTTGTAGCACTCATATGTACCGCACTGCACTGAATAAATGACGTCATCGACTGGCTCGATGAGGCATGAGCTGATCGCAAATATTGGCATGAGATATTTATTATCTCGATCCCCATGTATGCAGGAGTAAGGGACCTCACGTAAGGGTTAGTATCTATCCCTGTACGGGTGTATACCCCGACGGAATTACCCGTTGTGGGGTATTTCTACAAATTGTCCCCCCCGGAAGGGGATCAGAGCCGTTGTAATGAGGAATAGGTGATCATGAGGGATGATAGAGTATACCGTCTTTGTCTTTAGTGGCAGTGTGATACAATGGCGGAAGGATTATTGATTGGACGCTAATCCTCTCACATTTAGACAAACAAATATGATTAATGTAAGGATGGATCTTCCCTTCGTTAAATGAAGGAAACATAAAAGATCAACTTATGATCAATAAAAAAAAATGCTTATATATATATATATATATATATACATATATACCTAGATAATTGTTAGGTGTATCTCAAAAATGCAGGATTTGTCATTTTCCAGGAATGCATTATTTGGTATGTATAAAGACATGCGGGCAGACCCGACAGTCTGGTCATGCATCGGCTCTGGAAAGCCATGGCCAATACCGAAGAGAATGCCACATGACAGCGGTCAGCGGATTGGGGAATCTTTTTTATTTTATTTTAATTTTTAATTTTAATTTTATTGACTTTTTAAGGTTACACTTTAGAGGGATCCATTTATGTAATTAAGTCTTTGACAGATGTTTCCAGGAAGTTGTGCAGAAATTCTTTTAGGTAAGAGATTAAAATCCAAGTTGCAATTATTTATTCTTTTCATAACACGCATAGGTAAAAAAAGCTGATGATCTTCAAAAATTCAGGTCGAGTCAGGTTCTTGCCTGATCCGGATCGCTACTGTCTTCAGGATGAATCATGACCATCATCGTCCGACTACAGTACGCCTGAGAATTATAGTCATGGATGCTATCGTTTTTAATATCTGGTATGGATCCCATTTCAGGACCGTTGTCTGGTCTGAGAGGACAGGGATTGGTTAAATGGTGGCTTGGCAACACTGGGGGGCCTAATCTCGCCCGTGGGCTTAAGTATTCGGAGCCGAAGCCTCATCTCTACTCCTTCGACTACTCCGTAGAGTCCGTACTACTCCGTACTCTCCTATTCTAAGCCTCAAGTTCTGATCGTATGGTGTCAGGCTAAAGAGAAGCTGTAGAGCAAGTCGATCCCGATGCTAAAATCTCACTCTAGAAAATTCGACGCTACTTCTCTGCCCCCATCCTCTCATCTAAAGGAACTATGGAGTGCTCCGTACGGCAACAGGAATTGTCCTATTCGGGAAATTGTAGAAGTCACGATGATCTGAATTGAGAGGGCCCGAATGGGCCCTCCCCATTCGGTGCGGACCGCCCGAGTGGAGTTCGTGCAAAAACCTGAAAACCTGGGACTGGGATCAACTTGGCTTTCGTTCCCGCAATACCCGCAGCTGGAATGGCTGGCGTAAGAACCACGTCTGTTCTCCATCTTCTAGATTCCTCTGTAATTTAACCGAGGTCAGTCAACATTAACCAATGGGAAATGAAACCGTTCACCATTGAACTAATAAAAGTACTGATGCGTTGTTGGGTTCTTGGCATCCAATTGAATAGGAGAAGTCAAGCTTCGTTGACAGATTGGTTTAGTTATGGGGCGAGGTTGGGAGAAGAGCACCTCGTACGGAGTAAGTAACTGTAAGTAGGAGTGAGGTCTCGAACTGCCACCGTTTGTGCCGGGGATTGCTTTGGTGTAACCAAATCCCGATCTGGTCCCTTTTCGGGTAAGGATTGTCTCGGACTCGAACATTTGACTTTTTCCTCCTTCCCGTTCAATCGATTTAAACCTGACCGCCAGATTGATTGAATACTCCTTTGTATGGTTTCTTTTTCGGCGGAAGGATCAGGGTTCAGCCCTTTGTTCGAAATCTGATGAGGAATTTGACCGGGGAGAGAGCGATGCTTCTCTTCACACTAGGCCCCTATCCACCTTACTGCAGAGGGGAGCTACTCAGTCAATCTACCTTATCGTGTACGACTTTCCCTGAGGTCACTATCTGAAATTACTCGGCCGTACGGTATCCGTATTTCACCTATTGAATAATTCATTATATTAGGAGGTATGGTACTGTATGCCAAAGGAGGGCATTGCATTAGGGAGCCCTGTGAACCGCTGTCAAGCCATTCAAAACACAAAACGGAAAAAGAGACGTCAAATTCGAATTCAAAGAATGAGGCTCCACGATGGTGGCACATCATTTACTCCCCAACTGTACAGAAACGGAATCTGCAAGACGGTGGGAACCTGCGTAAAAGAGAGGAGAAGAGAGAGCTTGGACCAGTTTTTGTTGGTCTTTTAAACTCACCCTCATTTCCAGGCTTCTGGGGCTGATCCATCGGACTGGGTAATAGTACAGTCCGCTACTTATATGCTTTCTTACATACAGTCAACCGGAGAATAAAAATGCCTTACGCTGTACAGCGTCACACAACGTTAGTTAAGGTTGCCTTTTCCTCTCCATGAGGAGAAGGAGGGGGGGGGTTTTTTTTTCTCGAAGCTGAACCTCGCAGGATGGGTGCACGAAGAATTAACAAAGAGTTAATATACTATGTACGACCATCGTTCATAGGAGGATTTCCCCCCCGACTGACTCAGGAGGATCTCGCTTCGGACACTTTTTGACTTTGCATCTGAATGCATTTCCTTCGTTTCTTGCATGAGACTATCAGATTTTCAAACCCCGATGGGCAAAAAAAGAAAAGGAAAAAAAAAAAAGGTAAAAAAGAAAGAAAAAGCCACTAAATGTAGGACGTATCAGGATGTGACTTGTGTATGATCCGTCGTTGGCGCTCTTAAGCGATCCATGATGGACGTGCCATCAACTTTGACAGCATAAACCGCTCTTTGCAATTGGTCTCCGGGGGAATTTACAAACAACAAAGGTTTAACCATCCCATCCCTCCTAAGATTAGGCTCCCCGCTCGGTCTACATTCTATCCATTCAGGACTCTGAGCTCATAACATCCACAGAGGTCCGCTATGCCGGTTTCAGTCTAGATTAGGGAGATTAACTTCCTTTGTGTGTAATATTATTCCTGAAAAGTCACGGACCTCTAACCCCGTCGGTTGCCCAGTGGGCCCCCCTGGTCTCCACTTTGGACACTGTCCAGGAGTTTTTTTTTTCTTTTCTTTTTCCTTCTCACAGCTTATGAGCTTTGCAGCCAATGCCTCAACTCCACTGCAGCCAAGAGCCAAGCCGCCCAGTTACCTTAACCGCTTGACCTCGAAAGCCAGGCTGATTTCCCACTGGATCGGCCATTCTTCCTTGCCCCCTCTTCTGTGACACCATCCCCCATTTTAGTTCCATCCGTGCTGACCCAATACCCACCATATCGGCTCGGTCGTGCAGAATTAGTGGCGTCGTACATACCAGCTTCGTTAGAAAAGTATTATACAAACGTATGTATCCCCGGGGGAAACCCGGTAACATATCATTGCAACGGGTAAGCATCTCCTCGCGACCCTGCCTCCAGATCGGTAAGGGAGAGTGTTGACTCGATGGATAGCGAATGAGTGATGGGACGAGGAGCAATGCGACTGGAGAACCATGGTATTGGAATTATAAGGCCCGGAGTTATGTATGGAGCCGCCCACCCGCCCACCATGTTGCTGGGAATCCGTCACTGTCGGTAATCTTACAGTACCACGGCTCCGGAGACGAGAGATGGTTATAGTTAACTAACTTAGTTGCGATAGTGCACTTGTCCTGCCTGTACCTGCCGACTCCCAGGCTGACTCGTCCTTTGACTTTCTGTCTCCCTCACTGCTACTCTCCTGCTACCTCTCCCCTCTCATTCATTATTCCTCCCTCCCCGTATCACCACCGTGACTTTCTGTCCCTCCATCCCATCCTCTTTCCTCTTGGACCGGTCAATCGCTGGATTGTCTGTTGTCCTACCGCGGCGCCAATAGACTCGGCCTAATTTATTTTTAATTTATTTTTTTTTTTTGTTTTTGTTTTTTTCTTAATTTCTCATTATTCTTCTTCTCCTTTCCCCTTCGGACGTCGTGGATGACCTCTGTCGTTCTTTTCCTCCTGTCGAATATTTCGAGAACATCTTTAGTCCCATCTGATCATTTCTTGGCCGACTGGTCGGTTTCACGGCGTGCATTCGTGTAGTTGCGCCCGGAGTAGATCAACAGACAGAAAGCACCAAAACCAGATTGATTAGACGGAAGTGACAGTTGACTTGCTTGACGCAAGGAATCCTCCATAACGGTGGCTTTACTTGGTTAAATTCGGATTATTGGTAAGTTCCGACCTGTATTGCTAGCTGTGGTTCATCCGTCGGCTTGATTTGGTTGTCATCAATTTCGATAGTAGTCGAAGAGGGGGTTGCTAATATTCACAGTCATTTGCTTTCAAGCGTCAAGATAAAAATATTCAAGATGGCGACTCGAGCCCCTCTAGCCCCGCCGGCGAACGAAACGGAATCCTCCGTCAGCCGGATCACTCGCGAGGGCAAAAAGCTCACATACAAACTCAGTGTCATGCAGCAGCCTGAGCGTGCAAGAGCCTGCGGTGCAGGTGCTAAGTGTAGGCATCCAACCAACCCGAGACACCTGATAGACCCCACTGGTTGTTCTGACTCCTTATAGCGTCTGCCGACCGTCGTCCCGTCGATCCTCCACCAGTCGTCGAACTTCGAGTATTCGAGTCGGATCCCAACGATGACCTTCACAAGACTGACATTACCTTCGCTTACAACGCCAATTTCTTTCTGTTCGCTACCCTGGAAACTGCTCGCCCAATGGCTCAAGGAAGATTTGCCCCAAACCCAACGTGCCCAGTATTGACCGGTGTGCCCGTCGCCGGAGTGGCCTACTTGGACCGTCCATCTCAAGCCGGTTACTTTATCTTCCCCGATCTTTCCGTGCGTCACGAGGGTGTATATCGATTGAATTTCCATTTGTATGAGGAAACCAAGGACAGCAAGGATGCGAACGAGAACACTCCGATCCACTCCTCCATGCCCAACGCAAACCCATCCAAACCGGTGGCACCGAAGTCGTTCCTGGATTTCCGTCTCGAGGTCGTGTCCGTGCCATTCACCGTATTTAGTGCCAAGAAGTTCCCTGGTTTGACGACGAGTACCTCCCTTAGTCGGGTCATTGCGGAGCAGGGTTGCCGTGTACGAATTCGACGTGATGTTCGCATGAGACGTCGGGGCGAGAAGCGCACAGATGACTACGAGTACGAAGAGGAGCGGGTCTACCGATCTTCCGACCGATTCTCTACGCCAGATGGATACGCAGGTACTCCTATTGAACGCCCTCGATCGACCAGCATCAGTACTGTCGACCCGTCGTTCCCCTACGGCGCTGATGCCCAACGTCGGTCGTCAGGGGCGACTGAGTACGGGTTCCAGAGCGCACAGCCTTATCAGCGACCCATGCCACCTGCACCCGCGCCAGCCACCTCATCTACCTCCGCACCTCCTGCCCCGCCATCCCATACTTCTACATATCAGTCTCACCTCTCATTCGGCTCAACTCAAACCCAATATCCGACTCCCCAACTGCCCCCCACACCCCAGTCCGCATCAACGCCGACAAACGTGTACTCTCCTCACCCATCATATTCTCATGCTCGAAACCCCTCGACGAGTGCCGAGTATGAGTCGAACAGTTACCCCTATCCTTCTTCGCGGGTGTCTACGGAGCGTCCCAGCTATCCCAAGGCCGGCTTACCTCCACTCCGTTTGGAGCCGCCTAAGACGCTAAATATGCAGCCTAGCGAGTCCCGCTCGTCGGATCCGAATACATATCAATCCATGGCTCAATCGACAGCTCGATCACAGACACCGTCGAGCCAGGTGCCATCGCTTCCGCCCCTCAAGGCTCTATCGGGGGAGTATGCCAACAATCTCTCCCAACCCCTGGGCATCTCGCAAAGCCCCGGTCTTGATCTGGGCGCTGGCAAGAAGTTCTTATGGGACACGGGAGCCAGTTTATCCAAGCGGTCGTACGAAGATACATTTGGCCATGATGATCGTCCGCTCTACAATGGCATGCGCCCTGATCCGGACGGTTATCCTAGGAGGCTGTCAGATTCCGGGCGAAGCTTCTATAACGACACGCGAGATGAGATGGCGTATAAACGGGCCAATGGAAGGATGGCCACGAAGATCTCTCCTGCTCTGCAGTAAAGAGACCCAGTTCTCACTTTTCATTGCATGTTCTTCTCCCGCTCTCTCCTATTGGGACGTCGTCTTGGCGAACGGTCGTCGATTGATTTCTTTTTCAAATATTCTCCTTTTTTTTTTTTTTTTTTTTTTCTAATGTACTCCGGTAGGTTGGTTGGAGGGATACTTTACGAACCAGACTCTTGACGTTTATACCACCCTTTTGTTCTTTGATCCCCAAGTTTTTTTTTCCAAACTTATTTTGTTTTATATTTAGCATTGTTGTATATGATGCTCCGCATGTGGTTTACAAGATACTCCCCGGATTGTTCAGGTCTTCATTATATAGGATAGCTCTCTTTTTTTACCTTATCTAAATTCGATCCTTAACCAGGTCTGTTCAGGCGCCTGGCATTCTACTGTGAGAGGTTTCTTTTTCTACGTATAGAAGTGAGAGCAATACCAATGTGTGATTTCAAAATCCGGATAATACGATTGCGCAATTTCGGTAGATTCGAGCCGAGGATAGGATAGGACCATCGCTAATACAGTGCACTCCCTTGGTAGTTACTTTGTTTTCCATGTGTCCGTGCATGCTATACATGCACACATGACGTATGCGACAGAAGAACGATCGATCTGAAGAGCATGTTGAGGCTGTCACATCTACCCTGGTGTGTAGTTCGTTATCTTTAAACCCTCCCCATCTACATGTTAGTCTATATTCAGACCTCATACACTTACTTTGTACAGCTAGGTTCAATTCTATATCCTCGGATTTTGAGAAAATCTATCTAGAAACCTAATTTGACACGATCTAAACACCTATGCCTTACCATATATATATGTACATCCTTCCAGCCGTTCGTCAATAGCTAGTCCTTCCTAATATGTCTACAGTTGTCATTTAGGCAGAATTATCAATCTGAAACAAAGATAACCCGAAAGATAATTTTGTAAGTTCCCTACAAAGACAAACAGAAGACCCACAAAGGCAGTACAGCGAGAAAGAACCACGATAATAGTATTCTAATCGGCTGAGGTTCCAGCAAAATGACCGTTGGAATCCCGCCCGTTTTCTTTGTTTATCGTGGAATGCAAGGGATAACGTCAGGTACAGAGTAGATAAGATCGCTGCATCGTGGCTCGTCCTTTACTTTGAGGGGATTGGCTTTAACGATCTCTGATATAGAAATTTATAGACGTCGGGTTGCACACTTTATCTTCAGATTATAGAATGTATTCTTGGCCAAAGAGGATGGATCCATATAATTGAGAATAAATTATACCCATTATACCTCTAAAGGACAGGTATAGATAGACATAAATATCATTCCACACGAGAAACACACATACCGGAACAATAGTTGATAAACAAAAGAGTATATGACGGACTTAATTAAGTGAATTTAATTTAATACAAATAAATTAGCACGACCGGCTCTTGGCGCATATTTAGTTCTCCAAAACAACAACAACAAGGTAAACAATCATTGCACTGGACAGTAAACCAAACCAAACCAAAACAACAAAACTCCGTCTTCTTCTTTTCACTTGTTATCCTTTTTCCTCCTCCTTCCACTTCGTGCGAATATTTCATCGCCAACAATCCTCCATAAATCTACCCTGCATAAATCATCCAAAAGTCACCAAATATCCAAAAGTGGATCCAATCGAAACCACCCCAACCCAGCACGAAAAAAAGAAGGAAAAGAAAAAAGAAAAGATAGGAAACACACCAAGCAAAAGCTAAGGTTCGTTTCAGCTCACCTCACCTCATCTCCTCATTTCAATTCTATCCATTGAATTCCCCCTTGCACATCCCAACCCTTACCGAATCCACTCTGACACAACCCCCCAAAAGCAATTAGACATGGACGTGGACGACCCAGACCACACCCAAGCAGCCCGCCAATTACACCAAGCCCTCGAATCAGCCTGCCACCAACCCTCCCGCAAACCCTCCCGCCCAGGCCACGATTCAGAATACGCCTACGACGATTCCTACTCCTACACCTCCTCCACCCCCTCAACCGGCCGCTTCTCCGACGCCGACGAAGAATACACCCTCTCCATCTCCGCACACCCACCTAGTTCCCCCCACAGCCCCAAACGCCGCCGCTCAAACGACTGGGACCCATCCAAAAAAGAAAAAGACACTGGGCGCTGGCCCTGGAGTAGCGGTGGTGGCCGTGGTAGCGGTCAGAATTCGACCCATGGGTCGCCACGCGTTGGCGCTTCGGGCCGGCACGGACGTCAGGCGGGTCCGCGCGGCCGGCGGTCACGGTTCGTGGAGGGGATGATGAATGATAGCGTTAGTGAGAAGCCGCCGAGTATTTTTTTGAGAGAGGGGAGGGCTGCTGGTGCTACTGCTAGGGGCACGGCGCAACAACAGCGGGGATCGGGGATTTTTCGGTTTGGGAAGGCTATTGCTAGTGCGTTTAATCCGTTTGGCGGGTGGGGTGGGTTTTCGAGGGAGAAGCATCAGCAGCAGCAGCAACAAAAGCAGGACGTTGAGGATGATATTGCGAGGGTGGAGAGGGCGTATGCGGAGTTGAAGAGGGCGGGCTATCGGGGTGCTGTTAAGGGGGAGTATTCTGCGGGTGCTGGGTCGAAGTCGAGTGGGGATTTGGCGGATGAAACGTGGAGGGCTGTTGCGGAGAAGATGGATGAGACGGTCGATGGGCGACATTCGAGGCAGGAGTCGGGGGGTTCCTTCGGGGTTGAGGTGCAAGAGGTGAGGAGGGCGAAGTCGTCGTTGGGGATTGCGTCGAGTTTTATCCCTGGTGTTGGAAGACGATCGGAGGATGCTGGTCGGCCTGAGCTGAGGAAGCAGAGGTCTAAGAGGGAGAAGTTGCTTAGACGCGTGAGTACGCTTGAGGAGAAGCTGGAGAAGGCGCGTCGCGAGCTGCAGGAGCTTATGGGTGATGATGTGCCTCTTGTTCCGGAGAGATCGCATTGCCTGGATCCGGCGCACCAGAGGAAATTTGTGCCCGGCGTGCTGCCTACGCTTCCGTCTGAGAGGCTTTTGCTCGATGAGGTGCTTTCCCCGGTTTCACCTACCGAGTCGGTTCCCCCGAATTCGTTATTGGAGAACGTCCAACGCGCGATGCAGGACCGCGAATCTGAAACAAGGACTGCACACGAGGATCCCGAGTCTACAATCAAGACCCCAGCCAAATCCCCAAGACCAGCAGCTCAGTCACTGATAGTCGAGAGCCCCTCGCTTAAGCGAAAGTCCCCCGACCCGGAATCCGCCAGCGCAGCCAACACCCCCAGATCCCACCATGAAGGTTTTGCAAATCACACAGAGGAAGGCAACCAATCCGACTCATCCCGCAAAACCAAGCTCCCCAAGATGCTGTGCGGCGACAGTCCCGGTTCCGTGGAACGAAAGCAAACCCACCGACACATGGAAGACTCCAACAGGCGCTCCCCCAGTGAGGATAGAGGCCGACGGAGACGATCCTCGCAACCGCTCCGCTCAGCGAGCAAGCGATCCCCCTCGGCAAGGAGAAGGGCATCCAACTCTCGGAACAGAGTCCCTACTCCTTCTCTACGCATGAAGAAGGGCCGCGCCGATCTAAGATCCGCCAGTGTGCAAGCTATGCAGACCGATGACCAGGACAAGGAGAACCAGCACGCAGCTCAATATCGACGGGACCAGCAGCAACCCGATCAGGCTTCGAATCCTAACCCAACAGACCCAGGTCCGAATTCCTCGCCAACCAAGAGAAAGGACCAGAGATGCACCTACAATTATATCCCACCTGTGCCCCCTCTGCCCAAAGATCTAGCTGCCACAGCCGCAAAGGTAGACCGCAGACTAGCCAAGGAGATAGAGAGGCGCGAGGCGCGGAATCGCAAGCCCAAGACTCAGTCGGGGAAGATTCCCGGTACCACAAAAGAAGAGGGCTTCAGATGGCCTGATGATATTTTTTGATTATTGCAAGTTTTTGACGGGGATATTGGATCACGGACGATTCTCATCTGGATAACGGGACAGAGGTGAGAAGGCCGATTTTTGAGCAGGCAAGTCAGAAGGGGAGAACGAAGACAAGGAATGACTGAGTGTTTGTTCACAGACAATTAAGCCATTATGAGGAGGTTGAGTAGTTGGAAGATGAGTTTCCTATGTTAATACCTAACGAATTTAATGAGTTACGGCCTTTCTAACAACGATTGATCTAATATCTGCAACCAAAATAGTATTCCTACGGAGCGACTAGAACAAATTGGCTGGGCGTATATGTCGGAAGTACAGCACATTGAATACATGCATGCATAAAATCAACACATCAATACACATACATACACGGTACAAAGTACACATCCACCCTGCATGCATGCATATAGGAAAGGCACATCATACCTCGGTCCACTCCGAGTGGACACGATAAAGTTAACCAAGTGCCCTATAATCATTACAACAGATTAATATTAATCTACGTTCAAGACCCAACCCAAGCAATACAGAGCCCAATAACAGTGCCAGCCACCAAAATACTCGGCCTCGACCGAACTGCTGCAGTAGACTCTCCACTCCCCCCCGTCTTCTGCGCCCCTTGACTCGCCGTACTTTCTCCAGTTCTCGTAGCAGAGGGAACAGCTGTGCTGCTCGCCGCCGCAGTGATAGGGTGCGCCGACGACCCAAACGTCCAAGTAAAAGTACTCCCACTAACAGGGGTCGAAAGGACACCCGTGTTCGTCAACATTCCCGTCCCATTCTTGGGCAGCTTTCCCGGTTCATAGAAATTCTGTGTACCCCCTGCGGCGGCAGCCCCGAACCCCAGGGTTCCGGCGCAATCGTACTCCTGCAGGTACCGGGTACAGGAATCCCAGTCAAAGGGGCCGAGCAAGGTCTGATTCCAGTAGTCGGCAGTGATGAGGGAGGGTTCAGTGTTGGGGCAGGTGTCCCAGATTCTGCGTGCGATAATAATAATAATACAGATATTAATTAGTTTGTCAGGTCTGCAAGGCAAGGCTAGGGAGTGAGGGAGTTCGTTGGACACGTACGACGCTAACAGGGCGCTCATCGTGCAGCACTGACAGGCCCGCAAGTAGTCCGTCCTCTCTTCATCGGTAGACAGTTCGTTGAGACGGGTCGTGTTGTCCCCGCACGTCTCGACATGATTGGCGATCTGGACTTGTTTCATCGTCAATTTCCCCAAGTTGCAGGCACATCCTCCCGGGGCGTTGTCAGGCTGTGGCCAGAAGGGTATCTGAGTCAGGTTGGCGTCAGGGCAGGAGTACACGAGCCCGCTGACCGTCTCGCCGTATTCGCACGAGTATACCTATCACGGTCACGACCATCATCAATCTTCCTGTTTGCCTTTTTTTTTTGTATGCATATTGTGGCGCAAACGAACTCAAAAGAGGGAAGGGCCGCCAACCTCATTCCAGCAGCTCGTCGCCGTACAGTCGATCACATCCTGCGCCTCGACACACGAACATGCGTCGTAGCAGTCGGCCCGCATGTCTTTAGTGCAACTCTCCTGCATGCAGGTGGCATCCCCATTACAAGCTTTTCGGCAAGGGTCGTTCTCGCCATAGCAGTTTTTCTTGACGCAGTCGCCTCTCGACTCGTAGGCTCGATGTCTGCACTCCTTGAAGGCCGGGGGATCGACACAGATGGATGCATCGCGGTACATCATGTCGATCGCTTGGCCTAGTTGCAGCTGGCTTGCCAGCGCGGCAAGGATGAGGATACATGCGCTCCACATCTTGAAGATAACGCCGCGGGATATGGTTGCAGATTGGCTTACTGGGGGTTTGGGGTTGGGGTTGTATTTATCTGCGCAGGTCTTTTGGACCCCATTATGATTCAATGGGACGACTAGCGCTGAACCCCTGTTTTCTCGCCTTATAAGTAATAGCGTTACAATTCATCCAACATCGAGGACGACTGAGCGTTTCTTGGCAGGGCAAAAGTCCCTGCCAAGACGCCGGTTTGTCCGCTAGAGACAACAAAGGATAAACAGGGCGGCAATCTCCGTCTAAGGCTCACCCTGCTTCCATGGGGCAAAATTTTGGAGTTGAGTGAAGACGTGTATGACTTTGATCCAGATTTGGTGTAGTGAAGACATGGGTCACTGGTGATAACTGTGATACCTCCTCAAGTACCCTGACTAAAGAGGAAAGCTACGACACCTTAGAAAATCCGGTACGTATAGGTATGTACATACCTATGTACGATTAGGAACAAGATTAACTACACGGTTCTCCTCTGTAATTTCACCAAATCTTATTTTGAGGCGAAGCACGATTCACTGGTGTCTCCAATCGCCATAAGGCTGGAGATTCTAGAATATAAATATACGGAAGCACGCTATCTTAACCTTATATATGGTCGTACATGACTGGGAGCTAAGTCTGGCGTTGAGGACCGATTGCTCTTGATGGCCAAGGTGTCATCACGGTACGGCTCAGTCCATGCCATATGCAAGTATAAGAGAAAATGTTGAAGTCGAACCATATTCCTTCTTGCTCTAGAGCATGCTGTTGTATTTTTCCAATCATCCTCATGAGTTGCTGAGAATTGGAGAGCAGGTATACTCTACTGGACAACATGGCGGTGCAACTACTGGACGTTAACGCCATCACGGTCAGCTAATAGCTGACAGCGTAGAGATGAATATCTACTTTACTAAGCTGGGATCAATCTATGAGACAGCCGCTTATACCGAGATGGTGCCTTCCAAGCCTTCAGCACCACTCTCCCTCAGCGTACTTACGGACATCAGACGGTAGACGCCTCGGCTGAAGATCCCACAGTTCGGACAATCCTGACGGCATTACCCGTGCTGCCAAAATGATCCCGGCGTCCGTAGGTTATGGTTCGGGTCCGGGGACTGGCCTGTGGAATACGGGACCAAACCATCTTTGATCCGAGGGTGTTCGGCAGTATGCCCGGCGCTGGGAATGTTCCAAGCCCCCCGCTTGCAGCTGATACGGGAAACATTGGCAGAGACCCTCGTAGAAGGTCATCCTACCCCATTCAGCATGTATTCGGGAACACAAATGTCTACTACTGAGATGGTGGTTTTCTCGACTCAGCTCCGTCCAGTTTCGTTGGCGTTTGGCTGCTGTCTAGGCTTGTTTTACGGGAGCTATTGTCAAATATCGGACACTACAGCGAATTACAGGCGGGTTTGGAGCAATAACAATTGTTGATCGCGGCGGTCAACCTTTGTTTTCCTTCCAGTAGTGTACATAATAGTCTAACCAGGTACATGCCATATAAATTGTCCAGGCCGGGGGGGGGGGGGTAGTATAAATAGACCGAGTAGCTCTAGCTCATGCCTACATTGTCCTTTAACAATCTCGAGGAGAATAAATGACTAATGACATCAGATAACGACAGTGGCACTCCCAACTCGGCCATGGCCCACACTTTTCAGTAGCTCCGCTGGTCGCAGGGTCTCTCCAACCAGCGCAGCTGTCAGTGCAGGGCTAGGGAGATCCTGGCACTATTTGACCGGACGAGTTATTGAATCGATAGGAAGGGGTTTCGAAGATAAGGGATATCTCCTGTTCTGCGAATGGCACAGAATAGGAGACCAACACGCCGGCTCGTTGATACTATATTAATTGTATGTTGTTGTCGTTGACGTTCCGTGTGTACAGGATCTCAGAGGATCAAGAACGTGTCCCTTATAGCCATGCCCAAAGTCAGGAATTAGCGCCAGCAGTCGGGAAGAGTAGTATGGAAGATGATAACCCAAGGAATACAATGGAAAACAGGGATAATTCTGCAGGAGTCTTGACCTGGAAAATATAAATTTCTAATACACATTATTCTTTATGGATCGAGGCCTGACCAGGTAAGTTGTTGAGTTGCGCCAAAACATACATTCTGTACGGAACCAGATAGAAGCATAAATCTGATATCCATCGTGTGTTTAAGCCTTTAAGTTCACAAACGAGTTTCATGACCATTTTTATTTCTCTGATATACAACATAGTTTCAGAATGCCAAACAGTCATAAACCTGACCACAAGCAATGAACATAGCCGCAATAGCATTGCATATATTCACAGTATATCCGACTCTTCCATTCCTCTGGACGTCCTCTTTTGCATTTAGAAGTGCCTGATATAAGAGAGCCGTGGTACATATAAGGATCTTCTGGCATGCTGAATCCTCGATTGCTCCCCATGCCAAGACTTTGACACCGCGGGTTCGCATTATATTCCCCAAGGACAGACTCTTGTCACTTACCGGTTGGCCCACGAGTGTAATATCCTTAAGATTGAGCTTCTTTGCAGTTGGCGAGATGTTAAACTTATCGCAGGCTGCTTGAATTGCAATTGTGGCCATATTCTGTCCGGCCGCATCGCCACACCGGTACTCGAAGATGACGTTAACCGTTGGATCAGTAATGTGAGGAACGAGGCGCTGAAGCTGCAAATGTTTACTTGTCGGTTCAGAGTCTTGTTTGAATCTGCGACTGGAGGCTGGGAATCCGGTGGCCTTGATATGTTTCAACGGTGACAGGACTTCATGTGGGATCTTCGTAGTAGTAGTTTTATAGATGCTAGGAGCGTTGTCAAGTAAAGAGACTCCCACTGTGAATGAGGCATACACCGCTATAAGACGCTTCTATTCGTCCCAGGACGCCGTGACTCTTGCGCTCTAGCTTTTGTCCGACTCCGTCGATTCGCTTTTCTAAATGTTACAGTAGCGTTGCTATATTGTAACCCAACTTTTTTTCCTACCAGCTTGTGGCTATCGCAAAAATATTACATTGCCTGCTTTGATCTACACCGGCTGAGGTGTGTGATGGTCAGCATTTGATTTGGCTGAGCTTGGTTGGACGCCCATTCCCTCACAGCGGTTGGCCTCCATCCTTTCTTCGCGAAAATGTAACTAGATCATGACGACTAGACCATGTCTAGCACATAGCTTACCACCACCACTATCAGGATTTTCTTAACAAAGAACCCAAAGATCTTGCATTATTTTGTGTATATATCTTTTGACCTGTCATAGCGCGAAATCTCGTGTGACTTTATTTCAAGCTCTATCAACTATGTCCCATTGCTCTCGGCCATATTCATGGATTCGCTTTCAATGCACTCCCAAGTTAGTTAGAGTTGTAAACGGTGCGGATTCTAAATCTATCCTGCATCCACATCCGCATTTCTGCGGATTCAGTGCGGGCATACGGTGTGAAGCATTCTTCTGGCAAACAAATTGGAAGAGAGTTCATTAAAAGCCGGCATAAAGCGGCTGGCTCCTTAGTATTATCCATTATCGCCGCATATTGGATAAGGGCAGTATTCTCTAAGTACCCTAACTGAAAGCAGCGGCATCCAAAATAGGAGCAAAGCCACGTATAAGCCTATACACACGCATATATATTTATATAGATATATAATATGAAAGGAACTACATAATCGCAAAAGCATTAGCATGCGACCCCACGCCACCCACCACATTCGCCGGCGCGCTCGACACAAAAAACCTCCACCGACCAATCTCCCTACACCTCGCCGCAATCCTCTCCAAATCCCACATCTCCCCCAACGGCATTCCCCACAGCGCCAATATACTTTCATGCAAGTACCCTGTGCCCGGGACCGGCGGCCAGCACTCAAACGTCGGCGAATCGCCCGCCACGGCCGCAAAGTAGCAATCATGCAACCAGTCCACCATATCCTGATCCTGGGATACGCCAGCCCAGGAGACGTCTTCGTGGGAGCGGGCTGCGGCGGCTGCGCGCTGCTCGGAGGAGAGCTCGTTGTAGCGGGTGACGAAGCCGGAGCGGATGAGGAGGATGTCGCCGATTTGGATGTCGCCACCTTGGGAGGCTGGGCGGAGGTCGATGCCTTGGGATTTGGCGCAGGCGGTTAGGGCGGCGAGGGTTATGGGGTGGGAGGTGTAGGGATCGTAGGGGGTGTTGGTTGTTTGGGCGTAGTGGTGGTAGTCGAGGAGGAGGGCGCGGGCGGCGATGCCGTGGGTTGCCCAATGGTGGATGCTGCAGCGGCTTGTTGGGGTGGGCTGCTCTATGTCGGTGGAGGTGGTGCCGTTGTAGAATTGTTTGGTGTCGATGTGGGCGAACTGAGGTCTTGTTAGCCTGTGGTTTGTGGGTTATATAGGATGTTATAAGGGGGAGTGGTGATTTACGTGGCGGAAGCCGTCCCATTGAGTCCCGCTTTGGGGGTTGAGGGAGTACGTGTCGTCATAGACGATGTCTTTTAGCACTGTTTTGATCTTGTGTTCGAAGGGTTCGCGGCCGAAGGCCGGGTGTTCGGGGATGTGGAGGGGGAGACTGGTGCTGTTAGATGTGTTTTATAGAGAGATAGATGAGTATAGTATGAGGATACGAGGGGAGGATACGCACTCGAGTCGGATCATCTCACCGGTTTGGATTTCTGCGGCGGCGGCCTTGACTCGTGCTGGAGTCAGAAGGTTCAGGCGTCCTATCTGTGATGGCTAAGTACTACTCTACTCTTGCATTGTGGACTTTGACTTGGATGAGAATGAGACGAACCTCATCGTCCTTGCCCCAGACCCAGGCGGCACCGTCCGGTGCTCCCGGGATCTTGGGGAGTTCCTTTCGAGAGGGAAATTGCGTGCAGTTGGGGTCCCAGGGGAGCTGATCAGGGGCTTGGATGGTCATTTTGGTGTCTGTATTGAGACTTGGAGGAGGCGAGGAGGAAGCAGATAAGTGAACAGCTACTTGGGCGAGTCTAGCGGACGTGCCAACCATGGTGAAAGGGACACAGCTATATATTTGGGCCTATTGTGGTACGTGTGAGGGGCATCGGACTGAATTCTGGGGAATACAATGTAACAATGGATCGAGGCGGGGCCAAGAATGGCTTCAAAAGGTGAAGGCGATTGGAGCCATTGTGAGTAAATAGCATTTATATGGGCCATGGTTGTGGTTGGTGATGACTCTATCTTATCCACTCTATAGAAGTACCACCGAGGCAGAGGCACCAGGATGCGGGGAGTAACGCATATTGAGTAATCAATGTGCAGATCAAGCGCGTCAAACAGTCCAGAGCCAAGAGTGAGGGACGAATCAATGGTCATTCCAATCATGGAGTCTGCAGACTGTACCCAGAATAGGGTTTTCACATAGCCGAGGACGAATCACCAGTGGGAAAGCTTCTCTATCCTTCCCAAATAGTCCACATGGATAACTATTCCGTCGCTTCGCCTACATTACGCACTACAAACACACACCACAATGGCAGACCAAACGGCCTCCGTTTTTCTTGTTTTCATTCAAACGGGATCCTTGCGATCTCTTTCTTGGATTATGGTACAAAAGGAACCGCCGTCATCATGCCGTGCTCAACGGTCCGTGGCAAGCGTCTCCAGAGACAGCATTCCTCCAACAGACGCCGAGCCTTCGACAGGGACCAGACACCTCCGTGATATCAAATATGCAGACATAGTAAGCGGAGAAGAAAACCAACCCTATGCCGCCATGTCCGTGACCGCGCGAATGCGTCAGGGAAGACAAGATGTGATTATCATCAACATATGTGATCAATGCAATGGAGGCGACGACCAAACCATGCAAGTTATGTAAAACGCCAGAATCCGACACCACACAACGAAAAGCCATCCCAGCAGGTATTTAATTCACCAAGCCCACCGTAATCCATAAAACATCCCAAACATAAGATCTTGACATTGTATGTCAAGTATTCGTGAGAAGGGCCCATTAGACGCCGGGGAATATCACAAAGAAGCCCTGGAAGGATCTATCACTTCCACAAGAAGCAAATAATGAAAAAAAAAAAAAAAAATGTTCAACGCTAAGCGCATGATAAAATAAGTGTGAAGATCGGTAAGAGGTCGAAAGTGCCAAACAGAAAGCGATTAGTTCTGGGCAGGAACGCCGGTGGACTGGGACATATTGCGGCCGCCACGCATTCCACCACGGCCACGACCATTGTAACCCCGACCATAGCCACCGCCGCGGCCTCGGCCATATCCTCTGCCTCTGCCGCGACCCCGGTAACTGCCACGGTAGCCGTCGACGCTACCTTGGCCGAAGGTTTCAATGTTCCTCTTCTCCTCTTCACCACGCCACTCCCGACCACCAGCACGAGCCGTGGTTCCTTCTTCACGATCCCGAGCCTCACTCGAGATGTTGTCGAAGAACGAACTGGACTTGTTGTAGGCACCGGAATAGCTGTCCGGGGTTTCCGGTTCACCATTGGGAATGGGTGCCTCAACTTCATGAACAGGAGAGCCGGTGGCAATAGCTTCCTTGACCAAGTCTTGCTTGTTGAACTTGGCATTGGCGGTCTCGAAGTCGTAGTCCGTTTCCGGTACTTCAATCTTCTTGCCTTGATATTGGCCACGGTGGCTGCCACGGCCGCCACGAGTGTGATGACCGCCTCGCGGCGCGCGATGCTCGTAAGGCTTCATTTCAGCCATTTGTTTCGTCACACCCTCCACGGAGACATCGCCAGGCTTCTTCTGGACACCGGGCTGTGGCAACTTGGCCATAGCAGCTGCTACAGCAGCGGTGGCCGCACGAGTAGCTTCAGTGATTGCTGCCTGAGCCTGTCCTTGGGGCACACCAGCGGGGCCATGCGCCTGGGGGACAGGAGCCTTCGACGGGGCGGCGATGGGAATAGCCGGTTGTACGCGTCCACTCCTGGGACCAGTGGGTGGTGCCTTGCCATTTGCAGTAGGAACACCCTGAGTTGGACCAGTCACCGCCTGAAGTGCCTCCGAAACTGGTGGTTTGGACTCAACCGGCGGGGTGGGGGCATTCTGAGCGGCTCCACTTGGGGCAGGCGTGCCATTACGGCTCGCCGGCTTACTGGACGGTCTTTCCGACACCGGAAGCTCGGATGTATTCTTAGGCGTGTTTAACGGCCCGGCACCGGGCATTGGCCGCGGTGGAGGGGGTGTCTGGTGTTGGCCAGGAAGTCCAATAGGCACCTGCGGAGGGAATTGGCCGGGTTGAGGGAATCCTTGACCGGGAGGGGGGAACCATCCGGGGGGGGCCCCGTAAGGCATATTAGGGAAGCCAGGACCGGGTGGGAATCCTGGCCCTCCAAAACGTTGTCCATAAGGGGGGTAAAAGCCTCCTTGGAATTGTGGTTGAGGGGGGTAACCAGGTGGAGCGGGACGCGGGACCTGGGACTGCTGAGGTGGTTGAGAGGGAGGGAGAGGTCCTTGAGGGGCGGGTCCTGGGCGAGACATGCTCTATTTTACAAAGTTAGCGAGAAGTCCTTTGTAGAGCCTAAAGACAAAGCTGTAAACAAGAAGCGAAGTCCATGATCTTATCAGAAGGAAGGCAACGGAAATATCCACATGGTTTTGCGCATTCGGAACAGGTCTGTGTTTACATCCGAAAGTATTTCATCATTTGATCATGTTTACCGACTGTGAAGTCGGTGGACTTGCGGCAGCAGCTACGACTAAGGGTGGCGGCAGTTGATTTTTCGTGGTTTGACTTACTCCTAGGATGGCAGGATCATCAGGTACCTGCGGAGGCTCTGGGGTTGCATCTTCCTTCTTGTCTTCGGCTACACTGATGTCCTTTACATCACTGCCACGAAAAACGATGTATTCGTAGATGCTGGCGGATGGAGGGATCTCCTCTGCTGGGTTGCCTCGCCGGCCCTCGGTACCGAAGGATACGACATTTTCAAGGGCTATTGTGGAAGCTTCAGGGTTGATCTCATGTAAAGTACCCACATAGCTGTGGAGGGGGGTCAGTAAGATGCTATGCTACCGTAGGATAACCCTCTCCGAGGGTTAGAAGTGATGGTACATACCGAATGTCACTCTTGGAGATCAGGTTGAACCGCTGACTGCCAGGTGTTAACTCCAGCCTAGCCGCACAAACCCTGGCTCAGACCAGTAGGCATTGAAGACTGACCCTATAAGATGGTTCATATCCATGTTGAAGGGAGAGATGCGCGTCAATCGCGCAAGAGAAAAAAAGGAAAGAAACGGTGGAAGAGAAGAAAAGGGGAGGGGACAGTCGTTTAAAAGGAAGAGAAAATAGAGAGAGAGGAGAAAAAAGGAAAGCGAAGGAAGAGAAAAGAAGAGAAAAGGTCAAAGTGGCTCGTTTTTGTGGTGGGAAAAGCTTTCGGGATACGGCGGGCGGCAGGAGCTCGAAGTGCAGTTCCTTCGTTTCTTTTGCCGGAAACAAATCCATCCAGATGTTACTCCACTCCTGCATTCTCCAACTAGAACTCTTCCAATTCTAGAGTATCTATGTGAACCCGTGAACAATCACCTATTCCTTATTATTATTCTGTGTATCTATCTATTTACCAAACAAAGAAACAATCAATCAATATGTCCCGTTCTTCCCATCGGGATGATTTCTTTCAGACTACGTTCGTCCCTCATACTAGAGCTTTTTGAATTCTTCTTCACTCGGTCTCCCCAGTCGCTGATTTTCCCTCCCGTATTTCCAGGGCTGCGCTTGACGACCAGAAGCGAAAAGACCTTAAATCTAAAAATACCAATGGAGATCCCATCAGATTACAAAGTAAGATCTTGGCGGTTGTGGCAGACCCTCTGAATCCTGGTGCCGTATTCGTTGCGCAGAGTGGTGGCACGGTCAGGAAGATTATACTCGAAGTAGGTGCACGGTGTCCTTCTTGTCGGATGCCTCGCTGGGATACGTAACTAAGCCAATCGTCATCTTCCTCCTTTCACTTGCAGACAGGTGAAACGGCTGCGCTTTATAAAGGACCAACGGCCCCCGTTACGAGCATCTGCTTTAGCCCCGACGGTCGGTTACTATTTGCTGGTTGCTGGGACAAATACGTCTGGTGCTGGGATGTGGCTTCGAAGGAAGTAAAACGAAAATATGAAGGTCATACGGACTTTGTAAGAGCGGTGGTCAGTACCCGGCTCCAGGAAAAGGATGTCCTCGTCTCTGGCGGGGCCGATGCACAGATATTAGTCTTTGACATTGAGAGCGGCGAACGGCTCTCTATCCTCAAAGGACATGCCAAGGGCATCCAGGGGCTTGCTGTAGATCCCGTCTCTTTAGATTCTGACAGCCAGGAGCTTGTCGTCTTCAGCTCTGGCAGCGATCGTGAAATCCGTCATTTCGACATCGTCGGTGGTAGTAAAGACCTGACGGGCACCGATGCTATCCTAGTTCATGATACAAACGTGTACAAGCTCTTCTTTGACCGTGATGCCGATTTGTGGACTGCTTCTGCAGACAAAACCGTCAAGTGCCTCGCGAGAGACAATGGGTGGAAGCCAAATCTGACGATAACTCACCCGGACTTCGTCCGAGATGTAGTTGTTTACGAGCAGGGTGGCTGGGTCGTGACAGGTGGCAGAGATGAAGAGGTTCGAGTATGGAACCGATCGGTGGGTGGCCCTATTAAATCGCACCTACTGGCGTCTTTATTAATACCATAACAGACTGGACAGCTCCATCATACTTTCTCTGGTCATTACGAGGAGATCACGGGCCTCGTACTCCTGGGATCAACGGTGGTCAGTGTCAGTATCGATGCCACAATCCGTCGGTGGTCCTTGAAGCCCAAAGATCTGCAGATCGCAGTAGAGAAGGCCAAGAACACACCGGCTGATGACGAGGAACAGCCAAATACCGAATCAATGCTCACAGAGGAAGAAGAACGTGAGTTAGCAGAGCTCCTAGAAGAGGATTGATTCGGGAATTCACAGGCGAGCTGTGACTCCATACTCATCATTAGTGAGAAGCATTCCCTATGAGCGGCTAATCATACCACCTTAAGAGGTGAAAAAATAATGTAAATATAAGCCCCCTAGGCCAATGACATACATACCCCATAATATATCCCAACTTACTCATGGAAAATCGTAGTCTTCACACCCCCTAGCTCAATATTTTCATCATTAGCCTTGGGCGGCTTATCCCAGTTCCTCCTCACCCTCGCCCTTACCCACTCCCCAGCAGATACCTGCGAGTCCTCGCTCTCATCCTTCTTAAACCCCAAACGCCTCAACAACGGACTCTCCACCGTCCTCAAATCCAGCCCATCCCCCGGCCTAACAAAATACAAGACCCCCAACCGATCAATATGCGCCTGATCGGGCGGCGGCGCAACAACCCGATGCACACTACTCTTCAAATACCCATTGGTCCAAAACTGCAACGCATCCGCAATATTGACCGTAATACTATTCGGATAAGGCTTAACATACTTCCACACGCCCTCAGGTGTTTTAACTTGCAACGCAGCAACAGGCTGCCGGAACAACAACGTCAAGCTCCCGAAATCCGTATGTCCGCGCGACCACAGATTTTGATGTCTCGCGTTCTCCTCGGCGCTGCGCGCCCGGTAGATCATATACCGCAGGTGGCAGTCGCTGGGCCCGTCATATGGGTGGCCGCGTACGAGGAAGTCCTCGGGCAGCTCGAGGAGGATGGCGATTAGCCGGAACAATTTGGTGACAATCTGGTCGTAGATGAAGCGGTGGAACCGCTCGATCTCTTCGTAGTGGCGGAGGATTACGTCCGGGTGGGACCGTGCGTACCGTGGGATGAACTTGAAGACGTTATATAGTTCGATGTTGTCGCGTAGGCCGGGCAGGATCTCGATTGCTCCGAGCGGTCGGTAGCCGTTGTAGTTGCCTGCTTCGAGGTCTGCGCGATGTCGCAGTTTTTCGGACTCGGGGAGCTCGAATAACTCTTCGCCGATGGCGAATTGGCGATTGATTTCTTCGGGTGAGAGTCCGAAGTTGGTGATGTAGAAGAATCCTGTGGTTTAGTGTTGGTTGGGATGGTTGTGCCCTGGGGAAGTGGTGATACTTACCGATGTTATGGACGGCGTCTTTTAGTTGAGCTGCTAGTTTCTCTTTGCCTCCTGGGACGTCGAATCGGGAGAGATCGAGAGTGACCAGGTCGGCCCAATCGACTATGCGCGAGTTAGCAGGGCGACGCGATATGCTCTTTGAATTGCCGGGACATACGCTCATGCTTCGTTTCAGGCGCATGGACGTATTGTCTCAGGGTGGAGGAACTGGCTCCATCTGGAACAATTTGCTGTCGAGCTACTACTTCAGCCATGATCGACAGTAATAATGAGTAATAGTAGCTGGGCTTCAAAGTAGACTAGAAGTATACACTGAGCGAGGGACAGCGAAGATATCATGGATTTATTATACATACACGCCCCATAACCCCTCACTTGACATCTGCAGCTTGCTTTTGGGGTGGTGGAACACAGCAGCTATGAAAGAAGATCATAGGTCTGTCGAGACTAAGTTGACGATGATGAAAGCGTTCCCTGTGATGGCGTGAGATCTTTGCCGAGAGAAGTTACTATAGGTTGACTCAAGGCACTTAGCACTATACAAAGCCACGATCGTTGACGAACGAATTGATATATATCAGTCAACTCCTATACCCCGATATGAATATCACTAGTATTTGTCAGTTCACATGCATGTTCCTCAATAATTTCTTTTTGTTCTTCTGTCCTAGATTGTTCAGAGAATATGGTTCAGAGCAGCAGCCAGTCCAGTTATCTTTTCAGTTATTCTGAAATCAAAAAAAGGAGCATATCTACTATTCCAAGGGCTAGGTAAATAGTTTCTATAGCAAAAGAGTAGCTGGGTTCGAAACCTAACTGGCTATTGTTTGGTGGTGTAAAGTCTGTAAAGTAGCGGGCATGGTATCACTCTGGGATTGGGCGTTTGCTAAAATTACTGTCGGCTCTAGATGTAGATGCTTTTGTTATTTGAGAGCGCTTTATATCCTATTTCTAATTCTATTTCTAGGTATTCCTTACAGCGATATGAACTGGCCGAATGGATGATACTACATGGGCGAATGTGCGATCTAGCCAAGCCCTAAAGACTATGTTTTCTGGAAGATCTGGGGGCACATGTCATGTCGTGTTGGATTGAGCCCAGTTGAGTCCTAAGCAATTCAGAGACACAATTGGGAGATTTTTGTTCGATGCCATCTCGGCCAAGGCTACATAGGTATTAAGTGTAGGAATCGTCCAAGCTGCGGAAAGTGCTGCCGGTGAGGTCGACGATGCACGTTGTTCATCCGGAAATTGTTGATCCAGAGGCTGTTGTGCTTTAGTTGGTCGAAAAGAACAAGGGGGAGTGAAGGGAATGAAGGGTCAACTGTGTGGGAGAGTTGGCAAATTATCTAGATCAATCCTCTCTCTATATTTAATATCGAATTGATGTATGAACGTGGGTTAAATATAGAGTCATCGTCTCTTATCTCGGCCCCAATCCCAACAGGCTTATCTGAGGTCTCAGATCAAAAGAGTATAGTATCTCCTAGCTATAATTTAGAAACATGGCACAAGTACTAGGTTTCCTTGGGGTGAGCCAAGAAAGAGCAGAAGAAGAAAAATTAGATCTAAACAAGTCGAATTTCTTACAATGTTGCGTTTATATCAGAGATACTATGGTTATTCCCAGCTGCTGTAGTGGAATTAGAAAGTGTTGGCGCACAATGATTTATGATTGGCGTCCACTCGACATAACATCATCTGAAGATAGATAGAGGTAATCTCTTAGCTCCGCTGATCCATGTTAGTCTGACGCCCCTGGATTCTTTGTTTCGTCTTAATGTAAATAGACCTATGACTCAGATGTGTCGATAGATAGCAATTAATAAAGCAGACAATGTCATTCCCCAGCTTTTCCTTGACTTTCCCCCTCCCAACCGATGATTTCAAATGCATGACTCTTGAGTATCACCTAGTATTTCCTGGCTGAATTATTAGGCATTGAATATGACAGCGGACGAAGAATCCGCACTCCTCCGGTCTCCGACTCAAGAGAGTCCAGAATCCGAAATTGAGTCGAGACAAAAGTCTGAACGTGCCAACAAACTGGTCATCTATGGCTCATTCATTGGTAAGAGCAATACAGATTGCAAGATGGAAGGAATGTGATTCTAACAACATAATCTAGGTGTGTTTATTGCTTCCGCCGATGAGTCACTTGTCATTTCAACCTGGAGCTCTATCGCTTCGCAGTTCAACCGTCTGTCAGAGGGATCATGGTTGCTGGTCGCGTATAACTTTGGCTACTGCGTTTCATTACCAGTAGTAAGTTCTCCAAGAGGTTGTGCAGTTTGTGATTTCTTATACCTCTTAGTATGGCACTCTCAGCGACATATATGGACGCAAAAATGTCCTTCTCTGGGCTTATTCACTGTTTGCTTTAAGTTGCCTGGCATGGTAGGTTATCTCTCAACCTCATCTATTATCATCTCTGCTGACTGGAATACAATGCAGCGGTGCGAGTGGTTCTCTGATCCAGCTGATTCTGGCCAGAGTGTTGGCTGGAGTTAGCGGAGGTGGCATGATCTCCCTTGTCTCTATTATCATAACCGGTATGTCCATCACATATCCGTATTCTATAGACTAACGAGGCATAGGCTTGATGCCCCCAGACGAGGTGGCACTTTTCCGAGGGTATGCTAACGTGGTTAACGTTGCTGGTCGCAGCTTGGGTGCCCCGGTTGGGGGCTTTTTGATCGCGACACTCGGCTGGAGATGGTACGTTTCGTTGGGTTCCTGAGGGCAATCTAATAAACTAATCATATGCCAGGTCATTTCTAGGCCAGTTTCCCCTTATTATGATTTGTCTCATCGTCGCTTATTACGGCCTTCCCGCATCCTTGAACCAGAATAAGGCAGACGGCAACCACCGAGCATCGGATTTCGACTTCGGTGGCATCTTAAGCTTTGCTACGGCCGTTGTGATTTTGCTTTTTCTAATCCAAAGCTCAAGCACAACATATGCTCAGCAACTACTGCCTTGCATACTGGGACTTGCATTGGCCATTGCTGCTGCGATCTTCCTCCTGGTGGAAGCATACTGGGCCAAAAAGCCCTTGATACCTTTACACCTAGTGAAAAGCTCCTTGGGCGGGTATTTCATGGGACAAATGTTGTTGATCACGGGTCGGTCAGCAGTAAGTTAAGCATTGAATCAAGGCTGCCTTCGCCACTGACATACCGCCTGGATCTAGCTCAGCAGTAACATGGTACCATACTTCATCCGAGTTGAAAAAGCGACCGACTTTCTCGCGTCGTTTACCTACGTCGTCACCGCGGTGGGTGTGTCAGTTGGTGGACTGATTTCAGGGGCCATCATTAAACGGTGAGTTTGCATATAAATATATTTGGAGTCTCCCACTGATGTTGAGGAAAGGACCAAGCGTTATAAGACTATGACTATAGTATCACTGGGCTCTACTGTATTGCTCTCTATTCTGATTTATATCCGCTACCGGGACGGCTGCTTTACCTGGGAGCTATTCTACCTTTTCCCGTCCGGCGTGGCAAATGGCGTGCTCTTCTCCACCCAGTTCATTGGGATGTCCTTAACTGTACCTAAAGAACGCCTCGCGACGTCTATTGGAATATACTATCTCTCTCAGCAGCTGGGGTTCATTGTCGGTCCGGCAGCTTCGGTCGCAGTTGTCCAACGACTCTTTGCAAGTAGGGTTTCGGATGGGTTGGAGGGATTGAAGGAGAGACAGGTGCGTGTGGCTAAAATAAGGTAGTAAGAGTGGACCTAATGGTGTTGACCCAGCTCATCCGCCAAATTCTCAATGACTTGAGATTCTCAGAGACCTTGCCGGAAGAGGTCCAGGGAATTGTACGATCGAGCTATCTGTATGGGTTTCAGTTTGTACCGTGTAAGTTGAATATGCCTCTGAGATAGTCCGAAATTAAAATAACGGACAGGTATAGTGCTTGGTACGGTGACCACTTTGATCATGTTGCCTATCACGCTGTGGTTGAAGGAGGAAAGAATGAGATGAAACGGAAGGTAGTCCATGTCACTTATTGAGTACGGTAAATTCTTGTATCTGTACTAGTAGAAGGTTTATCATTAGACGATGGATGAGCCTGTTTTCGTGGCTGTAAGCCCTAATGAACCAGCTCCGGAGCCATTCCGTGTGCCCTGCTGGAATGGATCATGCAATCATTTGCTTACAGAAATAGCTTTATCAACCCCAAAATCCCTGACTTGTCGCGCTCGCTGTCCATAAATAGGCAAGATGGGGCTAACCCGTGGGTTTAACGATAGATTTACTAACTTTGGATGGAACGACAAAAGACTTTCCATGGGGCGTGGCTGTGATTTGACAGAGTATAGGTCTTTGGTAAGAGTTATCCGTGCAGTTCTATGAATCAACTCTATACAACAGGTCTTAGGGCTTATTAAGATATCTACATACTGCTGCCCCTCACCCTTGCTAACAACTTGATCGCATTCCCAAGATTGATCATTTTCCTCAACTCGGGGTCCATCTCATAGTTCTCAAGCTGCCAGAGTATTGAAAACAACTTGCAGTTCTCGGTTGGACAAAAGGAATTTGTTTCCCCAAGGAGACAGGAACGGAGAGAAGACGAAGCACATTGTCCTCGACTGACGCACCTCTGACGCCCCTGGGGGCTCATACATTCGCAGTTTCGGAGAAGAGTGGTTCAAGCGACTGCGATGATGCTATTCCTAAAGGAAAAGCAAAAATATAAAATAACGCATTGTACTTGTAGTATTACTTATCTTATATAGAATTACATAAATAATATAATGTTGCGAAGATTTCCCTCTAGGGTTGGCATACCTCCGAACCGCGATATGTGTAGTACCGCAGATACGCCGTTGGGGCCCTAGTAGACTTACCCGTGGCCAATTCACCACAACCTCTGGCTAGCAAGCTCCAGATAAAGCGAACCTGTAAAAGCATTTCTCTTCCCTTTTCCTAAGTATGACTTGGTGTGGTGGTTGATGATAACACTGACATTTGTTTACAGATCCCCATGAGTACATTCTTGGTTGATACATCATGAGCTTAATGCGATTAGGGTTCGGTATCTGTACCGACACTCTAGATACAGTACAAAGAGTGGTCTCCATAACTACTAACACAATGGCTATTATGGCAGTCTGGAGGCTAAAGTATTGCTACCGATGCAGCACCTGCCTGTGCGACACGATTTAATTAGTACACTTCTGGCCCCCATTCCCATCTAACCCACCAATCCCTCAATTCCTCCCCTCACCCTCCGAAACACGAACGAAAAAAAAAAGAAAAGGAAGGAAATGCCCCCGGCAAAAACCATCCTCATAAGCGGCTGTTCTGCCCACGGCATTGGGTCCGCTCTCGCCCTCACTCTCGCCCAAAAAGGTCACCACATATATGCGACCGCGCGCAATCCTTCCAAGATCCTAGGGTCCCTCACCTCACTCCCCAACGTGACTCCGCTCCAACTCGACGTGACATCCACCACATCCGTGTCGGAGGCTGTCAAGGCGATTGAAGATCGCGGATTAGGATTGGACGTACTAGTGAACAATGCGGGGTCGGGGTATACGATGCCGCTGCTGGATGCGGATCTGGAGATGGCGCAGCAGGTCTACGATACGAACGTTTGGGGTGCGTTACGGATGATTCAGGGGTTTGCGGATTTGTTGGTTGCGAGCGGAGGAAGGGTTGTTAATGTCAGTACCGTTGGGGCAGTGGTGAATACGCCTTGGATTGGTAGGTTCTTACTCTTCTTTTCTTGTCGTGCTACTGTATTATTGGTTTGCTGCTCCCTACTACTAGTGATACTGGTATTCCTTCCACCACATCTAACACTTGATACCTATACCAACCACTACGAGTACGAATCAACCACAGAGCGCTGATCAACATAGGAATCTATTCTTCCTCTAAATCTTCTCTGACAACCCTTTCCGAGACCCTTCGTCTTGAACTGGCTCCACTGGGCGTCTCCGTCCTGGCTATCATGGTGGGCACGGTGACGACCACCTTCCACGCCAACGAACCAGAGGTGATCCTTCCGCCGACCTCCCGCTACACCGCTATCCGAGATACTATATCGCGGTGGGCGACGGGCCAAGCCGGTCCTAAGGGCTGTTCGGTAACGGAGTTTGCGGAGTCAATTGCCGATGATGTTCTGGGGGAGAAGGGCGTGGTCTGGAGAGGACCGTACAGTGCTGCGATGCGGTTTTTGAGTCGGTGGTGCCCGGGGTGGTTACTGGATCAGATGATGAGCAGTGGACAGGGTTTGGATCAGTTGGCTAAAAGGTAAGGTAGGGCCTATAGCATGGAGCATTTAAGAAATTCATCTGAAGCACTGATCGAGGCATTTCGTCTTTTGTGTTTATTTACTTTAGGGTACTTATTGATGATGATAATCCACGTTTAATCCGGCAGTTTGAACCCTCCAGGCACATTGACCCTAAACACACCTTTTGGGTCGACGTCCTGGCTCACCCGCTTCAGATTCTCAATACTCTTACTCTTGTAGCTGGCGATCGGGTCCTGCCACGGCGCTGCGTAGTTAAGGTAGACGAAAGACTCGTAGACATCTAACTTGCACGCATCGTCCTCAATATTCTCGAAAAGCTCGCGCGCAGCTTTCTCGACTTTCGCATCGTCCACCTCATCGCTCCAGGTCGCGCTAAGAAGCGTCACAACCAGCGAACCAGATATATCATCCAGACCCATCGCATTCGTAGACGAGCCACGAGCGTAGATAGCCGGCGGCAGCGGCTCAAGCGAAATAGACCAAACAATACCCGGGACGTCCTGCACAGCCGCCAGGCTCGCATTCCAACGCTGATAAACAGCCTTCAACATCGAAACCGTTGAACCATGCGTCGTAACCACACCCAACTGTCTTGACCATCGTTAGCTACTCAAGGACCACGATCCAAAAAAAAAGAGACGCCAAAACCCACCGATTCCCATCCGGCGAAAACGACCCCTGCTCCACCGCAATCTCATGCATCCCCGCAATCCGCATCGTACTATGCACCCTTGGAATCTCCATAAACCCCCTAAACACCTCCGGGTTCTCCTCCGCCCGTGTATACTCCAAACTATTCACCACAGCCGCGCCCTTTCCCCCTGCAAACCCGAAACTGGTAATCAGTGACGCATACTCGTCGTACTCCTCCGCCGAGTTCAAATCCACAAACGCCTTCACTTGCTCATCAACAGTCGACACATCATGATACACACTCCCACCCCACACAGGACCCTGCTCGAACGCCTTCATGTCCACTCGCGTCACAACACCGAAATTATTCGAACCCCCACGCAACGCGAACAGCAACTCCGCGTTCTCGTCCTCATTCGCATTAACGATCGTCCCGTTTGCGAGAACAACTTCGAAATTCACAGCTGAGTCACACGTCCAGCCGTACCGCGGCGAGAAATACGATATGCCGCCGCCGGTCGTTAGTCCCCCGACGCCTACTTGGGCTGCGCGGCCGCCGGAGACGGAGAGGTTGAGCGGGTCCAGGTGGGCGTATACTTCGCCCCAGGTTGCGCCGGCGCCGATAGAGGCGATCGTGTGGTCTGAGCTTACGGTTGTGCTGTTGAGGTTCTGGAGGGAGAGGGTTATGCCGGAGGCGATGTTGGAGGCGCCTGGGGTGTAGGCGTGGCCGCCGGACCGGATTGCGATGGGACAGTTTGGGATGGAGGTTAGGGTTGTTAAGGCGGTGGAGATTTCTTCGGGGCTTGTTGGGGTGAGGATGCAGTAAGGTTGGAGGTGGGCGTTTTGTTGGGTGAAGTAGCTGTCCAGCGAGGCTTGGTAGGTCGGTGTTCCTGGGAAGGAGACTAGGGGCCCGAAGAGGGTGGACAGGGCTAGGCACTTTGGAGTGTTAGATATTGGCTTTGGGGATGGGGTGAGTGTGGGTTTGGTACTTACGCAGGTGCTGGCGTTTGGGGCTGTGGTGTTGCCGGAGAGGGAGATTGAGCGGAGTAGTTCCATGGCTAGGTATAGATAGGGGGCTTTTTTTTTTGTTTTTTTGTTATGATTAAGTCGGTGACGGTTTGACTTCGGGGGTGCGTTTAATGTTTATAAGGACGCAATCGGCTTACCTCATGGCTGCGGCTTACTGCATTAGCCTGAGAACCGAGCATTGATGTATGGATCCCCGTGCTTTTAGATTCTGAGTTTGTGCTTCATCCCGGGCTGCTCCGTATGCTTGCCAAATTTACAGCTATCTAATAGACAAGATAGACATCGAAGCGAGTCTATTGGTGTGTGTCTTTCTGATACCGCCTGTCATTGAAGCCGTAAGTAACCCAAAGCTACATGAGTCCCGAATATTCAGATTTACTATCTTACTGACTTTGGGTAGTGCGAGGTGCTTTCGAATGAACAGAGGTCGTGGGTGCAAATCCAGCCAGGGCGGCATATAATGTCTCAGTGTCATCGTATTGGTCGCAGCAAGAGCAATTAGTCGCCCCTTCCTGTATTCTGTTGGCTAAATCAACCTGGAATTTCTCCAAGGCCAGCGAATCTTTGGCCCAAATCCTGCAAGTTCGCTGTTCGCAGTGGTGACCATGCCGCACTGACTGGCGGTGCCAACATTCAAATGGAGTGACCATCAACCTCAGTAGCTAGGACTAGATTGGGTCATCTTGCAAACAGCTCACACGTCTCAGTTAGTCCGGGACAAACATTGGGCAAACTTTAGCCTACGCTACTACTGATTCATTGAGAGTATCGGCACCCAGAAGAAGAAACGATCCTGTGGGTGTTAGTGGTAGCACCCTAGGGGTCTATTGAATTCTTTACCCTCGAGATTTGGATGAGTGCGTCTGATAACTGACTAGTCCCCCAAGTGGATCCGGGCACTTTGCTATACCACTAAAAGGTTGTCAATCGAACTAATTAGATCCCAAAAAGACGCATCTTATTCGTTTGGCGTTTTATGCATAGTGTATATCAAAGAAGCAGACAAAGGCATAATGACCGGGTAGACGATGCATTGCCCATCTAGCCGTAACGTCCTGAGTAGAGTATCTTGAAGATGTACCAAGACTATCGAGCATCCACTAACTGATTACGAAGCGCTCCGTTCCAAGGCTTGGATTGCCGGGGGGGAGGGGAACCTAAGAAGGTTGTCAGCTATTGACCTGGAGGTCAGCATAAGTGGTGAGATGCTTTTGACCATACCTCTCAAACCAAGTAAGCTGAAGACACCCAGGCTACCTGAGGTCATCATGGTGGTTCACTTCATACACTCTGACATCAGGTGGATCTAGTGCGCCAGCGCAGGCAGGGTTTACAGCAAGGAAGCATTGTGAAATTGCTTTGGCCATGACTCCGTTGGATCTAGGCATTCCGAAACCTGTAGAACTGCCCTTAGAGCATTGGGGAACGGCTTCAATTTTTGTTTAAATTGCCAGAAAGTGGGACTACGTCAATTGTATTATATAAAAATAAAGTGGAACCGATGATATGCTCTTGAATCCTGCTAAAGAAAAGACGAAGTAAAGAACTCATGCAAGCCTTAGTAGGTCACTGGACTTAGGGCAAGGTAGGGCACGCTGAAGGCGCCGCAACGGGAAAGCGTGACGGGAGAACCGCGATCCTTCAGTTTCATCCACCCGACTCAGCTACCAACATTTCGCAAGGTCTTAATAAAACCTCACATACCATTAATCCTGGGATGATTTGCCGCTTCCCTAATTGGACTCGGAGGAGTCCCAGTAGAGGGACTGAACTGGAAGGCTAGGATACTTAACGATGTGTGCCGCCGCGTCTTGCTTGAACACATCGAAGTCCAGCAAGTCAGTTCCATCTCTATCTGCGAACGGGACAGAAAAATTGCGAGACAGGTGTCGTACTAACAATCAAGTAATCACCAACTCTAAGGGGAGGGGCATGTGGCGAGGGGACTCAGCTCGGTCGGATCATGAAGTTCAATCAGTTCGAACCCCAGCTCCTGGTCTCTGTTTGGCTCGATAATTGCTGTTGTGAAACTCGATTGCACCGAGCAGCACGTAGTAAAGAAGAGTCCCTCTTCCTGCGCTGCGTTGCAAACAATTTCGCTCACAGAGCAGGGCTGATGGTCAGCCCGACGTTGCATTTCCAATTGGTTCTCGCGCAGGATCTCCATAGCCCTACGGTCTGGGAAATGCTCCAGATGACATAGCAGAACGTTAAAGGACGGGCCGACCATCTAGTCAATGTTAAAGACGGGACGCCACAGCCCGACACCAGGGTTCGGAAGCAGACTACAGTGGAGCTGCTATAGTGAGAGAGTACCAGGCCCCAGGCTAACTGGAAGACGTTGGTCAATTTTAGAATGTTACGCCACTAGAAAAGATCCAGGTCGTTAATGCCCTTCAGCATCAGACTCTGGGACTGCAGTTGTGGTGCTATGTGTGAAGTAGGTGATGTAAGGTGAAGTTTCGGGGAGAGATTGGGAGATTGGGTTTAACTTCACATGGCCACCAGTCCAATATACTATATCTACGGACAAATATATTCTGTAAACACTCGTATCACCTCACGACTCCTACTTGAGGCTGTAAGGCCTTGCAACAATTAAAGGAGTGAAGGTATGCGGTTACCAGAATCAGATTAACGTCATGATGTTCTGGATATTTACATCAACTAGTAGTACTGGGCTAAGCTAACTTCCCGTACTCACCTTAGAGATGTTTTATGAACTTGTGATCATGCAACCAGACAAGCGCTTGTCTCTTGTCATTCCTAAACCGCTACATCGTAGGTTCTACGCTCAATACTCACTAGGAGGCGGTTACTGAACTAAAAGCAGAGTGGCACTGGCTCAACGCATGGAACACCATACTCTTGTTGTGTTCGCACATCTCCACATCGTTTGTATTAGATGTACGTGCAGCATCTCATATATTATCTTAAAAGATTTAATTCGTACGTGGAGATGTGCGATAACAGTCCGCGAGTGACTTGGCCAGCAATATGGAAGCTTTCTCCTACTTGTCGAAAGCTAACACCCAGCATCTCATCCCTGAAAGCGAGGATAATTCCAGAAACACGGTGCCGTATCGATATTGTGCAGTCAGGCAAGAGACGAAAGAGCAGCAAATTATCGCTCCTGGATATCCTCCTCGACAAGGCTATAGAGAAGAATACCACAAGGACGGGCAAACGTGCAGACGAGGAACAGCAGATGGACATACTAGCTGAGACGATTTTTTCTTATTTGAATCCGGAGTCCCAATAGGCTTTACCATAAGCAGTATGATATGCCAAGTCATGAAGACACTGGAATATATCGATCCTCTGACAAGAGATTACAGAAGTTCTGCAACGCTTCCGAGTCGAATAGGTATTTGATCTGCTTGAACATACCCGTTAGCTGGAAAGCTTTCTCCGAGAGATTCTTCTCCTGTACGGTGTGTAACTGTGTACGAGCCTCAACTGCAACTTCTTCTGCAATCGTCCCACACATACGACAGAAATAGTGACTAAAATGTTGACATCATTAGACCTGTATCTCTCGCCCTGTCACGCAGCCAGTTCATATAAATACTCTGAACCTCGAACCCCATACCGGGCCAAAATATCACATTGCCCATACGAGACATTCACACAGATCCCGACAATTATTCAGACCCATTGAAGTTTGACGGCTATCGCGTCCACGATCCAGTCTCTGGTACTTGTAGCAATTAGGCAACTACAGCCTCTGAGACATATTTACCTTTCTCCCTTAGTACTTCTCTTTGTCCTGGGCGATTGATAGCTGCTAGGACCGCGCAGGTTACGTTTGCGAAGAACTTATTGGAATACGATGTACAGCCTGTGGCAGGAGCAGAAGGAATCCCTTCTAATCTAATTGGTCTGGGATTTTTTTTTTTTTTTCCAAACGGTGCTATTATGATGCGTGCGAAAAAGCGTCAGGGTAGTTCAGTTAGTCTTACTTTGAAGTATCTTGCTCTTCGATTCAAGTTCCAGGTCTTGTTTTGTTTTCATACTCTTACAGAGGGCAGAGGATGGTCTTTAGTTCATGTATGTACGTATACTTTCAAGTGGAATTTAATAATTTTCTCGAGTTGTGAAGTGGATATAAATGGATGACTCAGCTACCCCAGTCACATGACGGTATTCGATGCATGGATGACGCAGGACGGGCGACGATCTCCCGGATGCGGGTCAACAGGCCTATCGAAGGCCATCTCTCTTCCTACCCTCTTCCCCCCTCATGGTTCCCTTTGTGTACAACTATTATTTACTAGTAAGTACCCTTACACCCGACTCTCGACGATCAGTAGCTTAGCCCCTTGGGTCTCACTTATTGTGCCAAACTATTCTCTGGATATCAACCCGCCCACTTTTGCCCCTCACGCGAGCGGCTAGACCCGGCGTGTCTTTACACTGCTGCAGTCGGTCAGCATTCACTGTGGCGTGGGGTTCACAGAGACGCAAGATGGCGGCTCCATCAGACATGCATGCGCACGTTCATCACAGCGCGACAGATGCGGGGCCTAAGCTCGTCAACCGACTGCGCGACAGCAGGTCACCGTATGTGAGAGCCCATATGAATAACCCGGTCGCCTGGCAACTATGGGACGCGGAAGCTATCAATCTGGCCAGGCGCTATAACCGACTGGTATTCCTCAGTATCGGCTACTCAGCCTGCCACTGGTGCCATGTCATGGAGAAGGAATCCTTCATGTCGCCCGAGGTGGCTTCCATATTGAACGAATCATTTATCCCAATCAAGATTGACCGAGAGGAGCGACCCGATATTGACGATGTCTACATGAACTATGTTCAAGCTACCACGGGCTCTGGAGGCTGGCCGTTGAACGTATTCCTTACCCCGGACCTGGAACCGGTGTTCGGCGGCACCTATTGGCCCGGACCCAACTCTACCACGCTACTAGGAAATGAAACGATCGGTTTTGTAGAAATCTTGGAAAAGTTGCGAAACGTTTGGCAGACGCAACAGCAACGGTGTCTAGAGAGTGCGAAGGAGATCACAAAACAACTCCGGGAATTTGCCGAGGAAGGAACACATTCATACCAAGGAGACCGCGAAGCGGACGAAGACCTAGACATCGAACTTCTGGAAGAGGCGTACCAACATTTCGTGTCGCGTTATGATTCCGTACACGGAGGCTTCTCGAAGGCACCCAAGTTCCCGACCCCTGCCAACCTAAGCTTTCTTCTCCGGTTGGGGGCATATCCGAATGCCGTCTCGGATATTGTCGGGCAAGAAGAATGCGAGAAAGCGACCGCGATGGCAGTCCATACGCTTATCAGTATGGCACGGGGTGGCATCCGGGATCATATCGGGCATGGATTCGCACGATACAGTGTCACCTCGGATTGGAGTCTTCCTCATTTTGAAAAGATGCTTTACGACCAGGCACAACTTCTCGATGTCTACGTGGATGCATTCAAGATAACACACAACCCCGAGTTGCTGGGTGCTGTATATGATCTAGCCACTTACCTGACAACTTCTCCTATTCAGTCACCTACCGGTGCGTTTCACTCTTCGGAAGATGCGGATAGCTTGCCGTCACCAAACGACACGGAGAAACGGGAAGGGGCGTTTTATGTTTGGACCCTGAAGGAGTTGACACAAGTACTCGGCCATCGAGACGCTGGAGTCTGTGCCCGCCACTGGGGTGTCCATCCTGACGGTAATGTTTCACCTGAAAATGATCCACACGACGAATTTATGAACCAGAATGTTCTTTCCGTGAAAATAACGCCCAGCAAACTGGCACGGGAGTTTGGATTAGGAGAAGAAGAAGTGGTAAGAATCATCCGATCGGCGAAGCAGAAATTGCGCGAGTATCGAGAAAGAACTCGAGTTCGCCCTGATCTGGATGATAAGATCATTGTTGCCTGGAACGGGCTAGCCATCGGTGCACTCGCAAAGTGTAGTGCTCTGTTCGAGCAAATTGAAAGTTCCAAGGCAGTGCAATGTAGGGAAGCAGCGGCAAAAGCGATCAGTTTCATTAAAAACAATCTCTGTGAGAAAACAACCGGGCAACTATGGCGGATCTATCGCGATGGAGGCAGAGGCGATACTCCCGGGTTTGCTGACGACTACGCGTATCTGACCAGCGGCTTGTTGGATATGTATGAAGCAACATTCGATGACAGCTATCTACAGTTCGCAGACCAGCTTCAAAGTATGTTTTCTGTCGAATCCTGATCTAGCCATTACTAACAACTCTACCAGGGTATCTAAATCAGAACTTCCTTGCCTATGTGGGATCGACCCCCGCAGGCTATTATAGTACCCCATCCAACATGACATCAGACATGCCGGGTCCTCTGCTTCGTTTGAAGACCGGAACCGAGTCAGCCACCCCATCCATCAACGGAGCCATTGCACGCAACCTGCTGCGTCTCGCCAATCTGCTCGAGGACGATGATTACCGGCTTCTCTGTCGCCAGACGTGTCATTCTTTCGCAGTTGAGATTCTGCAGCACCCATTTCTGTTTGTCGGGTTGCTCGATGCCATTGTCGGACTAGAAGCTGGCTCACGAAACTTCACAGGCGTTCTCTCTACAACACTTCTACCTGAAACAGGACCCGGATCGTCAGATCGCCTGAACACCAAATCTGACGAACCAACGTCAGTGCGGGACCTAATCGTGCAGAGACTTCGGACAGAGGCCGGCCGGGCTATATCAACCTCAACAACCACCATCTCCCTCATCGACATCCGTCCATCCCACGTGGGAGACTTCGTAGGCAATCAGTCCTTCTGGTTGAAGACTCGGAATAAGTTGTACAAGGACATCAAAGCATCCGAGCCGGCCAAGAACCATATACTAGTTTGTGAGGGCGGGAGCTGCAAAATGGTCGATGTATGATCGTGCAGGTTTCCAGTCCCCATTTCGATTCTAGGGCTCTCGATATTCTTCGAAATTTTTTTACGAATTTGGAGGCTTTTTGCAATTAGCAATTGGTTTCAATCTCTGTCTATTCAAGATGAGATGTCTGGACAGAATGTCTATAATCAGACCCCGCAGTATCAATTAACATAGGGACTCAATCTATAAATTGGAAAATTTGCGCTACATATAAATTACCATGAAATCAACCCTACCACCAAACCACTCAAAGCAAGAGACACACCGCACTACATCACAGTACATAATACATACATAGTAACTCCATAGAAAATCCCAAATGATAATATACGATATGGTATGATATCAGATTCACCCGACCCGATCCGAGTAAATAAAAGATTAAAAAATACATTAAAAAAAGCCCACTCAGCAAATATTAGCTCGCCTCTGTTTCAGGTTGATTAGGCCTGGTAATTGGTCTGTTGATCGTCATTTAGTCTGGAGCCCTTCGGTTGATATGTGATTTTGTGGGGAGATCTTTTTATTAGGTGTATTTTACATTGCTACATACTTTATTTGATTTTATTGAAGGGGTTTTAGGGCTGGTTTTGGGGCTTTTGGGGGGTTTGGATGAAACGGTGGTGGGTGAGTGAGGGAGGGATTTTGGCGATCTATTTCTAATGTTGTATGGGGTGGGATTCAAGATTCTGTGCTTTTTTTTTTGATTTTAATTAAATGATGAGGGGATTGTATAGTTGGCCCATTGGGTCGGGATATGATTACTTTGTAAGGAGTACTGAGTGTTTGAAGGTGTTAATTGGAACAGGATAGATTAACGAGGGACCATCTTGATGTATAACTCTTAGTACTCGGTAACACATGAATTCAAGCTGGATCGCCGAGCTGGATAGAATAGGAGTTTCTCCAAGACGAAATGTCCCTTATGAGAAGCCAAAGCCAAGAGACTCCTTCCCCCTTCTCTTCTTCCCCCGAGTTGACCATTGTTCCTCGGCAATGTATGAATGTGCTTAGGTTGTGACTATGTCTATAGTAGGACTACTTAGTTGAAACCATCAGTCATTGAAAATGGTTCGTTAAGCATCATGAGTCTAGTAATCCTATGAACAAGTAGGCATCGGCGGGTGTGCTTTGAGGGCATAAATCCCGCGTGAGTCATTATAGACATCCCGCACCCCCAAATAAATCATAATTTTTTTTCATCAACAAGCCTAGAAGCTGAGCACGTCTATGTGTCCGTAACCTGGCTCGAACCGCATGTTAGCGGCTGGGTAGAGATCTGGCGAGGTCAAGATGGAGGCTTGCTCGAAAAGGAAAAAGGTAGAAGGGGTTCAAAATCGAACTAGTGCCATCATGGCCATCAGCAGCTGTTGGAACCAGTGGCATCTAGGTAAAGACCCGTACGCAACAGTCCGCGCTCCCCGTTGCGATGACGCACCGATAGCCAGGCTTGGCGCCGTCTTTCTTAGGCATTCCGTTGGTTGTTTCAGAAGTCTCAGCATCGCTCGTGTTGCTGGGTGCCCACCGAATACAACTGACAAAATGCCCGTGGGCATTGTCAATTGTTTTCACCAGTCTCCCTTCTTGGGAGAGATCCCAGCAGCGTATTGTTTTGTCATCCGCGACACTGAACAGATACTTCCCGCTGGGATGGAATACAAGCCCTCTGACCCAATTGTCATGGCCCACAAGGGTCTTGATTAGCATCCCCCGGGAGTCCCATAACTTTATTGTTTTGTCTCGGGCTCCAGTCGCGATATATTCGAACGAACTACTCGTAGGAGGTTTCTTCAAGCCGGCAAGGGTTGCTAAATGTTCATAACTTGCTGGCGGCGCAAACACACAGCATTCAATGAAGTTTTCGTGGCCTAACAACACCGCTTTTGAGTCGGCCGACGAAACTTCCCAAATTGTTGCTGCTTGATCACGACCACCTGATACCAGCCATTTACCATCGAAGGATGGCGACACGTCCCGGATCCATGAGCCCTGTGAATTGATGGCTTTTACACAATATCCGGTCCCGACGTCCCATATTCGGATAGAGGCATCTCGACTGGCAGAGACGAGAAGGTTCCCCGTGGGCGTTAAGAAGCGCACGGCGGAGACGGAGTGGTCGTGACCGGAAAGTGTTCGAATATTCGCGTAATCTTTGCTCGGATCCCACAGCTTGATTGTGAGATCGCTCGAACAGGATGCTAGCAGAGTGTGACCTTTCTGCCCACCAAAATCAAGGCCTGAGATAGCCCTTATATGACCCTTCAGGGTCCTTTCCAGCTCCCCGAGTTCCCAATCCCAAATTTTGATGGTGCAATCTTCGGAACCCGAGGCAAGCGATGTAAATACAGGGTGGAATGCGACGCATGTGACGGCGTCTCTGTGTGATTCGAATACATGTGTTGGCGATGTTCCTGGAAGCCAATTTGTGGGATCTTGGCGTTTTGATCGCGCTGTGGGCGCGGATTCGAGCTCGGTCTGCAAGCTGGCAATCTTGGACTCTAGATCCAATATCTATACAATCATAGGTTATTTCCTTTTCCAACAAGCGCCTATGATATCTCGTCCCTACCTTTCGTTGCAGCCGAGCAACTCCTGTCCATTTCCTCTCCAGCAGCCCCTCATACTTCTTGCTCGTCGCCTCGTCGAAACTATCGCCAATCTGGAGCTCTTCCCGTAGCGCCGCAGAACTCTGGGAAGCATTAATTCGTGAAAGGTAGGCAATTATGGACTTGTGCCTGGTTGCGCATTAGCGGGTGGTCGTTGCGGGCAAAGTGCGAATACCGACAGCTCCTCCGCTTGCCTGCTCGTCAATATTTGGCTCATGGTGGTCACGCTCTGTCGCAAAGCACCTAATTTCAAAAGTAGGCAGCTTAATCTATGGCATCTTTTTCTTGGTTTATAGCGTGATAGGAAGCCGGGACCAGAATCAAGGTACGGAACATCGTAGAGCACATGAATGGCAGAAGTATAGCGCCCAACCGCGCACAGCGTTCACTCCACAATAGTCACAGCACTTATGGATCATGTGACTCCAAACACGCCAACCTTCTGACCGCCCACGGTGATGAGGGGAACGAGCAAAACAAACACAACAACAAAGCATCGGGCACGTGCTCTTTGCCCAAGTCTTTTCAGTAGATTTATAGTAGGGTTAACTTCCAGTGATAAATTTCGCCTGAGCGGAATAGGCTTAATTTAGATTCAAGATTAAATCTCTAACTTCTAAAAGTTAGTTCCAAGGCCATCTATGAAGTTAAGTATTTTGACAAGGCATGCAAGAGACTGACTGTTTAGGTTGTCTGATCTAAGCACGTTACTATGGAAGAATGCTGAACCCTGGCATGACCTCACATTCACCCCTGAGACTAGGCTGCGGGGCATGAATGGTGGAGTATTAGCAATTGATGGCTCGGCTCGCTTGAGGAAACCACCTCACACACACAGAAGGAAACTCTGCCATTGAGCTTTTATGTTATACCTGTCGTGTTGACCTCATATTCTGTGAATTATCCCGGGTTAGACTACCACGACAAGTCCAGGCAGTCTACGGACCGTTTTTTGTCAAGTTCCAGCGGAGCTATTACCCTTAATGGCGCTACTATACCAGCGTTACATCGATAGGGTGCCCAGTGTCTACTGACCTCTTTATTTCAGGAGACAGCTTCAGTTACGTTGCCTCGGCAGCACGGGATAGCTTCATCGAACCAAGAACCCTTCCTCGGCATCGACGAAGTATCCTACTCCGTCATTTTCTCTATGAAGGAGGTTGGTGCCATGCGCAACATGAGATGGCAAAAGGAGCGGAAACCCTAGCCTAAGCACATTCATGTTCCACTTCAGGATGATGATAGCGTATTCCTGTATAGGGTACGTGCAGCCATTATCCACCTGCTCAACTGTTTCTCCTAAATAGCGAGGCTTGGTGGCCATATAGACCCAGACCGAGAGACTCTAGGATAGACGATATTGAAGGATCAGACAATCTTAGACGCTGTGCGGATCTGCGCTCTCCTGTCAAGGAACAAATTTCGATATATCATTCTAATCTACTCACTCCTGGTCCCTCTGTGGACCATCGTTATCCATGCTTTCATACCTATAGGTTAAGGAACGCCTCTATTCCCAAAGCCAATTGACCTGCCATATCTCAACCATGCTCTGTATGCATGAGTAGGATTTTAGATTCTACACAAGGGCAGATTCTTGTCACATGGCTAAGTTAATATGTGATATCCTGCCCTTAATTGGACCACAGCCTTCATTGCTGAAAGGCCACTACTGAGTGTATAAAGTGTCACAGAGTATTATATTAAAGATCACGCATCTCCAGGTGTATAAGGTGGTCATTGTAGGATAGTCTTGTAACGGATGCCTAAAGTCACGATGGTGTTACCAAATGACCCGCAACAGCTGGCGTTGTCTACGATGGGGAACTTGGAAGACCCTCATGACAAACAAACGTTAGTAAAAAGGTAAAACATTATGTTATACAATCCATCGACCGACGGTCCTCTGGAGTCTAGGACCCCTTGTGTGGACACGCTGGCTAGGTCGGAAGGAGTTAGGTCCTGTACATAGCCCTGGAGGACTCTAAATAGTATTATCAATGAGGAATTTGTCGTGTAACTGACCACAATGAACACATCTTTACGACGTCGTTATTTAGGGGGACCCCGGGTTACACTGCATTAATGTAGGGAGGGTATTATATCGTGTCTGTATGTACCATGTATGTACATACATACATACATACATACATACATACGAGTCATGTACTGTGGTGTACATGAATCTCCCCATTCCAATCCTCATCCACGTGGAAGCCATAGATGTATTTATACGTTAAAAACAATGTCTTCGGAATTTTGATAGACATACTTTATCGTATAAAGTTCCTACTACACTAAGAAAAATAAGTTAATTACTCGGGAGACCGACCGCTTGACAGATCATGACAGATCAGCCAAGACAACCATTCTTCCCTAAGATTATAAAAAATTTGCCCGACCAGATCATATCGATGGGTAGCTCGACTCGGCAACGGTACTTGTGACCCGTTCGGCTAGACCGCCCAAGGCGCTCTGGACTCCTGGAGGCAGCTCAGACAAGGAAAAGCCAGTGAGACCGAGTGGACTGGCGTAGCATCAGACCGGAGGTAAGCTGAGGCTAGACGCAGTCAGTGGACAGTCAGTATCCATGGGATATGGGGCAAATCTCCGAGGACGCGGAAGATGAAACAGTAGTGAGCGCCAGAAGGTCTCCAGAACGGAATTAACCCCTGGTTGGGTGGTCCGTTCATTTACCCTCGTGGGTGGCGTATCGGATTGGTCCTTCGTGGTTTGATGAACGGCGTTTCACGGGTTTGGGATGGTGAACTTTCTTCTTGCTTGTCCTTGTTTTAAAAAAAAAAAAATTAAATAAATAAAAATAAATTTATACTCTGTATATGTTTTCATTTTTATACCTGTTCTTTTCTTTTGTCTTCCGACAGGGTCAGTTTTACTCCAAACGATACATTCATTGTTGTTTCTGAATGCCATTGACCAAAAAGGAAAAAAAGTAAGTTGAGCAATGGCAAAACACTGCAACTGGATCTGTCAAATGATCGTCGCCAGTGGGCTTTTGAGAATGGCTCCTCCCCGTCTCAGTTTGTATCCGTACTACCCAGGTTATGGGATATCCATGGCTCTTTACGGGGTTTGTACGAATCAAACTAACGCTACGTTTGTCCACTTCTCTCATTGAGTGGAGTTGCAGGGGTCAAGTGCCTGAAATCTCCATCATCATTCGGTCCAATGATGGACGGTGCCTGCCCCGGACAGTATGCTGATTGGATCAACGGGGCTTAGGGTGTTCCAGGGGCATGGAAAACCTTCCACTCTGTTTCTTACGGCAGGAAAATCATCATCATCTCATCTCCTCCCGTTTTAATATTGAGGGAGAATCTTATTAGATTACGATGGCTATGGTTGATGAAGTATTATCACTCTAATTGCAAATGAAAATTAAATATTATAAAACTTTTAGTATTTTTATTATTATTATTATTTCATAATTCCTTGGTCATGTTACATCATCCTATGGCTGGAAGATTCCTCCAGGAGGTCAACAAGAATGTCGTCTATAGTGGATGATGGACAACACACTATTTCCAGATGATCTCCGGTATGCTTGTTGTGGTTGGGAAGATAGTCAGGGATGAAAGAAAAACCAGACGCTGTCCCAATTCCTAGTTCTCAAACTCTAAACCAATCAAGACTTACTGGGGAAAGCTCCGTGAAAAGAAAGCAGTCATCATCGTTATTCTTTTGTTTCCTTTAAAGGGTGTTGGGTAAAAGATAAAACCGGAAAACCCCATATGAAATAAATCAATCTATTACCATCACGTCCCATCTAGAACCCGTCAATCCTCCCTCCCTTTTAATCAGCATCACAAAAGCCAAGCTCACTCCCCAGCTCATTTCCTTTGTGTTTAATTATCCTAGATCGCGCGGCCCCACTTAGACTTGGAAGACGACGCCCGTTGGGGGCACTCTCTCTCCTTTCCGTGATTAAGGTCTCCATCTACGGTTGTTTTACGCCGTCTCCCGCTACTATATTATCACTTGTCTTCCCTCCACATCCTTTGTCTCTTCTCCCCATTGCTGGTCTCTCACGCTTTCTCTATCACTTCGCCACTGGTGCACTTTTTTCACTCATTCAAAAAGTGTTTTCCAAGGCTGTCACTCTTTTGTTTATACTCACCTTGACGGAAAAAGCGTACATACAATCCCAATCAACCTTCCTTTCCCAACACCCCTCTCACCAAGTTCAATCGCAGTCGATCTGCCTGTTGTCAGACTTGTTTTCTCCATTCGTTTACATTCGTCGGTCGGATACCTTCCCGGAGAAGTAGTTTATTAGATCCAACGCAGTTGACCTGTGAAGACACCTCTCGCAAATCAGCCACAAGATCAACCAATCGTTCAATCCTTCCCAACAACCAAGATGCGGTCTTCGTTGCTTATGGGCGCTCTTTGCGCCGCCGGTGCGATGGGTAATCCACTCGACAAGCGGGCCTATACCACTGACTGGACCATCGTCACGGTGACCACTACTATCACCGCACCTGTTGCCCCTGTTCCTACTACTTCGATTGCCCCTGCTCCTACCACTTCGACATATGCTCCCGTCCAGGCCAGCCCGGTCTCGGAACCCGCCTCTAGTGTGGAGCCAGCAGAGCCCGAAACGCCTGCGCCAGCACCTGTGGAGCAGAGCTCGTCCGCGGTCTTTGTCGAAGTTCCGACCACTACGTCCACTACTTCCACTCCTGCGCCGGTGGAGCCTTCTACCCCTGCTGTGCAGCCCACGACCACTTCTGAGGGCGGTGTGGTCCCAGGAGCCGAATCTGCTTGGACTTCGGCTTGGACGTCGGCCTGGACGTCGGCCTGGACCTCTTCTGCTAGCCAGCCAACCACCCTGGCAAGCACCACCTCCAGTGCCAGCGGCGCTGCCCCCACAAATGATTACCAGTCCTCCGTCTTGTACAACCACAACGTCCACCGTAGCAACCACTCCTCCAGCTCCCTTGAGTGGAGTGCCAGCTTGGAGGCAAGTGCCCACACTCTCGCCGCCAGATGCGTTTACCAGCATGACACGTAAGGACCCCCATCTTCTCTCGTGGAGAATAACATGTGCTAATGCCTCCGTAGTTCCATTGATGGTGGTGGCTATGGTCAGAATATTGGATATGGTGTCTCCTCGGGGAAAATTGGAGAGATGATCACCAACCTGATGTACAACAACGAGATGGGATACTTCGAGTCCCTGTATGGCCAGGCCAGCCCCGACATGAGCAATTTCGATGCTTGGGGTCATTTCTCCCAGATTGTGTGGAAGGGTACGACTCACGTTGGATGCGCTACAGTTACCTGCAACAGCCTCGGCAACGTCGATTCGTCCGCGGCTGTGCCTTTCACGGTTTGCAACTACAGCCCAGCCGGTAAATCCCAGTCACCCGTTGCCATCAAGAAATATTCCGATGACTGACAACTTTCTAGGAAACTATGCCGGCGAGTATGCCACCAATGTCCTTCGCCCCCTTGGTAACGCGATGTATGTTGCTTAAATTTTGAGAGCTGTTTTCGCCACGACTGTGACGGGAGATCACCTTGTGGACGCAGCGGCAAGAAGTTCACTCTTGGGTCGCCATTGAGTTGATGGGATTGGGTATTCACAATGGAACCCAGGTATCCAAGATAAGATAGGTGGCTATACTGGCTGAACTTCGCCCATCAATTGCGCAAGATGCTCGCCTGGAACCGACCGTCTGCGAATGTGATATTTATGAAACTCGCAAATGGAGATACGTCTGGCTTGTGTCAGCTTCTTCTTATTTTTGAACTTCATTCTGTCTACTCCTTTTTGACTTTCTTCGAGACCACTCCCCGTTTGCCCATGCGGATTGAACCCGACGCGCAGGCCATCCAATGGGGTGGAATTCTTTTTTTACTTTCTCTGTGAATATTGATTTCTGCCTTGTCATGGTACACCAATGGCAACAACATGAATCATTTGATTCCTTTTATTTTCGCTTCACCATTTTGCCTTGGTGTGTTATTACGGGCGTCTTGACGGAGCATTACTGATGACCAAAAGCTGAATGATGAGACTTTCTACGAAACTGGCTAGCCGCGGATCGTAGATTGTACAAGTAAAGCCCCATTTAAACTATCTGTCCCTGTCACCAGTACTAATAGGTAGGTAAGGCGAGGGGTAGTATTGGTAGCTAGTGATGCCAACCAATGAACGGTGGCTGAAGTAATCGGAATCCACGTGACTGAGCCAAGTGGAGATTAAGTTCCCCACAAGCAGAAGTATAGCTTGCAGTAAAGGTACCTTTCGACCTCGCAGCCCAGCTCCCTTCGTCCGAAACGTCATCGGGCAGAGAATCCGCCCTAGTTCGGGTTGCAGAGTCAAGTGGTACCGCAGAGTCTATTTTCTCTGTCACGGTAGTGGTGAAGACGATCTACTCTTCGCCCTTGGCTGTCGTCGTGGATCGCCACCTCAAACGAAACGTCAATTCGGAGTTCCATCGACTAACATTCTAGATCTGCGTGCCTCGTCTTCAGCCAGTGTTAGTCTACTGCTACTGTCACTGAACTGCCATAGTCTAGCGTATACGCGCCAATCTCTACATACGCCCATTCCTTCCTTTCTGGTTGGAAGGCAATATTTATCCCGCCTCTCGCTCCGGTCCCCGCCACCTTGGTCTTCTTATGACGACAAAGACGGAGACGCGGGAGTTTAACAGAGCCTTGATCAGGGCAATTATATCAACAATTATAACAAAAAGTGTAGCACCAAGCATAACAACACACCTTACCTCACCAGTGTTCTTTTCGCCTTTCTGAATTTTAGGCAATCGTTCGCTCGTCTGTGCGACTGCGACCCCACACGTTCTATATATCTCTTGGCGGATCGCGGAGCTAAGTAGTAAAACGACTAAGCTTCATCATCCGTTCCTCCGATACCACCTTTTGACCTAAGCGTCGGCACGCTTACGCCGACGGCAGTCCATTGTGGTTTTTTCCCCGACTAGCAGAGCTCGATCTATTGCTACTGACACTACTTTTCTTATCCTTTGTAAGCGTCCCTTTCTCCGTCCATAGGCCCTAATTTCCCTTAGCCCGGACCCGAGCACATGTCTCCCCGCCCTCTTCTTCTGTCGGACAGCGGGGCTATAGGACGGGTATACTCATATCCTGTATAGTCCTTACTTATATTGTCTTTAACCCTCCCTCTGTTTTGTATCTATAATTTGCCCTTGGACTTGTTCTGTTAGATTGCCTTTCATCATCCTCGAGACCCGCTGTTAGTTTCTATCCCGTGATTGACACTGGTCATGCGCACCTAGTCAGAATCCATGCCCTCATATTGCCTGCAAGATTGTCACTATTTCTACCGTACCGCCTTGCGCCTATTGTCTTTACCTACATTCCTCGCTTGTCGCTACGCTTAGTTGATCATATAGTGGACGTGGATATCACTTGCTGACACAATGTCTTACTCGTCCATCGCAGTTCGTCACTTCACGGCCCCCAAGCCGCTAGGGGAGACAATGGCCTCACCTCGCTCTCAGCCTCCTCCTGAGACCAAGACCAAACCGACCTCTGTGGACGGCACGAACGGTCATAACGTTGCCTTGGAACAGCCAAAGAAGAAAGGGTCAACGTTCGCTAACCAAGACTCCCTCCCCAAGCTTCCTATCCCGGATCTAGAGAGCACATGCAAGAAGTACCTTGAGGCCCTGTCTGCGTTGCAGACGCCGAGGGAACAGGAAGAAACAAAAGCTTCTGTACAAGACTTCCTCAAGTCGGACGGTCCCATTCTTCAGGAGAAGCTAAAGGCCTATGCGTCTTCGAAAACGAGCTTCATTGAGCAGTTCTGTAAGTATTCCTGCGAAGAACGAGGAAGGTGGGGATGTTCCATGTGAAGCCAAGCAAGAGCTAATCTTGCGCTTCAGGGTATGATTCTTATCTGAACTACGACAGCCGTAAGGAATGCCCATTGTCTCACGTATGATTTTCAACATATTGACCAGAACAGCGGTCGTTTTGAATCTCAACCCATTCTTCTTGTTAGAAGATGACCCTACGCCTGCTCGGAACAACCAGGTTACTAGAGCAGCATCGCTCGCTGTATCGGCCCTATGCTTCGTCCGAGCTGTCCGACGAGAGGAGCTCGAGCCTGATACTGTCAAAAAGACACCGCTTTGCATGTATCAATATTCTCGACTGTTCGGAACGGCACGTTTACCCACCGACAACGGGTGTGTTATCAGCCAGGACCCCAACGCCAAGCATATTGTCGTCATGTGCCGGGGTCAGTTCTACTGGTTTGATGTCCTTGATGAAAACCATGACCTGATTATGACTGAGAAGGACATTGCCCTCAACCTTCAGGTGATCATCGGGGATGCAGAGCAGACTTCGATCCAGGATGCCGCCAAGGGAGCTCTGGGTGTCCTCAGTACGGAGAACCGCAAAGTGTGGTCTGGACTGCGGGATATCTTGACGAAGGATGAGGGCTCGAACAACGCGGAGTGTCTGAACATTGTTGATACAGCCCTCTTTGTTCTCTGTTTGGATTATACCGAGCCGAGTAACACATCTGATCTATGTGCCAACATGCTCTGCGGCACCAGTGAAGTGGTCAAAGGTGTGCAGGTCGGCACGTGTACTAATCGATGGTATGACAAGCTTCAAATCATTGTGTGCCAGAACGGAAGTGCCGGAATCAACTTTGAGCATACAGGTGTAGATGGCCATACGGTGTTACGCTTTGCCAGTGACGTCTATACAGACACGATACTTCGCTTCGCAAGAACTATCAATGGGCAAGCTCCAACTATGTGGGCAACTACTAGCCCCGATCCGGCCAAACGTGACCCTCAAAGCTTTGGCAATGTCAGCACTACACCTCGCAAACTGGAGTGGGATATGCTTCCCGAACTGAGCATTGCCCTGCGATTCGCCGAGTCCCATCTCGCCGACCTTCTCAAGCAGCACGAGTTCAATGTGCTCGAGTTTGAAGGGTATGGTAAAAATTTCATCACATCGATGGGATTTTCGCCGGATGCGTTCGTGCAGATGGCGTTCCAAGCTGCGTACTATGGGTTGTATGGCCGCCTGGAGAATACATACGAACCAGCCATGACCAAGTTCTTCTTACACGGTCGGACCGAGGCGATACGGACCGTCACAAACGAATGTGCCAATTTCGTTAAAACTTTTTGGGGTGAGAACCCGGCCGAGCAGAAGGTGGACGCATTAAGGAAGGCGACCGAAAAGCATACAGCCACCACCAAAGAGTGTTCCAAGGGGCAGGGACAAGATCGACATCTCTACGCATTATATTGTGTCTGGCAGCGGTCCTTTGAGGAAGAGACTTCCTCTTCTGGCAACAGTGTAGTAGGCAGTTCCAACGGCTACTCCAGCCCCGTCGAGAATGGTTCTGCTATCGACTCACCCAAGTCCCCGTTATCGGAAGATGGCTTGTCCTCCACGACTAGTTATGGTTTGCGCGCAATCCGTCCAGCACCACCTACGCCCGCCCTTTTCAGTGACCCGGGTTGGGACAAGATCAACAACACCATATTGTCAACATCGAACTGTGGAAATCCATGCCTTCGCCATTTTGGTTTTGGTCCGACGTCTGCGGATGGGTTCGGAATTGGCTATATAATCAAGGACGACTCGATCTCATTCTGCGCCTCGTCCAAGCACCGTCAGACCGCGCGACTGCTGTATACACTAGAGTCGTATTTGTTTGAGATCCGGAAGCTACTACGCGCTACCAACCGGAAGACGACCAGTCCGCGGACGAGCCGAGCTCGGGAGATGGAGTTTATCGCTGAGCGGCTCCAGAGGGATCACCGTCGGGGTCGGCTCGTTCGGGGTGATCCTGGGGCAACGCACCGGGGTGCCGAGACGCCAACAACAGACAGCGGAGAGATAGAAGATGATGGCATGGGTGGATGTAAGTGACCTATTCATTCAAAGTTGTACAAACACTAACGGCATACCAGACGGATTCTTCGACGCGGGAATGCTATTACATGCACTCAAAGGCTTGAGTGTAGACCGAGAGCGAAGCGGAGAGAAACCCGAACGGCGTCGGTTTGTTGGCAAGAAATTACGTCTGAATGAGTATTGATATATTCTGGCCTTGGCAAATTTTTACATTTATTGTTGATACATTTGCGATATCCATATTTAGAGCGAGATACCAATACGATTACTTGTTCTTCAACGCTAGTTCTTGTAGTCTGGTGAAACCCTTGGCTTGTGGTAGATAGAGTAGATGTCGTATCATCAACGAAAAATCATATCATCTTTTGAGCCAATGAGTGCGTACAGTTCAATGCATCATGGGAGAAAAAGAAAACAGAAACTTTCAAGTTGTGCCAGGTCGTATTAATATAATGGACCAACCAGAAAAAAGTCATCCGCATACCGAAATCATGGAACATCAGTGTTCAAGCCACCAACTTTCTGCCCAACCGACAACTTTTCCGGAGCAATTGTATACTAAGTTAGTTATCTTGTCGGACTTACATAATAGCGCATCAGCAGTTATAGTACTCGGGTGTCTCTTTTCTTTGTAATTTATATTTATTTATTTTATGCTGTAACTCGCTTGAATGACTTGTTTCCTCAATGGTAGCTTGCTTTATGTGAGGCACTGCATGTGTGGTACGTATGTATGTACAGTACACTCTCCTTGAAAGTTGAGAGGGGTATGTCGAATGCTTTATTTGATTTGATTTAATCTGGGTTGTATTAGTACTAGCTGTGGGAATACTGGCGCCATTGATTGTTTTATTCTAGTCCTTTTTGATTCTGGTATGGTACTCATATGTCCCTACGTATATATATATATATATATATATTCTGGTCGTGAGATTGACTCAACTTCCAAAAACGCTCCATATCTGCCGTAACTTTGCTGACCCGCATGTGCAAGTCATGCAATAGGGATATATGCATGCATGTATTTACTTATAATTTGTTATAGTCACCTTAGGGCGTTTTGATAGACAAATCGATATATTTTGATACCTGGGTCTTTGAGCTGTTCTGCTGATCTCTACAGGAATAGTAGCTTGAGTATTGGTGAGTGAATTAATGTCCTGTACATGATACCTGTCCAATATTTTTGTTTGATGTTCTTTTCTTTTTCTTTCAATTTTATTTCTTGTGATGGATGCGGCTACTGCAAATGCGAGTCACTGTAGAGGACATTCTGTATGTAGGGTATGACTCAAATGAGACGCTGTGTTTTCCTGGGTCTAAAATCTGATGGCTTCAGGCAATCCATTTGGTGATAATATCAGTCCGATAACAGTGCCAGGTAGATGGGTCTCAGTTCCATGGCAGAAACGTATTTTATTCCTCTACACACTAGTATCACTATCATGCCACTCAATTCGTCTATTTGATTTTACCTGTACATGAGGTAGTATCCCTCATTAATGTAGATGATTGGAAAGGTTAGAAAAAAAAAAAAAGGCCAGCCGCTTTTATCACCGGCTAATTAATCAGTCTCCAATCAGGGAGTCTATCGGTGAGATCATATCATCCACCGGCCGATCAGACCTCCTTACAAACTGACTTTAGTCGCCTTCTAATCCGTTTCCAAGTGCTCCGTTGATGTATCTAGTGGTAACTTCTTTTTCTAGCCGGTCCGCCGGTATCCGAATTCCCTAAAATAACAAAATCATTACTGATTGATAGTCGATAATGGGTGTTGTGCATTTTGATTGCACAGCCTCCCGTGCTGCTTGTTACAGCGTTTTGTGTAGACCGGATCCCGTGTAGTATCTGACCATTCCTCCCCATTACCCCGTTCGGTCAAGTCATGTGGCGCACGTGATCCCTTTGGCGACCGCTGATTCCGTCGCTCTGGCGGAAGTGTTCCATCCAAGCTAACGTAGAACCTAACTAACCTACCTCCATTGTATATGTATCCTTGCGTCAATATCGTTTCCCCGTCAATCATCTTTCCTGAGCACCGTTGCTGTCCTTCTTTGATTAGATCCTTTGACACGCGCTATCTCTCCTCGGACCGCTCGTTTGGATCTTCAAGTTGGTGAGTGCGGCTTTTCTTTGTTTCATATGAGTGTGTCCCTAGTTCCGAGAACCGGAGACGTGCGGTGATCTGCTCGCGGCGGCTTTGGAAAAATTACAGTACCTCCTTTCCCATACTGTACATGGTTACCCTCAAGGCTCAGGCCATCGCTAGCTTGGTGCCTTAAAAGTTCTTTTCAGGCGCTCAGGCTGCTCATCCGCCCATCCGCCCATCCACACTGCAACTCTCCTTCCAATAATCATTTTCAACCTGTTTAAAGGGTGCCCACCTTTCCTGCAGCCTACCAAAGCGTCGCAAGTCAGACCATCGTGCTCTGGCCGGGCCCACACTACACCTTTCGATGTGCTGCTGGTATTGGTTCTGCCCGTCCCTGCCTTTCTGCTTCCTCTTTCCTCTAGCGTCCCCATCGCCTTCCCACTAGAAGATCCTGCCTTCGCATCGCTGGCGAACTAGCGCCCTCGTTGCTGAGCATCCGCTGCTTCTTGGTCCTGCAACACGGTAAATCTACTCGTTCCAATCCCTCAATCTGGAGGAGGGGTTTGCTTGCTTGCTTCCGATGCTGGTGATATCGATCTCATCCTCCACTTGTCAATCTCTCTCTTTATCTATGTAACTGTCTGTTACCTATCTTGTTCCCGTGATATATCTTGTTTTATGAGTCGCCGATGGTGATTGCCTTTTGATATACCCAGCAATTCGTTTTGAAAAGCTCGGATCAACTATTATATCACGCCCCCCTCAACACATTCCATTCACTTATCCGGCCCCCTTTTCTTTAGCTGGCTTCTTGAAGTGAATCCTTAGCACATATACTGAACTGAAAGAAAGCGCTCCATCATAATAACATTCCTACAGAAGAGCAGCAATCTATTGTTTCTTAGCGCCTTCTTCCCCGACCGCTGGGAATCCTTCTTTCGCCGTCGATCAGCGGTCGCATCTTCCGACGACGGCACCCACCTCGAATCGCGAACTGTCATCTTTCCATTTTTCCCATCGTGCTTGAGATGATGGCGACAGCGCTTGATCAACCCCTTTTCGAATCCGTCGCGGGTCCTGCGACTGCTACCGCTTCGATCACACCTCCCCATAGCGCCAACGGCAAGAAAGAAGTTCCGGATGGAGTTCCATCTGAGCTGTCGGATCTGGAGCTCGACCCCCATGCCACCGGTGCTCCAGAGGTCGCATCAGTAGAGGGCGAGGAAGAAGAACTCGAACCGGACCACTACTACGGTGGCGGCAAGATCCCGGTGTTCAAGCCAGTGAGTTTGCTCTCTACCGGTGTCGAAGGGTTTCGATGATGTCACTGACGACAAGACCTAGACAATGGATCAATTCCGTGATTTCCAATCATTTATCAATAAAGTTGAAAAGTATGGCATGAGGTCAGGAATTCTTAAGGTTATCCCTCCTAAGGAATGGTATGTTTCCACGGTGATTATCTTCCTTGGGTCTGTTCCTAATTAACCCTTGTTTTAGGCGTGATTCTCTCCCAGCCCTCGACGAGGCCATCAAGAAGATTCGGGTGAAAAATCCGATTATGCAGGAATTCCACGGATCGCACGGAACCTACACCCAGGCGAACATTGAGCGACAAAGATCATACAATCTGCCTCAGTGGAAAGGACTGTGCGAAGAGAGTAGCCATCAGCCTCCTGCCCGCAGAGGTGAAAGGCGTCGGAATCAGGAGCGAGTCGCTCGTACTGCCCCGTTGTCTCGGACCCAGACGACGCGATCTGATTCTCAGAAACGTCGCCCGGGGCCGGGCCGTCCGCCCAAACGATCCAACCAGGTCAAGGTGAAAGAGGAGCCTTCAGAGGTGAATCTTGAAAAGATTAAGCCCGAGGGACCCCCTACCCCCGTCTCCCCTGAGTCTAACCCCGTTGAGACGAAGACAGAAGAACTGAGCGACGGCGAGTCTCTTCCCGCCCCTAAGCCAAAAGGCCGACAGCCTAAATCGGTCACGTCGCGTAGAAAACATAACAAAGGCGACGCGATTGACTATGTGGATGAGGAGGCTTTTAAAGACTTTGACTACCGCATTCATGACAGCGAAGAATACACGCCGGAGAGGTGCGAGGAGCTTGAAACTGCCTACTGGAAATCCTTGATGTTCAACAATCCTATGTATGGCGCCGATATGCCTGGATCCCTTTTCGACGAGAATATCACAACTTCCTGGAATGTCGCTAAGTTGCCAAATTTGTTGGATGTTCTTGGGCAGAAAGTACCTGGAGTCAACACTGCGTACCTCTACTTGGGCATGTGGAAAGCAACTTTTGCCTGGCACTTGGAAGATGTTGATCTATACAGTATCAACTATATCCATTTTGGTGCACCCAAACAGTGGTACAGCATTTCACAAGAAGATGCTCCCCGATTTGAACAGGCCATGAAGAGTACGTTTATATCGTCTGACGAGGCGTAGTTCAATGCTGACTTTTACACCCTAAGGCATCTGGCCTAGTGACGCGAAAAATTGCGACCAGTTCCTTCGTCATAAGACTTACCTCGTTTCTCCCAATCTCCTCAAGTCTCAATATGGTATCACTGTCAACAGACTCGTCCATTACGAGGGCGAGTTTGTGATCACATATCCCTACGGATATCACTCAGGTTACAATCTAGGCTACAACTGTGCCGAGTCGGTCAATTTTGCGACCGAGAAATGGATGGAGTACGGTCGCGTCGCTAAGAAGTGCCACTGCGAGGCTGACAGTGTCTGGATCGATGTCGATGAGATTGAGCGTAAGCTGCGCGGCGAATCGACACCAGAATACTATGGTGAATTCGAGAGTGACCTGGATGAAATGGAGGGTGCCTCCGACCTCCTTACGCCCCCACGAAGTGTTCCAGAGAAGGGTACTCGTGGCCGAAAACGAAAGCATGACGGTGATTTGACGAAGACGAAACGCATGCGAGCCAACGTTGAGGTCCCGCGGAAGGTTCCTTGCGTTCTGTGCCCTAACAACCTGGATTATGAAGACCTTTTGCCTACTGAAGATGGGAAAAACCACGCCCATCGACGCTGTGCGCTGTATACTGAAGAGACCAGTATTCTTCGCGATGAGACTGGCAAGGAGGTGGTGTGTGACATTGACAAAATTCCCAAGGCTCGCATGGGCCTCAAGTGCCTGTTCTGTCGCGAGGTGCGAGGTGCTTGTTTCCAGTGCAATTTCGGCAAATGCACACGATCATACCATGCCACCTGTGCACTTTTGGCCGGAGTCCAGGTGGAGCAGGGTGAGATTGCCGTGATCGCGGACGACGGTAATCATTACTCAATCCCTAGTGTCGACCTCAAATGTAAGTATCACCGCCAGAAGAAGCCAAGCTGGATGACAAGCGGGGACTCGCCCGATCATGACCGCAAGCTCATCGGAACGGCCCAACGGATGGTGGCTGGGGATTTGGTGCAATTTCAAGCGGACAAGGAGATCAATGGAGCAGTTGTTCTGCAGAATCGACCTGAGGAACGGACATTGTTGGTGAAAGTTCTTCCTCGAGGGTGAGTTTTTGTCCGGTTGTTTGGAATTTTCCTGATTGGGAAAACATGACGCTGACCCCTGTTACTTTTTTCCCTCTTATTCTAGAGACGTAATTGAGTTACCATACCGGTGGATGTTGGTGGTACGGCGGAGCAACTTCTCTCCCTTGGCTCCAGGAACAAAACCACTCCCTGCCCACTTAGCCCGGAAACCCGAGGGCCGGAAAGAGTTTGAATCGGCCCTGCCAGTGGTTGGCAATCCATTTGGCGATGGGCGATCTCCGTATCAGTGGGCCGAGTTCGAGACTGTCGACACGACTAATCACCGCTTTGCCCCACCACCGGTGCAGGTGAGCTTGAACAAAGGTGACCAGATCTGGTATTATCTGGGCCAGTCATCCACCGAATGTAGGGCTCAGTATACGCACAACCCTAGCGTGCCCGTCCACAACCCGCGGTCGAATTTCCTGGACAGCGTGAAGTCCCTTGGCGCCGTGATGGCCCGTCTCCCCTCTTACCCCCACCGCCATCTCCCTCAGTATGCTGCTGCCCCTCCTCACCACCTTTTACCTGCTGCTGCTGCTGCTGCCGCCGCCACCACTGCCGCTGCTGCCTCCCGCCCTTCCCTGCTGCAGCGACCTCCTCTTGCCCCTCCTCGTCCTCCTTCCTCTGCCCCTTCTGCCGTTACTGCGATGCCGTCAGCCTATCGGTCCTTGCCCACTCAATCTGCCCGCCATGCTCCGTACCCTCAGATTGCCAAGACACATCATCAGTCACACCACCTGTCTCAGCAGCAATACAGTCCGCCGCAACAACAACAACAATCACAGCAGCAGCAGCACAGCCACCATCTTCCCGCGAATACCTTTGCCAATGTTCGGGAGCTCATTGCTCGCCGCCGTTTGGCCCAGATTACCGATCATGCCAATGTCTTCGCCGGGTATACTATCGTCAGCCCGGAGCTAGTCGTCGAGACGCTCCTGGGTCCCATGGGCTCCGTGCCGCCGCCCAGTGGCCTCGAGAAGCTGGAACTCGCCATGGCTCAACAACGGGTCCAACCTCGCGCTCCCGACGGAACTTTGTTACCGCTACAACCCCTTAATATGCGATCTGAGGAGGTGACCCGCCTGTTGCAGATGCTCCGGTTTTCCCTCGTCAGTCACCGCGATCGGCTAGATGTGCTGCAGAAGAAGGAGACGGAAAATAATAAGCAGGAGAGTGCTCAAAAGGGTAGCGTCGCTGCCACCAAGTTGCCTCGCAAGTACGCGTACTTGGAGCAACAGCGTGAACAGACGCCGACCGTCTACCAGTCCCCGTATGACATGCCTTCTGGGTTTACTGAATATGCCCAGAAGACGTTTGGGTTGACTCCTTGCGAGCCGGAGCTACCTAAGCCCTCCCTGGCTAATGACTACTTCGCTAGTCTTTCCCCGGAGGACCAAGAAAAAGTCTTGAAAACATGTGGCAGTTTTGTGCAAAGGGCCATCGAACGGTCCACGACGCACAGCCGTCAAAGTTCGGCATCCAACCTCCGACTCGCATCGGCGCTCGCTCAACAAACGGAGAATCCAACGATTGACATAACCACTGTCGAGGATATGCCACTGTCGAATCTGGACTTCCCCCTGCATGCGGATTCTCCATGCTCAAGTTTCAGTCGGTCGCATCTGCGTTTCCAATCACCCAACGAGTTTGCCGGTCATGGGACAGAAGTCCACCACGATCATCACGATTTGTTTGGTGACCAACAGGCCAATACGCGGTTTTGGCAGCATGGACCTTGGGCTGCAGGCGATGGGAACACGCCCAACGAAGAAACTCGACCGTTCTTCGGACCCCACGAACGTCTGAAGCACGATTATGCATCGTCCGACATCTCTTTGGGACGAGGACCCGGCTCATTGCATTCCGTGGACATGGCCGGGTTCGGAATGGACGCCACGGACGATATCTGCGCCGTGCTTAGTCCCTGAACTAGACGATCCTTGTTAGCTCTGTGCACTTGCATACCGGTATAACAGCATCATCTTCATGTAACGATTTGATTGACGACTGCATGACTGGGCGTTTTAAAGCTTTTTTTTTTTTTTTTTAAATTTTTTGATTTCGTTTTTTGTTGACCCTCTCAGATCATTTTATTTCACGACGGGGTTTTGACGCTGGCTGGCTGGTTGCGACACAGCTGAGGTCTTACGGCGAGGCCGTGGTTATTTATTTACGTCCTTCTTGACCGTGAAGGTGGCCGATGTACAGACTGGCGGATGTCGAGAATCCTTCTAAAGTGGCGGTGGGAAACACTCGCCAGGTGGCAGGACCCGTCGATGATGCCCAGACTGGGCCACTACCGCCCAAGAAGACCCGCCCGACCTGTTATTGACGATATTCCCCATCCTCTTCCATACTACTTTCCTCACCACCCCCTCCCCCTCTGTCTATGTTCATGTCATTCCTGTCCGCTTTCCCTCGTTTTTCTTTCTTGGGGAATTTCGGGACTTCGATCTTTGATCGAAGATACTGGGCCTACTTTCGCCCTGGACTGCGAACTGCACGTACCACTAGAGATTCAAAAGAAGCAAAAAAAGAAAAACCCCACAATTTCAAAAATCATCTCCGAGCGTCCTGTTTCCATCATCATCCCCTACACGTCATGCCCGCCCCTTGTTTGATACCCCCCCCGAGATTTCCCAGTGTTTCATCACGCTCGGATGTTTTCATATCCCTCAACGGTTCCCACTCATTCCCCTCGTTTCAGACATCCCCACCCTCTTACTTCTCTCCTTCTCTGGCGCTCATCCCTGTCTTTGCCCCGACCCTGTTTTAACTAGGACTCAAGGTCAAGTGGTCCCCCGTTCTCGTGTGGGAACCGCGGGATAGGACAAATAGCGGATGTGGCAGCCGTCACTTTTCTGAGTGACAGTCGCAGATACATGTATGTTGGAATGACAGCTGTGAATGGAATGTTTCCAAGAAGGTTCTCCCTCTGTAGGATCGTAGCCCTTTCGTAGAACTGACCAAATTCAGGTAAGAAGGAAAGGGAAAAAAGCATAAATATATGTAAATATAAAAGTATGGAAGCGGTTCGGCACCTGTCGCGGTCCATAAAAATGCCTGGGGAGGTTCTTTCATCCCCGCATTTCGGGAGCTTCTTGGGTTCCCGGAAGTGCAACTCCACCGCATGTACCACAGTACCACAGTACCCTTAAACCTTGGCTCTGGCAATACGAGGTGAATCAGATGTCTGCCTGATCCTCCAATGTGGTGACGAAAAACCGTTTGTAAAGTCAGTGTTATCCATGAAAGGGCGTAAAGGAGCCCAGCTTCTACGACATTAATTAACAAATTCTCCGTAGACTTGCATACTCTGACAGTGGTACCTTTCCTGCAAAGTATCCCTATTCGGCATACACATGCAACATACATTCCGGAGAACCGGTTGATGTCATCCGGCCCCTTACTGACTAGAGTGAGACTATGTTATGGGCTCCGGTGTGGATACTAACTAGTATTATACAGTATCTCCAGCCATGATAAGAACCATTGGATAGGGCTTAGTAGGTTCAATGATAGCATTGTGCAGAAGGTTTTATAAATGTTGACGGTTATCAGCGCGGTCTCGGACCGCCCATCGTTAGGCCGAGACCGGATTGGCTTATCAGTTCTTTAGCTCCGTGAGGGGAACCGTTTAAGGTTACCAGTGGGTGATTAACCCCGGACTCTTGGACTGGACCATGCTACCTCCTTACTTATATTTCTTGTCTCCCCGGCTTCTGCTGGGGAGGTTAAGTCGAATTCGTAGGAGCTGGACTGACTCCTTCCTTTCCCATCGAGATTACCTGTGTTGATTTCTCCATGACCAATCCCATTTTGATTCTCATATCTCCTCCCGTCTTTGCTTGCCACCATGCGTCAGGGCTCCGTCGATGCCAACGCCGACCAGGCGTTGGCCAGGATGGGCTACAAGAGTGAATTACCTCGCAACCTGAGTATGTTGAGTATCCTAGGCCTGTACGTATTCTCTCCATCGCCATGAAAGATGACTACTCTTAACACGCTTTCTCAGCTCCTTTGCCATCATGGCCGCACCCTTCGGTCTGAGCACCACCATATACATCACACTTACCGACGGTCAGTCCGTCAGTATAATTTGGGGCTGGGTCCTCGTTACTTTAATCTCCATCGCCATCGCCGCCTCCCTAGCCGAGATCTGCGCCGTATACCCGACCGCCGGAGGCGTCTACTATTGGAGCGCTATGTTGTCGACAAAGGAGTGGGCCCCGATGATGTCGTTCATTGACGGTTGGCTGACACTTGTGGGGAACTGGACTGTCACCCTGAGCATTACCTTTTCCGGTGGACAACTGATTCTGAGCGCCATCTCCCTGTGGAACGAGGACTTCGTGGCCAACGCTTGGCAGACCATCCTCATGTTCTGGGCAGTGATTTGGGTCTGTGCTTTGGTCAACATCTTCTTCTCCCGGTGGCTTGATTTGATCAATAAGGTGTGTATCTTCTGGACCGCAGCGAGTGTGATCATTATCTTGATTACGCTCTTGACCATGGCAGACCATCGTAGGGATGGCGCTTTCGTCTTCGCTCATTATGATGCGTCGAAGAGTGGCTGGTAAGTTTCCCCCATTTTTAGAGTCCCTTGCAGTTATGCTGATCTCGCAGGCCATCCGGATGGGCTTTCTTCGTCGGTTTACTCCAGGCTGCATACACCCTGACTGGGTATGGTATGGTGGCTGCCATGTGCGAAGAGGTGCAAAACCCACACCGCGAGGTGCCCAAAGCGATTGTCTTGTCGGTTGTTGCTGCGGGTATCACGGGCCTGGTCTATTTGATCCCTATTCTCTTCGTCCTGCCAGATGTTCAGGCGCTACTTGATGTCGCTAGTGGACAGCCTATTGGCCTGGTGTTCAAAACGGCCACCGGGTCAGCGGGGGGTGGTTTCGGACTGCTGTTCCTGATCCTGGGCATCCTGATGTTTGCCGGAATCGGAGCATTGACAGCCGCCAGTCGATGCACCTATGCCTTTGCCCGCGACGGTGCCATCCCCGGATTCCGGCTTTGGCGCAAGGTCGATAATCGCCTCGACGTTCCGGTGTATGCCATCCTTCTCTCCACCGTCGTCGACTGCCTGCTGGGCCTGATCTACTTTGGATCGACCGCAGCCTTCAACTCGTTCACTGGGGTTGCGACTATTTGCTTGTCAACCTCGTACGGAGTGCCGATTTTGATTAGCGTTATCCGCGGGCGCCAGGCATTGAAAGAGTCCACCTTCTCCTTGGGTCGCTTTGGGTACGCCATCAACATCATCACTATTTGCTGGATCATTCTGGCTGTCGTTCTCTTCTGCATGCCTGTCTCGCTACCGGTGGACGCTTCCTCCATGAACTATGCCAGCGTGGTGTTCGCCGGATTCGCGGCCATCAGTACTGCTTGGTACTTCGCGTATGCACGGAAACATTTCACAGGACCGCCTGTCACAGGCGACGACGTGGCAGGCGTGATGACAGGGAAGGCCGTAGATACAGAAAATGTATATCCAGACGAAGCAATCGGCGAAAAGAAGTGAGTTGTCTTCTTTCAAATCCTTGTGCCTTGTTCCTTGACGACGATGTACGAATGAATATGTATAATTTGAGTAGTTCAGTGTTTCACATGTATACACAACTCCATACCCATAGAATCAATCACCATTAAATGCAACAAAACCGGAATAACGCACATAAAACATACAAAACTACTAGAGACCTAAATATGAATCGCATATATGCAGCGTATATGGGTTGATGATGTAACCAAGCACTATTTTACACTGATGGTTCGATCACAGGTCCGCAGTGCATTCCGTCATTCCCCAGTCTCCGAGAACCGCGGTTACTTTTACTTTCCCACCACCAACTCCAAAGTACAGTGAAAACCTCCAGCCACCACCCTCCTCCCCAATTTCCACGAACCAAAACCAAGAAAAAAAAAGGGGGAGCCGATCTATAACCATTCAATTTCACCATCACCTCGAAATAAACTCAACCCCCAATCCCGCCGCGATACGCTTCTCTCGACGGAGAATCCGGGGAAAGCTCGCTCGACTACAGCGCCCAACTACCTCTCTACCAGACCAGTCCAGTCACGGAGCCTCATAACACAGATCAGAACTACTACATGCTTTAGCACGGGAATCCACACTCATTTCTTCCTTTTTTTCATCTCTCATTAGTCTTATCGTTTGTGTTCGGGTACCGGAAATCCATGAGCATTAATGCTTATCTACCACCCCCCTAGCTCTAATGAAGCAGCGCTACACCCCGATATCGTCAATACTATGTCGGACTCAGTGGGTATGACCTTGTTTTGTATCCCTTGTGGACTCCGGATAGGTGATGACATTGATGCCTGCAGATCGGGTCTTCGTCCACGCGCTCAATACCGTTAAACGGATCCCGAGGACCGGTACCGCTCGGCCACCCGCGTCCGAGCGATTGAAGCTGTATGGATTGTATAAACAGAGTATGGGTACGGAATGGGCCCTTTTCTTTTTTTTTGCTTCTGATGGATATATGCAGGGTGTGAAGGCTGACGGGGACAGAGGGCGATGTGGAGGGCGTGATGGAGAGGCCGGTTGGGAATACGGCGGATGTGTATGCGGAGTGTGAGAAGTGGTTTGTTTCCCTTCTCTCCCCCCTTTTTTTTTCTTTTTCTTTTAGGGTTTGGGGGCTGGGCGCTAATTAAGGGGTGTGTGATTAGGGATGCGTGGTTCGCTCAACGGGGGTTGTCGCGGACGGAGGCGAAACGGAGATATATTTCTACGCTGGTAGAGACTATGCATCGATATGCGTCGCAGACGCCTGAGGCCAGGGAGCTGGTTGCTGAGCTTGAGTTCGTTTGGGACCAGGTGAAGATTAATACGTCTGCTTCTGTTTCTGCGTCGTCGACGTCGAGTAGTCCTGTGCAGGGTGTTGCGCCGCCGTTACAGCCGATCTATGCTAGTATTGGGGGTCGGTTGGCTCGGTCGGACCATGAGCATTTGGTTGCTACCTCCAGGGGGGCCTCGAGGTTACGGGTTCTTAGTCCGGTGAGTCAGCCGGAGGAGGTGTATCAGCGGCGAGGGTCTGGTGTGGACCGGGCTGCGGGTGAGGTGGAGGAGGATGAGGATGAGGATGAGGAGTACGCTGAGGCGCAGGATACTCTTGACGAAGATGATGATGACCATGACAATGACAATATCCCTTATACCCGGGCCCCCGATGAGGGCAATGAGCATGATGCAGATGAGGCCGTACTACGCGGTCGTGGGCGGACAGACCCGAAGAACCCCCCGGATGTTAATAGCCGACGATGGCGGCGGAGAGTCGAGCAGGCCTTGACTAATATGACCGCTGAGATTGCTGCTGTGCGGGAGCAGATGGAGGCGCGTTCCTTGGCGCATCGGCGGCGGAACAGTATGTGGGCGTGGCTGAAATGGCTCGTCTGGGTCACGCTCCGGCAGGTTATCTGGGATCTTGCGATCCTGGGCATGATGCTGATCTGGATGCGGGTTCGCGGGGACCGACGCTTGGAGAACAAGCTGAAGGTGGGATGGGCGGAGGTGAAAACGCGGCTGTCGAAGTTGAAGGGACTTCGTCGGGTTCCCAAGGTACATAAATTCCCTTAGCTTGGCTTTTGGTTGCTTCTCTTCGAGTACATATCTTCATATATCCTGATTAGATTCACTTGTCTTTCGTTGCTATTTCTTTTGTCAAGTCTGTATCACTGTCAGGAAGATGGATTGGTGTTGGTTAGAGTCAAGGCTTCACTGTATTCTAGCATAGAAGTCGTGTTGTAATTGCTACATTACGCCGGTCCTTCCAATACCGTATCCGAAATTGAACCAGAACCGTAGACCGAGAAACCAGGACACTCAATTCCTATGCTAATATGTACACATACAAACAGTCCACAAACCAGACCAGACCAGAGACATAAAACAAAACCTAATACTGAGGACCAGGGAACTGGGCATAAATCTGCTTGGGACGCAGATGAACTGGAGTCTGGTTCTCGGGGGCACCGGGGATCGTCTTCTTGAGGCCCTGCAACGAATCCATTAGCCAATACAACCACAAATTATGGACAGGGAACTCGGGAGGACAAACCAGCTTGTCGAAGACACACTTGTTCAACTCCATCTCGGGCTTCCGGCACTCCCACAGGTGGTGGTTATTGTTCTCGAGACATTCCCAGTGCGCGGTGAACTGTTTAAGGCAGTGGGTGTTGATATCTTTGATTCTGCATGCAATTAGCACACTTCACCTTTCGCCACGAACCCACCGCTCTCCCCCGGGACATCCTCCAACCCCAGCCGGGTGAGACAAAGGAAAACATACACTGAAGCGGCGCATCTAGTCACCTTCCGCCCCTCCTTCAGACAATCAAACTCCCCCCTTCCATTTGACTCCGACTTGCACTTCATGTAGTCATCATTGAAGGCCTTGCACTTGTCGCCGATAAAGAACGCCGCACTGGTCAAAGGGGCCGAGGTCGCGCCGATTTCCTGGACACTGGGAATATCCGCCGGCATGGGCGTGGTGTCCACCAGGACCTGTTGGTTGAATCTATCATGGAAACTGTATTAGTCTCATTCGATTGAAGATGGGCTGGGCCAATGCACGGAATCAATTGGCCGTGATTGGAAGAAAAGGAAGCATACTGAGGTTCTCGGCGCGCCATTTTGTCTGTTCGTTAGGGTGAATAGGGGAATTGAGAGACCGTATAGTGAGGAGGGCCTTTGATGGACGAGTCCGGGTGATGCTGGAGTTTCGAGGTCGGTTTTTGCTTGCCTGCTATTGGTCCGTTGCGGTGAGTTATGTAATATATATGCCTGAGGTGTCTGATTCCTCCATCCCGAGGACAATCCATACAAACCCATCATGCCTCAGGCAGCACGTTGCCTAGTAAGTTCAGATTCACGTGACACGGCGAAAAACAAACCAGCTCCCGACGCAAGTAATATGAATGAATAGTCAGGCCCGCAGTTTCAATTGCTGTGTTCTCTGCTCACAGACCTCTAAAAGTTGCTGCTTTGCTGCAGCGCGCGGTTCTGAGATATTGGACCGACATTGAGTTTCTATTCGCGCGATTGCCGATTTTCTGTGCCGTCCGACTTTGCATCTGCAAACGACGCTTTTGTTGCGGAGCTTGAATCTCGTTGCATTGTTCACTTTTTGTTCACGTTTTGTTTGCCTGTTAGATTTATCATTCCGCCATCCTATACACCCACTACGTATCGTAATGTCTCTCTTCGGAAATCAGACTCAGACCCAGCAGTCCGGCGGACTATTTGGGTCATCGACGACCGCGAATAAGCCCAGCCCCTTTGGCGGCGCTGCCACTGGAGGAAGTCTCTTCGGCTCGAATACGACCGGAACAGGAACCCAGCAGAGCGGCGGTGGTCTTTTTGGTGGAGCGCAGAATCAGCCCGCGACGGGAGGGACTGGTGGTGGCCTGTTCGGTTCGTCGACAGCGACATCCCAACCTCAGCAGAGCGGTAGTCTTTTCGGTACGGCGACACAGAATCAACCGCAGACGGGAGGGCTCTTCGGAAATACTGCTACTCAGCAGAAGCCCCAGGTGGGAGGTCTCTTTGGTGGATTAGGCCAGACGACACAGCAGCAACAACCGCAACAGCAGCAAGCGGGCGGTGGATTGTTCGGAGGTGCATTGGGACAGCAGAAACCTCAGGGAAGTCTTTTTGGAGGTGGATTAGGGCAGACCACACAGCAACAACAAACGCCGCAACAGGGCGGGGGCCTCTTCGGACAGACACAGCAGCAACCGCAGCAGCAACAGAGTTTATTCGGGGGAACTCTACTTGGTGGTCAACAACAGCAGAGCCAGCAGCAGCAACAGCAGCAGCAGCCTCAACTCGGCCAGTCTGTGCAACAGCTGGGGTCGAGTCTTTGGTCACCTGGTCGTGCGGTCACTGGAGGTTAGTCTTGTGTTTAGTTGATTTCGTTTTAGGTACTTTGCGCTGACTCTCGAAGTACATCGGACTGTTCCGACGCAGATTGCAATCGTCAAAGATAAATGGGACTCTGGCAGCCGCAATTCCCCGTTTCGAGCATACCTGTATAACAACGTCGGCGAGGATGCGGCACCTTTCTACCAACCCGGTCCGGACGACGACGAGACGAACTGGGAGGAGGCTTTGCGGAAGAGGCCCGCACCAGGCTATGTCCCTGTTATCGTGAGAGGCTTCTTCGAATTAGGCAAGCGGGCCCAGAGACAAAAGGACTTCCTGACTATGATGCAAACCCGCCTCCACGAGATCAACAACTGTCTAACCGAATTACTCTCTCGCCATGACCTCAAGATCTCCGTCCGGATAGCCGATTGCCGGCGAAAACACCTTGTCCTGAGCAAACGGTGCCTGGCGCTTGCGGCCAAGACCCAAATCTTACGGAACCGGGGCTACGCGATGGACGATGCCGAGGAGGAACTAAAGAAGAAACTGGCCCTGTTGGAACGTTCAGTCTTTGACCCATCTTTGAACGGCCGGGAAGAAGAGATCTGGGCCCGAATGCTGGCGATCCGGGAACACTCGAAACGCCTGCAGCTGGAGATGGAGAAGGCTGGACCGAGTGCAGCTTCACAGGCGGACGATGAATTGGATGAACAGACGATGAAGACCGCTAAGAAGGTACGCACCACTTTTCCCCCATCATCATTGCCCGATGCTCTACTAACAAGGCCTAGATATTGGATGACTACCATATCCAGATCAAGCACCTGCAAAACGAGCTGGAGTCGGTGAGGAAAGACTTCGACGAAGCAGAGAAGCTCCAAGGCCGGGTAGATCACTAGCCTTGTGCTCGCTACGCTATGAATCATCTAGTCACTCAGAGAAATACAGGGCTTAGGTTAAAACGTCCAGGAGCAAGGAGTTATAGGAGCTGGTAATCTGCAATTCATCCGATTCGGAAGACGCCCTGTTCTCAGTGTAGTAGAGTAGAAAAACATGCAAAAATCCGACACTTTATCATTTTCCCATCTTCATTTCTTCCATCTTCCCGGAATGATAACCCGAATGTACAATAATAATACATCTGCCGTTGGCTAAGCTTGACGCCGCCTAATGAACCGTAGACCGTAACCGCTTAAAGGAACTTCTTGACGAAATCGACAGCGAAGGGAGCTACCCCGTCTATCAGCATACTGTCCCCCAAATCCGCGACAGAAAGTAAATCAAATAAATCCAAGTCAACTCACAGAGATACAGAAGAATCCCACCGGTAATCGCGGCATGGATCGTCTGCTTAGCCTCCTGCTCACCAGCCTACACCCAATCATTAACATTAGCATCCTCAGCTTAAAAGTGGAAAAGAGACCGAGAGCCATACTCTAATTTGCTCCTTAGAGAGCTGTTCCTGGCCTATTCAACCACATCATCAGCCAAATCAATCCTATCAAACCCCCATGTGAAAAGGAAAAGGAAAATGAAAGAAAAGAACATACCGGGAGCGAACATCTTGCAAAATATATATCACCGGTGAAAGCCTCAAATTAATAAAATCGACAAAGTCAGGAGAGGAAGTTGAGTGAACAGAGCAAGACAAGACAGATAGCATAGGATACTAACGTTAAGAGGCTTTGATTCTGCCGCGCACGGACCACGGCGGAGGCGGAATTTCTCCAAGTCGTGATTGTTCTCGTCGTTTATCTATCGCAACTCGACCAAACTTCTACTGCTTCATCTTTCGGCTCATCGTCAACTTACATTTTACTTACGGATTGGCATACATTGGATTGTATTTGCTGCACGGATTCACGAAGAGGAAGAGATACCCAGCCCGGGATTGCGTCTTCGTTACGATTCGACGAGCCGTGTTGCCGAGCAACAGCGACAGCGACAGCTACAGAAATATTAAGACGGGCGCCGTTATCGAGTGCTCTACTTTCTTCTACACACACCTTTTTCAATAAAAGGTCTGCACAGCGACGAGGAAAATGTCGGCTAGTCCAGAGATCAAGCCTCAGAACACCGAGGAGGAACCCGTGCAGGCTCCTACCCCCAGCGCTGGCTCTGAGGGTCAGGAAGACCAGGGTACTGAGCCTACGCTTGCTGAGGATGAGGAGGCGCCAGAATTAGACGAGAAGAATAACGAGTCGGATGATGAGTCAATTCTGTCGGAGGTTGACGAGGCGCAGTTTGAGGACTTTGATCCTGAGAATGTTGATGTCGAGGATCGGCCGCAACTTGCGATTGATGAGGATAACTTGAAGCTTATTGGGCGGCATAAGCGGCAGAGGGGTGAGGAGGGGGGTGATGGGGAGCGGTCGAAACGGAAGAGGGAGGGGCGGAGGGAGAAGAAGAGTCGCCGGATGAGGGACTTGGAGGAGGCGGGTAGTGATGGCGAGGGGAAGTCGAAGAAGAGGGAGAGTAGGAAGAGGAGGGAGCCTACGCCGGAGGATGAGACGATGGATCCTGCTACTCGTATGTTTGTTCTTGCTCTTTCTTTTGGACGGGTGAAGGGGCTAATGGGATTACTAGGTCGTCGCAGGGCGTTGGATCGTGCGATGGACGAGGCGCTTAAGAAGCCGACTAAGAGGCGTTTCCGCAAGGCCGATGGGATTGTATGTTCGGTTTCCCTTGGGAGGTCTACGGTGTGGTCGGGTGCTAACTGCTACTGTGTAGGATTTGGAACAAATGGCCGATGCTGAAATTGAGGATATGCGCAAGCGCATGACCCACGCTGCTCAGTTGGACGCCATCAATCGACGTGAGGGCAAGCCCGCTATGCATAAGCTGAAGATGCTACCCGAGGTGGTATCGCTCCTAAATCGCAACCAATATGTCAACAGTCTAGTCGACCCGGAAATCAACCTCCTTGAGGCAGTCAAGTTCTTCTTGGAACCTTTGGACGATGGCTCTCTGCCGGCCTACAATATTCAGCGGGATCTGATGAACTCGCTGGGCAAGCTCCCGATCAACAAGGAGGCGCTCATTGCTAGTGGAATCGGCAAGGTTATTGTGTTCTACACCCGCAGCAAACGCCCTGAGGCCGGTATCAAGCGTATGGCTGAGCGTCTGCTTGCCGAATGGACCCGTCCGATTCTCCAGCGCAGTGACGATTACTCTAAGCGAGTGTACCAGGAAGCGGAATTCGATCCTCGGTATGCCTCCCCAGGCTCCCTTATCACGACTGATCTGGATCAGAAGCTAACTATAGACCATGCAGCAAAGTCCAACGTACTGTCCAATCGGCGGAGGTCACCGCAGCAGAAGCGCGCGCCCGCGAACTACTTCCTCCCCGTTTGGCGAACCGTGCCAGAGCCGACATCACACATACCAGCTATACTGTTGTGCCCCGTCCGACGATGGTCCAGGAGAGCAAATTCGCGCGGCCACTGGGCGCAAGCGGAGAGGATCGATTCCGAAAGATGCGTGCCCGACAGATTGCGGCGTCGAAGGGATCGCGACGATAGGGATATCATATTCATTCATGCTAGATGCATGTCCACCTTCATTTTTTTGCATTTTTCTCTTTCTTTTTCCTTTTCTATTTCCTTCCTATTCTTTATCTTGTCTTATCTGAATGTATGTTACCTACGGTTCAGGTTGCGGGCGTCATCGGGTCAAGTTGTTAGTTGAAATCAAGTCAGTCTAGAACAATCCTTACATAAAGGATCTTTTTTTGGGTCTCGGAAACACCTTGCCGAACAGAGTAACAGTAACCTGCCAATCATGCCATCCGGAAAGTCAGGCAGCGGCTTACTCATTCAGGCTTTCTCGCGCGAGAAGTCTGGCGTCAATGACCCGGAAGCAGTTAGTGGCGCCTGCAAACCCATGCCCTTCCGAGCTTTGCCCGGCAGACCCCGAGCACGCTGTACGTCACGGCCTTTGCTCAATCGCCGAACAACTTATCCAGCATATATTTAAAATCCTTTTTACGTCGTTGATTCCATCACACTTTCTCTCCTTCTTTCCTTTCTGGATAATTCTCAGCCTTATCTCAAGGACAGTACCCAGTTACTTCAATTAACTCAACCACCGTCAACAAACCACACACATCACAATGAAGCTCCTCACCAAAGAAGAAGAAGACGCCCACTACAGGTAAGCCCCAGACGCCACCACATCTTACAACCTCCCCCTGCCCCTCCCCCCCCAAATAACCCCAAACCCCTATCTATCCTCCACAATATCCAACTAACCATCTCCCCAAAATAGAGCCGTCCTAAAAGGTGGCACAATCGGCGGCGTCCTCGGCCTAATAGGCGGCTACGCTGGCGTCCTAGCCGCCAGCCGCCGCTACCACACAATCCGCAACCTAACCCTCCCCATGAAAGCCTTCCTTGTCACATCCTCGGGTACCTTCGTCGGCATCATCGCGGCCGACTCCTCCTCCCGCACCTTTGAGGCCGAGCGCAACGCCAACCGCATGTGGTACGAGAACCGTGAACAGCGCCTCCGCGAAGAACACCTGCAGGGGATGAGCTTCGTGGACCGCACGCTGGCCTGGGCCCGCAAGGAAAAGTACAAGATTGTCAGCGCGACGTGGGTCGCGAGTATGATTGGGAGTTTTGTGCTCGTGGGCCGCAATCCGTATCTATCGGGGCAGCAGAAGATTGTGCAGGCTCGTGTGTATGCGCAGGGTTTGACGCTTGCGGTGCTTGTTGCGAGTGCTGCTTTTGAGATTTCGGATCAGAGGAAGGGAAAGGGCATTCTGAAGAAGAAGTTGGAGGAGGGCGGGGTTCAGGAGGATGTTGTTAAGCCTGTTAAGCAGGAGGAGGGGGAGGGCGATTTGTGGAAGGATATGGTCGCTGCTGAGGAGGAGAGGTTGAAGAAGAAGCATCAGAGTGTTTGGGAGCACCCGGAGAATCATAAGGAAGGGCAGCAGAAAGAGGTGAAGGCTGAGGAGAAGTAAATGGTGTTGTTTTTTTTTCCCTTGGATTACTTCTCTTTGGTTGGAGCGTTCTTGGGGTATGTATCATTGCGTGGACTGAAAAGTCGGTTTTTCTGGTTATGATTGCATAGATTCTCATTTCTCTTTTCATTCGTCTTCGTGGGTGGCGTTTTTTTCTTTTCTTTTTTTTTTTTTTGAGTGGCTCTTATGGTGTACACTGGTTGTACTGTATTCTATTGAATCTCCTCTACAATTGATGACTAGTCATGTTTGCTTTGTTTCAGTGAGATCATCAAGGTCAGGATCTGATCTGTATAGTCAATTGATGTGCAATGGGAAAAGAAAATATCATGAAACATTTTCCATAACTAATTCGAAGTACATATCATGTCATATTAACTTCACATAGTATCAATTTAAACTCCAACCCCCACGTTTGTTACATTCTGTTGTGGTATAACCAACTATCGCTCGGCATCGGTATTCTCGTTCTGAGCGTGTGGCCCACGACCCAAGTAGGAAGACGCTTCGAGTCGGTTGAGCTCATCTTCCCTCTTGTCCAGCTTCTGGTGCGTAATCCAAAAAAGGTTCCCGCCGACGAAGGCAAGCACAGCGACGAAGCCATAGTTCCAGACGAGAAGCGGATTGGTTGAGAGAGGGGTCAGACCTTGCTGGACCGCCGATGAAATCGCATGCATGAAGAGATAGATAGATTGAACTATTGATATGGTCTAGGTTAGTATATCTGGAGTGGATGAGATACAACAGACAACTAAGGTAGGAATACCTAGGCTCTTCATGTTCTTCGGTGCCTTGGTGAATGCATACTCGTATCCTGTAATCGAGGTGAAGATCTCCGAGAAGGCAATCAATATGTATGGCACAGCTTGCACCCAGACGTTAATGGGAGCAGGAGACTTGCAGCTCCTCTCTCCTGGATAATGGCCGCATTTTCCCATCTTATAGATATAGTGCTGTATCACGGCGGCAGATACCATGGCTGCGGAGGCGAGAAGATAGCCCGCATACATTCTCTTCAACGGGGTGAACTGGATGCCTAGTCTTCGGAGTCCGGGATAAATGAACTGGTCCATGATTGGTATGAAGACAATTAGAGCGATCGGATTCAGGTTCATAATAATATCATTTGGCATGCCGTGAAGCTCCATGGTGGCCGCTTGAGAGGTCAGGTTGTTGGTCATCTGCCCATAGGCCAGCCCTAAACATATTCAGACTACGGACGTGTTTCACAACGTTGGCTGGGGCACCTACAATAGAGGGGATACCAGAGGAAAACGGCACATGCCTTGAGGGCTCTGCTAACCTCATCCACCCATTTATCATCGAATGTCATCCACACCGGCTTTCTCTGGACATTGCTCGGCTTCACACTTTCCCAGAAGTCATTCGCTCGGCAGTTTTTGATACTGTTTGCAAATTGTCAGCCACGCTCGTTAATGCGTATGCAAAGAGTTGCTACTGACAATCTGACAGGATTCCAAGACCATCTACCCTTAAGCGCGAATCTCCAGAGCTTGAACGCTTTGCCTACAACGGAGCCAGTCGGAGGAGTGAGCTCATACTTTCTGCGGCAGATAAAAAGCACGAGAGGGCAAATGCCAAACATGACGGTGGGGAGGACAAACGACAACCAGAACCCAACATATTTTTCGGCATATACCATGACAATCTGTCCGAGCAAGGAGCCCACGTTGATCATGAAGTAGAAGTATAAGAAAATGCGAGTGATCGTCTGAGCCGGATCTACGATGACACGTTCTCCGGTTTTTGGGAGTGGCATAACATAGGATCGGATCTCGTTGTGCTGTTCTGCGATTAGGGGAGCGATATTCGATCTATTACTGTGTTAATAGAGGAATCGCCACTAATTAGAATAGAAGCGCCTGTACTTGAAACCTCCAACACCCATTCCGAAGAGTACTAAACCGAATATGAAGCAGCCCAAAGCAGGACCGGGATGCACAATAACCTGGGGAAGAGATGCGATGATGAGAACGATATGCCCAACCATGGCAAAGGCAATGGCGACTTGGATCGTCTTCAGGCGGCCCCAGAACTCATCTGCCACCCACGCGCCAACAATAGGCGTTACGTAGCACCAGAAAACATTGACTTGGAAGAACAGATCAGTTGTTGCGCACGTGGGTGGACTTGCAATTAAGAAACTTACGAGTGGTAAGGCCTGTAGAGACTCTCTGGCCCATGCCTAGAGCCCCCGACTGGCCTGCATGACCAGCACCAGTGTTCGAGTTAGGCGGGAGAGGCTGCTGGATAAAGTTGACGACTGGAACAAGTCACTCTCACAGTTTCCGCATGACAGGAGAATAAATACATACAAACGGCAGTGGTTCCATAGTAGGAGAATCGTTCACAGAGCTCGACAAAGGCGATGGTGTATGCGGCCCATCGAACGCTTCCAGCGACGCGACGGAGGGTTTGCAGTTCTTCCTCGGTTGGAGGCGCGCAGCCATCATCATGCGATAAGGCCACCGTAGACATCACTCCGGTCTCTTTCTTAACCTCGTAAGCCTTCGCAGTGGCATGCGCCTTCTCAGGCTCCCCGTAATGAACGGGGTCACTCATGATGACGACAGGTTTCAGTCACAGAGTTGTGAAAAATGCTGCCAGAGGTCTGTAAGGATGAGGGGGTACAGATTCATTTAAGTGAGGGGATAGAGCCAAGAGGAAGAGAAGAAGAGTGAAAGGGTTGGCTGGAAGAGGAAGAGAAAATGGGAGGAAAAGAGGAGGTGTGGTCATAAAGGAAGAGTGCCTGGGGAAGATGGCGGCCAAACTCCATGCTCGAGTGGATTAGACTTTTATATTAGTCCCTCTTGAGCTTCACTTGGGAATTGTTTGATTAGTACCGTCCTGCCGATTGGAGAAACCAGTTCCAATTGCAAGTCTTGGACATGATCCCTCCAAATTCAGGTGCCCTTTACCGGTATTGTGGTATACATGGATTGTTATAAGTCTAGTGTTACCCCATGATAATGTCATGGCCATTGAGAACGGCAACAAGGGTGATATTCGACGGTTGGGTTGCATCCTTTCTTTATTTTCCCTAGGTTGTGGAAGGTTACGCAAATGCCACCGATGGTTGGTGAATAGACATCCCGGAATGGGTGCTTGCTGATAGCTCGACCTATGGGCGAAATATATCTAACCTAGAGTTCCTCCGCATTTCCTAGGATGATTGTGACCAAGCCCCCATCATCTGCTATGAGAATATTGAACCATATTATCCGTCCTGAAAGGACTGAAAAAGTAAGATATTTGAGATCCACGCGACGGTCATCGTCATATCACTGTGGACCCAGCCGTTATCGCCTTGACATGGACTTACATAGGTCCTTGAACAACATCATAGGAGCATGGACCACCATGGTTTGCCATGCAAGGTGACCTAAAATTGACCCTTCTAAACTAAGCGGTCAACCATGGGATGAATGTGACATGGATATGAGGCTATACTGGAGAAAAAACCTAATATGGGCCCGTAACAGGAAGCCCGCTGATGAGATTGTTCGAACGGATCAAGAACATTCAAAGTTCATGTTATAGTTTTCTTTGAAGCTAATACACTGGCCGTTCAGTATCTGCGGAGAAGGGGTGTTGAAAATACTATCAGCCACACAGTATAGTATGATATATTAAGCTTATCCGTTTGACTTGGAAGATCCATGTTGTCAACTGACAGTCAAGATGCCACAGAGCCGTTGAGAAGCTTACCGTAGGTATATAGCTACCGTCTCACTACGAGTGTTGAACTCTTCAACAGCCGAGCAGTAACATCACTAGCATAAATCCTTAGATACCCAACGAGAGAGAGTACAGCCTTCTATGGGGTTAGTTTTGACCCCATTGACAACCCTGGTTTAGGTTTTAAAATCGCCGAGAGTTTCTTTTGTTCAGGAGTAGTAAGATGATGACCTAAGTATAACGCTAGATGCGTTTCTGGGCCTCAACTAAATACCAACCACTTTCTACATCTGGTTCAGCCACTGTCTCAAGAAGTCTCAACGAGTTTTGTAAGTTAGTTACTTATATTAGGGGTGACAATCTGAGATATCCTTCACTGACTCCCCAGTGAAGGTCCTATTCATGCTCAGTCCTATAACAGATATGAGGAAATGGAGTCTAGCTATTCACACCCTTCCTTGACCTCCTTTGCCTTTTTCTGTTTAGATATGTTTTCCGATATCTTATTCCTCGTATCAGAGAATTCAACAAACTTCACCCGCGTTCTTACTCTATCTTCTTCCTTTTATTATTACTGAAGGCTGTAGACATTTTCTTTCAGCTAGCAGCCCCTTCAAGTCATCACACTGGACGCACCGTTGCTTGGGTGTAATGGGAACCCCTTTTAGTAGTGTGGTTGTTGTCTATGCTCCTACTGTAGAACGTTACTCAATATCAAGCCCTATTGCTATGCACGCTACAGGAATTGTATCTCAGTTAGGGTTGGCGTAACCCCTGTGGCGTAGAATTTGGGCTAGGACACATTGAAAAGGGGAAGAATCTTTTCACGGGGGTCTTATGGACTATGGTTAAGACCTGAAAAGAAATTGTAGAATATCCCGCATATTCTATGTGCTTCATACAGTGGAACACGATTCCATGGATTGGCTCAGTGTTTGCTTTTCCCGGGTTTGAGGATCTGGCTTCAGCAAGTGAACCAACCAAGTTCTACTATGGTTTGCGACAAGGTTGTTGTTTATAGTCTAGTCCTCCAAGCATCCTCTGATCCGATAGTATTGAGGGACGAAAAGACATGATCAATACCCTGTGTTGTATTTAGCTCACTTGTGTTGCTTGCTTGTATTTGGATTTGTTTTTGCTGTTGTTAAACATGCTGTAACGCACACAACACCCTGCTAGAAATAAGAGTAATGATCAGATATATTAGCGGCCCTCTTTGAACCTTGTTGAGTACCCTAGACAGGCTAACTCTGAGTAAGTATAGCACTGCCTGTTCCGAAAAGTAAAGTGTCTTGAGCAGTATGCTGGTCATATCAGTCATTCAATTTGTGTGAACTAGCTATTCACATTCATCTCGCGCAGTAACTCTCATCTGTTGTAGGCAAATGATAAGGAAGTTACAAACGGAACTAACCAACGTACTTATAGAGTAGTAGTAGACATGAGCAATCATCAGTAAATCCAGGTCATAACGGTCAATGAGGCAGTCGGCGTCGGAGTCGATGGTGCGTAGTATGGTCGCCACGCATACATGATTCCTTGGAATCCATAGAAATAACGGTAATATTGCAAGGAGCCAAGATTTTTTGTGTCCAATTCCTGTCGTTACAAAGTCACATCATTCATCGAACATTCGCAGAGAAAACCGTGTCGGATATAATGACTGCAACAGCCGCAATCTAAGAAATCATGGTTAGTTGATTCTTCAACACTACTTTCCAACAAGATTCTTACTAAGGCTTGGTCGACATGCGCAGTTATAACGATATCCAGGACCGGTCGGTAGCCATGTTTAGTACTTGGAAAGCGCTTCATTAAGGCCAGCTTCTCATTGTGCTGTATACTCTCGCGCACTTCTGCGACCTTGCGATCCCCATCCACAATATCATATAACGCTAACGCATTCCCACGGCTCTCAACCTCCAGTGTTAGCTCCTTGTCCTCCTTCCTCTTCATCTCGAAGGCCGCTCTATTTTCGAACGTGATATGGAAGCTCCCCCAACCAGACATCGCAGAAATTCGTCGCGGGGTCACGGTGGCTATCTTCGCACTACTACTTCCGGGCAGCGAGACGGACCAGGAATTCCTAAAGGACTTCCGGTGGATCTCGAACAAAGGGAGTCCCGAGGCATCCCGGAACTCCCGGCAAGGGCGATCGTTGAATTTGCGACCGGAGGCAGTGAACAGGACTATGCCGTCATCGTCTTGGATGCTATAGCCGATAGCGGATTTCGGGTCACCTTGGGGTCGGAAGGTGAGGAGGGATTTGGCCTCGGTGATATACTCTCTCCGAAGAGCGATCGGGCGCTCGGGCGCTTTCAGAGCTCTGCGAATCCGAGGAGAGTATGCCACGGGAGCTTGCAGGGGTTGTAGGTAAGTTGTAGTGGCCATTGTGAAGCTGGGTGGTTCGGGGGAATTGGGATGTCCTGCGTCTTGCTTCCAGTTGCGGGGAAGGAGGCTGCGTTTATAATCGACCGTCGAGTTGACTGTGATAAGCGCAGTAAATTCACTCGCATAGCCCAGCGGTTCCTCATGACTTCATAGGTTGCAGAGGTAATTACCCCATCAGGCTTGCAAGGACGGGGCCAATCAGAGTACTCCAATGTCACCCTGTCCATAGTAGCACTAAGAATACTCCGTTCGACAAGGTCTGGAGCGCAGAAATACGCGATTTGCCAAGAGTTTTGGCTGTGATATGGCCTCCCACTAAATGTGAGCCACAGCTCGATTGCACACACGCTGCAAGTATGTACCTATACTTGCAGCTCTCTCACGCCTTCACGGTTTCAAATCAGACCACTTTAGTCCCGGTACTCGTGGAACAATTTTTTCTGAGACATCATGTCCAAGGTTCATAAGGCTGAATGAGTGTCAATTTTCCATGGTAGCAAAGATCAATGATTGTAGTATGACATTGATCCACCAGTGTACACGAGTGGAGGTGTCAGATGGCAAAAACGGCAAACGAATGCAAACTAGGGAAGCAACGCCACAAGCTCCCCGTTCCCCTCTCCCGTGACTGGAAACGTGGCCCAGAGCAGACTCGCGGGTTGTCGATCTTTTAAGCCTTTTTTTTCAGGATCAACCAGGCAGAAATTTCCCCTTTCTTGTGGAAGAACACAACCCAAAAAATTAACATAAAATAACCTTAAAATATCGTCAGAGATGGACTTTCTTCTCACAATAGACAAAACTAGGAATAGAAGCTACGAGGCTGAGGGGAAGGCCAAGACGCTTGCAACAATGCTAATGCGAAACCAGCTGGAATGTTTCAAAAATTTCAAAGAGTTTTTGTTGACTTAAGATGAGAGTGGGGGCGAATGCCAACCTATGATTGACCTCGGTCTCCATGTCTGTTTAATTTATCTTTTCTCTTCTTTTGTGTCATTCAACTTACAATTGGTTGGTTTGCCCTACTCAGGCACCCAAAACTAGTCAGGTGTTCACTGCTAGTACTGCTACAGTACCGCCTTACTGCGTCAATGTTGGATCTGTGCCACTTTATGAAATTCCACCCTTGCAGTCAGTCATCATGAAATTATGGCGACAATGCGTGTCTCGCCCCTTGCGGCTATTCCTATGGCTCCTAGTTGTTGTACTCCTGCTATGGAAGTCCCTTCCCTACGAACACCCGATCCGATTATCGGCTCGCTTCAATGTTAAAGCTTTGAGTACCGCGTGGATATCTTATCTAGGAGATCGTTGGTGGTTTGCAGACCAATCTACCTTTCCAGTGGTGATATCGAATGATGTTGCTGTGTTGATGAAATCCGGGTTCGGGACAAAGGACCGCATCTCCGCCTGGTTGGAAGCTCACGAGCAGGATAAATTCAACAACCTCCTCCTGGTGGGCGACTTCTCTACCCAGTCTGGACAGCTTTTTAGCTACAATGGTCGGCGCCTACCTGTCTTTGATCTCGTAGCTTGGATGCTGGAAAGGGGGTACCTGTCCGCAGAGCTGGCGCATCCACGATTGATGAAACATTCCAACTTGAGTGTCGCTATTGCTAGCGGGGACATCGACACTGCAAAGGCACTATCGCAGTCGTTCGGATGGGAGCTGGATGCCTTAAAGGTATTTAGCCCAAGTTGTTATAAGCCTTTCTTCGCTCTATCTTTAAGCTCCTTATATTGGCCCCGCTCTCTGACTAGCCTTGGCATGCTGACATGTAATAGTTTATCTCGGGCCTAGAGCTTTGCTATGAACAGATGCCAGATAAAAAATGGTATATCTTAGCTGATGACGATACCTATCTTATGCAGCCCGCCCTCAAGCTGCTACTAGAGCACCTTGATCCGGAAGTGCCCTACTACGTGGGCAATGCCGTAGGTGACTACAAAGGCCGCTTTGCACACGGAGGCTCCTCTGTGATCCTCTCACAGGCGACGATGCGCTCGCTTTTCTCGCACCGCGAAGTCATAACCTCGGCACATCTAGAGTCTCTCGAAGAAACGTGGGGCGATAAGCTTCTTGCGACGACTTTGCTCAAGTTGGGCATTTATCTAGACGAGCAATATGTCATTTTCTTCAACGGGGGTCCGCCTCGAGCCATAAGGGTCACGGAGGATCGGTTGTGTGCGCCAATTATCTCTTTTCACAATCTATCTCCTTCGGAAATGATCAATGTCGGTCGGAGGTTTCAGCATACAGACGACTTTCTTCTTTGGATTGACCTGTGGGATATATATGGCGCCCCATCCCTCGACTCGCCGATTCTTGAGTCAGGTCGGAAGGGCTGGGACCATGTTGGAGGCCTAGATGAATCTACCATGACCGTCAAGGATATCCTAACAGCACAGGGCTGTGTTAAAATCTGCCACAACTACTCGAAGTCTTGTCTGGCGTGGACGTGGGAGTCAGAGAAACAGCTGTGTCACATCAGCAACTGGATGGTGCCGGGAGATCAGGCTGAAGGCAAAACCTCGGGGATCAATGTACCGCGCGCGAAAAGTCTGGTCAACAGGTGCCGGCCGTGATAAATTGGAAGCGTACCCTGTTTACTCTGCAAAACCTCAGAAACCTCTCACCGCCACAATACAAGGCTATCATTAACAGCCGAGTTTTGGAGGATCCCTGTTCAGCCGCAATGAAGCCGTTGGTTGCCGATGGTATTACGACACCCGGTGACCGTGAAGTCGCTCCACTGGGCAGTGACCAAATCATCTCAGTCAGCATGAGCGAACAATATCTTGCTTCATGAATGACACGGCGAGGCTTTGAATTTATTCAACAGAGCGCCATATTGTTCGGCGACAAGGCTGGATAAAACAATGGCTTCGCCCTCCACAGGGCTTATTCCGCACGTCTGGGCCCTTTTCATCCCCTCCCTCTCACGCTCTTAACGTTCCTATATATGTCTTACTGTACATATTTTCTTTACTCTTCGCCGTATATGCTTGGAATGTTTCTCGTCTTGTCATTAGAGCCCAGCTTCAGCTGATTAGAGAGTCGATTATCGACAGAGACCAATACATTAGATTTGAATAAATTTAGTAAAGATTCTACTTGTCTTCCCTATTCTGACTCCTAACTATCATTCATCAGTTCTGTATGTGTTTTTATTTTTATTTTTTATTTTTATTTTTTTTTTTTTGGTATTATCATTTAGTTATAAACTTTGACACTCAGCTGACCCTCGTAGATATTCAATACGACGCCTAGAAACCCAGAATGGGAAAAAGAAAAGACAGAAAAGAATAAAAGGCCGAATCTTCCCCTTCCCAATATTATACGGGGAATCACTACAAGAGGATGGCCTTCACTTCAACTTCCATGCACCTGATGATATTGAGGTTTGTACCAGGAGCCAGGACATAGATAACATGAACCGATCGATATGGCACAACCACACCTGTAGCTCTAGTGAACGGTCAAGCAAGCAAATCGTTATGACCGTGAATGTACCCTGGGCGACAGGATATTGAAATGGTAGATCATCAACACCGCCAGAGCTGCAACGGTCTCCTTCGACTACTTATGAAAGATTTTTATGCGGCAAGAAGTCATGTATCAGAGCAAAAAGTCACACGTTCTGGTCGTAGTGAACCTCAATTCGAGACACTAGACACTAATCCTCCACCTAGCCAAACGATGAAACAGCCTTAAGCACGCCGTAACATTCCAACTGCAATCACACTCTGTCAGTATGTGCATCTTATTACAAGCGGACCAATGCATCGGAAGCTTACTCGGAGTGTATCGAGTTGATCGATAGTCTAGTATTTCGGCCCTGTGAGTCTCCGACATTGTCTGTTGCATCTTATTCTGGCTTTTTGGAGAAACAATGGTCGTGGCATTGCTTATGACTGACGAAGAATCATCGTCTTGTGATGTGCCTTCCTTTTCAGACTGTCCCTTGAAGGGGCGGAGGAGGAGGCTCGAGAGGGAAGTGGCAGGCATGGTAAGAAGATATGATGTTTAGACTTGAAGATAAACTATGGAAAAAGTTAGAGAGATGATCTGTACGAAAATCGGCATATTTATACTTGTTTAGGGCATATCTTGATGTCTATCGGGGTTCGGAGTTCAGCACCAAGTGCATCGGACTAGTGAGGGATATAAATGAACAGCAACTACCCCGACTGCTTCCACAATTGGACTACAACAACTCATCACCATGGCTTCAACCCGCCGTAATGGGCAGCTGTCATCCTGCGAGCCTTGTCGCAAATCCAAGCTCCGATGCGATCATTCAAGTCCGATCTGTACCCGATGCGTTCGTCGGGGTAAATCAGACAGCTGCGTTTACCACCCCGCGCCACTGACGAGACCGCGCAACTTGAGGAGATCTCACAAAGGGGGAAGAACAGGCTCCAAAGTCTCCGTGAGATCCTTTAACTATGAGTACGACTGGGTGAACTTGGCGCCTTCTGCCGCTGTCCATCGGGTTGGACCCGACCGACCGAACGGGGCCAAGCGCTCATTGTCAAACCCAGGTTTTTTGGGCCTTACAAGCTATTCTGGAGTTTTCCCGGAGCACGCAGGTCTGATAGAACCTAGCATTGGCCAACCTACAGATCTTCTCACACAGGATCAGACTCTTTCTGCATTAGCCACTACTTTGGTAGGCTCTAGACAGCTTGAACTGGGCGCCCAGGTCCTCTCATTGTTAGACCACCTTTCCCTCTATGAAGAAATTCTTGAAAAACGATTTGCCGTGTTCGAGGGGTGGATTATTGGTCCTCCAATAGTGCGAAATATTATTAAGTCTCTCAGAGATTTGTCTGAAAACAGAGCCCGGGGACCAGGCGACGGAGAATCCGGCTTGTTGGGGCTCTCAAAAATACTGTTCAAGAACACGGCAGCACCTATTGAGACCAATCCAACAATGATGGCCCCGGATTACGTGTCTGTTGCAGCCCCACGGTGGGATACAATATCATTTCTTTTGTCAGCAATGGGCACGGCGACTTACCAGATTCCCCAGGATGACAAGCTCCTCCAACAGGACACCCTCCCTGGTGGAGACAGAGAAGGACTACGGAGGTTGGCCGTTGCAGCAAGTGACGTCTGCTTGCAGTTTTGTGACAGCCTAGGCATTATCTCTGATCCTATGTGTTGGGCAACTATTCAACAGACTGCTTTCTATTCCCACATGCATGGGTCGGGTGGTATGTCATCGAGCATGACATATCATGAATCTATACTGACTAATTGACCAGATTACCGAACATGGAAAAAGCTAGGTGACATAACAACGATTGTCTTTGCACTTGGCCTGCACCAGTCCGAGGTGGATGAAAACGCCCCGTTCTTCTTGGCTGAAATCCGCAAGCGAGCCATGGCGGGTGCTTACATTTTTGACAAAGAGATTGCGACCTTTTTAGGCCGGCCTCCTCGGATACTCTGGCGGCATTGTAATATACAATATCCTCTGGACCTCAGCTATGACGAAGTCGTGGCTGAGCCTACGGTCCGAAATGCTATAATACAAAAGTTAGACTCGAATGGGTGGAACATAGAGGGAAGCCGGGATAAAGGAGCGCTACCACGGATCTTGCTAATGCTGGCTCCAGTTCGGGAGGAAATTCTAGAGTTATCACTTAACTACGAGGTCGATGGCTTAGAAGGCAGGGTTCAGTGCGTACATGTTTCTTCTGCCTCGCTTGGGACTGGCTGTATGCTAACTACACTTGCAGAAAGCTTAGCGAGGAATCAAGCCTGATGCGACAGAAGTTGCCATCCTTCCTGAACTGGGATCCAGATAAGGGAGACATGACCCTTCTCTCGGTGCATTTAGAATTTCTGTATCAAGACCTCCTCCTCTTCAAGACCTTATTTAAGCGGACAGGGAAAGGAGAAGAGTATCTTGTCAAGACATCCTCCGAAATCCTCACTGTTCTTCTTGACATGGTCTCACGGTTGGCCCGTTCTGGAAAAGTAGTTTCCTCCCTGATCTGGGAAGTAAGTTGAATGTGTAGACCGATACAGGCTATTGTCTATCCTAACAGACTCCTAGTTATGTTACATCGGTGTTCCCGCGGCTGGTGTGCTGTCCAGTCAATTACTACGTCGGTCTCGATTACAACCATCGCAACCCACTTCTCTACTATCAAGCGCCCAGTTTCCCCGGTCGGAGATTATTCAAAACCTGAGCGTATTTGCGGCGCATCTTGGAGGTCTTCTCTGGCAAGAGAATGGAAATTATGAAGTATACAAGAAAGGACAAATGGCTATTAGAGATGTACTTGACAGAGTGCTATCCGATGACCCAGCCAGGGCGTCGACTGATGCTGGCGTTTCGCCGGACCTTGAAGTAGACTTCATGGAATTCTGGGACAGCTTCGATTGGGAGCAGGAGATTAGATTCAGCTTCAGTTAATGGATAATTCTCGGCATAGACTACTTTGTCCATTCTTCGTACTCCGTCAAGTAGTGTGGCTCTCTTTTTTCAGGAACCAGTGCTCTATCCGGATCAATTTTCGTTAATATGCTTTGTGCATTTGTATGCCCTTCGATAATTCAGCCCTTGAATCGATATATCTAATGCATTCACAAACAGGTGCTATTATCTACCATAGCGTAACGTATTTATAAGAAGTTTGTCTACGATCTGCTTTAAGAAGCCTGCAATATATATTAAATTTATGTTTCTGACTTTCTTAATTGATACTTAGCTATACTCTACCAGGTGCCTCATCAGATAGAAAGTATTAACGTCTACATATGCAAGGACAGTGTTTACTTCTAGCATGATAATGAAAAAAATAATATGCATAAAGGGGTTTGAGCTAAGAATGGCATAAACGCAGACTGCCCGTAACTCGGTTAACGGGGGGACTGCAATATCACCTCGGATCAAGCTGATCATTATCCTTTGATATTGACGTTTCCCTTGAAATTTCTCTAGGACAGTCTACTCAAAGAAACAAATGTTAGACGTAACTTCCTGACTATGACTCTATCTGTGATGCCATAGTACATAATAGCGAATAGCAGATAGCAAGTACAGTAGAACGCTGAATAGGCAGACCTGTAGGCCGTTTCAGCCATGAAGAGCTGTGTTATTTTGCCGCCAGTTCTTTGTTTAGTACAGGTCCTTTGTATAAGGTGGTTCATGTTGAGTAGTTCTCTAATCTTCAAGCCTTTACGCCTTTTCCCAATGTTGCTTAGTGAAAGGGGGTCTGTAGGATCTTAAAGACCATATAGCCTTGCATATATAAGGCACTCAACTCACCAACCCACCCCAGGCCTTTCTACCACCTAGTCAATTCAGTCTATCTTTTTATGATTTCACAGATATTGCCAAGGTTTATATATATCGTCTCTCTGCTGAATAATCCTCTATAAACAATCCAAACAAGCTATTCTCACTTTCCCATATCGATCAGACCCTTTGGCGGCATTTAGACTGTCATTGCAGAAAGTAGATCGGACCTTGTCTTCATCATCTAGCTGTCCACCTTCAGCTAGGCCTCGGGTTGCTACATATCTCTGTTGATTATTTACTTCTGCTTGTAGCAAGCAGTCCAGGCGGTGCTGGGGAGACTATCCGTGACCAATATTACCTCAAAATCTTCGCACCAGGGCCGTTCTCTGTCATGGAAGGAGGCCGTTGGAAAGGGAAACGACCACCTTTGCAACAGCAAGCTGCTTAAGTCACCTCCCGGAGGGGACGGAAAACCGAAGAATACCTGCCAGCAGTCCCACCAGGACAAATACTGAAGTGACGAGGGCTACCATATTGGTGCCAATGCCATGTCGCCTATGCAGCATATAGCTGCTGCATTCAACGAACTGGATTTGCCCAAGGGACTCACTCCGAATCGTGAATTTTACTGGGAGCAAAGTCAAGACTGAGTTGATGGGTACGGCACAAACCAGACTGTGAGTACACTTGAACATGCTCCACGAGATCTAATTCCAGTATAGATACTGATCAATACCAAGGCTACAGATGGATCCTACTACAATGCCATGAACCCAGCTGAGGGATTCATATTAGGGAGAATAATACGAGTCCCCTGGAGGCTGCGAGATGGACCCACCAACAAGGACCTCCATTAGCCAAGTGGTTTGATGTAACGTACCTCTCTTTGGTGCAGTGGGCGCGGCTGCGGACCCCTGAGGAGTTGCGAAGTATCAAGTACTTCTTTCGGTTTCGCATTATCAACGAAGCTCCCTTGCGAGCCGCCAAAAGCCTCTCTGAGTGACCTGATACTACCTTTCCTATGGCCTTTGATGAGGGGAGGGAGATCCTGGGGACGCCGAACGGTGGAGGAGTAGCTTGGTGTCTCGCGATCACAAGGGTGACCTCAGAGTAAAGACCGTTAAATCAATAGCCATTTGGGAAACCCAAGGAAACGAAGAGAAAGACTGGTATCACGCAATGTTTATAGTTCGATCTTTGCAGGGCGGAGGTGAACGCAAGTGCAAAGGCAAGTGCAAGGAAAAAGGTGAGAGGGACAAAGAGTTGTAGATTATCCATATTGTAGAGCAGGTAATTCTTCTGCATCTTGGGTGGTATCTATTTGTTAGGATTAGTTATTACTGTGTCTTATTGTTCTATTGATATCGTTGTCAAGGTTTTGTGGTCAGTTTATCAACGGGATACGAGTCAATATCTGAAGGTGAAAGGAGGCTGAAATATTATCTTGAACCGGCCTCTATGGGGGTTTAGTACGCTAGGGCAGACATGTAGCTAATGAGCTCGGCCGCACTATGTCGTTCGGCCAGTTTGCATCTAGTCCAACCCTATATTATACGGGGAATGCCACAAAGGATTCATTCGACTGCAGGAGGAGATTATGCGCAACTCGGAAGACCACACGATCCTGGCATGGACAGTACAAGAGAAGCTATCAGACTGTCGATGCAATGAGTGCTTGCTAATGGCGACTGAAAAGGCCCGGGGTCCACTAGCCTTGCATCCTGTTGGATTTTCCCTCCCGGGGTCCTATTTGCCCGCGCCCGCCAGCTAATCGGGGCGACAGAAGCCTTACGCCATGACCAACTGCCGGTTGAAGATTACGCTACCTGCCGTGAAAATGGTAGGTCTGGACTACTTTCATGCCATATTGAACTGCCGCGATAGTAGAACCAATAAAGTAGCCTGTATTCTACTCCGGCGTATCAAGTTCGAGGACGACAAGTACTATCGATTTTTGTAGATAACCTTATGGCTGCAGGGCCCGGCCTACAGGATAAGGTGCTGTATATCAAACAAGACATCAAGCTGATTAACAGCTATTTTTGTGCTGGACCGGAACTTCAGACGTATAGGGCTTCGCGCGGACGTGCTCGAAAAGATGAGATGGAATGACAAACTAGGCATCATCCAACCTCCCCGACAATTTACCACAGTCCAGGACCACTGTGGTTTTTGAAGCCACATCCGGTGAAGAATTTGCCATTGTATTAGGATTCCTCAGCCACAAGCACCATGTTGCAGCCCGCGGAATGGAGACAGCTCGGGAAATGCACTTCTTGAGATTACTCTGAAGCAGAATGAAGACTTGGATCTGGTGTCTTTTTATTAAAGCCCAGTTTTGTCCCAGCCATTAAGCTCGGTGGCCAATCCCTCTCCTAAGGACTATAACATAATAACCGTCTGTCTTAAAAAGGTTGCCAATGCCGCGTACTACACGCATGAAACCCAAGGGCCGAGAAATATAGTCTCTGGGCCTTCAAGTATCTAAAATTTCCGTCGGTTCCAATAGAGGCAGTAATACATGCCACGATGCAGGGCTTGGGAATACCCACTCATACAATCAACATTGGGAAACCAAGCCTAAACAAATAACAGCACCCTGTGTCCTAACCATAGGAATCAGTTACATAGAAGTAAAGAGGAAGAGAACTGAAGGGAAACTTATGGTCTGGTGTACATTATGCTATACCGACGAGATCCGAATATAAACAGCCAGAAATCCCATATAACCCAGACCAATCAATTGATATCGTCCAAAGACTCGCGATATACAATAGCTACTATGAACGCATCTTCCTCTTCCCAATCTTATGCCTACTAAATCATACCTCACATAAATCCTAGTTACAAATCCGCCCTCACAAAATCCCCCCTCGCTGCCCTCTCCGCCGCCAACGCATTCAACCACCCCGCCAACCTTACCCCAGCCCTATAAACCTGCGCCTCCACAATCGGCGCCGCGCCATCATAATAGTTACCTCCCAGATCATTCTCCTCGAGCCACTCAACACCCCTCTTCAACACAAACTCACAATTCAACCGATTCGTCTCCCTCGCCCACACCATCGCACACTCCACCGCCCTAGAAACATCTGTACACTCCTCCCCACGCAACGACCTCGACAAATCCGACTGCGCAAGCCGTCCAGCCCAGCGCTTAGCCGCCTCCCTCTCGTCGTTATGCTTAATATTATGCGCGATACCGTTGATCTTATGCGGGATGTCGGTGTCCCAAACACTATGCAGGTTCTCGTGCGAGCGGCGACGGCCAAAATGAACAAGGATACCGTTTCCACCTTTATATGCGCCCTCGACGTGTAGGGGTTGGTGGATGTCGCCGAGGAAATGGAGGATGAATCTAAGCGATTCGGCCTGACTGACTTTGTCGAGGGTCAGGTCGAGGGCTTTATGGGTCTGTGAATTGATTGTTAGTATGGACTAGTTCTTGGATTAGTTCTTAGGGTTAGGGTGGATTAATTGGGCCACCATTTCTTCCAGGGCAGATATAATACAGCCCCCGTTGCCGCAGTCGGTTTCGTAGGAAACACCGCATGACTTTGGGGGGTGGTTGGCGTCTATTTGTTTGTTAGCTTTGGGGAGTTAGAGTGAAGGGCAGGTACTGGCTGCGTACCGATGAAATGCCAGGGGCGTGTTTCAGGTCGCTTCCACTTGATGGTATCGGGCCAGACGGCTGCGTCGGAGATGTCGCTTCCGTTGTTCAAGAGGAGGTCTTTTATTAGCTTGGAGCCCTCGTCGTCCAGGTATTGTTCTGCTAGGTAGGCGACTGTTCGGTGGCCTACGTCTCCCCAGCCGCGGGTCAGCTGGGGAGCGGAAAGTAGGATTAAGAAGGGCCAATGGCAGCGCATTGTGAATTGTAAGTATATCAGAGATTGGGGTCTTGCTGTTCTGCAATGGCTCGATTTGGATAGATTTCTTAGTAGAGTAGACAAATGAAATAGGATTGCAGCGATGTCAATCGTGTGGAAGCCCTACATTATATATTCTTGTGTCAACAGTTCTACGCAGTATATGATGTTATTGGATGTATTTGACTATGTCGTGATTTACATCTGGGCAAGTCTAGGCCATAACGAAGGTTCGTTGAGATCTCGAATTGTATCATGATATTGGACAATCCAGCCGTTTGCTGTATTAAATTTCCTCAATACCCACGCGAGATGGTGACCCACGTTAGCTCTCCAGTGCATTTTCAGAGAATAAATGATACGATCCCATGTCAGCAGACTGCTATGTAGTATGATATGAGCGAGGAAATGCCATTGGTTGCTTAGGTGAAGTTCTGGAAATGGACCATCATCACCATGGATATGGCACTACTATGCTTCGATGCATCCAGCCACTCCCCGCGTCACCATCTAGGGAAATCTCACTAGTTATGTAGAAGCTCTGGACTACGGTTCGTTGCGTTGAAATGAACCGTGGGTCGTATGTAAACTCTATTATCGGCGGCCTTCTTTAACGCCATCTTCGTATCTCACCAGCACTGGCACGCCTTAGCTATCCCAGGATTAAATGCAAGATGGGGCGCCCCCTTAGCTTATCGGCTAGAGAAGGAGATTTCTGTGCTTAGAAATATTATATAAAGTAATTGCCCATGTCAAGGGTGCGGGGTCATAAAATCAAGGTGCATCCCATTTTATATAGCCTAGTGACTTCAACTATGTCCGAGTCCGATACGAAAGGTCTACCCTGGTCTAATCGCAAGCGACTTATCGTCTGTTGCGATGGTACGTAGCCCATAGCTCTGATATTTTGTGTACATCTTCTGACCGAGTTATAGGCACCTGGAATTCTTCTATTCAAGACTCGTTCCAACCCCCTACCAATGTGACTCGACTGAGCAGAGCAATCAGTCGCGAAGGGGTAACCGACGAAGGCGGCGTTAAGAAGCGTATATCGCAGATAGTTTATTACCAACAAGGGGTAGGAACAGGCGCTCTCTTGGGCGACAAGCTAGGCGGCGGTAGGATGCACGCGCACACTGGCTCAACAGGTCCCTAACAGATGGATACAGGAGCAATCGGCATAGGTGTCAGCGCGCACGTCCGAGAAGCCTATGGCTTCCTTACCGATAACTACGACGATGGAGACGAGATCTTTTTCTTTGGCTTCTCTCGCGGCGCCTATACAGCACGAGCCGTAGCAGGGTTAGTCACAAACTTGGGCCTTCTCACCCCGCGAGGTATGGACAACTTTACGACGATATACAATGCGTACTATCACCGGGCCAATTCTGCACAGGAACATGATTATCAAGACCAGCATTGGAGAGATAGCGTCGGGTTCCGTCAACGTTTACCCAGATTCACGATTAAGATAATCGGTGTTTGGGATACGGTGGCATTCCACAATAGCTGGATCAGCCGAATGCTGGGAGAGCAGCTTGAATTACCTGACACTATCCTCTCGCCGGATGTTCAGCATGCATTCCAAGCCCTATCGTTGGACGAAACTAGAAACACGTATAAGCCTGTCCTCTGGCATCTGCTGAAAAAGCATGATGGACAGGAGCTTCTCCAGGTCTGGTTCTCGGGGTATCATTCTGATGTGGGTGGTGGAGCAAAGAACCCCCGACTGTCTGATATCACTCTGGCGTGGATGGTGGGACAGTGCACGAAGGACAACCAGCTGAGCATTGACATGGATTACTTCCATGCTTCCCGTTCATCTCCATCGGCTGTGACAGCGGAAGATACGCCCTGGGCTACGGGCCTGGGTGTGGCTAATCCTGTGAAATGGGGTATTGCACGCCTCTTGGAGAGTTTTAGAGGCTGCTCGGCTCGGACACCGCTGGGATATTCAGATAATAGTGGCGGCTGGAACGATACCCACGAAAGGATCCACGAGTCTATCAGGGACCGAAATATCAGCTCATCATCCAGAGATGGCTACTGGCCGTCAAAGGTGTTGACGGGACAACGCGGCGTCTTGGGGTGGTCACTAGTAGGTGGCCGCTATATTGGACAGTTTGACGCATCTAGAGTGGAAAGGGAATTGAAGGGTAGGATCAGGAAAGTGCATCCAACAGAATGGGATTTGGATTAACAACTCCGGGTTTCGTGTGGTGAAAAGAACGACACTGGATATATTTGGATATTCTGCTTACAATCAAGGGAGTTTTGGCTTGCTAGGGAAAGTATATCACCCCCGCCACCTTGCTACCACAATGTATGCAGTTGAGGGCCTATAACAAACATATCATTTGGTAACTAGTGTGGCTGTGGGAAACCATGTATATCGCTAAGATTGCCCGTCCATTCCTTTCCTTCTGTATCATACATCAGCTGGGTATAAGAGACGGAACAAGGTGCTCCACTCATTGTGCTGGATATATCATTAGCAGAAAATACAGTGGCCAGATAATTGAGAAAGCTAAACTGAATTCTACCAAGGATTATTACATCCACTAGGAAGCGCGATCTAGAGCCAAGCGCAGCATTCATCAACCTCCCGGTGCTAAAATGTTATCATGAGAATTAAACAGGACAGAGTTCCATATCTATACACTCGTCACAGTAGTCATCTCCTGAGCATCGTTGAGCTCATCGATCGCTCGACCCCCAGTAGTATACATACCTCCAAGGGCGGAAACTGGGTTTACCTGACCGCGGGGAGCAGCCGATGAGAGAAAATTATGAGGCTCTTGTGACCCAGCTTCGGGACTCCACTGGGTGGAACCGGTTATGCTGTTCCGGGTTTGGAGGTGATTAGGTATGTCCCTACTCGCAACCAAAAACTTGCCGCTGCTGTCTCTCCCTGAAGAGCCTCTACTGCTGACATCGTGAAACCAGCGGAAGAGCGGCCGCAGGGTAATCAAGTTTCCGGCCATGACGCCGAGGTTGGCTTCCACGTTGGACCATATAGTGATCTGGGTCGTGTTGTCTTAGCAATTAGTTAGCATATTTAAAGTCGAGTACTGGATGCAAAGTCTGGAGAGCCAGGGGGTTCAATACATAGGAATTCCTTGTCTCTATAATGATGGATGTACGGAAGACGAATGATAACACCAACACAGGCACTTAGAACGGATGTTAGCAGAGAATGAAATGGCCCATGGAACGTTCTGGATCACATACAGACCGCCCATAGCTAGAATACCTGCAACAGCTATCTTCGTTGTCCGATTGAGCTTCAAGCGTTGGATGAGAAAGACCGGCAAAACGCTAAGCGTAACGTCACATAGAACGGCACTGGCGCTCAAAGCATAACCAAAGTTGATAGCTACGGTGGGATTTAGACAGCTGCCTTGTCCAGTCCTGCGCCAGTAATATGACACCGGTCTACACTGTAGCAGAAACGTAAACCACAGAGGAACCCCGACAGACCACGTGACGAAGATGATCAGCCAAAGGATGATTCTGTATGGCCGCGGCCATGGTATGCGAAGAATAGTCAATGCGATCGATGTGCGGATACATATACCGGTCAAAATGTAGAACAGTGGCCAAAGAAACCACCACTAGATTACGTGTGAGTGGACCATTCTTGATCCGAAGGATGCACAGACATCTGTACCATCAGGGCAGTTTGAATTTCTTGCGCATCAAGCTGTGCAAATTTGCTCCCCATTCCATTCACAGCTCCAGTAATTGTGCATGTCGCAAGCGCATCATTCATCAACTGAAAGTAAGGGTCAACGGTCTTACTCATAAGCCCATAAAAGCCATGTTACTAACCGTGGCACATATCATAAAGATATCATCCGCTCGACAAGTCTTCAATAGCCTAAACCGAACAAAGCATCGCATGGCAAATACTGTAGTAGAGATTGTAAGGAAAACAGTAGTCACAATTAGAATTTCCTCGCTCCGTCCTTTCAACGCCATTGTGGAGTTGGAGGTCAAAAATAAAGTAGTCACGAATACCTGTACCCCACTGATGCCCCGACGATCTCAAGAGACCATCAACAAAAAGATGGAGGGGATTCTTCGCTTACTCCAAGACGTCATCGGACTCGCGTTGACTAAACAGTTTTAACTTTCTTCGACCTTGATATGTTGACGGGGCGACCTTGGTAACTTTGGTACATCGACGAGTTGAATGTTGGATATTTTTCGGCGCCACTTGTCACTGCAACGGACGGAGAAAACAGCACCCCTTCATTATCAACGAGAATGCTGTACAATTCTTATGTGACAATCTAATTGTCCATAGGCTAAACAAAACTAATCCTCGTAAGTATCCCAAAATTGCGGTAGGAATGACTAGAAAGCATAAGCTAGTATAGACTTAGGCTCACACGACACCAGATACGATGGACCTACAATCCTCTAAAGTACCAGGTGTCTCCCTTGATCTCTCTGCCTAAAGCTTTTGCTGCTGATGTGGATTTAGTCAGTTGGCCATCAAGGTCCGTATGATGTTGATCTGTAGCCAACGCTGGAAACCACGTATCCGCTTCATCTAACCTGCTGGATATTAGCTAACTAGGTATGTTCACGATCGACGTGTTACATAGCTGTCGTCGGCAAGGCTTGGCGCTGATCTCCACATTCAGGCCTTCTAGAAGGTGAGAGTTCACAAGTGGAGAGTAGGAAGTGACGAGTATAGCAAGCTCGTATCCGCTAGATGGATGGCTGTGGCTCTGAATACGAGCTCAGCCATGCTTGTGCCCGGTGCCAAGCAATTACCGGATTAGGCAAATACGAGTTTCTTCAGCCAGGCGACATAGTATATAATGAGTGTTGCGCACCATGCTCTAACTGCCTACAGTCATTCATTACTTTGTTCGAGTTCATTGGCAGGCTAATACCATGAAACTACTCTCCATTGTTTCGTTAATCGGGCTGGCTTTTGCCAGTTCCAATCCTTCATGCCGTTGCCGGCCTCATGAAAGCTGTTGGCCCTCTTCCGGAGAGTGGAATACTCTCAACAGTTCGGTTCAAGGAAACCTCCAGGCTGTGCGACCCATAGCCAATCTCTGCCACGGGGATGGGCAGACAGATATCTGTGCGTTAGTCGCGGAGCAATGGTCCAATTCTACCTGGCGAGCGGAGCAACCCGGCGTAGTCCAATGGGAGAATTGGGAGGCATGGCCGGAGCATAACCAGAGCTGCTACATCGAAAGTCCCCAGATACCTTGCGGTCAAGGCAGAATTTCCCTGTACTCGGTGGTGGCCAAATCCGCATCCCATATCCAGGAAGCCGTCCGATTCGCAAAACTACATAACCTTCGTCTTGCGATTAGAAACAGCGGTCATTGCTTTCTGGGTCGCTCGACAGCTCCAGAGTCATTGCAGATCTTTACCAATGGCATGAAAGATATCCAATTCAGAGATAATTTCATCGCTGCTGGGGCCCCAAACAACAAAAGCGAAGGTCCTGCCGTCACTATTGCCGCAGGTGTTATGCTAAACGAGCTGTATGCCGCTGTTGGGAAAGCGGGCAGAACAGTAGTTGCTGGAGCCTCTCATACTGTCGGTGCTGCAGGAGGATATATTCAAGGGGGTGGACACTCTTTCCTGGGGCCCTGGAAGGGCATGGCTTCGGACAATGCGCTTGAGTTCAGCGTTGTGACTGCTGACGGCAGACTTGTCGTTGCGAATAGTTATCAAAACACTGATCTGTTCTGGGCTTTACGAGGTGGAGGGGGGGGAACCTTTGGCGTGGTTGTTGCCGTAACTCTGCGCACATTCGATGAGGTTCCAGTTGTCGTGAGCAACCTCAATGTCAGCACAGCCGTCGGAAATCCAGGCTTCTGGCAAGCTTTGACTGATTTCCATGCCGCGATCCCGGCTCTGAACGAACTCGGTGGTGGATACTATTTCATAAGTCCAAATATTCCGCTGAACCAGACGCACGGCATCTCCTCCTTGTCAACAGTACTTATTTTTCCAAACCAGACTGACACCAGGAAGGCAGATAAACTCTTTATGCCGTTGATGTCAAAGCTCAACGCGACGTCTGGTGTCAGCATGCAATATGGATCTATGCCCTTCCCTAATATTCACGCACTACTCTCTGAATTCCTCCTCCAAGGGGGTTCAGACCCCACCGGAGCTCGGGTTATCCTAGGATCAAGATTATTCTCTCGGGATCTCCTTGCCTCCTCAGATGGCCCAGGAAAGCTAGTCTCCGCGCTTAGGACGCTTGGGTCCAACTCTGAAAACGGATTCACTGGCCACATTGTCGCTGGAGGCGCTGTCAGCAAAAATGGGCAGATTATCGACAGCGCCTTAAATCCCGCCTGGAGACAAGTTGCCACTCATATCGACTTTGGGCGCGGGTGGGGGCCGAATGCTACCCTCGCTGAACAGGAAGCTGTCATCCACAACCTGACCAACGTCGAGATGCCAATTCTCAAGGCCCTTGAAGGAGATAAAATGGGGGCTTACCTGAACGAGGCAAACCCTTATGAGCCTGACTTCCAGGTTGAGTTTTGGGGGAAGAACTACCAGCGTCTCTACCAGATCAAGCAGAAGTGGGATCCCACCGGTCTTTTTATTGTGCGAAAGGGTGTGGGTAGTGAGGATTGGGATGATGCTGGGCTTTGTCGAGTACACTGAGAACCATGTATTAGTGGCGGTTCCGACCACCCACCGGCGAAAGCCGGTGGGTGGTCCCGGTGGGTGGTCGGAACCGCCACTAATATACCGTACCAGTATCCGGTATACCGTATCAGTATCCGGCATCCGAGCCGAATTATAAATCAAAGCGCATAGTTATAGTTAGTTATAGTAACTAATCTGACAAATGTATCTTGGTATCACAATGAAGATGGTGGTATATATATGGGATGCTTATCTGTTTTTCATGGGAGCAGAAGCATACAACTTCAGTTCAGACAGACCTCTAAGCTTAAGGCATTCTTCGGTATCTCAATCCATCCAATAACATGTCTCAACGAGTCCTTCTCCTTGGTGCCACCGGCCAGACGGGCTCTTCCATCCTCGATGGACTCCTAGAACACGGCGGATATGTATGTCGAGCATACCAATCAACTGCCTACATCTAGTGCAATCGCTAAAGGTGTACTCTGTAAAGGAAGTCACCGCATTGGTTCGCCCGTCATCCGCTGAGACCCCCAAGGTGAAAGCCATGGCCGAACGCAACGTGAAGGTCATCGCTGCAGACATCACTGGCCCAGTGGACAAGTTAACTAGTACTCTCCATGGCTTCGATGTTGTGATAAGCGCCATCGATGCCATGAGCATACATCTCCAGAAAAACCTAGTCAAGGCTGCGAAACAGGCCGGCGTGAAACGGTTTGTGCCGTGTGCATTCATTACTGTCGCTCCACCTGGGGGCCTATTCAGTCTAAGAGATGAGGTATTTCCATCTGCTCGACCTCCACAGTGCTTACTAGGATTATAAATGCCCAACACTGCCTCATCCAGCGTACAGCCGTAAAATGTACATGAGTCTCTAACTGCTACAACAGAAAGAAATCATATACCAATACATCCGCCAACTCTACCTTCCCTACACTATCATCGACGTCGGCTTCTGGCACCAGATCTCGTTCCCAACCGTCCCATCGGGGCGCGTAGACTACGCCTCCAGCATCACGCCAAGCGCAACCATTCACGCAGGCGGCAACACGCCGAACATCCTTACCGATCTCCGCGACATAGGCCCCTTTGTCGCGCGCATCATTGGCGATCCCCGCACCCTGAACCAATCAGTCTACACGTGGTCTGACGTGCTGACTGAAAACGAAATCTTTACCATGATGGAGGAGATGAGCGGCGAAAGGATCAAGCGCACCTACATGTCTGCCGAAACGATTGAGGCCGCCATTGCAAAAATCAAGGGCAACATTGAGAAGGACCCAGAGAGCTTGGCTATACGATTTGCGCTGTTCACGTTCCAGTATTTTTTTAGCAAATATGTCCGGGGCGATAACCGGCCCGAGTATGCTAAGTACTTGGGCTACCTTGATGCGAGGGAGTTGTATCCGGACTTTGAGCCGAGGAGCTTTAGGAGCTTTTTGAGGGAGGCCCTTGATGGTAAGGCAGAGAGAGTATATAAGGATGCTAATTTTGAACAATTGGGGAAAGAACTTACCAAGGCGGGCTTGTCGCTTTAGGTCTCAGATTAAGATGTCATTTGAAGGGATAGGAGGCGTTCAGTTGGAGATGTACCTGTGTACCCTTAATACTTGTACATAGGAGACACGGGAGCCAGATTAAATGGTCACAGGAAAGAAAAGAAGCAAATCGGATTTGCAAACAAAATCCCAAAGGTTACTAGTTAGGGTTGTACGGGGGGTATACCGTCGTCTTTGTTCCATATACTCCTTCCTATAAAGAAAGCTCTGTCCTCACAGACAGGATCGAATAGCACCTTCTGTTGTTTGTCAACCCTGACTACTTGTCCGTAATGCCAGAAAATGAGAAAGCTACTCTGTAAGAAAATTACATACTCCTCCGCGAAAGAGAGACAAACGGATATCCTCCTTCAATTAAGCTACTCCAGCAAAAGAGCTAAGTTCTTTGTACTGCTCCACAACAAACGCAGCTGGATCGAAGCCGCTGTGGACCATCATTTCAACGTCGATTTCCCCAATGCATGTCAAGTGGCCGGCGAGGAGACTTGCATTCATGGAAGCTTCATTATTTGCGTCCCAGTCACTGTGTCGGAATGGAAGCAGAAGCCGCAACCTGGATAGTATGTTCTTATGCGGTTCCACTCCATTCCGTAGCTGCGAAAGACCAAAGCACCGGTATATCTCTGCATGTGTCCCGTTTCTCATCAGTCCACGGAGACCGATCAATATCTTTCTTTGTTCCTGCTCAGGCTAGCCTGGTATAGAGTTTTGTAGTCTCGTTGCCTCTACCGCTGTCTGGTAGATGACGGTGTAAATTCCGTAGCTGCTTGCATCCCAGGTATCGGTATATAGTATTTTTGTCCCTATCTTATATAAAGGGAATATAGTTGCGGAGTGTTTTCTTTGTTCGCGGTTCGAGCTAGGTTTATATAGAGTTTTATAGCGTGGTTGCTTATATTATGTACTATCGTTGATAAATGTAACCTCCGGAAACCTTGAAGGCGGTAGGTTGACAGAGCCGGGTTATGCCTGTCTACTTACTTCCCACGGACGGGACGGTATATCCCGGTAGGTTCTAAAGAAAGTACCCATGATATATAGGGTATGGAAACATCTTTATTGGCAATAGTCAGTGGGAATAAAGCACAGGGTTGACCATGGAAGCCAAATATCAATTCTCCAAAAATCGCACACTTAGGCCCATCGCAAAACGAATGATAAAGCTGTGCAAGAGACTATGTAAGCGGTGTTCTCAGAGTGAGTCTATATGATCACGTCCAATCCAATCCATCTTCACTACTCAGTAGTAGTGTCGGAAGTCAATTTGACTGGCCTAAAGCCTGACCAGTCATCAGCTATACCCTCACTTCAAATATAAGAAGACTACATTGTATCAATATGGGATGGGCGTCTGTCCTCTCACAGTTTGCGCAGAGTAAATGTTTTCAGTGTGTCAGACATACACATAGTGCTATATCAAGAGGGAGCATGCAAACATCTTTACACAAGCACCTGTAAACTGGAAATACTAGTACAGTATGTACCTTATGTTAGGTAACATACACCATAGGTATATTATATATAACAGATACCATTAGGCGTTGCATTCAGTAAATTGAAAACCCCTCGCTCCTCTTACATACGGTCCTTGAATTTGAATATATGCTCATATTCCACACACATCTTCCTTTTTAACCCGTCTATACCCACCTTGTAGCCACCATATAGCTTCCATAAATCTCTCATTGCGTCAACACTGACCTGGTATCCCCTCCCACTCTCTGGGCTTCTCCCAGTATGAGCTGCAAAATGCCCTCCCTCCTGTACCGCCCCACGGAGCCTTCGACAATAGCTCGTACAACTAATGACTGCATTGCCCCTCAATCCTGAGACGCTTGTCGTAGACGATAATATAGTGCTTGATAGTTTGGGTAATCTTCATTACCTCGCTGCCAAAATGTATTTTGATGTGGCCCTGGTTTATGATCTTGGGGGACATGCTTCCTGAAATCAGGGAGGTCAGTCTCGACAAAGGGTTGTTGTTCGTACCTGATCTGTTGCAATGTGCGGTACAGATATATGTTTTGTGGCTAGATTTCTTTATGTCGCCACTACCAGTTTCTAGTAGGAATTACAGCATCAATAGTATACTAACGACTACTATATAGTGCGAACAGCAATGTGGAGAGAAATTTTCTGCCTAGTAAATCGCCGTACGGTGGTACGGTGATTACCTAGTAATAGACGTGGTACTATAAATAAAGATAGGCCTTTGGGTATGTGGCCATGAAATAAGGAGTTTTGTCAGGCTGAAGTGCTAGGGGATCGCCACTCTGTAGCTGCTGAATAACGGAAATTACCAACGTATCTGTCGTAAACATTCATTGTGGTGATGAAACCTGACAGCAGGTTCCTAGATTCATTGTAGACCAGACCTCTCCTGTGCGATACCACCCTCATTGCTTTGTTCCATGTTCCTAATGTTGAGATCTTATGAGGCCACACTTTCTTTGTCTACAAGTAGACCGACTGTACACAAGGTCACATTTTGTTATTTCTATATAATCTTGACATCCAAGCTAGAGACAGGACCTGGCAACGGATTTATAATTAGAACAATGTTTCTCTACAGGTTTCTATGCCTAGGTTGTGATGATAATATCAAAGAAATCTTCAACATCCAACTTTCAGCCCGCAGATTTCTGTACAAAGTATAAATTTTACACTGATAAAGGTGTATAGTCAATGTAAAACAAAGGGTTAAACTAGTATACAATTCAAGCCGAATGGGACGGCCAAAAAGGTTATATATTTCGTAGAAGTATTTATAGAGGAATTGTAGTATATGCATACCCCCAGGCTATCAAATCACTGGTTAGTGCGTCGCTTAGCCATCGGATAGAGCCAATCCTAGATACAGTGAACAGTCAATGATCAATTAGGGCAAAAGCTGCATTGATCATCTCGTGCATGGGGCGTACGGACATGTCCATCCCCATTGAGGCCTGTGCAAACATATCCCTTGCGTCGTTTAGGTTGCCCTGGATCAAATACAGGTTGCCCAAGTTCCTCGCCACGTGAGCTGTTGTAGTATGATTAGGACCAAATGTTTCGTTCAGGCCCTCCAACACGTATTTGTAGCTTTCCTTAGCCCTATCCTCCCTATCCTCACCCATGTGCAGGTTAGCCAGGTTATTACGCACACATAGTGTGGAAGGATGCCGACATCCCAGTCTTTCGGTCAATCCTCTGAATGCCCGATTGAACAGTCCCTTAGCTTCTGACAACTTTCCCTGACTCCAGTAGAGAATTCCCAGATTATTGATTACGTGCAGAGTAGATGTATGTTCCGGGCCAAGGAGATTCTCCAGTCCGTTACATGCCCGCCGGAACATGTTCCTGGCCTCGGTGCGTCTGCCTTGATTCCAGTAGAGTACGCCCAAACAATTGACAGCACGGAGAGTCATTATATGCTCGGGGCTGAGAGCCCTCTCGTATCCCTGCAGCGCGCAGAGGTACATCTGCTTCGCCTCTATATGCTTTCCCTGGCTCCAATAAAGCACACCCAGTTCGTGGATTGTGCGCAGTGTGGACATGTGCCCCCTACCTAGGCATGTTTCAAATTGTTCCAGCGCGTGCTGGAGAATACTCTCAGCTTCAGTCCACCTTCCTTGAATACAGTACAACAGACCTACATTATTCGCGGTCCTAGGCATGGATAACCGATCACTACTAAGCGCAGCTTCCAAACGCAATGCGCCATTGAATGTCTTCTCAGCCTGTTTGATCCTCCCTTGTTTGAGACAGAGAGTTCCGAGATGATTAATTGTACGAAGCGTCGATTCGTGTTTCTGTCCGAAAAGCTTCTTGTAGCCTTTGAATGCACGCTGAAACATCAGCCTAGCATCGGCCCACTTGTCTTGGCCCATATATACAAGGCCGATGTGCTCAATTATGCGAATACCTATCTCAGTGGCCTCAACGGAGACTTTATCCTTCTCTAGTGCTTGTAAGGCTGATTTAAACCTTCTTTCAGCTTGTAGTAGCTCTCCTTGTTCAAGGTCGAGAACGCCGAGTTTGAAAATATCCTCTGGTTTAAACTGATTCACAGGCTCTTGCACTAAGCTTTGCAATTGTGACCGAAGGCTGTCACGGGCTTGTTTGGACAATTGGCCAGTGAGGGTGTCGGGCCGAGTCAAAATTTGCGAAGTATCGGATTGATACGGTGGTTTCGGTGGAGGTTGGAGCATCCACTGCCGAGGGCTATATGTATGGCTACACTGAGAGATTTGTTCATCAGTCGTGGGGCGCTTTATGGAAGCCTCCTTTGTTTGGGACACTAGGACTTGTACAAGGTGGTTCCTCGCGTGTCCATCTTGCGTATATTGTGATACAATCTCCTCGGTCTGTACAAGTGATTGTACCGGATACGACAACGGAGGCGATGTCAACTGAGGCTGAAGAGTCCGCTGAAGTAGACCATTGGCCTGTGCATTGTGTAATTCGATTGTATGTGAGAAGGGAGCTATGATTGGCTGGGCGTGGGATATATGCCGAAGCAAATCACCGGCGTTGGTCTGCCCGTTTCGGGTAAATGAAAGAGTCTTCGGCCCCTCATGTTCTAGGCGTGGTTGTAAAGGACTTTCTGTCCGGGGTGGCGAAGCAGAACCGTATAGGTAACGCAGGAAGCTCACTTCCATCTGCACTTGAGGTTCTACGTTAACAGTGGGTGCCGGCGGTATCACAGATAGCAGTTCCTTTGTATACGCCGCGGCCGTGGCTGCAGCGTATCCCTGCCATTGCTCAAGCTTATGAGAATCGGCATAATCGCTGATTCCTCGAATCACTAGACATGGGAAGTCGTCCATTATGCCAGCAGCCTCCATTTCAAAGCAAAGAGCACCCAGATCCTGGGCTACAGAATCTCTTGTCAGGCCATGCTTCATGACCTGGTTTCCTGATGCGATCAGCCCGTAGTGTACCTTTGGTTCTTGGCCCATACGCGGCTTTCGCTCCACTAGCTGACTGTGGTCACAATCGATGCAGGTTTTATCCTTAGAAATATGCTCATACTGTGCTTGAAATAGTAAATCGTATTGCTCGCCAGGATATGTGAAAAGGGAAGTCCTTGGGTTTCTTTCAACCGCTTCAGCCAGCAACTCCCGAACCTGGTCTTGACCAGCCGCATACTTTGACTGCAACTTAGCCGTTGCAGTCAGGAGTCCCGGTGGAGGCTTATTCAGAACGCCAGTTCGTTGAAAATGACCCTCTGCTTCAGTCTTGCCGTGGTCATACTGAATTACACCAGGATGCGTGCGAGAGGGCATACTGACCACCACATCCCCAAGTCGGATATCGGCATCCTTGCCGGGAACGCCTCCTCCAATACCGACTAGGAGACTGAATCGAATAGCGGGGAATGTAGAATGCATAGATGAAGCTACCTTGGTTGCGGATGTAATCCCGTACCTCCCCAATGGAAGGCACGCAATGACGGTATTGTGACCTCTTATTGCACCAAGTGTGTAAGTATTGTTGTCACCTAGACGTTGTGGTAGAGATTGATGCACCTCGTCCAACATCGCCATCGCTGATGTTAGTTCCAGTGGTAGGGCACAGATCCACCCAACCGTATAGGCACTTGGGGGCAGTGATTTTACTACTGGCATTGTTGGAAAGAAACACAGAGCTAGCCTATAGGCCAATTATTTTCCAGGATATACAACGATCTTATTGTAAACATTGTTCGTGTTCACTGGTTGATAAGTTGATTACAGCACGTTCAATAGATGAACAAAAGCGGTGAGCTGGGAGGCTGGTGACAGGTGACTATTCAGAAAAGGTTTAGTGGCAGGTCTTGGGTAAGTCACACTTGCAGTACAAGACAAGGAAATGTTGAATGTACTGAATACATACATTAGTACTATACATGTACTGTATGTATGCAAATATGTACATGTACCGCCAATACTATAATTGTGGTAGGCCTGCCTGCTTCAGCTAAGTGTTACCCATCACATAAATGTCATAAACCTTCCATAGCCCTCTCATCACATTCTTAGTGACACGATCTCCCCTTCTCCCCACCCCCGCCCTGTATATGCGCTGAGGTATAGTCCACGATCTTGCGGCCATTTGCATTCAATCCACTCAGTAATCTCCACTCCGTATTCTTCTATGTTTGTTGCTGGATCTGCGAGGTGCGTATCGCAGACCCAGATCCAATGCATATTTATGGGACAAAAACCATATAGTGAATCTCTGTATCTCTTTCCTTTTTTATCGTTTTTACTCCAGCTCGCCGTACTTCCTGATATTAGTGATGCCAGTATCAACTTAAGAAATCATAGTCTTACCCGAATGTAAGATGCCTGTTGGTAGTGTACTTGAACTCGGTCGCTACTGGTTTCTAGGAGTTCGAGGTATCGGGGTTCAGTTGAAAACATAATAGATAGAACAACTCTGGTGATGGCAACCGGGCTATATACAGCGGGTGACCATCCAATCGGGCTATTTCGTTGATTATTTAGTATGGGTCCAAGGACGCTATTTAAGACGTGCGGCTAGAGAACTAAGGGCTCTTTACCTTGAACTACTAAGGGAGCTCCATATTCCTTTACTGTAAACGTCCATTATCAAGGTGAAACTTGTTAGAAGTTCCTTGAATTCATTGTAGACATATGTCGGGTGATACCACTCCCGCCGCTTTGTTCCATGAATTACCATGCTTTATCCCTTCTCATTGATAGGAAACCCAGAACCATCCCTCAAAGAACCCTCAAGAACCATTCACTTCAGTCTTAGAAAGCCCCCTTCATTTCTCAAATTCCACAACCCATCACATACGATCAACAATCCCATGAAGATCCTCCAGATCACGAACGCCGCCCATTGACAGCCCACGCAAACCCTCCTCGTAGACGCCATAGGCCTTCCAGAGTTTCCGCATCGTATCAACACTGACACATCTTCCCTGTCTGCATGTGCCAGTGTAAGCCGTGAAATAAGCCCCAGTGCCGTCCGCGCATACGGCAAAACGGACATCATCGAATTCGGATCCGTCAGGAAGATACGCTGCGAGACGCATGTCGTAAACAATGATGAAGTAGCCCTTGTCAACTTCGAAGCCGAAATGAACGTCGATGTTTTCCTCTTCTTTGGTCCAGGTTACCATTCTTACTGGTGTTAGTGATGTTGCTGCGGGGTTGTCGGTTTTTCTTACTTGACGTTAGGTGCAAACTGCAAGCGGGAGACTGGTGGGGTAGAGTAGATTTTTCGGAATGTGAAAGGTGTAAGGAGGAGGGAAGTCCTATTTGAATTGGGTTAGGGAGATGGAATCGATTTAAGGCCGTGATGGGACTATATTGTTATGATAGTAGTTTGATGGACCATCTATACCTACTTCTTTCAGAGATCCCGGGTAATGTTGTGGTCGTGATGCTTGAGAGAGCTGGTGGTATTAAGACGTGTTGAGGAAGACACTACAAGGAATATTGTGATTCAAGAGGATTCCTAGGTTGCGAGTGGAGGATCACATAGTATATTCACTGCTTGTCTAAAACTAACACATATCTGCCTGAGGCACTAACATTCAAAAGGAAGCCGAATGAACCCTCAATAGATTCATTGTAATGAATACACAACAGTACTACTATTACGTTGTTCCGCAAAATTAGAGCTGAACACTCAGAACATAATTTTATAATCATCTATACGAATCTCAGATCTTACGAGTAAAACTACACACAGCCGAGTAAATACATCTCGAACCTATCAACACCTCTCTAGCACCATTGACCCTAGCTGCAGGCAGCCTCCCATATAACCTCCAGCCTAATCCTATCCACCTAGACTGTTTCATATCAAAACTTCACTACAACGCAACTAACACAATAACAAGCAACCCCTACTATAATTTCCACACCAACCCGCCTCCATCAACGTCTATGGCCGCGGGGAACGCGCCACCCTCGGCGACGGCCCCTCCCACATGGGCATCGCCATATACAAGATCGGATCCCCCACCTGCAATATGCACCACATCCGCAACCCCAACGACACAGACTTCATCTATGATCCGCGCACCCAACCCCTAGAAGACGGCCCCGTCCTCCGCGGCCGCTGCGGACTCACCACATTCACAACGGCCGAACAAAAGGGCCGAGCCGAACACCTACTCTCAGCCTTCGGCCGCGATGAAACCAACATCCCCGAGTTCGGGGTCGGCAATTGCCAGGATTGGGTGGTGGGAGCCATTGGGATGCTGAACGGACGTTTGAGGGGGAGGCTGATGCGAGGTTTATGGATAAGGGGGATGCGCGACCTGTGGGGAGGTTGGTGCAGAATTCGGCGTTGAGAGAGACGATGGTGGCGCTTGAGGGGAACTTTTTTAGTGCTTCTATAATGGGAAGTTGACTTTGTCGGCTGAGCGGCCGTTTTATGTGTCGATTCCTTTCTCTAGTACAACGCTCGAGGTTCCTAAGAGTGGTGATGGTGTATCTGTTGAAGTTGTTGGGACGGGCAATTCTTCAGGGAATTGAGGTCTATGAGGCGTTATAGATGCTGATTGGAATGTCTGGAAAGTTCAATCCAAGATATAGCTATCCGAACTTGATCCGCCTATTCGACGATATAGAAATATAGGAATCCAGGAAAGCAGTAAATGCTTATAAATCCCGGTAGTCGTGTCTAATGAACTGCCAACCTAGTTCCCCGCTCCTTCTTTTTCTCTCTTATTCTACCCAGAAGTTCCTATACTTAAGCCTGTATCGCCTCGTTGATAGTTTTGATATCCAACCCTAAAAGCTAGTCCGGCCCCCATTTTGAAGGGCTCCCGGGCCCTTTGAGGGTGACGGCTCAAGCCCTAATTTGCGACATAAGGGTCGTTCTAGCGTAGAGTGCAATCAAGGGAGAACTGGGAACCGCAAAATATTATGTTTCAAGAAAGCCGTCAGAGGTGTGAGTACTTCTGCTTTTTTGTTGTATTTCCTTGAACATATTGGTGGTTGAGACTTGACATTCCATTGTACGGTTTGTCACAGTAGATCACTTTCCATAGTCAACTCATTGCTTCTAAGAAAACAACAGTTTACAGCAGGAAGGCAAATATTAGATGGGAAATAGGGATACTTGACATAAACATTCGCAGGTCAAAACTCGTTTCTAGCACTGCTCACAATGACAGTAACAATAACGAAAGACAGAGAAGAGGTCTCAGACATATTGCCATGCGCGATGAATGCAATAGTGGATCAGTAAGCTATTTCCGAATGCGTCGCCACCAGTCCCCGATGCAACCACAATCGCTCTCGACCCAACGGACTTCGCCGACTGATTGTTATGGCCCCGGAATTACTATGAATGTAACCTGAAACCGAAGCTCGAGGGAATCTAAGAATCCAAATAGTTGAAGATCACGGTGGTTCCATTGGCGGGCATGTGACGCAAGGGGCGCCCGGGAGTTATTCAGTTCATAAAAGGCCCAACTCCCCAGATGATGATACATTCCCGAGTTCCGACAGAGATACCCTTCATTCAAACACCTCCATCAACTAGCATCATGTCGGATACTAATCAGCGCCTGATCGTCATCACCATCAATGGCTACCGCAAGCCGGGGTTGACCGAAGAGGAACTGCATCACCATCTTTGTGAGATACATGCACCAAAGGCTACGCCTTTCTTGGAGAAATATGGAATCCTGGAGTATAATGTGGTTAGTTTGTGATTGCCCTGGTCTGTGGAGGAGCACGCTAAATGGAATGATGATGCAGATTGATAACTTCAGCGCCGCCCGCCCGCATGCCGAATATCTACAGATGTCGCAGAAGCTTTCCGATCACGATTACATTGTTCAGTTTGTAATGAAGGATGTCGAGGACTTCAAGCGGGTGTGGGAAGATCCAGAGTTCAGGAAGAATGTCATGCCTGACCACGAGAACTTTGCAGACACGACTCGATCTGGGTATGTCTTTCGAATGTGATTTGATTGGCATCCAGTAGCTTACACAGAACAGCGTCTGCATTGGATACTTGAACAGCTTCTTAAACGGAGGGATAGATCCGCATGGCCGCCGGAAGAACTAAACAGCTGAGGATTTATGGTATCTATGGAGTTACGAGTTGAACCGTTTACCTGTGATTATCGAACATCTCTGCGTCATTTATATCCTCTGTATCAATTCTACGAGGCACAATCAATCAATCAAACCCAATACTCACTACCTTTGATGCACCGAAACTCTCAAGCGGTCAGAAAAATGGAACGAAGGAATCTAATAGCTCCAACATCCCTTACATAACGATCATCACCCATATTCGGAAAAGTAAAATGCAGATATCTTACCACAGCACAAGCATTATGTAGAGAAACCCCGCCCTGACAGCAGTCATCCCTGCAGGCAGCACCTTACAATGTGACAGGTATCGCAGTTCGACCCAGTAGTTGCTCTGATTACCCTTCCTGCATCATCTATTGCAGCTGCATTCCAATGCCCCCCCACAAGGCATGCTACAGCCATTTCCCTATCCATAGTTATTGGGTATCACAAGACGCGAGGAAGACGTGTCCCTGGCATTTAGTACTGTGTAAACACATCTCCAGGTCTATACATGACCAGATATAAAAGACCCATCAAGGTTCAGGTTCCCGAGCTATCCAAGCCGCCATTCCCTTCATCTCTGTCATAGATCAAATCCTGCAACAGGGCAAGGCAGCACACTAAAATGATGCTCTTGTTCACTCTCCCTTTTGTGGCCCTCGTGGCTACCACCATGGCTCAACAGCCCACCCCCTGTCTGGTACGTTGCTTGCTTCCTCCAAATGGTCAAGATACTGACAAACTAATCAGTCAAATTGCATCGCAAAAGCAGACATCTGCCATGGAATCGACATCCCCTGCTTCTGTAAGAATGATGAGTTCCATCGGAAAGTGAAGAGTTGTCTAGATACAGAATGCAATCAACACGATAGGGATAGTATGCTTCGATGTCTCTGTTTCAAATACTGCGAGATTGGCTGACCTTTCTGCCCAGTTGCACTTCAGCTTCAGACGGCTGTTTGTAAATAAGCTGAGAGGGTACCCAACTCTACGCTGGGTTATGTACTATAGCTGAAAGTTGTCTACCGCTCGAAGTAGATGTATGCAATCACGATGTTGAAGGAGGTGGAGGTACTCAAACACAGATCTATCATGCCCACCATATTTATTAAGCGTCTATTCTATACAAAAATAATCCATATCACCATAAACAATCTCCTACCGCTCCCACTCCGCATATAACTTCGCATCCAAATCCACATAACCCTGCACGACCTTCAAACCCCGCAATCTCTCCTCCTCAATCATCTCCCAAGTCCACTCACCCCCATCCCACTCCTCAACATTCGCCTTCTTCTCCGCCTCCAACTCCCTCTCCTCAGGAATTTCCCCCTCCCCTATCTTCAAAACCTCCCGCACAAGCGCCCCATCAACCCCAGCCGTAGCCATAATCCCCTCCTCCCCCGCCGGCGTCCCAACCCCAGACACATCGACAAAACTACCCTCCATCCGAGATTCCTCAGAAGGCCTCCCAGGCAAAAATCCACTCGCCCTCAAAACCCTCTCCGGCAAAACCGTCACCCGTCCCTTCTTAACAACATATTTGCCCAATGCCGCCGCAAAAAGCACCCTCTCTCCCTTGTTCTTCCCCTTCCCAGACCCCAAAAAAAAGCTCAAAACATACAACCACTTCCGATCCCACCCCACAACCCTCGACTCAACCTCATACCGCACAAACGGCTTAATCTCCCTCTTAAACCCACAATACACCGACCCCAGCGCCACATACATCGTCTTGGGAATGTTCGCCTCCTTCCCCTTTCCCTTCCCTTTGACCTCTGGGGAAGCAGAAGTAGATAGCAACTCAACATCAAGCTCCTTACTCACGATACTCAGCCCAGGCGTGTATAGTCTCGTGACTAGTGCCGTGCGCGAGATATCCAAGTCGGTGAAGTACGTGCTGTTAGATTTGTGGAAGTTGTAGTCTGTTTCCAGGATGGGGGTGCGGGAGGTGATGGAGTAGGGAGTGAAGATGGGGTGGATTTTGCGGGGTTTGGGGGAGTGTTTGATATTGGGGTTGGACTTGGCTTTGGGGAAGTGCGGGTCTTGGGGTTTGCGGCGGAGGTTCCACCAGAGGTGGTGGAGGATGCGGAGCTGGGGTTGTTAGTAATTTACGTCTAGGTTATGGCGGTGTTTGTAGGAGGGGGATTGAAGTATGTAGTACTTACGTGCCAGGCTAGAGGGAGGTTTTTGAGATTGATGAGGGCTAGGACCAGGGCTAGGGTTTTCCAGGTGAGGAAGGAAGAGAAAGTTGGGAGGATGGTGTGGATGGTCTCCGGGCGGAAGGGCATTGGTAGGTTCATTTTTTGGTTTGGTTTGGTTGTTTTATTTTGCTTTGGCTTTAGATGGTGTATTGCTCGCTTTTGAGTATATTCTGTACTCTGTAGAGACAAGGGGGCCAATCCTAATGATCCTGATATCGTCCCGAGCGTGGTGATGGTTCTTTCACAGCAGCGAATCCCGGGTCCGGATCGGTCAGATAGCTTACAGACGGACTTTATAGACGTAGAATCCCCAGATTACAACGCTTTTAGCTTTGATAGCAATTGCCTTGGTTGTTGAAACGTTGGGGAAGTCGAAGCCGAGGTTTACATCACGTGCATATATAGCTTATCTAATGTCGCGAAAATGGGGCGTTTGGGAGATCATAACAAGTCATAAATTACGATGAGCGCGATCCGAGCTCAGAAAATAGCCATACAGTTCGGCGGGCTGGAAACGCCTTTCGCACAATTGAGTGGACTGCTGGAGATAAAGAACGTCCACCGCCCCAACTGCCTGCACGTCTCCGCCAGTTCCTCCAGATCGAACATCTCGCCGATCGGCAGTCCCCAACCGGCAAGCATATGGTGGTGTAGATCAAACTCGGGGTTTAAGGGCGGGAAGACCTCGAAGCTAACGGCATCAGATGCCACCGCGGCAAAGTGGTTATCCCACATAAACCGGAGCACGCGCTCGCTCTGCTCGAGCCCAGCATGCTTGGGCACCGTTTGCTGGCTATATACCTGCTTCTGGGCCTCGCTCATGGCGTACCAGGTTTTTGTGAGGCCGACGCGGAGGAAGAAAATGTCTCCTCGTTGAAACTCGATGTTGCATTCGCCCGCGATAGATAGGACGTCGTCGAGAGGCACGGCGTGTTGACTGAGCCCATTGACGGTGATGCCCTTTTTCTCAGCCCATGATAGATAGTCGATCAAGACGCCTCGACCGGCGATGCCCTTCTTGGCCCAATATCCAATGCCGATGCGCGACGAGTTCGGATCCTGGATCTCTTCAGCTGTAGTACCACCGTAGAATATACGGCGAGTTTGGTCTTCGGGCGTCGGTGCAGGTGCGCTGTGGTGTCGGAGCCCATCCCATTGGGAAGACTGCTGCGGGTTGAAATGGTACTCATCGTCAAACGCGATACCCAGAGACACCCATTTGATGCGATGCTCGAAGGGCTTGCGGCGGAATCCTGTAAGCCAGTTAATAGATTGTCCCAGACGATATAGTAGGTGCGATCGCGTGGCACAAGAAATTCATGGTTTCTACACCATACGACCACTGTAACTCTTACCCGGTGTATCCAGCTGCTCCAAATCCCAGTTTAAACAGACTCTCAATCCAGTCTGGATCTGTGTCCGCGCTGCGTCCGCTACGATTCCCGGAGTTAAGATGCGAAGCATGCCGAGTCCCTCTTCGGGCGATCCGGCGGCTGCGGGCCAGTATTGTCTCTTGTCAGGAAGATCATCATATTTCTCGGGTAGATCGTCCATTCTGGAGGTCATTATGATCAATACAGGTGGTTGTTAACCTAGATATCTTGCGTGTGAATACGTCTCATGGATTTATAGAAGTCCAGAAGTGGGGAAATTAATTAATCGGAACATGTCCGACAAGTGGAGAGAAGAACAGGACACCTGATATGCACCTGCTGGTAGACTCTATTTCAGGTATTTGCAAGCTGCCGATGTGCAATACTTTGCCACGCAATCTCTACAGGATGGTGTAATCAAACAATGAAAGTACAGAAAACAAGAAAAGAAATAAGAATACAGTTTAATCCGGCTTACAAGTCATCCACATCGTCATCAGCGACGGCAGATTTCCCCTGCTTGTTGAGACGAGACATTTCATGCTCCTCAACCCCACGTCCAGAGCCTCCCGGGGTTGACATAGCGATGGCTTGTCGCCCCGTGTCGGATGACTCTAGGAACTCGCGTAGCCGCTTTTTGCCCTCCGCTACTGCTTGGTTCGAGGCAGCCTCTGTCATCTTTATGATAGGGCCCCACAGGTTGAGCTGATATGTCACGTAAACTCCCACAGCACATACGAAAAGGAGGAAGAAATAGACCGGATTGCGGAGCACTATGTCAAATGTTAGACTTCAAGTTATTGTACATAGGCCGAACCTGAGGGTTGATACTCACCGGCGATGATCTCATTCCATCCAAGTGCAAGGAGAATGCCATAGAAGTACAAGGGCACTTGCGTCATGCCTCCAATGGCGCTTCTTTTGGCCTCGACATAAACGCCATCTGCGGCCTTCTTGAAGCGAACAGTAAGTTCCTGCCGCTTAGCATCACTGACAATAGTCATTTCTTCTTCCAAGCTCTTGCCTTCATCCTCATCCACCCCTCCGATCGGAGACAGATCTTCTTCGTCAGCAGGTGTCGCAGAACTGGGGGTGTGTCCAATCCAGCGGTCCAGAGGGGGCGGCGCAGACGTCTCAGCTAGCTTGAACTTGGACAGAAGGGGGATGAGGGTCAAGGTGGATTCGCGAGCGCGAGTGTATATGCCTTCAATATCATCGGTCGGGCGCCATATTCTAGGAACACCGGCATCGTCGTAGCGGAATTTGTCCTCGAAGTTCTCGCGCAACTTCAACAGCAGGTTGCCCTCAATCATCTCTTCATCAATTTTAGCCCGCAGAACACCCCAAGACTTTCTCCTAAGTCTCCAGAGTCCAACATCCACCTCCTCTAGGCTGGCATCAAAGCTGCTAGCGCGGTCTGTGAATCGCCTTTCGGCATCGAGCACTGTCTCGACAAACACGTTCCACACACGATCCCAAAACTTCTTCTCGGTAGGCTGATCACCCGTTTCCGTCGCACCACCTCCAGCTCGTCCAGAGCCAAGAGCGTTGAACTCGAGCCCAACAGATTCGCCTAGTCGAGATTGGACCCATCGTTCCACACGGCTAGCAAGACGTCTCATCTCATCCCTTCTCAGACGTGCGCTGACTTCCCCAAGCTCCTTTTCATATAATGCCAGCTCTTGCTCAAAGTCACTCCAAGAAGTACCATCCACAGCGGTGGCACGAGCGACTTCCTCAAACTTTCCAACGGCCCTTTTAGCTTCTTCATTGACAATTTCTGCGAAATCATACCCGGTGCCCTTCTTCTGTCCCGACTTTACGGCAGTCGACACTGCGTCGCTGAATTCAATAATCCCAGACTTGTGCGCTGCATTGAGTTGACCTTGGAAAAGGGCTTTCAAACGGGTATCCGCTTTGCTTTCAAGCTCCGCCCTCTTGCGCTGGTAGACGCCTTTGTGATACCGGCTAGCCTCAGTTTCGAAGGCCTTGACAGCCTTGGCACGCGACGATCGCATTGCCGCTCCTAGGCCTCCAAGAATCTCAGGTGCCCCAAGGCGAGCGGCTTGCGACTGCTTGTCTTCAAAGGGAATGATTGCCTCATCGAAAGCCACCATCACTTCCCTTAAAATCTCGTCGCATCTAAACTGCGCAAGCAGCTCCTGCTGTGTGGGTAGATCTAGGTCCTTGTTGTTGACAATCTGATCCCAAATTCCTTCAGCGTATCTTGAAACGCCATCCGCAGGGATACGGCGGTGATACTCCGGAAGGAAAACGCCGCCATCTGAGAATTCGCCTTTTAGCGCATCTAGGCTAGGATCCCTCTGACCGTCCCGGAAGCGGAGGCTCAGCTTTTGTGTCTCTTCCACAAACTTCTCCGGCTGGTAACCTTTGTGCGGCAAGCCGTAGAACTGGAAGTCAAAGTAATCATGCACGTTCGCGTTCTCTAGACCGGCAGGTTTGGATATCGAACCCCAAAGGCGAGCCATATCTTCCATTAATGTCTTCTGTAAGTTCATGAGCGGCGTCATTCCAGAATAGTCACGGATGACAAAGAACAGGAGCGATCGGTGAGTGGTACTAGAAAACAATTAGCACAAGATCAAGAGTCCGCTTTGAGGGAAGTGTACTTCTTATCCTTCAGGAACAACTGTAGGTTGACTTCAAATACAGTCTTCAGCAGACCCATATTCGCGCCCTGATACAATCCAACCTGGTGTTCCCAAATGTTCACAATAAGAACCTCACTGGTCGCCAGCGCGAAAAGGGCACTCTTGCGCTCGAAATCTTGGTCTTCACCTCGCTCGCGGCCGTCCGTGCCCTCTACGTCCATGACTAAGATGTTGCTGGCCATGGATGGGTTCTCGTTCTTATTTTTGGACAGCCAAATTCCCTTTGTTGTCTGCCGTCTCTCCATCTCTGACATGACGGAGAAGTGGGTGCCGAAAAGATGGTTGAGAAGAGTAGATTTACCCGTCGACTGCGAACCGAATACGGAAATGAGGTGATAATTGAATCCGGCGGAGGTGACATTTTCAAGGCTCAGGTACTGCGACAGATTCGGGCTAGAGATACCATTAGCATTTTTGAAGCAGTAAACACTCTATCGAAAAGGCGCGTTATTGCGCAAGATGTACGTATAAGAGAGGCCATGGCGGAAACAGGAACGGATTGCATCGATCGAAGATATGGGAAAGGCATACTTGAACTCCTTATTCTCATCTATTACTTGTACTCCATGCTCATATGCGGTAGTGTCACTGGCGGAATTGCCTATTGAGGCGAAATGGCCGTTGGTCGCCATAGTGGAAGCACCGTCAGGTATAGATGAGTACTGCCAACTGTGGTTGCGAAAGGAATGGTTTACTCTATAGTAATAAACGGGTTGTTGTTTGCGGGTGATGTCGCCCTTAGGAGAAGTGGAAGGACAACGTCAGGGTGGGGAGAGTGTGGCGAATGTTGAGACGAATTACCGTATAAGACGGGTGAAAAGCGTCAACTAAGTACATGTAGTATGAAATAAAGGCAGATCACTCAGAAGTAAGGAAAATCACAAGACTCGATCCGGTCCTGTGAGATTAGGTCCGAGGGTCGGCTGGGATCTTGTGGTAGGGAGGCTAGTCGGTTGGTTGTCCGGAGCACCCTCGACGCCTGAGCGTCCAGGCCACACCACCGAATCCACCGTGTGTCTAGGCGTTGCTATTTCGGGTTTAGTGACCCCAGTCACTCGATCCATGTATCATGTGGAACGTACGACAGTGAGTCCTTCTACATAGACAAAACAGCGGACAGCCCCTATTTTACTACCATAAATAATGAGAAAAAAAGTGTGAACACCTTTCCGTACGATACGAAATGTCAATCACTTCACCAAAAAATGTTACTACACTATATCCTGATATCGAACACTTTTCCGAGTTCTTTCACTATTCTGACCGCTATTGAAATCGGCCACATATTGCGCCATTAGTGCACCAACAAACCCTGGAATGTATGAATAGCTTCCAACCTCAGGAGTTATAACAGATGGCATTCATTACGTCTGTTTGCATGACTCGTCAGAGTAGTGGATTGGTGGCAGTGTCTCAATTGGTTAATTCTCCGTCATTCTGTATGTCTCACTGAACTGCCTACGACCTAGGTAATAGGATACGGTACAGCTATCTTCCCATGTCCAAGAGTTAGTAGACAACCGTGTTGGACCTGTAGAGCACTGCAAAGGACCCTAAGTGAACTTCGTCATCAAAGTAGGCACATATAGTCGCAGGATAGACGGAGTTAATAATAGATCTCAACTCCATGGTCAGAAATGACAACTGTCTCTGTTCTGTTGTTTACCCTTTCAGGTTGGTACACGAATATATTGAATTTTGCGCATTATGGTAATCATCCGATTCATATTCAATGACATATTTAGAAATAAGTGAGGGGAGAATAACAAAAGAGGATAATAAAAATGTCTACATGGTTGAATACAATACAGGTACATGGCATGACTCACGAACTCCGGTATCAATGTTTCCCGGATCCCTTCGCTGTTTCCCGCGCTGCAAGAAAAAGAAATCCAAACATAATTTTTTTTTCATAGTAAAAAGACCGCCAAGTCATCGATCACCGTAACGATCTGGCATCTATTTGTCCATGACACGGGTCACGAGACCAGTGGCAACTGTGCGGCCACCCTCACGGATGTTGAAGCGCTGGCCAGCCTCAGCAGCGATGGGGCGGTGGGTCTTGAGAACCATCTCGACATTGTCACCGGGCATGACACGGCGGGATTCATCGCCATCGGGGAAGCTGAGGTCAGCAGCCTCATCTGGAAGCAGCAGTTAGATATCAGGTTAATCATTTCAAGGGAGCAAAAGAGACTTACCAGCAGTGCGGACGAACACCTGGGGGCGGTAGTTGCTGCCGAAGCCAGTACGACGGCCACCCTCGGCCTCAGTCAGAACGTACATGGACACCAAGAACTTATCATGTGCCTTGGTGCTGGCAGGGGCGGCAATGACCATACCACGCCTAACGTCCTCACGGCGGATACCACGGAGAAGCAGACCGGAGTTGTCACCAGCGCGAGATTCGTCGCAAGACTTCTTGAAGGTCTCAATGTCAGTGACCTTGGTCTTGATAGCATCGAAGCTGCCTCCAACGAGTTCAACTTCACTGTCCTTCTTCAAGACACCACGCTCAACACGGCCGGAGGCGACAGTACCGCGACCGGCAATAGAGAAGACTTCCTCAACGGACATAAGGAAGGGCTTGTCAAGATCACGCTGAGGGGTAGGGATCCAGGTGTCAACAGCCTCCATAAGCTGGTCAATACGCTCGGTACCAATGTCGGGGCGACGGCCCTCCAGAGCACACAGAGCAGAGCCGAAGATGATGGGGGTCTCTTCACCCTCGAAGCCGTAGCTGCTGAGGAGCTCACGCATCTCCAGCTCGACAAGCTCCAACATCTCAGGGTCATCGACAGCATCGATCTTGTTAACGAAAACGACGATCTTCTGGACACCAACTTGACGGGCAAGCAGCAAGTGCTCACGGGTCTGGGGCCTATAGTATTCTGTAAGCGCGAGATTCCACCAGATCATTCAGCGACAATGAGTATAACCGTACATTTGACCATCCGAGGCAGCAACGACAACAATAGCACCGTCCATGTTGGCAGCACCAGTGATCATGTTCTTGATGTAATCAGCGTGACCGGGGCAGTCGACGTGGGCATAGTGCCTGTCGTTGGTGGAGAACTCAATGTGAGCAGTCGAGATGGTGATACCGCGCTTGCGCTCCTCGGGGGCCTTGTCGATGGCGCCATACTCGAGAAACTGGGCGAGACCCTTGGAAGCTTGGTGCTTGGTGATAGCAGCCGTCAAAGTGGTCTAAACAGCAACGCGTTAGTGTCCGGGCTACTTCGGGAAAAAAGACAAATAGATCCAGTCTCGGGCTTACCTTGCCGTGATCGACGTGACCAATGGTACCTATATTTCCCTTTAGCAAGTCCCCTTAGGACAACAGAGAATATCGAAGTAGGCCAATCCATACCGATGTTGACGTGAGGCTTAGAGCGCTCGAAGGCGGTTGCCATACCACGGGCAGCCAGTCTGTCTTTACCCAAAACATGCTGAACAGGGTTGACAGCACGAGGGCGCAGCAGGGAGGCCCTGCTAGAGCGCAGGAGAAGATTAGCGGTTCTGGAGATGCTAGACATGTTGACTGCCCTGCAGTAGAATAACAAGCGAAAAGAAAACCAGGGAAAACGCGATGGAAAGGAAGAGCAGAGCTAGTCCGAGGGTCGAGGAGATCTCCAAAGTCCCCCGAAAAATTTAGGGAGACGCTTAGTCATCTCCCGGCCAATCACTGTCGCCGGATTGCGGAGGTCTTTCCCCATCCATGTCAAGTCCCATCCACGGGACCTTAGACCCAGTACTAGTATGTACCTGACAGGACGAATGTATTGCTTTGTTGAACGGGATATCTATGCACCTTGTAGAGTTGAGCGGCTATTTCAAGCTCTGTTCCACAACCAGTATCCATTACAATGCATTCACATTAGCAATTGAGGTTAATGTAATCCGACCTTCTTGTGCCAGGCATTGCTCCGTAGAGACTTTTCATTATATTTACAGAGCACTCTGATAGGTGTGATGTTCATAATATACATGAATCAAACTTCTCAAAAAGCTCACATTAAGCAGAATCCTTTTTCTTCACAACAAGTATAACGTGTTTGCCTGGTTCACCTTCCATCGGCTTCACTTGCATAGCATTGGCGTCCTTGGTAGTCTGCAGCACACTATCCATCAAATGTTTGACTTCTTCTACAGTAGGTGCCCTCTTGCCTCTCTTTTTTGTCAAGATAACCTCTACTTTCCGGCCCTTGTCCAGGAAGCCCGTCAATTGCTTCAGGCGGTGGGAGAGATCATGAGGGTCGATAGCCCAATTCAGCTCGATCTGTTTCAAAGAGTTCTTGCTAACATGAGCTGCCTTTGCTCTTGCCCGTTCTTGCTCCCGCATCTCTAGCCGATTCACAACCTTGCAAACAGGTGCCTGGCCACGAAAGCCCGGGGAGACTTGAAGAATAAAGTGATCGGGGCGGTCGATTGTCAGTAAGGCATCGCGAAGCCGTACTGGTGGATCCAGTTTACCATCCTCGTTCACGAGTTGAATAAATTCTGCTCTAATTTCCTCGTCTTTCACCTGCCTTGCCCTTGCCTGGGGCTGGGCATCTGGTTGAGACAGGCGCCGGCCCGAGAGAAGGCGGGTTTGCGCGACGATCGGAAGGGAAATGGGACGAAGGAATTGGGGTCTAGTGTTTTCGAGAGGGGAGGGGAATATGCGACGCAACGCTTGTGTTGTCGAAATGAAACTGCGTAAATGCTTCATACTCGGTACAACGCAGTTTGGTGTGGGGAGCCAGGTGGGAAGCTTCACAATCCGGGATTTGGGAGTTAGGAGTGGAAAAAGAAAAATAATACGTTCAAGGCGATTGATGATAGTGTCACATGTGCTTAACCACTTGAGCGAAGGTTGGAGAAGCTGTCGGCCAGAACAGATTAGTACAGCCTGAAATGTATCAAAAGTCGTGTACTACTAGTAGTTCGATGGACGCATTCGGCGGCGATTCAGCCACATATGCGCCACATTTCACTCAGCCGGGGGCGGGATCGAGACCCCCGGCCTGCAACCAGTAAACCAATCTCGTTTTGGTCTTGCTCCCTTTTCCCTTCTCCTGACATCTATCAACTCTCTTTTCGTTGGTTCTGTTTTACCGTCCACAATCCTTTTTTTTGGGCTGGTCCGGAGGCTCCTGGAGGATCTATGATTTCTCTTCATTTCGACCGTTAGCCTATCGTTCTTTTCCAACTCGGTCGAAACCGTAATAGCGTTTCCCCGGAACGAAACGCCACTCGCTCATCCTCAGCCTCATCTTTTGTATGTCGACTGGATTTGAAGGTCGACATATTCACCGTATACCATCCGTTCCACAGTCAAGTTCGAGAGTCAGTAGGCGTTCCAATTCGCGGGCGTCCCAACCAGCGAACACACCAAGCAACTCACCGGACACTTGTCAAAGTCCGTCAGCCGACATGATGGCACAAAGCCAAAGATCCCGGTACTTGAAGACAGGCGCCATTGTCGGCGCCTTGCTTTTGATGATCCTTTGGCTCTCACCGTCGAAACCGGCAGTGACAGGGCTCGGCCGTGGTATGTTACACACATTGTTTCTCATTTAAGTATGCCCACTAATACGCCCTGCAGAAAAATCCCCCGCCGGCGCCACTTCTTTAACAGATAAATGCACTAAGCCACATGACCCATCCAAACCATTGATTCAGTACGCTCTCATGATTGATGCTGGAAGTCAGGGTTCTCGGATTCACGTCTACCGGTTTAACAACTGTGGCCCTACTCCGGAACTTGAGCACGAGGAGTTCGAACAAACCGAGAAGCGAAAGGGTGGTTCTGGATTGAGCTCCTATAAGGAAGATGCCGAGGGAGCGGCCAAAAGTCTTGACCCCCTCATGCAAGTCGCAATGCGGACTGTTCCTGATGAGTACAAGTCTTGTTCACCAGTCGCTGTGAAGGCTACAGCCGGTTTGCGAATGCTTGGGCCAGAAATGAGCCAGAACATCCTGGAAGCCGTCAGGAATCGTTTGGAAACCGTCTATCCGTTCCCTGTCGTCTCTCGTGAAAAGGGAGGCGTTGAGATTATGGATGGATCTGATGAGGGCGTTTACGCCTGGATCACAACGAACTATCTTCTCGGAAAGATCGGCGGCCCAGATGAAACACCCACTGCTGCGATCTTCGATCTCGGTGGAGGTTCTACTCAGATTGTTTTCCAGCCCACCTTCGAGAAGAGTAAGTCAGGCGGCATGCCGGAGCGATTAGCCGATGGCGATCATAAGTATGAGCTTCAATTTGGTGGACGTGGCTTTGATCTGTACCAGCACTCCCACCTCGGATACGGTTTGATGGCGGCTCGTGATGCCATCCATAAGGCTGTTGTCGAGGGTAAATTGGCTGCTAATGGCAACGACAAGGCTTGGTTGAACCAGCCCATTTCTAATCCCTGTATCGGACCTGGTATGGAGCGCGAGGTGGAGTTGAAATATGACACTGGGCACCCACTTAGTCCCAAGGTGACTGTCAAGATGGTTGGCCCGCAGGATGGGTCGTCTTCGCCTGCTTTGTGCCGTGGCTTCGCGGAGAAGATTCTCAAGAAGGATGCAGAATGCAAACTTGCTCCTTGTTCCTTCAATGGCGTTCACCAGCCCTCGCTCGCGAAGACATTCTCTCGGGAAGATGTCTATATCTTCTCCTACTTCTTTGATCGCACCAAGCCCCTAGGCATGCCTGACTCTTTCACTTTGGAGGAACTGCACCAGCTTACGTCCACTGTTTGCGCCGGCGAATCATCATGGAACATCTTCGAAGGCATGGGAGACGTCTTGACCGAGTTACGTGGTCGTCCCGAGTGGTGCTTGGACTTGAACTTCATGCTTACTTTGCTGCACACTGGCTACGAAATGCCATTGTCCCGCGAAGTCAAGATTGCGAAGAAAATTAAGAATAACGAACTCGGCTGGTGTCTGGGTGCAAGGTAAGGAACCCACTCTAAATTTTTGTTTATACTTGTTCTAATGTTCTATCACAGCTTGCCTCTTCTGAGCCAGGAATCAGGATGGTCTTGCCGCATCAAGGAAGTCTCCTAGATATGATGGATACGATATGGTGATGTATTGGTATTAATTACAATCAGATGACATGTATACATCTGTCTTTTTCTCATGCAAATATAGCTAGAAATTTTGTCTCCTCGACTATATTGATACTGCTGCATTTAGATTTTGTACTCAATTCCCTGTACGCTATAGGAAAACAAATATGGAAGTGCAATTGATGTCCTCTATACTGCTAGGATTATCTTTCGGGACATCTGTAGAAGATTCAGGTTCTATGTAGCGATGACAATGGGGCAAAAAAATTTTCAAACTTTTAGATCCATCAAAAGGCAAGGAATATCCTACAATAAGTTGAGTACACACCAGAAGCTCATCCAACGTGTGATATCACATCCGTAAGCGCCAGTCCATGCAATCCAACCCCACGTATACTGATTTTCATTCGTTCATTTCCACAATGGTTGGTTTCTTTGATGTTGTAGAATCATTGTTCCCCATCAGGGTTCCCAATACGTTCGAGTCGGTTTGTGCAGTAGGGTGTGATCCTGCGTGGCTGCATGCAGGGCTTGCTTCCGAACCGTCGTTCTTTTCGCCAGGAGCTACGGCGTCGTCGGGGCGTTTCTCTTCTAGAACGCCTAGTCCCAAATTCTGTAGAAAGATGGTCTGTTAGCACTAAGCAACTGGGAGCGAACAGTTGCGAAGGATCTGCCTACCATCTCAATGTACTGACCATCCGTTTGGTCATCCACAGCGTCCAACATTAGGTCCTTCGCTCTTCCGGCATCTATCTCTCGTTGTAGTTCATCATTGGAGCTTTTCATTTGGGGTAGGAAGGCAGACAACCGGGAGAGAATGTCGGGTTTCTTCTCGATACGATATATTTGAGGTTTTTGTCTAGCAGGTATGCGTGGTAAAGAGTGATCGGAGCCATGGTCACTATTTACATCACACTTTTGCTCCTCTTCCTCATCGTCATCCTCGGTGTCGTCTTCGTCACTGTCACTCCCAGAGGATGAGGTGTAATCGTCATCATCACTATCGCTATCATTTTTGTTGGCAGAGGTCTGGACGTTCTTGGCCTTGTTGCGCAGGGCCACCAAGAATATGCGCCCGTCGTCTACTTCGTCGCTCAAGTTGTCATTTTGATTGGAAGACCCCCTAGTCCGTTTCGAGGGCGAAAGCGCATCGGATGCAGGTGACGGTTGGAGATCGTCGGACTGCGGGCGCTTCCGATCACTATCGGCCATTCTTGCGCCCTACCAATAATTGTCCCCTCTTTCACACTTCACGGCGTTTCGCGCAGGATGTGGGGGGCGACTCGCAGGAATCGACTAGAGTTTCCTAGAAGAAGGGGGGGGGAAATAATGTTGGTGCGAAGAGTGGGTTTTAGGGGGTTGTTTGAAAATGGAGATTAGTTGATTAAGGATGATCTGGAAAGACGAGTGAGCCAAACATCGTCGTCCCTCATATAACTTAAGTATTGAAGAAGCATGACAGGGATATTTTTGTATTTATACGGAACAGCCAATGGCATTTAGTGATGTGATCTTAATTCTCGCATTGCATTAAAGATCTCACTATAATTCTCCCCTCCTTGATACTTTAACTCTTAATTATCCCGTTTCAAACCCTCGTTCAATGGGTTCACTTGCGTTGCCCGGTCCGTGCCTGGCGATTTATATTATTGACCCTTAGCCTTGGCCTCTGCAGATGACTTGGGAAACTTATCTCCTAATCCCTAAAGTACCAGTCATTTTCACAAGAATCTATCCTCCCAGGTAAGTCTACACATCTATCTTACTCAACCTTGATGATAACCCTCAATCGTTTCCGTGGTGAACTATATCCCGTATCTGTCCACTTCTAGCCCTACTACACATCCTACCTATTTATCCCCATATATCGCATGTATATCATGACTCACTTCATGAATAAACGTTTAGAAGATCTAACTCACTAATCCTTCCAACATAAGGGCTGTACACCACGGGAAGAGAGGCATCCTTTGACTACCTGATGCTCGGAGATCTGACATGAGCCATCGCATCTGCCTTGTCTCCTCATTTTAAGGAAGTCTAGCACCCTCTCAAAGTCATACGATTCTGCCTTCATTCAACGTCTCAATATGGTCCTCCCAAGAGTCCATGTCAATGATAAAAGCCCCATGTCCGAGGACAACAACACAAAAGACGGCAACCTCGTCAAGCAACAATCAGAACAGTTCAGTGCCCCAACAAGAAAGTCACTGCATCAGAACATCTTCGGAAAGCTTCGTCCTCTCCCTTTCCAGTATCATTGGACTGTTTGGTATGACAAGCACTCCGACTCCAGCGATTACGATAACAGACTATACGTCCTTCACGAAGATGTCGCCGACATTGCGACCTTCTACCGGGTCTACAACAACTATCCATGGGAGAAAGTCCGCCTCAGAGATACGGTACATATCTTCCGCAAGGGCGTGCGTCCTGTGTGGGAAGATCAGGAGAACCTGAAGGGAGGATGTTGGAAATTCCGGGTTCCGAAGAGCAAGGCGCAGGAGTTCTTCCATGAGATTGCTATCCTCTGTATGGCAAATGAGTTTCAAGCTATTCTTGAGCAAGGTTCGCTCCTTCCCTACTTCCGTGATTCCGATACATTAATATCTAATCTGTATGTAGAACATGACCATGTCCTTGGAGTTTCAACTTCAGCCCGGTTCAACACTCACCTGATCTCGGTGTGGAATAAGCTAGGTTCCAATGAACGTTCCATCAAAGCATTGGAAAAGACTATTCTTGATCGATTGTCGCCGGAGCTGCGACCTACTGGTACCGGATCCAATGCGTATTTCTACAAGCGTCACGACGAGAACGAGGGTTATCAGGAAGCTGTTCAGCGGGTGGCTTCCGAGAATTGATGGGTTCCTTTAATGGATATACCGTGTTATACTAAAATAGTTGATACTCTTACTCGCTCTTTTCTTGGTCTAAGCAATTTGGATATCTTCACTTATGCGCTAGTGGTATAGCGCTACTTATCAAGACGGGGATCGATCAATTCCTTAAACGCTACATTTCACCCTCAAGGAACTTTAACTGCTTTGGCGTCGTTCATGGGATATCTAACTAATTATTTATTAGCACTCGTTTTTGCGGTGTTTATTACTATTATATATGTTTCGTTTTGGAATTTAAAGTAGTGTACATAGTTCGTTTATATGAACACATTGCAGTTCTAACGACTCCGACTATGACTTATCCTTCGCGCTCTCCGATCATCAGGTTCACGACTCTTGTCCGTATCCTTCTCGCGTTCTCGGTCTCGGTCTCCACCAGGTATATATCGATCAATTTCAATAAAGCGTGGTCGGTCTCGCTCGTCGCGCTCCGGTCTGTCTGGAGATCGGACACGCCGGCGAGGGGAACGACTTCGATTGCTAGTTGGGGGGACATAGCGGTCGATATCAAGGACGCTTGGGGTTCTCCGGCGTGAGCGAGACCGTCTTCGCGATGAGGTAGACACCCGGGAGCCGGATTTATCCCTCTCACGCTTACGCTCCCTTTCTTTATCCTTCTCTCGACCGCGATCAGGCTCACGGTCCCGATTCCTAAAACGGGAGCGAGAGCGTGAACGTGAACGATACCGCGCGCGGGATCGGGATCGAGAATAACGCCGTCGACGATAGTCATCACGATCACGTTCAGTATCACGATCTCTGTCTTGATCCCGCTCCCTGTCTCGCTCCCTATCCCTTCTATCCCTGTCCCTATCCCGATCGCGACTGCGGTCCCGGCGACTTTCATGATCCCAACCTTTGTCACGCTCTGTACTTCTATCCCGGTATCGAGCTCTAGAACGATTCCGGTCTAGATTACGATCTCGATCCCGGTCATGCCCTCGGGTAGTAGATCTGCTTCTACTCTGGCGACTAGGCCGATAGCGTTGGTCGCCATAGCGGTCCTCCCGGAAATCACGAATAGCAAGTCTATCATCGGAAGCGCGGTCGCGTGGTCGAGCAGAGAAGTCCTGTGAGCCCCGGCGGTCCTCATCAAACCGAGACGCATACCGTCTTCTTGAACGACTGCGACTGTCATCCCGTCTCCGAGTTCGCTGTCGATCGTCCACTGTCGAACCACGCCGGCGACCTTGATCAGCATCTACAGTTGGGCTTCCCGACTTGGTTGGCGTATTAGAAAACTTTGAATCAGAAGCGCCTTTGGGTTTAGTCGGTGGCAATTTAAGACCATTTTCAATTGCTTCCGCTTCTTCAAAATCGAACTCCGGCTTCTGTCGAGCCTTGGCCGCAAGTTCTTCGCCCTCCTTCAGGAGGAGCTGCAAAGCCGCTTCCTCCAGCGACTTCTCATCGACAGGCGGAGGCGGAGGCGCCGGCGTAGGCTCCTTTGGTGTCGCAGTGGTATCAGTCCGTAAATCGCGAACACGTGGAGATGGCGCGCGATCCGAGCGATAGCCTGGTGAGCGGTCACGACGATAACGGTCACGGTCGCGGTCCCGATCCCGATCTCGTTCGGAATCTCTCGTGCGACTGCGGTCACGCCAATCGCGATATTTGTCACGCTCTTCTCTCCGTCGCCGTTCGTATCGTTCCTGGCGTTCCTTTTCCCTTTGTTCATCTTGTGCCCGCTGCTCTGCGCGACGCTGTTCCTCGCGTTCCCTTCTCCTTGCCCTTTCTTCTTCTTCCTTCTGACGATCGAGCTCACGTTGCTTACGCTTCTCCTCTGCTTTTCGCCGCGCTTCCTCTTCTTCGGCTTCTTTCTGTTTGCGTAAAGTCTCTTGCCACTCCAACTCGCGCTCGTCTCGTTTAGCTTTCACATGTGCGGCGTAGTCCTCGTCCGTCTTATTTCCAGCCTGTTCCTCGCGAGCGGCCGCTTCATCTCCGATCTCCTGGCGACGAATCTCTCGAACGGATTCTAAAATAGCGGGAAGGTGTTTCGACGCCAGCGCATCAAGCGATGCCTCCACAGTTTTATAGACATCGCTACGGTCCACAGCACCTTCTATCAGCGTCGCAGCTTTTCCGCGTTCGCGAGAGAGTAGTTCCGGTTCTCGGTTAATTTCGGACTCCGCTAGTTCGACTAATAGGTCAACAAATTGCGTCTTTCCTTCCTGCATATGCGCGCATTAGCGATGAACGGATATTGTACAATTGCGAATCAGAATGTAGAACGAATTAACTCTAAGCATACCCCTTCCTCAAACTCAGTCCAGAGTTTCTTTCGAGTATTATCAAAGCCGCCTTTTTTCTTAAATGAGTGAAGGAGATCCTCAATAGTCCTATGCTGCGCGGGGGACAACGGTAACTCTTCGGTTTTGAACTTCTTCCGTTGCAAGGTCTCAATGTCCACCGACGGGCGTTTCACGCCAGCAGACTGAATATCCGGCATCTCCTCTGGACCAGCCATAACGAGAGGCCAGAAAAATACAATTTTAAAAAGAAAGGAAAAGTGAACTAAACCCCGCTTCAGGGTCTACAGGCGTTCCTGGGCCAAAAAAGAAGCGCAGATCCATGTCGCGCGGGCCGCATCCTAGAATCGCGAGTCGTTGGCCCAGGCATTAATCGGATAAATGATATTCCGTAACAAGATTGGGATCTCCGGCCCCGTGATTCGACGGAGAGTGGGAGATGAGAATCAACCTCATCTCCGCCTATACAAGCTCATCAAGTCGCCGGTTCGGAGCTCATATCAACCCAACCCCCCTTCCCGACCTCTTGATTCTCGACTTAAGCGGTGCCCCGTTCCAATCGATCCTCCTTTCCCCGTTCCGCGTACTCCGCAACCCTCCATCATCATGGTCCACAAAGTCCTCTTCTGGGGCGGCTTCGGTACGCACCGCATATTCACGCCCATGATACCCCGTCCCGAATCGTTCCTGAATCGGGCAAGGCAGTATCATGCATGTTCTCGTACTAATGGTATATACAGGCATCGCCGTCCGTCTCTGGCAGCTCGGAATCGAAATGCGTCCCATCCTCGCCAAGGAATCCCTCTGGGTATACCCTCTCTTCGCCGGCGTCGGCAGCAGCTTCGGATACTGGCTCCAGGGCGTCGAGGACAGACAGCTCAAGATCCTTGCACAGCGCCGCGAGGCCATCCTCGAGAAGCGCCGGAGACGGGACCAGGGCACATTGAGCAAGGTCGAAGAGGCCGGTACCTTGGCTGCGACGTCGTGATTGGTTGTTCTTCTAGGGAAAGGTGATTGAAGGACAGGATTAGAGACAACGATTGAGACTGGCAAACGGCCTAGTTGTGTTTCTTTGTACCAAAATTCGAGATGGTTGTGCTTGGCCTGGATGATGTGGTCGGGCTGGGCTGTTGATGCTGCATGCATGGCCTGGATCATGTGCTTATTTTCCTTGTTTTTTATTCCGCTTTTCGCCTGCAATGGTAGATTTTTTTTCGATTGTGATTGTGTTGGTAGTTTGGTTGGTTCGTAGATTTTGGTGTCTGTTTTGTGATGTTGTCTGTGGACTTTGCTATATAGACCTCGCATGGCACTACTTGCGAACGATATGGTTTGCATCGTTAAAATTATCATGTCCAGGTATCTACGATCCTCTACGTATTACGGGCAATTGGCTTTGCTACTAGTAGTTGGTAAATCCATTGAACATTCAGCAGCTTCGCTAACAGCGTCCCGCGATCTAAGAGCACCCCAAATATCTAATAGCAGACAGTGAAGTAACCACAGATTCAAAATCAAGTATACGGTAGCCAGATCTACACATAGTGAGCCAATAAATACGGGTTCCATTAATTTACAGGTAAGCACAACATTTCAATAAACAATTCCCTCATCATGGCCTTATCGTGCTATCATGACTTCTCTATCGTAAATTGCAAGGACACTTCCCATCTTTGGCCGCCAGATCCATACCCGCCACCCAACCGGTTCCTTATCAGGCTGGAGATACGCTCGCGAAGTCGGATGAGATTTTCTTCGGAGCCTGAGACGCGCAGCTTCAAGTTCGCCATGCACAGTCCGTAATGAACCTGCCAGAATCGGGCGTCGTCGATGCCGAAAACACACGGGTCGGCTTCTATATCCCGGACAACGTCTGTTACCCCCGGGCCGGAATAAGACATGAGAAGCATCGAACCTAATGTCTTGACCAGGCGTACTCCGATGACGCACATGGAGATAGCGATAGTGCTGGATAGGAGAACATCCAGCCAGTTGTAGAGACGCACGGATACCAGTGGAAGCAGGAGGAGAAGGGTGGAGCAAGAAAGCGTGAGGAAATGGGACGGGTTGCTGAGAACTGAGGGCAGGGATTCGATGTATCCGAACCGCATTGCCTTTCCAATTCGCCCATGATTCCTCAGTCCAATCGCAGAGATCAGAGTGGATGAGATGGCAAGTAGAGCAGTGACGTCTACGCTGCCTACAGACACGCGCTCGTGGGGATGGGAGTGATGGGGTTCGTGACCCGATGACTCGAGGAAGTGTTGCAGGTTATGGGAGATAAGATCCATTCCCATAAACAGCAGAAGTACACACATTGCGAAACCAGCAAGCACTTCCGCCCGTTCCAACCCAAACGGATGTCGAACGCTGGATCTCTTCCATACCTCGAAGTTGCTTAACACATCCACAGCTACACAGAGCAATGCCCCAAGTGAATCGAACAGTATGAGATGGGATAAAGCTGTCATGGCCAGGGACCCATGCGCGCTCCAAAGGGTATATGCGGCAACAAACATATGGCATACACTCCACCAGAAACGTGTTTTCTGATCTTTCGACATGCTCCCGCGACATTCTTTAAAAGTCGGCATGGGCAGCGAATTAGGCAAGGCCAGCGGTGCTCTTGGCGGAGGCTCGAGGAATATTTGGTGTGATATACTACTGTGTTTGTATTTGTGTCCACGTCGTTGGCCAATGTTCTAAATGCGATTGAGCAGAGATGAGCGGCTTATTCTCACCGATTCCATCAGAAAAGTACTCGTAAACTTACAGACTTTACCACGGGGCTCTTTGCCATGGTGGTTGTCTTGAAATTGAATGGGCCAGCTGAGCCATTGTCGCCCTGGCTATGCTGCGGCACATTGTCCGAAGGACTGAGCATGAAGGATGCCCGTGTAGGGCTCAAGCGAGTTGGGTCTTCGGCATTCAAGGGGCTCCTTGGTGGGGGGAAACTCTCTACCAATGGTGATAAGGAATCTTTGTCTTGCGTGCCAAGGTGGGAGGAGTTGTCGGGAGCGCTTGGAGGATCGTCGGGGGGTGGAGTAGGAGTGCGCGGAGGAAGAGGAATGGGGAGATTTGATGCCATTTGCATCTAACCAGGCAATAGCGCCTGCGCCGAACCAAAGATATTTTCAGGAGAGGAACGGTTACACCGTAGTATAAGGAAGGGATGGGGAAGGATAATCAACCGCGGCGCAGAAGAGACGGATATGGAAGGGTCACGGGGCTGGATTGATCTCCGCGAGCCTAGTCTAGTCTAGTCTAATCGATAGAATCAGGAGGCGGAAAGGCGGGGGGGTTGGTGCCGGGGAAAGCCTCAGGCCTCGACTCACTCATCGCATCATCGACTCCCGCCTTTTGTCCGTTGTCGTCATTCACGATAACGTCGCCTGCCTTGTTTCCCCCCAACAACAGCTCCCTTCGATTTTTATAACATTCTACTTAATGTTCTTTGCTGTGCCACGTCCTGGACTGGCAATGCAGCACAATATAGGCCGTTCCATTTGAGGAGACCCCAACTCCGATGCCCGGACATCTTCGGCATCTATGGATCACCGCGGTTCCTTCTTTTTCTTCCTGGTCGTATTCTATCTCCTTCTCAGTTCGCAGTCTCATCCTCCGTTAATCTCTCAGGATCGAGAACGTCAGCGGGAGCTTACAAGGGAGAAAGATGCGCTTCGTCGATTGAATGAATCCAAGTACGGAGACTTCAACCCACAAGCGGACCGATGGCTTCCTTTCCCGGGGGTAAGGAAGAATGATAGTTACGCGTGGGAAATTCTTTCGGAAGTTCAGGATAGGGCGCGCTACCAGCTGCGGTCGGTCATTTCAAATGCAGGGCTGGATGTTCCGAAGGGTCTCGAGGACCCGGACGCATCACAGGCGCTCAACCTAACGCAACTGCTTCTCCCCGTCTACCGCAATGCCACCGGTAAACTGCACGGCGATTGGGTGAGGCGTAAGCTAGAAACAGCCCATCGCCCATTGAATACAACTGCCATTGTACTGGAAAATGAATATTTCACACACGAATTCAGCCACAATGTTACTGGAAACACGGGCTCCTTCTATCTAGACTTGCGTGAAGGAGGTGGTGAAGAGCTTCGACTGCAACATGGCCACGTCCGTGAAATTCGAGCAACTTTAGCTGTGGAAAACGGCGACTTCTGGGGGAATACATGGTACCTGCCTTTACTCGGAATTCATTTTCCTGAAACGGGGGCCATCATCCTCACTACTACAAGCGAAAAGTTTGGGGGCATCTTTACTTTGCCGCATATGACACTTTCATCGGACGCGTATGACTTGTCGCATCAGCTTCTCATGAAATCTCTCTCGGATACTATATCCGAGAAACAGAATAAGCCTCCCACACTTTTTCCCTGGTCCTCGCTGGTTGGCGCCGAGCAGGTGGAGTTTCCTGCGCCGAAGTGTGAGCACATAATTTACCTACAACAGCATCCAGTAGCGGTTCGCGACTACCTTGCAGATAGGCAAGCCATTGAGCAGATTGAGCAGGAGCTTAGATACCCTATGGGTGCACCCATTCCGTCACCTCCACTCATGGTCATGTCAGCTGTGGTCTTTTCTCCCGACTGCGGGTACATCCTTGAAACGAAGGGCACGCCCGATTTCCCTCCCACTGAAGCACTGTATCTTACCGGGCCCAAATTGGAGGAGCTCGGTAAATACTCTGCTCGCATTATATTTGTAATATGCGGCATTTCTGCTGCACAAATTGCTTTACTCTTGCGGCAGGTTAAGGAAGCTTCCACACCTTCGACCAGGAGTCGGATCAGTTTTTATACCATTGCACTGATGGCATTCGGAGACTCATTTATACTTGTATTCACATTGCTGGAGCTATATCCAGCAGTATCATTCTTGATTTTGACGACAGCATCATTCCTCACCTTCCTTTCAGTCAGCTACATCGGAATGAAGTTCATGATGGAAATATGGGCTGTCCAAGCCCCTGAACGGCGGGAACAGGACCGTCGATCCAACCCTACGGCAACAACGGCACGCCCTGGCGGCCTGCCAATGCCAGCCACTGCACGGCTTAGGGACTCTGGGGCAACGCCTATCATATTGACCCCAGACCAGGATCCTCCGGCTGAGGAGAACGAGCCGCCTCCGAATCGTAACACAACGCCGACAGCTCAAGAGACTCGCAGCGATGTAGGGGCCATGTATGCACGATTTTACTTTGTGCTCTTTGTGGGGCTAATCGTCTCTATTTGGTCTTTCTTATGGCCAAACCGGTTGGGGGCGCTCTATGCCCGAGCTCTTGGGTTTGTATACCTCTCGTTCTGGACACCCCAGATATATCGGAATGTTATACGCAACTGCCGCAAAGCTTTGCGGTGGGACTTTGTGGTTGGTCAGAGCTTTTTACGCCTGTTCCCTTTCATGTACTTCTTGACTGTACCCGGTAACGTGCTGTTTGTGCGCTCCGACACGACAACAGCTCTTGCACTAGCTGGGTGGGTGTGGATACAGGTCTGGATCTTGGCGAGTCAGGACATTCTGGGGCCGCGCTTCTTCATACCTCGTGGCTGGGCACCCCCGGCCTATGATTATCACCCTATCGTACGAGATGCTGCCGAATCGGATACTGACCTTGAGTCGGGTGGGGTGCTACCGATTGGAGCCTTGAGAGCAGACGAACGAGACGATAGTAAAGAGGAGGATAAACAACATCCGAAAGATAAGAAAAAGGCGATATTCGACTGTGCGATATGCATGCAGGAAATTGAGGTGCCTGTTCTCGCGGCACCGGGAGCTTCTGGGGGCAGCAGTATGACGGACGGAGCTACGAGTATCCTTAGTCGTCGGGCATATATGGTCACCCCCTGTCGACATATCTTCCACAGCACGTGCTTGGAAAGCTGGATGCGACTCAGGCTTCAGTGTCCTATTTGTCGAGAGTCTATCCCTCCTGTATAGCGTGTAATATTGTCAACATACCCAATAGACGGTGTATTGATTAGTTATGTTTTACACTGGCCTGGCCTCCAAAAGGTAGACCCAATACATTCCAGAAAAGGATAGTCGTATAAAACGTACAGCTTGACTTCAATCAAAGCTTCTACTCTAGGAGTTTTCAACATTGGAAGGCGTGATGGAGCCCTGTAGCTGAACAAGAATAGATATTCTAAAGTCCCAGAGAGGAAACTGGCAATATGTATATTAATTGCAGTAAGCCAGTCTTGTTGAATAACAGGCCTGGCTAATTGACGGCAGATACGAGTCTAACATGACATGAAAAGAAACAATGATTTAATTTACCCGTGGGTAAAACAAAACAATCCGACATTCCCAAAAAGAAACCATGATCACCGAGCGCTTCATCTTGACGTACCATCCAGTTCATGCATTCCTTTATTCCTCGTCGATAGTCTCCTTGTAGGCCGCAGCATCTAGCAGACCGTCGAGCTCTGAAGCATCGCTGACCTCGATCTCGGCGATCCAGGCGTCAGCCTCGGGGCTCTCGTTGATAAACTTGGCCTTGTCCTCCAAGATAGCGTTACCCTGAATCACCTTACCGGCGACGGGAGAGAGGACGTCCGAGGCCGACTTGACAGACTCGACAGCTCCGACGGGCTCGCCGGCATTGACTTCTAGGTCAACTTCGGGGAGCTCAACGAACACGACGTCGCCCAAGGACTTGGCGGCGTACTCTGTGATTCCGATTTTGGCTGGTTATGTATCGTTAGTATTGTGCGCGCTTTGAGGCGAAGGTGTGTCTGATGTCGCTATCCAGAGACGATGAGTTGGGGCAAACTCACCAGTCTTGCCGTCATCGGCCAATTCAATCCATTCGTGAGACTCGGTGTACTTCTTCACCTCCACTGCACCATTTCATAAAATATTAGTATTCGTTACTGAAGTAGGACATTCTAATGCCCTCGTGAAGGAAAATCGGACGAGTCCATACTGAATGGGCTTTGCGAGAAGCTCCTGACACTTCCCCGCGGGAAACCAGCTGCTGGCGACACCCTGCGGACTCCGGCCAGAGGGAGCTTCTGGGAGAGCACGCGGGAGGCGAAGGGGCGGACTGATCTGGCAACAGCAGACATTTTGAGTGATTTGAAATCAAGGGGGTAGGAATTGAGTCGAGGGAAAGCGTGCGAAGGTACGAAAGGAGGGGATAAAGAGGAGGGAAAGATTGAGTCCCGCGGAGAGAATACGCAGGTTAAATAAAGTAGCTTACATAGTTCCCGGACTGATAGGCGGCGCCAAGAAATCTGCTGATAAGCGCCTCGAATGATGGGTTGGCCGCAAATCGGGAAAATCTCATCGTCCTCAGCCCGTTGTTTCTTCTCCGACGCTATCTTTCCCCCCACACCATGTTGTACGAGTTGATTGCCATTGTATGTTCTCCTGTGCTTTCCCTTGAAGGATTGTCCCGTATCCTTCATGCTAACTGTGCCCTTCTTTGATAGGTCCGTCCGGGCAGCCTCAATGAGGTCCGAGAGTATGACCTTCCGCGACTCGAGACGCCTCCCTTATCACCCTAGACTCGATACATTCTCCATTAAAGGGTTCACTACAATGATAGATGTAACTAACTTTTCGCAGAATTGCCCGTAACACCGGCATCCAGGTCCTGCGGTCCGGCGGCGTAGTCCGCGGATACACCAACTGGGGCACCTTCCGACTCCCCAAGCCCACTACCAAGCATCAGGCCCGATACACCGAAGGCCACCATTTTATTATGCGCTTCGATGCTTCCGGCCCAGTACAGATGGCCGTCCGCAGAACCCTCGGCCTCGATCCTCGGATGATTCGCTTCTCCGTGGTTAAGTTGGGCGACAAGCTGGAAGACATCAAGGATATCCCGGGCAAGGTCGAGTGGAACAACACTCGCAACATTTCCGAGTCTATCTAAAAAAGGATATCGCTTGTTTGGTTATGCATTAGTTGGACGAGATGAGGAGCCGTTGCACAGCTCGCCTACGTTGATTTTCGTCCGGACATTGATGGTTCGCTGTATTATTGGGATTGAGGGTTGAATTTTTGTACTATCATACCAGCATCGCAGGCGCACATTATATCACTTAATTGGGTTTCTATCTTTAAGGTGTCGTTTCATCGCCTGTCGTGCACTACACCAAGTTGATACGTTTTGGCACGTGACCTGGTTCTTGGGTCTCGCAGGATCACTATAGCCCCGATCTGATCTGGTTCGAAAGCGACATCAGACTAAAAAGAATTGCACCCCTGCTAGTATATCTGAGGCTATGCTATAAGACACATTATGGCAACATATACTCCGTGAAATAGCAGTGGACATACTCTTAAGCCCGAAGCCTCACTCTCCAACGTAAATATACCACATGGCAATAGTATAAACACGCAGCGAATTCCCAAATTAACCAAACAATAAACCCCAACTCCACACAAAGTGACCAAAAAGGCCGATCATCACATTTCCTTCGCGACACAGTAAAGTGAGGAAAAAGCGACCTCCAGACCTCCACCCGATCAGCCGAGGTTCCCCATCATTCATATCGGGTAAGGCGGTCGTGCGTCGCGCCAATCGCCTAACATACATATACTCCATCGGTCAACTACTACCAGATTAGATTATCCCTGATCTGATCCCCTATACCTGGCCTAAAGATTCAGTCCCTAGCAGAAATCATCCAGACCCTTAAATCCCAACAACTCCAAGTCTCCATCTATATATCTACATACTAATTATCAACCATGCCCGAGGACCATGACGCCGATCCTCAGCAAACAACTTCCTCCCCACCAGCCTTCGTGGACCTAATGGCCCTAAAACAACTCCCCAGCCCCAGCCACCTACCCGGCATTGCCCACGACGAGCCAGAAAGGATCGAGCGCTTCCAATCCCTCGCCGCACCGTATCCGCCGGGTGAGGGCCAAATGGCTTTCGGCGGGCATGTATACGCGCAGTCCGCCTACGCGGCGTCAAAGACTGTAGATAAGGGCTTTATAATTCATGTAAGATACTACACGACACCTTCCTGCCTATCTATCCATCTACCAGCGCAGTACACATAGGCTAATAATATCAGGATATGACGGGTACGTTCATTTTGCCCGGTCGACTGGACGTCCCGTACGAGTATACTGTGCGCCATCTCCGAGATGGGAAGATGTACTGTACGCGGGCTGTCGATGCGAGACAGAGCGGTAAAGTGTGTTTCTCGTGCCTGTGCTCGTTCAAGCGTGGCGAGGGGGCGGCGACGTTTGGGCACCAGCCGGTGTCTGCGCAGGAGCGGTTCGGGGATGTTCTTGCTGCGAAACGGCCGGAAGAGCAGACTGTTAGTCCTAGTGTCGATGCGGAGTGGTGGACGGATCTGGTGGAGCAGGGGAGTATTTCGGAGAGGGAGTTCCCCGGGTTGGATGTGCGCAAGGTTGATATGGCCGGGTTTAATGATGCGGAGGATGTGAAAAGGTGTCCGGAGAAGTTTCGGCAGTTGCATTTGTATGCGCTTAAGGGGCTGCCTGGTGGCGATTTGGGGAGGGAGGAGTTGAAGGAGAGGGAGGCGGCTGGGGAGTACGACAATCTGTATGCGTGTGCGCACATGTATTCCAGTGATCGGAATTCGTTGTTGTTGATACCGCGGGCTCTGGGGCATAAGAATTGGATTGCGATGGCGAGTTTGACGCTTACGGTGGTTTTTCATCTGCATGGGGATGCTCTGAGGATGGTTGATTGGGATGCTGGTGCTGGGGACAGTGGAGATTTGTCGATGAAGTGGTTCGTGCAGGAGGGGTGGACGCCACGGTCTGGGGAGAATCGAGCGATTCATGAGAGCTGGCTTTGGAGTCCGGATGGGAGGTTGCTGGCTACTAGTTATCAGGATAGTCTGTTGAGACTCAGGAAGCGGGAGGGGAAGCTATGATTTGCTGTATATGTATATAAATTATTGAAGTGAGACGACTAGTACATTGTTTATATATCCTCATTCTACAAGGCACTTCGCTGTCACTGTAGAGGAGACTATCAACCTGAATATACAGCGAAAATGGCAGCAGTTCTAGTCATTCAACAGTTGTTCTGAGTACCATACAGCTCAAGCTACCTATATAATCCAGCCCACTTAAGAAACCACAACACAACACAAATCTAAAGCTTCGACCTCCCCTCAAATCCAGCAACAAAACCCGCCTTGGTCATCTCTGGAGCCTTGGCCAGCAAAGGCCCAATAGCCTTCGAGAACTTCCGGAACTCAGGAGACGCTCCATGAGCCTTCAGATTATCCACGTCGGTATACCTAGAGCCATCTTGTTAGCAGCCGATGTACACCTATAGCTCGCGTCCACATAAGCTCACTTCTCAATCAGCACTAACTCCTCTGACTTATCCGGCCGAAGAGCGCAGTAGACCTGCGTCTTTAGTTCGCTCTTCTGAACATGCTCCGAGAACGATATGAATGCTTCCAGGACCTTGGTTACGTATTAGTAGGGACTCATTGCAGTGTAAGAAGATGATCCTACCTGGTTGAATTTGCCCGGTTGGGGCACGAGCTTTACGATATTATAGAATTCGCTGGTGGTCATGGTTGCTTTGGGGGTGTAATTGGTGGAGTTCGTATAGAATTTTAAGGTCGCTGGTATAGATATATACCTTGATAGAAGTCGGGTTCGGCTATGTACTATGTACTAATCATAAATCGTTGGTGGGGAGAACGAGAGATGCCGAGGATATATATTGTTAACCTTGGGTTGGGATCACATTATCATAGACAGACTCACAGTCCACTCTCTAATTTATAAAAGTTATACATATACATCTCTTGAGCACAGAACCTAGTTATATGGATCCTGTGTTTTATTTCCGTGTGAGTCGTGGCAATATATTTGGTATAGTTACATACTGTTATTCAGTATACTTTCTGCTGAGAAATGTAACGCTCCCCATAGAGGTGATTAAGGTATACTCCAAACAGATACGTCAGTTCTTTTCTCTTCACTACATTGATACAAGTGCACCTAATTTGGGGTATTTAAACAAGTTATATCCCGGTCTTAAAGAGAAAGTACTAAAAGAAATAGGCATGGTAGCAATCTCCACTTGAGTGCATTGTTTGGCTACTGGGTACGTACATGGATCAGTTGCCCTAATGCCAACAACCAAAGTACTCGGACTTCATAACTAGAAGGGCGAGGGAAATGCAACGGTTAGTACTAGCATTGAAAGATGTACTTTTGTTCGTGCTTCAATCCTTCGAATCTATAAAAAGGTACCCATCACGTGTCGATGACGTAATAAAATACGGGAAACAATTTCATTGGATTTTCTGGAGAAGAAAGAAGTTCTGGACCTTCAATTCTCTTCTGTATTTCTCCCCCAATCTTGACTTCTTTCGCCTAGGATGTATCTTTCCGATTTTTTCTGAATAGCCAAAAATGAAAAAGACACTATTACTAGTTTTTATCCACGGATTCAAGGTTCAACTCTCCTCTAATCCCTCATCCAAGTGTTTAGATCCTTCTACCCCGCATATGTCGACAGTTGTCGTACATACCTTAGTACCTTAGTATACATCCATGATGCTGATCGAGTTGTTACGCACCTCATAGGGCGATGATGATACGTTCGGGAATTTCCCGAAACATGCGCGTGCTCTCATCGATCGTGCCCTCCCTGCCATAGACGTTGCTACAGTCGTGTATCCCAAGTACCAGACCCGAGGGGATTTGAAAGAATGCGTGGGGCATTTTCGAGAATGGTACGTCGTGCCATCTATGTACTATGTCCGCAGGAGATTTGCGCCTTCCATCGACATAACGGGCCACTAACGGCGTCTCTTCGCAAAAGGTTACAGAATCAAGTCATCGACCTGGAGGTTGCCAACCGAACAGCCTCGCCAACCGTTGATCCTTCAGTTCACGTTTTCTTAATTGGGCACTCGATGGGAGGTATTGTCGCCGCCGAAACGCTTCTTCTACTGGCCTCAGAGCAACCTATTCCCGCCAAGCCCTCCGCGGCAGATTCGGAATCCCCCGCCAATTCCCAAATCCTGGAACCAGGCTCGTTCATGTTTCCGCATATCCAGGGAGTACTTGCATTTGATACGCCATTTCTGGGTATTGCCCCGGGTGTCGTCTCGTATGGCGCGGAAGGACAATACAAGAATGCCACGACCGCGTACACTGCTTTGACGGAGGTAGCAGGCCTGTTCGGCTTCGGCGATAGCGGCGGTTCATCCAGCAAGGCGCCTAACGCCAATCAGCAATCTGTGAACGACAAATCCTTACCTCCCCAGCAGCCTAGTGCTACGACTCCATCTTCAGATGCTGCTGCAACGCCATCTTGGCAGCGGTGGGGCCGATATGCCATGTTTGCAGGGGCCGCAGGGGCCGTGGCCGCGGGAGGAGCGGCCGCAATGTATTCGCAACGCCAGCGCCTGACAGATGGCTGGGGCTGGGTCTCATCTCATCTTGCATTTGTTGGGTGCTTAGCTCGTCCGTCAGATCTCCGCCAGCGCATCTCACTCCTGTCAGAGGTGCAGACGGAACGCGGGATCGGTTGCACCAATTTTTTTACAGCTTTGGGTAAAAATGCAACGTCGCTGGTAGAGACCTCGGGCCAAGGTAAGACTTCGCTGAGTCAAAGAATCATTCGCTCAAGATATCGTACCTTCTGCACCCTCCCGCCTGAGGTCGAAAACGAAGAGGCGGCGTACGACCGGAAATTAGGACTCGGATGGGTCAAAGCTGTGAATGATAATGCAGCAGACGAGATCAAGGCGCACGTTAGCATGTTTTTACCACACGAAAACCCTGCTTTTTATGAACTGGTCAACGAAGCGTGCAAGGTTGTGGCAGAGTCCATCGACAAGGGTTGGTATTCAACCGCGACAGGGCCCGTAGAGGAGGTCGACAGCAACTTGCCGCGGACCGAGGGCGGGACCCCTGCCAATAACGACAGTGGATTCATGGATGCTGACGACGTCGTAATTGTGGAATAAAAAAATACCTCTTCCAAAGTACGATTGGCTCCTGTCTCCAAAAGCCGACGCTATTCGTGTAGACGCCCTTTTCTCGGGAACGCCAAAACCGTTTGAACCATCTGCAAGGCCACTGCAGGATAAGATTCGAGCTAATTATGCCAGTCGGCGCGGCCGACGCGTGATATCGCTTCTATCGGTTCCATGCTTTCCGGCGTTACACCCCTAGTCAAGTATGGATTACACCTTGGAACCTTGGGGACCGATGGTGGAAAGAATGGTGCGATAACTAGTCGAATCAATGACAAAGGTGGGGTTTTCCAGATCATGTTGTTTAATATAGCCACGGACTATCTCCGACATCGCTATGGGGTGGGGGGTTTGCCAACCCACAACCATCACGGGATCGAACTGTAAAGACCAAGAAACGCTCACAGACACAGACACCCCGTGCTCCACGCTCCAATGTCCTGCGGAACTATCTTCCCAGTCACGTTAGCCCTAGAGTGATTCCCCTTGCCCTCTTTCGGCGACGCGCCAGGCTTAATCTCGTAGGTGACACCTCTCTTTACACTGCAGGGTTGGCAGCTTAGTCCAAAGTCCAAAGGCCATATTCCTATGTCATGTGAAAGGTCTGGAATTTTCAACGATCCAGTGACATCAGATGTTCAAAGGACATTCATTATGTGTAACTATCTACAGACAGATATCTCTGAGTTGGCTTGTCCACTTCACACATCACACAAGCAATCAACGGGAAAACGCTCTATGAATCAAAACACACCATCGAATAGAAAATTGATTACAAAATTCACTTGGAACTCTACAGTCCGAAAGTCACAAATATATGTCACCACAAAAAAAAAATAAAGAGGTTGGAAATAAAATAAAAATTATAAATAAAAAAAGTGTATTTAACGACACTCGAACTTAGGCATCAAACTCGTTAGGCTCCAATCACGCAAATCAACGACTATCGCTGCGAGCAAGACCCAAGAAAAAATAAAAGGGGAAAGAAAAAATGACTCTCACCTTAAATCCGATCACACCTAATGGAATTTAACTAAATTTAACAATTGTGACTGTTGTAGGCTGATGCGCGGTGATGATACATGCTTCCGGCATACTCCGAATTTGTGTCCTGGTAAGTAGTCGCCCGACGGTCTTCCTCTGGGAGTAATTCCTTGACCTCCCACGTATTTGGCTTAATGCCGACGGAGAACTCGAGATCTTCTTTTGTAATGTAATCCCAGAACTGCGGATGATCAGCGCGCCGTTTGATTAAGGTGGAGCAGGGTTTAGATAATAGAAACCAAGACCGACGTACCTTGTACACCATCATGACGGCCAACAGGTTACAGATGGAGGTGAAGAACAGGCCATCCAAGTAATGCTGGACATTCTCGCAGATGGTGTCACTGAAAGCGTAGAGGAGCACCTGACCGCATATGAAGACAAGGAGGCCGAATACGATGTGGCCGAGGGGCCAGCGGTCCTCGAGCGTATTCATGACCAGTAGGAGTTGCATGACGAGGTAGACGGCGATGCATATGGCGTTGAGGAGATACAGGACGATGAACATGCCGATGGTGTTGGTGGGGCTGAGTCCGCCCCATGACTTGAAGGTTAGGAGGGAGATGACGAACGAGATGGCGAACATCACTGCTGAGGTTAGACGCAGGAGCCAGACTGACAGTGCTGTTCCGTCCTCGTAGAGCTGGAATCCGACGAATCCGTTGACAAGTAAACTCGTGCACAGGGCGGAGGTCAGTCCGTTTTGCACGGCGACGAAATAAGGGAACGGGCCGCTCCGAGGCGGGACCACCCCGGCGTCGATGACCAGAGAGCACATTGTCAAGAGCATGTAGATGTAAAAGAAGGTAATGATTTCCTTGCGACCTATAGTGGCGAGAGAGTGTTAGTGGGATACGATCGTCTTGTGTAAAACGCCAGTTGCAGCGATTTACGTACCGACGGCGGTGAACTTGGATCTGATGTGCAGGATCATGATGACCGTCATGCCTAGCGCAATGATGTGAACGAAAGATGCGGCGCCTTCGAAAATGATTGTGTTGGCCAGCTCGATGTTTCGCGCGTAGCAGTTGGGGATGATGCCAGTTGCGCCTGATATCGAGGAGGCCGGACCCACGAGGGAGCACAGCGGCAGCGCTGCCTTCTGGCAGATGGTGTCGAAGTCACCGAACCCCATCTCGACAACCCGTTGAAGCTGAGAGTAGGATAGCGGTAGGTTTGTTTGGATCGTTCGATGATATCGCAAGGTGAGCGGATCCGAGCCGTCTCCACAACGACGGACGGGGGGCGGGTTTCTAGTGAGCCAAATATGACTTCCGCGGAATCCACTGAAAAGTCCGCAGCGAATGACTGATGTATTTCGCAAAAACGAAGGCGTGGGAGTGAGATCCCGAGAATGAGGCGACCGCAATTTAGCGTTCGACGAGGGATTTTGGAATGTTTCTCCTGGTCTGAGGCTTCTGGAATCCAGAATCACGAGGTACGCTAGAGCCAGATCAAGGCTAACCGGGAGAAGCTTAGTCCCTTTGTTGCTATTCTCGGATTAGTGCTGCTATCCCCGGATAGGCTTGCCTCCACGCTAGCCCATTTCGGTAACTTGTTTATCTAGGCCCTAAAGAAGCAGACTAGCCGCCTCTGGTTAGGATGTTGACGCCTTCCTATACAGAGTTACAGATTCACTTTTCTCCAAGAAGGTCGAATGAGACCACTTAAGGTTACCGACAAGCCTGGCCATGCAAGTGTGGCAGCATCGTCAAAGAGTAAAGTTCTAGGTATCATTGGCCTTGTTTTTCCCTGCGGGAATTGCCAATAGATGACGAAATAGTCATATCCTCGTCACAAAAAGCTGCCAAGAGCCTTAGTATGGGCATATAATTTCTTCGGAGCAATGAACATCTGTGATACCGTAGTAGGTGCTTCTCTATACAGGTTGTCTGCGGTACTCCCAGGACCAAAAATATCGCCGCAATGTATATACCATAATCCACAGAAGACGCTTTGGGTCAGGCAGGAACAAGGCCAATCCGACAGGGTTCCCGTTTTTATTTTATTTTTTTCCCTCTCTTTGCTTTTCCCCCCCTCTAGCCCCAACAGATGTTGCCTTGCTAGGCACATGATTGACCGCAGACGTAAAAAGCAATGTTAGCCCGAATCCATCCAGCCAACACCAACTAAGGAAAGTCGATCCACTATCAAGCCGGTTATAACTGCCATTTATAAGCCTCTGAGTGGCCACCAACCTCAATACTAGAGGTCTTAGCACCTTCTAGAATGAGGATACCGCTTTAGCGGGTGATATGTGATCCTATCGAGTGCTTTTTATGAACTCATCCCTGGATTATATTACATCACATCTGCGGAGTAGGAGAAGGTGAAACGAAGTTTGACCAGAGGTGAACCCCACATATGCTTCTCTATTAATTATTTTCCCCTCTAGCACCCGATAGTTTCCGGGGTTGTTAACACTTGACTGGCATACCTTTCACACATGTCTAGGCTAGCTTGGAGGATGGTATAATGTCATTGTTGGTTTAGATCGTGAACAACCGAATAATCATGATATTAAGCCCATATAGACGGCTGATCACTTAACCTTTTCTGTTCTTGATTAGCCGTAGTCAAATCCCGACAGAGAGTTGTCATAACCTTGTCAGGTCACAGCCTGAGTGGATCATTGTCCCGATGGTATACTTCTGGAAGGAGACTCTGATTTGACGGTCAATTTTAGAGATACTTTCCAGCTTTTTTTATTTTAATTTTTAATTTTTGTAACTAAGTTTCAAAAGGAAAACGGAGAGACCGCCATGATTTTCTTGGCGCAATGATTCTTCAATCAGCTTACGTATACGATATCAATCTCCAACAGTCCGCATATGCTCTTTTGCCGGCCTGCAGATGGATGCAACTTTCTTATGATAGCATGATCCTCTGACGGATGGATCTTAAGATCTATTCTTATTATTATTATTATAATATGATGATGATAGGAATAATAGTATTATTATTATTATTATTATTATTATTCCTTTAAGTTTAAAAAAAAATCCCCTGGTGGATAATCTCGTGAGGTGGACCGGATTCAGTTCCGACAACGGATTTCCAGACCCTGACGCACCAACGGACGGTTTAAACTTTGACCCCGAACTCGCACTATGCTATAGTTAGTTTCGTTTGCTGGACTCGATCGTGTTAAGCGTCGTCGGTGAAACCTGGAAATTTCTTCTCATGTCACGGGATGATTTTCCAGTGGTGTCCCCGGTCATAGGCCGGGAAACAAGCCGATCAAGTATTACGGCACCGATACTACGAGTAGGTGAAAAGGGTAGATACCACTCACTCTATTCGAGTAGCTTTCTTCAGTTCAGGGGGGCGAGTCAAATTAAAGGAGACATATGGATACCCAACACCCTGATTTTCATTCTCATTCTGTCCTTTTTCTCTTCTCTTTTTATTTTCTTTTTCTGGTGCGGGAGGGATAGGATATGAATTCCAACCGGGTCAGGCACCATGAACCTTATGATTTCCATCCAATGAAACCTTTCCGCTCACGCGAATAGTTTGAACCCTAAGTTCCTAACCAACGAGTTCTCGTAGGGTACGATAATGTAATTGATCAGTTCCTTCCCCCCTCTTCAAAAGCCGACAATGACTAACGTATCCTTATGTAGCTCGGGGCAATCAAGGTTAAGGGTAGGCTTGGCCCGTTGGGAGAAATGTGGAGTGACTCCAGTATTGAGCAGAACAGTGGTTTCGTGCCGTTACATCGGGGTTCACTGATCGGATTAACCTCCACCAAGGTTGCTTGCTTTAGACCTACTCCGGACGTGTTGGTGGTCTAATCTACGACCTCTCCAGGACCATTGCCGTCACTCATGCATGACGATCCTAGTTAGCGCCACGTGTAGGTGAAGCATCAACGGCTGCGAGGGACCACGTCGATCTCCCATTTGCCCCGATCGGTCCTAAAACAGATGAGGCTTTCTCTCATCTCGCATGGGACGTTTTTCTTTTTAATGTGACTAGAAAAGTTAGTTGCCGCGTTGCTAGTCTACCTTAGTTTCACCATTTTTTATTTTCTAATTATTTTCTTTCTTTCTTTCTTTCTTTCTTTCTTTCTTTTTTTTTTTAATTCCTTTCTTTTCTAAATTGCTGCAGTTCCAATGACGCTCTTCCAGGAGGTGGGCCTGTGACCTTACAGGGATGATAGTCTCTTTTTGAATATTTTTTTATTCTCTTGATGCCAGACTACTTCGCAGGAAACGGATCGTCGGGCATTACCTACGTTTATTTCCATTCTGTATTTACTATTAATATTTAGGATTTCTGGATTTATTTTGAATAATACAATAAATGAATTTTATAATTTTCTTCACTCCCCTGTCAGACCTTTCGGCCGCCGGCTTGTGATGGGCCACAACCCTGGTAGCAAACAAGCCCTTCTGTAGCTGCCCGCCATGAGCAACAGATATATATTATCATTCTTCTTCCCCTGCCTCATTAAATCCAGGTTAGTACACAGTCGTCTCCTGCAGACTTTTTAAGCATATCTCCAAAGTACCTCAAGCTTTTGGATCCCAGATCATCTTTATACCTCAGCCAGGGTGGTATCGTTCCAAACCCTACTACTATTACTACACTATACTACACTATACTACACTATACTACACTATATACAACCCGCAACGGAAGCCTCCTCTATCCTCCCGAGCATTGAGACGGCATTTCCGCCCTCCAAGTCTGTCCTGATTTGCCAATAGTGGATGCGGGCAGCGATGTGCAATTATTTCAAGAATTACTACATATACAGCACCTGTCGGGAGCCCAGTGTGCATTTCATTCGAACATCCATCGACGGGTCGAAGGAGAATAAATGCACGGACAGTCCCCACGATCGATTCATTGTGGTTGTTGGGAAATGCCGACTTTGTCGTTAGGTTGCAAGAATCGACTTCACAGGCAACACTACTACTTACTACCCTTTATTTGCGGCCTTTACCAACCGACTCCAACCGGTGGCATATTTTCACGGCATATACCCACGAACTCGGAAGCCTTCAGTTAATAAACTATCGAGCTGTTCCATGAGCGCCTTATTCACATTCCCATCTTTCTTTCTGTCGGATTGATTCTTTGATCTCTATGTTTCATTTTCAGGATTTTTATTTTATTTGTTTATTTGCTCCCTCTCTGCTCCTTTTCTCTCTCTTTGGATCTTGGAAATTGCAAGCGAGAATTTTTCATGTCACATGTATATTGGCATGGCACGGGTATCAATCATGTACGGCGCTCAAGGGAGTCAACAAAAAAGAGGGTCGGGGTTTTACTTGTCTTTTAGATCCCATTTCTGTCTTTCTATTATTATCATTATTTTGTTTATTATTATTTTGCTTCAATCATATTATGCGCCTCTTGTTCCGTCAAAAGGGGAAACAGACCAAATTTAATCCATTGTTGCGCATCTGCATGTGTTACTATTGCTTTTAAGATGGTTTGAACATGTTCTTCACCCTACAGTGGGAACGGACGGGCTTGCAACACCTCGGCGAGTCAGAGTCACGGAAGCTAAGGAGGGGAGAGAAAAAGAGAGAGAACGCTACACAGAGGCCGCCTTGACCTTCCTAGACCAACATTGACATTACTCAAGCTTGAGAACGGTTTAACACTAGCAAACCACTGGTTGGTAACCAGTGGTCATTGCACTTGACGCAATGAGCTGCATGATAGCAGAACCGCTACCTGCCAAGCATATGCCTTCCTGCATCTACAGAGGCCCAGACGGAGTCTGTGCTCCCCCGTCCTATGACGAAGTAGCGCGACCGGCCGAAAGGTGGATTCTAGTGGTTCTGAGAATCGAATCGTTGTGAAACCGGACACTGGGCTGCATTTTTTTCCCCGATGGACGGTTGACGGTCACACAGGAAGAACCAACAAGCTTGAGGGACGGACCAGGATTACCGGGGGCGGGTCTTATTTTTCTTTGATGTTCTCTTTCTTCCTTTCATTTCCTGGCGCCCACGAACCCTGCCAGCGTTCCCTTATGATACTGTGATCAATGCAGAGCTCAGTCAACTCTTTTTCTCTTTTCCCCTCCCCCATGTGGCTATGGGTTGCAGCGATTGTTACACATACACCAGGAAATGGGATGCATTGACAGTTATCTTTTAGCACCGGGATTACCGTCAATTATTGTCATGGATGGGTGGAGAGTTTCCCTCGCCAACTCATCTCCTCCCGGGAGTGGGGGCAAGAGGTCGAGGAATTTTCGGATAAGTGTCATTACCTGGCATATTGCATACATGATCCCCGCAACTCCATCCCTTCTCATTTGCCCAGGGATTGGCACCACGGAAGATATTTTAATTTCCGACTTTACACAAGAACGATGAGATACCATCCCGTACCACCATCACTTTACCTTCTGACCAAGCCCACTTTCGGGCCGAATGTGCATTCCTGCAGGGCAACGCTTAAAACACCGCCGGTCCACCACACTAAAAGAATCCAGGGGGCAAATAGATCCATGGAGGTCGGCAGAGTTCTCTTTTTCTATATATCGCCTCACTATTGGCTAGGGGTAGAGAGACTGAAGAAGAACGATAACCAGCCATTCAACGGCCAAATTTTTGATAGTAGCCCTGAAGATTCGGGAGGTCCAATCGGAGCGTCTGACATAGCTGAGGCTATCATGTTAGGGATAGCACCAGTGACGCCACGGATCAAGCTCTCTCCTAAGTGATTGCACCATGCAATCTATCTAAGTCCCGTGTTCGAGCCGGCCCGCGGCTGTATGGAGATTTGTAAATATAGAAGGTATAATATCTACCCTACGGAGCGCTACCTCCTGACTACTAACGCTCGGATAGGTGGACAACCGGAAGCGAAGTCTAGCACATGTCACTCCTCCATGGCCTGATACCAGGATGATCATGTTCACTTTTACAGAGTAAAGCAAATTAAAATAGAAGAAAAGGAAATAAGAAAGAAATGGTCAAATGATCTGACCACATCAATAATCTTTCATGAAATTTCACATTACCATTCTGAGTGATTTGTACGAATGCCAGGCACGCGTACACACTAACTCTCAGGCATACTAAACTAGTTCTGAATTGTCGATTATGCTAAGCATTGATTATTCTTACGTGGCGCTGAACCATCACCGCTTATATCATACCATCTAGGATTCTGCTCGGGCAGATTAGAGATAACCTCATCAATGCCGCTGGTGCTATATGTGCATTCAAAGACCAGTATATGTACTGTACGTACCAGGTATCGGGTTATAGTTTCCTTGAACCAATCCTGCAAACTTTGCTCATGCTCCATTTCTCCGCTTGTTTGAATGTATGGATGGGTAGGTATACTTCTGAAGCTTCCTCAAAAGTACTAAAGCAAACAGAACAAACCGAAGCCAAAGACCCTCTGGTGTGTGTGCATGGTCCTACTGCTTAGTATGCAAATATACCCACATCGCACTTTGTTGTACAGAGAGGGCACGTGCACCCCTCCATCTCATCCCTACTGATACTTAATATACTATTGATTAATTCTCTACAACCCTGTCCCAGCAAAATCATTCGTAAAAATCCCACGGGAGAATTCCGGCTGACTAATCCGTCTATTAGCGACCAAGAGAAAAATCTCAATTAATTATTCCAGAACTTAGTTGCCTAGTTAGTGCAACGGTACTTTGAAGTAGTATCCATGCATGCATGTATGTACCTGCAAGGCAACTGTGTATAGGAATAACCCCCTGCTACTTCATTTCGGCAGAGTGCGCGCGGCATGAATGAAATGGGGGATCATTCATTATCAGTAATTTAACTCTGACGCCTCACTCTTCGCACTGACCATGACCTCTCCATATTAAACTTCAGTATCCCAACTCGTGGACAAGGTTCATCCATCCATTGCACAGTACAGTCCAATACAAAGGTCGATTTTAGTTCTAGAAGCATATTTGTTTTATCTCTGTTCATTTATTGGACGCCCTCCCCTTTATTCATTTTTCTTTTCTTTTTCTTAATCTATTACATTCTTCGTGCTGCCAAGATAATACCGAGTCAGTGCCTGGCTAGCATGTAACTAGTGGGGTAGCCCTAGAGCTATGACGGATGTCTGTGGTAGTAGTACCCTGGAACTCCGGGCAAGTGGCCATTTATCTACTCTAGGTTGTTCGCTTAGGGAGACTTGTGTAATTGTGCTGTTGTCATCGGGATGTCGGATAGGTTTTATCGACTACCTACATGCATGTACTTTCATTGTGCCCAATAGATATTGTTTTCGTCACGTCTCTGAAGCTCATGTAGTGTACTTTGTTAGGGAAATCTGATATAAACTAAACCATCCCGGGGTAATAGAGTACAAGCCCGGTAAATTGCCGAGTCTACAATACAGAGTAAGGGATTAAAAATCGTTAAGCCATCCCCACCATATCAAGCTCTCCTTTTATGACCCCCTGCACCCTTCTTCTTCCCTGGGAATATTGATATATCTTTATGGCTACCTTGCTCTAGATTTATTAATCTGTACAGGCTCCGAGCCAGTTCAGGCAAAACTAGTCGACTTTAATCGTGATTTATACCATTTTAATATGTACATACAGTATGGCAGGTAGAAGGTGTGATTTGATGTTTTAGATTGGGATAATATAACTACTGCTAGGTAGTCGATCCTTTGCTGGTTATTCTTCCAATAGACTCGCGAATAATATTCTAATTTCTTTTTTCAGAGAAGACTAAACAACGATACCATATTATTATCATACAATAAAACTGCGGTGATGATAATACATACTGTACATGCAGAATCACATCTTCTTACGTATACATATTTACTATCTAATAACACACCTCGACTCCCATTGGCCACTTCCACCAATCGAGAATTCCATCTCCAGGCTCTCCATACCGTACACTATCCCAAATTGGTATGTCCATATAACTAGTGGTCAACCTCAATGTTATCAATATCAAGACCTAAACAAGCCACCAATCTCCCCTCTACAGTACACTCAGTAAGCAGTAACTACTCCCACCCTCGGAAATAAATTTCCGTCTCACCTGCATAGTTTTATCATAAAACCAATATCCATATCACATATAGCTAGAACTAGAACTAGAACTAGAACCAGATCCCACGCCCTCCCCACATTCCATCCCGTCCGATTTCCAAGAAAACCAAAAAAAGACCCTACCCTATCATACCTTAGCCGTTGATAACGGCCTGTACGGAATATAATCTACTCCGTAATCAATCAATGACTGGATGAATCAGACTCCGGCCCGAGCCGTGTATTATCAAGCCTGTTAAGAACAGAATCTGGTGCAGTAGTGGTTCTGGAGGGTTGTGAAACATAGTGCTTATGGCTGGGTGCATGTAACGTTGTACAATGCCTAGTTAGGTAGATTAAGTGTTGGACCCTGGATTTTTTTTGGGGATGATCTAAATTCGATATTGATTATGGGTGCCTAGATAAATAATAGTCTAGTTGGGGTTAGTTGGTTGTGTCTACGTTGTGGGGCTTTAGAAGGTATCGGGCGTAGTGTATATGTCTTTTTTCCTTAGCAAATTAGAGAGAGAACCTAATGTGGGATATGAAAGTGTGCGGAAAATCCCAACACGAGCACCCTGATCCATCGGTCTTATTTCGGTCGAAGGAGGGGCGTGTCGTATCTAATTCTGGCGGAACCTCTCCCTTTTTTTTTTCTTAACAATAATAGAAGAGTTATAATAGCTCTCTATGTTAAGGAAACGGTACGTGTAATTTCTTGGCGGGCGAGCGAATTGTGTAAGTCTCGGTCTAGGGATACTGTTCGTTGCATATCGGGGTTTAATTGATCTGAAATCGGGTTTAGGGGACTCGGAGCTTGGGGACTTACTTTGCTTTGCTTTGATTTTGAGGTTTAGGCTGGACTCTTCTCTTTTTGCTTATTGTGATGTGATTAGGGTAGTTCATTATATGTATGTTAAAGTGTTGGGTTGGTTGGTGAAGGGTTTGATTGTAGGGATGTTGTTCTTCAATTCAGATCCATTCATTCAATTCATGAATTCAAGATACTAACATGTATCAAGCACTCATTCCATGATCAAAATCATATCTATCGTGAAAGAGAAAGCAAGCGAGCCTCCCGCAAACCCTCATTTTAAAAAATAAAGCCTATTCGCCATCAAATACCGCATACGGACCAGACCAGACCAGGCCTCTCTAACCAAGATAGAAAGAAAACCTCTCTCTCCTACTCACTCCTACTCCTTCTCACCCTTCGGCTCACGAACCATACAATAAAGCTATACATACAAGTTAGCATCACCACCGCAAAAAAGAAAATAAAAAGAACTGAAAACTCACCATACAAGCATCCCCCTCCCCATCTGGATCCCTACACTCCATCTCCCTCCTCAAACCAAACCCCAATCTCTCATAAATTCCCACATTCGGCTCCCTCCTCGAACTCTCTAGGTAACACTTCACCCCCTCCGCATCCGCAACCTCCGTAACAGCCTCAAATAACCTCCTCCCCACCCCCTTCCCCTGACACCCAGGCCGAACAGCCACAATATTACAGAAATAGTACCCCCGCGGATCATCCCAGATCGCCCGCTGCGCTTCCTCCTGCCTCGCCTTCCAGATCCAGTACCGGCGGGACCGGAGCCCGCCTCGTCCGAAATGCCAGGCGTTGTTGAGCATCTGGCGCCAGCTGAGGAGGAGGCCTTGGGACCAGGTGTACCAACTCTCGGGTTGGGAGGCGGGATGCGGGGGGAGCCAGCAGGAGACGCCGACTATGTGGGAGTTGGGGTTGGAGGGGGAACGGGAGGTTGTGGTGTCCTTGGCGACGTGGAAGATGGCATTGTTGATGCCCCAGAGGCAGCGGGCGGTTAGGGAGGTGGCGTTGCGTTGTTTGTTGAACTGGGTGGGTTGCTTTTTTAGTGGGATGTGATATAATTGTGGATGTGGTTGTGGTTGGGGTAATGGCCTACCTTGGAGGCATCGAAGACCCATTTGAAGTAAGGGTCGTCGGCGAAGGCTTCTTGGATTACTTCGATTGCGCCGGGGATGTCGGCTTCTGTGAGAGGGACTACTTCGATGGCCATGTTTTTTTGTTTTGTTTACTTTGGGTTTGGGATTGAACTTGGTTATATTAAGGTGAGTTTTTGGGTAGTTGGGTATTTGGTTGGTTAGGACTTGGTGGGTTTGGATGAAACTTACTTGGGGGTTCCAATTTGATGGGATTGCTATACTATCGGTTCGGCATATGGGTATAGGGTTTACTTATCCAGTTTGAAGATGGGGAACAAGGGATTAAATGACCGTGATGAAGACCAGGCCAGCTGAAAATGCATTCGCTCGGCATGATCCGAAAGGGAAGCTCTATGCGGGATTCTCCACAGTTATGGGGCGGTAAAGTATGCTCTTAGTAAGGGATCGATTCAACGTCATTGCTCATCCGATTCAATTCAGAGCTACTTCTGCATCACCGTACATTTCGTTGTTGTTCTCAATGCCACAAAACAGCCTCTTCCAGCTCATAACCATAACTGAAATATATTTGGCCTTCACCATGACTCCCAGTAAACCAGCTCACAGCGTCTTATACTTCCAACTGCAGATATGTAGATCAGCTCTTGAAAGTGGAGCCGATAGGGCCAACTTTAATGTTGGAATATGTCACATAAGCGTTGGGATTGGAGGCTTCGACCTCACTAGGGACCCCGGATGAGGTGGAGCACGTTCCACGAGCGACACCAGGCTTGCTGGCCGGTTCATTGGTGGGGTAGGTGCTGTCAAGCCAGAGCATGTTGACAGCATAGTCGTCCCACAGACTCATGACCAAGACCATTCCGGTCGACATGGCCTTACCCATGCCGGCGAGTCCACCGTGTTTGGCGAAACTGCCCGCGCCCTCAAACAGGGTGTTTTGAGTGGTGCAGTAGTTAGAGTTGATGGAATTGCCGCTGAGGCCGCTGAGGTCGACGCTGGGCTGGGGATATGTGACACCGTTCTGTACATAAAATCGTTTGATCTCGGTTAAGGTGCCGGTGGCGGTGCCGTCGTTCGTAATGAATTGGGTCACGACGGTCATTGGCTTGTTGGTGTCGAGCGTTTTGCCAGGGCCGTAGAAGGATGTGTTGCCCACACGGTACGGGTTGTAGTCACAGCCATCAGGATCACACGTGCCGCCATAGCGATCCTCGCTATATGTACCGCCGCAGGCATTGCCGGTACATAGAGTGTTGGTAGGGGTATCACATGGGTGAGGAGTGAGGGCTTGTGAAATGCTGTTGGATTCCCAGATGTCAAGCTCGGCGCAGCAGGAGCCATGGTTTCCAGTGCCGGTGTTGGCGTTGTTGCTTGAGGGTTCCCAGCCCTCCACATTCGCTTGACCTTGGATAAACTTCATATCCCGTGGGCATTGAGAGTCACAGTATCCCGTGCCATACTTGGCGCCAGCTTTGTTGTTCGGATATTTGGACACACCTCCATCGGCATCCATCACGACAAAGTAAAGGGCCCCGTTGAGGCCACATGGGAGCTTGGAAACGTCCACATCGAAGGTAAACTCCTGATTCAACAGCTTGTAAACCTCATAATGGGTCTCGTCTGCCATCATATAGACTCGGGAACCGACGTTCTTCCCGTTAGAATTGTTGGTGACAAAATTGAGACGGACTTGGCTGCCGCTGGTCGTAATACCATAGGTGTTGGCATAATCAGCGCCGTCCAAGGCACATTTCTGGGCACAGGCCACATTGGTGCTGCAGTAAGAAGTGTCCCATTTGTTGCCCGTGTAGCAATTGCTGGAGCTTCCCGTTTGGTGGATCCAACGCCAGTTGGCATCGAGGACAATGGAGCCTTGCTTGGTGCTGCAGCTGCCGCCACTGCTGCATGTCTGCCAGGTCATCGAGGGGTGATTCTCAGTCTGGTAGGTACCAACCTGTTGACCTTGAGCGGTAGCCAGAATGGAAGATAAGATCAGGGCATTGCGCCAGACTCTGGAGAAAACAGGGGACTCCATCTTGACTCTGGAAAGCTTTGTCTGTGCTTGAATTCCGTGAAAGAAAGTGTGAGAGCTTCTGACCGAAGTCTCCTTCATATACTATTCTGCCCATCTCAAACAGTATAGCTTATGGCGCGCCTGAAGACTTGCTTGCGCCGGATAGCAGGACCGCCGGTCCGTTGAAGAAACGATACCTAGGAACAAACGCTCCTTCTCCGTGATGAAAGCAGAATAACCTCTACTTAAGTGCAGATTACTAACGCGCACTGAGCCTAATACGGGCTCGTATTCCTGTAACTGGGCTCTATGTGGCTGGTTTTGCTTGCACATAATCTGGCCATTTTATCCTAAGGCCTCTTGCTCCTCGTCGTAAGAGGAAAAGGTGCGGAATCTCGGGACAGACTAGGCACAAACTGCTTCCGGTACAGCATCAGTTGAATGATCGATCAGGTGATGCGGAGGGCAGCGGACGATGACGAGAACCCGTTAAGAGATAATTAGCTGTTCTGTCTCGAATCTCATCGAGATTCATGCAGGCCAGGAAGGCCATAGGTGGGTATAATGCGCCACCCCCATACTGCAGCAGGTATTTCGACCAGTAGCACGCTGTGTCTCTGCCAACCAATTCTGCCGGGTGGCTGTCCATAATCCCCTCAGTTAATCAAATAAGTTGCATACTGGGGAAAGGTGTTGAGGGGCGACACAAGATTTTTTTTAGCCTGACATGCAGGAGACCACGTGCTGGGAGTTGTATAGCCACTGCAACCTCGCAATCTCCACACCTTTTACCCAGCCAAATAACTCCGACTTTGAAGTATTGAATTTATTGCCAAAAGGTTCTCGTCCACATGATGCTCTTACCAGCTAAGAAGTCGGTCATCTAATCATGCCTGTTAGCGCCGTCCTATTGCACATGTTAATATTGCTTGGCTGTCGGCAATTCTACCCTGACATTAAATCCCAGTATGCAACGGCATATCTTCCGAGGGTTTTTCCCTAGTCGATGGGCTGCTGCCTTACAGGTTAAATTCAGCTAGAAGTACTCTTACCAGGCAGAATCTTTCCTTTTCCTCCGTCCCTTGGTAACCAGCTGGCAAGACTTTCACGAGCTTGATATACGCGCATTTCACGTCTGTGCCCTACAGCTGTTTAGACAGTGCTGGTATAACTAAGTAACATATCTGATCTTGTATTTCTAAGAAGTGGAGATACAGTTGATACATTAATGCGAAAACACAAACAAATAATCACTGTACGTTTCTAGCAATGATATAATAATATGGTAAGGCATCCGAGTCCATCCGGTCCGGTGCTTCAAATACCACTATCGTTAGATCCTCAATATTAAAGTCATTCCCCTGCAGGAGCTGCCTCCACCCTTTTCAAGTAAACAGCATACTTGTAGCTTCATTGCTCATAAACCGTTGTCTGACCTCCCTCACACACAATCCGTCAGCGTCATATCCAGAGAGGATATCATTGGCGCTGAAATCATTGGTAGCCATTGTCGCAACGGCTACCAGTCCGCCGGCATGTAACTGGCTTCCGTACTTCCGCGCAGTCTCTTCGATCTCCTCCCTGACCAATCGGAAGAGAGAGAGTGTACCTTCAACACACTACATCTTACTACTTTCCCTCGAGGGTAGACATATTCACGCATGTCCGAAAGTTAAAACACGCCATCGGGGATTCGCTTTTGGCCCAGCTCGACCATGGCGTGCACGTTGTCAATCCCTGTTAAGAAGTGGCCTACTGCAGCCAACGTTTCGGTCGCTGGTTTGCCGGTACCGCATCCGACGGTCAAGAACTTAGGATTGTGGAGGTAAATGGCTTATCGCTGTGCTGAGGAGCTGATGAACGCCTGGGTCATAAGCATAGGCGTCATCATACTGTTGTGGTTCATAAAGCACACTTTCTGCCATTGTTGACTGATGACCTTGTTGGAATGGATGAGAATAGAATGTCGATTCGTTTATTTGCGGGAGCTAGCTTTGTGGACCTAAAAACAGGAGTAGTAGGGCGATAGGGATAGAGATAGAGAGATTTCTTTCCTATTCAGAGACGGTATATTTATTCGCCGCTTATTCGTTCAGAATGTATGGAGGATCAGGCGTTGCCGTTGAAGTTGTTTACGGAGTTGGGGGATGCGTATCATTTAAAAGAGGGCGAGGGATTTTTATGAGCAGATTTAGAGGGATGGAAGGTTTGTGCATCGGAATGGCATTCTTGGCGATGAGAAAGAAAAGCAAAAATAAAGGAAGAAAGGGAGGGTGGTTATGGCTTATATACCTTGTTTTAGGGCTGTCTGCTATATTGATTGTGGTAAATCGAATAGCTCTTTTCGGATCTCTTTACTCTTTGCTGGAAAGGCCTCTGCGTTTGGTATACTGGGACGCCGCGGAAGGCGTTATAATACGTATCAGTGCTCTGATGACTTCGTTATCAGAGCAAAGAATGGGACGTCATATTATGTAGGGCTGCCACAGACACCAGATCTTATCATTCATAGGACACCAGGGTTACAGAAGTCAAACATGGTCTGGAGAAGAGAATAGCTTGCTTGCAAGACTGTATGATCGAAAGAGATAGAAAACGGTTCAAAAGTTGTGATATCTTCCAGAACTTTCCTCTTAGAGGAGATTGAAGTCAATACTCAAGTTGTTTGAGGTAGCTACCAGAGGGATCTAGGGACCCTTACCGACCCAAGTTTTCTCTCACAGACATCCGATTTTATCGTATTAGGAGTTCCACCAGGAGAGGTATATCCTTGCATCTAGATCAAGACCTAGAATTGATCGGAAGAGACCTCATCGAGACGGCACATGCCCATGCTGTTCCGTCTCCTAATATATCACCCTCCGTATTGTGGTACTATAACCTAATAGAGCTATATAGCTCAGAGATATAAAAAGGGGATCATTGATTCCGCTATCTGGGAGACTATGGGGTATCAATATCGCAACGCCGTGGAAAGACAGCACAAGAACATTGGGTAGACTCATCAGGCTAATGGAAACGGATTTAGACAACTGTTCCGTTAATGAGAGGGATTTACCGGGGCGGTATACTATGAGTTATAATGGAGATATTGAGGCCTAGTTCTCAAGGTATTCTGTGGTTAAATGGAGTTTTGGGTGAGGTGGTTGGATAGTATATACATTTCTTGTGTATGCTCAGATGATGGCTAAGTTATAGAGACGTGGCGATTTTGTTATTTCTATCATGCAATGGACAGTTCGTTATGTTTTACTTCCCTGGCATGTTACATTTTAATGGTATTTGGCAGATTCCATAAGGATAGAAGCGTATGTATTCCAGGGAGTAGTCTCGCTGCAATTAAACAGCCCGTCTATATACCCGAAGACCATAAAACATGTATAGAAACGAAATATAGTAGTTGATGGTGTGCAACATAGAGAACTTGAGATGTGTATAGGATAGAAAAAACAAAGAAAAAGCAAGATCGCTCATGATGCGCTCCGTAATCCAGCGCCAGCCATCATCCATTTTCCTTCTGCGCCTTATAAACCGGTAATCCGAAAGATAAGAAATATAATCCAATCAGCGTACAATGGGAATCACACGACACCATTGAAGAGGAAGGTGATTTTCGGATGTAAGATAAACGTCCCCCAGTACATCCCCTTCAAGGTAAAAAGAGAAAGAATACATTTAAATCATGACATCGTAACTACCGTCAGATCAAGTAAAGTCGAACTGCCTAGACGGTCGACTGATCCAGGCGAACCCATTCCCTCGGGACGTCCATACTGCGGTTCACCCTTCCTCCGGGAGTCAGGGGTACGTCAACCCGCCCGAGACCCCGCGGGTCATCTGCGGTTTCCTCATAGCACGACAGCCGGGAAAAGTAGTCCTCCAGCACCGCCTCCCGGTCGTTATCACCCACGATAGTGGTGTACTCCGGTGGCGGTGTGATGAGAGGCGGCGGCGGCGGAACATCATCGAATGCGGGCGGAGCAAATGACGGAGCTCGGAGAAGATGCATGGGACGCGGTGGAGGGTCATCTGCGCGCTCGTTTGGCTCATGTGCTAAATGAGCTTGAGGTGGCCGCGCCAATCCGCCGGAACTATTGGTGAAACTTCGGCTGACAGCTCTACCAGTCGGCGGTTCTTCTGGGTCAGAAGATGGCGGCGGCGATTGGCGAGTCGAGATGGTTCGGTTGAGTGCGGCGGCTCCTGGACATCCACATTCATACTCCTGGGCAGGCGGCGCAGGGTCCGAATTTGGCGAGGTATACGCAGGGAGATAAATGTTGGACTGCGTGGCTTTGCACGAAAGAAGGTGGAACGGTGAGTCAATCGAGATCTCAAAGTGCCGCCGCTTACTCGGATCTCTTTCATCGACCTTGGAGAGACGAAGAACAATCTAGTAATAACGCGTTAGTCGCATCACTTTGTATAATCCCAAAAGGCCATCATACCTTGATCCAGTGGTTGATCTGAATGTTTTCGTACGTCGTGTCAAAGTGCAACCGTTGAGACTCATCCCGATTCTTCATCTCATGGCAACTTGGAAGTTGGACATTGAACTCCATTTCGGTCGGACCAACACCTGAATCGCTAGCCAGATTACCCAGAAGATTCGTCCGGTCCCGATCAACAATTTCATCACCCCTCGCAGCGGCCGCGCGATGATCCCAGTCAATGCCACCGCCTGCCGTGACACGCATGGAGCTGCCCGGGTATGTACTGGTACTGGCCGAATCAGCTCGTTTCTCGAACAAGAGCACCTTCTTCGCTGGCTGGAAGCGATGGACGCTCTTGTCCGCAGTCCAATGCTGTATGTTTTCGGTCACGTAGACTTTGATCCGATGACACTCAACCTTGGCTAGCGGTGTTAATTTAAAAGCAATAGGGACCTGACATCCAAGCGGGAAAGATTTTCCAGAGATGACAATGTCATAGTGCAACTGATCTTCCCAGTTTCGAGAAATGGCGATCGGCTCAACCTGTTCCAAAGAGCCCTCCGCCGGCGTGCGAATGACCGGCACTTCGAGGTTGCCCAAAAGATTGGGACGGAACGCACCAGATCGTTCTACAATAGCCTCGAGGTCATACCGCACGTGCCCCAGATCCGTCTTGATCGTTTCTGGAAGGGAGCCATCGATCGGGAATTCAAAACTATACAAGTAGTCACCCACAGGAAACATGCGGTAGTTGCGCTGCGGATGAGCGGGTACAGTGGGGGGCGAATCGTTCTTCCCGAAGCTGCGCGAGTGATTGGATTGGAGGGAAAGTCGTTTAAGTTCCTTACTTGTGGGCTGACCGTTACTAAGAGAGGTTGAGGAGCCCGATTTTGAGAAGATCTCGCGAGTGATAGTCGTCGGGCCACCGTCCTTTCCAGTAACGGAGGTTACCGGTTTGGCGTGCTGGTAGAAGTGGGCACCGTAGTCATTCTGCATCAGTGCCGTATCACCATGATTGAAATACATCACCCCGTGGGTGACTAAATCCTTCTTATCATGGAAGTGTATCTTCTTGGGTGGAATTCCTGCGAGGAGGTAAAGTCCAGTCAGCGTCAAGGTAAAATTGATAGCGAATGTTGAAACCTACCATCGGGCCAATCGGTTTGTGCGTGTCCACGGAAGCAAATCGAAATCTTCTTGATCTTGATGCTTTTAGTGACCTTGAGATGCAACTGCCCACGTAGGATGGCCGATTTCTTCGTACTTGGGTCATTCTGGTCGTATCCCTGCAAGTATAGGACGGGCTCCGTGAGAGCAATACCCACGGTGATTCCACTTCCCGTTGCAACGATTTTCTCGTTGCGTAATGTCGGAAAGGGTCCCATGGAGTCCGATGGTGGCGCACCCTGTAGCACGGACCCCACGGGGGACTGATTCATCGATCCGGTGGACGAGGAGTGGGAGCGTATTCTACCCGATCCTAGACCGGCACTTAGAGTAGCAGTGGCAAGTATACGTGCATCTTCGGGCGATAAAACGATCTCGGAGACCGGACGGGGACGAGATGTACGAGACATTTGGCGGGTGGATGGTGGCGACTGAGCGCGGACAGAACCCCCCAGGCGGAGGAAGCGCTTTGCGTTTTCGCGTGGGCCCGCCAACTTTCTAAAGATCGAAGCGCGGCGATTGGTCTGTTTGGGGAAGTTGGCACCAACGACGGTTGATGGGTCGACTGACCGACAATGCTCCGCGCTAGAACTTGTATGACCGGACAATAAAGACAAAGACCCTGGGGTCCTGCAATGGAGCTGGGTAACTGGATGTGTCGTGGTGACCGATGTCGACAGGTCCTGTTGCAGAGGCACATGAGCGGTTGTCATTGTGCAAAGTGCCAATTCAAAAGCATAACGTATAGAATGTGGATTTTCTTCAAGGGCAAAAAAGATTCCGGGACATCGAAGTCTCTTGTTCCTTTTTAAGTGATTTGCAAAAAAAAAAAAATGAAAAAAAAAAAGTTAAAAGGGAGAAACGGGGCCAAAACTGAAACGAGCCTCACTTTCGTAAGGCGGTTTCAAAAGAAAGGAAGACGGAGACGAGGCTAAAGAAAAACGGGTTGAAAGAATGTAAGAAAAGAAGAGGGAGAGAGAGAGACACAGAGACAAGTAAGTAGATGAATGAACTTCCCTGTCTGTACGCCGTGCTCGGCGGCTCGCAACAAGAACAAGGGTGGAAAATAATAATAAAAAAAAAGCAAAAAAAGGGAAAAATATGAGGTACCAGATATTACTTTTTTTTCTCAGACGCTCAGACGCTCATTCAATCGTGCGACCAGCTGGGGCCCTTTTTCGTATCCTTCCTTTTTCTTTTTGATCCTTAATTTTTATTTGCAGTCTTTCCGTTTTGGCTGAAGATCGACCGGGCGAAACGCAAGGGAGTCAACACACGGGGCCAGAGAAATGCGGAGAGTTGGTGTAGGGAGGAAGAGAAGAAAAGAGGAGAAGGTACTAAAGGTACCGGACAAGAGTAATAATATTGGATCGACAATTGGAAGATAGACAAGTGAGTGACAGGATGATCAAAGTCGCAACGAATGATCAACCAACGGACAAGTCCAGAAGGGCCGATTGAACTGCGGGGAGCAATCAAGATAGCGAGAACCGATGACGGCGACTCGAGGGACAAGAATGAGGCGGTGCGCTTGGGTTCCTTGGGCACAAGACAACTTGCTGAGGGAGAGATCGAGAAAAAAAAAAGTCAAACCAGCGGAAGTAAAAGAAGAGGAAAACGGTGCAGGGAACGAATGATTTGAATAAGATTTCCGACGATGACGCGGAGTGGTTCGTTGTATCCGGCGATCCGTGGGTACTAAAATCACTGTTTAAAACTGCTTGGCTATACTATTACCTGAAGCTCACTGTCTCCCGTCTCATTGGACTCTCTACTGGTACGCTAAATGGCAATCCTACCGGTTAGTCCTAGTTAGACCTTTTCTTTTCCCCATATATCTTCCTATGTACTCCGAAGAGTAGGTTAGTAGGGGATCGGTCGGCAAATTCCTTGGATGATAATATCCCTCATATCACTTTCATTGTTGACTCCTGCCATTGTACGGAGGGCTATTATCGATGTTTTATAGATCCTATGATACATTCTGTTTACAATATAGGGCATGTGACAGCGATATCTCTGCGCCCCTCATTGAATTAATATACATTTATATATTTGTGTACAGTATACAGATACGAATAGATAATATGTAACTAGTGCTTTAGTCCTTGCATGGCAAAGCCAAGAAAAACCAAATCCCCTCTGACAACCTAAATCAAGGACTGATGACGTCTTAGCCGTGGATTTCTCGGTGCCGGGAAAGGCGGAGAGTGAGTAGTCTTGGGGTTGGGCCAGAATTAGATTTCCTCCAATACGGATATTGCGGCATGTATGACTTCCTAAGGTTCCGTGGAAGGGTGGGAAAAAAAAAGGGTCCCTCAACCTCTGTCAATCTTGACCTGTCGTGTATGTTCTCCAAGTGGGTGTGTGATTCATACCTGCAGGGCAAATCCGGGTGGAGTGATATCATTTATTCCTTTCATTTAATTTCGTACCTACCGTCTCTGACTAATCGCTTATGGGATGCACCGTCGTGAAGGATGATCTTGTTATTAATCCCAAATCGGATCATGTTGTTTGATTCGAATAAAATGAAAGGTACATATTCTCAATGTTACATCCTCGGTCCCATTTGATGGGGCAAATACAATATAGAAAATAGGTATCCATGGAAAAGGGAAAGGACATGGTCTGATTCGGTGGACCATCAAAAATAGATTATTTAATCGCTTAAAAGGAGATCATGAATTGACACCCGAAGAATGTTTGATTTACAAATTCTTCATATGGGAGCCAAGAGATAGATACCATTTGAGATCGCATATTTCCGCGAAAATGGAATGAAGGCTCTCCATTCCATTGTGCAATTATTTTCCGATGACCTCAGGAATTCTTTCTAGAAGCCGATCTTCTCCACGAGCCGATGACCTCATTTATCCAATTGTTCATGCCCAAGCTCTATTTGAGGCGTGATCTGGGCCATCCATCTACCCTAATTAATTAAATTCATCTGAATAACAACCCCACAATTGGGGAAGAGTCCATGTCTTTCCTGATGTCTCTCTCACACAATTATTATTATTATTATTATTAATGTTTATTTTTTTATTTTTTATTTGTTATTTGTTATTTTTTAATTTTTAATTTTTAATTTTTAATTTTTACAAATTACAATAATAACGATTGGAAAAGAAATCCAATTGCGACGAATGTTCCAGTCATACGCGAGGAAGCCCTACATGTTTAACAATGCGAAAGTGACTTGTGACTCGAGACCCGAACCCTACATCCCTACTTAGCCCTGTGGCTCGGGGAGAGTTAATCTCACTTAGAGTTGAAGACCGATATACTACAGAGATCGCCCAAACTGACATTCTACCATGCATCGTTACGTATTCAGGTACAGCCGTCACCCCTTGCATGAACCTTTTGTCATGCGTCTCGGCGAGAAAAAGGTGAGAGGGGAGTGGTAGGACTTTCCTCACAATCCATCGAGATAAAACGTCTGTCTATAACCTAAAAGATAGACCATTGGCATCATGAGCAACTTCCAAACCCTCTCATATTTATGTACCGAATTAAAAACAAGAGAGCTATCCCTAGGTAAACCAGCTGTCATCAAGCTCATTCATGTTCATCAAGCTGTCGCCTTCTAGCATGCTGGGATCGCCGACGTCACCACTACCAAAGTTTTCACTATCCATGAACAGGTCATCGAAGCTAGACTCTCCAGGGGCCATGATATCCTCATTGGGGTTGGCTGGCTGTCCTTCTTGGCCTCCGTTATGAGTAGTGAATGTTTCGGCCCTTTGTAGTTCTAAATCGAACATATCTCCGCCGGTTGGGATGCTGGCCGCACTGCTCTCCAAACCAGGCACCTCGGCTGCCGTATTACCTCTTAGGTCAATCCCCTTCTCCTGGTCGCCAACACCAGCGACATTGGTAGTTCCAAGATTAGTCCCTGACAGGAAATTTTCGTTCCCGAGGTCATCATCTCCAAAATCTAGGTTCAGGTCAAAGTCGTTTGCTCCGCCAGTATCATCGAGAACAGAATCAAAATTGATCTCCGTGGGCCCCGACTGAGACGGATTGGGACCCACTACAGCAGATTCGTCTGGTTTCTCTTCTTTCACGGGGTTCTCAGCGGAATCCTGCTGACCGGCATCGATGCCAGTTGGTGATTTCACAGTGTCAGCCTCGCGCTGTTGTGATTGTGATTGGGCTTGATTCGTGTCAACTGCTGCAGTCTCAGATTGTGGCGCAGTTTTGGGATCTTGTCCGGTCTCTGATTGAGTCATGACAGCATCTTCGGGTGGTTGCAGTGCTGCCTTCTGGGCTGCAATCGCCTCGTAGTCCCTTTCCAGAAACGCCTTGGCGATAAACTAATGTTGGTCAGTTGAGACTATCGGACGATATCCCCATTAGTGGGATACAGAGCCGTGAAACACATACGATCTGCTCGGACAAGTTGTCCAGTGCGCTTTGGAATTGCTCATGGGCCACCGGGACGGAGCGTTTGAGCTGGGCCCTAGATTGTGTAGAGCCCCCTGATCGAAAAAATCGGCCGGTTTCAATAAGCTACTGAGAGTTAGAACTTTTTGTAGGCACGCTCATGGAGGGAGTGTTACCGTCTGATTCACCATTGCCGTTAAGACGGCGAGCGAATCTGGGTTTGAGAAATCGGAAGTAGCCATGGCTACTGTGGCAGTGGCACGTTGTATAAAATGGCACCTCTCTCTGGGGAAATGGCTGGATGAAAGTGTAAGGCGCAAAACTACTATTAGCCTAAGGAGTAACTGTTAGTTGACCAAGTCAGGATCGCAGCTGACGCAAGTTCTAACAGGGGTCCCCGAAAACTTGAAATGAGACGGGAGATAGATCAAACGCGACAGCTCCAATAGCAGTCCAGAGCCCGGTGCTGGTGGAAAATCACACCGACCAATTGAAATCATGATGATGTAAGACGTAGACACAGGCACTCGATCAAGAGAAAGGAATTGGAATGAACGTTACCTAGCGAAAGAGCGAACCCAGTGGATTTGGAAGAATACAGGTCGATTGATGGACAGTGGAGGAATTAAGCGCTTTACCTGAACGGAGAGCGACCCGTCAAGGGAGGACTAACGCCAACGGGTTTAGTGCGCCCCTCACCCCAAGCGGCTCTTGACCATCCAAACCTCTCCTCGTTCTTCTCTCCATTCAGACTCCCCATCAGGTCATCGCAGCTTTCCATTCCATTTCTTTCCCCTGCTTCCATTTCCATTTCTCATTTCATCTCTCGCGCTGTTCCATCGCCCTTTTTCCTGCTGGCGTCGAGACCTGAGTGATTGGGGTTTCTTTTTTCTTCCCTTTGTTTGTTTGCTTTCCTATCTCTTTTTTCTTCTTCTTTTTTGCATCCATTTCCTCCAGCTCTTGTCTTTTATCAACCCGAATCTTAAGCTTTTTCCACCTGTTTAACTTGTTGGGGAAGAAAGCCGTGTTTCGAGTCGCCTGCGCTTCTTCATCCCGTCACGAAGCTATTTCCTCACCGTTTCTTTCTAATCTCTTTTTTTTCTTTTCTTTTCTTGTCGTTATCTTTTGACGACTGTGTTTCCTTGTATGATCCACAAATTTCCTTTTCCCTTTCTTTTCCCTTTTTTTTAACCCTTTCCCCTTTCCCTTTTTGTTCTCAGGGCATTAGATCCCCGCGTCGCTTTCCGCGACCTTAAACCAATTCGGTGACTGCGTAACGCTCTGCATTGCCCCGTCGCTCAAAAAGATTCTCTTCACCCACCTTCACACCCCATTAAGCGCTTTCAACACTCATTAACTTGTGCATATATATTTTTTTTTTGTTTCAGTGATCAGTTTCCTTGTATAGTGCGGTGTGAGATCTTTCAACAATGGCTGATAACGTACCCGCCCAAACTCCTTCGACTCTCCCTCCGCCTCCGCAAGCCTCTGCTCCTCCAGGTCAGCAGTACGATGGGGCTCAGGGCAATGGCCAGGCCAATCCTTCCCATATGCCGCCGCCGCCTCGTCCTCCAGTCGTGATCCCTCAGAATACCAACCCTATTCCTACGGCGATCACTTCTCCGATGTCTGGCAATATGATGTCCCCTACCAGCGCCGGCGGGTACGTGCGCCGGGCTGCCCCAGAGCCAAATAAGAGAGCCCTTTATGTCGGTGGTCTCGATCCCCGGGTGACTGAAGATATTTTGAAGCAAATCTTTGAAACTACTGGGCATGTCATCAGCGTGAAGATCATTCCCGATAAAAACGTGAGTTTTGTTTGTTCGACATTCCCTTCGACATAAGGGTACCGGCTTACGTACTAACTCCCGCAGAAGTTTAACAGCAAAGGGTACAACTACGGCTTTGTTGAGTTTGACGACCCTGGCGCTGCCGAGCGGGCCATGCAGACTCTCAACGGGCGCCGCATCCACCAGTCGGTATGACTGTTCGGACCCCCTATACCTTCTAGAATTACCTCTGACGGGCTTTGCAGGAAATCCGTGTCAACTGGGCTTATCAGTCCAACACCCTGAGCAAGGAAGATACCTCGAACCACTTCCACATTTTCGTTGGAGATTTGAGCAACGAAGTTAATGACGAAATTCTCACCCAGGCTTTCTCAGCCTTCGGCTCAGTTTCTGAGGCACGTGTCATGTGGGATATGAAAACGGGTCGGTCCCGTGGCTACGGCTTTGTCGCCTTCCGCGACCGTGCGGATGCAGACAAAGCGTTGAGCTCAATGGATGGCGAGTGGCTCGGATCTCGTGCCATTCGTTGCAACTGGGCGAATCAGAAAGGACAGCCATCTATCTCTCAGCAACAGGCGATGGCGGCGATGGGAATGACCCCGACAACGGCTTTCGGACATCATCACTTCCCTACTCATGGCATTCAGAGCTACGATATGGTTATCCAGCAAACCCCACAGTGGCAGACCACGTGCTATGTGGGTAACCTGACTCCTTACACCACGCAGAACGACCTTGTCCCCCTGTTCCAGAACTTCGGCTATGTTCTAGAAACTCGTCTTCAAGCAGATCGAGGATTTGCATTCATTAAGATGGATACTCACGAAAATGCTGCTATGGCTATCTGCCAGTTAAACGGGTACAATGTTAACGGGCGTCCTCTGAAATGCAGCGTATGGTCTTCCCTCTATCTCGGTTTGGCATCGTTTGGCTAACTGTCACAGTGGGGTAAGGATCGCCCCCCTACTGGTCAATTCGACAATTTCTCCGGTCAACAGGGCACTTCGCCCTTTAACAACAGCCCGGCCCCGTATTTCCCTCAGTACGGCGGACCCGGCGGACCTATGACTCCTCAAGGTAAATATAGCTCCGTTCTAACCTAACTTGGAATTATGGCTAATGTATTGAACTATAGGTCCCAACTCAGCTGGAAGAGGCTGGGATCAGTCCGGAATGGCGGGTCAGAACTATGGCCAGGTCCCAGGAAACGCAGGTTACGGCCGCGGACAGGCTACTCCTGCGTCTGGCTGGAACCAGGCCAACAACGCCAATTTTGGGAATGGCTTTGGAGGCTACCAAGCGTAGCCCATCGTCCATAGATTCCGCTGCAAGCCGGCTTTATCGAGCGCTCCCCAAATGGACAATCGAGTATAAGCACGGCGGACTGTCAACAACTGTGTTAAGAAGAGGCTCTTTTCTTTCCTTTTTTACTCTCTTCTCTTTTCATTTTTCTTCTCGTTTAATCTCTTCGTACTACCACATTGTCTCCATCTTTTATTTTTTATTTTTTTTTTTTACCGTGCTCCTTTTTTCATGATTGTCCCTTACTAAGTGGATTTCTAAGCGCATCTCCCATTTCCAAATGCTTCTCTTTGAAATGAAATTTGTGTGTTATCGTACACCCAATACCCCAAGTCCACTTTGTTAGTCGATTTTCTCATACTTTTTGCTCCCATGAATGTGTGCTACTTTTATTAAGAGCTTCTTGGACTTTCGATTCAAGCGTTCTGCGGAATAAACTAAAAGTACCTCTTCTTGTTTCATCATGTGTCTGACCCTTATTTTGGATGATTATCTTTCTTTCTTTGATAAGTTGCCTTCTATGAGTTTGTATCGTATTCGTTTAGTATGCATGTGTGGCCTATGCAGAGGCCCCGGTGTCTTTACGCTCGCATGCCAAGCTCCTCTTCTACCTGATAGCGGTCTTGATTTTTCATCTATTCATTGACTTTTGTTCATTTCAAGTTGATCAATACTTTTGACCCACAAGCTTAACGCTTTCCCGAGATAACGATGCCTTCCTGTGCTTTGCATCGCGTCGGTACTTTTTCTCATTCTTACCTTATGATACCATTCGTGGCCGTGATATTACCTTACGCGGCACAGATTACGACTTGATGCCCTGGAGTTTCGGATACTTTTTCAATTTTGCTGCCTTGGATCAATTAGTTAGCAGACACATCGGTAACAGGTACAATTTGAAAAGGGCTGTTGCGTGAACAATGGCTTGATTCATTTCTGCTGGTAGTTTTTGCAATATTAGCAAATATCGTCAACGTACAGAGTAGTATGGTTCGGAGACACAGATCAAGAATCCATGGTTGAGTAAGGTACGAAGGTACCGCCTCGGAGGCTCAGGTGGCTTGGCTCACTCCGATCTCCCCCTTTCGCCTTCTCACCATAGCTCATCTTACCCGATGGAATCTGTCTACACTATTCACTAAAAAGCACAATCCTAGAAATATCAAACTAGATGTCGGCGGCTAATGGCCAGCTGAGCTAATCACGCCCAGCTTGCGCCAATGGAAGATGCAAGTGACAACGGCAGGGTGGCACTATCGCTGGATAACGATGATCAACTCTCCGGGCGAACGCGCTCCGGGAGCGCAAGCAGCGGGCACAAGCGCAGCTCATCCGGCTCACTATTGTCGAAACTTTCGTTCCTCCGCATGATCCAAGCGACTCATAACACTCCAGAGCGAGCCCATTCCGGCATTGACGGAAACGATGGCGACGGTTTCACCTCCAGTGCACGAGGCGGCAGGGCAATGGCTAGTGCGCTACAACAACGACGGACACGAAGGAGAAGGGGTTCGCTACGGAAAACCGCCCTACTAGGCACGCGATTTGAATACCGTGATAAGAAAACGACTCGAGCACCGATTGACGTACCACGCGCAGACGCCCTTGGGCAACAGCAGCAAACAGAGCAGCAACAGCAACTCCCCCCAGGCTCACGGATACAACAACCGTTCCCTGATCCAATACCTCCGGAGAATAATGTCGCACCTCATAGAAGTACGGAACAAGGTAGTCGGGAGGATGATGCGGCATGGGAAGGTTTCATGAACGCGCCGTTGAAGTCGCTGGATAAGTCTGCTCAGCACAACCGGCAGAATCGCTCCAAAGGTAGCGTCCTTGGTGGAGAAGTGACTACCGATGACGAGGATATCGTGTCCTTTTCTCGTCTGAAGAATACAAATGCCGCTGTTGCTGCCGCCGCCGGCTTACATCTTCAATCGGCTTCTTCGAGCTCTGACTCCTATTTTGCGCTTTCGGCGGACTCAACGTACCGAGCTATGCATCGCACCAAGTCTCCGCTTGCCACCCATGCGGTTGGTATAGCCAGTAATCAGGATATGAGCTGGGATTATTCGGAAACAGAGTGGTGGGGCTGGATTATCCTGATAGTGACTTGGCTTGTTTTTGTCATGGGGATGGGCAGTTGCTTTGGTGTCTGGAAATGGGCTTGGGATGTTGGAGAGACTCCTTACGCACCTCCCGAACTGGAGGATGATAATACCCTTCCAATTGTTGGGTATTATCCTGCTCTGATCATCATGACGGCCGTCATGTCGTGGGTATGGGTCGTGGTTGCATGGGTAGGCATGAAATATTTTAAGCATGCCAATATTTCGGGTGACGATACATAATGCCTACCATTTTTGTGTAAGACATTGCTTTAATATATGTATTTTGGTTTCTTGTGTGCCACGATCTGGCGCCCAGAAGACCCTATGGTAAGCTAATTTCTAATTATAATCCCGAAAAACCTCCGTCGAAGAGGGTGTGTGTATCTGTGTCTGTGCCAACATTAAAGATGTACCCCATATCAAAGACAAAAATGAAGAAGAAAACCCCGACCCAATACCAACGCCAATGGCCTCAACTGTAGGGTAATCATTAAGTCCAGCTTAATACCTTAAGGCATACAACCCCCTCAGTGTGTGAAACTGCACACTAGTTAGCGAAAACTCGTTAATGCTAAGCTAATCCCCCAGCGCAGTCAACCAGTCTAGCACCATTGACATTGATTGCAGGGGCCTTCGAGTCAGCATTTGCCGCCCGGTTGCAATCTTCAACATTTTGAGGCTGCACCGTCGTCCCAGGCGCCGTGCTGACGAGACCCTTCGATACAGCATAGCACGAAGAACGGTCCTGATTCAGGTCCTCGCTATAGAACTCATCCATGATGGGATGTAAAAGGACGGTCTGTTTATGGATTGTAACAATCGAGTTTGCGGGGACCGAGACCCAATTATCTGCAGGAATTAGCAATCGATGAGTGTCGAGCACTACCGGAAGCTGCTACTCACGTCTTTCAAACGTAATCGGCTCACTTGCCACTAGGACAATATCGGCCCCCTTGTCATGACGCTCCATTTTGAAGTGGCCCTTAACCTTTCCTTCCTTCCACTTGGTCCCCGATGAGAAGTACAAACTAGCAGGCTCGTCCGTCTTGCTGCTAATATAACGTGTACAGATCACAGTATGCCCATCCGTCACTGCAAAGTTCAGCAGACTGCGAGTCTCCACTCCGGAAACATTATGCCTCTTCGGAATATCCCGGATGAACCCATTAATCTTCGCAATCGTCTTGACCATCACACGGCGCAGAAGCGCCTGTCCGAAGCCCTCGGGCCCAGGATCCGAGCTAGGATCCACGCCCTCCTTCTCCAAAAGGTCCAGAAACAGCGCGAAGGCCCACTCGCTATCCGTGCCGCCTTTCACGCCTAGATACCAGCGATCCGCGAGCGAATCGCCCAGCGGCCGCTTGATATACTGCCACCCGCCGACGTTGCCGTTGTGCATCCACATCAGCGAGTTGTGCTGGAACGGATGGCAGTTGTTATCTGATAAAGCGCCTTCCGTGGTTGCGCGGACATGCGCGAAGATCAAATTTGAGCAGGTTTTGGAGGCCAGTCTCTCCAGATTCTCGCAGTTCCAGGCTGGGAGTGTGGATGTGAAGATGCATGGCTCTGGGCCTAGTTTGGGGTCCGTATAGAACCCTACGCCGAAGCCATCGCCGTTTACTGGACGGCGGTTATCCTATAGCCCCCGATGAGTTAAATTATGGTTTGGTTATGTGGAATGGGAATAATTGGAGTTTCTAGATTGTGGCGCAGACTATTTACTTACCAGCCTAAGGCGAGAGTCATACGATTGAGTCAGAATGCTGTGACTGGGCTCTGTTACCAGTTTGCTGAGACGTATCTCATGCCTGCCCTTGTATACCTGAGGGAAGTAGCGGTCAGCTTTTATGACGTATAAAAATAGTATGGAATGATTTACCAAAAAGCGGCACATGGCGAGGAAAAGAAAGCTTCCTCTGGAAGGATTTCAGTGTCCGCGACCAAGATTTCAGCGAGAGAACGGTGTAGAGAAAAAGATATAGCTGGCCGGGGAACGGTGTAGCAGTTCTTCTATTGCCCGGCGGCCGAAGTCGCAGCTCAATGGGAGGTTTCAAGATGCGATTTGATCCACAATTAACAAAGCGAAACCCAACAACCAGAAACAAACAAAAAGCCAGATAGAAATAATTAAAACAATTTAATAAACAAAACAGATCTCCAGGGATCGAAATATATACGTCTGTGCTTCAGTACCTAAGGCCTGAATGTCGCAATTTCCCCTGCACGTGACTCATACCCAAATTATACGGACGGTGAAGCGGCCATTGACGCAGGTCACGAGGTTCTCCGTGCCGGAGGTTCGTTTTCGCGTGGGACCATCATTGATGACATTCAATTAAACTATTCGGTTGCTGCTGTTGTTCTTCGACGCACCAACTTGAGTCTAACCACCGTGGCCTTGAGCCCGGAGATGACCGATCCTATCCTATCTTTCCGCTTGATGTGTATGCGATTTCGAGAACCATGAGCGGGAGAATCCTCTCCCACCGACTTGTTCCGCTATTGCGGACGGGTCTTTTGGCCCGCCATCTCCATAACGCCGGTGCAAGGACTGGGGGCCTTCTACGTTCAGATGGCAGCGCTGCCCTTAGGGGACGCGCGTGGCCTGTCGGTGCGAACTCGATTCACAATGTCCCCGCTGTGCGGGGGATATCGTTTGCGAGAATCCTGCCTAAACTGGCACTAAAATTAGTGAAGCTGCCCGCTATGTTTGGAGGGGCAATGGTCGCTGGGTTAGCTTACTTTCAATATCAAGCTACACGTATGTGCTCATATCCCAATCTTAAAGCTTATTTATCTAATTTCCATGACCATCACAGAGGCAGGAAATTATGCCCTTGATGTGCTAAGACGCGCGGGGGGGACTGCCGGTGACGCCGCTTCGTCCATTTTCTCCGAAATTCAGAATGTGGCCGAACAAACACAACGTGGCTGGCAAAGGACTACGGACAGTGTGGAAGTACCTGAATGGTTACAGAAGATTCTAAGTTCCAATGAAGAACCCCAATCAGGAAACGATGGCTCCGGAGGACAGCCCCCAAGGGAAAGCCGACTTGGTGCCGGTGCAGCGGCTGGAGCGGCGGCTTTCGGATATGACCAAGATGATGAGGACGCCCGATTGACCAGGAATGCGGAGGATGACCAGATGATGGTCCTTACTCGTAAAATGATCGAGATTAGGAACATACTCCAAGCGGTTGGACAGTCCAACACACTCACGTTGCCATCCATTGTGGTGATTGGTTCGCAGTCATCTGGTAAAAGTTCCGTTCTTGAAGCCATCGTTGGACACGAATTTCTTCCCAAAGGCTCAAACATGGTTACCCGGCGGCCGATCGAGCTTACTCTGGTCAATACTCCGCACGCACAGGCAGAATACGGTGAATTCCCAGCCCTCGGGCTAGGAAAGATAACCGACTTCTCCCAGATTCAGCGCACCTTGACCGACCTTAACTTGGCAGTCCCTGAAAGGGATTGTGTCAGTGATGACCCAATTCAGCTTACCATCTACTCTCCCAATGTTCCCGATCTTTCCCTCATCGATCTCCCGGGCTATATTCAGGTCTCCGGCCAAGGTCAACCTCCAGAGCTGAAGCAGAAGATTTCTGATCTTTGTGACAAATACATCCAAGCGCCAAATGTGATCTTAGCTATATCTGCGGCAGATGTTGATCTCGCCAACTCGACAGCTTTAAGGGCCAGTCGCAGGGTAGACCCTAGAGGCGAAAGGACAATTGGTGTCATCACAAAGATGGATCTTGTCGGCCCCGATCGTGGCTATAGCATCCTTACAGATAAGAAATATCCTCTTCGTCTCGGCTACGTAGGTGTCGTCTCGCGGATCCCCCAAACCACCGCTCTGTTCTCCTCTCGAGGAAGCGGCAATATCACAAGCGCGATCCTGAAAAATGAGAACGCCTACTTCTCCTCTCATCCCTCTGAGTTCGGGCCTCAATCAGACGTATCTGTTGGTGTTGGAACTCTACGAACCAAGCTTATGCATGTTCTCGAGCAGACGATGGCATCTAGCCTAGCGGGTACTAGGGACGCTATCAGTCAAGAGCTAGAAGAAGCGACGTATGAGTTCAAGGTTCAATACAATGATCGCCCACTGAGCGCGGAGTCTTATCTTGCTGAGAGTCTGGATAGCTTCAAGCACTCCTTTAAGGCATTTGCGGAAAACTTTGGTCGTCCTCAAGTGCGTGAGATGCTGAAGAATGAGCTCGATCAGCGCGTCATGGACATCCTAGCTCAGAGATATTGGAACAAACCCATCGACGACTTGAACCCCCCGATGCCTGAGCTGGATCCCCTCATTGACCTTCCCAAGGCCGACCCAGAGTCGCTGTATTGGCACCGGAAGCTCGATGCATCGACATCCTCCTTGACCAAACTAGGAATCGGTAGGCTTGCTACGACAGTTGTTGCGAATGCAATCCAAACTCACGTTGAGCAATTACTGGCAAGCTCTACCTTCGCATCTCATCCGTACGCTCAGAAACAGATTGTGGATGCTTGCAGTAGCATCCTGAACGATCGATTCTTCAGCACTAGCGATCAAGTCGAAAACTGCATCAAACCTTACAAGTACGAAATCGAAGTCGAAGAACCTGAATGGTACAAGGGGAGGGAGAATGTGACCAGGGTGCTTAAAGAGGAGCTTAAGGCGTGCGAGGCTGCTTTGAAACGGGTCGAAGAATCCGTAGGGAGGAGAAAGATCAAGGATGTCATGTCATTTATCGACAAGGTCAGGAAAGGCGAGGTGGTCCTGGAAGGCGACGGTGCTGGGGGTGCAGGTGGATTCAGTTCTGCCCTACTAGCCACAGGTATGTCAGGTCTCACATCTCCCATTTTACTGACATTGTGCTTGAAGCTAATCTCCCCAGGTCGGGAAAGCGCCTTCCTGCGCGATCGAGCTGATCTCCTTAAGATGAGACTTCTCGCCGTTCGCTCAAAGCAATGTTCCACCAAGAAGAATAAATACTACTGCCCCGAAGTCTTCCTCGATGTAGTCGCCGACAAGCTCACATCAACCGCCGTACTATTCCTCAACGTCGAGCTCCTCTCAGAGTTCTACTACAACTTCCCCCGGGAACTGGACATGAGACTAGGCCGCCACCTCTCTGACGCAGAAGTCGAACGCTTCGCCCGGGAAGATCCTCGCATCCGCCGACACCTCGACGTCATCAAGAAGAAGGAGCTTCTCGAACTCGCCCTTGAAAAAATCGAAAGCATCCGACAGTTGGACGGTCGCAATAAGCATAGAAACGCCGACCGACCTCTGTCCAAAGAGCAGAGGAGTCGTGGTTGGAACCTGTTCTGATTAAATGCATACTATTACCTATGTACTCCTCCCTCTCTTTCATTAGCTCCGGATACACTACATCTACGTTCCCTTCACCTTCTTTCTCTCCTATCACCCTGCTCCCTGTATACCATCAATAGGGTCTGTTTATAGCCAAAGAATCTCTTCAGGATAGGCGTTAGCACAGAGAGTGCTTGCTTGGTTTATTCATTCTTTCATCGTACCCTCTTCCATTATCAGTCAGAAGTCCATGTGATACTATATCGATAGAAATATTTACCTTCTACATAATACCACTCAATCTACGATATAGATCAAAGGAACAAGAAATCAACTATATATATAAGATAGCATCCAATGGGCATCAAACAATACCTGCCCAAAGAAAAACAATAAACCCGAAAAACCCCTAGAATAAACACATACCACAACATACCATCTCGCCCTCTCAGTCCCTACAATAATAATTACCAAGAACACCACCGAAAGTTAATAAAAATCTAACCAGCTCAACAATATTATAATAAAGAAATGAACAAAAGAAAAGATAGAATGATTATGGCCAAATCTAACAAGTCTAAATAAAATAAAATAAACAGTAACCCCACAACCGGTCTATCTATTTCGTACACAGAGGTAAAAATGATTAATGCTTTTTCTTTCTTTCTTTTCTCCTTCTCTTCCCGTTTCCAATGTGCCTTGGGATTTATCCTTCAAGACGGTGTAGGTGAATGTCGGGTTGATGTTCTAGATGCAGGGTGGAAAGGGTGGCATTGGTGATGAGATGGCTCCAGTTCATCTTTGGTGGGGAAGAAAAAGAAACGGAGGAAAGGAAAGATGGATGGATGGATGGTAAAAGGTCATGGGAACGGGGCGTGTCAGGGGTAGAATGGATAAAATAAACATGAGGGATTCTCGCTTGGAAAGTTTCATAGACGTAGCATATCTGCTGTTTTTGGTTGTTGGTGGTAGAATACAGTACAGTTGGGTCCGAATCTATGCGAGAGAAAACTGTTACTCCCGAGAAACGTCACGGCCGAATATCTTGGCCGTGATCCAGTCGACGGCGACGAGGATACGGTTACGAGCTGTAATATTGTTTTTTAGTATGGATACTAGGTGGTATAATAGGGACGAGGGATCACTTACTGCTAAAGCACATGCTCAGGTAGGCACTGCGCCAGAAAAGGTAGGTCATGGTACCACCGCTTGCGATGTTGCCGCTCAGCCAGCTGATGTCTGCAACCGCGCGCTCCTTTCCAATGTAAGCCAGACTGCCCTGGTGAGAGTATTGGAAGGGGCCGATCTGCTTGGTTCTGCGCAGCTGCTTCTGGCGTTCGCGAATCTCGTCGAAGATCTGGTTGCGCTCCTCGCCGTTCTTGGCATTGGCTTGCGCTTCTGACAGCTGCTTCAGCTCGGCCTCGACGGCCTCGGTCTTGGCCATGGTGTTGAAGAGACGGGCAAGGAAAGCACCCTCCTGGCTAGCAACCTGGGCAGTGGGGGCATAGTTGGTAATGGCGCAGTCACCGACGGCCCAAACGTTCTCAGCACCGTTGACGACAAGGTATTCGTTAACGGCAAGACCGCGGCGCGAGTTCTTCTGGGCGGGGAGCTGGCTCATAAGGTCGCGGACAACAGGGCGGACGGCGTTACCGGTAGCCCAAACCAGGAGACCGTAGGGGATGATTTCCAGCTCCTTGGTTCCGTCGGGCTTGGTGACCTCGGCTTCGATGTACTTATCAGTCACATTCTTGACCATAGTCTTAGTGCGGATGGTGATCGCCTCCTCCTTGAAAGTCGATTCGGTGTAGTCAATCAGCTGCTTGGAGAACATAGGAAGCACGTTGGGAAGAGCCTCAACCAGAGTGACCTTGAAATCCTCCTTGATCTCAGGGACCCACTTCTTGAGATCCTCCTCGAAAAAGTCCTGGATCTCACCGGCGAATTCAACGCCAGTCGGGCCACCACCGACAACAACCATGTGCAAAAGACGCTTGACCTCATCTTCAGTTTGATCCTTGAAGATGGCGGTCTCAACGCAGTCCATGATACGGGTACGGATCTTCTGGGCATCTCCGACCTCCTTCAGGAAGCAAGAGTGCTCCTTGACACCCTTGATGCCTATAATTGTGCGATTAGTCCTGGTTCATCCCGTTGGGGGGGGTAATGTCTGGGTTACATACCGAAGGTTGCATTCTCAGCACCAACACCAACAACAAGCATGTCGAAAGGCACCTCAGTCTTAGAGATGTCACCCTTGATCTCAGAGTCATCGCTAATGTAAACGACGCGCTTCTCATAGTCGATCTTAGTAGCCTCGGCTTCGTAGAACTTGACGTAGGCGTTCTTCTGGCGAGTGATGTTACGGATCGGCTCCATGATCGAGCGGTGTTCGACCAAACCCGTGGTGCAAGAGGGCAACAGAGGGGTGAAAAGGAAGTAGTTTCGAGGGGAAATGACGACGACATTATAGTTCTCAGTATCGAGCTTCTTCAGGAGAGAGACAGAGCCCCATCCGGTACCTGCGCAACGCCGCCTGAGTTAATCACATGTCTTACATTGTGTAACTATGGACTTTGGCGAAAGACACAATGTAGGGTAACCTACCCAAGATGACGAGGGTCTTCTTATTAGGATCGGGTCTGACCTGCTCAATGGGATGGCGGAGGTCATAGACGCTATACGCCACATAACCGGTCAAACCGAGAGCGGAGAGCCAAGTCAAGCGCCAGGTCCAGCGCAAAAACCTGAATCCTTTCTTTGGCTTCGGGGTGGGAGCGGCATCAGCGTAGGAACGACGAGCGGTGCGCTGGACGGACTGCTGGGAGAGCCCGCTGGATCTCAAGGGACGAGTGGAGCGAATGAATTGGGATCGAGTCGAGAGCGACCTGCGCGACAGCGACGACATCTGCATGGCCGATGGCGTAGCCATCTTGGACCGGAGAGCAAGCGCACTTCCGACCATTGTAGGTTGCGGTCGCCCAAAGGGGGTGGGAGTGGAGAGTGGGATTTTGGGAAGTGAGTTGAAAAAAGAGAAGAAGAGAAATTGACCTGAATCCAAATGACAGTGACTCAAATCATAAAAAAAAAAAAATATTACAAAAAAAAAATCGGAGGCGCTGGATGAGTGACGCGCGAAAATAGCTGTTTTGGGCGAATCGGTGTGTCAGTGACTTTGTACGCCTTGGAGCCTTGGAATTCGGGTCTCCGGTGGGCTAAAGCCTTCCTTATTCGGTGCTTTTCCGTGTACACTGTGGGCCAGAGATTGCAGCCTGAGGGTGAATGGGCCTCCCGGTGGACTGGGTCTGGGTTTCGATACTAAAAGATAAACCGTTTTGGTTCTTTATCTACCCCCTTTTTTTTAAAGGAAAAAAATTGTTAGTTACTCTCCCTTCTTTGATAATCAATATCTTGAAATTTGGAGAGTGAGGGGAATATTCGGTCGGTGAGGAGAAGCTCTCTACAAGCTTATGAGGGGAAGAAGAAAATTGCCATCAAAGTGGGTATGGCACTCTCTTTTTAAACAGAGAATGACGTGACGGACAGAAGGAAAGGAATTCGCAACAAGGTTCCCTATTTGCCCATTCTAGACCTTTAACCACCTGCATTATAGACGGGGATCTTATCTCCATGACGAACTACTATCACAATCTACAAAATGTGCAGCGCATATATACAGTGTACAATATAATATAATATAACTACTACTCCCTTCCATCAACCTGATCAATCAGACTACCATTGATAGTAATTATACATATCTAGTAGTACTCACGGTCCACCCAATCCCATCTTCTCCTCACCTCCCCGAAACGAAATGTAATGATCATGACTTTCTCTCCAAACGACGGTAATGCCAGCTGACTCATACCAGTAGCTAGTGTTAGCGGTTATTCCCGAGAACCAGCCGGGATCACCCGCATCTAGACCATCCCAGCTGCGATTTACCTCCCAAAACATCGAAGAAAGTCCGGATGACAAGGGCGCCGTAAGGATCCGGGGAAGACTGATCCACTCCGTCTATCGTAGCTTCTCTGTTGTCAGCTGATTATTGATTTAGACTCGTTTCTAAAGACCATCAACCCGAATGCTCGCAATCAATTCCCCCCAGTTATTAAGAATTCTTGGAGCGAAACTCAGTATTGGCCCCATTCACAAGGTGACGGGTCAGAAAAGATTGCACATGTCGCTTGGACGGCTAGATATCTAGACTATGGAGGCATAGTCAATTGCTGGACGGGCATGTTGTGTTCGGATTCTTGTATCTATGTGTTATTCATTCATCTTAGCCCTGGCAGTCGTGCCATAGATATGAGGGAATTACATCGCTCCTAAGGGTTTTCGGCATGCGAGAGAAAAGAGAAGATATCGCATGTGGCTACCACATGAAGGAGTGTCCGGAGACACGTTGAGTCTAGTAGAATATCCCATGACTCTTAATTATTGAATACTATCATACATACTATTAGTGGTTGAACCACATGCTAGACGGCTAACGGACTTGTACTATTATCCCGCTTGTAAAATGCATTCTAGACTGACTTTTCCTGTTAGGAGTTGTTTGAGTCAGGGTTGCATCCTATATTCTCTCTTAGACTTGAGAAGCAGAGTGGGTAGCATACATGTGGGATGATTCAAGGATCGTCATCAAACTAACATGACGAACGACACTGTTCTGCTGTGTTAGCATCGAGAGGGCGCTTGGCATATATATATAGGTAAAGTAGAACACTACCGCATTTGAAATATCTAGCTGAATAAGGCAGAAGTGAAATTTCAACGGAAGAAGAAAATAAAACTACCACTTATTCTTCCCGCACATGGACACCATGAAAACCAAAGCCTACCACACCGTTAACGGTAGCCCTTCCGACCTCCATCATCGTCTTCGCATCGAGTACGAGAAGATAGCTATGCCCTCCGATCCCATCCAAAACAACAGACAGAAGCACGCCGCCATCCTCATCCGTCGATTCCGGATCTGCCACGAAAATGGGCTCACTAGCCGTCTGCCCCTGCTGACTCCAATATACGGATGTCTGTGTGATCATGTCATGTTTGACCAGGCCATCCAAGAACACACTTTTCCCTGAGTCAGTCACACCATAGACGTAACGGTACTTACGGCCGCGTACTCGAGGGCTGATGTTGGGCAACTCTGGTCCTAGTCCCTTTCCCATCGAGAAGATGAGCTCCGCTGGTAGAGCCTTGGAGCCCAATACTTCAGGAATGGCAGGCAAACGAAACCGCCGGAATGCCCCGCGGCCCCTATAGTTTCTTGGATCACCATAGTGGAGGTCTGTAGCAGAGTCAGACATGATGTTTTCAATATAGAAGCGCTTTAGCACGTCCAGGTTGTCGTATGCGCAAATGTCGGCGAGGATATCCACCTTGGAGGAATCGGTTGATGAGCGCTCTTCATACGCATTAATGGTATGAAAACAGAAGAATGGATCAGATTCATAGCGCGCAATCAGGCCCCGCCCCCCGGGAGTACGGTCCACCACGAACCATGTGCTATGCTGTGTAGGATCATACTCGGCCAACGCATCCACAAAGTTGTGTGTCCATAGCAGGGACATGCCGCCGGCACGGAAGCGAGCGTTCCACAGACAGAGTACAACATAGTGTTCCGTTAGGAAAAGCGAGTGCACATACACAGCAGCGTGGCTGAATGTTGCCAGGATGCTGATTTTACCTGTCGCGCGAGAAACGTGGAAGACACGATAGGTACCCGTCACACCCAAGTCCAGGTTGTAGTTATAGACATCGCCAGTGACAGGGTCCGTCTTGCAATGGGCAGCACTAAGTGGTCCCTTGAGTGAGGGATGCAAAGCGGTCTGGTCCGCAACACCAATTGGCTCCAAAGTCTGGGGATCGAGCATCTGGAAGGTCGAATTGTCGGTGCGGTTACAAAGAGTTTGAATACCACTGCCACGTATCTCCTCCTGTTTGCTACCCGTCGCTGACAATCCGGGAAAGTTGATATTCAAAGAGACGCTGATGTCGACTTGATCGGGAACGCTTTGTGGAAAGGCCTTAAAGATCGATTGTGCCTTCTGGAATAGCGACATGCATGGATCGTATTTGGCTCCAAAAGTAATTTCGCCACGATATCCTGTCCGCTGAATTCTTCGGATGACACCATCGCAGGTCAGTCGCGAGTTATGTGTGACGCGGACCTGCAGATGCTCTGGTGTAGGAGCATGAATCTGAAAGCGATGAACCTGTGCGAAATAGTCGAACCAATGGCTCACACGATAGGTGGTCTGTTTGTCGGTCTGAATGTCGCGAGGACCTAAGCCGTTGCGAAAGAGCACACCAGCACAGTAGGGTGGTATTTTGCCCTGAACTGATAATTCTGTGGGCTCAAGCTCCTGATGACGGACATCAAACTAGCTAGTTAGTTATGTTTTTAGATATAATGGGGGATGTGGCTTACACCCTGTGTATTTGGCCAGTCATTGTAATGGCTGGAACTTGCGGGCTTGTTTACTTGCCACGCCATGTTTGCTGATGGTGATGGATGTTCAGCTGTACATCAGGGACGTGGGGTATTGATAGATTATTATACCAAGAGCATCAAAGGCAGAAGGAGTACCCCCGCCCTATAAATCCATAATTAAATCATTTTTCGTATAGTTCATTGCACCTGGTGAATTTGGGTTGCTCCGTCGGGATAGGCCCCCCAACCCAAATGCGGTAGTGGATTGCGACACGGAAGAAAACAGGCCTCAGATATTCAATTGTGGTTGACCAGCTTCTCGTCATCAACAGCCTTCTCCTGGAACCGGGCTGTAAATCCTGAGCACAAGAAAATATAGCCACGGTCATTAGCAACAACACAGCAGTCAACTCATCCCCGTGGATTATATCCTCCCATTATGGCGGCAATTTGGTATAACTTTCAGTCCGCGCTCAGCTGCGAATACGACGTTTTGCCAATGGACAATAACGGATCCCAAATCAGAGTTGTTTACTCGTCTCTATTCATTTGTCACTTGAGTCCGTTTTTTCAGCTAACTGAAGCTCCCAGGAAACGTTCATTTGGGGTATTTCGATGCACATCTAAACGTCGGTACAACCATATGATAAGTAGGTCAACAAAGAATCATCGGCGATCGCGTCACGATCAGCTCTCCGAAGGACACATTACCTGCAGTTGACTTGGCCGATCACGTATGAAAATTCAAATCTAGTTTGAAGATTTGGAAAAAGAGAGCCGTGGTCTCTTTTTCTCTGCACCCCATTCCATGCATCAATTCCGCCTATCATTTCTACATAACGGTCCCGGAGATAAGTCGCCGGATTCCCCTCATTTTGCGTGATCACTTCCCGACCCTTTAAAGGCCATTCCCGGCCGACCTTATGGCTGATACAGGGACAGCTTCCTTCCCTGACAGATGAAAGGGGAAGCGAAGCAATAATTACCGCCATGGCTCGTCCGACCGTGAATAAAATCGCGACGATCCTCTGGGGGAAAGAGCCGATGGATCGAGCCCTACTTTCAAAACTAGATCTCACTCTGCTCCCATATTTTTCCCTCATCTGGTTCCTCTTCGGCGTAACGCGAGCCAGCTACTCATCGGCGTATATCAGTGGCATGCGCGAGGCTCTGAACTTCCAAGGCAGAGACTACAACTACATGAATACCGCCTACCTGGTCGTCTACGCTGTCTGCCAAATTCCCGGGACGAGTCTGTTGACTGTTGTGCGACCCAAATATGTTTTCGTCGCAGCCAACCTCACGTGGAGTGTTCTCACCCTCATCACGTACAAAATGACTCATGCATGGCAGGTTATTCTGCTGAATGCCATTGAGGGTGGCTTCTCGGCGATCGCCTAGTGAGTGGTCATTCTAAATGATGTGTATTCCTCCCTTGCGTCTGACATGCTGGCAGTGTAGGTGCACACTTCATCTTGGGATCATGGTATCGCAAGTCCGAGCTTGGCACTCGAGCGGCCGTCTTTTGCTGCTTCGGCCATATCGGCAGTATGGCCGGCGGATGGATTCAAGCTGGGCTGCTGAAAGCATTGGCTGGGAAGGGCGGGTTGCCCGCGTGGCGATGGATCTTTATCATCGTCTCGGTGATGACGATTCCAGTCGCTCTATTCGGTACTTCCCCTGATCAACTAATTGAACACTTCAAATCCTGATATTGGAGCTGCTAGGATGGTTTTTCATCCCCGACCTTCCGGTACATCGCGCCGCATGGTATCTTAACCACGCGGAGAAAGAGCACGCCGCACGCCGACTGGGACGATCACCCAAGCAGACGTGGGATGGCACTGTCCTAAAACGAGTCTTGCTTAGCTGGCAATTCTATCTCTTACCTCTCATCTTCATGCGTGAGCATCTATCCCTTCCGTTTTCCTCTCCTCTCCCCCCACATCTAACTAGCCCCAAGTCTACTCCCTCTGCGTCCAATCCCTAAACAACAACGTCATGGCCCTCTGGATGGCCTCACGAGGCTACACAACTATCCAACAAAATAACTACCCAACAGGCATCTACGCAACCGCCATAGTCGGAACGATCTTCTACTCCCTCCTCTCGGACAAGCTCCAATCCCGCTGGGAATGCTCCATCGCAATTGGACTCACCTTCGTCATCGGCAGCGCTGTCCTAGTAGCCAACCCCAGCGCCGACGTAGGCCACTTCTTCGCCTTCTACCTGCTCGGCACGACCTACGCGCCGCAGGCCCTCTGGTACTCATGGATGGCGGACGTAACAGGCCACGATCTGCAGCTGCGAGCCATCACGACGGGGTTCATGAACTCGTTCGACTTTGCTTTCGTCACTTGGTGGCCGTTGATATTCTATCCGGTCACCGATGCGCCGCATTTCGAGAAGGGATACATCGCCAGCTTGGTTACGGGCGCGCTGACCATTCCCTTCATTGGCCTTGTTGCATACTTAGATCACAGGGACACCCTGAGGGGCGTTATTGGACGGCTTCCGGAGCCGGTGGAGGATGTCGTAGATGAGGATGTCAGGCCTGTTCGTGAGACAGATGAGACAGATGATCATCCTGATGATCCGCTGCATGCGACAGAGGTCACGGTAGCGAGTAAGGTGTAATGGGATATGTAACCCCCAGTCAATCCATACCATAGACAGATATATAGATCAAAAAATAGAGCCAATATCAACCAGTATGTATATTAAAAATAAATTTCTACCCATACGGTAACATTATCAACTAAACCTTTTCAAAAATCACAGAGCTATCACACCCTTCCTCCGAAACAGAGCAGCCATATCCACCAGTCTCTATCCTCAAACCCCAGTCCCTATCTACCTACCTTCATACATTCATCCCTCCCACACCCCACACCACGAATCTCATCATCCAATCAATCATCTACAAACCTCATACCCCCTCGCATACAATAACCACCCATACAACCCAAAACAAGGAACCCTACCCTGGAATATGACCCATTAAATAGCGGACCTGTATACCGATGCATACCCATGTATAAATGCATGTATGAACGTACATATGTACTGTTCTCAGTATGTGTATATCTAATTAGATCCGTAATTTAATGGGAGCTTGCAGGCTGGGTATGTATATTATATGTATATACGTATGTGTAAATTCTACAGGTTTTATTTTATCTAAGATTGTTTGGGGGGTGTGGTTGGTTGGCGTGTATCTTTATATAGTGCAAGGGGAACGGTATAGTGGCGATGGATATGGTGGGGGATAAATAGGTAATCTGAGGTTAGGATTGTGATAGGTTTGATCCGTTGCTGACGGTAGCTGCCTTGTTGGATCTCTTTGCGGAGTATGGGCGATTGCATTTAGGGCCTAGCTTGAATTCAGTTGGGCAAAACCTGGGGTTTCTGGGGGTGTGTACGGAGTGCTATGGCTTACGTTGTTATGCGTTTTGGTTTGTGAGATGGGGTTCTAGGTTTCTATACCTACTTAGACCTAATTGCTATGTGGTGAGGTGTGCAAAGGTACTGTTGTATGGGAGGGTAGGTTGTTTACCTTTTCGACACCACAGATATCGAACTCGCGCAGGGTATATGGTGTACACCGTATACGTGTTCCAGAGGGCCATATTCCTGGCTAACCATGCACCGCGTACACCGTTACTCGGGCTTTGGGTGAATCCCTAAGGACGCAAACTCAGACCAGACGGCATAGAGCTGGGACGCAGTCGACAATGAGATGATGCTACGTGATTGCCTTCCAATCCAACCTTCCAGAGTCGTATGTCGTCTACCATGTTGATGCAGGTCCATGAACAGTGTGGAAAGCGGCCCGTCGACCTCCATTCGAAGCTTCAGCCAGGCGAGTCTCGGCTGTGTGACCGGGCTGCAGATATTTCATGGGGGACGGCGATAAGGCAAGGCGTCTGTACTCTTGGCCAAGTGCGGCTGGACATTGTTTTCCAGTAAGCTGGTCCAACTATATCAGGACAGGAAGGTGGTCTGCTTATGGTTGTAGACAAGAAGTGGGAAGTAGCCCGGTTTGCAATGCTGTACGACCCCCCCACCAAAAAAAGCAACCTGGACACCAACACAGTCGACAAACCCATAAGCGGATGATTACGGAAGGCCCATCGTCGCGGTTTTTTTCGTGGAGTACCCAGCTAAACACCCTGGGTCAGTTTGGAATTGGGATGCAGCTGAGGCGTTTTTCCCAGAGCTCAAGGCCTGATCAGGTATGAAATGTGATCAGGCGCCTGGGTCGCAGATGCCTTGTTGGGTCTCTGGGATGGGTTGGTGGTACGGCATCTAACGTTGTAGGTAAGCTTTTATGCTTCTGAGATCAGATGAAAGGTGGTCTTCTCTGGTTAATGCAATCTCAACGTTCTTGGTATGACGTCTGCTTTGGGATAGCCCGATTTGTGCGAGACCATAGGGCTTATGGTATGTCATGGCCTCACCACTGGAACATCAGTTCCTTTCATGAGCTCAGAGGCACTGTACGTGGCTTGCAGTAGTGATTATGTCGCTTTTTCCGAATGCTTGTGGCTTTGTCTAGGATGGGGAAGTGTTCACTTGACGGTCAGAAAGGGTAGTAGTGGGATGGGTGTCAGCTTGTATCACTTGTTCTTGATACAATAAAGTTAAAGGATATGGTGCATGTATGCAAAGTGGCTTCAGTAATGGTCTTTTCCTGCTTGCTTACAATGCGCATGCCTTGCACCACTATCTGTACCGGCTGCGATGATGACACTGCTGTACATGCCAAATATATCTATCTAAAGACTGAGTAAGCCACATGCAAGACAATGGGTAACTCACAACCAACCCTTTGATCGACAAGCCTAAGAAAGACAAAAAAAAAAAAAAAAAAAAAAAAAAAAAAAAAAAAAAAAAAAAAAAAGACAAAAAAAAAAAAAAAGCAAAAACAAAGAAAAGATAAAAAAAACTAAAAAATTCTCACAGATGTAAGAAAAGCGCCCATCAATTGATAGACTCGATGTACACGCGGGCCTAACCACAACAATGAGTGAATGAACAAAGCGAAGGCTTTAATCTTTTAAGTCAGACACAGAGTGCGCTAGTCCCGATCAGGCAATATTGGATTATGGTCCCGGCGCGGGGAATCGGAAAGAGTCATTCGCAATGGTGAATGACCACAGAAAGAAGTGATTAATTGATATGAACGAGATGATTCCTACAAGCTAAAGTTCCGGACCTTTGTTTATCGGTGACAAACCTACGGCACTCCTGACCAAAATGGGCTCGAGGACGTGCTTATGCTACCAATTGAGTCCGAGAAGAATAGCCCACGCAAACCCTGAATACTTCTACGTGTGACTGGAGAATGTGATAATGCCCTGGATTAAACAAATAATGGGGAGCGGGGTTCGAAAACAAGAGTATGATGGGGATGATCTCGGAGATACTCCTAGAAAAAAAAGAGTGGGTACAGCTTAGCTGATAAACCGACTCTATAGTTGCCAGAGCAGGTTATAACAGTGATCTATGTTACTGCTTTCTTAAGCTCTCGACTGAACATTTTCTAGCGACCTAAGAAACCCAAATAAAGGATGAGGTCAGGTGTGGCTATTGTTTTAGTCCGGGTCTTAGGTTGACTGTTGTAGTTCTAACGCAAAAAGAAACGAGGGGAAAGCCGGCATAAGGATCGCGCAGGAGACTAGGAAAGGGTTTGTCTGGTGCTTCGATGAGTGTGACTTATTATATATAGGTAAGGTAGATGATATACGTCAGACAGAGTAATCAGTAATATCAAATTATAAATTATAAATTAATTTAATAGTAACATCGATGCCTAGCTGTTCATAATAAATTAATTAACCTGGAAAGACTTTATAGAAGTTGTACTCAAGGTATATCTACTAATGTAGTCGATCACCTTGCAGCCTATCAACAATCAGAAACTACCCCAATTTTTCTTAACAAGGGTAATATATGTATTGAACTATTTATGCATACCCCAAGGGAAAAAGAGAAGAAAAGAAAAGGAAAACCACTCAAATGCTCTTTTGTTAGTTTCACTAAGATAATCTACGGGGGAACCAACCGGTCATCACCCACATTATTTTAGTACCTCAAACGTGTATTCAATGTTGTACTCCTTCAGAGTGGCGGTGATAGTCCATCAATGCGTGGCTTTAATGACTGCGGGAAATTACACCAGTAAATTACCAACAAGGCAAGTCCAAATGTCAAGCTTGTACGGAGTACTTCCTGCCAAACAACTCCACTGCCGCTGTGTAATGTGACGACGACGTTGGTCGCCGGATCCCAGCGGCTTCAGTTGATGATCAAGGTTCTACTTAGGATTCCTGCTGTGGCCTGTTACGTAGTTTGTTGACATACACGATTACCTCAGTTTTAGCTGTGGCGTGAGTTGGAAGACTTAATTATGGAGACCGACTGTAAGAGGCTTTGAACGGCCTATTGCTAAATTCGGGTTCGTTCTTGAATGCCAGTTGTTATGGATTGAGAGGTGAGACAAGACTCGTAATGATCAAGATGGATACCGTTAGAATATTCGAGGGAGGAGCCTGTATTTAGGTATGGCTCGGTATACATAGTACTGTAATAAGTAATAGGTATTCCATTCATTTCCAATTGAAAACCTGCGATGTGACTGGTCGGGCGGCGGGGAAGTTTCACGCTGCAATGATTGAGTAGTACCTCCATTTGTGTCTGGGCCCCGGTCAGGTAAAGGTATGTTATCGACAACTTTAGTGAACGTTAAGAAGTGGGACGAAGATGGAACGTAAAAGAGAGAAGAGGGAAGGGAAAAAATAAAAAAATTAAAAATAAACCAAGGAACACGAAAAAAAAGTAAAAATTGAACAGAAAGAGAAACAAAGCGTGGAGCCGATCTGAGACTTGAAGCCCCGGCCAGAATGCTTTCATACCCGTATGTGGATATCGTGGGATTGCGAATACTGCTGACTTACGAGGAAGTTCTCTAGAAATATCCCATCTATCGTGTCCAAAGACGTAACACTGATATGATCATTGTCAGTCATCGAATCATCCTTTCTTGATTGATACATTGCGACAAGCCTCTTCTCTTCCCGGTCTCGGAACTCAAGATCATCCTCGGTTCCAGAATGCAGATTAATGGGAACAAGAAAAAGAAAACAAAAATTAAAAGGGAAAAAAAGCCAAATTAATCCATTTGAACATCACCATTACGAAATTCGGATATACTTTAGGGCATGCTCGGAGCATCGGAAATATCGTCTTTGCTTCGATCCCCACCGTTGCAATCGAAGTCCGTGCCTTCAACACATATTAAACGGGGACGTCTTACACTGGGATGGAATTGAACATGACTGTCAACACGCAAGCAATCCTTGTTCAACATCGAAGCCGGGCCGAATTGTTATCTCCTGACCTCAAGGGGATACCTCTCCACTACAGTTTCCGGGGTTATGCAAAGGCGCAGACATGCTACGTGCAGAGGCCGTCGTAGTAGTAACAGCGCAAGGCTACTTACTCTATTCGCATTCGTAAAATTTGACCACAGGTGTCTCAACCGAACCACCAAACCAGGTGGGTGATGCTAAACTGCAATATAAACTTGCATGACTTAGCACGAAATGAGTGTGATGTATCGAGCCCGTCCTCCACCACGATGTTGTTTGAGTATCCTTCTCCCAGTTTATAATAATAATAATAACGATTCGAGGAGTATAATACGTTAATGGAGTGAGTATCGACCCGCAAGGATTAAACAAATGCAAGGAGCCTGGAAAGGCCTCGAGGTAGGAAGAATAGGCAACCTATCCCTTCTCCGATGAAAGGGTATGAGGGACAACTATGGTCCTTGCGTAGCATGGGCTTATCTCAAATCATGTCGAAAAGTCTGGTGATGCGATCAGTTGAAGGCCAAAGTGCTGGAGATGCATGCTGAGGATTATGACAATTCATGCGCAACTAAGGCACCGCATTCAAGACGGCGTCGTGATGGGGTAAATAAAAAAAGGATAAGAAATTCTCCGGCAAGCGTCATTTCCAATCTCGCAGTAGGCTATGCTGCAGACGGGGTGGAAGACATTGAGTTAATTAAATCCGATGGACACGAACAAAATATCGTAAAATGAGAAGGAAAGTGACTATCATCAAGGAGTGGATTGTGCGAGATCTGGAACGAGCCTTGCGGTACGGAATTCTTGGATGAACATGACTTCGAGTGACGATCTGCTCACTCGCACCTAGATACTTTCCGAGTTCCAACACATGCTGGGGAGTGGTGTTAGTTCGAGCCTGGGCCACTCGATCAGTTTCGAAAGTTAGACATCATCATGTCTTCCGTAAGGTTGAGTGTTAAGATGTTCGAGCAGGGGATAATCCACACCATTCCTGCGCCTAGGAGAGGAGTAGTCATGGCTACGGGCGGACATGCCCCGAAGTTGGGTTGGATTCTCAAGATGAGGAGGTTACCACTCCAAGCTCATTGGAGAATCAATGCTTAGGCTGCTGCATACTAGGAATACTATGGATAATGTATGTACTTGAGTACTCCATAAGATAGCCAAAAGAAGATCATTAGTGAAGGAATGCTGAAAGGGACCCCTATTCGTTTCTAGGATGGTCGGCATGCTTTCATTTCCTCATCGCTGATAGGGAGGGTTTAATCCCATGAGATCAAGGCAAGAAACATGTTGTAAAATTTGAATTTCTTATTTTTCTTTTTTTCTTTTCCCATTCCCTTGTTGAGTTGTAGTCTTCAGACGAGGTGACGACCTTGTGGTCTGGTGGTGGCACGATAGCCATGGCGACGATGGTGTACTACTCGCATGTTCGGTCCCATAACCAGTTTGATCCATTAATGCTAAATAGATGATGGTTGTCGTATAGGTTACGTTCTTCAGTAGTGGCGGTGACAAAATATTTGGACCATGAAGCCTCGGTCAATGTTGTGGCACAAGCAAGTTGATCCGTTGTTGGACAAGGGTTTGACCTTCTTTTTCTCTTGTCTTTTCTTTCAATTTCAATATATTTTATTATTTTTATTTTTAAAAACTTATGATCATTCTTTTTTTTGGGGGGGTGGGAGGAGCCGCTTCTTTGGTGCCAGTGTGACGATACCTAACATACGTTATCAATAGTTTATCATACCTAATAAGGTAGTCAATAGAAATTTTCCCCATTTAACTCTTGGCCCGAAAGGTCCGGAGAAAAAGCCAAATGATGGCGACAAAAATTCGGGATAACTATTAATTATTGGTTCTGCGTAGTGGTCGGTTTGGCAACAATTAAAATGGCCCGTACAGAGCCGATCTCTTAAAAGATGAGGAGGATTAAATGAGGGGGCTTAAAAAAAAGAAAAAGGAAAAAATAAGAAAACCGAGAGAGACAGAGGCTCAATACCAGAGAAGTTGGTTGAAGCGGCAAAGCTCCATCCCAAGAGAACTGCATAAGAAAGGTTCCATTCAGATACCGCGTCTCCGCTAGGCTTTGCTAGGCTTTTCTTCTATGCAAGACACGAGACTGAAGTTTGAAACCCCAAGCGCGTCTTGATCGCCGCGTCACGACAGCTATTGTTCATCTCGTATCGCATACGGTGCTCAGATGACAAACGATCCAAGGATGCACGTCCAGGCTCCATCCAGCAAGATGGATCTCAACGGACCACGGGAAAGTTCAAACTTCACTTATGATGTTGATGACGATAATAAATGCCAATCTGCTCAGCTGCTCCACTTTGATATTCACATCCTTCTGGAGTTCTGGAACACCGCCTGTGTCCAATGTGGTGGTATTGGTAATTTTATTACACCGGGGCGGTGGCCCAGAACAAGCCCACAGTACTGGGGAAATATGGGCTCGGCGTTCTGATTTGTGGTTTACTAATGGTTCTCTACTCCGTTCTCCTATCAACTAGTAGAAACACAGATTGATACCAGTTGGCAGAATAGCCAAGGAGGTTACGCACTTTTGGATCGGACCGTTTTTTGCAGGATTCAAGACCTAACTGATTTGTAAGGAAGAAGAAAAAGGTTAAAGAACTAAAGAGAGGGAATAGGTAAGAAAAGAGAAATCTCCCCGAGGGTGAAAAAACGAAAAACTATTACCGCCCCATACCTACTACTAGTAGTATGACCGATGGTTCCAAATAGATGTTATCAGTCTCTTCATCTGATGCAGTGCGTTGACCTCACTGTATCTAAGGGCTCTGGCTTTTTATTTTATCTTATTTTATTATTACTTTTTTTGCTTTTGGTTCTCTTTTTTCTTTTTCCTTTTTTCAGTTTGGGGTGTTGGTTAGACTATTAAATTATCGTTCAATTAATCTCATTCATCTGATTAGTTAGTAGCCAAACGATGGAACTCAGCATGAACAATGATGCTCCGTCCTGGTCTCAAGGACCTGACAACGGTAACAAACCACTAGTTATCAACACTAATTTGTATTGTTCGGTGACGGTGACTTGAAGAAAGTTGGACGAGCTCGAATGTTAATCACCCAAAACGGATATCTTCCGTTCCAGTAGCGTTCCATAACTGAGAGGATTTTGCGTCACTACGTTTTGCTAGTGAAGTAGGCGAAATCCGCAAGCAGGGTACATCAAGATAGGTTGGGAAGCATAATTCAATGAATCGAAGAAGCTGAAAGGCCAAGGGCTTCGGATGGGACTGAGACCGGTTCCAGTCTCTTACAGGTTTCCAAGCGAAATAATACTTGACGGAAAGACCTACAGAAAAACTCGTCAACTTGGAAGTATTCCGCACATACATACTACATTTATCCACACCCGAATTAGTCCCTAGTACTGTTAGTATCTCGTAGTAGGACCATGACATCTCTCCCGGACTTTTTCTTTATTCTCTTCTATTTATTTGATTTGTTTTCCTTGTTACATTTTTCTTTTTTCCCTTTTCCAAATTTCGAAGGAGGGCGGGATCTGAGGAGGCACTAAATAGTTCTGCCGCTCTTTGGGCGAATAGAGACGTCGCATTGATGTATATCGTTGTGGAATGCATTGATCTGCTCCATCGGTTATTGAACTGTCAGAAGCCATACCTGAACTATTAGCGTTTGGCTATCCCCTGAACTTAGTTGTCGCTGTTTATGTACAGAAATCGATGGTACTTCGTTTAGTCTGTACACAGGAAAGTCGTCCGACCGGTACGCACCTAAGAAATTTGGTACCACATTGAAGATAAATCCATCCTGACGCTCTATAGTCTTAGTAACGAACCTTCGGGCTTAGGAGTGAAAGAGCAAAGTTGGACGGGATTTGATACTCTCGACATCATGTACCTACGTTGCAAGTACTCCCTACTACACTACCGACGATCGTCTTGACGATTTTGTTGACCGAACGCAGAAAAGACGGCCAGAAATGACCAATTCTAGGTATGTAGTTAAGTTCGCGCCTCAGCAAAAGTGGCTACCGCCCTGGAGCAAACAATGTATGTCTTTTGGCCAAGGCTTACTATTATCGCCAATAACGGTATGTGTTGAGGACCTGAGGCAAGGAAGACTAGACTTGTACTCCGTGCGAACGCTTAAGTAAACGCAAACAAAAAAGAATCAAGTAGGATGTCTAGAGGCGCACTGGTGTATGTGGAAACTATTGCATATCGTATGTCACCTGGAACACCACCCACTACTCCGCGCTTCGTACAGTGTACCACTACAAAAGCACTTAGTTTCTGCCTCACTCTAACTTTCTGCTCTGTCTCAAAGCACGAGTCAGGGGTTGAAACTTACATTGTGCTGCCTCTTTTATTTTCTTTCTTTTTTTTTATCCTTCGCTTTTTCTTTTCTTCCCTCCTAAAGCCTGAATCGTGCTATCCTATTCTGTTTAGCGCCCTTACCAATGCGAGGGACTTGGTAGTGGTGATAAATGCTGTCTTAGATCAAAGCTCCATTGCTGCTGCGCAATGTGACAATAATGAGTTGTAGTATTAAACCATGGGACTGGGAACGTCTCTTTCGGGGCAAGCCCCTAAAAGGATCATATTTTATTGACGTACACGAGCAGCTGACAGGACACTGTGAGTCTTCGCCGTCATGGGTCCTTGAATGTGTGTGTGGGTTCTCCTATTTTCATTTTTCCTTCTCTTCTACTCCTACTACCGTTTAATTATTGGCGCCCTATCATCTCGAACCGGATCAACACCAGTAAGGTAGTAGTGCCATAACAAGTGGCGGATTAATTTGAATTGCAGCCTTTGTGCGCGTAGAATGACACAGAATAGGTAATTATCTATTCATGGTTCGGATTATACTCCGTACGTAGACGGAACATTACGACTGGGCGGAGTCAGACGGTACGGAACAGAAGAAACCTGGTAAGGCGCAGCTGTTTGTTGGATTGGGTGAATGACGAGTTGGAAGCGGATTCGTCGGCAGACGGAGTTTAAGATAATCAATCACCTAACCATCATTGACTCGGACAGTGGGCTTGTTAGGGGGTAGGTGCCACCATTACCAGTAGGAGTCACAAGGGGAGGGGCGCTTATGGTTGTTGCTGAGTGAGTCGGGCGGTGATGGTCCCGCGGGCTGCGCCTGTCTGTCCCCAGCAGCCCTATTTTTCCAAGACAAAAGTGGGAAAGTGAAGAGGTCGAATAAAAATATAAATTGAAAAATAATAAAAATAAAATCAAATAAAATAAATCGAAAGTAAAATATGTGGGAAGGTTAGGTCACGGAAGCTGAAAGCAGCGATTGGACTGCAGTCTGCTGGAGTCATCTATTCCCAAGGTGGGACGGTTGATTGGTTGGTTCAAATTCATTACGCCTCCCTTCTGGGTCCCCTTGTGCACTTATCCATCCCTCCATACGCACCCAGAACACATACTTTTGCTACGCTCAGCGCAACTGCCTATTCTCCAGTGGTCCCTCTCTCATTCTTACAAGTACCAGTGGATAAGTCGTGTTGGCTAGGAATTTTTCCAAACTTTCATTCGTTAATTCCATTTATTCTCACCATGCCCACTGGGAATCTAAACCTATTTTAGCTTAGTGAATCTATCGAGGAGTTATCTAGCTAAGTTCCTCTTTCATGCCAGGTGGTGCATACCTAATGCAGAGGTAGTGTAGGTAATCATGGAAACCGTACCTCTCGTACATATTTTGCCTCGCCATGACAACCCGATCCAGTATCCTTGCCATCCATAGGTGCGAAGGGAGTACTACCGAGTTGGCTTCCCGATTGACCTAGAATTTTCTCTTTTCTCATTTCTCTTTTACTTTTTGCCTTACACTAAACCATGTTCAGTAGTATCCCATCCAGACTTCCATCGGTTACGGATACCTCGTAATTAGATACACAGTAGTCCAGTTTGGCGACCAGTCTTTTTGGGCCAGTTTCAATAACAGTACACATTTCCCGCGCAGACTCTCCCCGCCTTCACTTTGGGCCATCCCCAGTGGGTGGTTAGTAGGCTTTCTTCCTAAACTCAAGTACCAAACCGTAAGACTACTGTAATTGATGATTACACCGAAAAGTACCATTACTCGTGAATATTCTTCCGTACCCAACCCCATCCAATTTCTCATTTTGCCTTCTGCCTGGGTAAACTAGAATTGGCGATCAACCACACATAGAGAGAGTGCACAAACCCCCTTCGTCCACTCTTCACCCGTGCCTCCCGAGGCTGCTGAGAAATGGATCCCTTTTGTCCTTAGAACTCTTTATTATTTTTTTAGTCAGCTCCATTTCCCCCCCCCCTCTCTACCGTTGTTGTGTAAAAAAATTAAAAGGAAAAAGAAAGGAAAAGGGAAAAAAAAGGAGCCTAGAGCCCAGAAGGAAGGCGGCACAGTAGGCGACCACAGGGACGGTTGCAATGTGACGCTAAGCCCGACTTATTATTGGATCTGATATGGGTCCTTCTTCTCCTACAGATGTAGTCTACTGTAACTGAAAGTCAAGAGATGGTGATGTTCACTCATCACCACGACGAGGTCATGTCCGAATTTCCACTCCCCTCTTCCCCCTCTCCCTTCCTTCCCTTCCCATTTCGGTTAGAACCGTGACCAGTAGAACCGAACTTACTAGTGGGCCAAAGGTCTTTTTTCTTCTCTTCACTAACCTGGATTGAGACAGGTCTGGGGGCTGCTGACTGACCCTGTTCAGTTAGTTACCCTTCCGCTATTCCGTAGCATGCATCCACTTGCTTTAACACCCCCCGTGGCTCTGACATCAACCAGTATTTCAATTCACTTCAAGACAACGCAGAGACAATCAAACCTGGGTGACCAAACCGGAACCGACCCAAACGAGTCCAGAAAGGAGGATCAGCCCTCTGGACCTGCGTCCGGGTCAAACTTTGTCTATCCTGTATGGTCATTGCACTTCTCCGGACCAGGCCTAAGGACCTACCCTGGCTCATCTAGCGGAGATGTATGAGGTTTAGTTATTATTTGTTGGATTGAGGATGATGTCTTGACTTCATCCTTCATTATTACTACTTTTTTTTTCTTTTTCATTTTTCATTTTTCATTTCTCTTTTTTTTATTTTTATTTTTTATTTTAAAAAAATAGAACTTCCCTTCCTTTTCCATAGTTATTTTATTTTATTTTAGTCTTTATTTTTCGCCTTCATTCAATTTAAATTCTTTTTTTCTTTTTAATTAATTATTTTTTTTTTATATGGTTTGATTCCATAGATGGGGCTTTTTTGGCTTTTTAATTCTTTGGCCTTCCCTTTTATATTACTTTTCTTATTTTGTGACTGGATATATGGTTTTACTATAACTGGATGTACTTGCAACTTCTAAAGATCCAAGTATATCTCAGTTCTCACCTTCCATTCTATACCAATTCACATCACTCTGACTGTATACCATATTAAGAATTGCTTACACTTGGTCTGGCCTTCCTTCAATTAATCTTCCTCCACCCCCTTCAGTGCCTTCATTCCATCAACCAAGGCACGATCAACATTCACTGGGTCGCTACTGTTGCTATCCTACTAAGACCTTGACAGCCCTTTTTCCTTTTTTCCCTTTTTTTGTGATATGAATAAAGGTTCCCTCCATCCTCCTCACTAGTGTTCAACATACTCTCGTGCAATTCCCCGTGGTCTACCACCGCCGATATATCTTTCTAGACAGTCTGGCGATACAAAAGGGAACGACTCTTGGCAACAGTGATATTCAACACAGCAGTTTAATAACCCGCTCTTGATACCAATGGGAGTCCCATGAGAAGCTGTTAAATACAGTTCTACCGCACTACTCGATTTTCCAATATCCTTATGTCTCTCCCAGTGTTCTCGACACAGCCGTATCCCTCTGTCCCACATCCGTTTACCCCCACCATACCTCTCTATTCGCGGACGGACGATTCTACAGCAAAAAGACGGCAGCTCGTTCTGGAGAACGCTGACCACCACTGGACCGCTCCGTTCAGGGACGGTCTACCTACTCCCCCAAACGACATGGCCGGCGTTGCGTACAATAGCATACCACCCTCTGGCTATGGCGGTAAATTTGGCGGAATCACGCTTCCTCCCTATGCCAAAGGCCCGAACTATACGCGCATGACGTCGGACCACTATGCTTCTACCACTGTGCCCCAGTCTAAGCCGCGGAACCAACCTTCGCTCCAGGACGCTCCCTCTGAGCCAGATTGTCAGAAAAAAGGAAGTTCGAAGTCGGTAGCTTCTTATCTGCAGATACCGTCATCTATCAACAATAGCAAAGGCAATCTGGCAGATTTTGCTGCTCAGGTATAGAATTCACATTCCTGCATTTACAGGCCTTGGATACTAATCTGAACAGATGACCTGCTTATTTTGGTTCGAAACGACGGCCAAGTTGAATGACATTGAAGAAAGAAAAAATCCTCTTTACATCGCTCCCGAAGCGATCCCCTCCGCTGGGTTCCTAAAATGGGTGACCAACATCCTCTCGACTACACAAGTCAGCCAGAATGTCATTTTGTTGGCGCTTTTGTTCGTTTACCGATTGAAGAAGTTTAATCACCGAGTTCGGGGAAAGAAGGGTAGCGAGTATAGGCTGATGACAATTGCTCTCATGTTGGGCAATAAATGTTGGTTTGAATGTCCCCAGAGGTTGTCGAGAAGGTAAACTGACTAGGTTCTAGTTCTCGACGATAACACTTACACCAATAAGACATGGGCCGAAGTTTCAGGGATTTCTGTGCAGGAAATCCACGTTATGGAGGTGGAATTCCTCAGCAATGTGCGATACAACCTCTTTGTTTCCGAGGAGGAATGGAGTCGATGGCATTCGAAACTTGGTCTTTTTGCCGACTTTTTCAACAAGGCAGCTTTGGCGCCAGAGCCGAAGGAACTAGAGTCTTCAACGCCCGCGCTTCGTGTTTCGCCTAACCTGGGGCCAACTCAGCTGCATGTATCGCCTTCGCCAAAATTGCCTTCCCCTCCCAATTCGGATGTTCTTCGTACTCAGAACTGGAGTTTACCATCGAACGCGCCGCCATATGTACCACCACCTCAGCTTGGCAAGGAATTCCCGCTGATGAGTTCGAAGAAACGGACTCGTGATGAGTACGTCGAAGACCAGCCAGCGAAAAGAGTGGCAATGCCAAATACGATGCCTGCATCTGTATCGACACTTCCACCAGCGGCCCTGACCGGTGTTCCTACTTTACCTCCAGTCTTGGCGGCAACATCTGCACCGTCTTCTCAAATGGGTGTATCGGGGGCGGTATCACGATTGCCACCACCTAACTTTCCATCGTCTTCCCATACCCTGGCCCCAGGCGTTCCGACCTCCGTGCTTCCGTTTCCCTCCGTGGCTGGTCGCGCAATGCACTCAGTCTATAATCCTTCCAACTGGATATCTCAATTGCCACCCACTCAAGTTCCTCCAGTCACGAATGGGCTGTACAACCCTTCCGTGTCACTGCCGGACCCTTCAAGGCAGCATAATAGTCCGTTTGGCGTGACCTCGGCCACCATTTCCCCGGCGATTTCGGCATATTCGACCCATACACCACAGACTAATCTTTCTCCTTCCTTCTTCCTCGCAAACCGGAATTCACCCTACCGTCCTGTTCGCAACTTCAACACACTGTTGATCCCTCCACCATCGTCTTCTCTTCAACAACAGCGCACTGTCCCGTTCGAGCATATGCATTATCAGCCTCTCGGCAAAACAGCAGCAGAACGTAAGACAGGACTGCTGCCCTACCTTCACCACGAGGCTTGGCCACAGGGCCCCTTTCTTCAACCTACCTTCCATACAACTCCACATTATTGAAGTGGATTGACATCAGCATTTCATTTTACGATTGAATTATGACCTCCATACGACAGGTGCTCAGCCTTCGCTCTTTCTTCCTTCCGCCCTTCTGTTCTTTTCACCTTTTATCTTGTACAGCTTACTACGCCTCCTCTCCGTTTTTTTTATTTCTCTTTTTCTAACGACCTTGCATTATTATGGCGTTAAATATTATAGACGGCTTCAGCATTGAAGAGCCTACGGGAATCACTATGGATCATGGAAGGAAATTTGCTTTTCGTTCTGGACGAATCATGGCAATGGCGTTGTTGGTTGCTATCTCCGTTCATACACTCATGTCGAACATCTACTTGCATTTGCATGTTTAGGCGCCCAAGTGGTGGCCCGTTCAAGAAGAACCTCATCAGGTTGATACTCACTTGAAAGGGATAGAAATGTATGAAAACTTTTACGTGAATCAATACAAACCTATCACTGTAATGTAGTTCACCGCCTTCTCTGAGAATTATTCTGCCATAAATTGAACATGAAGGCATTGATTGGCCAATTATATGCCTTTAGGCGGTGCGAGGAATATCCGTCCACTGTAACACTTGTAACGTAAATTCTTCCTGGGTTCAAGAAAAAAGTCTATCTATATTATTTATGTACAGATGAAATTTGGGCAATCTTTATAATATAGCCTAAAGGTTTGGTGAAAAGAACGAAAATAGAGCGCTTGACCCTTTCCCGGCCCGACGTATCTCCGTCCGGAGACCTCAGGCAATCATCCGAAAGAACTTTGGGTCTGTATCTCAAGCCAAAAACCGTTCATTCCCTTTCAACGACCAAACATCACAAATCACGATGCCACCCCGGCTCCAATTACTGCCCACCCAGTGGCAGCGCCCACTTTCCAAGCCCATTTCCGCCATCACATCCCTCTCCCTCCTTTTCCCTCAGCTCCAGCTCCAGCAACAAAGCCGCAATGCTCACATTCTTGCCTCGCTTTCCGATAACACCGGAGCATATAACAAGCGGATCAGAAGAGGTCGCGGTCCAGCATCGGGGAAGGGTAAAACCTCCGGAAGGGGTCATAAGGGTCAGAAGCAGCACGGAAAGGTGCCGGCTGGGTTCAATGGTGGTCAGACGCCGGAGATCATTGTTCATGGTGACAGGGGGTTCAACAACGTGTATGTTTCCTTCTGCTCTGTCGTCTGGTTGTTCGGATTTAGCAAGTTGCCGTCCTTGCCTAGGGATTCAATCTTGCGCCACGCAGTGTGCTAATCTCGTTTTAACATAGCTTTTCCCTTGACCTCGCTCCTGCTAACCTCGACCGCATCCAAGAGTGGATCGATCAAGGCCGCATCGATCCAACTCGCCCCATCACCATCCGTGAGCTCGCCCAGTCACGCTGTATCCATCAGACAAAAGAAGGCGTGAAGCTTCTCGCCCGAGGCGGTGAATCCGTTCTCAAACAACCCATTCACATCGTCGTTTCCCGCGCCTCAGCGACCGCCATCGCTGCTGTCGAGGCTGCCGGTGGATCCGTCACCACCCGATTCTACACTAAGTCGGCGATCGCGCGTATCATGCGCCGTGAGATGCACCCGTTCGTGTCTATGGCTTGGACGAACGAGAGTGGCAGCAAGGGTTTGAACAAGGCCGAGGGAGCGGAGGACCTTACCGAGTCTACTGTTATGAAGGAGATGGGCTTCCAGTATAGGCTGCCAGATCCGACAAAGAGAAGGGATATTGAGTACTACCGTGATCCTGCCCACAGAGGGTACTTGAGCCATTTGTTGAAGCCTATGGAGGGACCCAGTCTGTTCTTCCGCTCGCCGGTTGAGAGGAAGACTGCTGCTGGTATCAAGAAGGAGAAGATCCTGCCTGAGAACAGACTTTGGTAGTTTGCTTGTGGGCCGATCAGCGTACTTTGGGATGGTCGGTGAGCATACCCATGAATCAGTCCGGGGCATGATGACTGAGCGATCTGTTGTCTCTGCACTATGTATTTTTTCCCATTGATATTCTACTTATTGGTTTGAAAGCTACCTGTATAAATAAGCACTCTGGATACGTGAATAGGTTGGACTTATTTTGGTCTTCTTTCCTCTCCATTGAGAAACTATTTTAGCATTCCTCTAACAGGAACTACCTGCTTACTGCGGGACGATTCTTTGACTTTATAATATTGCCATCTTTCTCACTGTCCACCTTGGGCGTCACTACTCCCACGTGATCATACTGTGGTATCTAGGCTGATGTTACCCTTGAGGCTTCTTACCAACAATCTATGCCGAGTAGTGTTGGCACGGAGGAAGAGGGAAAATCCATCATTGTACTCAGGTAAGAAAGAGGAGAACCCCTGGTGGTTACCATTGACCGATGTTCACGTTGGACTGCGGCGGTACAGTAGGATCGCGTGACCGACCATCTGGCCTGTTATGACCTTGCGCATATTCTATTAAAGGGTAGGAGCCCTCTAGTAGATATACTGATATTACTCAGGATTTGTTGTGCACATGCGACGTGGCTCCAAGTTCTGGTGACTGGAGATTATAATGGATGAACAACCCCTCTGGAACCCGAATAAGAATGGATATTTACATACATCGCTTTGGGGAAGACGACTACCCTTTTCAAATGCTGAAAATCGTTAACGATCCGTGAAATGATGCGATGGATGGAGAGAATGTCTTGCGCTGGGGCATTCTAGGTTGTTGGATACCTTTTCATTCTGGAAGAGGGAAAGTTAACATGTTATCGTAGGAACAGGACGATATGCCTGCCTTCTGTACCTTTTTTTGTTCCCTCCGCTACAGGCACGCCTGTCCCTAACCGACCTACCCAGCGCTTGCGAGAAACATCCGCTATCAGATGGCTATGGGATATCCGGATTGCTCTCATCACATGCTTGCCGGTGTACTTCCTCGCGTTCAAAAGATGTGGCAGAGGAATTCCCTGAAAAAACAGAAGCTCCTGAATACTGTCTGGTATATAGCGGTTACTCTGAGTTAGATAACAGTGACTACATCGACGTCGTTTTCATCGCCAACCCGCATTCCCATCACTTCCCAGATACTATGCTGGCACTCGAAGCGGGAAATCCTGTTGTTTGTCAGAAGAGCCTGACTGCGAATGCTCCACAAGCCAGGAAGCTGTTCGAGACTGCAACGCGGAAGCAGCGATTCCTCATGGAGGGATGGTGGACGTACTGGCCACAAGCCAGTGAACAAAACCTGCAATTAGCTTCAAGATGGCGAGACTGGCGAAGTTACTAACGTATCTGCCAACCAAGGGCTTTCATGCTGTGAGTAGTCGGCTGAAAACGAAAGAGCTGGCTGGCGGGGCACTCTTGGAGTGAGGGTTATCATCAACTAGCTTAAAAGTCAAGGCTGATCGCGTGTTAGTTAGCGTTTTGGCCCTACATTGGATACTTCTAGCTCCCCTAAAAGAGGATCGTCGCCCAGCCCAGGTTTCTTCTTCCATTAAGACATGTCCCGTATCTGTCATCGACGAAACCACTACTATCATAATGAATTTCCTGATGGGCGGACGTGAAATACGCGCTGTAGCCAATGCCACCTTATCGACCATGACCAACAAGGGATAGATCGCCCAGGTGAGCATCGAAGGCTCTGACGGCACCATCAAGATCCATGGAAGGGAGTATGTCCTGTGGAGGCTTGATTTCTTCAAAAAAAAAAAAAATTTCACAGCCTTTCTGAGCCTTTTGCCGTGACACCGTACGAGGAAGGCCTGCAGTTCATCTTGGGCGCGGATGAGGTCGCCCGATGCATCAGTGAAGGCCTCCTAAAGAGTCACGAAATGCCTTGGGAAGAGAGCCTACTCGTCATGGAGATCATGGATACGGTGCCCGAGCAGAATAATCTACAGATTCCGCCGGAGATTGAGTCGCTGGGATTACCCCCCAGTCTACTTGTTAGGACGTGAACTTTTCCGCGCCGAAAATATTGGAATGACGAGTTTATTCGAACTTGAAGTCGCCTAAACAATGGAATCCCGGACTATGGCCATGGATCTTCCAAAATAGGAACACATAACGCTCCTGCTAGCCATAGCCCTACTCAGAACTCAATAGTACATGCGGAATTTCTAACATCATGTGATAGACAACAACACAGCCATTCCCTTAATTTGACTACATTTTATCAGTTAAATACAATTTGTCAGTAACACCTTCTCCCGCCAAGTCCTAGTGTCCTTTGTCCTCTGGCAATTTTCTCGCTCAGTGCTGTCGTTTCGTGTAGATCCATTCACGTAATGGTTTCTACGTGTAGCAGAAGGATAAGTTATCTAATGTAGTATCTGTCAATCTAATATTCATCATGTAGTTTGTTTTGTATGTGTGACTGGTATTTCTGTTGGACGTGTGGTTAATTCCATCCCTAAGAACGAGTCGACTTCTTACAGCATCGACGAATATCAGCTACAGTTGGCTTTTTAGCTAGGAAACATGAGATAGGAATGTTGATATTTTGAATTGATCAAAGGACCATTTTAGAAGGCCAAAGCCATTGTAGCAATCAGAGACCCACAGCACAGCTATTTGATATATAGATACAAAGAAGGAGAATATGACGGGCGTATAAAACCGAACCGAACCGAACGCCATGCTTGTTAAACCGAAACACATAATAATCCCTTAAAATCCCATGATTGATCATTGCTTGAAAATTAGTACCCGCCGAGAACAATCAAGACCGTGAGCCCCCCCTAGAGCGAACATAATATAAGAAACGAAAATAGGGGAGCTTCCATATACCGAAATGTTAACAGATAAGAAAACCAAAAAGTAACACAAAGAGAGGGTATCATAGATGATCAATAATCCCGAACACCAGCGCTTGTCCATATCATAAGAGCGCCAGTTATGATCATCAATATATCGTAAATAGAAAATCCAATGCGTCATACCCCACGTTTCAAGTCACAACTTGAAGGGGAATAGAAAAACAATACGAAAGAAAGAGAAGACTTCACAGCTTCCAGATGGTGTCCACTTCACCATCTTCGCCACTTTCGGAGAGCTCTCGCAACCAACGGGATGAGAGAACATCGCGAATTGTCCAGCGTTCTTCAACATCCATAGCCAGACAGCCCTCAATCAACTCAAGGGCGTACTTCCGGTCCCTAAAAGCCGCCAAATTGGTTTCATCACCTAGGACTGCAGTCCTATCCCAAGTTCCGCTTAGGATATGTGATTGGATGCGAGGCGCGAAAGGATCTTGGAAGGGCCGAGACCCGACTAATACAGTATAAGCGATCACGCCAAATGCCCATATATCGACCGAAGGGTCGATGACCCCACTGGTGGAAAGAAGCAGCTCTGGAGATGCGTACTCCAGGCTTCCTGCAACACTAGTACTTGACCCAGCAGGGCCAATTGTTTTAGGTGGCGGCCGGTCTGCAGCGTCGTCATATGGGTCTGGTGAGTCATCTCCGTTATCCATGTTCATCCATTCCGCCATTCCGAAATCACACAAGACGAGATTCGAAGCTTTCGTCCCATCTGGCAGTTCAACCGGGTCCAAAAGGCAGTTCTCCAACTTGATATCCCGGTGCACTACCCGAGCATCTTCATGTAGATATCGCAGTGCACACGCTAACTGATAAGTATATTTCTTTGCAAGCTTCAGATCGAGACCACGCCGATTTTGCCGGACTAAGTCAAAAAGCGTACCGCCGATGGCTAGTTTGGTAAAGCAGAATGTGGCGTAGTCCGTTTCGTAGACAGCATCAAGCGTTAAAACATTTGGATGGCTGAGATATCGCCACACTCGAACTTCATGATCAAATTCTGCTTGAACCTCATCGTTCTCCCTTTCACTCTTCCCGGAGACATGCTTCCGTACGATCTTAACAGCTAGTCGTTTAGTTCCACCACTTTCGTCGGCTTTATATGCCTCTTTTACCGTACTGAAACCTCCAAACCCGATCTGCTTTCCAAGAACATATTCAGTCCCTACCATTTGACCTTCGTCATCAGGCTGTGATGCAGGTTCTTCACCACTGCTCCACATGGAGAGGAACATGCTGGCGGGAGATTTGCCGCTCGAGGCCGTTGACCGACGGGAGCTTTGGCGGTTAGAGCCTCGAAGGCCTCTTGGTTTGCTTCCAAAAGGGGTTACGACACTACCAGACCAAGAGCCGCGGTCATCAAGCGAGGCGAAACCTTGCACGGGAGAGGCCATGCAGATGGGGGATGGCAGCGCACTCTTCGAGCTTTCAGGAGGAGTCCGCAGCTCTTCTGTAACGGGGGATGCTGTGGATCTCGATGTCAACGAGGTAGGACGGTCGATCGCCGAAGTCACGGGCATGTCTTCATCAGGACTACTCATGAAACCTCCATGAGAATGGAAGCCCCGCTGATTCCGATATCTGTGTCTTGGATAATGGTCGTCATCGTCATCCTGGGGTAGCGTATTCCTTAAGCTCGAGCCTTTTGGTTGAAACCTCTGGGGTCGGCTCCTCGTAATTCCTTTTGCCAACGGCTCTCCCAGAGCTTGGGGCTGTCCGGAGTCGAGCGTGATGTTGGGGTCGAAGCTGACGGAAGGGCGGCGGTTGTGAAGAAAGCTGTCAAGGGGGGATGACTGTACATCCTCAGGTCTTTGTGGGAAGCTAACGTCTTCCTTGGGAAGATCATCATGACGTGGTACCGAGATGGGGGGAGTCGCTGAATGCAGACTGCTCAAAACACTGTTGTCTTCATCAGTACCGTAACGGCGTGCGCCAGAATCGTGAAAGATGTTTGTACGGTCGCCCTCGATACCATTTCCATGATCCGTCACTCTTCTGCCTCCACCCTCACTTCGCCATCTAGGTCTGTGTGTAAGAGGAAAGGATGTGTCGATCTTCAACCCTGCCAATGCGCTGTTCCTCTCTGCATGAGCCATGCCCTCACAGAGCGCACGAAGTCCTCTTGAATCGAATATAGGTAAAGAGATGATTAAAAGGATCACTCTCTTGCGTGGTGATCAGTGAAATGATGGAACATCGAGGAGACCAACGAAAATAGTACAAAAAACCGTGCGTTCAGAGGGTAACAGTGGGGCTAATCAGGTCCAAATAAGAGGTTAAATAGCTTTGGATTTTGCAGAACAAGTACAAATGATTCTGTTAGTAATATAAAGGTGTATAAGACGTCAGGTAGCAAGTCGCCCAAGCAGATGGGAATGAGGAAGAAGGAAGAAAAATCGTCAGACTGGACGAAAATGGGCAAGGATGGGCATATCGGGAGATAACGGAAGACGATGTCATTGAATGATCGGAAAGTCAGCAGCGGGGAAGTGAAGATCATGCAGGATGCAATCATCATTGACCATTAACACTCCACCGGCGGAGTCCCGTGGACCGGCCCTAACCCACTTTGAGTACTAGCTTCCACCTGTCACCTGACCCGTAGGGAACCCTCGACGCGGAGCCCTAAAGCCGTTCACCGGTGAGGCTCCAGCCAATCGATCTAGACCTTGGCATTCGACGGTACTTTCTTCTTTTCTCCCCGTTGGGTCAGGCACGAGAACCCCCCCCCTTAAAGAATAGTTTGATTAGACGCGCGCAAGGGGCGCTTGTTTGGGGGGAATTAGTAGACCTCCTTTTTTTGGATGCCTTGAAAGTCCGGGGAACTCGTTCTTGTCATTAGCACGGTTTCGGGTTCTGTATGTTTTGCTTCTCTTTCTGCCAACCTTGTTTATTGTTGTGTTTATAGAGCTCTGAGAGTATCAATTTTTTCTTTTCCCCTTTTTCTCTCTTCGTTTCTTCTCGCCTTGTTGCCGGAACCTCGACCAAACAACTCTCGCTGTACAGTTGTCAATCAAAGCCCGAACCCCCCGCCGTCGTTGTTCGTGGCCTTTTCCATTCTTTAATATCCCGCCTTTCCATGTCCCTCGCGTCTAAATCTCCGCAGTATTCCTTCATTTGCCTTACGCACTAGGCCTTTGCTACCTTTCATTCTTTAACAGGACACGACTGCCAGTGGTTTTCGCGTGACTTCAATATTCTCGACTTAAATGAGCCGTTCATTGTTTCAGTCCTCGCGCTTCTTCATTCCAACCCATAAGCCGACAATATGACGCGGCCCCGAATTGTTCGTGCCGGTACGTAGCGATGCGGGCTATTGATACCTGGCCTCGTCGGCGTTCAACGCTAACCATACCATGTCAGACACCCTAGATCTTCAAGACCAACATGCGCCTTCGGCCAAGGATCACTCGAAGCAGCACCCAGCCGTAGTGGGGAATGGTTACAGTCCCCATCAGGAACAATCCATTCGACATGCCGACCGAGACACACGAGTCGAGGTGTTGCATGAGCCTGGGACCGAGGGAAATCACCTGGTCGCCGATGAGTATGGGGATGGTATCGGTATGTACGACGATGACGACGACGATGATTTGGACCACGAACTAGGGCATAGTCATCACGCTGGAGGCTCAGAAGATGGTGACTTAGCGGACGGAGAAGGTGATGATGATCTCTTGGATGACGATGATATGATGGACAAGATCTCGAGCTCCCCATCTATTGACGACGGTGCGTCATGTCCCTTTATACAATCCCCTGTGCTCTGGAATAGGCACAGGCAATTAGACTTGACTTTCTGTCAAAGTTAGCACAAGGTCCTTTCTGACGCCGACTAGAGGATATCGACTTCGAGTTTGTTTATGCGCTTCACAACTTCGTGGCAACTGTTGATGGACAGGCCAATGCGGCGAAGGGCGATACTATGGTCCTTTTGGATGATAGTAATAGTTATTGGTGGCTCGTTCGAATCGTCAAAGACGGTAGCATTGGTAAGTTGGATATTCACATTCTACGAACTGAAGCTTACCGTAAGTAGGGTATCTGCCTGCCGAGCACATAGAAACACCAACAGAAAGATTGGCAAGATTGAATAAACACAGGAATGTTGATGTAGGTGACTCTGTCCCAGCATAAGACCTCGTCTAACCAAAGTAGCTTTCTGCGACGATGCTAGGAGACAATTCGGAAAAGTCTAAGAACCCGTTGAAGAAAGCAATGCGCCGCAGAAATGCGAAAACCGTGACCTTTACTAGTCCGACATACATCGAAGCATCTGACATAGAGTTTTCGACGGATGACGAACTTGACGACGACGTGACTTCTTTGACTGAGGAGGATGGAGTACAAGGAGATGTTGACGACTTACGAGAGAGCGAACAAGAAGACATCGTTGTCGAGCCACTCAGACCAAAGTCGAAGACTTCCGAGGATTTGGAAACCGTACATGAAGCGAAAGAATCCGATCGGGCTAGTCCTGAGAAACAACGATCCAGTGCAGAGTTGTTGGAATCTGAAGGTATGGTCATTCTCTGAATTATAAAGAGAGCCTTATGATCTTCTACTAAAACACGTTAAGGTGAAAACTCTGTCAGCCGTTCAAGAAATGGGACCGTACGGAACACGGATTCATTCTTCAAAGATGATACCGTTGAGACGAAGAAAATATCTCTTACACCAAATCTCCTCCGGGATGAAGTTGCCGGTAATACTATATCCAGCGACGCAAGAGAGGTAGGATATTCCCCCAGATTCCTCAAAAGCTTTCCAGCTGAATCTTGTGCTGACATATTTCCGATTGCAAGACCCGTGGGAGCATGGAGGCTGTCGAAAAAGCCCTCAGTGCGTACGATAAAAACAACAAAGACGACAAAAAGCGCAAGGACAAGAAGCCAGGGATGCTCAGTGGCTTGTTCAAGAGAAAGGACAAAAAGTCTAAGACAGTTGATGAGGACACTGATGAGCCAGAAAAGGTGTCGGGTGAATTGTCTCGATCTTCGCCACAGCCAAAGACATCATCAGAATCTGTTTCGACTTCCGATCCCCGCTCTCCTAACCCTCTCGTGATCCAGAAACAGCCCAGCAAGTTGCAGAAGCAGTCTCCGATTGTCCAGTCTCCCTCAATGAATGATAAGGAACCGGAGCACGTTAGACAAAGATCGATGGAGAGCTATGGCGACGCGAAAACTGTGCAGAACCAAAGGATCGAACAGACTATTCGCCAAGTAGCGTCCGAAGACGATATGCTTCAATCCCCAGTTTCAACGGATCTTCAACAAGATCAGCCTGTGTCCTCTTCCATTCGGTCATCAAGCCCTTTGAAAAAATTAAACACTGCACAGCAGCTAGCATCTCCAACCAAGCCTCATTATTCACCGCACTCTGTGGCCTCTCCGCCACAAAAGTTCCCTCCAAGACAGGGCACGGGATATCAAGATATCCATGCAGAGTCGCCAGTGGATGTCTCTCCGGTAGAAGACCCGTCTTCACCTGATGCGCCGGGAATGATGACGGATCCTCCATCCCCCGGAGGCTTCTCCGTATCCCCAGTATCCCCGCCTCTGTCTCCGGCTGCCGAGAGCACTGGTAGCAAGAATCTCTCTGCGTCGTTCGATGGAAGGTCAGCTGATACACCCACATGGAGCGATGCTAGTCTGCGGTCCTATCTAGACGACGAAAGCGACATCCGCGATTTGTTTATCATCGTTCATGATAACTCTAATGTCCCCCCTGCTGGTCCTGATCACCCAATTACTGGAAGCCTGTTCAAGGACGAGAGCAAGCGGCTGAGGGAAATGAATAGCCAGTTAGACTCGATGCTAGCTGATTGGGTAGGCCGAAAGATGCGAAAGTCGATAAGCAAATGACCATGTCCCTAGGCTTTCGCGTACGTTTCTCAGCTTGAACGCCTCTCCATTATGCAAGTTATATGTTGGCCAGGAGCTAACGATGTGCCGGGCACATGACTTCGGTCGGACCATAAATTTCGATTATTCTCTGTGTTTTTCTACTCATTTACTCAACTTTGTGTTTCCTTATTTGCCTGCTCACTTCATCGCACGAAGCGTGGCAGTGCAGGCATATCTATGGACAACCTAGAATTCCTATCTTCAGCTTGCAGCCTACCCTCGCCCGATTATTTGCGAAGCCGCAAATCTTCCGATAGTCTGTCTTTTCTCGTCTTTCTTTCCTTTGTACCTTTTCTAGCCTTCCTCTATTTCTAGCGATTTCCTGTTTTCCCAAAGAACAAACCCCTGGGAGATACCCTAAGTTACATACGTCTTCTGTCGTCTATACACGTTTTTCTTTCTGTTTCTTCTTAAACTCTTATTTGATACAATAACCAGCGAATTTTACGAAGACATGTTCGATTTTTATACAATTTTACAAAGTAGGTCGTACAGCGGAACTCTTAACATATATTTGGCAGAATCGTAACTCGTCAAATCGTATGTACCTACAATCAGATGCGACCACGACTTCTCCAAGCCCAGATCATATAAAAATAAATTATAAATTATAAATAAAATAAAATTTAGTCCTTCCAAGGCATTAAAATCCACGCATACATACACAAGAAACCCTCCGCCCAAACACGGAGGATACCACCAACACAGCCTCCCCATATACGAAAGTCTCCGTCTGTAGACGGAGATTTCCACCCTTCCAACATTATACAGCGCCCTCCAAAAGCGGATATAAAAGATGGCGTGAGACCCGACAAATAGATTCTACTTCATCACTTACAATCACAATTACAGGCATATTCACAAGAACACTACTTTTTTTCTATCTATCTTACTCTGACTCTTCATATTACCATCATGACTGTGGGCAATCTTCATATTGTTGCTTTCTTCGGCGCCACGGGCGGGTGTGTTTTGGCCTGTTTGGTTCACGCCTTGAAGGCTGGGATTCGGTGTTCGGCTTGTATGTATTGTGTTTTTCTTATTTCTGTTGTTTTCTTGTTTGGACTTTTCTATTTTTGAATTTATGGTGTGTGATTGATTGATTGGGTATGCTGATGATATCTAGTGGTTCGGGATCCAGCCAAGCTTCATGATCTACTGCGTCAACGGGGCTTATCGGAAACAATCACCGCGGAAAAGCTCTCCGTCGTGAAAGGGGACGTCACAGATATCAGCGCAGTGCAACAGACGCTCAGGTACAATGGACAACCTGTTGACATGATCGTCTCCGGGGTCGGCGGCAGGCTGATTTTCACGAACCCGCTCAGACCCAGGCTCGACAACCCGACTATCTGCCAAGATGCCGTTAGGACTATCCTTGCGGCATGCCGAGGATTGGAGAGGAAGCCTGTGCTGGTTGCTATCAGCAGCGTTGGGTTGACTGATAAGAAGCGGGACGCGCCGATTGCTATGGTGCCGCTGAATTACTGGGCGCTTAGGGATCCGCATGCGGACAAGAAGGTTATGGAGGAGATTATTTTTGAGGAGATGAAGAAGCCCGAGGCGGAGAGGGCTATTCGGGATTATGCTCTTGTTCGTCCTAGTTGGTTCATCAATGGGGAGGGGATTGGTTTGGGGGGGATTAGGGATGGTACGGAGGAGTGTCCGGCTATAGGGTATACCATCAGTCGCAATGATGTTGGTCTTTGGATTTATGAGAATTTGGTTCATTGGCCAGTGCAGCTGGATAACCCGTATGTGGGACGGCCGACAACTATCACTGCTTGAGTTGGTGGTGAGAGAATGGAAATGGTTTTGCTTAAGTTGTTTGCGGATTCTGGTCTTGTCTCCTCTCTTTCCTTTTTTAGAAAGCAACTACCCCAAACTTTTTTTTTTTAGTCTTTGTGGTTTCGATATGGTATTTTTTGGCGACTTGAGCGAGATATGTCAACGTCATGTATTCCAACAGTGAGCCCTGATAACAATTTAATACTGGTCAACCGAGATTTAGTTAATCAATTTGGCTAAATAGACTTACAACTACCATGACGGGTTTCAATTGGCTCATGACCCTTGTGTTAGCCTCGTGAAAAGATGAAGTATTGAGTTCCTAGTGCGATTTCGACTGCACATTTGCGGCCTGATATTCAGTACGTCCGAAAGAATAACAGTCTTCAACAACTCCGCCAGGTCACAATGAAAGTTGTTTTTAACTGGATACTACATCGATGGTAGAAGCTGATATCTTCAAGGATAGGCTCTGCAAGAACGGTTGATGTTTACTTCGTTACGTCTCGGTCGTGTGTGCTTCAAGAGTTGCCAGTATAGAGCTCGTCGTAGTAATAGCCAGCCTAGCCCAGCCCAGCAAAAAATTCCTGTCCGTTCGAACTAGGTCATCCGAGCTTGAGCGATGATTGCACTCATAAATGCTTATTAGCTGGCATACAAGGGCCCCGTCTTGTCATCAGGGTTGTTGGCCAATTGTGCCCACAAATCGGTATCAAATTTCAGTTCCGGAGGTTTAAAACCAATAGCGTTGGTAGACGCCGATTCTGTCATATCAGAAGACGTGTAACTAAGCTCGTTAAGGAGGTTATTAGTACTGACGGAACGAAAAGGTAAACCGACCTGGCTATCATGCACCAAATCTAGGCGTTCCCCACTGAGATTACTGTCAAGAAGTAAAGATATCGAGCCCGGCATGTGAAAGAGATCTCGCTCTGTTTCTGTGTTTTGCTTGCTCACCTCTGTGTCCGCACAGTCCCGAGATGGTTGCTCATGAACATTAGTGAATTCATGAAACCCTAGGAGCGAGCCGATAACGGGATCATCCGCCAAAATGAATGGGTCAGTAGTCTCTACTTCACATGGCATACTACCTGACAATGATGACATATGCGTAGGTTTGGCAATGGAGGTGGGGTCAACCAGGAAGTCCTGGGCGATAGATGAGACAGGAATCCCAATAAACCGGTCCTGGATAGGGGAAAACACCGACTGGGACTCCGGTGGGGCCTGCAAGTGTTGAAAGGCCAGTTTTGCCCATTTAAGCCGTTTTTTAATCGGTCGTATCACGGATCCGCATCGCATAACAGCGTCACCTTTACAGACATGGTGGAACTTATCGGCATAGCCTGCTAGCTGTTTTCTCGTTGCTGTGATCATCTTTTGACTATCGATTGAGCCTCGGTTCAGGTGGTCATAAATGCGAACCAGGGCTCTACTACAGGTGTCGAGACCCAGGACCAGCATGCCAGTGAACTCTATCCCCCCTTCCCTCTGTACCGGAATCAGTCCCTTTGCTAGGGATAAAGAGCGTTGCGACAGGGCGAGGAGGGCTGCTGCTGACTGGCAGAAGGCATGGATGACCGTAGATGAGATGTTAGACGGGTTTGGATCCATACCGTTTTTAGAAAATAGCATATGTATGATGATGATATGGTACCCAACCAAGAGGTAAAGCTGTGAAGGCGAGGTCGTATTACGATTCTCGGCAACCTGTACTGCCTGGAGGAGGACGTCCCGGATCTTTGAAGACAGTGTGGGGAGATCAACACAAGACTGAAGGAGATTGTGCAATTGATGAATATGCTGCTCTTGCCATGGGCCACGCGGTACTGCCTTAGCAGGCGTATTGAGATACAAAATGTAAATGTGGGCCACTGTGGTAGAGATATGGCTAAGGGGCCAGAGACAACGTAGGGCTTGAATCTGTGCCGGGAGCGTAGATATATTATCTGATGCCTGATCTAAATGGATCAGAGCCGATGTGGTCTCATCTAGACAGGGGAAATCCGAGATCTCATCGGGGCCGAAGAGCGTCAGGGCGTGGCCAAATTGCATGAAGGCCCAGGAGGTTGTCGATAAACACAACCAGTGAACATTTCGTAAGATCTCTTTCTTGACCATGCCGATCTCAACTCCGTTCAGTTTTACGCTGTCCATCCCTGTATTTATCTTCCATGTCTTGCCTAAGCGGGAGGCCATGTAGCAAGAATAGCCCACTATGCATGTTGCCCGCCGAGCGTGGCCCAAGCACAGCTCCCTCCATGCCATGAGAAACAAAGCTTGTAAGGTGGACAGAGTTGCAGTGTCGCTAAGTGGCAGTCGGCGTTGTTTAAGCTGTGCGGCAGCAAACTCAAACAACCTCTGGGATTCATCATTTATAGTCCCATCCTGCTCGATAGAACCGCCTTGAACATGACACGCATCAGCCAAAATAATCGCCAACAGAGCCTTGTCCACCGTTTCATCCTTAACGTCACCAATAAGCAGTGTCTTTGATACCAGTGGCGACAGAGGATGCCCGGAATACCACAAGTCAATTAACTGCAAAATGCGATGTTTTCCAAGGTCTTCTAAAGGATTTGGATTATGTGGATGGTCGAACATGGACAATGTGGTGTCAGCCGCCAGACTGGCGAGGAAGAAGTTTCGGTTTGCCTCATCTGGCTGTCCACATCTCAAAGAGTCAACGCGCAGTAATAGCATTTCCAGCATCTCTTGGGCTATGGCGGATAATAGCCCATCATAGTTCAAGCGATGGTGTGTAGGATGGCTAGGGTGTGTTTCGGCAAACGGCTGCTGGTGGCGTCTCTGGAAAAGTGTTATAGATTCCTGAAGAAGGTTGGATTCCGATCCAATTTTGCTAATGAAATAATCATCAAACATCTGCTCCAGGTCGGTACCCAGTGTGTGGATTTTGGTGAGGGCTGCAGGTGCGTGATTGTTTACTGAATCGTCACCCCTACCACCGGCCAGTGAGGCGTTGACCGACGTCGTATGTTGCTTCTTGTCGCGCTTGCTATTACCGGAGTTGGGGGTGCGCTGGTCCTCCACCCCTTTGCGCTTGGGCCGACCCTTGCGGGCTTCAGGGGCATAGATGCAGTTGATATTTCGGTCTCGACAAGCCCCACAGATGCGCCCACCAGTACATCGAATCTTCCGGCCTCGACAAAAGACACAGCTCTGCCGTAAGCTAGATGTCCCTGGATAAGTGAATTAGTCGGCGGGCGCTTCATGATATTAGAAACGCCAGTGAAGAAAGCGCGGGATCAAGGCTCAGCATACTAATTTGTGTCTCCATCTTGACTGTGACTTCAAAGGCGTGCTACTAGTGGTTGGCCACTTCTAGCAAAGTACGGGTGTCGTGGCGTTGATGTTGTCGCCTGTAAGACTTACGAAAGCTCAAGCTTGCGGAGGTGGTAAATCAACGATGACCAATTTTGCGATACTGCTGGTATGTTCCCAGCAGCATATTGCACAAAAAGATAAGTAAAAATTCCGGAAACATGAAAAGAAAGGAGATAATCTGACAAGGTTGAACGGAACGTGATTTAGACCCCACTCGGCTTAGCCGCTTCCTCATCACCAAACAGGTGGGTAAATTGATGTTGTAGTGAAGCCAGTTATGAGGGTTGTACTGTAGTAAATCTAACTATAGAGAGTTTAACTAATTTTTTGCTAAACGAAAATAATAGGAAAGCCATAGTAATAGAATCTAGGATAGGCATTAAAGATAGAGTGAAGAATAAATTTGATATACTTAATACTCCATGATATTGATACGTCTTAGTAATGTTCTAGATCCTAGTCATGTTTCATAATTTTAGTAAATGGAGAACCTATCCCATCTATATGACAGAAATAATCAAAGAACGGCATGGTGATTCAGTCTGAAAGGTGTGTGGTACTAATGATATGCCGGCCCCATGTGTATAAACTCGAAATCATGGATAATGAATCCTATAGGAAGCTGCAAGATCTTCTATGATAATTAGACTACGACTAATCTTTTTACTAGCGTTATAAACACTCCGTGTACATATTTTTACCAGATTATGGATATAAGATAGAAGAGATCACTTAAAGACTATCACTGGAGCGAGCATTGCTTTGGCTTGCAGTCAAGTCAAGACTGGGTTAGAATAACTAGCAATATCGACTTCTCTCCCCTTTCTCAGACAAGTCAACCTAAATATTGTCCAAAATTCTAGGCTCTAGGTAGTAGCATTGAGCGGCAGGTTCATATCTCAAATGTGCCCAAATCATCACCCTGTGAGCATTTAGTCATTGGATCGGGTCACTTGTGTTTCATGATTACCTTTAGACATTTTGTCATCCTAGCGTCTCTCAATGTTGAAGGCTTGGAGCTATAACACAAAAAAAAGTTACTCATACACAGGCCTGATGTTGGCCCAGAGTCTTTCTAAGTCAACAGGCGTTTCCACTTGATGACCCGTAAGTCATTTTGTCGATCTCTCTTCTGAGCCTTAGGTTCAGGTGGTCTGTGGATAAACACTGCAAGTAAGTTACCTCTATTGTATTTATAGTTTCTAGGACCGAGACTAAAAAGATTTGGTCTGGCTGTCCTGATATAGGCACCTTGGCTGGAAATTCGGGTGATTACTAGTAGGGAGTGATCAAGACACGCACTTCTGCGCTCCATTCACGATCCAGTGAGCAAGACATAGCACCACGTTAGGCAGAATCCAAAAATAAAAGGAACATAGAAACTGGTAGCTATCTGTCAGAACTGCTCTACTGCAATCTGCTACAGAGCTGCTTCTACCGAAATCTAGCTAGCTAAGTGTATACTATACAATACTGGGAACTGCCACTTGATATCCTCTTGGCGGAAAGTCGTGCGAGAAGGTCAGCTGCGCAGTACGAAACAATGCATGCTGATGGTCATTAGGCAGTTGACCCAGACTTCATGCCTCCTTGAACAAAAGGATTAACAAGATTTATTAACTGACTTCTCTCCCTCGAAGCACAAAGTACAAAATGCTATCTGCCATCTACTCCTCACCCCACTTTCAGGATGTCTGACCCTTATACCCAACACCCACACTATACGTCTCCTGTCCCAGGAGCCGATGCGAGCGTTTACACGCCCGCAGATAGTTCATACCAAAACCCTCCGTACGACTATGACCCTCAGCACCCATATGGGCAGCAATATCCTCCGAGTCAAAACTACCAGTATGTTTCACATTATGATTTGACGCAGACGCCGAAGTCTCATCCGCCCCAAGCTTCGGGACCGGATCTCAGTCCGACTGCGGAATTCCAACAAGTTGGAAGGCAACAAGGAAGTAACGCTGATTATTAGTACGCTGTCCTTGTATAGCAGCCATTATCATGGATTTAAGCTAACATGTCTTAGTAATATAAGCGCAAGCGAACATGATCAGTACTATACTCCGAACTCCCAAACCCAAGAACCTGCCAGTACTTCCAACGAAGAGGGGGATGAACGCAGCCTTGCAGGAACTCTTGTCGGCGGAGCAGGAGGCTACTATCTGGGACACCAAGCGGAACATGGTCTTCTGGGAGCCGTGGGCGGCGCGATACTGGGGAACCTCATTGGAGACAAGATGGAGGACAAGACAGAAGATGATAACCATGATCACCATCATGGCCGTCATCATCGTCACAAGCACCGCCATAGCCACCACGGCCATCGTCATCATAGTCATAGTCATAGCCATAGCCATCATCGCCATCACCGCAGCCACTCTCGGCATGGTAGCCATAGCGGCAGCTACTGATATGGAAGGCGTGTTCATGCTACGAGGTGCAATCAGTAGAAAGTCATAAAGGCTCGGGGAGATTGTTCCTGATGCTTCATAACGTGAAGACTCTTTCATGATTCCGAAACTCATATTTCTGGCTGGTTTAGACGCTACGGATTAATTGGGCAGCTATACATGCTTAGTTCTCTTCTCACTGCCCTAGAGCTTGTCAATGCCTTTTATGTATGATAAATTCCAACGGCCTTAATTCCAATCTCTCCTCACTCCCTTAAACCACATAGCACTCTATCTCCTTCTTCATCATATCCACTGGAACTTGAATCTCCGTCGCAAAAGCGGGATCTCTTATGATCCAATAATGGGACCAGGGAGTAACTTCGCAAAGCTTCTAAAGAAAAATGGTATCTCATCCCATCCACTGCTAATTATCGGAAGAAGGCTGATGAGTAAATAGCAAGTCTAAGAACTAATCTATCTTATCGTGGAAATAAGATACTTTTTCCCCGCAAAGTACGTAAATCGTAATGGGGCCAACCCCCACATGTTCACTCTGTCGCATATGGATTGATACGAAACGATATTTAAAACAGACAGGAGGGGGAAGTAAAGTAAATGTAGAAACTGGGTAGTGGGAGAGAGGTCATCTTGATATTTGCATCAAGTCCAGGAAGGGTCACTTCATTGTTCCCCGCGGTCCCCGTGATCGCACAGGTGGAAGATCATCCGCCGCCGGAAACCGGAGTGGACAAGGGTCCCCGATGAAGTTGGGACCAATCAGCTGGGGGAGATATGGATCTCTTATCAAGTCCAGTCGACATAGCTGATCTCCAAGTCTCTCATGACCTAATCGGGGACGGAGTGTGACTCGTTCTGCATACCATATCTCAAGCAGTTCAACCCCCTACTACTCCTACCTCCTGACACCCTTTTCCCTTGCCTTTTCCTGCTTTCTCGCTTCCTACTTCTCCGGATTTTCTCTTATATTTCCCTTTGTTCCGCAGGACGACTTTCATCACACTGCATAGGCGGGCATATCGTACATACCCCCAGGGATCGCTCCTTCGCCCGTTCACCCGTTCACCTGATCATCTCACGGTGTCGTGTCTCTATACACCTCGATAACACGTTCCCCCTTCCTAGCGGTACAGACCATCCTTCCCAGCGTCTGTAGAACTCAGCGAACCCTAGAATATGCCTCCTCCTCTACTACAGCATATTACTCAAGCACTGCCACCCCAGTGTGAGCCGTCGTCGCCCTTCTTGGTGGCCATTTCCTCATATCTACACACCTGCATACCGACGCCGCTTGCTCTCATATCGTCGATCTTGGGTACCCTCAGTATTATCTCGTGGCTGTTTGCACAACTCCCGCAAATATACAAGAATATTCAGCTGCAATCTACGTCGGGTTTATCCCTCTTTTTCCTTGTTGAGTGGTGCTTGGGAGATACTAGCAACCTGTTCGGCGCTTTACTTACTCGACAAGCCACTTGGCAAGTCATCATTGCGAGCTACTACGTGCTGGTCGATGCCACGCTTGTCTTTCAGTTTTTCTGGTACACACATATCAAAGGGCGCAGTGAAGGCTACCGCAGTCTCTCTCGCTCACATCATGATGATGGAACTAGCGGTGTGTTAGAGGGGTTGTCCTTTTCCGAAAACGACTCTATCACCCAGGCCCCGTCAGAGTCTCCAATCAGTTCTGACGCAAAAGATATGAAAGGTCTCAAGGAGCCTATCTTCGGTTCTTTCAACGGCCAGTCGCCGTCGTATTCAAACGAGAAAATGAGCTCATCCCGTCGACCAATGGTCAGGAAAAGCAGCGGACCTAGTCTACCTATTGCCTCTACGCGCACAATGCTATTAGCGTCGATGCTCTGCGCCATCGTTGCGAATGCCACACCAACCGAGCCGCCCAACGAACCACGTTCCTCTCTTCTCAACCTCGAGTTACTCGGCCGGATTTTCTCGTGGATGTCAACAGTCCTATATCTTTTCTCACGCCCACCCCAACTATACAAGAACTACCAGCGCAAGAGCACATCGGGTCTATCCCCACTGCTCTTCATGGCCGCATTCGGCGGAAACTTCTTCTACTCCACATCCCTTTTAACAAACCCAAACGCCTGGTACGACTACCCCCCGTACGGAGGCGGCGGATGGGCCGATGCCGACGGCAACAACCGCGTCGAATGGGTAGGCCGAGCCATCCCCTTTTTCCTGGGGGCGTTCGGCGTCCTCTTCTTCGACGGTTTCATGGGCGTGCAGTTCCTAATGTACGGCACGCGAGACGACGAATCAATCATGGAGATCGAAGATCCGAAGCACGGACGTAGTCGCTGGATGCGAGTCCGCGGCTGGATGAGAGGCTGGATCCCCTCCGTATCCCCCGAACAGGGTGTTCGCCATCACCGGACCCCTACAGAGAGCCAGGCTCTTTTAGAAGAAGACTGCGATAGATACGGCACAGTTTGATCGGTTAGAAAGACCTCGCGTCGTATAGTCGTCTCGAACTCCTTCGTTATCTTTCATTTTACCCTTCTCGACGCTTCGTCAAGCAGATATAAACTCTTTTCATGATTTTAACGATCTTTCCGCCCGATGGGCTTTATTCTTTTCATTCATTCAACATTCTCGGGTTTCAATTGGCTGGTTTCTCATTGTTTGGCGTCTTTGGTTCTCTCTTTTTTCTTTTTTATAAATATCGCTGGACGTTGTTGGTTTCAGGATAGGGCTTAGGCTGAGGTCAGAGATACCTATAGAGGGATATCCTAGAAACAGATGACATAAGGTCACACCACCATTCAGTCGGCGTACCGGGTTTACATTATATCCTGGTCTCCAGGGTTCATTGGGATAGATATCTGCATAAGGGGGTGCATACATAGCCTACCTCCATAGTGGGTGCGACGAATATCATATTAATATACTATTCATTGGTTTGGGACAGTAACACATAATATCATCACATTAAATTCCTAGCTATATATGTGAAGTAACAAATAGGTTCAATAAGAATGTATTAACAATCATCTAAGTATAGACGTTCATATATGCCCAACGAAGCGATCTGTTGCGCCCCCACCACTCATCATACTCATTAGGTCACAATTGTGTGGCCCCGTGCCTTTGAACAATAACAAGCTTGGTCTCGTCCCCTCCTCCAGCACTTGGTGGGGGGCGTTAGCCAGCGGATGTCTATAAGGTAACAGTGAAAGGAAGGGGCCAGAAGAAAGAAAGGGGGATGAAGTTAGAAGGGGTACAAGCTCCAGCCAACACCTGTCACATTGACAGAGAAGCGGACAGATACGTGAGAAGTTGCTGGCCGGCTGTCGAAGTTTCAAAAAGCGTATTCATGTCTTATCAGGGATTCGTGACTTTGTTTTTCGAGACCTGAGGGTCATTCCATGACGAATGCAGAGGGAAAGTCGTGATAAGAATGCATACAGAACCCAGGAACGATTGCCTAATGATACATAGCAAGCGTGAAGCAATGATGGATCCGTCAACCTGCGACGCGGCATGACCAGCATCGACCGAGTTCGCAGGCTAGCCCCTTAAGATTTATGCAACAGTACCCAATGCGATCGTGACGAATTAAAACAACGGGCCTTTGACGTCTTGGACACCACGCCTGATAACATCTTCGATACGCCACCGAGGAGGGACAACAGGGTGCCGCTTATGATGCCATTCCTTCTCAATCTCTGGGGGAGAAGTCAGGTCCTCGTTCGATGGAAGGGCGCCGCCAGCAACACCAGTCGAGAATTTGAGCTGCAGTACATTGCCAATTTCATCGCAAGCTGTTAACACTCGGTCGAGATCTTCCTTGGTATGGGAAGCAGAGACGCAGAAACGGGCACGGGAGGATACCAAGGGAGTAGCAGGATAACCGACGACCACAACAGAAATTTTCCGCCTCAACATCTCGTGGGAGAAGGCAGGCATCTTAGCAGGGTTGAAGAGCAATATTGGTACAATTGGTGAATCGTCATGGCCGTATACTATAAAGCCAAGACGCTTCAGACCCAGGCGGAGATACCGAGAGTTGAAGGCCAGGCGCTGCAGCCGCTCTTCACCTTGACCTGGGATGATTTCACCGTTGATGATACGAAGAGCGGAGGAGATTTGGGCCAGGATCGCCGGGGCCGGCGATTCTCCATAGATTACTCCAGAGTTAGCTGCACGAAGTTGTTCAATCATAACCTTGTCGGCAGCGATATACCCTCCATTAGCACCGAAAGACTTTGTGAAAGTTCCCATAAGTATATCCACTTCATTCGTATCGATGCTGAAGTAGTCACAAACACCTCGACCTTTCGGTCCAATAGCACCGATAGAATGCGCCTCGTCAACGAACAGATGGAATTTGTAGCGCCGTTTCAATGAGACCAAGCCAGGAAGGTTGCACATTGACCCTTCCATCGAATAGAGACCTTCCACGACAACCAAGATCTTTTTCCAGGGTCGATGAGTACGGGGCTGGCCTTGACTGATAGCCTCCCGGAGCTTGACTTCCAAGTCCTTCATGTCGTTGTGTTTGAACATGCCGATGGAAGCTCCGGAAAGACGCGCACCGAAGCGAATCGACGCGTGATTCAGTTCATCGGATATAATAAGGCAGCCTTTGCTAACCAAGGCAGGGAAAATGTTTGCGTTAGTGCCAAATCCCATTGAGAAAACCATTGACGCTTCTTTGCCCACAAATTTGGCGACGAGATCCTCAACTTCTGTGTGAAGGTCTTGAGTTCCAACTTCCGCTCGGGTACTGGGAGCTGTGATGCCATATTTCCGGATTGACTCCTCGGCGATGTCCGCGCATGGGCCTTCGGACTGAGCAAATCCAAGGTAGTTGTATGAACTGAGGTTCAGAGTATCGGTGGTAGTTCCAGTGAAATAAAAGTGGTGGTTGTGGTCATCGGTTGCACGGTCAATCAGCGTGATGTTTCTGCCCGGAACGCCTGTGACGGGGCGTTCAAAACAGTCATTGATGCGCAGCTTGAGGCGGCGAACATAAAAGTTATCGAAGTCGCTGTTCAGGGCACCATATCCATTCCGAGGTTTCAAGTGCCGGTAGTTCTCTTCACGGAAGCGTTTTCCAAAGAAGTCACGGACATGTCCAAATGCAATTAGGATTAAGTAACTAATGTAGGTGGTGAGAAGGTAATAATAGGGGGGCTCGTCCATTATCGGCTCGGGAAATACACCGCCAGGATGTTGACTGGAGTAGCGGTGGCTGGGATGGCCGATGGGGCCAAACTGGGCATGCTGCTTAGCCTGGCGACGGGCCTCTTCAGGCGACGGAGGCTGAAATAGCGTGGTTGGTGGTTCGTCCATGTTAGGGTTACCGGCGGTAGCAGTAGAGAGAGAAATAGTCGGTAACGACAGTGAAGCTGAGCTGATCGAAGCGGAGTGAGGATTCCCACTAGCTCCTCCTTTGATAACTGCGTTCGTAGGCTGGGTCTCGGACTTCGGCTTAGGGGAAGTTGAAAATAATTGGCTCAGGAGATTGGGTTTGGTCGAGGATGTCTTGAAGGCGATACCGCCTTTTCCAGAGTTGGATGGAAAGGACTGCGCGTTGGAGGGGTCGTTGGCGGAAGAGGAGTTGATGGATCGACGAGGCATTGCAAGGAAACCACCAGTCGGAAACAATCAAGGTCGTGGAAACACCGATAGGGGGTAGAAAGAAACTTCTACCACGTTTTCGGAAAGCGTGAAAAGATCAGGTAGAGAGGCTACTTGAGGAAGAGGGAAATGGATGTCCAACGCGAGAGTTGTCCTTGTTGACCAGTCCTCCTTCACTTCCAAGGTGTCTCAGAAGAAGGAAATGACACCAGGACAGCGATGACGATCTGGAGTACCCGTAGGAAAGCAGTCAGCCACGATCCAGACCAATACGCGTGTGAGTAGGCAAGAGACGTGAGGAGTGATCAAGACGATAGGACGAAAAGAGGATTGTGGAAGGGTAGGAGAGAAATGAGTGAACTCAGCTCCGAGCAATCCGAAGTGATGGTCCTGTAATTTCAGTTGTAATGTAAGGCACAGACCTTTGGCACGTGGAACTAGAGGGCACGGAGCCCTTAGGTGGTAGATCGCAAAATCGATCTCTTGCTGTCCAGGTTAATTGGGGCGGGTGAATGAAATACTAAGGAAACGGAGATGAGAAGAGAGGGGGAAAAAGAGTAAAAGAATAAGTAACATGCTTTAACCATTATTCTTTACCCTGGATTGATCCAAGCGTTGGGAGGAAAAAAAAAAAGGACTTTTCGAGAGTGGATCTTCTAGACCAAATGGTATCCAACTGAGGACCCATCGTATCATACGGTATGATCTCATTGCCCCTGGTTTGCTTTGCCTCTCCAGTGGTGGTTTGCCTCGGATGGCCTGGTTATGATACAGTAAATTACCGCCCCCCTGAGCCCTCTTTTTTTTTTTTTTTTTCCGGCTCCTATTCCCTCATGTAATCAAAATCTCCAGAAAGGGGCAACGCAAGGTGTTTCTACTGAACACTGAGTAACAAATCTAGTACAGTTGCTGCAGTGTCTCAAGTCTTATACACCTACACGGTCTAGGTACCAGTTAGTGTCTAAATCAAAGCAATGGCAGCTAAGCCGGTTCTTATTGATATCATATTTCTACATATCATACTTACTCTGCTCCATACTCAGATATGAGTTCTTATGTTTGCCAGAGTGAATGCCTAAGGTTGGAGCTTTCATTATTGAACGAATAGACCACTATCCGATTTACTAGTCCAGTCTCAGTCTCAGTATTCTTGAACTATCTACTTGATATATTTAAATAATAAGTATATTGATCATAGACTGACGGGTAAAGGCGGGGGGGTTCTCGCCCTTCTTTCTCCGGAACCTCCCGCCCCACGATTCCCATGTCTACTAGACCTACCATATAGATTTACAATACTCCGTGCCGGTCATTTCCTTTCAAACACCAGGTCAGGAAGTTAGTGAATAACTCAATTGTACTTCGTGCCAAAGACTGGCTCTCAAGGTTTTTAAAGCCGAGGTACTATTAGTGCCTGTCACCCGGCCGGCTGTGCCTATTCGATTGACTCATCGCCTACTGTTAAAGGGAGCGATCAAAGAGAGCGCAACTCTCTAGGGCATATATCAATCTTAAGACCATGTCCTCTAATGGGTGCTCTTTGGGTTCAAAAGAACTATGGCGGCATTCCACCCCGCAGGACACTCAGATATACAACTTCATGAAGAAGCTAAATGCAGACCTCGGGCTGTCTTTGAATAATTACCAGGACCTTTGGCATTGGAGTGTCTCGGAGCCTGCTAAGTTCTGGGAGCAGATATGGCACTATACGGCGATTAAGTTCCATAAGCCATATAATCGTGTGAGTACTCACAGTTCTCATGCCATGGTCTACATGACTTTGGCTGTGGCCACCTCGCAATAAAGTCTCTAACAAATAGTACAGGTCCTAGAATCGGACCAAGTCCTCTTCCCTAGGCCAAATTTTTTCGAGGGAAGCAAGTTGAATTTCGCCGAGAACCTTCTCTACCCAGCTAGCGCACCGGATGAAAACTCAGTGGCAATAATTGCTGCTACAGAGTCGGAACGAGAGCATGTCTCGTGGAAGGAGCTGCGCGAGCGCGTCCGACAATGTGCGAATTCATTGAAGGAAGCGGGCTTACAGACAGGGGATCGTGTGGCAGGGTTTCTAGGGAATCATGTCAATACCGTTGTTGCAATGCTGGCGACAACGTCCATAGGAGCCTTTTGGACAGGTGTTTCCCCGGACACGGGTGTACACGCAGTGCTGGAGCGGTTGAAGCAAATAGAACCAAAAGTCCTATTCGCCGACAATGCTTCTTTATATAATGGCAAAGTTCATGGGGCGGAAACCAAGATCCGTCAAATCGTTCCAGGATTGCCAAATCTTGAGCTGCTTGTTGTGTTCGAGACAGTCAAGTCCCATCAGATCAGTCTGGAGGATCTGCCACCTACCCAGGGCAAAGTGTCTACGTACGAGTCGTTTTTGTCTGCTGCTAGCAATCTTTCGGCTCCTCTCGAGTTTGCAAGCTTAGAACCTAGTCACCCCATTTACATACTGTACTCGTCTGGTACAACAGGCGCCCCAAAACCTATTGTCCATGGGTCGCTCGGAACCTTGTTGCAGCATAAGAAAGAGCATGTGCTCCATTGCGATATTCGCCCTGGAGACCGCCTGTTCTATTTTACGACTGTCACCTGGATGATGTGGCATTGGCTAGTGTCCGGGCTGGCCAGTGGTGCTACCATCGTCTTGTATGATGGATCCCCTTTTCGGCCATTTGACTCTGAAGGGGGACATGGAGAAATGGCCATGCCGCGCCTCATTGATGAGTTGAAAATAACACACTTTGGGACGTCTGCAAAGTACCTGTCCGTCTTGGAGCAGGCTTCACTGAATCCGCGGAAACACCCCCACCGGCCGGTAACGCTGCAAACATTGAGAGCGATATTTAGCACTGGCTCTCCACTGGCGCCCTCAACTTTCGAATACGTCTACTCGTCTATTCACCCTGACATCATGCTGGGTTCAATTACAGGTGGAACTGATATTCTGTCACTGTTCTGCGGCAGCTGCCCCATTTTGCCGGTTTTCAAGGGTGAAATTCAATGCCGCTGTCTAGCGATGGCCGTTTCTGTATGCGACTATGCAGGTAACGACATCAGCGCCTCTGGCGAACCTGGGGATCTTGTTTGCACAAAGCCTTTCCCTGCACAACCGGTCATGTTCTGGCCACCCGGTGCTATTGGGGCAGAGAAATACCGTAAGAGTTACTTTGACGTTTTTGGGCCATCGATCTGGCATCATGGAGACTTTGTGCGCCTCAATCCTCAGACTGGAGGGGTATTCATGCTAGGTCGTAGTGACGGCGTCCTGAAACCAGCCGGGGTAAGGTTCGGAAGCGCAGAAATCTACAACGTCCTCCTCAAACACTTTGCGGAGGAGGTAGAGGATTCCTTATGTATTGGACGGAGGCGAGAAGGGATCGATCCTGACGAAACAGTCGTCCTTTTCGTGAAGCTGGCGTCGCAAGGCAAGACCATGCCGCCCGACCTTGCGGCACGTATTCAAGCTACGATCCGCAAGGAGCTTAGCCCTCGTCATGTCCCAGGGGTAGTTGACGCTTGCCCGGAAATTCCCGTCACTTCCAATGGCAAGAAGGTTGAAAACGCCGTGAAACAGATCTTGTGCGGGTTGAATATCAAAATTGGCGCCAGTGTTGCGAACGCCTCTTGTCTTGACTGGTATGCAGCATGGGCAACGGAGAATCCGTAGTGTCTTGATTGATACACATGTAAAACCAATTGTATATCGGTAAAAAAGCTTACTCGATAGAAATAGAATGGGATAGACGTGATGGTGGCTTAAAATAAGTAGTTCATTGTTCTCCTTAGTGGACACAGTATTAGTGAGTACAGTACGACAAATCCAGGACTGGTATAATTGCGAGAAGAGAGAGTGTGTGTATGTGTGTGTGAAACAAAGGCCATCTACGATTTTGCCACAATTGAATCCATGATCTAGGCAAGACTACTGAAAATTTTTCAGGAAGTATTACAGCATCGTTGGTTGTTTAATTTGATGAAAAGTGCTGCTCCAGACCTGATTAGATAAGCCATGGATTCTCCGCTTTAATCCAAATCCTTGCGGTGGTCTCCGGAAAACAGCTTTCTCGGACAACACAAGGAACACTTGAATTCAGTCGCCTCCGAACTCATTGAATTCAAGGTTGACAAGATGCGCCGCTCAGTATTACGCGCAGTTGATTCAGCGAAGCCACTCGCCCGCGCGCCTCGCTCTGTTTCAAGAAGCTTCGCTACTCTCAATGAGGCTGGTTCTAAGGTAATGCCGAAATGACTTGGTGTCGTTTGATCCAGTCTTCTCAACTAACCCCTTGTCCTTTTCAATTACATAGGATCCCGTTGAATTAGATCAGATCACCACTCTGCCCAATGGAATCCGTGTCGCTACCGAGTCTTTGCCAGGACCTTTCTCTGGTGTCGGGGTTTACGTCGACGCTGGTTCTCGATACGAAGATGACAGCTTACGCGGAGTTAGCCACATAATGGATCGGTTGGCCTTCAAGTCGACTAAGAAGCGGTCTAGCGATGACATGCTTGAAACCCTTGAGGGCCTCGGAGGAAACATTCAGTGCGCTTCTTCCCGAGAATCGCTGATGTACCAGTCCGCTAGCTTTAATTCGGCTGTCCCCACGACTCTGGGCCTTCTGGCAGAAACAATTCGTGATCCCCTCATCACAGAGGATGAAGTGCTCCAGCAGCTGGATACGGCAGAATATGAAATTGGCGAGATTTGGGCTAAGCCGGAGCTCATCCTGCCAGAGCTAGTACATATGGCCGCCTACAAGAATAACACGTTAGGAAATCCTCTGCTGTGTCCACAGGAGAGACTAGGAGAGATCAATAAGGCGGTTGTCGAAAAGTATCGAGAGGTTTTCTTCAACCCTGACAGGATGGTCGTTGCGTTCGCCGGTGTACCGCATGACGTGGCTGTCAAACTCACGGAGCAGTACTTCGGTGACATGCAGAATCATACGTCGAGCAGCGGCCCTTCTCTGTCGGGAACCGGTATTGATACTACTTTGTCCTACTCTAAGTCGGCCATCGAAGAGGGGCAGGTGCCTACGATTCCCCAGTTCACGCCGTCCTCAACCACTTCGACTACCCCTACTTCCCCAAAGTCCGAGTCTGGTCTCTTTTCCAAACTTCCGTTCCTCAAGAATCTCTCCGGATCACAGAATAGCTCGGCGGCATCAATGAACCCTTCATCGGCGATGTCAAACCTGACGCGGGCTGCTCATTATACTGGAGGCTTCCTTTCCCTTCCTCCAATCCCTCCTCCAGCGAACCCCGCCCTTCCTCGTTTGAGCCATATACACCTTGCCTTCGAGGCTCTTCCCATTTCGAACCCTGATATCTATGCTCTTGCAACCCTCCAGACACTGCTCGGTGGTGGCGGATCGTTCTCCGCTGGTGGTCCTGGCAAGGGTATGTACTCACGTCTCTACACGAACGTGTTGAATCAGCACGGATGGGTTGAGAGCTGCATCGCTTTCAACCACAGTTATACCGACAGCGGAATTTTTGGAATCTCTGCATCATGCAGTCCTACTCGGACAACCGAGATGCTTGAAGTGATGTGCCGTGAACTGCAGGCACTAACCCTTGACAACGGATACACAGCTCTGCAGGCCCAGGAAGTCAACCGTGCAAAGAATCAGCTCCGCTCCTCTCTTCTCATGAACCTGGAGTCGCGCATGGTTGAACTGGAAGACCTCGGACGCCAGGTTCAGGTGCATGGCCGGAAGGTTGGTGTGAAGGAGATGTGCGATCATATTGAAGCATTGACTGTGGAAGATTTGCGCCGGGTTGCTCGGCAAGTCTTTGGCGGTAATGTTCAGAACAAGGGACAGGGTACCGGTAAGCCGACCGTTGTTCTACAGGAAGGCGAACTGGAGGGATATAAACTTCGGTCTTTCCCTTGGGAGGAAATTCAAGAAAGAATTGCTAGATGGAAGCTGGGAAGACGGTAAATCGGGGCAGAGTCGTTGTAAGGAATAGATAGTCGCTGCTAATTGTATAGTATAGTTAAGAGACGGGCGTAAACCCCGGCATTTTTCTTCCCTCTATGTAATTAAAATATTCATGTGTACCAAAATACTATACTCTACTAATAGATGAAAGAAGAAAAACCTACCTGTATGGCAATAATTCATTTGATGGGGCATAATATGAATCCTGGGGCCGCAATTCATTGCCGCTTTTAGCTCCGTTTGGCTAGGGAAAAAAGTTGGAACGGACGACGTCGAATCCGCAATCCTCTCAATTTACCCATCAATCTCCGTCACTTCAACCTCCACTCCATCCAACACCGCACGCCGTCAATTCACTTTATTTATTCGCATATTTTATAATCCTCAATTTAATCAACCAGCAACAGTCAAAATGGTTCAGCTCACAGAAGTCGAGGACGAGCACTACGCCCAGGAGAAGCCTCAGGTCACCAAGAATAATGTCCTTCTTGCCTCGGATGATGAGGACGAAGACTACACTGATACCGGTTAGTACTCTGGTGTTCTCATTCGGGTTTTATCAAATTGAGGCTACCGCCCCGTGTGGGCAAGACAAACACGCTTGCTCCCAGCATATGCGTTTCCGGCGACACTTTTCTATGTTGGCCATGCTGGAACCAAGCACCGGGCGTAGCCACCTCGGTTCCAGCTTGACAAACACATAGTTCAATCAACATTCTAACATATGTTATGAAAATAGAGTCTGAGATCTCCGAAGACTCCGATGTCGAGCTCGATGGCGAGACCATGTACGAGCGTCTGTCCGCCTTGAAAGATATCATCCCTCCCTCCGCCCGCCGCCAGTTCAACAGCACAGTTTCCGCCGTCACTTCTTTCACAAAGTCCAGTCTCATGTTCAGCGGTCGCGCATTGTGGGTTATCAGCACCAGTGCTTTCCTTGTCGGTATCCCATTCGCTCTTGCCTATGCGGAAGAAGAGCAGTATGTGCAGATGGAGCGCGAGCAGGGTATGATCAAGGGTGCCAATGAGGTAGGTCATACTTGGAATCCTGTGATTGTTTTCGTTTCCTCTGCTTGGTCATCGATATCACCGCCATTCTTTACCTTACTATTCGATTGCGCCCAACATCCCGGACGCGTGAAAACTCTTTTACCCATCGACAACGACGCCAACAAGGTGGAATCACTCATGTTTTAAATCTTTCGATTTTTCTATTGATTGATCTTATGTTTTTAACGACATATGCTGTGAATGAATGCTAACGAACCCTTTTTTTTTGCAGATGCTCGCCCCCGGTGTGACTGAGGAGCAGAAGCAGGCTCAACCTACTCTGTAAATGGACCTCGCTACTAAAGGCAAAGGCCGCAGCAGGTAGCATTGACCAGCCGTCAACAGTCTTAACCTATAGTCTATACTCGAACCGCCTGTTGCTGTAAAGCCTACAGCATTATACGTCATCGGTCTGCCTAGGGCGGAATAGCCGATATGTCAAACAATGACTCTTGGTGTTCCCGATATACATGAATCAAACCATGGTTGAATGGAAAAAAAAAGGTCTTGAAAACGAAACGGTAGGCATATCCGCTTGCGTTTTGACAAGGGTATACGAAAAAAACATGATATTAAACAATCACCTGCGGTTTCCAAAATATAATTCACGGGTTTGGGCCGACGTGGCAATTAAAAAAAGCAGTGGACTTAATGGTTATGGACATGGCTTTCATCCACCTGTCATTTTCGGAGTCTTTGATCCTTCTTTGTACCTCTTTTTTCTCCCCTCATGCCTCTTGTTTCTGGAAATCCTGGAGCGGGCAATGCATGTATCTGTATAACTTATACTTATTCCTTTTCTTTTTTCCGTTTCGTTGATGTTTTGTCTTACTTATTTTATCGATATATGTTTCTGAATAATGGAACGTGAATGATTATAGAAGTATCATAATGGGGGTTATATTGAAATCCAAAGGGTGTGTAAATACGTAGAACTAATGGTTTCATCATGCTAGAAATGTAGTAGAGAAGCACAACAAGCTAAGCACAGAAGAGCGCTCCGACGAATTTCGCAAGTCATGCCGGATGTGGGTATCAACATAGCGACGTTGCAAGAAAAGATCCACCCAGGTAGTTAAAAGGCAGAGAAATAAAGATAACATGAAAGGAATGATTAATCTAGGCGTGTATGGTGCAAGGTTAAGGGATAAAGCTAAAAGCTCCAATCGAGAGGAAAGCTTATAAAGTGGGAAGTAAAGTTATGAACAGGAAGGAGATAGGCAAGGCGAAGAATACGAGAGTTTGGTAATGTCACTATCCAAGTGTCTAGGATGTGCGTTAGTCCACATTCCTATGGAGGGTGTAGTGATATTTTGACGGAAGGGTCATACCATTGATTCTCTCGCCGCTCTTAAATTAATATGGAAGTCTCTCCAAAGCTTCTTAACCTCACCTTCAAAAACCATCATGCCGACAGTTTCACGTGCATACTTTGATCTTTTCCTTTCGCTCCAATGACTCCGCCTTAAGACTTGCTCATCTGTCAAGTAATTCATATGTTCGAGGTAACCCACTACCCATTCGTTGAGGTGGAAGCGCCAGTGGATGAGGGTATGGGCCATTGTAGCCTTGTTTTTGCAGTGTCTGGGTGTTCGGCTGTGAGCAATGCTCAAGAGCAGGTAGAGAGAAGGGGAGTGACAGGCATTAGACGGACCTTCCTAGCAAAAAGCGAGTGTTCTCATCTAACAGAACATGGCCATCCCTATCTTTTTCTTTACCATCATTTTCTGCATCGTTCGATTCGTCCTCACTGTTCTCGCCTGACAGCGGCTCAAGCGTCTCTAATGAGTATGCTTTTCCATAAAATTTGATGTCGGAGGAAGCCGGATGGCCAGATCGTTTGCATGCATCGCAAGGGTGATTCTCCAGGGTCGAATATCCGGTAATATCTACATGAGGTCTTGCCATGAGAGCTCTGCGGAAGTCGGCGTTCCATACTGACGATACTAGCTGTGATCCAGTCCTGCCCTTAACTTCATCATCCAATTTCTTGAATGCGACTTGATAGACTGGGCTCGAACGAGCAAAAGCCGGGTCAAGCTTATTGAACACCATCCATTCGACCGCGTCTTGAAAGTATTCCTTTGGTTGTTTGTATGCATGGCGGGTGAATTCGAATGGCATTTCTTGACCGGCGGGCGCGCCTAGATTCCCGTCTTCCAATACGAAATCGTCTTCATATCGATCAAGGTCTTCATCGCTTGGTATGGATGATTCAACATCACTGTCTTCATCCTGGAGACGGGATCGGGGCTTCCGAGTGCTGCTTTCGGCTTCACTCTCACTCCCATCTTCGTCTTCGAGTTCTGATGCGCTTTGTTCGTCCTTTGATTCTTCGTCATCCGACTCCTTTCTGCCAGCTCTCCGGCGGCGCAAAGCTTCCAAATGTTGCTGTCTTTGAGCTCGTGCCGAATTGGCTAACCGTCCTCTAGTTCGTGTTTCTTTCACCACTAACGAGTATCAACATGTTAAAGAAATATAATCCTGGCCTGAGACGCCTAGACATACCTGAATCTTGAAGATCTTGCAAGTCCTCCCTGAGATCTTGTTCGTCCTGATCCACGTTGAATTCTGGTGTCCGCGGTAGTTCAGATTCTGAGATGTTCCTTCGTCTTCTAGCCGGGGTTGCGATAGGCCCTTCATCTGAATCATCCTCCAGAGCGATGGGGGACTGAGATGCGAGACCTCGCCGTAATTTTCGTCGAGGCCGAGCGACTACATCGTCCGCATCGCTATCTTCGGACTTCGCAGAGGACGAAGGATTCTGAGGGGAGTGCACGGTATCGGACGGGGTCTGATATCTCTTCCGCTTCAAAGTTCTCGACCCCCTTACTTTTCGAGCGCTAGTAGGAACTTCGTCATCGCTTTCGCTATCTTCGCGGGCAAGTACCTTGGTGTCTGAGGTAGAAGGCTGCGGTGGTTCACCTGCCGATTTCCATAGAGTTAGAGTAAGACATCGCAACCAGCTGGGGACCAATATACTCACCTTCGCTCTTTTTCTTCTTCTTCTCTTTCTTCTCCTTTTTCTTTTTCTTGCGTGTAGATTTTTCGGATGGTTCTTGTTTGGCTATGCGGTTTTCCTCATCCGATGAGCGCTTCTTCACGACGAACGGAGCAGGCGACATTCTTTCACCTGATTTGTCGGTTAATTGCGATTGACCACTGCGCAAAGTCGGCCTTGACGGATGTCCATAACGTAGATTAGCTTTGTGATCACTTTTCTCGCCGACATTCTCGGCAAAATCCGGTGGCAGAGCTATCGGAGCAAAAGCAAGTCGCGTCTGCTTTGCTTTACCATAAGTGCGGGGCATCGGTGACGCAACAGGCGGTGACGCCAGATCTGCTGGAGGTCTTAGATGTAATCAAAGTACCAAGATGAAAACAAGAGCGTATTCAAGAGAGCCATGCGAAGGAGAGGTTAACGGCGAACGGATGAAGACATCTGATCTCGCAAGCTGATCTTTCGGGCGCGATGGATCGCGCGGGCTCGTCACGAGAGCACGTGATAGCATATCATCTGAATAGGCAGCTGTAGTAGTTCTCAGTGGAAGAAGTAGGTTCTCCTCACTTGATATTCAAATTCTTGGAAGAAACCGTTGGAATGCTCGAATGTTCAGTAGAGATGTGAAACGATCAACGAGGGCAATCTCACTTACAAAAGAGGGTTCGTATCATTTCGGTCATTGAAATATGACCCAGCTCATAGTATTCAGTATTAGCTTCGCTCTTGATTCAATTGACAATGAATCTTGTGTTTAAAATTGGACCGGTCGCTATAGAAACTATTATTCCCCGGTTGTGCATGATTATAGGTGGCGTCCAGATAGATATTCACTTTTGCATCGGATTACACCTGACATTTGGGCTCTAACATGGAATTCCTTGTAAGAGCTGGGATAAAATCTGATGGAGGGTTGCAGCTTCCCTGGAATGGTGTTTTCTGGTAACTGCTCTGAAGTGTCACTATTTCCTTACTTCTGCATCCAACGAGTACAGTCATTGTGTCATGAACAGGATTCTACAGAAGTATCCCCTTTATGTTAGAAGCACATGCTCCTAACTGACTACATCCCGTTACTATGCGCCGCCAACAACGCCTCTTCGCAGTCCTATATGCATTGTTGGGTGTGACTACCGTCAAGCCCAAGAACTCCCAGCCTTCCCGGTTTATAGATGCAAACGATCGAGAAGATATCCCATACAGTATAAAATGCCTTCCTGATAACTTCAGACATATAACGGTTTCTGATGGACATCAGCTGGACGGCCTGAGTTGTGGGATAGCTCTCAATTGTACGCTGGCATCGATATCAGCACCGGTTCTATTGGTGGACTTGGACGGCACAGCAAATGTGTTATTCGCAATGCTTAAGGTCAACTCACCTCGCAACTTGGCACTCATGCCACTAGATCATCAAGCGATGTCGTCAATCTCACAATCTTACGAAAGTAGCTTGGGAATACTTGTCTCCACGAAATTAGAGAGCCCGTTCTACAGCCCCATACAGCAAAGGCACATTGACTCACTCTCTTCAACGCTGGCCAAGAACGATGACGAGCATAAGGCTATATCAAGGCAAAGTGATATTCACCAAGGGTATGAGAGCCCGGCTGAAGTTGGCGAGCCCTACTCAGCTGCGATGCCAGACAGTCCTATTCAGGCTTATCTGGAAGGCTTTGAAACCCTTCTGACGACTACTCGAGACAAAATCATGCAGCTCTCATCAATCAATAAGGGCACGAGTGACCATCACTCGAAAAGGGATACCCAACCAAAGCTAATTAGACGGATTTTCCATAGTTTGAGGATGAGCTGTAACGACATGTTCTGCGAAGGATTTGACTTGAAGAAGATACGTACCTCAAACAGCATGTCTGCAGCAGAAAAGCAAGATTGCGCTGCGTGCTACCCCCGCCCGAATTTAAGACTGATAAGGGACCGATGTAAGGCCCGGAACGCTGAGGCGCTTCAAGATATCTACTGGGCTTGCGGGCTTCTAGGGGCTTTTGCCGGGGTTGCTGTTCTCATATACCGTGTATGTTCGTGCAGACATCAACACAGAAGCCAAACACGCAGGACTCCTACCGCACAGAGCTTTTTCTCCTCGACTCTTTCTATTGCTACAACTGCATCACCGTATAGTAGCTTAGATTGGAGGAAAGGGCACGAGCCTAGCATGGATAATACAGAAGGTTCCGAGGAAAATCTCTTCATGACAGAGCAGAGACTGAATCGTCTTGGTCTCTTTACTAGAGAGCCTCGCAAGAGAATACGAGATGTCTTCGATTTGGAGTCATATGGGTCTACCCAAGAGGCAGGAGGGATATCAAAGGAGAGAGTGCCCGTATTACCTCGCGCCCCGAATGCAAGCCTTCGGAGGCATCTTGTGACCAGGAGTATGGAGCAGGGGCCGAGGTTCAGGAACGAGAGTATTGGGTGAGGCTAGTATAATTCCTTCGACATGGAACAAGGCATGGACTTTTCTGGAGTGGAATATCCTCGGTGTATGTACTACTAGCGTAGCGTATTGTTGAGTATACTTGGAAGGATGGAAATCTGGAGATTCTCGTTATTGATTAGAGTTGGTCAAAGCGTTGTCATAAGGTTTTGATGGTGAGATTAGGCTGAATGGGAGAAAAGGGGATGGTTTCGAGGTTACCATATCAGCTAAGCATTTGACACCTTCTAGCTTTCTTTCTGTTTCTCTCTTCATGTGAAATTGAACCATATGAATCCTTCTCAAATTACTTTCCACGTCTCCTCATACCCCATCTCTTTTTGTTATTATTGGTATCCCGGCATTTACTTCTTCATCCTGGGGCCCACCCCCGGCTTCAATTGGTGGATTTCTTCACAGTCATTTCCTAAGCCGGTCTTGTTGCCGCTGATTCGTGGAAACATTTGGCGGACGTCCCTCGATGACTGAGAATTTCCCTCGAATCTCAACCCCGGATTTCCCCAGACCTCCACGGCCCGTTTTAGTGATGTCCCAACAGCTAGCTTCATTTGATTTTCCCCGGATACCCCACCACTCAGATGTCCGAGTGTCTAGTGTTGGCCTCTATCGAAACCGGGCTCAGGATGCTAGTGCCGCTGGAGAGGATTGGTCCAGTTCGCTTGGCCCGAAAGTGGCTGAAGGGCTGCAGCTATCATGGCTACGTCCCGTGGTTCTTATACGAATCATGCCTGCTTGTGGTCTTGTCTTTTTTTTCCTATCTATCCACTGCCTAATGAGTCTTATTTCTTTATATACCTGAGGTCAGACCTTTTCAAACCCATTCTCTCAGTGCAGGCTCCTACCTATCCCATAGACTTCAGTGGCTGCTGGAAACAGTGCCCCGAGTCAAAGATACCTCTTCACTTGTTACATTCTCATCTCCCAATCGGAAAATCCATCCAGCAATCATGGGGTTCAAATTGATGGGCTCGAAAAGAGCCTACAACTGGTTAGTGCATACAACCCAAATTCTTCACAATTGATACTCACAGAATCATCCTAGGTATATCTCTTGCGTCGCAGCAGCATGTATGGTCCTCTACGGATATGATGCATCAGTATACAATTCCGTACAAGGCTCAAAAAACTGGGTCGCCTACTTCAATAATCCAGACGAAAACATGATAGGAGCTGTCAACACAGCTTATACTGTGGGTGCCATCTTTGGTGGTTTCTTCTTAGGTGGTCCAACAGCGGACTTTCTTGGCCGTAAATTTGGAATGGGAATAGGTTGTGTTATGGTGATCGCTGCCACGTTCATGCAGACCTGGGCTCCTCGTGGAAACATTGCTTGCTTCCTCGCTGGACGATGCATTATCGGTATCGGTCAAGGAATTGCTTTGAGTAAGCCGCTCTGCTCTATCTATGAGCAAACTTCAAACGCTAACGTCTCAATCATACAGCCGCGGGTCCTATATACATTGGTGAGCTAGCGCCGGCGGAAATCCGTGGTAAAATCATGACTTTCTGGCAAATGTTCTATTCGGTTGGATCTTTCATTTGTTTCTGGGTGAACTACGGATGCACAGAGCACAAGGAAAACTTGGGCGAATGGGACTGGAAAATGGTTGTTATCTTCCAACTCTTAGTTCCTTGCTTAATTCTCGCTCTTCTGCCCACCATCCCAGGCTCCCCCCGTTGGTAAGTGTCACAATACCGATAAATCGCCATGTTCACTAACCCTCGGTCAGGTACATCCAACGGGGCAATAACGTCGAGAAAGCCCGTGCTGCTCTCCAGAAAGTTCGGGAACCTGATGAGGTCGAGGAGGAGCTCTTGAAGATCCGTGAAGCCATAGAGTATGAAAAGGAAGCTATTTCTGGAAGCTACTCTGCGCTTTGGAAAGACAGGTCTCTCCGCAAGCGTATGGCTCTCGCACTGGTCGTCAACGCGGGTCAGCAGGTCACTGGACAGGGCACGCTGAACACATACTCTACCAAGATCTACCAAAAGGTGTTCCCTAGTGCTGGTCAGATTGCTCTCATCAACGCTCTCAATGCGACCTTTGGTATCATTTTCACCCTGAATGCTGTTTGGATCATCGACCGATTCGGGCGCAAATTCCTTCTTATTGTGGGTGGCATTGGTATGGGGATCTGCATGATCATCGTTGCTGCAGTCGAGACCGAAACGCCATCACCAAACGGCAGCAAGAGTACGCCTGTTGGGATATCGATCGTATTCTTACTCTTCCTATTCATATTCTTTTGTATGTCCCCGTTAACCACAGATGAACATGTCGACTACTAACGTTGCTTTAGACAAGCCTTCTTGGGGAGCTACCGTGTGGATCTGGACTTCCGAAATTTTCTCGATGAACGTCAGAGCTCAAGCGGTGGGAATGGCATCTCAGACGCAGAATGTCGCCAATGCCATCTTCCAGCAGTTCTTCCCAATCTTCCTCAAAAACTGCGGCTTCTACGCGTTCTACATGTTTGCCGGGATCAACTTCCTCTTGGCAGTGTTTGTGTTCTTCTTCATCCCCGAGACCAAGCAAGTTCCTCTGGAAGAGATCGACGCACTCTTCGGTGGTGCCAACCATGCCACGCACGGCGAGGACCTTATTGCGCGTGAGAAGCAAATGCAGGCGACGCAGTCGAACGTGGGTAACGAAAAAGCCGAAGCCATCACAATTGAGAATGCACCCGCACGGCAGCGCCAATAGTCGCATTATAATATGGCTGCAAGCTTATGAGCCTTCCATTCTATATTTGAGTGGAGTTGATGTCTCGTGTAGTCAATATTGGGAGGGAATTAGTCTGAATATTTTTCTTGCCTATAATACTACAGCGTACTGTATACTCATTAATTAACCATCACCAAATCAAGGTAGTAAAAACGATGTACTATAACAATTAGCTCCAGTAAGACAATCCCAAGAATCAAATGATCATCGTCAAAAAGATGTGGGGAAATCCGGGGAAGTGGGGAAACTGCTTTTGTCTGTAAACTCCCAAGCCTTTCTTTTTAATTCTACTTTTTCTCAGCCTAACTGACCACTGATTTAGCTCATAGAACTAATTCTGAGGCCCGAGACCGTTCTGGAAGCCATCGTGAAGTAATTTCATATCCATCTACACAAGACATCTACTTAAGCATTCTAAGACCGGCAGCGTCTCTCTTGGCGAGGTTTATCTCTTTCGATTTCCTAATGGAAACTGAAGAAAAAAACGTAATAGAAGGTTTCTACCGTTACAATTCAACCGAACATGGCACTCTTTAGTTTAAAAAGTGGATAGGTATGTGTATAACTATGTACTCTAAATCAAGCGGGGCGAGATGAAACTCGATGCCAGCATTTTAGGTCGCCTGAGGCAGTGAAGGTTATATTAAGGAAATAGTATATGCATACAGATTGTCAGTCTATTTCTCGTTTCCTTGCTTATACCACCAATATGCCCAATGTAGAGATTATCCAATTATTCTCCCATACCAGATGGACTCCGACTCCCCTAAGTCTAATGTCTTAACCTCAAGTCATGAACTTCGTCAGAAATAGATATCTCATCCCATAAATCCTCCATTATTGGCTCGAGCCCTATACCACCTCGTCTTGGCCGAAGTGAGCAGGCTTCTTATTCCATGCTGAGTTTCGCGCCTCCGAGGTGTGGGATACCATTACCTCCCTGGTGCACATGATGCCTTCAGGATCATGGGGCGATAGGATGTGCTCTTCGCTGGAGTTGCTGCTGTCGGGCCCGGGATACGTGGTAGTTGTGGTTGATGTGGTCGTCGTCGCAAAGTGATGGGAGGGTAGCTTCTGATCGGCCTCGGCTTCCATCCGGCTTCGGGGCCCACTGTGTAGGGTTTGGGATTGGCCCTGGCGGGATCGAGATAGGGAGCGCAGTCGATACTGCTTGCTGCCGTATGTGTAGGGCCGTGTCTTCGATCGGGAGCCATAGCTGCCGAGGACTTGCTTGAAGAGGGGTTTCAGGGTGGGTAGGCTGCCTGCGATGATGCCCATATTGGATTCGACTCTAGAGGATTAAAAGATATATTAGTTAGGTGGAGAGCATCGGAAAGAGGTTGGGACGGATCTACGTACACAACCCAAATCGTAAGTGTGGAATAATCCCAAAGAAAATCGCCCGTGCGGCCGTAGTTTGGTAGGACGGAAAGTTTAACAAACGCAGCGGCGCAAGCGCTAATAAGAAGAAAATAAGTTGATATATTTCTAGCAACGGCCGCGAAGAACGATGTCTCACAAGATCCCTAATCCCAAAATACAGACAAGCGAGGCTTTGACCCGGCGATTCACTTGAAGGTGTCTATTAATAGACCCTAGGGTTAGCAGCTTGGCTTTCGTTTTTTGGGGGCTGTTCACAACATACCTTAGCATGAAGGCCGGAAGGAAGGCGAAGATAAGATCCGTCAAGATATTCAATGCTGTTAAAGTCAGGAAAAGTGTAACAAGATCAAGCAACGGAATGGATCGCATGCATACCAGTATTGGTGTAGCTCAGCTCCAGCAGTTGCGTGGGTGTGAAACATTCTGATTTCACCGAGTGGTCCCAGATAGTACGGATATCTTTGCATTGGAAAATGAGGGTCTGCACATAGATTAGACATCTTCCCTGTGCGGCTTCGAAGAGGGTGCGCTGGGCACGCACCAAGAAACAAATAGCTGTGTAGAGGAACATGAGCACTGCAAACACACCGCGCTCCGTTAGTATAGGACCATGACCCAGCAAGAGATCCAAACTTACCGATGACAACCCAGATAAAGATCTTATAGCCCTTACGAGGGGCAAAGCGCAACAGGAATAGTCCAATGGAGATTTTTACGAGGCCAATCGCCCACATGTAGATGCCCTGTGTGACGAAGTTCAAATGCATGGCCGTAGTAGCCGTTTCCTGGACATATGCTGTGTGTCTCCCTGCGCCATAAACGACTTCTGGTATAATAATGGCCCATCCGGCGAGAGACTATAGAGTAGACGTCAGAATTGACGATGCAAATCGAGCTACTGTATCTCACCAGTGCCATGGTTAGCATCATGGTATAATCCTGGACACCAGTCAGCTTTATCGAACAGTCCTCGTGCCGCAAAGATTTCCTACATCGAGGCCAACATTTCGGATGACGAATATGCGAACGTACATCCGCGCCAGCACTGTGAGCAATGCAAATGCGGTGGTTATCGTCGTGGCTGCGAGGATTCGAGAAGCTTGACTCTCATCTGGCAGGCCAGCACCTCCAGGATGGGCACTGTCGGGCATGACAGCGGCGTATCGTGCGGGTACTTCTATCACCGAGGGATCATCAAGGTGGTCCTGGAGACTGGCGACAAGGTCGGCGAAGACAGACATCGTTCGAGATTATAGCTTGAACTTGATCCACGAAAGGTGCAGATCACCAGGGACAGTAGCACGAACTAATAGACATTACATATCGAACCGGGAACTTAAAAGTGTGATGCATAGAATTGAAAATTAGGAGAACGAACATGGATTGGAATTTGCTCGATTGGAGAGTATCTCTGGAGCTTCTACGACAAAGTTTAAAGTCCACCCAGTTCGATGGTTTACCGAATAGTCGGATATTATTTTGCCAACAGGGACCGTCTATTCGTGGCCGGTCTAGTTCATCTTTCTCAAACTGTCTTCGTTCCTGGTTTCTGTTTGTCATCTCGGCTAAATCAGAATCTCACAATCGGGTCAAGAGAAGGCCCCGACTTATCCACGGTTTCAACCCCTGCTCGGTCGATATCCCTTCATCAAAACCTGACCAATTAGATGGAACCCTACCAATAGTAAACTCGTACTTCAGATCACTAACTATGGACTAGGGCTAAAGGGTTACGGTAATTCCGGAATCACCGCGTGGGTCACTAACTTCCAGGTAATAGTGCCATCCGCACGCCAGACCAGACCAAGTGGATAAGTCCGGACGATTGGGGTTTTTTCGCAGCATGACCGACCAACGCCACGATAGGCATTCTCGTATAGACCCTTATGACTGGCGAAAATGGCCCTCATCTTGCCGAATGCCTCAATCTCCGGCGGTGGAGCGCATTTCACCTCTTACTAATTCGTAGGCGACTCTCTCCAGTTAGACTAGGACATGACTCAGGGCTATAGGCTCCCGAATTAGCCAAGGTCTCAATTCCCACGAGGTGGTTTAGAGTTCTGACTGGGACTCGTGGCCAAGGAACAAAGGCCCCGCCCAAAAACGAGTACAGGGCTCAACCAGTGCCATTCTGGGTTTGTATGGAGCAATTGTAGCACATAATAACGGCCATGCTGATCCCTTCCAATCGTGAAGGGGTGAACCTTTTTTGTATTGCTTTTCTTCGTTGACTGATCGTCAGGGTACGATCGGTGGAGAGGATGTGAGAGAGTGACGAGATTCAAATTTATATCATATCAGCCCTTTTATCCACACCATGGAAGGAAATAGTAAATCCGTATCAATTTCGGCACATGATTGGCAAGATTCTCTTTTTGGACGCCCCACCGGCTCTGGGTGTCCCGAGCCCTAATATGCTGCTCCCGAAAGTATCCTTTACGATCCTCTGGATCAGACCCCGATCCCCAATATTGTATTTATGCACATACACATACATCCCGCTTTCATATCTCGCATTCGGTAAGGATCGCTGCCCCTTACTTATATCCCGCATCATGCGAGCACTTACATCGGCAAGCGAGGAAGAATCCTCGTTCAGGAGAAGAAAGTCATTGATCTCATGTAAGTCTAACCTCATCAGTATATACTACCTTTTTCAATCATCAGTGCCGAGGTCCAACTCCTGGGAGCACTGCGAGCATCCACTCTATCCTCCCCACCAAATTAGGAGATTGGCCCTTGCAGCGAATAAAGAACGCTGCATTCTGGAACGGATCCCCCCACCCAGAAGTGGATCAAGTCCAAGCCCAGCCAGTGCGTCGCCATAGATGGTTTTAACTTTCATGGACTATCATCCGAATGAAGGCCAGATAGTTGCCCTAACTAATCTATTTTTCCAGCTAGTCGCTTCGCCCCGACAGGTAATCAGGGCTTTTGTCCTTTTTTTGCCGGTCATCCGAGAACTAGCCGCAGCAATGGCCCTTTTTCGATCTATACCACCAGTCAGGGTGAAAAAGAGCCATGTCGAGAACGTGGTACGATAGCTCAATAGGTGCTTGGCTCGGAAATACCATGAGATTGGATGCTTATTTGTGTGCCTATGCATCTCCGTAAGTCTCGCTCCTTTATAGATAGCCAACGGGGGCCAACAGCCAAACCTTTTATATTGACAATCATTCCCCAATCTGTTTCTCTTCTGTCTACTCCACCCCCATTCCTCATCTTCTCTCCGCTCACAGTCTCATCATGGTCGCCCTTCAGACTCTCAGTCTGGGACTGCTGGTTTCGCAGGCCTGGGCCATCCCTGCTGCTCCTCAGCAGACCGCTACAACTACCCTACCCACCACCGCGTCCAGCTCGACTACAGTCGCCTCGTCCCAACTCGACCAACTAGCCGACTTTGCCTACAACATCACAACGGACAACATTGCTGGTGGCTCCGAGAACAAGCGTGGGGGCTGTACCTTGCAGAACCTCCGCGTCCGCCGCGACTGGAGGACCTTCTCGACTCTCCAGAAGAAGGCCTACATCAACTCCGTCTTGTGCCTTCAGAATTTGCCTTCGCGCACGCCAGCCCACGTAGCCCCGGGTGCCAAAACTCGCTATGATGACTTTGTTGCAACCCACATCAACCAAACTCAAATAATCCACTACACGGTATGACTCCGGGTCGGTGGCCTTGGGTGCGATGGACACTAATCATGGCATAGGGTACCTTCTTGGCCTGGCATCGCTACTTTATCTATGAGTTCGAGCAAGCGCTTCGTGACGAGTGCGGATACACCGGCGATTACCCGTATGTCTAGCTAAATAGCTCCCCAAGGAAAACTCACGCACAAAACTAACAATGCTGTCTGTGACCCAGATACTGGAACTGGGGTGCCGACGCCGAAAACTTGGAGAAGTCGCAGGTTTTCGATGGCAGTGAGACTTCGATGTCGGGCAATGGCGAGTACATCCCCAATCAGCCCGATGTGAAGCTGTACTTGGGCAACTACCCAGCTATCGACCTTCCTCCCGGCAGTGGTGGCGGCTGTGTCACCAGCGGTCCGTTCAAGGATTACAAGGTGAGCATGGGTCCAGCGGCTCTGTCTCTTCCCGGTGGAAACATGTCCGCTGTGGCCAACCCACTCGAGTACAACCCACGCTGCATGAAGCGCTCCCTCACCACGGAGATCGTGAAGAAATATGCCAACTTCCCGAAGATTGTTGAGCTTATCCTCGAAAGCGAAGATGTCTGGGACTTCCAGATGACCATGCAGGGCGTCCCCGGAAGTGGCTCAATCGGCGTGCACGGCGGTGGCCACTACTCCATGGGTGGCGATCCCGGGCGCGACGTCTACACAAGCCCTGGTGATGTGGCCTTCTGGCATCACCACGGTATGATCGACCGCACGTGGTGGATCTGGCAGAACCTGGACTTGAAGAAGCGCCAGAACGCCATCTCCGGCACCGGTACCTTCATGAACAACCCTGCCTCTCCCAACACAACCCTGGACACCGTCATTGATATCGGTTACGCCAACGGCAGCCCGATTGCCATGCGGGATCTCATGAGCACCACCGCAGGTCCTTTCTGCTACGTGTATATCTAAGGTGGCAGTTGAAGATGTCGGGTACACTGTTTCTCTGTTTTTATTTCTTTCGTCCATGGCCAGGTAGATAGATATGTACATACATCATAGCCAGCAGACGACTAGCATAATAACAAGCAGTGGCCTCACAACTCTACTCATTCCACTCTAATTAAACCCCCTCCAACTCTATGCTTAAGCCGACTATCTTTTCGATCTTATCCGAACCAAAAAAAAAGGAAAAGAAAAAGGAAAAAACGCAATCCTCCATACCTCCACAAGATAACTTAGGACAAGTTCACTGGAAGTTGGAGCGCAGCTCCGAACTATTGACACCAAACCTCGGAAGCATAGACCAGAGAAGGTAAGCGAACCATGTTTAACCAGATCGATGTCTCAGCGCCAAATGTTGAAAAACTGGAGCATCTTATCTTGGCGTAGACGTTCGCAACTTAGCGTTACCTGGTTCCATGGATGACTTTAGCTTCTCCTTTTTGGTTCTGTGCAGGCCCTGGGAACTTTATCAATCAACTCGATCGATCGACCTGCAGAAATCGTACTGTATTAATCGAAGTAAACTGCGGGAACCATAAATATGACCATCCCATCCCAACCCCGTTCATACCTTTTGGAGAGAAAAACCACACCCCACAGGTCAACATTTACCATTCTAGACCAATTCCACATGTTCACCTAGATGAGATGAAGCTATCTTCCAGGACTTAACCTAACACAAGAGCCCCCTAGACGACCTGAATCTCAGCCCACCCCCTCTGCCCTTCAGCAACAATCGTTTAAAAGCCCACAAACCACAGATAGTGTTAAACCATATCCCAGAAGCAACCCTAGCACCACTTCATCATCATCACCATCATCATCTCACTTCCTCTTCTCTTCCGTACCAGCAGCGGCACCTTTCTGCATGTGTATCTGCCTCTCCCGTTCCCGTTCCTGTTGCCGCATATACCAAAAACACACCCCGTAGATCAAGTCGAACCCGAGAAAACAGGCACAGCACCAGAGCATGAACGGCTTGCCCAGGAACGCGAAATTCTCGGGCCAGTATTTTACGCGGAGGTAGAATTCAGGGACTAGGGCTAGGGAGCCGATGAAGCGGAAGAACCTGGATTTGGTTTATTTGTGTCAGTATTTGTTTTGTCTTGTTCTTGGCTTGATTGGGGAGAGACAACAACTCACCCCAAATCCATAGAAAACCCTCTCGTACTCCCCCTCACAAAGAGCATGCCCAGGTAACCAACACTAATAATGACTTGTAACACGATAGCATTGACAAAGCAAGCCTTTGTCGGTCCGAGCTCGGCGGTAGCACACAGATGCCCTGCAAGAGCGACTAGCGTCCCAACGATATAGTACGTGAGGAGATGGCGCTGGACGAAGGGGGAGCGATCCCATTCTCTCGCGCCGTAATGGATGGCAGACCATATGACAGTTCAGTTGATCACGAAGGCGATCAGGAAAGTAGAATATACCACCCAGTGGTCGACGTATATGTATCCGAATGTTATCTCCCAGGCTATGTTCAGGCACTGGGAAATGAGGGGCATGGCGTAGGACTTGTCCTTCATGGACCGGTATATCATGCCGTAGTAGACGTATAGCCATGTTAGATTGCTGTACCCGTTCAAGGTCCATATCGTTGTGCCCCAGGCTTGGAACTCTGGGGGAGCTTTGGATAGGTCGAAGGCTTCCATTGTAGTGGTGGTTCAGGTCAAAGGGGGAGAATGGGCCGTTTGCTACTTGGATTGCAGAGATGTTGATTGTTGGGTGACTTTATATCATTTGGATGTCCCTTTATATCATCGCCTGTATAACTGAACTCAATCACGGCTAGATTTTTCCTGTAAGTGGTATGGTAAGAAGAAGAAATATACATTTCACTCCCCCTCGTGATCCATAGTCGCACTACGATATCTCCTGCATGGGTCTAACGTGTTTATCATAAAAATGCATAACCCCTGAACCTCGCAGAAACCCGTCAGACGCTCAGGCACCTAATATCAAACACGGCCGGTCCGGATACCGATTCCGTGACTATTGCCACAGCCCTCAACCTTGGATCTCATTCTCACTGCTCGTAGACCACGATCATGCCTGATCAATCTACCTCAATTTGGAAATCGATGTGAGGTGCATTATCAGATATCATTGACGTATCCCTGCAGGGCAGGCTGGTTGGTCTTAGGCTCGTCAATCGATGTGGCGAGTTAGACCCTTTGTATGCCTATGTATGCGCACAGATACTTTCCGCCAACCTTCTAGAAATTCTCAGTTAGGTAGCATGCGGTTGTGAGAATGAGAAAGAAGCGTTGGTGAAATGCCTAGTTGAATAGAATCATGAATGCCTTTCTTAGGAGCCTGATTTATTTAGTTTATGTGGAGTAATGTATCCCAGTTCACAGTAATATGTCCTATATTAACAGAGTATTCTTTCGTATCTATAAGGTACGTAGAAGTCATTGGTCCTCGCTCTTTGGTTACAATGCCTTTCTTTGCCTCTACCTTGTCATTGACCCGGTAAACGAAGAACTGTGTGACACAGAGCTGACTTGTTCATGGCTACTTTGAGAGTCACGGATCATATTTCCCGTGCTGATTCTCAGTTGGGTACCCAATCCATTGGATCGTATATGCATGTCATGGAATCCGGAACCCTAATATGAGCAATAAGGGCCCAAGTGCTTATGTATGCTCAAAGACCAGGCTCCTCAAACTACTCAACAAGGCCAAAAAGCGAAAAGAATCAGTAAGTAAGCGTGCACTTCTACACTCGAAGATGAAACCTAACCAACTATCTTCTCGTCAGTAAGTAAATCTAAACCCCGGATAATCATCCCCCAAATTCTCCAACTCCTCCCTCGGCAATCCATACCGATAATCCCTCCCCCCTCTCCCCCTCACCTGGTTTTCTCGAATCAAATACCCCAAAAACAGCAAACAGGCGATCCCACACACCCACGTCATGCCTAAGCTGACCCCATACCCCGTCCGATACCCCGGCGCCTCCTCCTGAAAGAAAATGTTACTCGCTACTAACCCACCGCAATTTCCGAACCCGATCTGCATCGCTGATGCAATGCTCTGCTTGTAATGGCCCGCCATGTTGTTGCTCAGCCAGCCCATTAGGATCGGCTGCGTAAGGTATCCGCCGCTGGTGATGGCGAAGATGGCGAAGTAACGCGCTCCGACTGGGACGGAGTATTGCGCGAGGAGAATGACGTAGCCGGTTGTTGCGACGAGGCAACCGGTCAGCGTGAAGAGGTAGCGGTGGCGCAGAAGATCGCTGAGGAGGGCGGCGGAGAGAGTGGTGCTGGTTGCCACGATGTAGACTGGGATGCTCATTACTTGGGCACGCACTGCTGTCCAGCCCAATTGGTGGAGGATTGTGGGGGTGAAGAAGGAGACGGCGTAGCCTGTGTTGACGATACCAAAGTACATGACTGGTCTGTATTTGGATTATTAGCATGTCTTATCTTGATGTTTAATGGTGTGATCTTTGGCGGATTTGATGATCCTAATATCAGAGTCAGAGCGAAGGTACAGTATACTTACCCTAGATAAATCTTCGGGTCTGTGAGGGTTCGCCGCACGGATTTCTTATCGATTCTGTTCATCCGTGCCTCACCTCGATCTTGTTTCAGACGTGCGAGGAGTAGGGATCGTTCGTCTTCGGTCAGAAATTTGGCCGTCTCGGGCCAATCCACGACGATGAATTTGGAGAACGCCGCTATCACTACTGTGGCCAGGCCTTCGATGATGAAGATCCAGCGCCAGCCTTTGTATCCGGCTATGCCAGACATGTTGTTGATAGCGTAGGCGAGGAGCTAGATTGATATTGACATCAGCCAATGCATTACATTGAAATTATATTCAGAAGGCAAAGCAGCATACACCACTAACTGCACCAGCGATGATACTAGCGCTGAAGAAAAGATTGAGTCGCCATTGGAGCTCATGGCGGCGGTAGTACATATTGATAAGATAAACAGAGCCTATATTTGATGATCAGTTGATGGTATGAGAGAATATGAGATGGCACAATAGCGTACCAGGCATGAATCCAGCCTCGAAGAATCCAATCAATACCCGACAGACCACTAACCCGGTGAAACTGCCAGTGATGCCCTGGCAGGTAGTGATGATACCTTCATCATAAGCATCAGTATCCATAAGTATGCATATAAAAACGATACAGGATAAAAGGGACTAACCCCATCCAAACATAATCCCACTCAGCCACCACGAGGGCTTCACCTTCTTCAGGATCATATTACTCGGCACCTCGAACAGAATATACGGGATAAAGAAGACAAACAGCGCGATATTATATTGGTGCCCACTCATACCCAGATCCTTTTCCAGACCCATTAACCGTGCATTTCCGATATTAATGCGGTCCAGGAAGGCAAACATGAAGAGGAGGGTGAGGATAGGGACGACATGGAGGTCACATTTGCGGAGGAGGCGTTTCTCTGCATCGCGATCGGATACTATGTCTTGGGTTTCGGAGGTGGGATTAAGGTCTTCTATTGTGCATTCTTCTGGTTTCTCGGAGTCTAAGGACATGGTTTGGGACGACTTTTGTTGCTTTCTGGAGGGTGGAGAAGAGTGTGTGTACGTGTGGGTTACACCGCAAGGTAGCTGGATGTCACTTTATACAGTCCGAGCTGGTTCCAACAGGCTCAGCTCTCCCCGCAAAACCTTAAAAACAATCACGATTCTTTCTTAGCCGAGCTTCCGCGCTTTATCCATGTTATTTGCCAAGAGGGTGTACAAGTCCATTTGACGAGCAAAGATTAACCTTTCCCTATGAGTGACGGCTAATGAGGAGACAGGATATCTTCGATGCTATAAGAAAGAGGGCAGGATTGGTCCGCGGATTGTCGAAAGTGCGGGGGAATTCCTCTTGCTAGTGACCTGCAGGAAGCAAACAGGATCAAGAAGTCGTATTGGGATGCGGAATGCCGTTCCGCTCAAATGAACCATTTGGGGGGATATTCCGGCACTTGATAGAGCTAACCCTACCTATAAGTGATTGCTATTGCCAGTATACTGTCCTCCTCCACTCAGTTTCTCCAACCAAGTTCTCTCCGCCGTCATTCCAAATCTTCCGGTACTCCATCCTACATTCCCAGGACGAAATCGCTGCCCCCGTGAGGCGGAACACATATTCATAACTGTATTCACGGCCCAGGTGGTCACGTTCCGAGCTAATACACCCCCTGGCTCGAACAACGTATTCCTCATACCCTGAAACCCTTGGTGTGGGGCGCGGCGGTCCCTCGAGTTTTAGTTCGTGCGATATTTGAGGGACTTCTTCCAGGTCTATGCCCAAATCCCTATTGAGGACGGAGATTTGTACCTCATCACCGCCATTAGCACCAGTTCCTCCAAGTCGATAGGTTAATGGGTCTGATGACCTCAGCACTCCATCGATCCTTTTGCCCTCGCTGTAGATATACTCCTTCTCATACTTTGGATTTGCCGGGTATGTCGATGAGAAGCTGGCTGTCCCTGTGACTTCGGCCTCATATCTCGAAGATACCCGGGAGAAATTCCAATTGCCGAGCAACGCCCTGAAAATAGCCCTTGTTAATCCTATACTAGAAGTGTCAGTACCGGGGGTAAGCGTGTCTCTTAAGGAAGCCATCACAATACGCGACTCGGCTAGCATAGAAGGCTCCTTTTGCCCACTAGCCATATACCGAGCAGGAACAACTGGTCCAAGTCTCTCCCCAGTTTCTGAAAGCGGCACCCGATCGATCCCCAAATCCCTGGCAAAAGTCTCCATCAACCCTACGTAGTCTCCCATGGGAAATTGGCCACGGGAGCTCGGACTCACATTTCTGTAGTCACGCATATTTTGTCTTTCTTGTGCCTTGTCCTCCAGCTCCTCTGCTGAAAATCGGATGCCTTGTTCGGAATCAGCTCGATACCAGGATTCCGCAAGTCTCCGCGCTTGCATTTCCACCACTCCCCAGAAGGGTCCCCGATAGAGTCCCACGAATCCTATATCGGGGATTTCTGCGTTGGATATGCCTTTTCCGTCCAGGATAAGGGGGACGTAAGGGTCTTCGCCAGAAAATTCCAGTTTGGAGAGTACATCTTCTTGGAGAAATGAGAGTGAGGCAAATGGCGTGAAGCCAGTGGCCAGGATGACGGCTGTAACGTCTTGGAGAGATACAACATTGCCATCGGAACGCTTGATGTCGATGCTTGCTAGGCCGGACTGGGGGCAGTTAACGGCCAAGACCCGGCCCATCATAGGCTGTACCAAACCTGATTGGACATACCCTGCATAGTCGTCTCCTATAGCGACCCACGAAGGCTGGGTGTCACTCGTCCCGTCGCGAGGATCGGCAACCATATGCCCGGAGTCTGCGTATTGCTTCCCTAGAAGAGAAATGAAGTATCTATTGACCTTAGCAGCTTGCTCCCGCGATACAGGCCCAAAGTTATACTGGACAGGTCCATGTGGACGTCGGGCCAGGTCATTAAGGACAAGATCCAGTGGTAGGAAGTGAACGGATCTCTCCTGAGTGTCGTCTTTCGAGACGGCGTGCGGCAAATATGTGGGTACGGTCCAGAAGGGTCGTGAACAGATGTGGTGGACCTCATAACCTTGAAAATATGAAAGGGTGGAGCGCATCGAGGAAAGATAAAGCGCAAGCGCAGTAGCAGTCTCAACACCCGACATGCTTCCTCCAATGACGACCAATTTACCACTCCCATCCTTAGTGGCACCACAATTTTCAAGCATAAGGCATATATCCTCTTTGGTATGTATGGCAGAGCTATGGATCGTCTTCTCGGCGAAATCAGCCAGTCCAGGAATATATGGGGCATACGGTCTCGAGAAGTATCCAGAAGCGACAATAAGGTAGTCAAAGGTTTCTGATTCCAGTTTTTGATTCGCTGAGCTTTCTCCGGTCGTATTGTTCATACTACTTACAGTTAGCACTTCACAGCAAACCTGGAGGCAAGACAAACCTTTCTGAAACCCACTTTATGGTCCATGATGGCGTCGAACCTACCCTGGTCTCTCGAACAGACCCAACAACTTCGTGCCCCAATCTTAAGACTTCCTTGGGTATATACCGCTCAAAGTACTTTTGTAAATACCTGCCCGCCTGCCAAGCCTGTGGAAACATAGGAATATCGGGGCCATCGAAGACCGACTCCCAGGCTAGATCAGAGAAAGCCACGGTGAACCGACTCTGGTTCGTCCGCATCGACGGATCCACGAATCCATCGCGACGGCTTCGTCCCGGGTTCGCATCACCTTGGGCGGTAGCTGGCGGGTCAATTGGCCAAAGGCCGCCTATTTCATGGCTTTTCTCGAAGATGGTGGGGGAGAATGTTCCCTTGGGGAAATTGTGGAGGAGTGTTTTCGCGGCCACTAGCCCCGAGGGCCCCGCTCCTGGATTTAGTCAGTATAGACACAGTGTGCAATGAGGCAATGCCGGTATGTGAGGATTTTGACATGGTACAAACCAATTATGGCGACCTTCTTAGGTCGGAACATCGTTTTCGTGGACTTTTTGCGATTTGAGGGAACTTTGAGATTAGCATAAAGTACTAACTAGTATATGTGTGGTACGATAAGATTGCTACCTACCCCTCCTTTTAGTGGATCGGAGAGCTAACTGGCCTTGCAATTCATTTGCAGTTTAATGTGCGCATGCTGCAGGTTTCCGTGTAGTGTAGTAGACTTAAACTGCGTAGTCAAGAGAGAAGTGGTGAATGATGCGCAAGCCGACATATATATCTCTAGTAAACTAACTATACATTAATTTTCTATACATTGGTTTTACCAGCAACAAGCATCAAATAAGCCAAGAAGCACTATTGATTAGTAAGAGAATAACTGTGTACAGTAAAACACCATCCATGCAATGGGTATCGGACCAAGGAAGACAAATAAAAAAAATTAAGATAGACTGAAGGAAAGCAAAAGAGGGAGTTTTAGGCAAGGAAGGGGACAAAAAGAAGCGGCCCGAGCCGCGGATCGAACGCGGGACCTCTCGCAGATATGCTTGGGTTATATCCCTAAGCGAGAATCATACCACTAGACCACCCGGGCTTCTTGTTGTTGTTGTGCTGAAGGTATTGCATCAAGAGAGGATGCCAGTAATTCAGCTAACCTTGCACTATGACCGCCTTGCAGCATGATTTGGTGGCAGCGCCCACTATGATGACGTTGATGCCAAGAATGGATTTGCACTCCACCAAAACGTAGCCCCTTTAAACTATGCATCTGGCATCTAACCTGAGGCCTTGGCGGAATTCCCCAAGACATTTTCAGTATTGACGCGTAAGCAACCGATGATCGATAGCGGTATGCGAGGTAAGGAATCGAGTTACTCAGATATGCATGTCGACAACGAAGGATGATAATAGAGAGGGTGAATGTGTTGTAGATCACAGGAAGGTTGTCAATACGACAGTCGCTCAAGCCAGGCGGAGACATGTAACTCATTGCTATGCTTCTCGGGGTAGCACGCCTCGGTGAACTGCTGCTCGGTGACGAACGTATCGACATTTCTTTCCGTCAGGGGAATCTTATATCGGTTCTTCTGTTTCAGAAGTTCTCGTTCAGCGCGTGCCGTAGGGGACAGCTTTTGTAGTGTGTTGCGGATTCGACGGATACCGCCCCCGGGGAAGTGTGAGATACGAGGCGGGCCGAACGGGGCCTCAACCCTCCAGGGGTCCTCGGAGGCGATAGACCGAGCGTTTTTCTTGCGTTGGGAACGGAATTTGGACATTGTCGAGAACAGACGAGGACGGGAAACGTAGAGCGGAGAGAGTAGAGATGTTCATAATTAAGTAGAAAAGGAGGGGGGAGGAAGGAAAGGGGAGGAGAAGGGAGAAGGAAGGCTTCCAGGTATGTAATATACTGAGAGCGGGCCCACGGGAGGGGTCACTTGGGGTGTACCGAAGATGTGAATACCGTCGCAAGGCAACGGCGTGCGGGGACTCTTCGGTCACTGAGCGCACTAAACCTTAGCCTCCCAATGCAGCGGCTCCGAGGAGATAGCCTGCCGACCAGATTAAATGTAAGAGTTACATAAGACCGTAAGAGGGAGATGACACCGATTTGGCGGCCAAAGTAACCTTTCGGCTATCGTTGGCGTTGACTTTTCCTTAGCATTCACTGTGAGTGACGGCAACGCGCTGAGTCCATCTAGGATGTTCCCCACATCGATCATGATCGCCGTAAGAGTGTAGTGTCGGAAAGCTCTACGTCATTGGATGACTTGGACATATCCGCTAATCACTAGCCCATCCTCCGCCGTGTAGATCATCAACCATCTCAGGTGAATTGGAGATGGACTACTACTATTAACGCTTTCCAAGTGGTTTGACTGAAGTACTTACCGTGTATGTACAAGAACATGTTCTATCACGTGGCAGAAGGATAAAAGGGGAAACGGGGTAGTCAAATCAATAGCAAAACTGTTAAGTTTTGTTACAACCCAATGTGCCTGGTTCCACCTGCATGCTGCAGCGCGATGCTACGCAGCCATTGCATCTCCGATGAGGGTGGCGTTGAATTAACTCTGTGTATGGTACAGTACATACAGAACCTTACAATAGGATATCTCCGGAATCGGATAAGGATGACCAGTGCATTGGCGCTAGGCCTTGGCGCGGAATGATCACCATCATGGGCATACAATGGTGGCTAATTTAATTCTCACTGCGATGGAGTCGTACAAAGGCAACGCTGTCGGTCTTTTACTTGCGAGTGGTCTGTCTAAATTAGTGATAGAACGATGGAAGTGAAAGAAAAGAATCAAACATTATTACCGACCGGAGTTAGGCTGAATCGTTAAAGCCTCTTACAGAGCTTGGATAAATCCAAAGACAGATTCTTCTTGTTTATTTTTATTTATGTATCATTATTTTAAATCCTTTAACTTTTTGAAATTCAAAACCACTTGACCCCAAACTGACCATCCTAGAAAGGCCTGGAACCCATCTAGAAGGCAAAGAAGAACACCGAGTGCGGGGTACGTAACGAACGACCATGTCTAGACTGACCTACTGTACCCCCCCTCCAACACCCCCTTGGAGGGCTGCAACGGGCACACAGCATGCTCTGTGATTGGGTGGCTATTATACTCGTCGGTGTCATAGGACTTGGGGACTGCAACAGGCAGGAATTCGGCCCATGGGAAGTGTGCCGCTCTTTAGGGTAAGCAAACAAACTCGGCAGGTTCGTGATCGTTCCGCGGGCCCTCTATTGGTAGTTCGGCATCGAATGGATTTAAGGGTAGGACTTTGGTTCGGTTTTAGGTTCATGGAAATACTAATACCCAGTAAGGTACTGTCCACAATAAGTTTATTAGCCTTTACTTACAATATCTTCATGTGGTGTTTAATCCATGTTATCAAGGCTTTGAAGTTTCTGCTCTCACTGATCTGCTTCCCATTTGGGGTCATGCTCTGTCTCCTTCAACTCGAGAAGTTGTCATGGTCAAAGGTATACATTATGAAATGTTAAACTCGTTGCATTATACACATTTATATGGGCATTAATCATATTCGCCTGTCCGATGCAAAACAGCAACTTGGCCACTCTGGGATTTCATAAAGAGCAAGGGAAGGGGAAGAAAACGTGAACTTTTCTTGGCAGATACAAATCCCTCTGAAAAACATCAGCACGGATGCCGCCGGCCCTGTAAGTGACTTCCTACGAAATCAACAAATCTTTGACACTCATCCCAATCTTCCTTTGGGTGTCGTGTAAGGAATACGGGCGATTGTCGGAAATAGGCTTAGCATTCTCCTCTTGCATCGAGCCTACACTCCCTCGGCAATCCCGATTCAACATGAGGAGTGCGGCCGACGCTTCATGGTCCATCTCTGCAGAGGAAGCATGGTGTGTTTGTGGCTGGAGCACTGGTGAGGGATCGGCTGCCCAAGATCCACGGGACGACCGTAAAGCGCTGTCGCTAGGGTGAGTTGGACCCAACGCTGGACTAGGCAGGATTGAAGTAAAGTCCATAGTTGCACCCGTAGAGGGGATCTGGCTTCGAGGCGAAAACGCAGGTGAGGTAATGTTTGTATGACACCCATTGGGAAGTAGGTCTGGGGACACTGAAGCTGAGTATGTACTGCCCGCTATTTCTCCCAAAACCTCCGGCGACGATGGCGAAGGAGGACCTGGTGGCATGCGATGGGGAACAGCCCTTTGGCTATTGCCTGCAGTTTTAAGATCATGGATACATTGTTCTAAGTAATTGACGTAGTCAATGCTTGCCTAGAGTTTGAGAGCCGTTAGTGATTCGAACTAGGGCATGTTTTGGAGGTCACAACAAACCTGCAGAATGGCAAGCTTGTGCATGTCCTGACCCTTACAGGCTGGGATCATATCCTTGAGGGTTGAGAATTCCTCATTCATCTTAGATCTCCTTCGTCGCTCGATCAAACTGTGCGCTGTCTTGCGAGCAATCTTTCGACCGGCGGCGCTGGTAGCACTGGGCTGCTTCTTCTTGGAAGTGCTAGGAGTCACATTGTTCGAAGCGTTCTTGCTACTATCTTTAGATGGGGTCTTGCTCGCTGTGGGCGCTGGTTTGGATTGGCCTTGGGTCTGTGTCTTCGGTTTCATCTGGATGATTTTGCGTGTGCGAGTGGGAGGTGGTGGAAGATCAAAGTCCTCGAGTGGTCGTTTGATACCCGTTTGCCGGGGTGGGTTTGCACCACGTCCCATGTTAAGGTCCGGGGAAGTTGGGGAAGCAGGAAAATAAGCCGACTGGTCCGATTTGGATGACCTGCGACTGGCACTGTTCGCTTTGGCTGGGCTCATGGCAGCTGGAGGTAATGCAAACGGATCCGCAGTGTCCACGCACACCTGGTCCTTGATTATCAGTTCTCCCGACATTGCTGGGGTTGGCGGTAGACGAGAGCGTGGCATTGTTTATGATTGAAAGGAGTGCCAAAGCCTCTCGTAGGGTCTGGTGATGCCTTGTCTTGAAAAAGAGAGAGTAACTGAAACAAGATCAAGAACTAGTCCGTAATAGTAGAACTATGTAGGACAGGCTTTAAGCGTTGTAACGTCTCGTCTGCGTGATAACGAGATGGAAACTCGACGAATAGGTAGGTAAGACAAGAAACTAACAGGCAAAGGGCTAGATAAGGAGCGAGAGAGGGATCCCCTGAGATGGGATAAGTAGATATTACCCCGAAGTGTCAGCACAAGGATAAATCGGGTAAACGGTCCCAAGGAAAGGCACCGGCATGGTGGAGAGCAACGGGAAAGAGCCGGGAGCGTAATTGAGGGTCGAAGGAAGGCCAATTCGATCGAATGGACTTGAGATGATAGAAAGCACATAAATGATCGACGGACTGGTAGCTGTTGTTCTGATGTCGCGTGCTTGTCGAGCCCACGCGGTACCTTCTCCCCCGGTGATTGGCTAGAGAGTCACGGGAAGGGGGGCACGAGACTTGGGCCGGCTGGAGCCAACTCCCCTATCACTCTGGGGCTCGTGCTCCAGTTCGGCGTTCTTACGGGTGTATTCGACCATTTTGTCCCTTACTTTAGCATCTCTGGTTTCAGTTAAGAGAACCTTCAATTCCAAGTTCTTTGGGTTTCCCCTCACTGCACATCTTTTAGAAAAATTAAAAAAGGAGCCATGGGGTTTGGAGTGACATCCTGATTGGTACTACCAATGAGGGACAATTCTTAAATTTATTGTCCGTTGAGATGATCTTCCTCCCGTTACCAAGCTGGAGCAGTTGGTATCTGCATACATACATACATCCAACAGCGCATGTGTCCTCTTTCTCCTTTCCATTTCCGGTGTGACATCAACAGCAATGAAAAAGATTCAGTAAAGGACGTTCCCCCCAAACACTACACGTGATTCAGTCCAGATCAATTCCCTTTGCTGCATTGCGCAACCTCGTAGATATAAGGGGTTTTATTCCAAGCAACCCTAATTTTCCTACGGTGAATCGCCCCGTCCAGACGGGCATCGAAGCACGTGCGGACCTTTTATCCAACCAGTGGATCTTCTCCAATCTGATCCTGTGAACTTTACTATATCACTTTCTAGCAACGGTTAATGCACCCGGAGAACGAATCCCAGCTACAAACCCCCGTCAGCGATCGTCTCAAGTTACGAGATTGGTATTGCACCATCCCCCCCTCCTCCCTTTCCTCAAAAAGAGCCCAAGCCACGTACCAGAAGTTGGCCTCATTAGGAAGAGCCACCACACAGGCCAGACCCCCTAGCGCACAGGCTTGAGTACAATTCGCCATCCCGACTGTGGTCATTAGAGTCGCATTTGTCGGGGTCCCATGGAGGTTTGGATTTTCTGTCCCAGTGCGGAGGACCGATGTAGAATTTATGGCGGTAATAAGAGCATTAATGAGGCCTGGTTTGTTCATTGCGGATGATGGGGGTTTTGCGAAGTTTGGGCCCAGACGCTGAGATCTTGCTTCAACTCAAGATACTTTGTCCAGTTGACTTGCTAATTTCTCCCAAACCAACTTACCGGTGGATGCGTCTACAGACCCCCTCCTTATATAGACCTCAACATTCCTCCAAAGTAAATTCCTCTACAGGTAGTCTCGTCTAGCCTCCCATAAGCTTCTTTACATTCCTGGCGTCGTCTGTCGCCGGTTCTTAAATTCTTACCGATGTAGGTGATCTATTATGGCACTGGACAGCATTCTTCGGCGCTTCCCCCTTTCCCCAACTTGGGCACATCGTCGGTATTATGTAGTAGTGTAATGTGTACCGTATGATCAATTAAAATGGCTACCTACTTATAAACGCCCTACAAGTTACGCATTCCAATTAATATCTATTATCGAGTTGTGGAATGCTAGTGATTGGTGTCGACTGACAGACCCCGATTCAAGGGAGCAACGCCATTGATAACCGCCACTCATCCTGATTCCTATGTAATGTGATAGGCCGTATAAAATACTTAAGTAGATGTGAGTATAATATTATCCATGGATGTACATTTAGCTTATAAGTTTAGAGTACTATGCCTTCCTGGCTGAAAACAAAGGGAAAAGAGCATATCAGTGAACATCTAAATTTCTGAGACATGTTTTTTACTGCGAATAAACCCAGCCGGTCTAGCCTTCATTCCTTTCATTCTCAAGCAACTTAACATGGAACCTTCATCGCCTCAAGTATAGAGAGGCGCTACGACACAACGTTCATTTGTCGGAATGGATGGTGTTGGTTTCTACGGAGAATTTGTGGTGGTTGGAGAGGTATTATCGTAGCTTGTTCGTTTTGCCTTGAATTTGAATTGGAGCGTTGATTTTAACATTCCGAATTAACTTCTACTTGGTTTTGTTTGTTTTGACCCGGTCCTTTCTTCAGAAAATATTACTATCAGCCTATCTTGTAACCGTAAAACTCGTTGATCAATCAATGGATATGTACTTTGATTCTATCAATCCATAACATCTACATAACAGTATCCACATTACATCCTGACTTAGATACGCTGTTCACTTCAAGTGAACAGTCTGCCAAGAAGAACAGCCCCGAAGTTGTTCTCCACAGGCGAGGCATCCATTCTCCAGACACGATTACCGGCTCTCGAGCTCAGCCAGAGACCATGGTCACTCGAATGTTCTTCGTCGCCTTCAATACGGTGCCTGTTCCGTCGGTCAATGACACAGAGTCCCCGCGTCCACTGCCCGGTGGTCTCGATGCGGATATCCTCAGGCGAGGTCTGGGACGGCTTCCAATTCTCATCATCCGCGGTGATAGCATACCACACGCAGACGGGGTCGTGCAAACTGAGTTCGACATCATCACCGACACGCCCAGTATGCAGTTTCTCGACGGTGCGGAAAGTGTGAGCCATGAAGGCTGACACCCACTCCGCTAACGGCGAGCCTTTCTCCAGGAGTGGCGTGACTGCCTCCCGGAACTGGCCGCGAGAGACACCATGGCGGAGCGTAATATCTAGAGGGAAGATGCGAAGGGTAAGTTGCTTGCTGAGGTTAGTAGGGTAATCCGGGAGACTTGAGTTGGCTGGTGTTGTGCTCTTCGGCGAGGGTGATGTCAGGGCATAGACCCGTGCGGCTGCGAATGCGTCGGCGTACGCGTTGAATTCGGCGGCTGGGGTTACCTGTTCGTTGTCAGCGATTCGTTGTCAAGCTTGCATCTGGGGATGATGCTCTTACATTGCCAGGTTCGTTTACGGCTCCACCCATTACTACCACTTCCTTGACACGCAGGAACGTCTCTGGGTCAGCTGCCGATGCCAATGCGAGGTTGGTCAAAGGTCCGACTGCCACCAGAGTAACGGTGTCCGGGTCATTTTCACGCAAAACACGGAGGATCTCTTCGTGTGCCCGCCGCTTCGAAGGAATGAATGACGGGCGTGACGGGTTGCCCGTCGGGACGGGTTTGACCTCAACGGGATCAGCCGACGGATCGAAGAGATGCTCCCAGGTCTCCTTGGGAGTAAGGTGGGGATGCTGAACAAATCAGTCAGTTAGCTTATGGCGAGGTGCACGAGCGGCACGCTAACATACGCTGGCATGGATTCCTCCCAGACCATCGGTTCCATCTGTAAGGCGTGAGTTAAGTATAAATAACCAACCTGTTTGAAAAGTTGGAAACTTACGAAAATAGTCAGCCAGCATCTTTTGGTCCTCTAGGGGATCCTCCGCACCAACTGCGACGACCGGTGGAGAAGAGCGCAGAGCACCAAAACCTTCAGGGCGGCCTTGTTCCCGGCGCCACTGCATCTCTCGTTCGAGAATATGGAACATCGAGACGACATTACGAAGACAGCTACCTCAATCAGTGAGTCTGGCCTTCTACTGGCTCAGCGTGACGACACTTACCTTCTCACTTCGATATTACCGAAGGTCAGCGAGATAAGAAGAACTTCCACTTCCTCTGGTGTTGCAGAAAGTGCAAGTAAGAGACCAAGGATGTCATCGATGCCCTTTTGAGACTAAAGGTCAGTACTTCGCCAGTAGAAAAAGCGTTCATGTATCACTTACGGGATCGGTATCGATAATAATCTTCTTAGGGGCCATGGTTGAATCTAATTTTATACAGAAAACGAGATCAGTTGTTAGTACCGGTTTTATGGCTGAGGAAAGTGGGATGGTCTTGGCTTTTGTTTGTTCTCCACCTTAAACTCATTTATTAGTCATTATCTAGCTACGTATATACTATTTATACTCCGAGTACCCAAAATATCTATACTATCTACCACTTTGATACAGAGAATATATTGAAACTCATGGTTTTAGCAAATTATCGCTCAAAATCAACAGTTATTCTAGTATATATGTCTCAACATTAATCCAGCAGATATCCAAAGAAATATGGTTATCGCGGAGCTACAAATGATTGTCAATTTGTCATGTCCTAGCAGGTGGTTTAACCTTTAACTTGGTTCTATATGCTTGAATTCATAGTAGTTCTGGTCTACATAATTTGCACAACTTACAGATTCATTGACAGTCCTGGGAGATCCCCTTACAAGGAGACCATAATGTAACCTCTCTGTTACCCTCCCGCCGCTCACCCGCACTAATACTTCCTCTACCAACCCAACCCCCTATAACTATAACTTCTCAATTGTCTCCTTATACAGGATCACCTCGGTAAGATGGTGAAACTGACGGATCAACGATCGAGTGAGTGGGTAAATCTTCTTATTCTGTTTCCCTGGTTGGTCTCTTTTGTTTAGGCATTAATTCTAATTCCCCTTCTCGTGAATATTATTTTCCCTTGCTCCGGCGCTGAGTTGAAGCTAAAACACCGGGCTCAGAGGCGCCGGACTTACCTACTGTAATGGAGTATAATCAAGATGGTGTTGGAATTGGCTGGGCCCTGCTTGCGAACTATGCGACGTCCGCCCGGTTACGCTCGTTCTATCCCAAGTTTAATTAGTCAGAGCCACCTCCTGTCGGCCAGGAGAGCCAAATTAGATGGGCCATACGACGGAACACTTACGGCTCTGTCCTAACGCCGCATAGCAGAAATCACCCCTTCTAGTCACTCCCTTAGATCGCGAGTACGACAGTCCCACAAGGTTGGCGACCCAGCCGAGGGAAATGAACTGCGGCACAATCCAGGTTCCACCGCGGAAACACCCTTGTTTCTCGTTTGACTATATTGAAAGAGAGTATCCTGTAAATAGTACGCCATATAATGCTCTAGGGTACAGGCCCCCAATTGTCCGCGAACGACAAACAAGCATATACGGATCGCACCCCACGGGATGTATACAGGATTTAGGGCTTATGGACAGCTATCCCTCCACCCATTCGGATATCTTGAGAATTCTTGCGAATTTCTGTCAATCTGACTACTGCACAGCCCTACTGAAGGATTCATCATCTTCCCACGCGTATATAGAGGTCGTTGAACCATGGTCTACCTCGGCTACTATACTGTCCGAAGCACTCTCATCACGATCACTTTGGCAACCTTCTTTGTTGGCGGGTATGCACGGTCCAGTCTCTTTGCCGTTACCCTCGTCCCCGGCCAGCTTCCGTCTTGCTGACGGGTTCGGATATGCTTTGCAGCAGAACCACCGCTCTGTCATCCGGCTAAATCTGCAGCACTTTCTCTAGCGCGAAGTCGTCGGCTTCCAGGTGGTGGGGGCTAAGCGTCCCGCTTGGCAGGTGATGGATTCATGATGGTATATATTGCTCCTACTATTGCGGATGCTACTTCTTGATTGGTATAAATGATAACGTGCATGCGCCTTGTACTTTTCATTATCTTTATCTTTCTGATTACGCCCTTTCTCCCTTGCTACGTGCTATTATGTCTTTCCTAAGCCCGTCTATCTGGCTACTTGCAAGGACGCATCCCTTGTCCACCAGAGTTCTCAGAGTTGTCCATATTTCCCTTAGTTACCTCGTCTTGCAACATCGGCATGAAAGACGACGGCTTGGAAATAACATTCAATGCGGGTAGCTATCCATCTCTCCAGCAGCCTGAAAAGGAAACCGATGGCCGTCCACAACACCTGGATAAGTCTGAGGATCCCACAAACTGGCCTCTTTGGCGAAAGTGGTCTATAGTGACCCACATGGCTGTGATGTATATGTTGGCGTATGTCTACTGCCTGTCCTACCAAACGCATTGCTAGTCCTAACCATTTGTGCAGGAATTTGAACCATCATTATCGTCCCGGGTGTACCGCTCATTTTGTCGTGTGTTCGCGTCTCAGGGAAGTTCTATCAGCCGTTAGTTGTGTCCATCTGGGAACTGGGCGAAGGCGTCGGCTCATTCATGGTCGGACCACTATCGGAGCATTACGGGCGCAATATTATCTATTACGGTGGAAACCTTCTTTTTATTCTCTGCTCCGTTGCAGCCGCGCTGAGTCCAAATATCTCCGTTCTAGTGGCCTTCCGCTTCTTCAACGACATGGCAGTTACTTCTCTTATCTTCTCCCCTCCCCCCCAAGTATTACTGGAGACCTGTTTGTCCCAGAGGAACGAGGCGCTGCGATGGCACTGGGTATTACTCTTCCTCTAATCGGGCCTTGCGTGGCCCCGGTTCGTCACGAGCGCCCTTGGCTGGCGATGGGCCATCTGGATCATGGCTATTGCCGTAGGTAGCGTATCACTATTTTCTCTAGCCGTGCTCAAAGAAACATACCGGTTCAAAATCCAATAACGGGATCCCGGCGACGAGAATTGCGAAAGCCCATCATCCGGATTCCTGCTCCAGTCCATCGTCCGTCCGGTGCGGCTCCTCTTCTCTTCGCCCATGCTGCTAGTAATGGCCCTTTATACAGTGCTGACGCACGGTATCTCCTACCTAATCCTGACCATGTTGTCTGAAATCATGTAGGAAGCGTACGGTTTTGGCCAGGGCCCACTGGGCATCACCGTCCTCGGCTGAGGTATGATCCCCTTGCCACCCGCTCTCACCAAAGCTATCCAAATTAACCAGTCCAGCAATCGGCAACATCGTTGGCCCATGCTTTTACGGTCTCATCTCCGACCGCTACGCCAAGCACCGGGGGGTGATAGAAGGCGAATTCAAGCCCGAACAACGCCTGCCGCTGATGGTCTTTGGTACTGCTATGCTCCTCATCGGCTTAACCCTGTACATTTAGTCGGCTGACAAGCACGCCCACTGGATCGTGTCCCCTTATCGGGACGGGCACCATCGGCTTCAGCATGCTTCTGGCCAAGCCGCCCACGGAAAACTACCTGGTCGACACCTTCGACAAGCAGCGTGTCTCCGCATTCGCCCTGTCGGCCAATGCCACACCCTATGCGCTCTCTTCGGGGCCTTCTTTCCCCTCGCCAGCCCATCCCCGTATCACTCACTCGGTGGGTTGGGGAAACTCCCTCCTGGCGTTTCTCTCGCTGGCGTTCTTGTCGCTGTTTACGGCGCTCTGGTTACGTGGGGAGGGGTTCCGGAAGTTGGGCTGGGGATATCTCTAGAGAAGTCTCAGGGCCTTCAACCGGGTAGAGGGAGAGGCGGAGAGGCCGTGTCATAGTCACACGATAATTTAACTTACTTAGTCCTCAATGGAAAACACATGAGTGTCTAGGGATCTGACCCGCTCGGAGTATTATTAAGAGTCCTAGTTAACTAACTATATTCAGTTTTGCTGAGATAATGAAGTAGGTTTGAACGACGTTACATTCACCCCCCTAGGCAAGCAGGCTGCCACGATGTACTCCAGGCAAGTATCAGTACTCGAAGAAGCCTCGTGGCTCTGTGCATGAGGTTGGGATGATTCTTCACATGGTCACGCAAGGGGGTGGTTTGTTTATCCGAATACTACTAGAATCAAACCTGTCATCTTTTCCCAGGATGACGGAATTCTGGAGACAGGATGATTACAGTAAGAAGGGGAATTTTTGAGGCGATGTGTCCTGTTTCCCCAGTCGGGCATGGCGCGATACCGGATTCCGAAAGGTCCTCCGTAATATTCCATACCAGTGTGTACGGTAATCTTCCCGGGGTTCCTTTCAGTGGGTGGTGTAGCGTAATGTGAATACCACCAATTACGTGCATTGCATGGGCAAACTTTTAGTGAAATCCAAGTGAATCATTCGCAAGCCATCGAACTTTTGTCTAGACGTCCTTCGACAGGGGCTGGATGGGGATTGGCCGAAGATCTTCCCCCGCGCAAAAAGTAATTTGCCCCTGGTGATTCAATTCAATTCAATTTGATACTTGACATAACTAATATAGGTAAGTTATGACCAATTAATTCTGGAATCTCTTAGCTTCCTTCGCTAAAATAAACGGGAAATCCTTTGTCCCAATTTATTGTTATCTATCGTGTTTCCATAGTTTAAAGGTGTGAAAAAAAGAATGAAAGAAGAGAAGAGAAGAAACCCAGTCAATAATATCCCTGTTGAATCCGTCACCACAATCATTGACAATGGTAGATATTGCGAGGAATCAGAGCTGATAGACCATCGTATCTCTCTTGCTTTGTAGAAGTGGAGAAAAAGAGAAGATGGAGGTGCGGGTGTTGGCGCGCAGACCATTTGAACTACGCCAGTAATTTCAATTCACTTGCCGGGATGACCACTAGTAGGAAATGGTCACCCCTTCATCTTAAGCGTGTCCTCTTCTTAACGACTACTACTTCCTACCTTCTCCTTCACCCCCTCCCCTTCCCCTTCACCCAACTCCCTTTTCCTCCTCTCTCCCCCCAATTTCCCATCCTATCGCATCTTGTTCCGTCTGCACTCAATTCCTCCACGATTTGGTTGAGGTTGCTAGGCGGTTCGATGTTCCTTGGTTGATCCCGCTTCTTTTTGCCTCCCAAATCTCAACGCCCTCGAAGACTCGGCATCTTAAATCAACTACAAAGAGCCTCGAGCCCCTCCAAGGTCATTAGAATAGTCTTGAGTACAAGTGCTGAAGTCCCCTTACTACGGGGACTGTAGCAGCTTCGTCAATCGGTCTTCGCGACCTACGACGCAATCTGGCCTTTAGGAGAAGCCGAGATCTGGCTTTCCCCTTGTCCTTCAATCACCTGCCGTGCCATCACCCTCTCAGCCTAATGATTTGAAGCTGAATTGAAACCCCGCGAGAGATCGCTTGTTACTAGTTTCCCTGTCTCTTCACTATTTTTTATTTCTTTCTCCCCTTTTCAGTTATTCCTCTGAGATCCTTGCGACCGTTTTTCTGCGCCGAGTTGTCATACCGTGCGCGATCACTGTCGCAAGATATTTGAAAACGTGCCTTGTTTCAATTTCTGATCACGATTTGCTACGTTGGCTCAACGATTTACACACAATAAACGTATGCATGACCCTCGGGAAATTTATTTATCATTGGCATGTCTCAGACTAACCATAAGATTGGATATAGCTCTGACGATGATGAACCCTTATCTCAGTTGGGCTATCCTGCTCGTTGTAGCAGGTGGCCTGGGCTGGTACTATAATGGCCCTGTCCCCAAAACGAAAACCCCCATAAAGCCCGCCGTTGTGGAAAAGACCGAGAGCTCGGTGGCCACGAAGAAACCCAAGAAGAAGGCCAAGAAATCTCCGGAACCCTCACCTGCCCCCGCCGTTAAGGTTGAGGAAAAGCCCGTGTACACTCCCCAAGCCCAGGAGGCTGATGTGCAGGACGAGGAGATCGACAAGAAAGAGATGGCCAAGCGCTTCGCCGCCGTAAAGAACGGAATTCCTCTCAAGGAGACCAACAGGGACAGCAAGAGTGGCAGCAAGGCCCAGAAGAAGAACAGGAATGGACCTTCCAGCCATCCTGTCGCCGGTAACAACGAGCGATCTGCCTCCCGCGTTTCCACACGTACCTCGTCCACTACTGGAGCCGAGGCTGATGATGATCTCTCTCCTGCTGGTTCCCCCAAGGTTAATGCTACTGTCTCTTCCGCTGGATATGTTTCGGATATGCTCGAGGCTCCCGCTCCCCCGGCGTCGGTCCTCCGTGTAACGGGCTCTCTGGAGTCGGAATCCCAGAAGAAGAAGCAGAAGCCCCAGTCCTTCAAGCAAGTCGAAACCAAGAAGCAACGCCAACAACGCCTGAAGAATGAAGCTCGGAAGCAGCAGGTTCAGGAGGCCGAGGAGGAGCGTCGTAAATTGCTTGAAAAACAGCTCCACACGGCCCGCGAAGCTGAGCGTCGTGAAGCTGCTAAGTCGAAGCCGGCTGCTGCTCAAACCAATGCCTGGCAGACAAAGAGCATAAACAACGTTACCAATGACACCCCCAAGACCACCCCGGCCCCCAAGGTCGAACTGCTGGACACATTCGAGCCTGAAACCTCATCAGCTGCCGCATCCGCTAAGGAATGGGACCAGGGTCTTCCATCTGAGGAGGAGCAGATGCGCATCCTCGGCGCGGAGAAGGGTGAGGACCAGTGGACTACCGTGTCCAGCAAAAAGATCAAGAAGAAGGGCGGCAAAACCGATGAGAGTGAAGCTAGCGCTGTTGAAGACCAACCTACTCCGGCTGCCCCTGTCCCTGCCCCCGTTGAACCCAAGGTGAAGATCACTCCTACTTACCTTCCTGATATCCTCCGTTCCAACAAGAAGGGGCATCCTCTTGACTCCGATTGGGCTGCTTAAGCGGTCTTTGCACTCCTTGCGAGGACAAGTTGAGGCTGTACCTTTCCTTTTAAGTTTCATTTATGGGAATCTTTTCGATTTCACTGTATGTATTATTCATGGCTTCGGCGTTTGGGGTCCTTTACAACACCAAAAATGCACCGCGCAGCCGGCGAGGTGTTTGATTCCTTTCCGCGGATTCAGCGAAGGAAATATCCTCAACCACAAAAATCAAAGAAAGCCACCCCCACAAAAAAAAATAGAGCCGTGTAATATCCTTTTCTTTTATTTGTGTACTGCTCCGAAATTTTCTTCCATTTTTTTTTTATCTTTTATTTATCTTACTTCCATTTGTTTTATAACACTTATCTGATTGATAATTACGGATGAAAAGACGTTTGATCTATGGCCGGATTCCGGGCTTTTAACAATATCATGCTTATTACTTATTATAAATCCTTTGCTGATTGCTCTGAGAGCAAATCCAATGCCTTTCTGCGGGCAAATGACGGTGAGTTGGGTGCCTAGGATGTGCAATGATCATATCTTGTATACATACTGAAGGGATCTGCAATGGTTCGTCCGCGCAGAAGCCACCTGGCCTTTTCTTTGTCGGGAAGATCTTTGTTTTTGCGTTAGCTTCTAAGTATCGTGTTCATTATTGTCCCCTCTCGGTCAGGGTTTTGGATGTGTGCTCCGCTTTTTTTTTTTCCCCGGGACTTGTTTAGGACTAATCATGGAGAGGAATGGGCCATTTGGGGAATGACGATCATATAGTAAGTAGTACCCCCCGATATACAGTGGGGATCCGTTGTACATATCTCATGTACTATGCTATGTAAGTGAATAGGATCTAGTCTGGTAGTCGCCTGGTAGGGAGGAGGTATCTAATCCCCACAATCGACGGCAGTCGGTGACATGGTTCAAACGATGACTTAAAAATAGAAGAATTGCAGGAGCAAAAACGGATCTCAAATGTCGTCAGAGAAACTCGAACCCTCTTTCTCAGATCCTTGGCAACTTTACCTGAACTGGTTTAGTCGAGAGTTCCGGTCATCGTGGCCTGAACGGCATGGCCAAAGTAATTGGAAGTCACGGGCAAACGATGTAACTTGTTGTTTTGTCCTCTTTTCCCTTTCGCATCATTTGTTCTTTCGGTCCTCCTCTCACTTCCTCCTCTTCCTCTCTCTCTCTCTCTCTTCTTGAGAACCTCTTCAATTCGGATTGTGATCCCTTTTCTTCTTCTACCGTTCCTTTCTGTATTCATTTCCCCCCCTTTTTTATTTTACCGACCCCTCGTGGCAAGCTCCCGAGGTCCCTATTCTCTACTCCTCATTTGCCCTCCGCGGTTGATTACCTTCTCTCACTAAACAACTATCTCCGCCATGGCGCAAATACGCGGCACCGCGGGATACAATCTCGGTCACCAAAATCCTTTCGGAGGACCTGGTCGCGCAGACGCTACAAATGACCCTAGCCCCTTGGATGCAATTCGGGAACAAACCAGCAAGATTGAAGATTGGTTGGACACGTTGGCAGATCCCGTTAAACCGTACGTGGTCTTTCCGAACCATCCCCGCTTTTCTCTCGTTGAATTGAGTTGCAAGGGTGCAATAAACAATTATCGAGAAGAGAGTGTCAGACTCTTGTCGCTAACACTGTCTCCTTCCGTCTCAGCTATCTCCCAGCCATTGGTCGTTTCCTGATCGTGGTCACCTTCATTGAGGACAGTCTGCGTATTATTACACAATGGAGTGATCAGCTCCTCTATCTTCGGGAATATCGCAAGAGTAAGCCTTATTATTGTCAGCGGCAGCAACAATCACTACCCCCGGTCTAACCATGTGTTCACTCTTCAGTTCCGTGGGGTATCACGCACACCTTCCTCATTCTCAACGTGATCGCTATGTCTATATGTTCATTCATGGTCATTGCTCGCAAACACACTGAAATCGCCGTTGCTGGTCTGCTGGGTGTCGTCGTCACCCAGGGCCTCGGATATGGACTCATCTTCGATCTCAACTTCTTCCTCCGCAACCTGAGTGTGATCGGCGGTCTCCTCATGGTGCTCTCCGATTCCTGGGTCCGCAAGAAGTTCGTTCCGGCTGGATTGCCCCAGCTTGATGAGAAGGACCGCAAGATGTACGTTCAGTTCGCTGGCCGTGTCTTGCTCATCTTCCTCTTCATCGGGTTCGTCTTCTCCGGCCAATGGAGCTTCTGGCGTGTTCTGGTCAGCTTGTTCGGCTTGGTCGCATGTGTCATGGTCATTGTGGGGTTCAAGGCCAAGTGGAGTGCAATCATCCTGGTGGTGTTGCTGAGCGTTTTCAACATCCTGGTCAACAACTTCTGGACCGTACGTATACCTCCAATTGGCGTTGGCGTTGGCGTATCTAGCAACTAACGGTTCCTCTAGCTCCACCCCCACCACCCCCACAAGGATTTCGCCAAGTACGATTTCTTCCAGATCCTGTCTATCGTGTAGGTTCTACTATACTTATCCCACTCTGGTCTCAAAACCCAGCAAACTAACTATCCCGTTATCATAACAGCGGCGGTCTCTTGCTTCTAGTCAACATGGGCCCGGGCCAGTTGAGCATGGACGAGAAGAAAAAGGTCTACTAAACAGGCCCCAACCGAAAGCAAGAAAGGAAAGAAAGAAAGAACCAAAAAGCTGAAAAAGCTAAAAAAGTTAAAAAAAGACTACAGCAAAGGGCCACTGAGTTGTGCGCATGTGTGCTAATTACTCATGACATGTTTCTTACGGGCGTCTGAAAACCTCGCTATCATTATGTGATCCTTTCGCATCTTCATATATCATCATTGTTCCGGAAGCCCGTTCCTCCATTGGAGTTCGATCATTGTGTACTGGTTATACGCTCGCGACATTGGCTGAATCCATCATTTGCAACGTATCTATCATCAATATACCACATTCATTGTTCTCTTCTTCCCTTTCTCTTTTTCTGTCTTGGATCAGGTTCGTTTCGGTAATTATTGTTACCAGCTTCCTACCTATGATATCCCGTGAGGTAAGTAGGTAATAGTAAATCTTCATGTACTGATAAAAGCTAGATTCCATACCCTTGACCCATAAACACCCATAACCCAATCGTAGAACAAGATAGAGTAGGACAAAAAAAAGAGAACAATTCAAGATCGTTGGAATAACAAGTCATAATGAAAGAAAGCTGCAGTAATTGATATTAAAAAGGTATTATACATGAACATGATGATGCAACTGCGACTTCAGGATAATGCATGGTTAAACGATACAAAAAAGACAAGGAGAATAACGGATAAAGAAAATGCTAGCTAGAGAATGTAATCTGCGCCTGATAATGAGAGGATAGATGGAATCTGCAGGGATGGTATGTAGTTGTAGTTGTAGTAGTTGTAGGTATGTATGTTATGGAGACAACGGATTAAAACAGTCAAGGGAAGCCTTTAAAATAATCTCGTTCGTTTCTGGTGGTCCTGCCATGCACATAACAACGGACTTCCTTGATAAAATATTGCTCCAAAACATGGAGAAGTGATGGAAGGATGATAAGGAACGGAATGATGATCGCTTTTGTCTGCTGCCAACGCCGAGAAAATCCAAGCATAGGAGGGTGTATCAGAGGTCTGAGATCAGAATTCCAGGAAACAGAATCGAGGTTTAAAGGGTTGCTCAAGGAATCGAACACTCCCGTTAGATATCCATACTCCAACGCCAGGGCCGTATTTGCTCCAGATCACCAAACCCGACTTCCTCATGGGGATCGGAAATCTCCAAATGCAATAATGAAACTTTCTTAACGTCCCGATGCAAGCTCGACAACGTCTTCGACACCTGTGGCCGGAACAGTCTGCTACCATCATCGGCTTCCTTGGACATGGGCCGAGAGATTGGCGTCTGCGGGGATTGTATGGAGACTCTCGGGGATTCTATGTCGTCGGAGTCGATCGAAGCCAATGAGGACGAATCGGACCGTGAACGCAGAGACGAAGCTATGACAAAATTAGACTCATCACGTCCGTACGCAGGGGAGGGTGACGTGAATTGGCGGTTGTCTATGGGCTCAGGTGTCTTTAGAGGTCGAGGGTCATCATCGTCGTCGTCATCATCATCATCATCGAGGTGGGCGAAGGGGGGACGGGCTCGGGCTGACTTTTTTTCGACATGTTGAGTGGGTAAAGGAGGGAGGTGGGTTCGTTCGGGATTTTTGTTGGTACTCTTCTCGCGAGTGATTCGTGTGTCGCTGGGACTACTCTTCTGGGTCGGGGTATCGACACGATCTTTTCCGGCCATCACCCTAGCGCTAGGAACTGGTTGTAACATCCATCGTGTCTCCGCGCGACTCTTGGGCCCACTAACAATGGGAGGATGAAGATCATTGACTGGAGGAACCCGAGCAATATAATATTTACTGGGTTCGTTGGCATTCGCTTTACCGCTACCCGAAAGTCCAACGGAAGATCCCTTCACCTCTACTTCCTCCCCCCACAACGGTTCATCTTCGCGCTGGTATCGCATTCGATTCCATCGATCTTCTATCGGTTGCATCAAGCTACCCTTGTCTTTCTTTTGTGAAGCACGTACATCCCGACAGGAATTTGTGGAGATTCCATCCGTATTCCAACTATCGGTACGACGATGCGCAGAGCGGTTGCCACCTCTTCTCGCCGGAGGACCGGGACCTAGAGCAATCTCCTCCGCCCATCCTGGGTTGGTACTGAATGCGGTCGGTTGAGGGAATGGTCGAGGTTGGTCGGCAACTATCTCGTCATGCTTCTCCTTCGCGCGACGGGATCGGGCCGCTTCAGCTTCTTTCATACGTTTCCGGCGATCGACTTTTTCGGCACATGGCGTACAGGTAGCATAGTAGAAGACCGCTGATTGAGCGCCTCGCCACAGCCACATGGTTAGGCTGGAGAAGGAGGTCGGGAGGGTGGTTGGGGAGCGGTGTATGAGGTTCGCAGGTCAACTGATCGCAACGCCGGCCAAGTACTACTAATTACTGGCACTCACGAGAACAGAATGGCCCGGGGGCACCGATCAGTAGGTCTCGATATGTGCCGTGTCGCGGGCAGCAACATGAAGGGCGTCTAGTTCGATAGTGGACGGGGGATGGGGCAGATAAAACGGAGATCGCCCAGCGACCTTCAACGTCGAAGAACAGGTAGTTACACAGAAAGCAACGGGCAATCCAAAGAATACGAGGGACGGAGAGAGACAAAGAACAAAGATCAAATCAATTGGAGAAATACGGACAAAGGACAAGAAACACACAGAAGAAGAGCGATAGATAGAGAGAGAGAGAGAGAGAGAGAGAGAGATAGGGAAAGGGAGAGGGAGAGAGGAGTCGGGAGGAGTAACGGGAGTCAATCAGGGGAAAGTGAGAAAGACGGTTGGTCACTTGGCAGGGGCGGGGCGAGACGGCAGAGAAAAACGAAGACGGCGCTACTGGATCATTTCCGGATGGTCTGTTTGATTGTTGAAGTGTCAAACAGAAGTAGTCAGTTCCTTGTAAGAAGTTATATATCGTGCGTCTTATATATGAACTATGACCTCCCCCCAAAAAAGAAAATAAGACCTTCAAAATCCCCTCACGGGAAAAAACGAAGCCAATTCCATTCAGAATTGGGCAGCGACACCATTGACGCATTGTCTCATTTTTTGAATTCTTAGTGAAACGAATGGTCCAATCTAGTTGACGCCGTCTGCTGGTTAGTTCACTTATTCTGGTTGCCTACTATGTATCATTGATTTATTCTTCTGACTTCTTCCTCGCCAAGCGGGACCTTTTCAATCCGTATTGGAGGAATTCTGTTCACCAAATTATCTTTTGCAGAGGATTATATCAGATGGAGGTTCCACTCCACCCCATTCAACTTGGCGGAAATTGGCAATTCAAGATACATTGTTGATTAATTGATCGTTCGTTCGCTTCCCCTTTCCGATCGTATGCGTTGTCTATCGACAGACAGTCCTGAGGAAAATGTAGTGCCGCTATTGATGTCTCCCTTGTTCTATCCCATCCGATTCTCCCTGTTTCACACCCACACAACACACATCTCTCCTTTTGCCCCCCTTTCCGCCCTCCTGATCCCGACAAATAAAACCCCCGGAGCCGTAGCGCTAGTATTATTGACCTAAGATCGCAATCTTCCTTAAAAAAGCTGCCGCCCAGTCCGAGCCCCACCATAGTCGCAGAAAAGTGACCACGATATCAATCCAAGCCTGTGTCACAGCCACGGACAATGACCCAATGACCCATAACGTCTCCTTCGCCGCGTGACATGGTGCGCAAGATGTGCACTGTAGGTGAGGCTCTGATGGACTGCTGCAACCTCAGCCACGAAGAAAAATAAGATCTATCACATTAAAGACCTAGCCACCATGCCACGTTTTCGATCATCCAACGTCACTCATATGCAAAAAAGGAGGTGGTTCTTTCTTTAGCAAGAAAGCTCGCATCGTAACTGGTAAAAGTAAAAAAATCAGGGTTCATGCGTTCTTGGTGCCCTTGACCACTTCGCCCTTAACCTTGGCCCAGTCGATATCGCCATCAATCTGTTCGTCTACCTCGCCGCATACGACCACGTTATCGCCTCGGATCAGGTATAGACCGTGTTCGATCTGGGAGCTCGGCTCGGGGTCATCGGGCGTGCGGATGATTCGTTCGATGGTATCCAGAAGAACCAGGTTAGTTAACTGGTCCGTGGAAAGGAGCGTCCCAAGGAGAGTCCGTCCGTCAACCGTCAGCACGAGGACTTTCTCTATTAGGGGCTCTGAGCGTTAGCACGGGCTTGCAGAATGTTGGGATCCACAGCTGATGAGAGGACGTACTATTAATATAGGAGTGGAGAGACATAGTGGTGCGCTACAAGAATCCCTGAGGTAACCGGGTGGGAACGGCGTGCGTACTCGAGGAGCGCAAATAGGTCCGAGCCGGGCTGAAGCTCTGGAACGGTTATGAGAGAGGTTGCTGGAGCCGCCGTTCACGGAACCGAGTCCACCGGAACGGACACCGAGAGAATGTAGTTAAGAATTGGGGAGATATTAGCCACAATTGGTTTCTGTAGTGGTGAGACCGATGTGAATTATAGCAATGTACCGCCGATGTTGCTTTTCAAAACCCGTGATGGACGCGCGTGTGGGGGGCTGATGCTCTCCGGCCTCGTTTTATTTCGGTGTTAGAAGCCCATTTAAAAGTAAAACCAAGATGACATGCTATACGAGGCGATTTGGCGGATTATGGTGAACCAGCACAGCAGTTGTCGCAACAATGAGTTTGTTCTCCGGCCAGACTGCGATACGATTAGTCTATCACGTGATGACCTATGACCCTTGACCTTGCTGGAATTATCAAATACCCGAATCTACTATATCTATTTATCCCCCAACATTCTACATATAAGCAGTCGCAAAAAAAAAAATATGGATCATTTCTAGAAAAGCCGTGGCTTAATATACATGATAAAATGGAAATGAACAAAACAGCCGAGAAAGCTATGGTTGTATTGCCTACGGAGTATTGACTACCGCGATAACAATATGCAACTAGAAGTCACAAAGCATTTTGACAAACTGCAAGTTTGCTTGCTCCTTATATCAATCACTTAGTCACTCAATGCGCTTAGATCCAATGGCACGCTGCTGCCTCGTCCAGCACGGTATCGCCTGGGACCTCCTGTAAATGGTCGAGGCTTGGGTAATAAACCTTCGCTCTGGAACTTGAACCGAGTGTCTTCTACCCGAATTATGCCGTGGGCCGCTGAGCTCAAAGGGCTCGGCCCTGGCGACGGCCCGCCGTTGCTCAGGGTATAAGCGCTCGGATCCAGTGTGGAACGATCCGGAGGGTGACTAGCTGGAGGCTCGTAAGATAAGGGACGTGATGGTGGCTCACTCGACGGAGCACTTGGAGGGGCACTTGGAGGGGGTGGTGGAGGTGCTGAAGGGGCCGAGGAAGGGGGTGGTGGGGGAGGAGGTGGCGCTGATGGTGTCTGGTGGCTGTGTCCAAAAGCGTTCCTCGCAGCTTGAACTGCTATCGATGCAGTAGCAGTTCCATTAGGTGGTTGCGGTGCTGAGACTGCAGGAGGCGGCGGTGGTGGAGGGGTAGATCGCGCAGGAGCTGGGGGGGGTGGCCGGACCGTAGGTGGGGGTGGAGGTGGGGGTGGTGCAGCTGGACTTGCAGAAGGAGGAGCAGGGGACGGTGGACCTGGATTTGATAATTTCCTAGAAGACACAGGTGGTGGTGGAGGTAGCTTTGCTGAGCCTGGCAATGGTGGTGGTGCGCGAGGTGGTGGAGCATCTGGTGCCGACCTGGCCGATGCGGTGGATACAGTAGACGACGGCCTCGATGCAGGCCTCGGGGGAGGTTTCTTCAGACCCGCGACCAACGGGTTAATGGGAGGAGCGGGAGGAGACTCTGAAGAAGGCAGGGGAGGAGGACGAGCTCCCGGAGGTTTCAGAGCGGGCGACACATGAGGTTTCGGCGCCGACGATCCTTCTAATTCGGACCGATATGGCGAATCTCGATTGGCTCCAGTATCAACTCCCCCTCCTCGGCTGCGCAGCTTGGGCATACCTCCAGCAAAGAGGCCTCCCAGTTGAGGAGCAGCGGGCAAAGCCGCGCTACTGTCCCCCCCTGAACCAGCTCCGCTGTCACTTCGTAGTCTATTTGCTGCTTGCCCCGGTACTGGCGGTGCCGAACTTGGGGGCTTCATCATGGTAGGAATGGGTGGAGCGCCTGCGACCGGAGGGCCGGATGATTTCGTTCCTCCGCCAACAACCGGCGCTGATCTGTCGTTGGTTACGGTCTTCTTAAGCCGTGTGCCTTTGTGAATATCCGAGAGAAGGGCGCCCTGCCGAATGTATTAATTTCTGTCTTGGACAGCGGACTCAAGCAAGTGAACCTACGCGGCCTTTCACTTCTGCACCTGAGGGCCTACTCGGGAGAGCCCCTGGAGGCGGAGGGGGAGGGGGTCCTCCCATGCTACCGGGCGGCGGCGGCGGCGGTGGTGGTGGTGGAGGCATCTCGTCAATACGAAAGGTAGAGCGTAAGATTGGATGTTTACAAAAGAGCGGGGTTGGGTAGACACAGAAAAGAAGCGATCGCGATGGATCAATCCGCCGGAATCGAGGGGACCATTTGACGGTTCTTTCAGGGAGAGAGATGACGTCCGTTGGAATGGGGAGGAAGGAGGAGCGTCAAATGTAGCCTGATGGAGAAAAGCAAATGGATCCCAGCCAGAGTTGCCCAATAGTGGAGAGTCCGCCCGGAGTTAGTGGCGGTGCTGCCGGCGGCAGTAAGACTCCGCCTTAAAAAGTGTCGCATTATTGATTGTCTCTCCCCGATTTCGTCCACTCAGAATACAACCCTGGGAAAATAGTTCCTCGAGTGCTTACCATGACAGGTATGGCTTTACGAGGTCAAAGGGCTGCAAGTCCTCGGACTCTGATATGCCAATTCTGCCAATTCTCCGCATCCCCGGCACCCCGACTACGAACCCACTTTACTCGATCTGTTGCATCAACCAGACCGTTCACTTCCAACGGGAACTTGGGACTATGGAAGGCCAAAAGGAACTTGAACACCCATTGGGCCATTGTACAGACTGTATCCAAAAAATTTTCATCAAGCACATCCGAAACAACTACACCCATAGATCTAGAAGATGCTTTGCGACAAATTACAAACGATTCAGCCGAGGTCCTACGGCTGGACTCAGTGCCCTCGAATGAGTCAATTGTGAAACTCCTTCAACAATGTGAAGAAATAGCAGAAGCCCTCGTCCACCAAGACCAGGATACAACAAAGAAAGGAGACAATGAAATATCCAATCTGCTCGACCTAGAAGAGAAGAGCGCCACGAAAAAGCCCTCCAAATCAACCCAGATTGCAGATCCACAACTGGCCAATTCTCTTTCCCAGATCACCTACGATCTCTTGACGAACGAAAAGGTGTTCATTTCCCCCGAAGCGCTGGCCTGCTACACCAAGATTCAGAGCTTACTCAAGCGCGCCGAGCACTTCCCCGAGATCTTCTATCTGTATGCGCACAAACCGGTTCCGGAGGAGAATACCTCTCCTGTGAAATTTCACAAGGCAAATCCCAAAGACATTAACAGCGCTATTCCTACCGATCTCGCCAACATGGCCCTCGATGTCGCTATTGAGCAACGGAACCTGTCTCTCGTTCTTGCCATCATCGATAATACATTCTGCGCTCCTGCATTTTCCCGTGCGAAGATCTTCAAAAAGGCAGCTGTACCTCTCGGGGGGATAGCTGCCGCGCCAGCTGCTTGCTATGCCGTTGCATCCTGGGCTGCGACACTTCAGAACACCATGGATCCCAGCACAGCTACGGGCATTGCATTTGCTGCATCTCTTGCTTATGTGGGAGGCGTATCGTCGGTGGGCATACTCGCTATCACCACAGCTAATGATCAGATGGAGCGGGTAACGTGGCTACCTGGTGTGCCGTTGCGGCATCGTTGGCTTCGGGAAGAGGAGCGAGCTGCTTTGGACAAGGTTTCACTTGAGTGGGGCTTTAAGGATATGTATATGCGAGGCGAGGAAGAGGGAGAGGAGTGGGAAAACTTGAAGGAGTTTATCGGGATGAGGGGAATGATTTTGGACAAGACGGATCTAATGCCTGGAATGCAATAAACATAGAACACTGTCTTATTATTACATCTCGTTCTACTGTATTTTTACGGAAAGATGACCGTTTAGAGTGGCCAAGGCAAATACAAAGGATCTACAAAATACGGCTAACAATTGAGCACAGGGCTACTTCTACGGAAAGGCACAAAGAACGAGTTAGGAACCAAGTCGTGAGTCACATTTTCCGAAGCTGTGCCGTATACAATCCCACTTCTAAGCCCCTAAAATACCCCCAGCGTGAGCAGAGAGCGCCAATAACTTAATAAAGACGCTTGGGAGGAGACATGGAAGCCTTGAGGACAAGGCTGCCAACGTTCTGCCAGCCCTTCTTGAGGAGGGAGACGAGGTAGTTGATGGCCAACATGACGTTAGCAACCAGCTCATCCTCAGTCATGCCGACGTTGCCAACGGCAACACCGAGACAGAGCACCTTCTTAAGCTGGAACTTGATGGTGGACTTGACATCGGTGACCTTGTTGGCCATGTCCTCAGCGTGAGAGATGGGGGTAGGGAATTTACCCGCTGTGGGACCGTTGTTAGTATATTTTACATCTTACTAAACGCAACTCGAGGCTGAGAACATACCCTTGGAAAGACCGGGACCCAAGAGACGGGGGATCTGCTTGATGAGACCATCGGAGGCAAGGAAGGCATCGTACTTGCGAGCAAGCTTCTTGATGAGCTTCTTGTTCTTGTTGAGCTTCTTCAGATCCTCGGAGGACATGGCATCAATGCCGTGGTGCTTAGCACGGTCAAGATCGTGCTGGTCACCAAGAACACTATAATCCATCACTCGTCAGCTCGTTGCGCTTATTCTCAAATCCATCCACCACCGTCGCCCTCCAAACTTTGATCGAAACGGCGATGCGACCGGGGTGGCACGTACCAGAGGCTCATGTTGGGACGAGGAACGGAAGGCAGCTTGATGGTGCCAGAGAAACGCTTGTCACGCTGGGGGTCATAATTCTTCAGACCGATCTGGAGCTCGACGGTCTCGAGGAAGTTTCTCTTCTTCTCATTCTGAGAGTAGTCCAGCAACTGCTGGATATTCTGGCGCACTCCGGCTGAGATGAGGAAAACATATTAGTTTCGATCCTGATAGATCAAAGTCCACAGTAGAATCAGTGAAAATGCCGCACATACCGACTGTGATCTTAGACATGATGGCGACAGTCTTCCAAAAATTGGTGTGGCTCTGCGCTGAATATCGTGCAAAGAGTGAAGGTAAAAAGGCCGCCCGCCGCCCGCCGCCAAAGAAAATCGCGTCTCCGCTTGTGGGTTTGGATGATACTAGCTGTATATGGACTAGCCTTGCCCTAACCACTTTCTCCCTTACTAAGCAGTATTTATTCTCACATTAGTCATCTATGTACTTTATGCTGACTAGTGAACATTAGGTGTCTCTTGGAGGGCAAAGAAAGTCGAGGTCAAGGTCTCCCCAGTCCCAGATTTGGCTGAAAGTACCCAAGTCTACGTTAGCTATATCCGCCAACCCACTGCCTGTCGCCTCTGAGGATGCTAACTCCAACGGCACAAATTCATGACTCCCAACCCCAGCTATGCTCGGAGGTAAGACGGCATGTGCAATAGACAGACCATCGTCTTGTAACAATGTCGAGATGTGTTGACTTTCTAGGGTGGTATAAGGTCCTTTATCCACTTTTTCAGAAGATATATGGCCTATAGATATCCTTTCTGTAGAAGAAAGCGGAAGCTCATGTATGAGTCTCTTGAGAATTGAGTAGCATATGGCACCTGTTTTGGAGCCACGAACCTGCTCCAGCATGTTTATGGACATGCTGAGTGTTCTAATGACCGTTTCCCGTTGGGGAAGATGTTGACTATGGTCGTGGATTATAGCAGAGCATAGAAAGGTGGCTGTATCAAAAATCAGGAATGGCGCGAAGTAGAACTTGGCATTCATGGGCAGCATGCAGCCCAGTAATCGATAAGATGCATCCATTAGCTTGAGCGCGTAGCCAATGGCATATGACTGGAGACTCTTTTGGACACTGGGTGTGTCTTGGTCAAGAGCCTGTACGAGGCATTGCTTTAATGGCATCAACATTACCATATAGCCTATGGCATGTAGCTGAAGGCGTTGCATAACCACATATTTGTGAGTGCTGTCCCAGCGAGTGTCGGGGCATACAAGCCTGAAGGCGGATGGGAATGAAGCAAACCACTTTTCAGTCTCTTCTTGGACAGAGAAGGCTTGCATGGGAGAAGGATCTCCACACATCACGCCAGGTATTTTCGATATCTCTTGCCCCAACTGGCAGAGTAAGGACATGTGTGTTATCGGTGAAGGTAATTCTATTTGGGGGTCGGGGTTTTCCAGTCGCAGATTAGGAGTTTCAACAGAGCAGTAACTGCTGTTGATAATAACAGGACGGGACAACAGCTGTGACATTTGCCTTCCGAAATGAGCAAAACATTGTCCCGTAAGAAACAACATAGCTCACAACTTACCAGTCCCAGGTGTACAATATGCACCAGATACGCCTTCTCATTTCGAGTTCGAACTCACTAAAACCTGATCTTGAAGAGCTTCTGTGTAGGCCTATTAGAAAGTGAAAGGTTAGCTAATGAGTTTGAAGCACACGTTTGCCCAGAAAAGGGCGTTCGGTACCTAGTTCTTGAGCTTCGTGAATTGCAGAGCTTAGAGCGTGCCACGACTCAACAAATAGAGCTTCGGTTTTTAACCAACAGGCCGTGAGGAATAGCTGCTGCACTTGTGTTAGGCCGCCTTTTCCTGGTGATATTGTGCCGCTCAGTTGTCTAGCAGCATGATGATAACGCTCTGAAAGTCTCTGGATGCTTTCTCCTAGCTCGGACTCCAGCTTCTGTCGGTCCCCTGGACCGAGAAATAGAGCAGAACATGCACACACTCGTAGCAATAGACATGTAAACTCTGAAGTCAACGGTTGACCTTTTGCTTTGCCAGCCCACCATGCAGAGTATTCAAGAGAAAATGTGGGCGGATATATACAGTAGTATTGGTAATTTGTTTCGTTTAGAAAATGTTGCACAAGTATATCTGAGAATAGTTAGCGAATACAGATGTCAAAATCCCATGGGTATACCTGTGTAGGGCTTTGGAGGGATCATCCGCAAGACGTTCTCGAACTCGGGAGACGGAGTTCCTTGTGGAATCTATTATGTTAGACCGACTCAGACAATCCACCTTAGCAGTGCTCTTACACTAATACTAACGCTCCGTCCCGAGCCACCCAAATTATCAGGAAGATACCCTAAAACCCGGAGATCTTTTGCATTTGTAGGCGGTATGCTGGTATCCCTCAGGGGTTCTCGCTCCATGTATACATCGTTTCTTTCGGTCACGTTCATCACTCTAGAAATAGATTAGCTGGGTGGATGTCTAATGACATAGCATGCGCTACTCAGACCTGGAATTACTTGAGGACCGTTTCGATGTCTTTGATTCCCTTTTTGAAGTAAATTTACAAAGATGCGATAGCCTCCTCGCTTGACATTGATTGCAAGGCCATTCACGGCTGCACTATATAGCGGTCAGAGGTCATGTACATAAGGTGTTCAGCAGTACTTGTATTCCTTGCCTTCTGCTTCCGACGCCGACATTCAGTGCACGCTGTCGCTAAGCGAATGGTCTTCATATGTCTCGTTTCACTGGCCATATTTGATCATATCAATTAGATGTTTAAAGTGTAATCGAGCTATTGCGCAGAGGAATCTTCTTTCTATATTGGACTAGTCTACAAAGCATCAGGGAACGAAGTGACTTAGATTGATTATCGCGATCCACATCTCGGAATCCCCGTGATTCGGGGTGACCTGACTAACCCGATATGGTAAGAATTAGCATGGGATTCATTGAACCCCTAACTTACAGACCCCATGGATTGATTTTCTCGACGATGCTGTACTCGGACTTAAAACAGGGTATTGAAAGTTCCCGTGAAAACTATAAATGCGACAAAGTTGTCACATTTAAAGATTCGGAAGCTTATCATTAAATTAGTGGAAGAGAGGCAGCATCATCGGAGTGCGTGGTCGAGTCAGCTGTGAGTCTGTGACAACATGGCGGCTAAAATAGTCCGTTGTGCTAAGAGACGCAAGTGACCCGCGGTCATTCGCCCAACCCCGGCACGAGGCTGAGTATCTTCAGCATGGATTGCCTGCGCGGCAACCTATTTAGGAGCTTTATGCTCTACCTTCCCCTTTCCTCCCTATCGGCCCATTCATGTCTTTAGCTCTTGCTTATATCACTACATCCTGAATAATTGGTTCATCTCAACTTCTACCACTCCCCTAAATAATTGAACAGTAGCTGTCGATAGCTCGTATTCGTTAAGGCTAAGGAAGTATGTCTGGGGTTTTTTCATCGCACAGCCCCCAGACTCCCCAAAAATACTACTCCAGCTTCGCGAAGAACTCATGTCTTGCGGCCAAATTTCATGATATTGACGGCGAGGATCAATTCCGTGCCTACCTAGGCTATTTGCAAGATGCACAGACCAGAAACTTTGTGTTAGATTTTGGCAATGATGATGCCTGGTGTGCAGTGGATCTGGACCAAGAAGATATTGCGTTGCTATTGCGTAGTGCAGTATGTGATCCGAAATAACAGTAAAATGAATTTACACTAACCGAGCTTCCAGAAGCCAAGGTGCTTTGGCACTAGATGGATGTGAGATATACCCTACATATGGTGGAACTTTGTAATATGCTCACCATATTCCCTAGCAACATCTGGGCACCGGAGCAGCAGAAAGATTTAATTAAGGTTCGTCGAGCTCTTCGAGCTCTATATTTTCCGAGCTCGCGATGAGCTGACACGCCCCAGGCAATCACTAGCTACTACGGAGTCTCCGAGCGCCTACAGGGGATGATGTGCACTGATCCAGTACCGCATCAAACACAATCCAAGGCTCCTAATTTAATAAATAGCTTCAATGGCAGAAACGTCGATCAAAAGCATCGAGTTCCCCGCATGAATGACCTTGAGGAAGCCCATACACTAAAGGACTTGTCAGATCCTGCTGAAATGCAGGCGGCTGCTTCATTCATAGGCCTTACCTTTGCGCATGTGACCAATCAAATTTGGCATTTTTGCTCCGTAGACTACGGTTCAAGATGTATACCTCTCTTTCTCAGCTTTATGACTTGGCGTTCCCTGACGTGCAATTTAGATACATGCATTGGCTACAACTCTTTGCACGTAGTCCCGAACGTTGAATTTTCCAACGGGCGCGGCCTACCTAATGGGAGACGACTGTGGTCTTGGTTGATCCTATGCGACGATGGTACGATCGCTGTCCCTGGTCGCATTTTGGTTCAACGTTAACCCTTGTCAAAGGAACTGTTATTTCCATGCAAGAGAATCCGTACCCTGGGCTTTCCGCGCCGTCGGAGAGAGAATTGAAGGCTGTACTCGGAATAGTTCGCAGGAATGTACAATTCATCTTTTCCGGGGTACCTAAGCGGCACTCCGCTCAATCGGAGAGTGATTCTTTAGTGACTATTCGTGTACGACCCTCCCAGGGCGGTGGCCCAGATCAGGCTAGTATCAAGCAAGAAGACGGCCCTAGTCTACTGTTCTACTATATATTTGACGATTGGGTTTCTAGCTACGCTCTTGTTGCAAAAAGAGAGCATCAATACGGAGTTCTCCTCGATCAACTGGTAAGGCTCTGGAAGAACCATCAATTCTAGTACTCTAGTCTCTGACATTGTGGCAGAGAGAGGAAATGCTGGGCAAGCCTGTGGTCCAGCTAGTCAATGAGTTACATTGGTTGGGCAGGAGATTGGCAGTCTTGAAGAGGCTTTACCAAAGTTACGAACTCATCATGATGCGCATTCTGCAAAGACAGCGCCTTCTCCGCGACGAGGCGAAGTCTAATCTTCCATTACCCATTGGGCCTATGTTCGGAGAGACGGAGGCGACAGACCTCCGCCAGCCGACTCTACAGAGTACTCTGAGTTTTACAAGTCATTCAGATACTCCTGTTGGCGTACAGCTGAGCTCACCTGCCGTGGCCCGCTTCGAGAGGCTGCTGGACCGCATCAAACTCTACTGCTTGTCTGAGATTGATACGTGCCTGACGGAGAAAGAATCCCTCACCTTCCTTGTGAGACTTTACTATTACCTTGTTATCTTATGGAAACAAGCTGACCTCTCTCAGAACTTCAACCTTATTGCTCTCAAGGATTCCCAGGCCGTCGAAAAACTCACGAGGATCACGATCTTGCTAGCTAAGGTGACAATTCTTTTCTTGCCCGTTAGCTTGATGACCGGATACTTCTCGACCGAGCTCAAGAACGTCAAGGGGGTATACACGATCACTCAATACTGGGTTGCGTTCGGTGTCATCATGTTCTTGTCCATTGTGATGCTCACACTATTTGGCTACCTCAGCGACACGGTGGAGGGCAAGACCATCTATCAGTCGCTATCTCGAACCTTCGTCCGGTCCTCCAAAGACAGAATTTCTCAACGAAAAGAGGAACCGGGCCGTCCAAGCCCTCTTGGATGAGCCATTTACAATTCCATCTCTCCTTTATATGAGACCGGAGGAAGAGCTAAAATCAATGCATTTCTTAAGGCGCCTGTTTATATTTTCCTCGGGTTAACGAAGGCCTTGTTGGTTATCTTGTTAAATTATTTGTTTTATCATCACAACAAGAGTGCTTCATTCAAGCGGGAAATGTGAGGCAAGACAATTGACGGAGGAATGTAGAATGAAGCGACGCCAAGGGGTGATGCTCCTAGTATGTACAATAAACACCATGAAATACTGCACACCGATCTATTGAAACAATATTCGATTCTAGAGTACTCCTTCTCTTCTGGAGCTAGTAAGAGTGAAACAACACAAAAGACCACTTCATAATGGCCTTTGGCCAAGTAAGCACCCCTACCAAAAAAGAAGCTATATAGTGGGCCCAGTGGGTGTACCAGCTGTCAGTCATTCCACCAGGCCCACGTTAGCAGGTGTATTGACAACTAAGCAAGGCAATCACATACATTAATACCCGACTCTGTTGTCACTTAGTTTTATTTTTCACCCCCATACCCCCGGTTATTGTATCCAGTCTTGGGCTCTAAATTGGGCATCCATCCCCAACCCAAGAAAGGTAAATGTGAAAATCCCCCCCCGCTCCGAATATACAAAGTCATCAAAACTTACTGAGAAAACCCATGCCATGCTTCAAATCCACCAAGCAGCCAAAGCCTGCAATAATAGCCCTGCTCGGCCTGGGAGGCCCCGAGCGAAGCGTGTTCATCGAGCAAATCACCGGCATTATCCCGGGCTACAGAAACAAGGCCAATCTCTCGACGACCCGTATTTTCAAAAGCCAGTTCAACGACAGAGAGCTATGGTTGCTCGATACTCCGACGGCCCGGATCCCCGTCGCCGAAATAGTGGGGAGTATTACCGCGGCCATGGCACGAGAATCTGGACAGAGTCATAGCCATACCGTTCATGGTATCGTGTATCTCTACGATATAACGGATGTGGATGGGGTTCTGAGTGGAGATGAGAATCTAGAGGTTTTTCAGGCACTGCTTAAGTCTGCTCGTCGGGAAAACGTTGTTGTTGTGACTACGTTTTGGGATCTGCTGCGGACGCCGGATGAGGGGGTCCGCACGGAGGTGGAGTTGAGGAAGGTATATGATCATATTGCTTGTCTGTGTCGGGTCCAGGATTCGAGTGATGGGCAGAGTTATCGCGTTATTATTTGGGATCTTGTCGGTAGGGTTGTGGGTTTATATCGTGCTGATGGTCTTGATGATGATCCTGCGGAGCCGACTATCGAGGAATTGTTTAACGTTGTGAAGGACAAAGATAACAAGGTGGCATGTCTGGAGACGGAGCTTCAGACTACAAGGGAGGCTTCCGTTAGACAGCTGCGGGATGTGCAGCAGAAGGCAACAGAGGAGCAAACGTATCTCTATCAACAGCTTCAAGTTGCACTGAGAGAGATCAGCCAGCTTAAAGAGGACCTTAGTCGCAGCCAAAAGAGTTGTGTAGACGAGATAAGGAACCTTCGGGAGCAGCTCGACTTCGAACGACGATGTTCAAATAACAAACTTCGGGGCTTGGAAACGCAGCGGTCGAGTTTGACCGGGTGTGTTGACGACGAGCTTTGCCAGGATATGATCACAGCGCGCTCTTCTATGCGAAAGCCCCCACCTCCGATTCATTGTTCAAGTGAGCTGACACCTAAACTTAACACTCTCGACGCGAACGGCGAGTTCCCTCTGTATAATGCGGCCGCTGGCGGCTGCTATGACGATGTCAAGAGATTGTTAAAGCAGGGAGCAAACCCCTCGATGAGAACGAGATTTCAATGGACGGCGCTGCATTGGGCTGTTGAGAATGGTCATGCAAGAGTTGTCCAACTATTGCTCGATCATGGCGCCGATATTAATGCAGTTTCAGACACAGGGTGTACTCCGTTGAGCATGGCACGAACCGATATGATGAAGGGTATACTTCGTCAGCGGGGAGCTAAATGATACAAATTGAGCCAAGCGTAATTCCGAGTTTCGTGAACCTCACATGACTTCGGAGATATCCAATATAACGTCACTTTAGAAAGAATTTTTCTCGAAGAATTCGAGTCTTCCTATATACTATCTAAGTTGTTTACCTCTCATCTTCGCTGTGTCAACTTCGTGGACTGGTCATGACCCCCCACATCTGAGTGGGGCCTGTCAACAAGTAACTTCGCATTAGCGCGCCGATTGTTTATCTGGGTTTCAGCGCCAAATCAGGACCTCGTTGTATTGAGTCGAGTGTCTTCACCGTAGACATGAGATGCTTCTGTAAGAGTGGGATAACTTTTAGCGTGGTATTGGACACATCACCCAATATATCAGGGAATTTGTACAAGATAGTATCAGGAAGCAACGTAAAGGATGGAATACTATAAGCATGGCGTCGAGATTTATTCGGACAGTTTTACTAGTATAGTTTGCATGTTTCTATCAATCGCAACTTAGATTCTTCATCTAGTCAAATCTCTCTGTAAACTGTGGTTATAACTGTATTATGAAGAAGTCATTTGCTCTTTATAAATGATGTACTAAAGTTATAGAAGAAGGCCAAAGTCCCTTACACACTACATATTGGAAACCAAGTCCACTTCAAATCGAGGAACTACTAGTCACAATATCTCAGATGATATACCTAATCCTTATGTTATACTTTTTTTCCCCTTCTACAAAAGGGATGGACATTAATAGTAGTTGTATTGAGGTTCAAAGGTTGATCAATATCTGTCTCTGTTTCTTTCTCAGTTCTAGTTGTTCTCTATACTGATCGTGGCTTTCTGTGGAAACCACATCATACCATTAATTCAGTATATATATATACATACATATATAGTGACTAGAGGAAGTTTCAGCGGTGATGTCAAGTCAATCAACCTGTGTAAGGTAGTCAGAGGGAATGGCCTTGACCTGAGATACGACTCGATGTACCTTTGACGCGACTACAACTGAAGCGCGTTCTAAAAAATACATTGCATAACCAAGTGATCAGTCAGAAGAATGTCTTGATAAGCTTATCTTTAAGAACATGGGCGGTGAGTGATTAGTAAGCTCGGTGCGAAAGAAAGCCCTTGCCCTGCCTGACGGATGAACATTCTTCCGATCCCGGGTCTTGACCGCTGTTAAGACTTTTAGGTACATAGTACTAGTACCGAGATGTATGGAGACTCAAGTACATGAACTGCTCCATGAGTAGTCACATGCCAATTTTACCAAAGCGGCGGCAATGCAAAGGACTTGTTAAGAAAGGACAATGTATTGATATCTAAATAGTTCAATCCTTATTTTCCCGTCTCTTTCCTGGATGAGAAATACGACGCGTAGTGTTCCCCGTTGGTTCCTTGTGGGTTCCCACTTGGTTGTGATAAACTGCCTACCGTATCTGGGAGGGGTCTGGATTATCACAAAGGTTTGATACGCAATTCTGAGAGAAGAGTGCACGAGAGCAGTGTGCCACTAACAGTGATCCACTGGGATGGGGAATCCTCAAGACCGGTCGGGAACCTATCAGAGGGTCCGAAGCCGAGTGGAATCGGGGTGATTGTCTGGACCATCTTCGTTTTTTGGGGGCAAAGGAGGGGGAGGGTAAAGGTGGAAGTCGAAGGAAGAAGAAATAAGACGGCATAATAGGTGAATGGGGGGGGACCAAACCAAAAGGTACGGTACGGAGTTGAATTACGAGTTAGTGGGAAACACCGTGTCCTCTTCGTGGTATTTAGAGGAAATATCGAAAGTATACACCTAGGCAATCAGATTAGTTGAACTTATATCAGACGGGGGCGATTGAAAGATCTAGAGAAGAAAATAATCAAATAAAAATCGGAAGAAGATCCCAATATATTTTTTTTACATCCCAAGTATTGATATATCCTTATTGTCATTGATTTAATTTGATATATTTCCACTTCAACAAAAATAGGATCGTTGTGGTTCAGTCAGTTTCGTTAGTGACGGAAGCTACGCCGGCGGCTGAATTTCTCGACCTGGCACTTTGGCACCCAAAATTTCCAACTTGGTCAAAAAACAGTGGTCCGCTCACAGTGGTCCATACTAAGCAACACTTTCGTCGTCTCTACCGTTTGACTCGACTCTCCCCTTCCCATCTGTGATTCTCACGATTGACTCGCTTTGATACCTTTGGTAAGTCATTCTCAGTCCACCTTCTTGCATTTTTGAATTATCTCCCTCGCTCTGTTAATTTTCGCGTATCTCTTTGTCTTTCCCCTGTTTGCTGGAGTTTCTGTTGTGGTCCCCCCTGATTATTTGCCCGTCTGGCCACTGTGCATTCCGACGTGATCACGCCCCTCGTTCACCACATCTCCCCATATGCCGTCTTCTGATTCCAAGTTTTCAACCCTATTTCTGCCGGCCTTACTACTGTTCACTTATCAGACGACCGACCGACCACTATCTACTTGCCAGCCTAATTTGAATACATTCCATCTAACATCGCATTCTTTCCAGACCTTTGAGGATCCCTTTTCGCCACCGCCAACATGGGTCTCACCTTCTCGAAGTTGTTCGACCGCCTATGGGGCAGAAAGGAGATGCGAATTTTGATGGTTGGTCTTGATGCAGCCGGAAAGACCACCATTCTGTACAAGTTGAAGCTGGGTGAAATTGTCACCACCATCCCCACAATCGGTCAGTCACCCTCCTCTACCTCGGGGTCGTCATCGACCAGTTGGCTTGGTGCCTATTCATCGCGCAGGGCACATATACTCTAGTCTGGAAATGCTGACAAGTGGTTATCCGAGCGTGAAGGTTTCAACGTTGAGACTGTCGAATACAAGAACATTCAGTTTACCGTGTGGGACGTCGGTGGACAGGACAAGATCCGTCCTCTCTGGAGACACTACTTCCAGAACACCCAGGGTATTATCTTCGTCGTTGATAGCAACGATCGCGATCGTATTGTCGAGGCCCGGGAAGAGTTGCAGCGCATGTTGAACGAAGATGAGCTCCGTGATGCTCTCCTACTTGTTTTCGCTAACAAGCAAGATTTGCCGGTATGATATTACCTCGGTTGGACTGGACATTGGCTGGACGCGAACGTTAACGCTCTTTCTCCCCAGAATGCTATGAGCCCCGCCGAGATTACCCAGCAGCTTGGTCTGCAAAGCCTCACTCGCCGTCCTTGGGTAAGTTCTGACTCGTACCGAATCCCTGGCGTTGGATCAGCATCTAATCTCCATTCGTTTAGTACATCCAATCTACCTGCGCCACTACCGGTGACGGCCTGTACGAAGGTCTCGAGTGGCTCGCCGATGCTTTGCGGAAAACGAACCGCGACTAAATTGTTATAATGTGACGAGTGGAAGAATACCTGGACGTGTGATGGGGAGTTGGGGATGATGGATGGGGGCCCGAACCAACAAGGACACCTCGCGTAGGGATGGGATCTGCTACTTGGTGGTGCTTGTATGTTCTCTAACGGCTCTTCATTCCTCTATGCTATTTAGCTTTGATTGTTCTCTTTCATCCCGGCGTCGACCCTAACGAAATACTCCTTTTGTGCCCTCAAACCTCATACCTTTCATTTCTTTTGTTTGATCTCCATGTGTTCTCTTACAGTCAAGACCTGATATTCATGATCACGGAGAACGGGTTTACGCTCCAGATGTCATATGTATCTCGATGCATCTTATCTGCTTATCGGAAAATGTAGAATTTGCAGCCATTAGGCTCTTCCCCCTCTTTACATATGATCTGGTTCTGATCTCATAATCAATCTCGGCGATATCGACATATGCTATGCTAACAACAAAGTTGCAAAGCTTATCGTACTTGCAACAAACGTAGCAAATGCTTGCACGTGAAAAAAATCTCCCAGTCACTTATCCTACCCTAGCGCGGCCTTCACTCCTGGAATCCCATTCATCCATTGTCAAATATACATCATTCCCGTGAACATTCGACCAATGCGTCTCCTCTCACCCACCATGCAGCAGCGCGAATGATCTCCATTACAATTCTGCGTTCTTCCTCATTCCTGGGTGCATAAATCAAGACAAAGCCAGAGGGCACGGAACGTTTCCACCACCAGTCCTCCCGAGCAATCGGATGCCTCTGCCCCCATCCCTTCTCCAGAACGAGGCGCACGTCCGCTGGATGCAGCGTAAGATGCAAGCTACCGTCAATGGGGTGCGCATGGCACACCTCCCCATTACAGGTGAGCCGTTTCTGCTGCTGCTCCTTGCTTTGACGTGATAATGCCGCCGGACCGAGCTTGCAGAATATGCCCGTACTATGTTTCTCGAAACATGATGTTCCAACGTATAGTACTGTCGGATGTGCGTTCACAAGGCTGTGAATATCCTCCGTCAGTGCGGCGTACATCTCTGCACTCGCCCTTTGGGTTATTTGTCGGTGAGGCACGATCCCGACTACTGTTGGGCGTGGTCCGGAGCGCTCTGGGAGGCTGTGACCTTGGAGATAGCCCTCTTGGGGGAGGAGGGTGCACGGGAGGGAGGGTGGTACGAAGGGATTTCGTACGGCGAAGGGCCGTAGGATGCAGATGTGGAGGTACCCTGCTGGGGTTGAGGGTACCCCTCCTGGACCTAGGGCTAGGTATGCATGGTAGTCTTGCCGGATGCGATGGGCTAGAAAGAGGGTTGGGAAGAGGAGGAGTGGGAGGAAGGGGAGGAGGATATCTAGGGGACCGGTAAATTTGGTTGTGGCTCCCGCTAGAGTTGGGATTGCTAGGGGGGAGAAACTCGTTGCCTGCAGTGCTTAGTTTGGTTTTCGATCTTCATTGGAAGGGAGGTGGCATACATGGGCATTGAGCGATGTATCTGGGCAGGGGATAGTACGTACCATGTTTCTAGTTGTTGGGTGAGCACTAGGTAGGGGGTCTGTTACTTGGGATCAGCGATGCGGTGTAGCAGTGAAGTAGAACAATTGACCCTGGACACGACACTCGATTTCTATGTTCAGGTTACACGTGCAATGCGATGCCACGACTGATTTCTTAATAAATCCACGGGCGGGCCAATCATGTCAGCTATTCTTTAGGGTAGAAGTCCAAAGGGGGAATAGGCTAGGTACGTAGACTTTCCTTTATATACTTCAAAATTTAATAGTAGGACGTTGGAATCTGGAGAAACCCTTATGGAAAGTACTCCGTCAGACTGATGTCAGCTGGTCTGGAAAACCACATGACCAATAAAAATGGCATGCCAATTGATTCGACCTGACTCGTCACTTCCAAAAACTTGACTTGCAAATATGTTGGGTCTCGCCGTTTGTCTAAGCTCCTGTGGGGACTGAACGAGATGTGGGCCTATCGACGTCGTTAGAGATCTTGGAAGTACCAACCCATGAACGCCTGTTCCACTGGTCGGATACGGCAAGCGACGACTTTTCTACCGCGGAGGTTATATTAGAAACCTAACCATCAATCGTTTACTGGGAAGACCTTCTCTACGGACTACGGAGTATATGGGAATACTAACTATCCTCCAAGATGTGATAGTCTCTTTCTTACTATCGCGGTGAGCTCCTTCCCTTCTCCGCTTTCAGCTTTTCAACACCGCTTCTTGATCCTAAGCCCCCCCAACCCCCCCCCAAAACGTCTTGGAAACGAGGCACCGGAGGGGATCTTAATTCCTCATTAGACGACTGGCGGATTCCACCATGGAACTCAGCTTAGGCCTCATCCAGAACTGGCATGTGACATATTCACGGGTCTCAAAGATCATGCGAATACACGTCCTCGCCTTGTATGACAATTTAATTGACAGGACATTGGGGCTTGGCGATCTCCCGGCAATTGAGGATGCCCGCTTTTGATGATTGTTGGCACATCTACGCTTGTGTGACTGGGTGGTAGGTGGTTCCAGACGCACAGGTTATGTCGAGAAGGCGGATTTGTCCTGGATATATGTCGGACAAGCAATAGTACTTGAGCCCGATGGGTTCGAGGCTATACTGAGCCTGGATAATCGTGACACCCGCCGAGTCTTCCCTGTCACACTACCCACGACTAGAATGCTGAGACTGGAGACTAGGGTTGTATCTTCGTCCTACTGGAACTCCTTCAAAGGGCGCTCAACCTCTCACATCGGCAGCTATTAATATCCCGTGTAATCTGTACTGCTTACACATGCAACCCGTCATAAAGTTGGAATGAGATGCGAGCAGCCGTTAGTAGGTGCTTACCGGCCAATATACCTAAACCTTGGGTTAGCCTATAGAATTGCTATGCTTGTCGGTGTAAGTCTATCTATAGGGGGGTTCCTCAGGAAGAAAAGTAGAAGCTGACGATTCTTCTTTGTATTATTAGTTCTTCCCCTGAAGGGTATTGACCATACGGACTCATCTTCCAATGAAGGCAAGTAAAAGCAAGGAGCGGATCTGTAAGTCCTCAGGCTCCAAGGTTCGTAGTTACTTCGAGCAAATGGGGTTAAGGACCCTGCCAGGACCCCCAGAACTAATCCGGATTGGGCGATGGGGTAAACGCCTTCCGAAAGCAGCCAAACAGGGTTCTATGAACTCGAAAGTCGTTAAAAGTCCGGAAAGCCCCTATTTTATTCTCCTGAACTTGTTCTCTTCTTTATCCCTTATCTTTATAAACAGCTGCTTCAGTCCTTGCAGCAATTGTACCTGATTCGCACACAGTCTTCTAATCGGCTTGCACCTGCCAAGCCGGTCTGGCCCGCGTTAGCGTGCGTAAGCGTGGGATATCCCTTGGGCAACGCATCCAAAGTCGCTGGCCACCATAGTAGTCGATCGTTGTTTTGTTTTTCTATGTCGGGTCTCGTCCTCCTTGCCTTGATTATCGAGTTAATGCGAATCCGGTGATATCAATCGATCAGTCAATTGCTCGCTTTCGTCACCGCCGACCTTCGGGCTGGCAGTTCTCTTCCACTCCTTCTCCACAATAGTTGCGACAGTCCCAACATTGAACGACGCTGATCGATCTGCAAGTGTTGCATAACTATTTCTAGATCTTAATCTGCGAGGTAGAGTAATAACCTACATTATCTCGATCTGTACGTTCTCCAATGCTCACTAAATCAAGTCTAGACCAGCCGGGGAGCATTCTCCTTTCCATTCCGCAGAGACATCCGATGATTCTTCCCACCGCATTCTGACGTATTCAACATTCCCCGTTCGATGTTCACTTCCTCAACCTTTCAACCATGACGGGTCAGACAAGGAGGCATCCCTCCGCATACAACAGCCGAGACGCGGTATTAGATATCGAGAAACAGCCTTTCCGGCACAAACATAAGCGTCGCCGACATAGTCATAGTTCTTTCGATTCAGATAGTGGTGACGGCTCTGTTACCTCTTCTGCCGCTTCCTACCAATCCATGCTAGATGCTGCGGTGACGCGCCGCACCCGGCCTGGGGCGGGCTTCTATCGTGTACCCAATCGGATCATGCGACGCCTTTGCCTTGGATTGCTTGTTGTACTAGTAATTTTCATTATCACACTCTTTCGATTCACAATTAGATCCTCTGTTACGCAGGTCCCTCTTGAAATACCAAAAACCGCGCCGAAACCGCCTCAATGGGAGAGCTTTCCTTTTCTGAACCGGTATCATGGCGGGCTGCGGTCCTTGGTGTCGCGTAAAGGCCAGGTCCCTGAATACCCGGGGGACCACCCAGATGTGATAGCCTTGAGAGGTGATCGTGAAGTGAATGCAACGGCTCTCCAAGCTCGGGGTGAGGAGGATTTACCAATCTCTAGCTCGGTTTTCGATCCTTACCCTAAATACACCTCATCGGAATATGTTGCGAGATATGGCGAGAAACGCGAATGTTTCTTAGATGATAAAGGTACATTGCGGGTTCCTTTAGTGCATCATTATCCCGGTGTACCCCGTGGGTTCCCGGAAGCGGTTATGGGCTCAAACGAAGAGATAGGCATCCGAGACGACGTTTGCTTTGATCGCTTTGGTCGTTTGGGTCCGTACGGACTGGGCTATAGTGTAAGGAAAGGTGGCATCGGTGCTGGCTTGGAGGGTCATCGAGAGGGTGCGGAACGTGTCTGGGATGAATTTCCACCGGTGGACTTTCGTAAGGTCGATTGGGCTGCCGCTCAGAATCGTTGCCTGGCAACGAATAGCCATCGCTTTAGGGACCTCCCGCAACCCCGTTCTAATCGTTTCTTGTCAATGCCAATAGGGGCTCGGGATTCGAAGAATATGCCTTTTGAGACTGCTCAAAATCAACAGGAGCAGCCTCAAGCTGGAACGGAGTATCTCCCCCGAACAGCGGTTATTATACGCACTTGGCACGACTTCCGTTATTCCGCCGAGGATATCCTGTATTTGCGTTCGCTGATTTCCGAGCTCTCCCTGCTCTCCGGTGGCGAGTATACCATCCACTTTTTGGTCCATGTCAAGGATGAGAATTTGCAAATCTGGTCTGATGACGAGACATATGACCGAGTGCTGAAGGATGCACTGCCAGCAGAGTTCCGCAACCTGGGTACCCTTTGGTCGGAGCGACAGATGGCCTTGATGTATCCCGGACTAGAAGAAACATGGACCCGTGGATTGCCCATTCATGGTGTGTACCGCAGCACCCACATGCCCTTGCAGTATTTTGCGCACCAGCATCCCGAATATGATTACTATTGGAACTGGGAGATGGATGCGCGATACACCGGTCATTGGTACCATTTTTTCGATAAGGTTGTCAGCTGGGCACGGGCCCAGCCGCGGAAGGAACTATGGGAGAGAAATTCTCGCTTTTATGTCCCCTCTGTTCATGGAACATGGGAGGATTTCAAACATATGGTTCGGGTGCAGACGGAGATTGGCACCAATAGCCCTAACAACTTATGGAGCGCGAGGCCCGGACAAGACCAATCCCCAGGGTATAGAAGTGGCCTCCGTCAGCAAGGAGACAAATCTATATGGGGCCCCGAGCGGCCCAATGAGCGGGATATCTTTGAGGTTGAAGGAGAAGGTATTCCCCCAACCACAATGGAAAAAGACCGGTATGACTGGGGTGTGGGTGAGGAGGCAGATTTGATAGTCTTCAACCCTCTTTACGACCCAGAAGGAACAACTTGGCTCCTCCGAGATGATGTGACAGGATACAACAGGGAAAATGGTATGCCTCCACGCCGTGCAGCTATTATCACTGCGTCCAGATTCTCGCGGAAACTACTGCACACCATGCACCAGGAGATGGTCCACAAACGCCACAGTATGTTTTCCGAGATGTGGCCTGCCACCACCGCATTGCATCACGGCTTCAAGGCTGTTTATGTGCCTCATTCGGTCTACATCGACCGTAGATGGCCCACCAAATACCTCGAATCCGTATTTAACGCAGGCCGCAACGGTGCTTCAGGCGGTGCCAGAACATCCATTTTTGGAGACCGTGAGCACAACTTTAAGGGCACCACGTGGTTCTACTCTGCAGGGTTCTCACCGAACCTCTGGAGACGGTGGTTAGGCTACAAAGTCGACAATGATGGCGGCGAATTAGCTGAGCTAGCCGGTGAGGGAAGAATGTGTCTTCCTCCAATGCTTCTCCATCCTGTCAAGGATGTGGAAATGATCATCGACGACGGCGCCAAGGAAGGCGAATAGTGCTCCGTATATACTTGTTCTTGTCTCCATTAATGATTGAAGATTTTATATGGCTTGTTTCAACGACTTTATCATGTGTATGTGATGCATTCGGATCGATGGCGAAAGGGGCGTTTGATTTGTTCGGCTATCTATACCTGTATATGAATGAACCTATGAGAGTTGAGATGACTTTTGAAAATGGATACAATCTGTGCGACATTACTAAGTTTAGATCTGTCTTGCTCAATACATCTATTTATTTGTCTAGCTTAGTTTATGGGTTATGTAGCTTTTATAGACTGTTGGCAACTTTTGTCTACAGCGCAAATTGCTCCTTTGATTCAGTTAATTATATCGTTGGCATAGAGCTCACGAGGAAGTGTCTCTGGGACCTAGGATGCTTTCCAGGGAATCATGTTTGGTGGCCCCGGAGCCCTGTAGCAGTTGTTAATCGAATCACCTTACCGTTTTTACTCCATATTCGCAAGGTGAGCGAGATACTACAACAGCCTGCTAATTAGTAAATAATCCAATATATGTCATATCCCATTAATTCCTCTACTGTATTTCTTGACACCATTTTGTATAACGCTCAACCACAAGCTAGCCAGAGTTTCGCCTGAGCTGCATCCTGACCCTGGGCTACTAGACCCGTTTCGACGGCCTTGATCTGTAAAGCTAAGAACTTAAAATAGATCTGGCATAAAGCTAAGATTCCTCTATGGAACTAAAAGCCCGGGTGGCCGCTGGGTCGCCACATCTGCATGTCTGCCAGTATCCTCACATATGATTGATTGGTAACCTGTCGGCTGAGCATAGGAGATTTGAGAGGCCTGGAATGCACCGCATTGACTTCGCCCTCCTCATCCAAGTCCCAGACGTCCCTGCACCGGTCTGCGACTTTATCGCCTAAGATCTTGCGGACGGTGGTTCGCATGTTGTCGTACCCCGTAGCGAGGACGACGATGTCGGCTTCGAGGGCTGTGCCATCTTTCAGGATTAGGTTATGCTCATTGAAACTCGATATTCCCTCTGGACTGCGCTTGATTCTGATTTTGCCGTCGGCGATGAGTGGACTGCAACCGACGTCGACGTAGTACCCTCCACCTCGTGTCATGTATGCGCGGGAGATGCCAGCGCCGTCAATGCCGAAGTCGAGCTCGAAACCTGCTTTTTGGAGACCTTCTAGGATGCCTTTTCTGCGGTATATGCCCTCTTTGTGAAGTGGACGTTGAGCGCGAATTGAACTGGGTAGGGCAAGCTCTCTGATATGATGTCTGCTTCTTCTGTTGGCGGCCTTTTCGATTTAATGTTAGTAGTGTGGTGTTTTTTAGTCATTAAAGGAGCTCACTACCCGTTGTCTTCGTGGGCCTTCGTGTATCATGAAGACTCCCTTTTCCGCAGTGATGACGTATGTTCTTCTTCTCTGGAGCATGGTCACTTGGGCGCCGTTCTCGTAGAAGTTCTGAGCAATGCCGTGCCCACTGTTTCCGGTACCAACCACGACTACCTTCTTCCCTCTCATATCATGCTGGGATGCATCGTCGTGCTGGCTACCGTGGTATAATTGTCCCTTAAATTGTGATTGTCCGAGAAAAGTGGGGACCAGAGGTTCACCGGAGTAACCAGTGCACCATATGAGATGGCGTGGATGGAGGTTTCGTTCGGGACCATCGCCTTGGGTTACAGTCACTGTCCATTGCGCGTTTGCATCATCATATACCGCAGATTTGATACTAGTCTGGAGCCACACGTTCAATTCCATGATACTGGCATATGCCTCAAACCAATCGCCGAGCTTGTCCTTTGGAGTAAATTGAGGCCAATTATTTGGGAATGGAAGATATGCCATGTGCGTGAATTCTGCCGGATCGTGGGTTACTAGAGTCTGAGATAATATTTAGTAGGGTTGGTCCATTTGGAGGAGGTACTAAAGCTGACTGTAGCGCTTCCTCCAGTTGTCGCCAATTCTTTCGTTTCGGTCGACTATCAGGCATGACAGACAGAGAGATTGGAGCCGAGCACCCATATTAAGACCAGCTTGACCTAAAGCATGGCGTCAGCTAAAGTGTAACTAAGAGGTAGGCCTCATTGTGAACACATACCAGCGCCAACAACAGGTGTAGTAGGCTCTCATCTACAAACTCGAACTGCCTCCGGCGTCTTTCCTGCTAGTTCCCTTGACTGAGACCCCCGGGCATTGATTTGATTGTCCCTTCAGGTCTCTTGTTACCGAGAGATTCTTCGAAATCTTTAAATTCCTGTAGCGAAGTATAGACTGAGTATGCTTTCCATGTTCCGGCGTCATTTTGAGTTAGACCAAGAACGCCGGTTCCGCGTCCGACACGAGTCTCAAAGAAGAACATGGAAGATACCCAGCTTGTACCTTCCACCGGCTTCTTCAATGAGGGTTGGAACTTGCCCTCATGTTGCAGTCGAAAGGCCGAAAGCTGGGCTCGTGGTTGCTGACGGCGAAGATACTCTCGAATATCCTTGCAGTTCTGAATCGTACGAAGGTCCGAGTCTAAGGCTAACATGTGTCGCCACCAGGACTCTTTGTGGAAGAGCTCCGGGAGCTGCGAGAGATCACCCTTGCTAAGAAGGACATCCAGATTCGCTATCCATTGCTGGGAAATTGCACGAGGCTCTATGGATCTAGTCCTCGAGGGCGTCACCGGGAGCTTGATAACGTAGTGGTTTTGAGCAACAGACATTGTGAAACTGGATCGGGCCCCACAGTCACAAAACCCTTAGCTCTGAAAAGAAGTGTAGACTCTTCGGATCATAAGGTCCTGATGGAATTGCGTTCTTCGACACGATCCTGCCAGAAATCTGGCCGGGAGGTCCTCTTTATATAGCATGGCTGCAGGACCAAGGGAAATTTAACCGAGCTAGAACGATATGCGTGGACTGATAACAACTTGCATAGCTGGAGCGAAGTCCGACGGAGAGTATATCAAGTCGACAGAAGTCCGTTGTGTTGATACGATGTGGGGTATGAAGAACTACCCCGGAACAAATGGGACCGAAGAGGGGCCAATGGTAACTTTGCCGAGGAGTCTGCTGGCAGTAGAAAAGCCGAACCATTCGCTGTTTCAAAAATCGCATGAATTCCCCTTTTCAGTAGTCACTGATCATGATACAGCTTTCCCCTACCTGATTAGGTAACCAAAACCGTTCTCAGGGTTCCTCCTTGTCATTGCCCTAGAGTGGGGAGGTCAGTACATGGCAAAGAATGATTGAGTGTTTCCGGCGTGCTAATGCAAGCCACAATGGGAGGGAAGTCCTAGCATTGTCTGGTTCGTTTCACCATTTCTGTTTGTTGTCTCGGCTGTGTTGGAGAGGGAATGCTGACAGCTCAGGATAGTAAGACGAATAAGGAACTGTCATACACGAAGTACCCAATGAATGCCAGCCGGAAAGAGTCACCTGGTGCCCCCGTGATGATAGAGCAACCAAGGTAGAACTTCAAATCTTCACCGCATTCAGATTTACTCGCCCGGTGAAAATGAGAATGTAACCTTTTGGGCTATTGCTTTCTTTGTGTAACGGCAATCGAGGATCCCAATGGAACTGCCCATTGGGCTGATCCTTTCTCCCACGACCGATTACCAATGAATCATAATCTCTATTCAAGATTGAACTACGGATGAGTTGACGGAGAAAGAAGTTGCCTTGGTCTCTTGATGACAAACGAGCGCCCTTACTTCATCCGTTGCGGGATGTGGCACAGCCCTTGTTCTATATAAGATTCAGACCAGCGGCCGGGGTGCTGCTCGTATCCCGCACTTTATTTTACCAACACTCGTTTGTCTTATAATCCTTCATCTCTCTACACAGCCTCCTAAGAGCTGTCAGCCTTTTATTTATTCCTTAGATTCCTTTCCTTTCCTTTCCTTACCTTTTTCTTCCCTTTCCCCCCAAAGATACAACTACAGTTTGACCTTCTCACCCTCCGACCTAAAAATACAATGTTGTCTAAATCTCTTGTCGCAGGCGCAATTCTAAGCCTTTTCCTTTCAGCAACGGTTGCCGAAGACGCCCCTGTCATCAAAGACAATAAGCACGATACCGTGTACGAAGTCGTTCTGCAGGACAAAGACAACTCCACCGTCCGAGGCTCCTTCACTACTTGGGGTGCGGAGAACGGAGTTGGAATCGCTTTTCGTGTGGCACTCACCGGAGTCCCCAAAGACACATTCCTGAGTTCGTATATGCTTACCTTATGTTCCGCAAACGGAAACACTTACACGTGTCAACCATAGATTATCATATTCACGACAAGCCTGTCCCGGAAGATGGCAATTGCTATGCCACCGGTGGCCACCTTGACCCTTACAAACGCGGCGACCAGCCACCCTGCAATACCACCGAGCCTCAGACATGCCAGGTGGGCGACGTGAGCGGAAAGCATGGGCCCGTCTGGACTCCCGACGAGGATTTTGATGTTACTTACACCGACTACTTCCTTTCGAACGTGGAAGATACTACTTCCTTTTTCGGTAATCGCTCGATCGTTGTTCACTTGCCTGACAACAAAAGGATCAATTGTGGTAACTTCCGCCTGGTGTCTAATAAGGGGGAGGAGGATTTGAAGGAAAAAGAGAAGAAGAATTGTCTTGATTAACAACCTGAGTCCCTGTTGTTATTCTTGGTCTACTTCAATATTCGGTTTGGGCTATGGATGTTTTCGGGCTATGGCTGACCGTGTTAAGTGGTGCAATGGTGTATTCTTCTTACGTTATCGAAGAAATTCCTAGTATCAGTGTAATAATTCATTAATGTTTCGGATTTTCTATTTTCGTATCACCTACAAACAGTCGTGAGGCTATGTTTTCCAGTTGCGGTCGTAGGATCCATTAGGCCTCCCAAGCACCCTAGAAAGTCGCATTGCCAAGGACATAAGATCCCGCGCCACGCAGAGTGGTCGTTAAATGGAAAGCGTTCTAAGCTTTCCACTGGATATACTTCTGCACATCATTTGGAGCAAAGCTTGCCCTTTTCAAGGTTGCAGAAACCGCGAGCAGCTCTTTGGGGATTTGTGGATAACTGGCCGCAAACGGAAGCGGCTGACGGGTGCCACAGGTGTACCATGGCAATTGGAATATTAAGACGTGCGGGATTTACTGATCTCCACAGTGCTAGAAATAAGGCTGACCTCGGTATCCAATTGGAACAAGACGGTCTCAGGCAGGATGTCCATCCAAACTTTCAAGTCGGGTTTGAATTGCGTTCTGATCATCCTGTCCTTCTTCTGCCTTATACTCCTGGAGTACGATGGTCCGCATCAGTCGCCGAGGGGCACGGCGACCGGTGAAGAGCTCGAACTGGGCGAATCCTTGCTCTGGGAGAACATCAAGGCCGTCCAAAGCAACCCAGCCGCGGTGAGAAAGGGCTCGCATTTGCTTCACCAGCGGGGTATCAAGGGGCTTGTACGCTAGCTAAATGACAATCAACAGTCTATTCGGACAAACATTTGACGAGAATAAGTCTAACGGGACTCGAATAAGGAAATCGCTTACCTCGACTACAACACCTCCCGTGGGACTCCCAAGCCACTGAGATGGTATCCTGAAGTTAGGGGCCGGCTGGTCCCCAATGCTATGCGCTGGTATGCATGAGCATATAACGGTTGGTGGGTTGTAATACGTAGGCCATCTATCTTGTAAGGAGCTTAGGACGTGAACTTTTGAGCGAGTGGTTGGCGCATTCTTGTTATGTGTGGGAAGCTTCTGCCGATTGTAGTGGTATGCCAACTTCTCGGCGTTGGCAAAGGTACGATTCCAGACGAATATGTTCTGTACACCCAAGTGAATCATGGAGTAAACGGCAGCGCGAGCCATGCCACCAGAACCAATAACTAGACCGGTAGATGACGCGCGGATCGCATTAGCGGGAGAGAGGCCTCTTCGGAAGCAATTACAGATGCCAATCCAGTCAGTGTTGTCTCCATGTAAGCCTTTGATCGGTCCCGCCCGGCTCTTCTCCAGATAAAGAGAACAACCTTCGGAAACCAGAGCAGGATCATCGAGATTCCGGACTGGTATCAGCGTATTCACGGCCCCGATTGCCCGAGCATGGGGGGACATCGAATGAAGGAGAGGAATAGTTTCTGTTTTGTAAGGTAGACTGACACTGGTTCCACCAAAGTTAGGGTTTGCTACCAGTTCGTTCAGGCCTCGCAGAGATGATGACTGGTGAAGGCTATACACGTGTGGCATCCCACATGCCTTGTAGGCAGCATTGTGCATAGCTGGAGACAGACTGTAAGTTACATTAGCACCGAAGACGAAAAACTGCATTGGGTCTAGGGCGAAGGAAGCGTAAAGCGCTTCTTGCGCCTCGCGTAAAGTGATACAAGGCAGGTTCTTTGCCTGGGTCTCAGACAACAGGGATTGATTGGTCACGGGCGTTAATATCGGGTTAAAACAGCAAGATAGTCGGCCCAGGGAGCCTGAGTTGTAGACTATGAGAGGCAGCTGTGGTCCAGGAAGAGCTTGGATACGGTGGCGGAAGCGCTGGACAGCATGGTTGTCATCCATTGATGCTGCCGGCTGAGTCAATCGAACCATATCGCACCCGAGTCGTTTAGCACGTTCATATAGCTCGAGGTAGGCAGGGTCATCCCAGCCTTGCTCAACGCACTGAACAGAAGCAAAATGCCCAATAACCTTGCTTGACCCTTTCGAGGCGATGACTTGCGATAGAACATTGTCATCATAAGATAGGTCAACAGTTATGAAATTAGGAGCTAGTCGTAAACCATGATGTATTAGGTTTAAATATGCGTGAGTAGAACGGCGCACGGGTTCATTATGTGGTGTGGCTGAGTTAATTGAGCCTACATCACTTTCCACATGATATATCATAGGGACAACAATGTTCCGCCGAATTGTGGCCACAGTTTGACTGATTCTATCTGCGAGGGTTGACTCAAGCCCTAGGTGAGAAGAATGGCTTTCTGTCACATCGATCTTTAGCTCGAAGGCATCTGCGGTTGATTCTAAATCCTCAATGCTGAGGTTTCTCATAAAGAGAGTGGATATCGGTACAGTGACAGCGTACGTAAAGGTGCGCGCCTCGACAGGTTGCGTAGAGAGTGGGAACGATGCATGTTGGTTACTTAGATCGGTGGTATTCCCGGTAGCGAAAGCAATGAAACGAACAAAATCTCGTTGCAGCCGCTTAAGAGTCAGGAAGGGCGTGAATGTCTGAGATCGTTGATCTACTTCGAGCTCAAGCTGTGAATGGTGATGACCGTCCTTTGCTAATGTTGGATCTCCATGGCCGGTTTCTGAAACGTTGAAGAACTCAAGATTTGAACATGCCCGATAGATAGGTCCGGAAAGATCTAGGAAACGGCAAACTTTCTCTGTATCCCAGGCTTGCAGGTATGACTGAATACTTTCAGGATCTCGAATGATATGGATGACAGGGTGAGTTTTTGCATATTCTCTTAGAAGCATTTGCCCACTGCGCTCCATAGAACCTGGCCCGCATGCAATGACCCACCCTTCTTTATGGTCTGATAACATAGACTCCATGGCTCTAGCCTCCTGCTGACGATACTCGGTACTTCCATGCTCCTTCTTAAAAGCAGCACGTGAACGTCCTGTGACTTGCTGGAAATAGCGATCGGCATCAATCAACCCCCTCCCAGAAGTTGCCGCCAGGATGACCGCGAGGCTGGACTTCCCTGTGCCACGAATGCCAACAAGGACTATGGAAACGTTGGGTGCAAATCTCCTCTGGACCTGAAATGGTGCCTCGAAGGATACAGGCGATACACGGTTAGAAATCAGTTCGCGCAAAGATGACTCCCCAGTAGTCTCTGTCGGTTCTCCCAAAGAGTAGGCGCTGATGACCGGGGGGCCAACATCTTTATCGGAATGCAGTTCTGTCGACACAGGTGCATTTGACGAGGTATTTGGATAGCGACTGCCGGAGGATAGTCTGGTGTTTTGCTCAAGCCCCTCTATTTCGGCTAATTTGCGTTTGGGCGGCCTTACGAGTATGGACATGTTGTCACACTGAGGTAGGAACACCTATATATTAAAAAAAAAAAAAAAGAAAGGGCATTCCTGGCTCACGTACGGTGCGAAAAGCGACTTAATGTAGAGACATTGAAAAAGGAACAGATACACGCGTAATGATGAGAATGTAGATTCCACCGACGACTAGATAGGGCGAGTGCAATGTAAGGAGCTAGATTTCCCAGGTCGATGGCGCGGATGAAGCTATCAGGGCTCAATGCCGCGTTGAGCGACTGCTTGTCAACCAAGAAAAATTTATTGATGTCCGAATGGTTGTGGAGGAAGAGCTAAAGGATCTAATCGCGGGGGAGCGACAAAATTGGATTGGGGGGAAAGGGCCGCGGAGCTTGGGAACCTTAGCAGTTTGCGGACAAATGCTCAGCCGTGATAAATTACCGTATCGCCTGGAGTAATCATTCCAAATGGCAATTACCCCGCGGGGATGAAATCACTCGGACGACATCCCGAATGTAAACTCGTGCAAGGGACGATATAGTCGCGTGGACCTTGTTTTAAATTATGTATAAAGATTCTCAATCCTGAGCACGAAGAGATAAGAAAACCTTACTGGGTCCAATTTTACCAAATTCATTTAGCAATATCGAATCTGAAGCGGGGAAGAGTAAGTTACTAGTGCCACCGTCCCCAATATTTTCAATCTGTCTTGCTTTGATTCAGGACAGTCATCGCTTACTATGTACTCCGTACTGGCACTAGGCGCGGGTAAGCAATAGGGCTGCTTTCCCCAACTTCCACCATACCACTCGCTTTTCCTTTCTCCGCTCTTCATTCTGTCAATATCTCTCTCTCTTTCTTTTTTTTTTCTTTTTTTTTTACCCGCTGTCACCACTAAATTCGGATTGGGTACGCACATATACCATCCTAGTTGAACTAAGCGATCTAGCTTCGTCTGACAGTGCAGGCTAGGTCAGAATCCCTGTTCCCATTGCTCTGTGTGGTGGGGTGAAGCTCAGCTCAGTTTCTGTAAAGTCATCTTCCGGCAAATGCATCATCTCGCTTGCACTTTTTGAAGATGAACATGCGTCCAGAAAAATCTACTGCACCGCCATCTAGACGATCATGAGTAGCGACATGCGCCAAGCTTCCGGGAGTAGCAAAGCTAAACGACGACTAATCGACGCCGACGAAGATAATAGATCGATTGCTACCGCAGATGAGAATGCATCCAATCCCAAGAGACAGCGTGTCTCGCGCGCCTGTGACAGCTGTCGATCGAAAAAGGATAAATGCGACGGGGTCCAACCCGTATGTTCGACCTGCGCTTCGCTGTCCAGACCCTGCACCTACAAGGCCAATCCCAAGAAGAGGGGGTTACCAACTGGGTACATTCGCACCCTCGAGTTACTATGGGGGCTCGTGTTCTGCAAGATAAAGGGTAGTGAAGATGTGGTGCGCGCCTTATTGAAGGCAACCAATATGCCGAGTCATTTGTCTACAATGGGCAAGGAGGCTGAGGGATCCGACACACTTCTCTTCTCGTGGAAGAACAGCGCCGTACTTAGAGATGTCGAGCGAATGTTGACACTCTTGGAGCAGCCGGAGGATGAACAAGATAAAGAGCAACGAGCACCTGGGGATGGTGATTCACCTCAGGATGCAGAGGGTAGTAGTGTACTCTCGTCAGATACCCTTGAGTGGTGTATGCCTGAAGGGCTAGGGGACGGCAGGGAAAATCCATTGGCTGCAGGACAATCGCCAGTTAAAACACCTATAATTGGATCAACCGCAAAAAGCCATCTGACACGCAATACCCGAGACTCTGGCAGCCAAACTTTCTCCCTGAGAGATGCGGCGGAGGACCCGAGAATACTAATTACTCATTCACCATCTCAGTCTCAGCCTGGCCTCAACCCCTCTGGTGGTGCTTTGATACACCCACCACGTCTCCCCTCTAACGCTTGGGCATTGATCGACATATATTTTACCTACACACAGTGTTGGTTTCCAATACTAGAAAAACATGATGTACTTCGGACTGCGTTTAGTCACTCTGAGGGTGAAACATCTGTTTCGGCTTCATCTGCTGGTTCCGGCAACCATGCAGCATTATGGGCAGTTCTAGCTCTTGCGTCTATCCAGGAGGCTTCAATTACTGCAACTCGTCAGCTACCGCAAATTTCGAGCGACCGGCCAAATCCCAAGCAGCTGTATGCAACAGCCAAGAGTCTACTTCCGGAGGAGGAAGGCGTCCATGATATTGGTCATGTCCAAGCGTTATTGATCTTATCGCTTATCAAACTTGGTCAACAAGAATGGACAGCTGCATGGATGCTTGTAGGACATGCCGTTCGCATTTCACAATGTTTGAGATTTGATCGCCCTCCTAGCACCCTACCGCCCAATGGGGATGCGGTTAAGGGGTCGGGACGAACAAAGCATGTGCTTCTAGGCTGTTTTGTGCTTGAGACTGTGATTGCCATGCAAACTGACCAGGTGCCGTCATTGCGCAAGAGCGACTTGATAAAGATTGGCCCAATCAACGAGGATGGTCTGGAAGAATGGCATCCTTGGGAGGATCAGACTGGTATCCGACCGGTAGAGTCATCACGGAGCAACTTCCATCGCGGGCCGCTCCATGCCTTAAGCGCCTTCAACCGTCTTATCTCGTTGGTATGCATTTTGAACGACGTGTGCTGCCTTAAACAGTCCACAACCGGTTCTGCTCCACAACTGGAGGCGCTGGAGCGCCAGTTACAAATTTGGATCTCGGCTCTTCCTAAGAGTTACCGCGTCGATGTGCAAGCGAATTCGACGAAGCCAGCCTCGCCTCACATTTTCGGACTTGAAATGATGTATGAATGCATTACTGCTACTCTAAGCCTGCAATTCGCAATTCAGAAATACGATACCAACATACAGGAGGAAATACACAAAGAACGTGCGACAGAAAGCTGCAAAAGATTACTATTATTACTTCAAACATATATGGAGACTTATAGCCTTTCAGCAACTTTTCCTACTTTTGGTATGATACTCTCACTTAGTGCTTTTCAGGAAGGTGAGAGACGTAACTCGTCATTATTGTTTGATCTTGAGTCTGGCTTGAAGCACAAATTGCGATCATTTGCCTCACATCTTGGGACTGTGTGGCTTATCCAAGAGAAAGATACTGCGAGGATGCACTTAAGAGAGACGACACCGAGTGCGTCAGCAACCCAGCGACAACGAAGCCTGAACCCTATAGCCTCAGCCGATCAGAATTCTTTCCGCCTTTCTGAAATGCCATCTTCAGGAAATGCAACAAAGAGAGTTGGATTAGTAGACAACATTCATTTAGATATTGGCGCAGCTGATCCATTCCTTTCGAATTCTTGGATGCGAACGACATCAACTGTCGAGGACAATGCCGTGTTGTCCTTGCCACCACCCACACCGTCGGTGAGCATTAATCGGGGGGTTACGGAAACTTTACAACAAGTCTCCCAGCCCAGAGAGTCTGCTTCGCATAAGCAACGCGCTTCCATATCTTCGTCTACAAGGCAAATGAATGGAGCGTCTTCACTGCCAGACTTGACTCCATTTCCATCTATACAATATCCAACTCCTTATAGTGAGCCGAATCATAACCTTGGCTCCTTTCTCGATATCGATGGATACGGGTCTCTCCAACGACCAAGGATTGCTCCTGACCTTGACGCATTATTCGATGAATTAGCGTCGTTGGATGGTACCGAAAAGTGAGTTGGCCGCATTCATATTTAACTTGTGAAATTCGCTGATATACGGAACACAGAACGGATAACCAACCTGAGTTTATGCAAAATTTGGGATTTGTCCCAGACGCTGGAATACCAGAACTATACTCATATTCCAGCCAGGTAGAGCCTTTCCTTTTGACCCAGACACAACAGTTACCAATTTCCGACCCTTCAGTGGTACTACGACGGGAGTCTCAACTAATGAATAAGCCGCAACCAAACTCGCGAAATAAATCTTGAAAACTAAACAGTACCGAGCGAGGCTTTTGATTGAATCCAAAGAGGTCTGAGTCCTCGAATTGTCCACCTAGATATAATTGCCCGCTGGTGGCATCGGTTTAAAGTGCCAAACGATGGGCTGGCCGTTGCAGTGCAATGGCTGCTCAGTAAAGGGCTACGAGGAGGCCATGTATAGCGTTGTTTTTCTACATTTATTTCTTGGCTGTATATATTAGTGCGTACATACTTTTCCATCGGTGCATGGTATGGAGGATGACCTAGCCGATGTGCAAATTGACCAATACTTGCAGTGGGACATTTACACATTAGGCTATACAATAATGCCCAGGTTTTCATGCGAATTAACGGTAATTAGCGTTCACAGTACAGCCTTTCCCTCCCTCGACTTGAAATTCACCGCCACATGCTCCACCGCAACCTTATATCCATAAACTCCCAACCCGACAATAATTCCGGCTGCCTTATCGCTGAAATAACTGTGATGCCTCCATGGCTCCCGTGCATGGACGTTACTCACATGTAACTCAATGAAAGGGATGTCCACCCCCACCAAGGCATCTCGGATAGCCACTGAGGTGTGCGTGTAAGCTCCAGGATTAATAATGACTCCATCAACGTTATGCCGAGCAGCCTGGATGCGATCAACGATTGCGCCTTCGTGATTGGACTGGAACGTTTCTAATGTGGCTCCGAATGAGGTAGCGTGGGCTTTACTGGAGGCTTCGATATCTGCAAGGGTGGTAGTGCCGTAGATATGGGGTTCACGAGTGCCCAGGAGGTTGAGGTTCGGGCCGTTGATGAGGAGGATTGATTTTCCCATTTTATCTTGTCATTATGTAAGAGCTTTGTAGGAGGGGTTGGTTTTTTGGGGGGATATGTATGTGATTCTGTTGTTGAAGTTAAGCACAAAAATGTTGTAGGGGGTAAGGCAAGAATAGAGGGTTGATAGTTCTTATTCAAAAAAAAAAAAAAAAGCCCTGATTACTGCTATTATTATTGTTTTATTCTCGTAGGCATCGTCTAGCATGGATAAAACATCTGGATTCTTGCTGCGTTGAACACTATTGCGGAGTAGCTAATTCCCCCGGTGATATAGGGGAAATCTTTTCCCTATGCTCTCATACCTTTTGGTATGTATGGACATACATAATATTAGAGCCTAATCGCCTGTTCGTAATTACTAACCCATGTGAGAATACTTGTAATTACCTTGCAAGCGACGACCGAGGGAAGTTCTCCGCATTGGGCTAAAGGAAACTCCGTACGGCAGACCCTTGGGACAAAAGGGGAAAAGCTGAAATTTCATGTTCACGCTAGTATTCTGCCGGCAGATACATACGTGGCTTGCTTAGTTTCACTAGTTGGTTACTTGTTGTACAACGGACCCCGTACAACTGGGAGTGCTGGTGTTGATGCAGATATTAAACAAAAGCCTGTATATACCTCTATAGGACAATTAGATTGTTTTCGTCACCATCCTTCCCATCCAAGTTGATTGGGTTCTCTGGTGCTTCGCCCTCAGGGTCTAAGTTGATTAGACACTGTATACCATCTCCTCCTGTACGGGGTAGACCGCGGTCAGCTTTATGTATGTTTCCCTATAACTCATCTTGTACGATGCACTGACGAGCAGCATCAGGCCATTTGTAGTTGGCACATACACTGCCAAGCGCCCCTGGAACGTGGCAGCATTTGGGAAAGGGCCGGCAGTCTTGTATAGTGCGGCACCTGTACAAGGCTCTGCAAGCTGAATGCCTCTTGATTGTATAAGCAGAGCATTAATTTACGAAGGACAATTACTGTAGATTTGTCTAGCATTTATCCTGCCACGGGTAAAAGACACGGCTTGACCTGGAAGGTCCAGCATGCTTCACTGTATATTGTCGTGAACGTACGGAGCCAACTCATGATCTCCGATAGAAAGGATAGGATTCAGGTTAGCTGGAGTCCTTGCAAGCAGATGGGCGAAAAGGCCCTCCAGCTCCTGCTAAGTTATTGGGCGCTCGAACGGGCGGTTGGTGTTGGTGTTGCTAATACTCGTATGAGAACAAATTAGCATAATGCTTCAAGACATGCAAAACAACAAGGAAAGCCATAATGCTCGTACGCCATGATGATGATGAGGATAGTGGTGGTGGTGGTGGTGGTGGTGGTGGTGGTGATGATAGTGAGGTTTGTGAGAAAGAAAGAAGAGAGAATACAAGAAAAACTATAATATTTTAGGTTATGCTATTTACTTTGTCGTGGATGACGTATCTTCAATAACCTTAACATTATAACAAGCCACTTTACTCAGCCATGTACAAGGCTTGACCAGACTTTACCACCTTAATCCTATATCCTCCAGGAGAGCTGTTGAAGCACTGTAAACCTTAATCACATATCCTCCGCACGAGCTGTTAAAGCACTGTACACTATAATTGTCACAGATCAAATAGTGATTCAGCCTGATGACTGTACAGGATACCCTGACTCAGGTGCGTAGACAATCGGCCACCGATGATGGAACATCAGGCCATATGACAGATTGGGTTCAAGGGGAATTCTGAATCCTTTAGGCATGGAGCCTTCAGCTATAAATTAGCAAATCGTTAGTAGTAATAGGAGATAAAGAATCAGTCTCCTGTCTGAATAGTATCTACTGCCTGCCTTTGACTTCTCTCTTTCCTCTAGGCTACGTACCCTTACCTAGTTGACAGGTTCTCTACCCTGAATAGCAGATATCCTTGACAATCTTGACTTCAAAAATACTAATAAAGTAATGTTTTTCCGTATCCCTTAATCTGACCCTTTTCAATCTCCGTACAAAGCTTAGACAAAATAGCTTCTTCTTATACTTGGGTAGCTATAGGATTTATTATATAATAATATAATCCTAGCTGGTGCTGAATATATTTTACAGTCCGAGCCTTAATATTAAAGCCTTCTAACTGTATAACCTTAAGTAATTCTTATTCTTCTCTTCTAGACCAACTTGCCAGAAAAGAACCTTAATTTAAGTATAAAGAATTGGATCATTTGATACTCTATAATTCTGTTTTTAAATATCCCACTGTTAAAGGCGTGTCTTTATTGTCCGAGTAGTGACTGTAATACCATAAGAATTAGCTAGAGTCCCTGTAATATTATCAGGGGATATATTATTCATATAAGATCAGTAATCTCTGCCTTATAAGGCTCAAGATTAATTGCCGGACGAGACATGATGATAACTTGTATAATAGAATCTAACTCTTGTAGAAGTAAACTACACCGCTTGATTTAGAAGATCTGAGATCCAAGCAGGGCGGGCAGGAGGGGGTAGATAAAACAATTACATGAAATTCCAGTTTTTACCCTTTTGTCCCAAGGGTCTGTCGTACTGCCGTAGACAGGCGGCCGTGGGATTAAGCAGACGTCATGCCAGGACCATGGCCAGTTAGTGAGACTCGCACAACAGGGTCAAGTGCTGCCGCTTTCGGCAGCCTGCTAACCGTTTCATCGTTAAATGGATGAAGTTATTACAAGATGGGGAACACAGTATAATATGCTGACTTCTCTCCTCTGGTAATGATGAGGCTATTTTAGATTGGGCTCTTACATCTACAACTGCTACAGGCTCTGCAACAGGGAGAGAAGTAGTTAAAACTACCAATTCTCATGCCTCCTGGAGGAGACTAAAGTGTTGATTAAGATCTTAAAGCGTCTTCATATTGCCCAAAAGGAATCTAAGGCCAGGATTCATCAATTATGGGGATAACACAACGATGGTTGACCCCCCGTCAGAGCCTTAAGACACTAGCTGCTCAGACATCTCTTAAAGAAGACTTCGTCTCTTCTCTAGTCAGCTCAGGCTGGCATGCCCGGATACTACGTCAGCTTGGGCCCCTTCACTGGGTGGCCTATCATCTTAATCCTGCAAGAGCGGATGAGAAACTTGATCCGACAGCCCGCATCTATATTGAAGGTGTTCTACGCCCGTTTGAAGATGGGAGCTCGTCCGCTTGATATGAATTTATAACCTTTCGACAGAGGACGGGAGCTTTTCATTATGCTTCTTTTTGGAAAGCTAAAAATACCATACCTCTTTTGGTTAGAAGCAGTAAGTTAAAGCTCTAAATCTTAAAGGATACTACCAGCTTACTCTTCTATACGCTGAATTTGCTCCTCTCCTTGGTCCCTTCGCCCGTCGTCTACATAATACTGTTGCTAATTCAGCAGCAGCAGAGAGAGCCTTCTCACAGATGGATCTACAGCATACAAAAACTTGGGATCGCCTTGACTCTTGCTGCGTTGAGAAATTTCTCTATATGCAGATTAATAAGAGGCAGCTTCGCGCGGATCCACCACCTATAATCACTCAGAAATGCTCCTTGATAAGGAATATGCTAGAATTGAGAGGATTTTACAACGAAAGCACGTACAGTACAGGACTACCTTCAACAACCTTTGACAATCTAGATCAACTGCAGGTTCAGTATCCAATTCAGCGTCCAGTTCAGTTACAATATATACAGTTCCTACAGCCACTAAAGCTGTTGTAACAACAACTATTTCTTTGAATTCCACCTCGAATCCTACTACAGTCGCAATTGGGATATGGACAAATAATGGGGTTACACTTAGAAGCCATACTAAGGGCGAGAAGCGTCCATCTCAGCAGACCACCACAGAAGCGGCCTCGGCGGCAAGGAAGGCAAATTGCAGGAATTCATATATAATTACATAAAGTTAATCAAATAGTGCATTTCAATTTCAAGGATCATTTGTTTAATCATGGGCAACAATCGGATTGGGGTCATTGCTTGCATAGGAGCGAAGTCAGACTACATATTAAAACGGTGCATTAAAGGCAGTAGCCTATTCAGCATTGATACCAGACAGTCTACTATCTTATAGTGGGTGAAATTTGTACATGAAACATTTAGGTGTGGCACTGAACGTTGTGGCCTATGGAAATGGCCCCAGTCTGCGTAATTCAAGAAAAGTATCATCTATAGCTAGCAGACCCGAATGGGCTGTGTAAGAGAGGTTTAAGGTCCAATTGTAGAGGTTACCTCATAAAGCGAAGAATGTGTGAGATTACATGAGTGTTCAGAAAGTGCGAACAGAATTTTGCACAAGGCATAGTGCACTCTTAGTCGTTTATTCCCTCACGATTTCACGATGACTCTGCACTCGCTTAAAGTAACCAGTGCAGGAATTTATCGAGTTTTTCGTGATTATGCTGATTCATGGGATGATTGGTCTGATTATGCTTGTCTTGATGATGTTGGTTGTGTACAGAGAGCCTCCCTTCGCAGAATAATCATGGCCATATGCAGCCAGCCGGCCTACGATTTTAAGTTCCAGTTCAAGTTAAGTTTGGGTTGGAGGGTCAGGTTCTGTGCTGCAGTCCTAAAAATGGACCCTAGCCCGGCCCAATTCAACACTAATACCCACTACGATATGGTGTTGCGACAGACTTTGCTGCCTACCATTTATTTGTATTATTTTTCTTTGTTTAACCGAGGTCCGCGGTTTTTTGACGACTGATATATAAGTTAGGCTTTGCGGAGGCCACCTCTATTGGGCTTAACACTCCTCCAGACCCTCGTGATACTTCTACCGCTGTATTGTTCTTCCAACGGGGTGCTGACCAACGAAACACAGCTATGCCAGACTTCTTTCCTTCAGAACGGCTCGCTCATACATTGAGGTCGGAACATGAAATCAGTGGCTGGTTGAACACAATCATTACTGTGTTTGGAGCAGCTCAAGTTATTTTCTTTGTTCCGGCATTCCTGGGTGCTCTCCTCCGACTTCAGTTATCTCCGGCGCTCGAAAGTCTTGTTCGCTGGGGGCCTGGTGGCGCAGAGCAGTATGAAGAGATGATCTCAATCATCTACATTATCTGGGGAATCTATCTCATCCGCGCCGCTAGATCCCCTTTTGAGAATATGCTCTTCCTCGATTTTTCGGTTGCAGCAAATGTGGCGCACATCTCCATCATGACGGCTATGGCCTTTTATAATGAAAGGGATCGCGTTCACCTCATTGGTGATGTCCTGGCGGCCTGGCTTGTTTTGGGGCCTTTTACCTACGTCTGGACTCTGTCTAAAAGAAAGCATCGTCGATGATCTCCAAAATAGGGAGCATTATCGTTACGGTTCGCCCTAATACCGTATTCGGTCCGTAGTTACGATCAGGTTCAGTTGCCGTTGGTTTTCATACGCACATTCTGTTGAGTCATGCGCTTCCAGTATGGTACTGTACGTCTTTATTCTTATTATTATTGTTGTTCGAGTTCAACCTCCTTACCGAGCCTCTTTAGCTATCAAGAAATTGGCTGTGATATCTGACCAATAAGGAGCCTGCGTTCTATAAACCAATGATATATCTATACTAGCCCCATGTAGGGAATCTGAAACTAGGTACCCGCTTCTTTTAAGAGATCTGAGCTCCGAGCAGGGCGGGCAGGAGGGCGGTAGACAAAACGATTACATGAAATTTCAGTCATTTCCCTTTTGTCCCAAGGGTCTGCCGTACTCCGCGCAGCCGGGGAGAACGCTTTACCGGCATGCCGAACACCCGTGGGAAGCTGACAGAGTATTGCAATGCGTAGAGGTGGTGTTTTGCACGAGCAAACAAAGGATGAGCCGAGATTATAGGGGGTGGCCTCAGGAATTTGCGTTGTACAGGCTTCAAAAAGACTTGTGTGCTTCTCCTTGTAGTTAGAAAAAGACGGAATTTAATCGATTGCAGGCTTGGATTGGCTGATCTCCCAGAGATCTACTGACAGCGCTTGAAACACGTGGTACTCTTTGATGTGCAGACGCATGGCCTCGATATCTCAACAAAGGTAAACTAGGGGCTGATTTAGAAGTCTTGAGGAGTCATTGCTCTACAGTGATAAAAGTAAAGTTTGTTCGCTCTATTGGATCTATTCTTGCTAAGGTGCCAAATGTCACTATCTGCACAACATGCGAAATTTGTGTTCAAAACTCATAGCCAATGGCTAAATATTCATTTACTTATGGTAGGCTCACGCATATGCCCCATCCAGGTTGCCCGCCCCCCCCACGTAAGGTAACAAGCAATGTGGAGCCCGTTGATAGTCATTCCTACCGGTTACTCACGGCCTCTGGAGATAACCTGAACTCATAAACTTCGATCGTTCCAAAGACGGCCACTCTTCTCATTATTCTACATCTCCTATGCTAGAATATAACAGGCTGTTGCTCTAAGAAGAAGCATCGTGAAACGCGGCCCTCGTAGTATCCATTTGAAAGCCTTGCACTTATCGTTATCGACCCCGCACCATGACGGTCCCTCAGCTCGACCAGGAGCAACTGGACGAGATCTACTCTTTTTCAGTAGACCTCAGCCGTAAAGCCGGTCAACTCTTGCTAGAAAGCATTGAAAAACGAATCGAGGGCGAGGGAAGCCAGTCGGAGGAAGAAAAGGAGAACGCGGTGGATATTGTGACTCAGACAGATGAAGGTAGCTCTATTGCGTTGTATGAAGATGATAGCGGTACCTGGTCTCTGACGATAATTTTATCAGATGTGGAAACATTTATCAAAACCGCAATCCAGGAGAAATACCCCTCCCATAAGTACGACATCCACTTCAGCCATTTCGAAATACTATACTGACAACCCAACAACCAGGTTTCTCGGAGAGGAGACATATGCCAAAGGACAATCTCGAGACTACCTTATCGATGAAAACCCAACCTGGTGTATCGATCCACTAGACGGTAAGTCGAGGGACTCCTCTGTTCCGAACGCCCTTCTAACCCAGCTTCAGGGACGGTTAACTTCACCCACATCTTCCCCATGTTCTGTGTCTCCATCGGCTTTATCGTCAATCACAAACCCGTCATAGGGGTAATCTACGCTCCTTTCCAAGACCAACTTTTCTCGTCGTGTCTCAATCGAGGCGCCTGGTTGAATGAAAAGCGCCGTCTTCCACTCATCCACAAGCCGTCAATCCCGCCAATGCCTCCCAACGCACCCAGCAAATGTATCCTTTCCTGCGAATGGGGTAAAGATCGCCGCGATATCCCTGATGGAAATATGCACCGCAAGATCGAGAGTTTTGTGAATCTGGCGGCTGAACTTGGTGGTCGGGGTGGAAAGGGCGGCATGGTCCACGGGGTCCGCAGCCTGGGAAGCGCGACGCTAGATTTGGCGTACACTGCAATGGGATCGTTTGATATTTGGTGGGAAGGTGGCTGTTGGGAATGGTGGGTCTCCCGATCTTCCGTCTAGACCTTGTTTCTGACTTTCCCAGGGACGTTGCTGCTGGAATTGCCATCCTTCTTGAAGCCGGTGGTCTAGTCACGACTGCCAATCCACCGGCGGATCCGGATAATGCCCCAATTGAAGATGTACGGCTAGGTAGTCGCTTGTATTTGGCTATTAGGTAAGATATCCTTGCGAGTGCCTGGAATATATTTATCTGGTTGTTGACTGACATTGGTTCAAGGCCGGCAGGACCATCGGGCACCGAGACTGGGCGACAGACACAGGAGAGAACGGTAAGGGAGGTATGGAAGCGTGTACGACAGCTTGAATATGCACGGCCTGGTGCTTGATCTCTTCCTGAGGATTTCGAAAACTATATATGATACTTTGTTGGAGGAGCTTGTTTTGATGTATGACGACATGTCTAATTCTATACATGTGCTGTGCTCTAGGGTATACTATATACAAGGATCATGAATGTAGAAAACTGTTACGTGAGAAAAAAAAAATTTAAAGGTTAGGCTTGGACGGCGCCCTCTCAGCTAACGACTTCGCCACCATCTTCTTGACCTTCTCCACCAGGCCAGGAACAGCAACTACATCCTTGCCAGTCCACAGACGGGCTTGTTCCAAGCCCTGCCAGATCAACGCCTCCGAACCCAAGATGACCTTCCAGCCAGCCGTCGAAGCAAGCTGAGCAATTTCCGTCCAGGGAACGGGATGATAGCACATTTCCAAAATTACACCCTTGAATGCACCTGAAGATGAAGCCTCGCCCAAGAAAGCCTGGAGCACCTGTCGCGCGTTGATTTCCTCCGGGGTCTCCGGCGGATAATTGGGGATACCCGAGACAATAGCTGCAGGCGTCTCAAGTGTAGCAGCGACAACAGGATCGGTGACAGGAATGAGTGGCGCCGTTGTCGAGGCAGAGTTCCGTTCCTTATCTTCGTGCATAATAGCTTCGACTTCCGACTGGTCACGGTTCACAATGTAGATCTTGCTGGCGCCGAGCCATTTGCGTAAGACATAAATCGCCGAGCGAGCCGTGCCGCCTCCGCCGACTATCAGGGCGGGTTTGTTCTGGAAGAGTTCCGGAGACGGGGAGTTCTGCAGCAGGGCTTCCCGGATACCGATGCAGTCGGTGTTTGTACCGACATAGGAGCGGCTGCCGTCCCGTTCATCGCGTAGAAAGATGGTGTTGCAAGCACCGACTTGTCTGGCATCCTCGGTGAGGTCGTCTAAGTGTGGCATGATGGCTACCTTCCATGGCATGGTGACGGAGGAACCGACGAATTTGGGGTTAGACTTTATGGAGGCCAGGTATTTATCGATTTGGGGTGACCGAGTGTATGGTGGTGGATAAGTCGCGGATGTGCCATAAACGCTGGATAGAGGAATCTGGGTCCAGTTTAATCCCAAGGTGTTGTAGACGGTCTTGTGGAGGGGTGGTGATAGGGAGTTCAGCAAAGGATGGCCATAGAGATATGCCACACCGTCCAGGTCAGCAGGACAGGCAATGGGCTCCTCGGGAGGCTGAACCTCGTTCACGATCTGTGGTGCTGCTGCCATCGTGACCTGAAGACGGGAATTGACGGTATGCTTGTTGGGTATAGAGAGGAGAGGGTTGGGTGTTCAGTAGTATATAAAATTTGGGAAGTCGGAGTTCGAGACGAAAAGCGGTATGTCACCATCTATCCTGTTTTCTTCCGAGGGCCAATGGTTCTTCAGGGATTCCAAACTAGGAACAGCGGCGGATAAACGTTTTAAGATTAGTTGCGTTTCTACCCTCTTTTTTCAGGCCAACAGAACTTCTCCGTCGTTTCTCTTCCACTCCGAGATCGCACTCCACTTTGCTCTCTATTCTGCTCCTCAAGGTCCAATAATGCTTTTACTCTTACTAGACTACTGCCCATCTAACCAAGATATGAATCCTGACCCCTCATTATCATAACCCTCACTAAGATAGGTATGTTCTGCTTCGTTGCAGTTGTATGGATTACGCTAGTCTAATGCTCGGTAGCGATCCATCTAACCTTAACTTTCTGCAGACTAACTATTCTTAATGAGTTGCCGGGAGAATGCTTTTCCCGGGCTAAGGTTCGCTTAATCTTCGTCACACAGGGCCCCATGGGGAATCTTATTCGAGAAAATCTTGACGGTGAAGTGCTTTCCCCAGCCACGGATGATACCTAGCCAATAACCATTGGCAATGATCCCTCTTGAATCGCTTTTTGGGGAAGACTGGGGTCCCCCTTTAGTCTGGGGTTCCTTCCTTCAGAAGACCAAGGTCCTTTATAGTTCTTCGGCTCCTTGGCTTCCCCACAAATGCTCGCCAGCATTGCCGTCTCCGTCCCACATCCACCTGAGCGGAATCAGAGCGGCGTGCCAACAGTGGCAGAGATTTTCGTGGCCATTGGTAGAGTCATACTAGTTTGGCTCTCTCGTAGTACGACAAAGTTAATCAGCATCCAAGACCAAAGGATCGTGAGGAGAACTCAAATGCCTTTCTCCACGTGCCTACTATAAGAATATATTCGTTTTGCCGCCGATTGTTTTTCCACAACCTTTTTAAGTTATCCCATCTCCGCAACCCCAGGCTATTCTCAGCTCGCACCCCGGATCTTCGTTTCAGAAGCAAGGGTGTTGTCGTCTAGCGTGGGGATAGAGAAATAAGTATTTAGACTCCGGATGCGCGGCACTTCTTTCACATCTCCCTCACTCCCTTCCTGACACTGCTTTGATATATAACTATTTTACTTTCTGCCTTCCACACATAAGATCAATTCTTGTATATCTGCCTCGTTGGGTATCGATAGAGCTACTGTGTTGATTCCACCGAGGGTGACCACATTGTCATTATGTCTATCCTCTCTCTAGTCGAGGATAGACCAACGCCAGGGGAGGTCTACAACTGGAAGATTTACCTGCTTGCAGCCGTCGCCTCATGCACATCTTGTATGATTGGATATGATAGTGCCTTCATTGGTACGACCATATCTCTCCAGTCCTTCAAGGATGAGTTCGATTGGGATGCCATGTCCGCCGCGAGTCAAAACCTAGTCAGCGCCAACATTGTCTCTCTTTACCAGGCAGGTGCATTCTTTGGTGCATTCCTCGCCTACCCTGTTGGTCATTTCTATGGCCGGAAATGGGGCCTGATGTTTTCTGCCTTGATATTTACGTTAGGCGCTGGTCTCATGCTTGGTGCTAACGGCGACCGTGGTCTTGGCTTGATTTATGGAGGACGGGTGCTTGCTGGGTTGGGGGTGGGAGCTGGCTCGAACATCACTCCTATTTATATTTCCGAATTGGCTCCACCGGCGATTAGAGGGCGACTGGTTGGAGTCTACGAATTAGGGTGGCAGATCGGTGGACTTGTCGGCTTTTGGATCTGTGTAGGTGCTTCCTATTGGTTGCCTTCTTCTACGAGACACAAACATAGCTAACCTTGTCGGACAGTATGGTGTCGATCAGACATTAGCCCCTGGACATAGGCAATGGATAATCCCATTCGCCGTCCAACTAATTCCATCTGGCCTTCTTATCATCGGTGCTCTGTTCTTGAAGGAGTCTCCACGCTGGCTATTCTTACGAGGGCGCAGAGAGGAGGCAATCAAAAATCTCTGCTGGATCCGCCAACTCTCAGAGGACCATATCTATATGATCGAAGAGATCGGCGCCATTGACCAGACCCTGGAACACCAGCGCGCAACAATTGGCTTGGGCTTCTGGAAGCCGTTCGTTGCGGCTTGGTCAAACAAAAAAATACTGTACCGCCTCTTCCTTGGTAGCATGCTCTTCTTTTGGCAGAATGGTTCAGGAATCAACGCAATTAATTACTACAGCCCAACAGTTTTTAAAAGCATTGGTGTCACCGGTTCAAACACCAGCTTGTTTACTACGGGTATCTTTGGGGTTGTCAAGACCGTGGTGACCTTTGTCTGGCTTCTTTGGTTGATTGATCACGTGGGACGACGTTTGCTACTCCTCGTTGGTGCCGCTGGTGGCTCGATCTGCTTATGGATCGTTGGAGCATATATCAAAATCGCCAAGCCCACAGAACGAGCGAACAAGAAGATGGATAGCGGTGGTATTGCTGCCATGTTCTTCTTCTACTTGTGGACGGTGTTCTATACTCCTTCCTGGAATGGTAAATACTCCCCCACAGAGAATTATTTCTGATCGGTGTATGTTGACCTCCGCTGGCTGTTAGGTACCCCATGGGTTATTAACTCTGTAAGTTTCTCAGGCTCCTGACAATACTGTATCGGTAAAATCCCTCTCTAACAGTTTTGTCCTTTAGGAAATGTTTGATCCCAACATTCGATCCCTGGCGCAGGCTTGTGCAGCAGGATCGAACTGGCTCTGGAACTTTCTCATCTCCCGATTCACTCCCCAGATGTTTGCCAAGATGGACTATGGAGTATATTTCTTCTTCGCGTCCCTCATGATACTGTCCATCATCTTCGTGTTCTTTTTGATTCCCGAGACAAAAGGTATCCCGTTGGAGAGTATGGATAGTCTCTTCGAGAAACAGCCGGTTTGGCGCGCTCATGCGACTCTCCTCGCACAAATCCGCGAAGACGAGGAACGGTTCCGCCATGAGTTAGAGGATTCTGGTTTCATAAAGAGCACGGACAAGCAGGTGGAAGTTGTAGGCGTTTGATATATTTTGACGATATTTTGTTGACAAATGTTGCATTGCTCTATATCTCATGTGAATTAATGCACACCATTAGTTGAGAAACGGTGATGTCGAATGCTGTACTCTAGCTCATGTGTCAGATGCGTATGAGCTCTGTCAAAACCCTGTGATAGACATTTATTATTGTATTAATCTAACTATACCCTACCTGGGCGTGTTCTCCATTTCATTCACTTCTTTCTCACTTCCTTTTCGAAGGGTCTTTTTCTTTTTTTTTTTTCCTGGAAGCATATCGCTTGTCGATCAGCGGTTCGCTTTAAGAACACTTTGGTCCAGTTCAACTGTCTGTCCTGTCTCTAGCGCCTTTTGCACAGCCTGACACACAAGTAAGGCCCTCAGGCCCTCTTTACCGGAGCAACTGGGCTCCGCTTTGCCCTGGATGACATCGACAAAATGGGCGAGCTGCAAATCAAACGGCGTCGCTTCTTCCACGTCGAACTTCTCCATCGTCAATGGTTGGTTCCAGCTCTTGTTAGAGCGGCCATCGTAGCTCCAGCGCGTCATATCCGGGACACTAAGAGAGGCATTGGAGCCAAAAATGCGGTAAAAGTCCGCACCAGATGGACACTTAGGGATGAGCGGATTCTCGCCGGTGCCCGTTTCGAAATTATGCGGAGATGGGGTCGCATCACAGACGAGGAAGGTACCGATAACACCCGAAGCAAACCGAAGGGTGAGTGCCGCACCCTCCTCCGCCTCGTGAGGGGGGTTAGGGCGCTGTGCGAGGGTCTTCTCAGCGTGAATACGCACAATCGGGCCGAACAAGTAATGCATGATGTCAATGTCATGGACGAGGTTAATCAGAACCACACCGCCCGATGACCGAGCCCGACGCCAGTCGCCTGGAGGCGCAAAATATCGTTCCGGCTTGAACAATGTCCACAGACCATTGATGGCGATGACCTGACCCAGAGATCCGGAATCCACCAACTGCTTCGTCTTGAGGACATACGGGTTGAATCGACGGTGGTGTCCCACCAGGAGCTTGAGATGGGTATTCTCCGGTTGCTGCGCGAATTGGAGCAATGCTACGCCATTATCTATGCTGTCACTGACTGGTTTCTCGACCAGGACGTGGATACCGCTGGCTAGGAGTCCCCGCGACACGGAAACGTGGGTGTGGTTTGGCGTGCATACGATGGCTGCGTCGGGCTTTGGAATGGCCTGTAGCATGGCTTCGACAGTTGGATAATAGCTCGTTTGCAGGTCCTGCGCCACGCTGGCTGCATTTGGAAGCGGATCGATAAGTGCCACAAGTTCTGTGTGTGGATTGGACAGGACAGATTTGGCATGTCGGGGCCCAATAAGCCCTGCGCCAACGACAACAATTCTCAATCCCATTTTGTTGGCCTTGTGGGATGATTTGTTTTGGAGGGATGTATTGGTGTAAAGGGAGCAATTGGGGGAAAGATAATGAAAGGGAAGGAGAGGAAATAGGTGTATGATTAGTCTCCATTGAGTAGAAGATCGTCTTCAAGTTGGATCACAGCGCACACGTTTCGGGATAAATTCAGGGACCACACAAGCTTCATTGCCGAGGAAAAGTCCATTAGAATGGGGTTTGAGAAGCCATACCAAGCTCATACCCGGTTAAAGGTGGCGGGGAAAGGGCTTAGCCGGGCGGTTCATTTTTCCTGTGGTGGAACCTACCTTCATTCCTTAGCCCTAAAGCATTGGCAGAGTCATCTTCCATTTTACAAAGACAAGAATGGCTTTACGAATCATTCTTCCCTGATAGAATGAGATACAGGGTATTCATTTATTAACGCAAAGAACAGCACGAACTGCAATGCCAAGCGTTATTCCGGTCACCGCCAATTGATCAGCATTCACACGAAACATGACGCGGCTCAAGTGCCCCTAACCGATTTCTATACTTTATTGTGATTTGTCTTCAATAAGTGAATTGTAATTGCGATATTTCTTTGTCTTTATCCCTCAGTTTCAACTCTTTCTTTCTCTGTGATCTCTCTGCGATTATCTCCACTACCACTGATCACAATAACTATCACTCGTAATGCCTAATCGTCTGGGTATTGCCTCCATGTCCTTGGGACGCCCAGGAATACATGATCTCCTAAGCAAGTTGCGGGCAGCCTCTGCTTATGGCTTCCAGGGTATGGAGCTGTTTTTTGACGACCTTGATCACTTGGCCAAATCATCCTTCCATGGTGATCATTTTGCAGCTGCCCATCATGTACACCATGTTTGTACCACGCTGCATATCTCTATTATTTGTCTGCAGCCCTTTTGGCACTACGAAGGTCTTCTAGACCGCAATGAGCACAAGCGTCTCCTCACTGAAAAGCTCCCTAAGTGGTTCAAGCTTGCAGCGATCCTGGGCACAGATCTCATCCAGATCCCATCCAATTTCCTCTTTCCTCATCCTGAAACCGGCAAGCCCCGCACTACAGGCGATATGTCCGTCATTGTCTCAGATCTTCAGGAGATCGCCGATCTGGGCCTGCAACAGTCTCCCCCTGTTCGTTTCGTGTATGAAGCCCTAGCATGGGGTAATCACGTCAATAAATGGGAAGAGTCCTACGAGATTGTAGAGCAGGTCAACCGCCCGAACTTTGGCATTTGTCTTGACACCTTCAACATCGCAGGACGAGTATATGCCGACCCCACCTGTCCCACTGGAAGAACCCCTAATGCAGATGCCGATCTCCAAGCCTCTCTGGCCCTTTTGCGGTCCCGCGTTGATCTCTCAAAGGTTTTTTACGTTCAAATTGTGGACGGCGAGCGCTTGAGTGCCCCGTTGAACGAATCCCACCCATTTTATGTCCAGGGGCAGCCCTCACGCATGAGTTGGTCACGTAACGCACGCCTCTTTGCTTTCGAAGAAGACCGCGGTGGATACTTGCCCGTCTTGGACGTCGCTAAGGCCTTCTTCGACATCGGCTTCGAAGGCTGGGTTTCCTTGGAATTGTTCAACAGGAGCCTGGCTGATCCTGATCCAACCACTCCTCGCAGCCATGCCAAAAGAGGATTTGAGTCGTGGAAGAAATTGGTCTCTGCGTTGGGGTTGGACACTGGTGTTACTTCTTCCGTGCCTAACCTTGACGGTACATTTTCTTACCCTACTTCGTCTTTGCCTGTGCAGCATCGCCTTTAGTACCGCAGCGTCTCCGATGCAACATTGCTTTTGATACAACATCAGCTCTGATGCAGCGTAATTTCTACTGTAGCATTGCCGCTAGCGCTACTTCTCTTTTTCCCCTTAGGGTTCTTTTCAATGTGTTCTACTTCGGGCGTTCCTTTATTGGCTGGTTCAATGGAGTTATCTGATAGTCCTCCTATGGCATCATCAGGTATCTGTTCTCTTATGTCTTTTTCTATGGCCTTGATGGCTTGCAATGAATGTACAGCTTGATGAACATACCCGAACAGAAACAGTCTTCAGGTGTATTGTCCTTCAACTATTTGAGTTTCCGTGAACCGCGCTGATAAAAATAGTAGAATGTAATTTTCGTCATCAGAAACAATATACTATCCAGACATGAGCTCTTTGAATACCAATAGGATTGATCTACATCTCAGGAATCAGATACTAGTTAGCCCCAGTGTTGAAGGGTCACGAGGAGGTCAATGCTCACATGATATCACTGTATCTTGTCACACTCAAGCAGATCCACAACTCCTCCAACGTTTTCATCGCAGACAAAAACAGTGAATAAGTTATTGAATGAGAAATATTTAGAATGAGAAGATGCGACACTCTACGTGACAAGACCAGATCAGACTGTAGTCTGGTTATTGCTAAGTATACGGGATTTGCCAAGCCGCCTTCATTCTTCGTTGCTTCTTGCCTTCTAAGTTGGGTTGGATCCTCTATTTCTCATCACCGAATCTTATGCGATAAGTCTCAAGATGAAGGACAGACTCAAACGCTTCTTTCGTTCGTCGCAATCCTTGAGCGGTAGCTCAACGCAGCCAAGCGCTTCAGTCGATCACTTACAAACAAAACCTTACGATACGGTTTTACCGCAGGATAAGTCCAGTGCGCTGTCTATTCCACCAACAACAGATTCCTGGAACGAGGCACTTCAGAAACTCTCTATAGAAGACCAGGAGAAGGTCCCCGAAACTGAGATTCAAAAAGAGGACAACGACTTCCAAGACACATGGCGGGTCCTTGAAAACGAAAAGAGGGGTAATATCCTCGACTGGATTTCAAGCACCCCATACGAGGATCATCATAGATTGGCAAAGACTGGCCGTACACCTGATACTGGCCGATGGATTTTTGAGCAGCGTAACTTCCAAGATTGGCGGTCATCCAAGGACTCAATGATATTTTGGTTACACGGAATACGTAAGTCTCTCAAGGTGATGTTCAGAAAGCATTGAGCTTATATATTTCTTTCTGTAGCTGGTGCTGGGAAAACAAAGCTTGTTTCCCGTGTTGTTGATGGGCTTTTGGACAATGCAGAGGAACAGAAGGTGGTGTATTTCTACTGCGATCGAAATGAAGAACTTCGTCGGAAGCCTAAAGAAATTATTCGCAGTTTTGTTAAGCAGCTTTCGATTACGCATGACCAAACTATGATTCATGATGGTCTTATCAAGATCTATGACGAGAAACGGCAGAGAGGCTTCTTGTCAAGAGGCTTGAGTCTTGAAGAAAGCGAGGATCTTCTAGCTCAGTTAATTCCTACATATTCCAGAGCAATCTTGGTTCTAGATGCCTTGGATGAAAGCGAAGAAAGTTCAAGAGAAGGTCTTGTCAGCTATTTCAACCGACTTGTCGAGCAACTATGTAATTTGAAAATCTTCGTTTCCAGCAGGCGAGACGAGAACAGAGAAAAACAGCTCGAAATGAAAGTCAGCGTTACCATTGAAGAAAGGGATAATCGCCATGACATAGAAAGATTCGTCAAGCAAAGAATAAGTGAAGACGAGAAATTCCGGGCTAGCCCTATTCCTGCAGAGCTGCAGACAGACATTGTGCGTGTTCTCCTGGAAAAGAGCCGTGGCGTGTAAGTGTTCCTAGCTGCCAATCTGACCCGATTGCAGGGTAACAAGAAGAAAGGTTCCAATGGGCAGCCCTGCAGATCACGGAAATACTATCCTTAGGCCTAGAGTCTGATATGCGACAGCGCCTGAGACGCTTACCAGGTGATCTAGAATGTGCATACAATGAAATTTATGAACGAATCCTAAGATCCGATGGGAGCAGGTACAAGATTGCGACAAGGGCTCTGCAATTGGTCCTATGCTCTACAAATCCTCTTACGGCAGATATTCTTGTTTTCTTTGTGTGTCAAGATCCTGGTACTGAAACGTCGGTAGCTCCATACGTGGACATCCAGTTCATCCTGGACTCATGCCCTAATCTCCTCATCATGGACCCCTGTCACACATGTCGACTCTCCCATCTCTCGGTGTATGAACACTTCGAAAAACATTGGAGCATAGGCATGTGCCATGGCAATGCTGCAAAAGTTTGTTTGACACACATGCTAGGCGCAAATAATCGACAATCTCCCAGGTATTCTGCTACGGCCGAGAGTGTCTTCACTTACGCAACGCACCACTGGTTCGAGCACATAAGAAAGTATGAGTGCTACATCGGGAACGCAGGAGGCAATAATATCGACCCCCAACTGTCGCTGCTTGTTGAGAAATTTCTCGGTAGCGTAGAAGAGAGTGGGCCCGCCTACAGGTCATGGTGCACACGATGCGAGCAAATGCCACATATTCCCATTGAAGACCTGAAACCCTTCTCTAATCCAATGCTAGCAATTTGCCGACTCGGCTTTCATCACGTACCACTCACATGGTGGCAACCCAAATCCATAGACCCCGAACAAACCAACGAAGCCTCCAACTCGCTCCTAGCGCTAGCCATCTTGAGTGAAAACAAAATCACCACCCAGAGACTCCTATCCCTCAGAGCAGATATCAACAGACCACTCGATGGGCTGCTCGGCAGCGGATCAGCGCTCGGTGCCGCCGCCTCAACAGGCAACCAGGAGACCATCAAGCTACTCCTAAGCAAAGGAGCGAAGGTAAACCAGAAACACACCGGAGGAATCTACGGCAACGCCCTCGTCGCATCCATCGCAAGCCCCAACGGCAGAAAAGCCACCCAACTACTCCTTGATTCCGGAGCAGAGATCAACCAAGAGCTCAACTGCGGAATATTCGGCAGCGCACTTGCCGCCGCCGCCACGCGTGGAGGCCCCAAAGCCACCCGATTACTTCTCCGAGCAGGAGCGAACGTCAATCAAGGCCTCACGAGCGGGAATTACGGCAGTGCCCTCGCAGCCGCGGCTTCAACACACGGCTGTCAAGACACGGTGAAACTACTCCTCAGCTCAGGTGCAGACGTCAACCAAGTGCTCACATGGGGACACTACGGTAGTGCTCTTGCGGCGGCCGCGTGCGGTGATCCCGGGAATATTAAGTTACTCCTAGATGCTGGGGCGGATGTAAATCAGACGCTCGTTTCGGGTCTCTACGGCAGTGCACTTGCGGCCGCGGCGTATAGCCAACGTTACTCTGTAAAGAGTCTGCTCGATGCAGGCGCTGATGTCAATCAGAAGCTCACCACCGGGCTTTATGGCAGTGCCCTGGCGACAGCAGTGGCGAAGCAGAGTGCCCATAAGAAGATTGTGCAGTTACTGTTGGATGCAGGGGCAGATGTGAATCAGAAGCTTGCCTCGGGCCTCTACGGTAGTGTTCTTGAAGCGGCGAGGGCGCGGACTCGTCCCGAGCTTTATGAGATGCTCTTGGACGCAGGTGCTAAGAAGAGTCAGGGAAGTGTCAAGAACATAGCATCGAAGGCTGATAAGTATGAGTCACAGAAGGAGTGAGATATTATCCAAAAGATCAATAGCCGACTTGATACAAACCATTCAAGAGTTAAGAATAATTGGTCTCAGATATCGTATAGATTGTCACATCTTCGTACCAGGTTATATGTAGACCATTCCGAGCGAATTTGTGGCCATCGTTTTGTAGAGAATTACGTAACAAGAACAAGCAGTTCAACTCTAGAGATCTAAAACAATCCATCTAAAGACTATAAGTGCGGCCATTAAGGCCGATAAGCACTAAGCCGGAGAAGGAGTAGATCCGAATACTCTAAATAAACATCAATTTCGTCTACTTTGGCCTACATACACCCAGAACAAATCTGACGATTACAATATTTTATTCCTTTTTAATGATATAGATATAAACAAATGTAAAATTAAATCGATAATCCAAGGGAAGAAAAGAGAAGAGGAAGAGGAAGAGAAAGAGAGAGAGCCCAGACACGCCGATGAAAAGATCCCAAGAACACCAGTCCAGTCGTTGAAGACAAAGTCCTATCCATCCCATCCCTTTTGTGTACACTGCTTTATTCCATGAAATGCCTCACTGTCCTGGTAACTTGTTTTGCTTTTTGCCGCATCTCCTAGGGGATAAATGTTGAAACCCTGATCAAGTGACAGCAAAATTTCGCCGTCATGCAAGCACGCTTGCTGTTAAAAACTGAAATCTATATATGCTGATGGTGTGGGGTTTGTGGCTTTGCTTTTGTGTGGGTATACGTGTAGAAGGTTGCCTATGCTTCTTGCGCCCAGCGCCGTTCGCGGAGAGGCATTTCTTCGCCGGCTTTGGCGCGGCTACCGTCTATCTCTCGACGCCAGGCGTAATATTCTCCGAGACGAGTTTCGGCGTACGAAGCGTAGTCGAAGTCGATCTGCGAGATTTGGGCTTGGATAAGGGCCCAGGTGCCCCTATACCTATTATCAGGATCGGAACTTGAGAATTGGCATAAGAAGGGGAACAAACCAGTAGAGACCGGGAATGCCACGGAATCGATCAACGTCCTCATAGAGACGATCGATAATATCCTTCTGAGATGACTCCGGGAGGCCTTTGTGCTGGGTGTAGCTCTTAACGTACTCGGTCAAGAATTGGCGCCGAACAGCGCGTGTAGGCATCATGTTATAATCGCAGTCATAGCCACCCCATTCTGCGAAGTGATTGGCGATGTCGAACGCGGCCGGGGATGGAGTAGCATATTCATAGTCGATAAACTGCACTGTCGCTGTGGGCTCACCCGAAGATGTGACAGAACCATGTGCGGATGGTACAGCTATGACATTGGCGCAGAGCAGGTCGCAATGGGCAAACACCAACTACCGAGGTGAGTTAATTGTCCAGACTTCTTGTAGCAAAGTGGAAAGCGGTCTCTACGTACCCCATCTTCACCAATACCTTTGCCATCGTCCAGTTCGCGGACAACCCGTTCAAGCTCTTTCTGAAGACTGATTCTCCGCTGGCGCTGCTCGTCAGTCGCAGATGGGAGAGCTATAATCCATTTCTGGAGAACGGTCCACATGTTGGGTCCCAGTTGTCTTGGCTTAATCAAAGGAAAGCCATTGTCTTCCTTAGACAGGTTGACATCTACTGAGTTCATAAAAACATTATCCACTTCAGACTCAGCTGGGGCCACAGCTCCTTGGACGGGAAGGACTGCATGCCATTGTCCGAGCCTTGTAGCAACGCCGCGCCAAATAAAAGCCGTCACCAAGTCTTCATGCGTGGCCGGGCGTCCCCGAATGAACCTATACAGCAGACCATTCTGGAAGCGCGCCAAGAGTGAAGGGGCTAGGCCATGGCTGGCAAGAAGAGCGTGGGACTTCATTTCTCCTATAGACATCTACTCAGTATTGTCGCAATGGGCAAGGAGGAGAAAGGGCGTATGTCCCGAGTCTGTCTTACTTTCGCGGTCTATAAGAATCTCTGTATGGTTACCGTACGCTCTCATCAGTACAGCTTCGTGGTCTATTTGCTCTTCGGTCAAGCCAGGTTTGCGATTTATGATTTTGAGAAGCTAGAACCCAGTTAGTTTGGAAGCCTAATGGTTTGATCTCTCCCTGCTCCTGTAGAGCAAGCGCGGAACACACAGTATTAGTGATACCGTCCGTGAAACGCACGAACTCGATCTTGTTCTCCGGACCTTCCCAGTGAGGGTTCAAGGTCAAAACCAGCCTCAACGCAGATGCCTGAGAATCAGCATGGTTGTATGACTGTGCAATGTAGCGCAGCGCTGTGAGAGGACAGCCGTTGGACTCGGATGTCGAACCCATCTTGGACGTTTTAAGGGGTGGGGAGGCGAGGAGCCACAGGGAGGAGAAGCGGTCAACTACAACAGTTCTAGTTTATAGACTGTTAGCAAATTTCAAATGGAAGCGGTGATGGATTGTGCGTCGCGAAAGGATCACTTTGGCGTATTCAGAGGTAGATAAGTACAAAGCATTGAAGTATATACGAACCTGCAGCCTCTATGGCACCTTTTTTTTCTCTTCCAGATTCTATAGCGAATTCCCTATTATTAGTGAGCAACGAGGATCGTAAAAAATACACGAAGTCTTCAAGAGTAAAAATTGACCGGCAATTAATACTCAGGGAATACAGGCCAGAAAAAAAAAAAAAAAAAAGGGTGGGGGGGTGTTTAAGTATGAAAGAGCCGGAGGGGAGGAGGAGTAGAAGAAGCAACGCTGGTCTCGTGCGTTGATAGCTGTGATTGGAAGCTTAACAGCCTGAGGCCCCCTCAGGCAACAAGCGTTCCCCTCCTTTCCTGTCTTTACCTCTAAAGGTAACTGTAAATTGCCCCTTTCCCCTACATGACGACATGTCCAAAAGAAGGCTACGAACACCTTACACTTAGGATATTGAACAATGTGTTTTTCTCTGTGGGGTAGTATAACCCATCGTCAGCACTCAAAACTAGCCTATGATCTATTCTTCCGGAAAGTATGCTTCACATTCCTTGACAGTTAGGACAAGGGACGTAAAGTAAGGGATGGTTTGATCGGTACGTACGGTGTACGGGCAAGGTACGGGAGCGTATTACGCGCTAAACCCTTTTAATCCTACCTCAACTCAACCTTTGACATGTGATTCTCAACCATGTGACTAGTAAGTCATTCATGCCTGAGGCCAAAGGAAGAGAAGCATACCAACCCTAAGCCCTAACCATACCTCTTCTCGGTAACGGACTAGTCCCTAACGTGTTCTAGCGGCTCCACAGCCACGAAAGTACAAAAGGCGCGCGTGGGCGCGGCGACCTTTTGATTTCTTTTTCTTTTCTTTTTCATCATCATCAGTAGCGGTTTACATACCTTTAATGTAAATCATTACCGGAGCTTCATACAAAGTATGACTCGCTGAGGGTTATCCGTGTGGGATTTTGCTCTATGGGTTTCCTTCCGTTCCCAGCTTCGAAGAGTAACATACTTCTCCTTTTTCATTTTAACACTTTTTGGCTTTGCTAGGGATTTTTTTCGCAAGATAAAATCCCCAGGCGCTGAGCTGTGGAGGAGTCGTGACATATCTACTTAAAAAACCATAATTTGCTACGCTTATCATGACGCCAAGGTGTCAAATAGCCTTGTTACTTGAAATGATAGGTAACATGGGTTTATCGTAGTCAAGCTTCGAGAGGCACTCAGTCTCGAGGATTCGTTCAGGCAAGGATGGTTCCCTTCACTGGTGTATCAGTTCCAAAAATATATTCCAGCCATCTCATCATCGGGCAAGTATCCTGAGGTGTAATCCGCTTGAACTTGGGCTCTGCTCATTTTTCAACTGTATTTTGAGTTGATATATGCTGCTGTATAGTGCACGACATTGTATATCTTGCTCCCCATGATATATAGCTTCCTGTAAGGGAACGTTCTGCATGAGAAGACACCTGTTGTCCAATGGTTGACTATTCAGTGAACGTCTCAAGTAGAGGAAGTTAAGTATCGTTTTTGATATTATAACTGCTTCTACTTATTTCAAGGTAAATCTGTGTCTGACATATTGGCTCGCATGGCTTAGTTGGTAAAGCGCATGACTAGTAATCATGAGATCCTCGGTTCGAATCCGAGTGCGAGCAATCTTTTTTTGCCTTTTCTCGTCTTTCTTCCCGCCAAATCTCCTGTCTGATATTAGTCGAAATACAGTCGTTCTACTACTTACTATACGGCCAAGTTCGATATTTTACAAGCCTCGTGAATGATAAATGTAAAGGCGAATCGTCTGGCTGCTGCGCTAAGAATAGTATGCTCGTTATAGCTCGACATGGCCAAGCTTACGTTAGAGTATGATATAATTCAGAATGGGGTCCTTCCTATCTCCCATATCCCTTTACCTTGTGGTCATCCAGAAGATTGCACAAACGGAATGCTATGAGAGATTCGGCGTTGGACAAGTTCAATCACAATACGGCCGTTTGGAGAGGATTGTATAAGGTTCGCCCTTACTTTCAGGGGTCTATCCCTCCCCTCCCATCAGACAAGAAATAATGACATCGAAGGTAGCCATTTTCTCAACTGCGATAGCCTATTGTTTACCAATATAACTAGTCCTAGATTAGTGGCATCACGAAACGTCATGGCGAATGTATACTATCTCTTACACTTGGAGAAGTATGTCGTGAAATATATGCGTTTTCCATGTCACAATTATATGTTATAGAGTAATCTCAGGCCCTCGCGGCATTCCCAATTTGAATTCTCTCACCACTCCACTTATCGTCGCTCCGCAACACGGGCCAGCTTGCCCCATCAGCCTTAACCAGCGTCAATTCCAATTTGGTTCCCAAGACTTTGAACTGTGACTTTTCGGGATCAATCGGCGCGAACAACTTATATGTATCTTTGTACCGCTTGTTATCGGTAGTGGGGAGATCCAGGTTGATCGACTGAGCAGAGAACTCGACCTTCGCCTGGTTTTTATCGATCTTCTTAAGGTATAGTGAGACATTAACCGAGTGCGGTGTTTGGTAGAAGTCATTCCTAAGCAAGGAAGAGGGTTAGCACACACGCGATCTAGGAATTCACTACCGTTTTTAAGTGGAAAAAGCTAGTGTTAGCTCACCTGACAGTCTCCACCTTCTCTTCACCAGCGGGCTTGCCCTTTCCAATAAAGAGATGCCTCTTCTTCTCCCTGCACCCTTCGATCTTCAGGAAATCATCGAAGTCCAGAACCCTCTTTTTGCAGCACGACCATCCCTTGCTCCCCTCATGGAAGATCGGCTGTCCGGGATGGTGGACACACTTCTCCTCCTCTCGCGACACGGACGAGTTGTGGCCTGCACCGCATCCCCTCCGACGGCAAGTGGCATTAACCGGAATATCAAGAGACGGATCATCGGACTCTGATTCTTCGGGGGCGGGTGAAGCTGTGTTCGAGGGAGGGGCAATGGCGGGCGAGTATGTCGACCGTGGTACCCCGCTATTTGCGACAGGTGCAGCCACCGGCTGGGGGGCAACGAGTTGTGGTTCATCGGCAATCTGCGCGGTGTTCTTTGGTGGCTCGACTGGGGTATCGTCTACAGTCGAGTGCTTGCCTGTAGTACAGGGGGGGATTTCGAGGAATTCATCGAAGGTGAGAACGCGGGGTTTGCAGCATTTCCAGCCTTTGAATGAGAGAGAAAAACATTAGTGGATCGCACGGCAGGGTAAGAACGATGGAGTTATGCGACGAAAGTCAAGGGGGACCACCGTAGGACCCCAAGGTCCTTAGAAGCTTACCCTTTTGACCTTCATGGAAGACCGGCGGTCCAGGATGATAGACGCATGGCTCTTCGGGATCGGTAAAGACCTTCCCACAACCCTTGTGGACGCACTTGGACATTTTGTTCACAATGCTTTCTCACGTCTCGACAATTTGCATAAGGTACCGTCAACGAGGGTAAAAAGATAAAAGCAGTTAGTCAAGGATGGCGGGGGAGAAGGAGTATGAACTCGCCATCGAAGGCCGCAGAAATACTGCCGCCGCAGCTGCCGCCCAAAGTGACCCGAATGGGCTTAGTCTGGAGAAGCTCGAAGGTTCCATATTAATGGTTCCCACATCGCCCGTTCGCGGCCTTCAAACCACTGCATTTGGTTAAACCCTCCAGTTTCACCTTTCTTTGGTTTAAACTTCCATTCTCGCACCATGTTCCCTACCGCCGCCCGTCTCTCCCAGGCGGTTCGTGTCACCCTCTTCACTCGTGTCAACTGCGGCCTGTGCGACACAGCCAAACACACCGTAACGCAGTTACACAAACGGCGGCCCTTCAAATACTCCGAATTGGACATCATGGTCCCTGCCAACAAACCGTGGAAGGATGTCTATGAGTTCGACGTCCCCGTCTTACACGTCCAGTCAGTCAAGGGTCCCGGAGAAGCCGACCTCTCCGACCCAAAGAAATTATTTCATCGGTTCACCGAGCAAGAAGTTGAAACACTGGTCGATGAGGCCGAGAAAGCGCAATCATGAAATCTAGATTGCATAGAGCGTATACCGGCATTTTCCCTTAAACCGTTTACCGAATACTGTCTATCCTAAGACTTTCCTCGATGCTCCGGGTATCTCCCGACGCTGGAGACTAGTATTTGGGGACGGGACAGCGGCTTTGGCCTCAACTTCACGGTCTCCGCGGTAAACATCAATAGACTATATTGCTACAACAGTCCTAGGTAATTTTTAAGGGTAGTCAAGGGATCGTCGCGCAGTTCGAACAATTAACAAGACCCCAACGATCTTCTCGACTTCGGTCTTTTTGCCGTCATTTTGGATTTGTACGAACACACTAGCTTACGATCTCAAAATTAAGAGCAACGGATTACTGGCCTTGCTTCCAGCGATAGGTGTGGTCCGTTGCATACAAAGAGTAGTCTGTTCCATGAGCTCTAAATTCATCTATCAGAAGGGCGCGCAATGAACATTAGGAACATGACTGGTCCATCCATGGTTAAGCGCCATAGATTCAATTTGATATCTGTGGATGAGCGATATTTTTAGTTTGAAGGGGTGAACATGTACACTTGTTAGGGCCTTGCTACGATAAGCGGAAGAGCTTGATGCCATCTAATCTGGCCATAAGATAGCGCTAAGAACCATACAGACAATTTTATTGAGTATGGATTGAGGAAACGATTACGTATATTTCTTTTGTCATACATAAAAGCATGGATGACATTTAGTACAGTGCACAAGTCTCATTCCAGCGTACCAGCCAAATCTATAGGCAGACTCTCTATCCATCCATAATATCCACACATGTTTTCTACCGAGCGCCTCCGGCTCCTGTTCAGGGTAGGATTATCCTTCTCCATCCTTTCTAAAAGTCGACTTCGAGTGGTTTCGTCAAGAATCGCAGTTGCGCCGGTCGACGCGGCTGCGGAATCCGCACCCTTCATGGTGTATGACAGATCTCTTAATGTATTGCAGCACAGTTGTGCTAGGCGCGCCACCCTGCCTTTTGGCCTCATGTGTTTATAATTATCCAGCATGTCGATGGATTGCGTTAGGTACGTCTCTACTTCCTCTTCACTAACTGTGCCAGCGTCATCGGCATGGGGCCTGGTGAAGTTACTGAGACGGGCTGCGAGAAACACCGTTCCACAGGCATAAATATAATCGATGTTCTCCCAATATGGGGAGATAAGACTACGGCGACCGTCATCCGGGCTGCCATTAAGCGGCCCATCTTCGTATGCTTGGATAAGATTGACAAGCCCCATGGCTATCCCCACGCTCTTAATTGAGGCGTCGCGTACTGCGCTGAAAACCACGGGGAAGTTAGGTGAGGAACAGTCCTCTTTTGTAGCATGAGGGCGACCTCTAGGTCGGCAGCTGCATTTAGTAGATAGTGCTAGTCCTAGGATTAGCAGAGGCCGATACAGTCGAAGACGAACGTATAGGTAGCGCGCTCGGAGAACATTCCGTTGTCGACACACAACCGAATCATCCCATAAACCGCCCGCGGCATCCTCCCTTAGGAACGACGGTAAGGATGACTGCCAGTCATATAAGAGTGTGTCCACTTTCAAAAATATCTTAAAATCGAAGGCAAGCAGGTTCTTTGCAGAGCAACTATAAGGCTGCATTCTCAGCTCATCCTCCCATGCTAGAATATCTTCGACATGGCTGTATAGCCTAGCACAAGCTGTCAAGAACTCTATCAAGGATGGGCGTTCTATCCCGGGGGCTGGGTCTCCCCCTGATATAAGATCTGTGTAGTCCATATCCATATGCGTCGGAAGTGGCACCTTTAATGGGTTAGAGGTCTGCGGTGGAAGCCCTATCTGCAGTGCAATTATCCGTTCCAAAATCATAGCACTATGCCAGAGTCGCCGAGCGAGTTCGCGGTCCCTTCTCCCTCGCGAATCCCGCCCTCCCTTCTTAAACTGTAGGTCCAGGACCAGCGTCATGCGGATGGCGAACCCGATAAACATCCATGCCAATTTTGGGTTGCCAGTCGCATAGAGGTACTGACTCTGGAGAATATGCGACTGAATACGCTCGCATAAAGGTCCGCCGTTCTCCGTATCTTTAGATATTTTCTGACCGTGATTGAAAAGACTCGCCACATCCGTGTCATTTAGGTCGCTTGTACTCAAGCCTGACAAACCAAAAATAGTATTCAGGATACCGTGAAAACTACTGGTGCCTGCGGCTATATCCTTCTCTGACCTGGTGATTTCGTAGGCTGACTGGAAGTCTTGAAGGTCCAGGATCGGCAAATTAGCATACTCCCTCGATAGATATGATAGAACAAGCCGGTCAGCCATTTCCTGGGACAGATGAACGGGTGGGCCCTCGCCATTCGATCTGGAGATGGGAGGCCGTAAAACCCGGCCTGTGAAAGCGGGAATTTGTGCTAGATGAGAGAAGTCGCCTGCTGGATCTTCGCCCTTTACTCTGCCTGTCCGCTCCTCTACAGCTCTCTGCAACCTCATTATTTGCAATAGTTGTCCACCGCCACCACTGAGCTCAAGGCTTTCGTCTTGTGGTAACTCAGCAGTGTGATAGCTCTCATCTGAACAAGAGGAGATCTCAATCAGTTCTCCTTGCTCAAGAGCACGTGACAGAACTGGTCCGGTGGTTGGGGTGGGAACAATGACGACCTCTAACCCGGGAGACGATGGTGAAGCCCTCTTCTTCCGTTTCCGAGATGCTCTGTAACCGCGGTTAGTTGGACTTGATGGGACTGATTAGAGTTGAATCATACGGAAGGGGCATGTCCTCGGGTCTATAGGAGCATTGATGGGACTGGCCCTTTTCCTGGCATTCTATGCATGCTGTATATATCTCTCATTAGTAATGTTATCAAAGCATAGAAGCGCAGATGGGTGAATAAGGGAGAAGTGCAGAAAATGTCAAAGAAAGCGTACTCGGTTTTTGTCGGCTGCATCTTCTTTTCTTGCGACGACATACACAACAGGGAGTAGCAGCAAATCCCGACATGCGGGCAGGCCCTCTAGTAGTAGTTGTAGGATAGATGCACTCATGGAATTGGCCCTTTTTTTGACATTCTCCACACGCTATACGGTACTTATTAGTAATTCTATCAGACAGCATCGGAACGCAAATCGGAAGATAAGGCAAGAGTGCAGAAAGAGCTAAAGAGAGCATACTGGGTTTCTGTCCGTCGCACCGTGTTCTCTTCTGGCGACATACGCAACATGCAATACGCCTTTCCTTCTTCATGTTGACGCGTTTGCAGGACGGAAGAGCGCCTAAACTCACTGTATATATATCATTTTAGCATTTATTGACAATGTCTCCTTGTAGGTGCTCACACAATAACGGATGGCTATGTCTGGATATCCAGTTACGCAGTAGTTTACATAGGTATATCAACAGTGCAATGTATAATGAAGCCTTGGCCTCAAATAATATGAGCAGAGGCGTGTCCTTTTAGCCCAGGCCGACACCGTTTTTGCTCAACAGGTGAGGATAAAAGGTGAGATCACGGGAAGGCATTCCGGAATGGAATACAACTGTGGTCCGTGCGCCCTGACGTATCAAATTCCTGGGACGGAGTAAACATCAACTCAAAACAAACCTCCATCTGCAGTCATTAATTAAAGCTGTCGACATTTGAAGTTACATTATAGACACTTCGCTACCTCTCGTGGACACCAAAGAACAATTAAATATTATAAGGTACTGTACATGACCACCCAGTAGGTCAGTTTCGAGTCACCAATTGGCAACCAAGTACAGCTAGCTGGTGGATGACTATCACAAAGTCACTTAAGTCATATCTATCAACCAAGCAATCGAATCTCGTAAGACATCAGATATGGCATCCCAGATCGAGGGATATACACAAAACAGTCGAAGTTGTCCATACACAGTATAAGCCAAATATTGCTGCAGAGAATCAAACCCAGCCCCGTACACGCTGACGGGGAGAAGGATGAATAAACAGTTTACCAGCAGCCAGTTGCACACCGACTGAGAGAAAAGAAGAGAAGAAAAACAATAAAAACGGGGAGATGAACAAACGCCAGGTCCGCATTTCCAGGATCATACAAACCAAATCGTGCAACATGAAAAGCCACGTCAAAACTGCTAACGTATCGCCCGACCATTGTAGTAGGCTGGAAGATCGCTTGCTAATATTATACCGCAGCATTAATTGACATCCAGACCAGATACATTTTTGAAGCCTGACGAGAGCGTCCTGGGTGAAGAAGCGACGGATATTCAGAACCACATGACACCCACAACTAAACCTATGACAATAGCCATGCAACTGCCGCGCGCAGGTCGCGAATTCGGTCCAAGCCCAACACCCTTAGACCACTCTTCAGCTGCCACAGTTGCGTTGGGGCTGAAGGTTGGCTTGACACGCGATTTCGGAGATGTAGGAGGCAAGGTTGAAAGTGCGGCATTGGTGCCGTTGGATGGGAGCACCTTGGATGCGGCCCATTCTTCGGTGCGTCGATCGGACTGGTCTGACACTTGAGACATCTCTTTATTAGGCGTACCGGACCCCGATGGTGGCTGTTGTTCTCGTCCGGGGGTAGTCCTGCTCTCAAGATGAACGTTCACAGCACAGCAGGCCTGCTGCCATAATTCACGTAGATGAGAAAGAAAGTACTGGTTGCCCTGCGAAGAATTTCCCACTGCTGATAGCATGAAATTGCCACCGTGGGCCTTGGGGAAAATTGCTTCACTACTAGGCGGGGCACTAATAACCGATAGATTGGACAAATTCGAGGTGAGTGAAGAAGGTGCTGGGATCACAGAAGAGGCACTCCCGGTTGGAAGGGGATTTAGCATCTGGTTATCACCTAGCTGTTTGAGGAACAACGATTTAAAGGCACGAACACCTCGAGTGAGAGTTGACGGCTCTTCGGTGAGGTATACCACAGAATCAGTATCAAGGACAGTAGCAGCCTCGAAAGAACTGCGCGGAGGGGTTTCTGGCACTGCACGCTTCAGGCGAGAAACACGGTCGATATCTGACAGGCAGTAGCCGTTTATCGTCCAGGATTTACACTGGCTGCCTGTTGCTCGTATCCTCGACCGGACGTCGACTGAGCCATCTCTGACACGGGACGGTTCTGTTTTCCACACAATGTAAGATCAATGTTATAACTAACCAATCGCGACGGACTAAAGGACACTCACGTCGAACATCGTTACGCTGATAACCAATATATCCGAAGCGCAGGTTATAAAAGTCCCACTCTTTTGCCAAAGAGGCCACCAAGCTGAGCAATGAAATAAGAAGAAGAGCGAGAAAGGGAAAGGCACCAGGTTTGTGGAAGCCCGACCGCATTATACACGATCATAAACCTCTCGTTCAAGCCGGTGATCCTCAGGGAGACGGATTTTTGGAGCCAACAAAATTCCTGCTTTCTTAAAAGAGCTTGAGGGATCAGGCAACTTCATTGCCATACAGAGCTGACGAGTTGAATTGAGAAATAAATCAAACGTTGAGCGTCGCATGCATATACAGGGTCCGACTTTCTAGAATGCGTCCCACGCGCACTCGTAGCTCCTCCGGTTGCTGCTTTCTCTTAGCTAAATTTTATTATTATTATTATTATTATTATTTTGATGTCCGCGGCGGCGGGGGGTTGTCGGTCGGTCGGGGGGAGCCTTGCAGAAGTGACTAGGGAAATGAAGCCCCGGGGCAATGAAGATAGGCACAACAACACACAAGATGAGAAGAGGAGAGAACTCTTTTTTTTTTAATAAATTGGGTCGGTATCTCTATTCTTTGTAGATACGAAGGGGTTTTGCAGGATTCGATCGCTACCGAATGACGTAAAGGACAAGGTCGCAACGTAACGTCCGGTCGCAAGCGGATGTTGCCAAGTCGATGGAGGGCCAAGAGTGTGCCCGTGGGGAATCAACTGAGAAGAGGGAAAAGGGTCGAAGGTTGAGGAGGTAATAAATCGACAATTGAGGTCGAATCAGAACAACAATCAATCCCCTAAGCATGCAAGTATGACCGGTGATTATTTTTGGCAGAAGCGACTTTGGCAGTTCAATTGGCACGAAGTTAATAGCCTTTTCACTAATGTGGTCGAGATCTGCACGGGGGTTGGTTATTTTTTTTTTCCCTTTCTTCTTCCATATCATTTTACCGTATTTTACCGTAGCATCGGTTAGCGTGGACCCAAAATGCCTGAGGCGATAAATCACAGTTGCCTTACCATAGTTGCAACATTATATCCATAATGATGAACTCATGACTTTGTGCTCTTTCTTGGTCCACTACTAATCTACCTGATGAGACCGGCAATTGAGTCAAAGTCTACCTAATTCTTATGCAACCGTGGCTTTGGGGGTTTCTTTTTTTGAAATTCCTTATTCTATCCCAACCATCTATCTCTAGTCCTTGGTAACACTCTCTACTAACTTCATGCTCTGCCACCAGTAACCACCGATTGTGCTTCGTAAAGGCTTCTCGAAATTGGAAAGGAAGATCCAAATTCAAAGAAGCCAATCAATCATTTTTTACAAAGAAAGACTCCAAGCAGTCCAATAAGAAGATATTAGGAAGATTGCCGCTCTAGCATCCAACATGCCCACCCAATATTTGGAGCTCATCTCTGGCTAGACTTCTCCCTTCATAGTCAGTTCAATCATCAATATCCATACTGTAAATGTTGTTTTTAGCGGGAGTAAACAGCCGTTGATCCGACTCGCTACTCTCCACCGTCTACCAACACCGAACAGTGGGTCCTTCTCCAGATCTCAAGAACCTTTGGCTCCAATGTTATCAAACCTCCCATGGTATCTACATCTTGATTCCATGAAGATGATTGAGATCTTTCGTACGAGCCGGCATAATGACACACGATCCGTCGGCAGGCATTGAATGAAGCCACAGATAGTCAATAGGACCTAATTCCCCCAAAAATTGAAACTGCAATATTCAACGGCCTCATATTAGCGACACCACTCTCCACAAGCCTAGTAGAAAGCTGAGCATTCTCATGCTCAAATAGGGACCCAACTCGCAAACATTTTCGTGGATAACAGCAGCTACCTTTAGACGAACGTGCAAAGCGAAGTTCGTGAGATGCAACAGGTGAAATCCTTTGTAATCGGAAGGGTCAACTCCTAGGTAAACACCCTTCTCCTATCAGTTACATGTAGTAGATAATCACATTTACTAGGGCTCTAAACGGTAAGAGGACCATGACAGTATAGTTACTGGGGCTTTTCATTGTTTGTGAGCCAGTGTGGTACTCTCGAGTGGCAAAGAGCATGCTCGTTCCAAGTCGATGATATGTGTGATATTCCTGCTCTCGTCAACAATAATATTGCTAGCATACAAGTCAATCCGTTGCATTACAAAGGGCCAATCATGGAAGTACATTAAGGAAAAACTGCTCGCTAAACCAAACATGGATGGGATATCAACGACCTCGGAGCACGGACTAGAATGGCTTAGGAGTCCATGATACTTGTCTAGTCCCTGATAATAAAACCACCAACCCCTTCCCATTCTAAGAATTGTTATTCTTCTTATTGTATAATTCCACATCAATGCTAGTAATTCAGCCCGGGGAGATGAACAAGGAGCAATGTACATTCCAACGTATCGCTTTTGTTTGCTTACAAGGCGGGTGAATAATACAAGAAATCCATCCAGGACTGTCGCATTAGAGGTATAAGCGCCTGGAAAGCCAGGAACGAAAGAAAGCACAAAAATACATGGAGAGGCTTCAAGCAAAGAACTAAAAGGATAAAGGTATAGGATAACGCCATTGCTACAAGTGAAGAAGATTGTGATACTTCATTAATTAGCCACATCGCGGCACCTTTGGCCATCATGTACAGGCGTAGTAGCATAATCCACAGTCAATCATCAAATCCCGGGCTTGCAACGATACTAGATTGGATTCATCATGGTAGGATTGGGGACAGCTGGAGGCAAGTCATTGGTAGCCTTGGGGATCACTGTTTCCTGTGGCACTGGTGTGATCGTCGCTGGTGTGTTGCCAACTTCGCTCCCGGAACTCCCGCCCCGAAGTGTTGCAGAAGCCGTGCTGCTACCTCCAACGCTGCCGGTCTTGCCTCCACGCTTAACCATCTTACCCAAGATTCCAACAATCTCGGCGGCATCCGCGAAGCTTTCATCGTCCATTCCTTCTTGCGCCTTATACACATCTGCTATAGCTTGTTTGGCTAGCCGCCGACAAGCGTTGGCATCATGGAGACAATCATAAAGATATGCCGCATATTCAAGTTTAATAGACAGACGCAAAGGGTGAGAACCAGGAAGAAATCGTTCAGCCAAGAGAGCCGCGTGGTTGAAGCATGCCGTAGCTGTAGGAGTGTAGTCAAGAGCAGGCAGTAGGAAAGACGACGGTACCGACTGGGGTGGTTGAACGGGTGCGAGTCCAGGGGGTACTTGCATGGCAGTGTGTCGAGAGATGCTCCCCGAGCTAGAAGCCGAATGTTCAGGGTATGATATTAATTCCACGTTTGACTTGAACGAAAACCTCGACCCCGGCTCTTTAGATGGTGACTCTGTTTTGGGTGCGCTATTTGACTTAGTACCATTGCTGGAAAGACCGGTGATCCCCGGACAGTGAACCGCAGGCTGATTATGAAAAAGCACGAATATGTGGTAGAAAGACGCTCGGAGCTTGTAGGCTAGAATATTCAACTCCACGTATCCCTCGATCATCGGGAGAACGAACTGTTCCAAGATCATTAGGCCTTCACGGGAAAGCCATATGATATGATAATATAGCTGAAGCGATTTGGTTTCTCGGGTAGGGTCCAGTCGCCGTAGTCGCCGTGCACGGAGTAGCTTCTTCGAGAGCATCACCGACAGACCTAGAATTCTATAAAGCATTGCGGACACGAAAGGGTTTTCGAGGCTTGTCAAGGCCGCAAAATTGCCCAGGGCCTTCTGGTCTACCTCGGAGGAAGCCATCCACAAAACTAAAGATTCAGGGTCTATGTTAGAAAAGTCGTCAAAGTAATTATCCATGTCCAATGTTGTTTGTGCCATGTTAGCGAACTGAATGTTTTCTTTTTTCAGAGTAATCCAAGCTTTCCAGACAGTACTTAAAACAATTTCAACAAGTTCGAAGTGACTTGGACAGTCAGCCTTTAGGCAGGAATAGAATTCAGTCGTGATTTCGCCCGCATCTGAAGTACAAAGGTGGAATGTGGAAGTAAAATTGAAATAGAATGAGCGCTAAAGAACCTGTCATCTTACCTGAGAAGCGCGCACAAACAAATGATAGAACTCGCCCAGCTTGTTCAAGCGCTGTACAGACCGATGCTCATGTCAGGCGCTTAAACCGAACGTGCTTCTTTTTTTTAGGTTTGTCGATATGCAATGTCGAAACTTAACCGAAAATTCGTTTTTGCGTACTGTCACCGGAGTTGCTTCGACCGTGCGCTGTCTTTCCCTTTGCTTCTGCCCTTTGAACGTCACCCTCGAATTGCACCAGGAAGATAATGACCAATCACCATATAACAAATCGAAGCGCTTGAAATCACAAAGCCGCCGATAGAACCGCAAAATGTGTATGTTACAAACAGATCAAGTACTGAGGGCCTCGAAACCTTTCAGAATATGCAGAATTCCTTGGGGTAGACTGTACAATGCCGCAAAGGGAACTAAAGGACAGGACGCTGTTTCCAATCAAGAGACGTAAAACGCTTCGTCGGTAGTCGATAAATGGGACTATATGCAAGAACTGGAAATATCAAAACAATCGACCGATACGAGGAAAGGATTAGCAATGCAAGGCACACGGAAGGGATGGATTGTCAGTGGTAGAATAGTGATTGGCAAGGAGCTCGTGGTTGTAAGGCAGGAGGCAGTTTTGATGCATCGTGTGCAACTGGCGCGGTAAGGCGGCAGTCTGTGCTTCTCAGCCAGCAATTGCTAGCAATGAGCATGAAAATACTGTACTAATAATAAGAGACGCTACCAAGCCCCCTGGGTTAGTTGTCGCATGGGAGGGGAAGCGGCTTAGATATTGAGATTGTTCGACAAGGTGGACTTAACCCAAAGAGCGGTATCAGCCACAATTGACCAAAGAAGTGGATGGTTCGGCTGCTGCTCCCCGTGCATTGGGGAACTAGAATAGTAAAGTAGTAGTGAGAAACGGATGATGCAAGGGAAATTACCTGCGCGGTCGGAATTTCCCCTGGCACACCATTACACTGGATGAAGTCCACCGTGGCAATCCTGTTGGTAAGTTCTGTGCTAAATTAGATGATATTCAGTTTTTTTTTCTTGTTATTGCAAGGCCGTTAGATGCATTGAAACTCATTGTCGTCTCATGCGATCTTGTTCGTATTTCTCCATTGTGTCGCTTTTCTTTTTCTTTTTTTTCTCCAAGATCGGAACAGTTGGGCAGCCATACAACATCGTCCACAATCAAAGATAATCGTCATGAGTAATTATGGGGGAAAAAGAAAAAAGTGGCGAATTTTTGGCTGCTGCCGTCCCCCAAAGTCCAACCATGACGCGGGAGGACAACGCATCGTTTAGTTCGATACGTGTCAGAATCCGAGTGCTGATTTTCGCTGTCTTGCAGCTTTTAAACCAGTCGATTGATGAGATAGGATTAATACAGTGGATCGCCTATTGTCCGGCAGAAATAAGTAGCACTTAGGCCGCAGATAGTGCTACAGACTGCAGATAATATCCTTCTAGGATGGTCATTTCAGAAAAGAACATGGGCTCGGTGCCTGAACCCATCCGTTGCGGAGACGGTCTCATGGGCTAAACTTCGAGGGTTAGCATTAGGATGGCGGCAGAAACTAACTCAGATGGGGCGCCCCGCAACGCTGACAGCTGGCAGATGCCTGCCAGCGTGGCACCGACATAATCTTTGGGTTGGCGGGGGCTGTGAGACATCAGCTTGCAGTATAATGGCCCCCTCTTCTGGAAAAGCGAATTAGTATTGGTGGTGCTGCACTCGCTTCATGGACACTAAAACCAGTAGTTACTATAAGTGTAATCGGTCAGTGTCCATGTGAGGAGAACAATGATCTATCTAGATCGTCACATGGCAGTTTCCCACCGCCTTATTGACCGCTGGGATATCTTATCTCTATATATATATGTATTTTGTACATTATCTCTACCCCAGGACAATTCGGAGTGCTTTATTTTGAAAGACTGAGTAATTGGTACAATCTCCAGTATGTGTGACTGATATGTGACTGGCATCCTTGTCTATCATAGACTTAGTTGTTGTCAACAGGGAAAAATGTATGATTCGGTGACCAGCAATATAAGAGACTATATACAGTAAATAGAGAAAGCAGTGCTAGCTGTACAGAAAGCAAACGGCTGATTAAAAGATAGATACATTCTTGTCGGCCGATTATATATTCTTTCTGCTCACTCATCCATATAAAAATATATAACTAAATCATTCTGATACGTCATCAAGGTCGTCACTACCCAGAAGCCCTACAAAGGCACGTTCTAAGAACGTCAGCCAGATCTTGTTCCGGAATTTCTTTCTTTTCTTTTGGGGCTCGAAGTCATCATCATCATTATTATCGAGTGTGTTGGTCTCGCTAGCAAGTTGATCATCGTCATTCGTGCAATCCGCTAGAAGATCGCTCTCTTCTGAAGTATCCTTCGCAATTCGGGTGGCCAACTTGAAGAAGCTGCGCACGGTAAGATCTTTCATCCTATAAATGAGATCTTTGCTAGTATCATATTCAACCTCAAAGGCAAAGGCACCCTCGTCCTGATTCGCTTCATAACCCTCGTTAATCTTTGTTAGATTGGCAAAATATTGAGTATACCCCAGCCATGTGAGCGGCTGGTTGGAATACGCCGGCCCCGGCGGAGCAGAAGGCGATGGAGGTTCTGGAACTTTGAAGTGGGGTCGCTTCTTTTTTTTCTTCTTCTTTTTCTCAGTGGACGTGTCGTCATCGGTCATCTCGGAAAAAGGCAAAGCACCTTGATCCAAACTCTCGGCCCATATCGTAGCATCAGCCAGTCCGGAGATATTATACTCAACAATCCGAAGCGTTGGGAAGTAACTGGGTACGAGGCTAGGAGATACCAAAGATACGCTGTACCGCTCAGCCCATGGACCACCGATTTTCTTGAAAAATTTGCGCTTTTTCTTCTTTGACAACAAGACCTCATAATCAACGTCTTGAACAGATTCCATCGAGTCATCCTCAATCAAGTCATGCAGAATGCCCAAAAAACCATGGGGCGGGGACGGCATTTTGGACCAATCTTCCCTTAGACTAGCAAGATAACTTGCGCGGGACTGAACCGAAATATCGCCAGGTGTGTCATCATGTCCAACATATGATACTGGGTTCTTGCTAGCATCAAGGATGTCCACTTCACGGCTGTCCTGGAGCATAAAATGGTCGATGTTCATATGCCCGTAGGCAGCACCAACAATGATATCGCGGTACTGATGGACCCAGAGAGTATACTTCTGCCAGCACGTCTCATCCCAGCTCCGCTTGGATCCAGATCTCGCCGGCGGCACATGCCCGATCAGAATCGCTTTCATGTTGCGTAATCGCAACAACTTAAGTTGCACACGTAACCATTCCATATGTTCATAACCAGGCTCTGATTTGGCGTTACAGCCATCGACCGCAGAGTTGGAGTCATAGAAATACATCGTGTTTAAACTAATTATCGCCAGCTTGTTAGGAATTACCTCTGACGTAAACCACCCGCCCTCCACAAAAGTGTGACGCTGATGCTCGGGGATGAACTTTGCCCATATATCGACAAACTCTTTAGTCCATCGGTTTGGGCCATCCTTGAAGATATTGTGCGGCATGATGTCGTTGTTTCCCAGTGTAGGAACAATCGGTATAGAAGGGGCATTAAATGAACCCTCTCTGAAAGTGTCAATAAACTTGTCGGCAATAATCTTGTTCAAGGCAGACACCTCATCCTCCGTTCGTGGTATTTTTTCATCATTATCATGACGAGCAGAATCTCCAGTCCAGATGACAAAGTCGACATGGCCTTTCAGGTTCTTCTCTATCCAGCCGAAAGTTTCGTTTATGAGGGTGAAAGGGGAATCGCATCCACTCCTTTCTGATCCGAAATACCCCGCGGAGCCTTTGCCCCGATGGCATGCGTCATCCTCCTCCACGGACGTTCTAGCCTTGTAGTGCGAGTCTGGATGTAGATCTGCGCAAAGATTAGCCTAGTATTCTCCCACTCACTTTTCTCCGCTTGCCGGGATGAATGATTCTGTACCTGTTATATGAAGAAAGCGACCGGTAAGTCCGCGGGGGGAGGAGGACCCCGCGGGACCATCGACGCTGTAAAGACCCCCATTGGAATTCCAAAGCCGGTCGCCCAAAGGTTGTTGATCTGATATAGGACTGCCGATCACAGTAGAGATAGTCGTGAGAAGCAAAAATGGAAGCATTGGCAAGAAAAGCCCCGACCGGGCGACAAGAAAGATGTTCAACCTTTACTAGAGATCTTGGACATAGAGTAGGAGGCAGACACGCGACCTGAAAGGTTCGATGAAGTGAGCGTAAAAATAATAACGGAGTTAACGTCACTAAATGCTTCGTTGATGGGTGGGATTTGGAGACCGATTAGGCTTAGCCTGCCGAGTACCGTGTTGGACCGCTAAGTGTCGGATTTCTTTCAGTCTTTTAAGGGTTCCGAAGGAGGGTCACACTTCATGTTCAGGTGGTCAGACTTCTCTTTGAGAGGTGTCTACTGACGCTAGGTTCACAGATAAGTATAGAGTATTGGATATGCAGCGACCCACAGAGACCATCCTCCAGCGTCTACCCAACCAAATGCAAGGCAGAGCCTCTCTGGTCTGCGGGAATCCCCACGTGGGCTTCAGGGAGCAATTGGTTTGCTCGTCCGATGGTCTACCGTAGTAACATGACCCATTTGTGAGTGTGGGAGTCCTAGAGACCTTGTGAGCACAGGCAGTTGTTGTGGGTTTCATAGTCCCTACAATCACCGATTGTAATAACATAACTCAATGGCTGGTGCAGCCGAAATCACTAGCGCTAAGATTTAAGGTATCAGATCTGGCAACAGCACATCATTTGCAGATCAGGTCTCGTGACTCGATATTTTCTAACACAAACGTGAAAACTCTCTCATGGCACTGGATACAGCGGGCAGTTATGTTGCATTAAGGGTCCACGCAGTGTTCTGAGAATACTGAGCTTGTAGCAACAAGATGAATTTTACGGAATGCATTCCTTAATTCAGTGCACAGAGTAGTACGGCCTTTTTACGTCCCATGAAGTGACCAGTAGCTGCCAAATTATGGATCCACAAGATGACTTTCAAAAGTCTTTTCATCATTTCATTTTGGCGGCTGAAGTCGCCGATTTTATCATGATGCCGTAATTTGAACACCTAATCGTAATACCCGATCTCTGCTAAGATTAAAATCGCGAATGAATGCCAGGCATTTGCGCCGCCTTCTCATTCGACTGTGGCAATGGATGGTCGACCATAGTGCCTTACATCCACCGGCCACTTTCACTCATGGCCATATCCAGCTGGAGAATTTGTCGATTACACCATGGTTATTCGCAAAGAAGCGAGTCTGCTAATCTGGGAAGTATCCGGTTGTTGTGCTGGGTGTTTGGCATGCAGTGACCCGTCTGATGTTTGTGGAAGCTCAAGTGGCATGAACTTGTCTCCGTTGAATTTCTCAAGGGCCATAACGCAGTTTCCATAATGCATACTAACAATATGTACGGTGTAAATCTATCATCTTCGAGAGGAACTGTCCAAAATATATAGAGGATGAAGGATGGAATCATAGAATAGTGGACATCAGACGTAATATATTCAATCGTAGCAAAGAGTGAGAGAATGGTACGCTTGATTGATTCACGATAGTCCTGGTTTTTAACAAAGCTCGAGTACAATATATACACATACATACGGCCGAGAAGGTGATCGTCTAATCCTAAAAGGGAAGTCATCTGCATCATACAATTTACACAGTGTATTACAAGCACAGGTAATTGCGGATGGTGTGACATTCACATGGAATGGGTGAGTAAAAAGAGCACTCTGGGAACTGCACTTAATATTTATATATAGATGTTGTAGTAGGGTATCTGCCCCTCATCGTCATGGTGGTTTTAATCTCACTCCACTTCTACTGCGGGGTTCGATTTCACCAGTTAAAAGCCACGCTCTCTTAGGTAAAAATGTCTCATCAGAACGAACTTTTCCCGGGTTTTCAATAATCCATCTTTATAAAAAGACCTCTACCTTAATAGCTCTGATCTTGTTCGTCAGTAGCATTTCATCATGTCCGGGTTTCCCTCTCTTAAGCCTGCCTTCACCATTCGGGTGCGTACACTAATCATCATCAAGATAAGTGACTCATGCTAATATATGATCCCAAATTCAGGTGAACATAGATGCACCTCTAGTAGTTGGTGAGTCGTGCTTCTAAACACTTCATGGTAAAATAGAGATAGAAAACTAACTGTCCGCTCAGGAAGCGCCTCTCGATCCCAGCCTTTGCAGGTTGTGGTGAGTCAACTTATCCATTTCCCCTACAAGGTATATGGACAGCGAATTCTCTAACTATAAATTTCCTTGGGAAAAAGGGTATGCTCGGGGGTACCGTCAAGGGCGACTCCGGATTCACTCCCGCTCTCGATGCCGAGTTCGTTGGAAGAGGCAATGACTACATCCACGCGGACGCGGACGGCAAGCACCTGCGTTTGGACGCTCACGGTGTTCTCAAGTAAGTCAATGCCTTGCTCTTGCTCCTCTTTCCTATCTTCCTGTTTCTGGAATTTGGACCTGATATTGTCAACATAGGACTAAGGATGATGCTGTATGTTCCCCAAACCCACAAGCACGGGTCAACGTGGAAGAAAGGCAAAACAACTAACGATTCATAAAACAGCTTCTCTACTTGCACTACACCGGTGTCCTCACCCTCACACCCGCTGAGCAGGCGGTCTTCGGCGGCACTGCCCCAGAGGGCTCAACGCCTTTCGGCAACCTCTGTAAGTACATCATCAGCCAAAGACGCATAAAATGTGTTGCTGACAAAACATCAGTCACCCATTTCACTTTCGAGGTATGATGATACGAATACTACACTAAGAGGCAGCACCATAGTAACAAAAACCAGACCGGTGACGAGCGCTACAAGGAACTCGAGAACCGCGTTTTCGTCGGCCAGGGACGCTTCAACATTGAAAACGGCAAGCCAATCGTCGAGTACAGGGTCAGCCAAGTCCTCCATGGCTAAATCAGATGGAATCAAGGTTCAGGTTCATTCATGTCATGATATTTCACTACTCACGATAAGGCAGACGTCAATTGATTCATCAAATCTCAAGTAAAACACGAAACATCAAATATGTTCCAGAGACAATTTCCGTAGCTCAAATCGTAATCCGCGATTAGCGCGACACTCCCCACACACACAGATCCTATTAATCAATCACCATCCAACAGCGGCGTCCTCTCAGAATTCCCATTTCGGTTCCCTTCTACATCCCCCACCGCACGGCGCCGAACATCCCCGTGTCCTAAACAAGCGCTCCAACTCGTATACTCACCTCCCAGTTTACCCTGTCCCCAAGAGTGCTGTAGTCTTTTTACAGTCCATAATGAGAAAATCCCCAGTGCGATCGTAACGAGAGTCCCCAGGATGGAAGTCACGGCCGTCAAGAATGTAAACGTACTGATATTGCATCCGAACGGCACGGCCCGGAGTTCCCATCGCTCTTTAGATCCCAGGGGACAGATCTTGGAGGAGCTTATAGGCGCCAAGATGGGGAAGCGAGAGGGATTGGGGACACAGGTTGAGGTCTGTGTTGGCTCAATTTAGATCATGTTGGGTAGGATGTATGTGTTGTTGAGAAAGGGTGGCGAATACAGGTATATGTGAGACCCTATGTCTTAGGTAGGGATCCCATTGTAACGTACCACTGAGCACCAGCTACAAGGGGCATCGCCTTGCAGACACCATCCGCATGACTGTCTGCGCCAACAGAGATAGAAGAGCGGATCGTTGGTTTCGAAAGGGTATGACGTATTCGGGTCCATGGCCTGGACGTGGTTTACTTCGGGAGCTGGAGGGGATGTGGAAGAAATAATTGATTGCAATGTGGTATAATCCCTTGTGATGAGAGTGGCAGGAGAAAGGAACACTTAGTACGGAGTAGACTATTTGTTATTACGAGGTTGGCAATTGCATGACCTTTTTGACATGTGCGGGGGCGGCTACAGGGTTAAGGTTACTAAGTAGTACTCAGTAGTGGTAGATAAGGCTACCTCTGGTAAAATATTTGGTCAGAGAGAGGTCTAGGATCTACCTTGAATCCCGCTACGGGACCTCCCGATTGGCCTTAAATAGGAGGTAGTTTTTTATCAAATGAATTGTGGCTGACTAAATAAATATACTCGCGTCTGTACACATAAATTCATACTACGGCATATTCGAAGTCGTCCATTTTGGTATAGGTCACGCTTCATTGTACGAAATGTCTAGAACACCCCCCTACAAAATGCCCGTAAACGTAAATTAAACCACGCGTTTGACCTATCCGGTTGAGAGTTAGCCCTCGCCCAACCACGGAGATATAAAACAACAGAGACATTGTCGACTTATGACTCACCTCAAAGAATCTCTTCAACCACCACACCTGGAAAATACCCTCTCCGATAAGCACCGCAAGCTGGAACATACTCCACCACTTCACTCTAGCGTTTGTGCTCTCGGCAGTATTCCGGTGTACACGCTCTCTCAGCACAATGTAGGACTGCTCATCCTTAACCTGGGCCAAAGCATCCGAAAGACGACGGACTGATTGGAGAGAAATAAATATTAGTTGCTGAAGCTTCTCAAGACGGTTGCTGTGTGTATTCATACCTTCCACCTCTAAAGGATCCTGTGGCATTTCCGATTCCGGGACGTAGACGATTCCATGGACATTGAAGGATACCTCCTTTGAGTTCGAAGTCCATCCCTCATTGCTGAAGCAATAAACATATTTGCCGTCGGAGTGGGCAACAAACGAGTAGTCCTCGGATGAGATAGCTTGTTTATAGTACTGGCGGTGATTCAAGGGATCCTCGACCTAATGAAGGAAATGACAAAGATTAGCAATCAATTCAATAAACGTATCCAATCAAGCCAGTCATCCGATTGTCGATTGCCCTCTTTATTGAGGGCAAACATCGACCGAATCCCAATCCACATTCCAAACCAGCATATCAAAAGGGAAGAGCCGTACCCAAAAATCGATCTCCAAATTGCCGCTGCCCCCAAACTCCCGGTCACCAACCTGGAAGCTGACCGTCATCTTATCATCCTTGTGTAGCGACTCGTGGTAGCATTCTCTCGAATGAGCCTTAAGCTGGATGGTGTGTGCGGTCACAGCGGTGATCCACCCTAGCGCGGCGATCAGGAGGGTTGAGGCGGAGAATCGCATGGTGTGTATATATTTTCTTGTGTACAATCGGGGTTTTCGGCCGAAGGTATGGTATGAACCTTCCAAATAATGGCGGGTTAAGGTGGTGAACGATTGCGGCCTGACGGTCGATATTCCCGACGACGCGCAAGGTGGTCTTCTCTCCGTCGGGAAAGTTGAGGCGCTCGGACCACCTAAACAATGTGTATGGCCTCAGGTGTCACATTGTGACAAGACACAGGTTGACAACAGTCAAGAGATAATTTCGATAACTACTATTCATTATAATAGTGAATAACTATCTTGCTAAATATCGGTTATATAATTTTGTTTGAAATCAGCTTTTGAAAGCAAGCTCAGCATTACATTTAAGCACTGAAAATATAGATTTCATAACAACTTATTCATTTAGGGGTATAATCAAACAATAGAACGTGATAATTTGCTGTAGATTACATTTAACTGTTCAATGGTGCCTATATTATCGGCCTGATTGGCGTGGCGCCTATCTGCTCATTGCTATCATGCCTAAGTACGTCGACTCCTCGTAGTGTCTTATAGTGCATGATGCATACATATTATCCCACAACGGACAAACTGACCAGCCTACAGTCTATAATTTTCTCTGTTTCAGTGACCTTGAAGAGGCCAGGTTCCATAAAAGCTACCATGCCTGTATTTATAGTGGACGGCGAGCGTCACCGAATACCCTTCATGTCATGCTTCAGAGGTTCCAGGTCCATTGGCGAGAAATGGTTCACCTATAATGCTGAAATTGTGAGAACAGCGTTTTGAGTCTTACATGACAGAGGTAATTCTCCTCTCGATACTTCCATAGGCTAACAGTGAAAGGCTCAGCGTGTTAAGACACCACCGAAGGCTTCTATAAGCGACATATGGTCCGCTCAAGATGATACAACCCTCCAGAATCTCAGACACTGCAGCATTCCATGGAAGTATATATCTGCTGCGATGAACAATAGGCCTGTTGAAGACCTCAAAAAGCGTTGGGCTAGCCTTCACGGGGACAGATTGACGAAATCCGTTGATAAGCCGGTAAAGGACACGATCAACGACCGTTTATCGTGTAAGACATTGGAAGGTGGAAGTGTCGAGCGCCATGTGTGCTTCTCAGATCCATTGGTCACTGAAGGCGATGTGGGTACAACCAGTCTACAACCTCACATTAGATTACTAGATTTTAAGTCTCTGATAAGTCATTTCGGTAGACCGAGGATGATAATATCGCCTCTAAACCTTCGAAAGTCAAGCATGTGTTCTATACCGATGAAAACTTCGATTTGGAGGACGTGCTGCTTTTACACACAATCGCTGCAAAATGGGAAAGGGATAAATGGCTGAACGTTAGTACCCGCTTTAATGATAGGACCGGGCGCAATATCACCCCAGAAGACGCCAAATCGATGATTGATCTCGAAGGAGTCTGAAAGTGGCATTGGAGAATCTAAAACAACCTTAATAGCTCTAAGGCTTCTCGGTGGTCGGCAACACCATGTGGCTAGCATGCTTAATGCTTGATGGCTCGAGTAATTATCCGAAATCGGTACGTTAGGTGGACAAGTCAATAGGAAATGGATCTGTTGCGTGATTTTTCTTTCCCCTCTTTGGTTCTTCCCACAGCTTTCATTCCAAAGGTTCGGGTGGATCAGGAATGCGTGTTCGAGAGTCTTCTTCTGTGACATCATGACTTCAGTCAACGAGTACCAGTTAAACATGAATTAGTAGGTAGCCACAGATTTAGCCCGAGGTTTTCGAATCATCTTCCCATGTTTTCAGATGTATCCGGCGAAGCCCGAGAGCAGGGGTGAGGCATCCGCATCGGACCGGATGGACGTATAAACACCACATCATTGAGAAAGACCCGGGCTTCCGCCGGCTGCTGAAGCCGATGTACGCTGTAAGGAGCACGCACCAAAATCTTGAACGATCCTGAACATGAGTCGGTCGGATGCACAAGACTGACAGTGAAATTGATTCCAGACCCTGAAACCCTGCAGGCACCAAATGTACTAGTAATTCTTACTATAGGAGAGCTAATTGTCTTAACTTTCTCAAGTTTAGTGGGGTTTCAGCTGGGAACCCAAGAATAGCATTGGCTTATAGGGATCACCGGGTTATTCTGCGTCTGGGCAAGAGAGAAAACGTTAGACGACCAGCAGGGACTGCCGGTGGGGCCCTCAAGGGTCTGGATGGGTTCGATTCATTCAATGCGAGTGTGGATTGGATGATACGGTGGGCCAGGCTGTATGTGGGCCAACTAGAGCCCTGTTTTCTAAATATATGATTGGGCGGTAATTGGTCTTCTTTGATCATTCAACTTCCATTTACTCCGGGAGATTTGCTGTGTGAGACTGTGTGCTTCAGGAGGCGATTCTTACCCAATCTAACTCCACATTTTCTCTTCTTGACGTACGGCTTCTATTCTTATATATTCCCAGTCGATCCTTCCCAACTTTCCCCCCTTCCCTATATTGTTGTTGTTGTTATTTTGGACTGATTTCGATTTCTGTCTTTTTTTGTCCTCCCGTACCTCCTTTTCTTCTTTCCTTTTTACTTTCTGTACAAATAGGCAGCGAACAGGTCTCTCCTTCTCCCCGTTCTCTACCATAACTCGTGCTCTCACTCTTTTCATTCGAAACATTCGATCGAGCAACGAGATCCTTCAAAAATGCGTACTGCTGGTCTAGTTTCTCTTTTGCTCGCAGCTATTCCCGCTGTTACCGCGCGGGGTACTCTCGGTCTCGCTCTGGGCAACAAGAACCCTGATGGCACCTGCAAGTCCACCAGTGACTATGAGGCCGACTTTGATGCGCTCAAGAGCCTGACTACTCTCGTCCGTACCTATTCCGCCAATGATTGTAACACCGCCGTGAACATCGTTCCTGCTGCCAAGAACAAGCAATTCAAGGTTGTGTTGGGTGTTTGGTATGCTACACATGTTATGATTCGTAGCGATCTCTACTGGTATTAACGTCGTTTGTTCGGGTAGGGCTGATTACGACGAATCTTTCAACAACGACTTGAACGTTCTGAAGCAGACTGTTCCCGGAAATGAAGATGTTGTCCATGCTATCACTGTCGGCTCCGAGACCCTTTACCGCAATGGCCTTACTGCTCAGCAGCTCTTGGACAAGATTAATCAGGTTCAGAAGGTGTTCCCCAAGGTGTCCGTTGGTACCGTGGACAGCTGGAACAAGTACAATGATGGTACTGCTGATCCCATCATCCAGGGAGGTGTCAAATACTTGTACGTTATATATATGCCGGTGTCACTTCGTACCTACCTAGCTAACAATTTGATAGCTTGGCCAACGGCTTCGCCTACTGGCAAGGAAAGGACATCGACCATGCTACCGCGACTTACTTTGATGATATTGCTCAGGCTAAAGCGCACATCGAGAAGATTGCTGGCAACGCGGACAAGATTCAATTCGGAAACGGTGAAACTGGCTGGCCCACTGACGGTGGCTCTGACTATGGCGCAGCGAAGGCTAGCACCAAGTCTGCTGAACGGTACTGGAAGGAGAGTGTCTGCGCCATGCTTGCCTGGGGCGTCGATGTTTTCTACTTCGAGGCTTTCGATGAGTCCTGGAAGCCCAAGAGCGTTGGTGACAACGGCGAGTCCATGGACGAGACTCACTGGGGTCTTTTCACTGCTGACCGCAAGGCCAAGTTTGATCTGTCTTGCCCTAACTAGACTTGTTTTGTTCTTTCTGGTATCGGCGGCGTGTCCAGCCCCTGTTATCTCACCTGAAGTTCTCCTGTATCATATATTCAAGTCCTAACTCAACACCAACAGGCGGTAAGCATGATATCGCTTACTTTGCGAGAATTTTTTTGGGCGCATTGATTGTGATGAAACATGTACAAAAGTACTTGGTAGTATTACAGTTCTGATATTTTCGCCAGTGTCCCTAGAAACCCCGACGTAATCCTGTATTATCCTCAGTCCTGAAAGGATGATGTGGGTATGGTTACATAATCAATACTACTTAACGTAATCGGTAAACGAGCTGCGCACGCAAACGGGCTGCGCACTCCACGCGTTTTCAACGCGCCTCAATTTCTTAGGTGATTTAAACACCAGCCATGCCACCAAAAATGCCTAAATCATCAAAATCACGCGTTGAACAGGAAGGCCGAATCCTACTGGCCATATCGGCCCTAAAAAAGAATGAATTCAGTAGCCTTAGAAAGGCAGCCGATATATTTAATCTACATGAATCTACCCTACGCAGTCGCCTAAAAGGAACCTCTTTTAGAGGCGAGCAACGCGCCAATGGTCATAAATTGACTAGTAGTAAAGAGGAATCGCTTAAAGAATAGATTCTGTCACTAGATAGACGTGGAGCACCTCCTCGGCCTGCACATGTTCAAGAAATGGCCAATATCCTACTCTCAAAGCATGATACTACATCTCCCCCTGCTACTGTAGGGGAGAAATGGGTATATAACTTTACCTGGCGTACACCTGAGCTTAAAGCCTGCTTTGCACGTCGCTACAACTATCAACGTGCTAAAGTAGAGGATCCAAAGATTCTAGATGCTTGGTTTGAGCAGGTAAATGAGGCTATTCAGAAGTACAGCATAGCTTCTAGTAATATATACAATTTCAATGAAACAGGCTTTGCAATGGGCCTAATTGCTGCAGCCAAAGTTATTACTAGGTCTGATGTACCAGGCAAGCCATTTTTATTGCAGCCAGGGAACCGGGAATGGGTTACTGCCATAGAATGTATATATTCTAATGGATAGGCTCTACCTTCCTGCATTATTTTCAAAGACAAGGTGTATATGGAGGCCTGGTATGAGGATAATAAGGTTCCTTCTAATTGGAGGATTGAGGTTAGTTCTAATAGCTGGACAAGCAATGAGATTGGCCTA